CTTGAGTAGGCCAAGACTACGGCAAGGTTTAGATAAGACAAGGTTAGGGCTTGTATAAGTCGAAGGTAATGCTTGTATATGAAGGTTAAGTGCAGGCATAGCTAAGACAAGAGTAAGGCTTGGATAAGGCAAGGGCGGGCCTGGAATAGGGCAATGGCAAAATAGGTTAAAGCAAGGCAGGGCAAAGGCAGGGCAAAGGCAGGGCAAAGGCAGGGCAAAGGCAGGGCAAAGGCAGGGCAAAGGCAGGGCAAAGGCAGGGCAAAGGCAGGGCAAAGGCAGGGCAAAGGCAGGGCAAAGGCAGGGCAAAGGCAGGGCAAAGGCAGGGCAAAGGCAGGGCAAAGGCAGGGCAAAGGCAGGGCAAAGGCAAAGCAAAGGCAGGGCAAAGGCAGGGCAAAGGCAGAGCAAAGGCAGGGCAAAGGCAGGGCAAAGGCAGGGCAAATGCAGGGCAAAGGCAGAGCAGGCTTAATAAGACAACCAGATAGGGTAGACTCTATCTGGTTGATATATCATGTGAACATTTTACCTTTCTATGCTATGTTTAACGACTTAAAGTGTGCAAAGAGTCCATAAGGCTTTACGGTTATTCTCATTTGTACTTTTAAATTAGTCAAATTATCATTTTCTCAGTACGCGTTTTAAAAAATGGCAAAATATTTTGTACTTGTCACATCGCATATGGATTGTACAGCTTCGCATAAGCTTAACGGTTTTAGTACGTATAATGCCCCATGACCGTTTCTGTGGCTAAAAAAATATTTTTTTTTTCAATTTTATATAATACCTTGTATCTATTCATACTGTATTATAACTGTAACAGAACTCGTAATTTATAAACCTCACGTATGTATCCTGACCGGAACAATACCTACAATTACAACTTTTACATGGTAGCGTAGTTACATTGTTTTGCAATATACAGTAGGCTTATTATCATTAAATCTTGTAAACTACAAAAAGTTTTGTATTTTTAAATGTCATTCATATAAAATGCGTTTTTAAAATACAAAACGTGTGTGTAAGAATGTAAACACATGTCATACTTTTTTATTTGTTATGTCTTTACCGTATATATAAATTAAAATAACATGATAGTATAACGTGGAAAAAAGTACTTTTGGCACGATCATTTGTTAGCATTCGAATATATTATTCAGCCAAAAATTTGCATGTTTTTTGATTTTTACAGAAAATACGGCGTAGGGCTGTAGTACACTAAAAGTATGACTAAGTTAGCGAATATGGTATGGCTGACATAGTGATAATGTCAACTCACACCTTGGCCTCTTGATAAGAGAGCTTGCCTCGCATTATTAGGTGCCGACATAAAGAACCCGCTATACTTTGCTTGTAATTTCTTGTAAAAAATGGTGGGTTCTTTATGTCGGCACCTAATATAAGGTACGACAAGGGTAGAGGTTACGGTTTAATGGAATAGAAACTAGAATATGGTTGGGGTAGAGACTAAGCCATGGATCATGTAAAAGCTAGGTAATGGCCGGAGTGGATGCACGTATATGATTATGGTAGATGCTAGAAATAACTGAGGAAAAAGCTGGAATAGGTCTGGAATAAAGACTAGGGCAAAGCCGGGACAAAATTAAAGCTGGTGTAAATAATAGAAGTATGGTTAGGGTATAACTAGAGTAAGACAGGGCAAGAGAAGATTCGAAATAGAGTAAGGCCAGGATAAGTTTAAAGTAAGGCTGATGTAAGGACAAGATAGGGCAGGTAAGATAAGGTTAAGGTAGAGTTGCGGAAAGTACATTAGAGCCCTACAGTAGAGCTGTAATACGGCTAGGGTTAGGGGTTAGAAAAGGGCCGGGCCGGGCCCACTTTTTAAGCTCGGCACATGCCCGGGACCCAACGTTTAGGCCCGGCCTGTTTTCAAATTTTTTTCAGGCCGGCCCGGCCTGGTCAGAAAATTTCTAGGCCCGGCCCGTTTTAAAAAAATTTTAAAATTTTAAAATTTAAAAAATAAACGGAACTTTGGCTTTGCATTGTTCTTTTAGATCATTTATGTATCATGGTACCCAATAAAATCAAAAAACATCAACAGGGATTAAAATTAAAAATTTTAAAAATTAAAAAATTTTTTTTGGGCCCGGCCCGTTTCAATTTTAGCTTAAGGCCGGGCCGGGCCTAGACGGCCCGTTTTTCACCCCTAGCTAGGGTAAAAACCATGGCTTATAGTGCAGAGGAACGGTTTTTAAATTCACGGCGTTTTCATATTTTTGTATTTTTGTCATACTCAATTACCTAAATTGCATCTTATTAACTACAATTGCTTTTTCACACTTCCAAATTGCTGGAAAATGCCACATTGAAGTATTTATGCTGCATTTCCGATTAAAATTGTAATTATACAATTTAAAGTTGGGAAAAAAGCGTAACGTAGGTTGTTGCTCTTCTTAGTATACCACTTTTGTCCTTACAAAAACCTGCATATATGCCGTAATATCCAGGTGTACTGTATTGTAATTGTGTTGTATTGGGTGCCGACATAAAGAATCCGCCATTTTTAAATTGGAAATTACAAACAAAGTATGGCGGGTTCTTTATGTCGGCATTTAATATATTTCTAAGAAACATTTTACAGTAAGAGAATTACGTTATTAAGTGCTAAGAGAGCCATAGAGTACCATAAATGTCATTTCTAGTTGTTTTAATGAAAACTTCAAAAAGCTAAATTATGTACCATTTATTGACATATACAACAGTAATGTTATTGTAGGGCTATTTCGAAAGATTAATCCGGATTTTAATAAAAAAACCAATTTGAAATGGGCGGAGTTTTGAATCTACAAAAGGTTGAATATAAAGATGGTTGGTTGTTTGTCCGGCCCGCTAGAATTGGAGATAGGGAAATGAATCTCAACGGAAGTGGTATTGTAATTTATGTGTATCGTATCTTTATTTCGTTTACATAATATTTTATTTTGTGTTTTTTTAGCTAATTTTTTTAAAATTAGTATATTTTAGCTGCAGGATAGGAAGAGTAGAAAAATGTAGAAATAAGGGTAAAAATAGAAATTCTGAAAACGGGGGGGGGAGAGAATGGGAGGGGCAGGCGAGGGGGATTACGAGATAAGAGGAAGAAGAAAGTAAAAGGTAAGGAAGAAGGTAAAAAATGATAAAAAAAATAGTCCTACGGGACGTTTTAAAATTTTTTTACTAGCCTTGTGCAATCTACCCTAACTTAACCGTCAGTGCAGGGCGGGGACTTTTGGTCTGGGGGCGAGGGTAGCTACCTGTGCCGATTTTTTGCGAAAAAATTATTCCAAAAATCCACAAGGGAGGACCACGTTCAACTTTTTTCGAAAGTTTTTTTTCTTCTAGATCTCCTCCGTCCGCCCCCCCCCCTGTTTTTTTAAAAACCATACTTAAACTACGCTTTTATCGTATCTTTTCCTTTGTTTTCTAATGTTATCTTTTAGCCTTTTTTTTTAATGCTACCTTTACCCTAACGCTTCATTAGTTCCCTCTCTAACTCTATCTTATTGTAGCTTACCCCTATCTCAGTTCTATATTTTAGTTTTATGCATACTCTTGTTCTACTTTAGCTTTGTACTACTTTAGTCCTACTGTACCTTTACTCTATAATATCAAAGTCACACCTTTTAGCACTGCTCTAGTCTTCTATAAACCATGCTCCACTCTACCTTTGTCTCCCTTCCTTTGTACGACAAGCCGTTTTCAAATAGCAGTTAATTTCGGGATACGTTTTACTGACGTCAAAACGCATAATTTGCTTAATCCGCCGTGCCCAATTGAGTACCAATTAAGGCAAAAAATAACTGTGGTATTTAAATACGAAACAATAAGAAAAAAATGGTATTGTTTTGTTTTGTTGGGCTATATTTAGACGTCGTATCTTTAAGGCTATACTTAGAAGTCGTATATATGGCTACATATAGACGTCGTATGTAAGGTTATATTTTGAAGTTGTATACAAGGCTATATTTAGAAGTCGTATAACACTAAGATATAAAAACTTTACTTTTCGTGGTGATAGCGTGCTTATGATTAGGTGTGGTACAAGTTTATTGTCAAGCAGTTTAAATTGTTATAGTAATTTACCACATCTTCAAATTCGCAAGTACTTGGGCTTTTGAACTTGTGCTATTTAGTACAGTATTAACAATTCCGTCTTTTAAACGATAACATTTAAACTTATGCTCCATGCCATTAAACCCCTCGTTCTTTAGTTTACTGCGTCAACCTGACATTCTTTTACGTAAATTTATGGCTTATTGCGATCTGAAATTTTGAATTCTTGATTTAGTTATGGGTTCTGGACTATAAATACCCTACCTTATCTTACTATTTTATCTTACTTTACTCTACCTTATTCTACGCAACTTTACGCAATTCCGCCTTCTTCTACTTTACATTGCACTACCGTTCCCCGTCGTGCTCTACCGTAGTTTACGCTACCCTACAATGTTACCCTACCATACCCTACCCTACCTTACCCAAAGGTATTCTATTTTATCTATCATGTTCCTACCGTACCCTGACGTACCTTATCGTGCTTTAGTGTACCATACTTTATATTTTTCTAGCTTTCTCTACTATGTCCTACCTCCACCTTGCCTTGCCTCTTCCGTAATTTAGCTTTACTCTACTGTAGCCCTACTTTAACATAGAACTACTCCACTCCGTCTTTACTTTACTCTAGCTTTAATCTTCTTTCGGTTTACTCTAGTCTAGTTCTACTCCAGCCCAACCTTTTACCCTTCATTTACTCTAGCATTACTTTGGCATTTTTCTTACCAAGACATTACTTCACTTTACTTTAACATTTTTTATTTACTGTAGTTTTAAAGTATGTGTAATATTTATATTACACTCATTATACCTGCTTTTTCGACTGACATGACATAAATTTTTATCGATTTGTACGATGTAAAATTAATTTCTGAAAATTTTAACATCATTTCAGGGTTGGAGAAGTGGAATAGCACAACACACATATAGTTACTCTTTAATTTATTATTACAATGTTCAGTTTATATGTTATCATTCTAGTTCTTGGTATTAAAACAGTAGTGGTAAGTCTGAAATGTCATTTTAAAAAAAGAAATTTTTAATTAAAAAATTTTTTTTGGTTTTTAGACATAAGGTTACTGTAACAAATTTAAAATTTTTTTTTAAATTTAAAATTTTTTCTTTAGAAATCATCAGAAGACGCATGTGAAACGATAGCCGAATGGCGACAGCCTGCAGAAGCCTACACAGCTACAGATGAACTGGTGGGTATAGTACAAGATGTAGGACCACAAGTCTTCTACACAGTACGATGCAACGAAACACAAGAGGCCACACCCTGCAATGGGATTCAGCAGGGGTAAGAAAATCAATAGTTTAAATTTTTGAGCTAAAAAATCCGATTTTGGATTTGTGACGAAATGTCAAAAAAATATTGGAAAAATGAACGAACGTCACAAAAACTATTGATTAATAAAGTATCTAAAATGACGTTTTTTAAACGTTTATTTAGCATTTCTTGATTTTTTTTTGATATTTTCATGATTATTGAAAAAATTAACGAAATGTCAAAAATTTATTGGAAAAAGTGACGAAGTGTCACAAGCGCTATTTTTCTTAATAAGCATAAAAAATTCGTTTTTAATGTTTTCTATTTTCACTTTTTACAAAATTCCGTTACTTTTTTAATTATTGGAAAGTGTGACGAAATGTCACAAATTTGATTTTCAATTAAATTTCTAAAAAATATTGAAATTATAACTAATTTCACTATTTACAGATTCGAATCGCACTGTGAAACCAGGTTCAACCTGGTAATGGCCCTAACATACGTAAAATCGGTCGATAAACGGGCAGTACATTTGACCGACATTCTGCGCCAGTCCAATTTGGACCGACCGACCAAATGGCAAATGATCAAAGTGCCCGGTCAATGCGTTTGTACGGGCTTGAAGTTGGTGCGGCACGCTAAACAAAAACTAGCCAGTCAACTGTTTCTACAGTAACTTTGTTTCAAGATGTACAACTTAATAAATATTTTTTGTTATTTATTTTATCTTACTGTAGCTAAATAAAATTTAAAAAATTTAAGTTGAAAATGAAAAAAATAAAAGTCCTAGCCCAGAGTTGTAGTCAAGAGCCCTAGTGCAGAGCCCTAGCCCATAGCCCTAGCCCGAAGTCCCAGCCCAAAGCCTTAGCCGTTCCGTCCTAGTCCTAGGCTTAGTCCTATCCCTAATCCTTACTTTAGTTCTAGTCCTAGCTTTAGCGCTAGCTCTAACACTAGCCTTGACGCTCAAAAGTGATTCTACTATGAGATTCAAACTCCTTGTTATTGTATTTCGCAGTACGTCGTCTTGTACTGTATACCATAATTATATTTATTACAACAAAAATTCTGGAACTCTTTGAGTTTCTTAGAATTATGATCTCTGGTTATTGTATGTGTTATGTAAATCTAAAAACAAAATTTATTTTTACAAATTCATGAAATTCATAAGCCAAAGAAGTATATGTCAGGTTTCAGTACTATTTGCTGTTTAAGTGCGTCAATAAAATTATATTATATATTTTTGGCTTCTTGATTTTATAATGTTAGTAAAATGGAAGTGTTGTATAAATATGACATAAGTTATGATATTTTGCAAGCGAATATTGACTTACTGTATCTCTGAAAAACAACGCTACTGTTCTGCCTTGCCTTGCCTTGCCTTGCCTTTGCTCTGCCTTTTAGCTTATCCTACTCTTCTCTGCCTTATCCTACCGTTATCTGCCTTACCACGCTCTACCGTCTTGTCATGGTTTGTCTTGTTATGCTTTGTCTTATCATATTGTACTCTACCTTGTTCCATCGTGAATTACCCTACCTTTGACATTGTTACATCTAGCCTGATTTAGCACTGAAATTACTGTAGGTTTTCGCTAGCCTTACGCTTAAACTATTATACCATAAAAAGATATTATAGTTGAAAATTGAATAGAAAAGTTGTATGTCTGAGTTTTATAAATTAATTTATTCACATAAACTAACCACAACACATTACACTATATAGTTACAATATTGCACAATCTTTTTAGCCTCAAACCAAATGTGACATCTTAATGTTTAGACTCTTGGAACTTAATCTCCTGCTTGGCGGATCTTTGTAGATCAGGAATAGCCACATCGATAACACTTTCCATGCCAACTTCATTGTTACCTCTTCGAACCTTGAAGAAGCCGTTATCACCCCAATACTTGTTCCAGCTGTTAGCCACAATCCAGTATGGTACGTCGTTTTCCTCGCCCCAGCCAATTACTCTGACAGCGTGAAGACCAAAGTAACGACCAGCAATGTGTTCGTATACACCGCTACGGTAGTAGAGGAAGTCTTCGTACATGCGCATGGCGGTGAAGACGGCTGGTCCGTTGGTCATGATTTCCTTTTGGAGGGCTACTGGGTCACGGTTGAGGTTGTACCAAGTGGAGACTAAAAGAATAATTTAATTTTAAATTTTGAAAATTAAGCCGTACTACTGTACTGTTAGCAAGCAGTACAGTACAGTACAGTACTAAAACGCCATAAAAAGTAAATCAAAGTACGATAGAGTAGTGGTGTGGTTAAGTAGGATATAGTAGAAGAAGATACGGTACAATTGTAGTAAAGCTACAGTAAGATACGGCAAATTAAGTTTTCTCTGTCTTTGGCCTTACAATACCTAAGAAATATTTGTACTGTGTTATTACATTTTTTAATCTACAGTATCCTACGCTACCTACCGTAATCCTACCGTACTGTTCTCTACTATGCCAAATCTTACCTTAACTTAACGTTTTTCTTTGAACATTAAACTTACCATAAAACTTGTCATTTTCAAAGCTCCGAGCATACTTCGAGTTACTACACTTTTGCTCGCACTTTGGTGGTGAAGGTTGTCTACCATAACATTGAGCATACTTTGATCGAAAAGCTCCACCAGTATGTTCACAAGGCTTGAATGGGTATGGTTTACATCCATCTGGGTTGGTGTAGTTAGTACCACTCACAATACCATTGTCATAGATGTACTTGAAAGCTCTGTGTGGATAACCACCAACACATGTATATCCACATTCAGTACAACATGATACGAGATCGATCGATGACAATGACACTTTTACTTTGCCTTTACTGGCAATGCAAATACGATCGGCCAAGGAGGTAGAAGCGCTAACGGCCCAACATGATCCACATAGAGATTGATCTTGGATCGAGTTGATCACGTCGGCACACTCGGGCCAAGCTGTACGAGAGTCAAAGTTCTTGGGCAGGTCGGTGATGTTGTAGTCAACAGCTGGTGGTGCAAAGGCTTTTGGGTATCTGGCAGCATCACGTGCTAGCACTTGAGGCACGTCTTCACGTACTCCCATCAGCTGGCGGATGGCTTCGGGCTTGGCTTTGGCGAAGAAGGGGGCGTAGGCGGCCTGTAAGAGGTAATAGGTAAGTTTTTAAAAAGAATTTTATTTTACCTTACCCTACCGTACCTACCGTACCTTACCGTACCCTACCCTACCCTACCCTACCCTACCCTACCCTACCCTACCCTACCCTACCCTACCCTACCCTACCCTACCCTACCCTACCCTACCCTACCTTACCCTACCCTACCCTACCCTACCCTACCCTACCCTACCCTACCCTACCCTACCCTACCCTACTCTACTCTACCCTACACTACCCTACCTTACACAGCCTACGCAACATTACTATGTTCTACTCAACCCTGCCATACCGTTCCGTAATCTACTCTAATTTATAAAATTCATGTCGCTTTTAACTACAGACTTCAAAGTCAAAATACGACAAGACTTTTTTAAACCTTAAAAATGACGCCTTACCTTCCACTTGCCCTCATCATTGACTCTCTTCACCAACGCTTGACCAGTCGGTGTCTTAGCCTTACGTCCATGCCGTTTAGGACCGTGCCGTCCAGCATCACCCAACTGAAACACGGTCAACACCAACAAACTGGTCACTGCCCAACGTACCATGACGTTTCTACTAAGCGCCGCTACACGTTATGTTGTGATTATATAACAAAAACGACTGAGAATTTCGTTTTTTCGAGCAGGCGTTCGCCTCAGGCGCCGAAGATTCTATCTGTGTAGATGCTCCTCCTTCGCGTGAAGATTCTGAACATTGATCAATAGTTTATCCGGTCACGTTTTTCGGCGTGAACTAGACATACGTTTACCTAACTTGTCATCTGTCTCATTCTTACTCGATTTTTTTTGATTTTAACATATAGCTTTTTACTACGTTAATTTAAAATGCAACCCTGCTATTACTTAAGCGACCCTGCCTTATTTACTTTACATATTCAAGCGTCTACCCTAATCAATTTACCATATTCTATTTTATTCCACACTGCATTGTCACAACTCGCTCGACTTTACTGTACATTATTATACTCTTTTTTTAACCTACGCCTGCCTTTGTGTATACTACAGAACGGTTCTACTACTTATCTCCATGTTTTTATACGCTACCGTGTCTCCAATACAGTTATTTTCTTTAAAAATTTTTAATTCAACTTTAACTACTCGGTGCATACCCTACTCTACCTAGACCTACCTCAACCAGACCTACCCCACCCAGACCTACCCTACCTAGACCTACCCTACCTAGACCTACCTTACCTTATCTAAGTCTTTGTCTTACAATACTTTATCATAATATGCTTTGTAACACTTTATCGTGTATTATCTCACAAATAGCATATAGACAGACGGTATTACCCCACCCTGCTTTATTTTACTCCACTTAGCATTACCAACAATCTACTTGACCCTGCTCTACTTTAACTTACGCTACCCTGCTCAGCTCTTCCGTACCTTAATCTCTCAAGAATAGCTCTACTAGCATTTCCCATTTCCACAGAAGTTACATGATAAGAAAAACCATTTGTTACTTCACCTAACGGACCCTGCTTCTTCCTACGTACTATACCGTTCCCATACTGATTAAACTACAGAACAATCATTTTTTAGACTATAACAACTAAAACCGACCCAAAGTTAACAATTTTACTGCAACATTTTATAATTTACTTCCTTTAAGCAACTTATACAACCGAGCTCACCTAGTTTCTGCAAACAACATGTTATGTTTTTTCTAGACATCTTAAACGCATTTTTTTACGTCGCAGATGAGTTATGATAACATGACGACAAAAAACTTGAAATTTGTAAATGATTTTCGAAGAAAAAAGTGCAAAAAAATGTTGTGAACGTTGTCATAAGAGCATAAATCAAGTTATAAGTATCAATAATAAGGTTTTGCGGAAGTCACTATACTTTACCCTACCCTACCCTACCCTACCCTACCCTACCCTACCCTACCCTACCCTACCCTACCCTACCCTACCCTACCCTACCCTACCCTACCCTACCCTACCCTACTCTACCCTACCCTACCCTACACTACCCTACCCTACCCTACCCTACCCTACCCTACCCTACACAATAAGTTTGAATAACTATAAATTTATTAAAACAAGCCTAAAATGCTCTACAAAGACCGGTTGAGTTGTCGCATTGACTTCTGCCATAAGTCGTACATTCAACGTCAGCTTGGCATGGTAGACCTGTTTCAAAAATTTTTTCGTTTTTCACATTGCTTCTGGAAAATTTAAATTATAATCTGCAAAACAAACTGCCAAAAAAAAGTTCTGGTCATTTTTCGTTTTATAAAGGAAGTTCCTGCCATTTTTGCCTTGTAAAGAAAGTTCTTGCTATTTTTCGTTTTGTGAAGAAAGTTTTTGCTATTTTATATTTTGTAAAAAAAGTTATTGCCATTTTTTAATTTGTGAAGAAAATTCTTGCCATTTTTCAAAAAATTTCCAAATTTCAATTTTTACCTCGGGCCGTAATTACAAACAAAAAATACTCTGTAGTCATCGCATTTACTAATTCCGCAGCCAATAGCTGTAGCAGCTCCCCATGCCATCGCAGTAAACTGGTCCACGTTGTCTACGTAGTGTTTCACGGTAAACACCCTTTCTTTTGGATTCCAAAAGTTTATCTTATTCCACCATGTTGATATACAGTCTTTTATTACTGCTTCTGTAATTTTAAGGTTATTACCGTAACCTATCTTACTCTACATTGCTCTACCCTACCTTTCCCTACCCTACCCTACCCTACCCTACCCTATCTTACCCTACGCTACCTTACCCTACCCTACCCTACTTTACCCTACCTTATACTGCCTTACCCAACAGTACCGTATCCTATAATAGTAAGAATAAAATTTACCTGCACGGTAATACATGATGTCAGTAGAATATACACATATGTTTTCACCAATATTCGGCCGCTTCTCCTGACTCGACCGCATAAAAACACATTTGTTAGCATGTTCTTGAGCCATTTGTTCTAATTTGAAATTGTAATTCTGAAATTTTAAGCTAAATTTTTGAAGCTCTAGTCCTATCTTTAACCCTAGTCTCATCACTAATCCTAGTCCTAGCGATAGTGACACCCTTACTTCTAGTTATAGCAATGGTCTTAGCCCTGACCTTTGGCCTAGCCCTAGAAGTTGTTTTAGTTTTAGTCTGAGTCCTAGCCCTTTCCTTCTCCTTTATCTTACAGTAACTCATTCTACAGTATCTTAGCTCTGCATTACAATAACTTGTTCTTAACTTACCAGGGCATAGTGATTTTGAGCTGATACAATTGAAAAACCTTTGACTTTCACATGGCCAAGTGCCAATTCCAATCGGTATTGATTGTGAAGTTTTGTTATTAACTCAGTTTCTTCTGGCAGTAAAGCAGCACATACTAAATAGTGAAAACTGTACAATAATGTTTTTATTGTTGCTATACTAAATTCAATAAAAACGGTTATCACCAAATTAGAAATGACTTACAATATAAAACCATAAAAAAGTATATTACAAAAGACATGCCACACAAACAAAATAAATAGTTCATCAAGCTGAAGTTATTATTTAGAAACAGTGCACTGCAGTGTGAATATCATTAACCTACAAACCGCATTTTCCTTTTTTACAGTGTTGGACTGGTATGCCGAAAGAAGAGAAACTAACAGTGCATTGGCTTAGGCTTATCTTAACAGCTCATTGGCTTAGGCTTATCCTTTACAATGCATTGGCTTAGGCTGAATCTTAACTTCAAGCTTGGAATAAAACTCAAGTTTAGGCAGGGGCTCAGCAAGAAGTTGGGGCACTTCCCTTATAAGCTTATTGCTATTCATAAACAATAATAGTAAGACTTATATAGCACGTAGGTGTAACATAGAGATATAAATTAATATCCCGAAGGAAAACGGAGTGATATCCCAGAACTCGCAGTCATTTGTTGGGTCGTTTTACACCGAGGCAAGTATTATATAAATCCATAAGATTACATAAGAAAACGTTGCGTAACACGATTTCTTATTTTTCTCTAAAGCTATTTTTTTATTGTATCAACATTAGGCAACACTGCACAATGTATTTTTCATTGACAGGTATTTCAATGGTCAGGACCAAAGGATTTAAGGTCAAGTAGAGTTTGATAAAGGTAGCGGTTAAGTTTGCAAGCGCATCTAGAGCAGAGGCTGAAACTAGCGATCTGAACTAGGGCTCTGGGCTAGGGCTCTGGGCTAGGGCTCTGGGCTAGGGCTCTGGGCTAGGGCTCTGGGCTAGGGCTCTGGGCTAGGGCTCTGGGATAGGGCTCTGAGCTAGGCTCTGGGCTAGAGCTAAAGCTAGAGCTAGGGCTGAAGCTAGGACTAGAGCTATATTACGTGTTACCCGTTTTTTGAAGTTTTATATCTTTTACTGTAACCAGTGTTTTGCCCAGACCGGTCCGGAGCGTTTTTCACCGGACCGGTCTGGCGATTTTCGGGTCCGGTCCGGTCCGGTCCAAACCTCAAATTTTTGGGTCCGGTCCGCTCCGGTCCAAACCCAAAATTTTTGAGTCCGGTCCGATCCGGTCCGCAAAAATTTTTTTTTTTATTTTTAAAAAAAGCAAGGGGCGCTAAAACTGCTTTCTTTTTGCTTAAAAACTCTTAAAAATACATTCTAATTGCAATTTTTAAATCAGTTCTATTAAAATAAAAAAAAATTTTTCTTCCGGACCGGTCCGGAGCTTTTTCTTCGGTCTGGGTCCGCAGGTTTTTGGGTCCGGTCCGGTCCGGTGCGCAAAAATTTTTGTTTTGGTCCGTCCGGTCCGGCAAAACACTGACTGTAACTCTCTCAAATTTGTTTACTTTATCACCTTTCAATATAGTTTGTCAGACTAAACTCTATTTTAAAATCTTTTTTTTTTTAATTAGAATCGAAAAAAGAAGAGCTTTGAATTTCTCTTTAAATACGGCGATTTTCCCACTTTTTCTCTAACCACTCTATCACCCTGACGCACTCTCTCATCTTTTCGGGGATTTGGTCGCCCGACCCCAAAATGACCACTCTCGACCTTGAGTTTGAATTAATGTGGTCGAGATTCGGGGGTTTTTTGTTTTATGCTAATTTTTATTACTTTCTTTGACATAACGTTGATATATAATGGTTAACTAATTGTTTACCGCTCAATTTAGGCTTAATTGTGTTTTTGTCAGAGGTTTCTGGTGTTTTTGATTGATTTTGGAAGAGTTTGAAAGGGGTTTTGAAGGTGAAAAGAGAGCTTCGAAATGGCTTTGAAAAGCTGGATTTAAAGGTTTTTGGTGTTTTTGGGTTTTGGAAACTAAGTTTTGTTTGAAAGCAGGTTATTTTCAAGCTTTGTAAAGAAAGTTCTTGCCATTTTTGACTCTGTAAATAAAGTTTTTGCCATTTTTGAGTCGGTAAAGAAAGTTTTTGCCATTTTTTGTTTTGTAAAGATTTTTTTTGACTTTTTTTAGTTTGTAAAGAAAGTTCTTGGCATTTTTGTTTTGTAAACAAAGTTCTTGCCGTTGTTAGCGTTATAAAGAAAGTTCTTGTCATTGTTAGCCTTGTAAAGAAAGTTCTTGCCATTCGTAGCCTTGTAAAGAAAGTTCTTGCCAATGGTAGTTTTGTAAAGAAAGTTCTTGCCATTGGTAGCCTTGTAAAAAAAGTTCTTCCAATTTTTGGGTTTGTAAAGAAAGTTTTAGCCATTTTTGGGTTTGTAAAGAAAGCTTGCAATTTTTAAGTTTTCGAAACAAAGTTTTGTTTAAAGACGGGTTAAATAGGGTCAAAGAATGGGTAATATAAGGGTAAGACAAAGTAGGGCAAGAAGAATAGGATAAGGCAAAGCAAGAAGAAGGTAAGGTAAGGCAAGAATAGGGAAACCAAAGGTGTGGTAAGGTGAAAAAAGAGTACTATAAGGCAAAGGAGGGTTAGGGGAGAAATAAAGTTTTTGCCTTTTTTTGTTTTGTAAAAAAGTTCTTGCTATTTTTTGCTTTGTAAAGAAAGTTCTTGCCATTTTGTCTTGTAAAAAAGTTCTTGCCACTTTTTAATTAAAAATCCAATTTAAAATTTGAATTTTGAGGTTAATCGAAACTGAAACCCATAAATTATGGCAGAAGAGTTTCTTTCCTCGGTACTTGAAAAGGCTTTTCGAATTTCAAAAAACATCTTTTTCTGCTCTAAAAACGATTGAAAATCTTTTCGAATTTGTCTCGAAATGTCGTTTCGAATGACAAAACGTTTGTTTTTTAGTAAAGAGTAGGGTAGAGTTAGTCATGAGTAGGGTTGGTTAGGGAAGGGTAAGTTATGGTAGGGTTGGGTTGGGTAGAGTAGGGTAGGATAGGAGAATGTGGGGTAAGTTAGGGTAGAATGCGGTAGGATAGAGTAAAGTGAATGTAAGATAAAGCAGGGTAGGGTAAGGTACGAAAGAGTAGGGTAATGTTGTTTTTCATTATTTCATAGTTTTATGCAAATTTTTTATGTTGTAAACAAAGTTTTTGCATCTTAAGGCCGATATTTTGCATAAGTATTTGAAGTGTACTATAAAGTAGCAATAACTTTCTTTACAAAGCAAAAAATAGCAAGAACTTTCTTTACAAAGCAAAAAATGGCAAGAACTTTCTTTACAGAACAAAAAATGGCAAAAACTTTCTTTACAGAACAAAAAATGGCAAAAACTTTCTTTTCAAAAACAATGAGCTTAATTACACTAAGATTAAGTCTACTAAACCTAAGCTTAATAGGCCTAAGCTTTGTAAGCTTGAGTTTTTTCAGTTTAAGCCTATCAACCATAAAACTGACAAGGCTAAACCTACTAAATTGACGTTTTCTAATCCTAAGTCTGCTAAGTCTAAGCCTAATAAGATTAAGCTTACTAAGCCTAAGCTTACTAAGCACATGCCTAGTTACCCTAACAATATCTTTTAAGCTGAATAAGCCTATACATAGCAATCCTGAGCGTGCTAAAAGTAAGCCTATAATTCCTAAGCCTATAAAGCCTAAGACAAAAAAAAAATTTTTTTTTCTTCCCTCCCCCCCCCCCCACTTCTAAACCGTTATGATGATAAAACGAACATTTTTGATATTATCATAATCAGAAGGTTGTTTATGACTCAGTGCCCTAAAGCATTCCTAACTGTTTTTTCGTTTTTTTCTGTGAAGAGAAAGAGCGACGAAAGTAGGCCGGTCAGATTACAAAGCGAAGAAAAATCAGTTCTTTTTTGAATAGATTTTTTTGTCTTTCTGGACTGTGTTGAATTTCGAATTAAGCTCGTTTTGCTTGATTTTCACCCGCTTTTTCCACCTAAAACTTTGACAAGTTGGAAATAGGGTGGGTTGGAAGGGTGAGGGCTGGAGGGGTAAACCAGGGTAGGGCTGAGAACGATATTGACAAGAAAATGTCACATATTATTAACAACGGTACTGCGGGTTGAGGTCAATCAGGTAGAGGAATTTCAAATTTTAATAAGGGTAGGACAAGTTAAGATTTGGTTAAAGGGGGGGGGCGATAGAAAAGGTTTTTAAAATCTGGGCAAGGGTAGTGCTGGAAGAAAGTCGCCATTTTTCATTTTGTAAAGAAAGTTCTTGCCATTTTTCGTTTTGTAAAGAAAGTTATTGCCAATTTTTACTTAAAAAAACAAAAAACTGGGCTTTGCAGCCTGCGAGTGACATTATACGACAAATGCGATTGTTTTAATTTGTAAGGAAAGTTTTTGCATTATTTTATTTGTAAAGAAATTTTTGTTGTTTTAATTTCCAAAAGTATTTTTTTCATTTTTCAAAATTTTGGAAACTGCAGAAACTTTCTTTACAATGAAAAATCGATCCATAGGTTTATAATGGTTCTGCAGAATTCTGGTTGGAGGTGATAAAACAACATTTGAATGGAATTTTGATAGATATTTGATAGGTTTTATGATGTGATTGAGTTCTATTTAAAACAGTAGATATAATAGTTATATGATTCTCAAAGTTGACTGTTTTTTGTTTTTTTTAAATATAGCTATTGCGTTTTTCGTGACTTTCACCGAGCAAATATCTAGGTAATTATCGACTTTTTTTGATTAAAAACAATATTTCAGGTCTGCCGATGTCTGTCTAATCACAACAAAACTTTACTACAATATCTACCAGTCTATAATAACACAAATTGCGGCAACTTGAACATGGCAACCGACGAAATCGCGCAGTTGCGGGCAGAAATCGCGGATTTGACGCACAAATTAGAGGAAGCTGACGATGCCAAAACACAAGCTGGTCTATATGGTCTACAATTGGTGCAGGAGAAGGACATTCTTGAGCAACAAAAAGTGGAATTGACAAGAGATAAAGAGACGTTGCAACAAGAGTTGGAGACCTATAAGGAGGTAAGGGGAGTTTTTTGATTTTTTTGGATTTTAGGGACGTTTTTGAGAAAATACTAGAAATTTTTTGACCGCAAATGATTTTCAGTTAATGACATTGAAATTATAGGGAATTGTGTGTTATTTACAAAAAGAAATGGCATTTTATCATTAACATCACAAAAGTTATGACAATTTGATTTTTTTGCACAATTTTTAAATTTTTGAAATTTAGGTAACAAAATTTTCAAAATTTTGTTTTTGCATTTTAACAAACATGTTATTGGCTAGAGTTTCATAAATTTTTAGTTTATTTCATTAGTTATTTCAAAAGTTATAGATTAGTTATTTTAGAAACGTCTTGTTTTTATCTTACCTTGAGGTACTCAAATGGCCATAACTTTTGATATCATCATCAGATTTGTTTAATTTTTAGCCAAGTACTACTAAAAAGACTATTGTTTGCCCACACCATCTTTCAGCTTAGTCAAATTTCAAAAAATTATAAAAAACCTATATTGTAGGCCCTGCACAAGTACCGTGATGAACATCGAAACGCCGCAATTTCGGAGCTTCATCATGAAGCCGGCTTGTACGAAGAAAAAGAGAAGTTGGAAACAGAATTTCAAGAAGCTGTAAAACAGTACGAAGAAAAGATAAAGAATTTGAATCAAGAATTGGAGCGAAATAAGGCGGATATCGAGAGACTGCAGACAGTGGAACAAGAACAGGCGAGACGGTTGGAAGATGTGGAGGAACAGAGGAGATTGTACAAAGATGAGTTGAAGGTAGGATAGTTATAATAAATTTTTGTGGCTTTTATAGACAGATCTTAACTTTTTTTAAATATTTTAAAATTATTTTTCTTGCACGGTGCAAAAATTTTTATTTTTGGCGATGTGACAATTCAAGATTACTTTAGGTAACAAATACTACTTTATTATTTATTTTATACTTGTAAAAAGCTATTAAAACTCATTTTGCTTCAATTAGTTGGTAGATAATGTCACAATAATTTTTTAAAAAATGATTGCACTGTGCAACAAGTTTTCTTTTTATCATTGTGCCGTTTTAAATTTATTTTAGGTAACAAATGCTATTTTAACTTTTAGTAAGTTCCTATAAACTAACTTTAAAATTAATTTTGATTTGATAGTCAATTAAATAATGGCACGGTGAATTTTTGAAAAATGACTGCACCGTGCAATCTTAAAATTTGGTTGCACTGTGCAGACTAAATAAAAAAAAGTTTTATATGCTGGTTTTGATAAAAATCAATTTTTTAGAATTTTGAATTTGCAGATTTTAAATTTTGTAACTTCAAAAATTTTTAAAAAATTTATTTTTGAATTTTTTCTTATGAAGCAAAAAGTCTTAATTAACACTTTTCAGGACCTAAAAGACCGTGAACAAAAGTTAGTAAACGAGAACAATGACCTAGAAGAAGAGAACGTGAACCTTCAAAAGCAGGTGTCAAATCTAAAAGCGGCTCAAATTGAGTACGAAAACCTTAAGGTCGACTTCACTCGAGTACTGGAAGAAAATGACCACCTGCGGTCACAGGATGACGAAAACCGCCGATTCCAGGAAATGTACGAAAAACAGATTGAGGACAGTCTGGAACAGGCTAAACACGAGCGTGAACTGAGACATTCAGTCCAGAAGGAGCTTGAGCACATGAAGAATCAGGAGCAAATGTCCAATTTGAACAGCTTGTACATGAGCTTTTCGGCCGCCAAAGCTGACAACGATGAGGAGAGGGTGAATGAGCTGGAACGGTCAATGATTGCTGATGCTCCGCTGGAATCCATCAAGATCGAGAAGGGCAATGATCTGTTCAGTGAGATTCATGGCAGTGAAATCGCCAAGTTGCAAGAGGAAAATGACAATTTGTCAAAACAGATCGAGGACTTTAAGGAAAATGTTGGAAGAGCGTTGTCACCGCTGTTGCAGAAGTTGCAGATCACTGGGTTGACTGGTAGGTTATGGACAGAAAGTTCTTGCCATTTTTTGTTTTGGAAAGAAAGTTCTTGCCATTTTTTGTTTTGTAATGAAAGTTCTTGCCATTTTTTGTTCTGTAAAGAAAGTTTTTGCCATTTTTTGTTTTGTAAAGAAAGTTCTTGCTATTTTTTGATTTTTGAAGACAGTTTTTGCCATTTTTTGTTTTGGAAAGAAAATTTCTTCAATTTTTTAATATTGTTACCTAAAATATAATTTTTTAGATTCCGGAGACATTGAAAAACTAAAACAGATAATTCACGACGCTGTAGCCAAACTTGACGACAAATTTAAGGCTGGCACACCAGACAAAGCCACAGAGCGTAAAGTTGAGCAACTCAAGTCGGATCTTCGCAACATTATCTTATCATTGGGTACCAAAAACGCCCAGCTGGCGGCGGCCCAAGACCGTTTTCTTCACTTAGGCGAGTATCTAGCTCAAATCTACGCCGAATTAGCGGCGAACGGCGGCGAAGACGAGGAACGACAGAAAAAAGTTGCCGCAATTCAGCAAACCATCCGCAACTTGGCCAAACGCAACGCCGAAGCGGACGAAAACGAGGATTCTGGCGTTGAAAACTCTGAATCCGATCGTGACACAAAATCCCCTAAAGGGCTACCGGTCGTAAACTCGTCGCGCATTTTGTTGTCGCAAAAGTTGCTGAACGAAATTGCGACAAAGTTGCAGAGCGGCGTAACACTGGCCGAGGTGCTGAACGATTCTGATAAGAGAGAGAAGTTGGCGGAAGAACAGGAAGACATGGTGAAGAGCTACGACGCTTTCCAGGAGGTCATGAAGGTGCTACGACAAGCTACGGACAACGTGGTACAGAGTAAAATGGCTATGGAGGATAAGGACAAGGCGGAGTTGTGTCAGCAGATCAGCAAGTTGAAGAGTTTGTTGAATGTGAAGAGAGAACAAGTCAGTTCGTTGAGAACGGTGTTGAGGTCGAACAAGAGTGTCAATGAGAATGCCCTCCAGTCATTGAAGTCCAAGTTTGATACTGAAAAGAAGATCAAGGATGAGACGATCGGTCAGTTGAGGAAGGAGCTGAAGCAGTTTAAAGAAGATGCTGCTACGTTTGCATCGAACAGAGCTATGCACACTGCTAGAAATGAGGAGTTACAGGCACAGGTAAGCTGAGAAAGATGGGGTTTGTGATAAAAATTTGGTTGTAAAGAAAGTTTTTGCGGTTTTATAATCTAAAAATTGAGCTTTTTAAACTCAGAAGACATTGTTCTGCATTTTTCATGTTAACCACATTTAAAAAAAACCCGTACCAAGTTTAAAAACTCAATACTTTCAGAACGAACAACTCCGCAAGAAGCTGGCTCACGTTGAGGAAGAGAAGAAGACGCTAAATCAATTGTTGCGAATGTCGATTCAACAAAAACTGAATGCTACACAACGTCTGGAGGAGTTGGAAATTGACCGTGAACGGTCCACTTTCAAACGTCCAATCAGACAGCCGCCAGCCCCACAGCCACAGCGTGAGGTTCGAGCTGTTCGGTACCCACAAAGCGGAGGTGGCAACCAGGCCAGTAACAACCAAACGTCGCCTCGGGGCTCGCAAAAGTAAAAGTGTGGTGATTTTAGAGGTTTAGGGGTGATAATGTGAAAATTTTACAAAATTTTTAAATTTTTGAAAAAAAAGTTTTCGACCGGTCGATTTTTTGAAAATTGTTTTTTCGTTGATTTTAGTGGTTTTTAAGAAACAGATCATCATTTTAAAAAAAAAAGAAAAATTTACAAAAAAAATCGACCGGTCAATAAAAATTTTTTCAAAATTTTCGTATTTGTTACCTAAAAATTGATGTTTTCCCCAATATTGGAGTACCTTTGGCGTTGTTATGTGTCTTAAAATGTGAATTTCAACGGGTTTAACACTTCTTATCAGTCCTACATACTCCTATCTTGTACTACGTGCCTTTTTTAACTATATTTCGTCAAATTTTAAGGATTTTTTTCTGGAAACAAAGTTTTTGCAATTTTTGTCTAATTGTAATTTAAGATCGAAAATGGCAAAAAAGTGGAAAAAACAAGTTAAATTTGTAATTTACTGACTTATTCATCAAGTTAGGTATAATTAACATACATATAGCAAAATTATTGATCAGTATTCGTATATTAATCGACCGGCCGATGTCTACCTACTATAATATATATCAAAGTTTTTGTGTTTTGTTAATAAACAGAATTTTAAAACATTTTTATTTTTTAGTTTCAGCCCGGAGCTCTAGCCCAGAGTCCTAGCCCAGATCCCTAGCCCAGAGCCCTAGCCTAGAGCCCTAGCCCAGAGCCCTAGCCCAGAGCCCTAGCCCAGAGCTCTAGCTCAGAGCCCTAGCTTTAGCTCCAAAGCCCTGGCCTAAACTAGCAGCCCTAGCTCAGATCCCTAATTTTAGCCCAAAGCTCTAACCCAGAGCCCTAGCCCACAGTCCAGGCTTAAAGCTCTACCTTTGAACAATAGCCCAGAATCGGAGCCTTAGTCCAAAGCATTTACCCTCCTAGCCCTGGCCCGATCCCTAACCTTAGAGCTCAGAACTCTAGCCCAGAGCCTTAGCCCAGAGTCCGAGCCCAAAGCTTTAGGCTTAACTTTAGCCCCAGGCCTACTTTTTTAGTACACTATTTTTACTGTACCCTGCCTTTTAGCACACGATTGTTACAACACCTTACCCTACAGTACTCTATCACCTCGATCTTGAAAAAAACCAAAATTTATGAGTTTATTCGATATTGTAGTAGAGTAAAATGGCATCACAAAATAAAGTTATAATTTTAAAAAAAGACAAAATGGACTACCCGTGTAAGAAGTCAAGGATGATCAATAGCTAGGTAAAATACGAGTAAGAAAGTTAATGTTGCTCATTTTTACAGTAAAAAAATATTTTTTTAAATCAAAAATACGATCTACAACGGCACAGGAGAACATTGTCCCGACTTCTGAGTCAACGTCGTACTGTACACAATGTTATGTGCATTTGAGTGTCGCGGATTCAGGTGGGATGCACGTGAATCGCTCATGAACACGGATTCGTATTCTTCTCGTTTGATTTTGACCCACGGTAACCAACGGAACGCGTAGCGGAAGCCCAGACGGAATCTGAAAACAAAATATTTATAAAAATTGAGTTGTAAAGAAAGTTCTTGCCATTTGTTGTTTTGTAAAGAAAGATTTTGCCATTTTTTGTTTTGTAAAGAAAGTTTTTGCCATTTTTTGTTTTGTAAAGAAAGTTCCTTCCATTTTTTGATTTGTAAAGATAGTTCTTGCAATTGTTTGTTTTGTAAACAAAGTTCTTGGCAAAAGGCGGTTTTAGATGGCGCAGCCTGCGGGTGACATGTTATAAGATAAGTAAAGTTGAAATTCTTTAATATGGGCTTGTAAAGAAAGTTATTGCCATGTTTTGTTGTGTAAAAAAATTTGTTTGCCATTTTTGGTTGCCCTACCTTACCCTCCCTTACTCTACTGTACCCTACCCTAGTATTTTTTTCTATTTTTTATATCAACCATCCCTCAACAGCCTACTATAATATAAAAAACCTTACCGTTCATTCATAAAATAGTAAATAATCGGGTTCAGCGCACAAGATGACATTCCCAAAAAGTAGATGTTCAAGTAGACGTACAGTGTCGTTTGGAAACTAAGCACGTTCTCCAATTCTTGAGTTAAAAACAAAAAGTAAACGTTGTACGGTAGCCACATCAGTACGAAAGTTACTACAACTAGTGCCAACATATTGGCCGCTTTTCGTTTTGTTCTGACACTTTCGGCATTCCGAGTATCTCCGATTGTCGTATTTTGACGTAGTACGTACACAACACGCCCGTACGTAAAGCTGAGTATGAGTAGTGGTATGACGTACTGCATTACTATTATTGAGTGGTTGTAGCTGAAAATTTACAATTTTATCAATGTTACGTACTCTACCCCAAGTCGTTTTACCCTACCGTACCCTAGCCTACCCTATCCTACCCTACCCGACCCTACCCTACCCTACCCTACCCTACCCTACCCTACCCTACCCTAATATACTATCCGATCCTGTCTTACCGCACCTTGAATTGCTGTACCCTACCTACCCTATTTTACTGTCCCCTGACCTGCTATTTCTTCTATCGTACTTTATCTTACTGTATCTTGATCTTACCGTACCCTTTCAATACCTTACTACTCTACTCTGCTTTACCTCTTCCTACCCTACCTACAGAACCCTGTTGCACAGTACTTTACCCTTACAAAATTTTACTTTTTTATTACCACGCTCTTACCGTACAATACTTTTTTTAGTACTCTACCGTTACAGAACCATGCCTTACCCCACCCTGCTTTACCTTACTTTACTCAGCAATACTAAACCGCTGAACTTACACATTGAAAAGCAAGCTAGTCTTCACATCACCATCAGGAAACTTGTCAGCCAAACACAAACTGTCCTTGATGACAGTTTTGTCATAGTCATTCATGAATATGTGATACTCCATTTTGCTGAACAAAAACGCTGGCAAGCCAAACAAGAAGGCCAGAACCCATATAGCACATATTATAGTTAACGTCGACCTTTTACCAGGTCGTCGTTTCAATGGGTATACGATGGCCATGTACCTATCTATTGACATGACAATCATGGTAAAGACAGAAGCACAAATTGGAGTAATGGCCATAAGATTGTTGAACGCACAGTACCAGTCGGGAAAGTACCAGTTGTAGTACAGGTTGTACACACTCGAGAAACCTGTGTTTAGTATTGTGATAGTAAGGTCAGATATGGCCAGGTTGAAGAGATAGTAGTTAGTTACTGTGCGCATTCGCTCGTGTCGTAGTACTATCCTGAAAATGAAGAAAAATTTAAGTTTTTTATATGTAAACAAAGTTTTTGCTTTTTAGTTTTGTAAAGAAAGTTCTTGCTATTTTTTGTTTTGTAAAGAAAGTTCTTGCCATTTTTTGTTTTGTAAGGAAAGTTATTACCATTTTTAATTTTGTGATGCCAGTTTTTTAATTTCTTTGAAAAAGAGACTGCACTGTGCAACAATTTTTCATTTCTTCCACGTGCCGTTTCAAAATAACTTTAGATAACAAATCGCTGTAACTTGTACTAAGTACTTAAAAAGGCCAAGTAAATTCAGGTTTAGACTAGTATCTTTAAAAGTAACAGCATAATGAATTTTTGAAAAATCCCTGCACAGTGCAAATTTTTTTCTTTTTTCCTTGTGTTATTTTAAAATAATTACTGGTAATAAATATAGTTTTCAAATTTATTGTAGAATAGTAAAAAGCTACTAAAATAGTTCTGAAGAAAATTGCTTCTTAAATAATGTCACATTAAATTTTGAAAAAATTACTGCACCGTGCAGTCAAAAAAATTGCACCGTGCAATATGCATGTCGTTTTTTGTTTTATAAAGAAAGTTCTTGCCATTTGTTTGTTTTGTAAAGAAAGTTCTTGCCATTTGTTTGTTTTGTAAAGAAAGTTTTTGCCATTTTTGTTTTGTAAAGAAAGTTCTTGCTATTTTATGTTTTGTAAAGAAAGTTCTTGCCATTTTTGTTTTGTAAAGAAAGTTCTTGCCATTTTTTGTTTTGAAAAGAAAATCTTTGCCATTTTCAAAATTCTATCAAAACTTACCACGCCACAGTTAAATTCCCACCAACAGAAGCCAGAACCAAGAAGCTAAACATGAACATGTAAAAGACCTGTACCATAAAGGTGTGTTTAATAGGGAAGTCAGTACATTCCGCGTAGACTTTGGTATCATTGTGATGGTTGAAGAATCTACTCTGTAGTGTTATATCTTGGCATGTGCAGTTTCTCTCCAGTAATTCTACTAGCCTGTCCATATCTAATACCGTACCCATGTCACATTGTAACATTTCACTGTAAATCTTTACCATAGCCATTGTGACATTAATTTAGGGGGTGGTAGTGAGAATATGGGTGGGTGTTGCTGTAGATATTGCTTTTTAATCAAGATTGGCAAAAATGTTTGGTAGTGCTAGTACCAGGTAGTACTGTAGAACCGTATGTAGTGCAAAATACAAAAAATCTTTTTTTGAACCTAGTATATATAGCACTAAATTCCAATACCAAACCCAAAAACGAACTAATAGTCGTATGAAACCTTCTTCTTTACGGTCTTCAAGTAGCACAATACCCAATAACAATATAGTACTATGTAGTACCAAGTAGTACCAAAAACCAATAAACCAGTATCTTCTCGTATATGAAACACCACCTAAAAAACGTCAAAATTATTATTTTTTTTTGTTTACTACGCGCCATATGAAACGTATATATCAGTAAGTTTCAATTAAGTTTAATTGGTTTTACCTATCGCCATGGTGAATATGTGATTGTAATTTGATTACGCAAAACGGTGAAATTGCAAGTACTACACGTTTTTAGACGTTCTTATGTTAGTAACAACACTATGATCAATATTGGTAAGAGAGCATTGTGTCTCAACTAACAAAATATGACAAAAATAACCGTTTTGTGAAATGTGCAATTTTTTTATCCGTATTTTACTTTACAAATATGACTTTTTACCACGTTGAAAATTCAAATTTCTAATTTCCCGCCAAAATTTTTTTGCTATTGGCATTGTCTTTCATCTAAAAAATATGATAATACTATTCATTCAAAACCATTTAAAACCACAGTAACTAAACTTTTATTTTAATATGTCTGTTTTGTCTTGAAATTCAAATTTTCATTTTCCGTCAAAAGTTGAAACTTCTTGGCATTGTGTTGCAACTCAAAAATATTTTTTTAATTATTATGCCAAAAATTATAGACGTATTTTACAATCTAAAGTCTAAACTTTCCAGCCAAGTAAAGTTTAAATTTCAATTTTCCCGCCAAACTACGAAACCCTTGGCATTCCGTTTCAAGCCTCAAAAAAGATCAAAAAGATCATCCAATATCGAAAACAACGTTGATAAACCACAGAACAGGGATTAATAATAGCCTTCGACAGATATTAATACACATTTAATATCTGGCGTAAACAAAGTTTTTGCAGGAATGCAATTAAAAACTAGAGCATAAACAAGAAAACCCGGAAAAATAGGGGCAAATCTTTCACATTTCAACATGCGGTCGCATTTGAAATTGTGAAGAATTTTATTTTTTTTGGAAGGAACTTTCTTTACAGAAAAAAAAGACGGCAAGAAGTTTCTTTACAAACCAAAAAATAGCAAAAACTTTTTTTACAAAACAAACAATGTCAAGAACTTTCTTTCCATGCCATTTTTGCCTCAAATCACAGCAAACTCTCACTCATCGTATAACATGTCACCCGCAGGCTGCACTAAATAAAACGTTCTTAAAATAGCAAAAGCCTTCTCTACAGCACGCCGAACAACAAAAACTTTCTTTCCAGCGCCATTCTAAGAAAAATTTTCATTAAAATATCACCCATCGTATAACATGTCTCACGCAGGCTGCACCACCCCAATAATGCTTAAAATAGCAAGAAATTTCTTTATAAAATAAAAAATAGCAAAAACTTTCTTTACAAAGCAATTTTTACCCAAAATTTCTAAAAACCTCACTTCATCGTATAACATGTCACCCGCAAGCTGCACCACCCAAAAACCTCTTAAAATAGCAGAAACTTTCTGTACAAAACAAAAAATGGCAAGAACTTTCTTTACAAAACAAAAAATGGCAAGAACTTTCTTTACAAAACAAAAAATGGCAAGAACTTTCTTTACAAAACAAAAAATGGAAAGAACTTTGTTTACAAAACAAAAAATAGCAGAAACTTTATTTACAAAACCATTATTACCTAACATTTCAATAAACCCCATACTCATCGTATAAAATGTCACCCGCAGGCTGCACCACCCCAATCCCCTCTCAAAAACCGCTAAAAACCGTCGGCCGACATAAACCCCCCCCCGCCCCCAAAAAAACTAGATATTATTTTGCATTTATTTTATATAACCGACCATCACTGACACGAATTAATTTGCATACGCCCGACTAAACTTTGTTTCCAAAACAATCAATCAAAAAGTTGGGAGAATCCGGGGAAATTGACGCGCCAAAAGGGCAAAAAAGTGGTAAAATTAGAAAAGGCCTACGTTTTGCAGGCCAGGAATAGCGCTCAACAATCAATGTGTGGTCATGAGCAAGGTGGTCAAAAAAAACTTTTCAAACTTAAAAATTTTTTATTTTGTAAATAAAGTTCTTGCCATTTTCCGCCCTGTGATTTTTCATCAATTCCTGTTTGTAAAGAAAGTTCTTGTCATTTTTGTGCTGTAAACAAAGTTCTTGCCATTTTTTACTCTACTCTAATTTACCTTACCCTACTCTACCTTATTCTACTATGCCTTGCCCTGTCCTACCCTAGTGTACTCTGCCGAATTACCCTACTCTATTGCTGTCCCTTGCAGTGCGTTGCACTGCACTGTCCTATTCCACCCTACGATACCCTTCCTTACCCAACCAGAACATTAAGTTGATTTAATGCCCCTTCCCCTGCCCAATTTAAAAAAATATGAATGTTGATCCCTTTCCAAAACAAATAAAGACAAAAATCGAAAATTAGGGTCCGGTTGCATAAGATTTAGTGAAAGAAATTGGGGAGGCTGATTCAAGGCAAAAACGCGCTGAATAAGAACATAAGAGAGACCGAGCGTTGGGGAGTTGTTTCTTATACGCGACAATGTGTCAGCGGGTCATGTACATTTGTGATTATCAATATCATGCGCTTGTCTATGATTTTTGGACCCAAAAAATGCGTTAAGCCTAATACTGGCTAGGTTATAAGCGAGGCAGAGCAGAAAAGGGCATGACATAACGTGGCAAACCTAAAACTAGGACCCAGAGCTAAGGCTGAGGCTAAAGCTAGAACGAGGGTCAGGGCTTAGGCAATGCTAGGGCAAGGATAGAGCAATGCTATTGGCAAGGCCATGGGCAAGGCTAAGGCTAAGGCTAAGGCTAAGGCTAAGGCTAAGGCTAAGGCTAAGGCTAAGGCTAAGGCTATGGCTAAGGCTAAAGCTAAGTCTAGAGCTCGAGCTTAAGGCTAAGACTGAGGCAAGGCTAGATCAAGTCTAGGGCTATGGCTCTGGGCTACGGTTCTGGGCTATGGCTTTGGGCTAGGGCTGTGGACCTGAGTTAAAGCTACGGCTAAAGCTAGGGCTTTTGGCTGGGGCTAAAATTTTTGCATTTTTTCACAAATTTTTTGTCCAAGTTATAGTAATATGCACTCGGTTTCATAAGAAAAGCACCGACTTGTTGTTTGCTTATAACAGTTATAAACAAAGGTTTTTATGGCACTGGCACTTCGAAGACCTTTTAAATTTTTTTGCTACTAACAATAGATCAGAAAAAAACTAAAAAACCTTTTTAAAATTAAAACTTATCGAGTTTTTTTTTCAAAACAAGATATGCGATTTGTCGTATAACCTGTCACCCGCAAGCTGTTAAACACTATTTTGGCACAAAATGGCAAAATCTTTCTTTACAAAACAAAAAATGGCAAGAACTTTCTTTACAAGACATAAAATGGCAAGAACTTAGTTTACAAAGCAAAAAATAGCAAGAACTTTCTTTAAAAAACAAAAAATGGCAAGAACTTTCTTTACAAAACAAAAATGGCAAGAACTTTCTTTACAAAACAATTACAGTATCCCTGACCCAGCCCTTCAAAAGCCCAGTACCCATACAGCTCACTATAAAGTTGCAGTACCCAGCCTCTGCCTTCAACGTTACAGAACCCACTCACCTGCCCACAAAGTTACAGTACCCCCAACAAAAATAATGGTGAAAAGTGGCCGTTTGAAGCCGACACGTCGTATGTAGTATAATATATGGCGATAGTACAACGTTTTTTAATAAGCCCGTCCAATTGGAGAAGACGGCAAAAAATCCGCGTAGCCGACTGCGCGAAGGCGGCTGACGTTCAAAATAACCTCAGGGCGTTTTCGGCTAATCCAATTTTGGAATGGGAGTGATATGCGAGGGGGGGGAAGTAAGGGGCTGTTAGTAATTGTCAGAGCTAAGATTAAAGGATCGGGCTCAAAAAAAGTTGAGCGGAAAGAAAGTTTTCGCTATTTTTAGGTTTGTAAAGAAAGTTGTTGCCACTTTTTGTTTTGTAAATAAAATTTCTGCCTTTTTTCTTACCTATTTTCTCCAAAAAATTCATTTTTTAATACATTGCACCGTGCAATTACAAGATTCCATTGCACCGTGCAGCAAAATTAAACTTTTACTTAGTGCCATTTCTAAACTATATTATATGCCAAATATAAACCTTATTTTCTGATTGCACCTGATAACGCTTATTAAAGTCAATTTTTCACTCATAGCTACATATAAAATGGTACAACAAAACTTTGAAAACTGACTGCACTGTACAATCCAAACATTGTGCAATGAACTTCTTTTTTTGCCATTTTTATTATTATCTTAGTAAAAAATATTCAAATTGAATTTAAAAAATCATTAAAATCAAAACCCACATCTACTTATTCATTATTTATTACAGAAACGTACAAGAGTTGCGAAGAGAACGGTGAGAACATTGAAAGAACGTTTGTAGAAAATGAGATAGATTATATTGAGAGATTCGGTTATTGAAGTATAGATATTTGCTGGATTAGTAGCTGGAAGAGTTTTCAAAAGTTCTGGCACTGCACAATGCAAAAATTTCAAAAATTTAAATTCCCCAAGTGCCAAAACTTAATAGACCCTTGATAAGTATGATTATTGTATGAATATAATGTATGAATACAGATTGTATTGAATACGTAGCATGGATTACTTGATTTCTCGTACGGTAACTAGATCAATATAATACAGTAAGCCGAAAAGAGTAGAGTATACCCGAAAGTATAGTACAGCAGCCATTTTGGAGCCAAAGCTTTGTTGAATACGGTCATGATAGTTATTTAAGTGAACATTTATATAAAGTTATATAAGTAAATACTTATATAGCTGAGAATTACAATATGATTAATAATTAAAGCTTATTAAAGCAAAGTTATAGTAATACCAGAAACCTTACACTACAACCAAAAATTACTACAACACTATAAAAAGTTACAGTAATCAAGAAAAAGCATTAAAAAATTAAAAAACATGTAACACACGATTAAAAATGGCATTATTAATGATGAGTAAGATAAACTGATAGAAAAAGATTAAAAAAATACTTATCGTACCCCTCAAGGGCTGTTCTGTTTACCAGGAAGAGATGACACGACGGGTCTGGTGACTGGGGCACAAGCTGCGGGTGCTGGGCAGCGGCGGACGAGGTACTGGGTCTGGTTGGCACCATTGGGTCCACGTGTGATCCTGATTTTGGTCATGTGGACGGCAGTGCCTGGGGCTCCATTCAAAACGGTTGTACCGTTTTGGTACGCGTGTGAACCATTTGGTCCACTTGAGTTCAGCAGTGTTCCAATAGCTCCATTTGAAGCTGCGAATGAAGTCGACTGGGAATCAACAGTACCAGCTGAAGTAGTAGAATTGATAGCACCAGTTGAAGCCGAGAATGGTGCTGTGCTAATGGCACTGCGTTGAAGCGAGCCACCAGTAGAAGCCGAAAACGGGGCCAAAGTGGTACCACTTAGACCAGCACCATTGAAAGAAGTAGTACCAGCAAAAGTAGCGCTATGAGTACCAGAAGGACCAGTTGGAGGCTCGTTTTCGTCTCCAGATGACTGGTTTAGCGGATGTGACGTAGCCTGCTTCTTGCGGTTCAGCAGCGACTCCAGCGTTCTGGCGGCACGTTGGTGAGTGGACGGTGGGTCGATGGCCCGGTAGACCACTTGATGGTACGGTTGTTGGTTTTCGTGGAGGTAGGTCGGCTGGGTATTGTAGACGTGAATCGGACGATGATTCTGACGACCCTCACGGTGAACTTGACGAGTGTTGCCCTGAACGTGACGTATTTCACGTTGAATCTCACGGTTGCGAACCTGTTGATGTGAAACACGTCTAACTTGACGTCGCTGGCCTTGCTGACCTTGACGTACTTGTTGAACGTAACGTGGACCGGCTTGACCATCTCGAGGGGGTAGTTCGCAACCTCGGGCAGGTTGGATTTGGCGAATGATCTGCTGGATTGGCCGAATCTCACGGATGATTTGTTGGACTGGTCCATGAGAATTGGGAGCTGGGCTTGAGGTTTGACCGATTTGAGTTGTGACTTGAACTTGACCTCCAGCTTGACCTTGATTTCCGGCTTGACCGGTCGATTCAGTGAGTCCAGAAATCGGCCGTAACGCAGTTAAAATAGGACTTTCTTCTCTTGGAGCTTCGTCAACTTCAGTTTGTTGTACCTCTTCTTTCACCGTTTCTTCTTTTATTTCTTTCTTGGGTTCCTTCGCTTCTTCACCTTGGGTTTCTTCTTTTTTCACTGGTTCGAGGGTGGTGTACACTAGGGCTTCACTTTCTTCGTCTTTGACGTCCGGCAGCTCACTTCTTGGTGACGTATTTGAATTGGATTCTGGCTCAGACCGGAATTCTGAATTGACTCCAGAAGCCAAATTCATAGTGACTCCAGTAGCGTAATCCATGTGGTAAGCTTGGTTCGTCATCTGATATCCTTGGTTAGAGCCGGATTCAGAAGCCACGTAGTAGCCTTGGTTCGAGTTATCATCAATATATTGAACCGGGAACCCGTGGCTAGAAGCGGCCGAATTCGGTCTCCAATTGGATGGGCCTGGTTGTTCTTGACTGTTTAGTGGTGGAGTTACAGATCCTAGGCCGAGGTCATCGTATCTACGACCGGTCAAATCAAAAGTCGGGTCGTAATCAGCAATGTCTCCATGCATAGTCGCTGAGGGCCTCTGGTTTACAGGCTGACAGTTGATCGTGGACGGCAGCTCGGACTGGGTCACTAAAAATTTTTGAAATTAGTTTTTTTTTAAATTTGGAGGTCGATTTCTAATGTTTTTTAAAAAGTTTTTGCCGTTTTAAACAATTTTAAAACCAAAAATCTTACCAATCAATCTCTTACCAGTGATAGGAGCACGTGGATTCTGTTGATATTCAATTCCATGTTCATCAACATAGACAGGTTGAACAATCGTTCTTGGATCACATTCAGGGTCAGGAAAGACACGGTCTGGTGGAGGCATCCCAACCTTACCAGCAATAATGTCATCCAGAAGCTGCGGTCGTGCCATGGCATACTCAATGGTCGGGAGGCATCTCTCCTTCCACTTGGCTAGCTCCTGCTCCATCTTCTCCTCGCGCTGGTCTTGCAGTTCCCAAAGACATGATTTTCGACCGCCTCGAGGGCTGGGTGGAATCTCAACCTTTTTAAAACATTTGTTCAGAGACAAGTTGTGGCGCACCGAGTTCTTCCAGCCAGTTGGAGCTTCGCGGAAAAAAGGGAAATGTTCACTGAAAAAGGCCAAAATTAATGTCAATACCTACATAATTTTAATCACAAAGACTTAAAGCATCTTTTAAAACCCTTCTTGCTACATAAAATAATGATAACAAACAAAAATGCTCAAAAATCGACTAAAAAATCGACTTATTCAAACCCAAAAGCAAAGCGACTAGAACACATTAAAGTTAATGTCAATACCTATAATTATAATTCAAAAAACAATAAATAATCTTTAAAAATCCTTATTTTACCTAAAAATATCAATACCTAAGAAAAAACCATCGAAAAACCACCAAAAAATATTTTTTCGGATATTATGTTAGATAAACCGCACTCTTTTGAATATAACTTTTTTCAAAAAGCAGTTGATAACTTGAAACGTTGAGCAAAATTAGTTCAATACCTTCTCTAACTAACAAAGTAAATCCCGTTTTGAGAGTCACAAAGACCTAAAAGTTACAATAATTTAAATATACCTTACCATAAGAATCTATAGATGTCAGCGACATTCAGTCTTCCGTTAGGTGAATTTTTCAAAGCCAATCCGATCAAACAACAGTATGAAAAGTATGGCTTTTTGTAGCCACTTACAGGCTGAAACTGATCGATTGGCCTTCTCTGAGACGGCTGCTTGATCTTTCGTTTTGGCTTCTCAATTGGCATATTCTCCTTTTCCTCGTAAACATTCTGTTGCATTTCGTAGTTGTTCGGCTCGTATTTGGTTGATTCATGGGCCAAAAAGTCTTGAGAATCCATTTCTTGTGTGTCCATTTCGTATCTTTGGCATTCAAGCTCCAAATTCGTCAGATCCTGGCTCCCTTCCATCTCCTGGCTTGTAGAACGTGCATCAAACGGACTATTGTACCAATCCTTGTTATCTTCCATCTCATTCAAGGTGCTGTTCATAGGTTGCGCATAGGATGGTTCACAATCCCCCACATATGCGCCCAAGGCAGAAAAGTCCGAGTCTCCAAAACCAAGAGTATCAGAGTGGTATTGGTCAAGTTGAATGCTTTCTCCAGCGACAAAATCCTGAAATAAAGAAACTAAAATTAATAAAGCGTTTTTACGTATTTTTACGTCTGTGTTTAAAAAATTTGTTAAAAGATTTTAGAACAAGTTGCAGCCAAACTTCACTTGACCTAGATAGTCATGTACAATATCAACTGAAACTATACCTCAATTCACCTGTTTCTCGCCAAAATTAAACTTGAACCCTTCACAAAACCCTATTACAACTTTGTTTTAGCCTTTTACACCTTAAATCTCCATATTTTCTATCAAAAATTCACTTTAATCATGACTAATGTCACATACCGAGGTCAATCCAAGACTGGTCATCCAGTCGGTTTCCCGGTTGTTTTGTTGTTCCACGAACGGCTCTCGCGAAAGCGAGTCCGACTGGTAAGATGGCATGACGTGATCATGCTGATCCTCCTCATCTTCGTACTCGTACCTGAAAAAGTTAGAATTAATTTAAGAAAACATAAAATTTTTGACCCAAAACTTTAACATATTTATCAGATTATTAAAAAACCATTAAATAACTTACCGAATCATTATTAGAAATTTATCAATCGAACTGCCTTTAGAGTTGGCAGACGACGTTCACCTTACTGATTCATCAAACTGATTGGGGAGGGGTCAAAATAATTCGCACAAAAAAATTTAAGGCTTGGTCAATGCACTGAAAAAAGTTAGTGCAATCATAAAGTAGATTTTACTTCGAGGTCTATTATGGTTGCAAAGGGCATTAAAGAAGGGGGGGGCGGGGCAATATTACGCAAATGTAAAAGAAAATCAACCCCCAAAGAAAATTACAATAAATGTAGTCACAAAGGAGTATCTACCCGTACTCCTGAAGTAAGCAATTCATATTCCCAAAAAGAACGCTGCAACAAAATAAGCGTCTGTTTGAAATTGTCAGAGCTAAGACTAAGGGATAGAGCGCGAAAAAAGTTGAATGGAAAGAAAGTTTTTGCCATTTTTTTGTTTTGTAAAGAAAGTTCCTGCAATTTTTAAACCCAATTTCAATACTTTTGCACCGTGCAATTAAAAAATTCCATTGCACAGTGCAGAAAAATAAAATTTTTGTGCTTTGCCATTTTTAACTTATCTTAAATGACAATTATTATCCAAACTTTCAGAATCCACCTCGAAAAGCATATTAAAGTCTAATTTTCACTCATAGCGCATCTAAAATGGCACAACAAATTTTTAAAAAATGACTGCATTGTGCAATGCAAAAAAGCTCTTTTACCGTGAATGAATGCCTTTTTGCCATTATTAAATCCTTTTTGCCATTTTTATTATTATCTTAGTAAAAAATATTCAAATTGAATTTAAAAAATCATTAAAATCAAAACCCACATCTACTTATTCATTATTTATTACAGAAACGTACAAGAGTTGCGAAGAGAACGGTGAAAACATTGAAAGAACGTTTTTATAAAATGAGATGGATTATATTGAGAGATTCGATTATTGAAGAATAGGTATTGATTAGTAGCTGAAAGGGTTTTCAAAAAGTTCTAACACTGCACAGCGCAAAAATTTCAAAAAATTTCAAAATTCAAATTTCGCAAGTGTCAAGAATTAATAGACCCTTGATGAGTATGATTATTGTATGAATATAAAGTATGAATACAGATTGTATTAAATACTGAATGGCTTTGAGTATTTGATTTCAAGTACGGTAACCCGATCGATATAATACAGTATGCCAGGAATAGTACAGTGTACCCAAAGGTATTGTACAGTATGCTTTTTTGAAGCAAAAGCTTCCTTGAACATGGCCATGATAGTTATATAAGTAAATACTTATATAACAGAAAGTTGATTAATAATTAAAGCTTATCAAGCAAAATTACAGTAATACCATAAAAATTACCACAATACTATAAAAAGTTACAGAAATCATAAAAAAGTATTAAAAAATAAAAAACATGAAACATAAGATTAAAAATTAATAAAGAGTAAGATAAACTAATATAAAAAGATAAAAAAAATCAATTATAAGATTAAAAAAATACTTATCGTACCCTCAGGGGCTGTTGTATTTACCAGGAAGCGATGACAAGACGGGTCTGGCCACTGGCGCCCGAGCAGCAAGCGCTGGGCAACGGCGGACGAGGTACTGGGTCTGGTTGGCACCATTGGCTCCACGTGTGATCCTGATTTTGGTCATGTGGACGGCAGTGCCTGGGGCTCCATTCAAAACGGTTGTACCGTTTTGGTACGCGTGTGAACCATTTGGTCCACTTGAGTTCAGCAGTGTTCCAATAGCTCCATTTGAAGCTGCGAATGAAGTCGACTGGGAATCAACAGTACCAGCTGAAGTAGTAGAATTGATAGCACCAGTTGAAGCCGAGAATGGTGCTGTGCTAATGGCACTGCGTTGAAGCGAGCCACCAGTAGAAGCCGAAAACGGGGCCAAAGTGGTACCACTTAGACCAGCACCATTGAAAGAAGTAGTACCAGCAAAAGTAGCGCTATGAGTACCAGAAGGACCAGTTGGAGGCTCGTTTTCGTCTCCAGATGACTGGTTTAGCGGATGTGACGTAGCCTGCTTCTTGCGGTTCAGCAGCGACTCCAGCGTTCTGGCGGCACGTTGGTGAGTGGACGGTGGGTCGATGGCCCGGTAGACCACTTGATGGTACGGTTGTTGGTTTTCGTGGAGGTAGGTCGGCTGGGTATTGTAGACGTGAATCGGACGATGATTCTGACGACCCTCACGGTGAACTTGACGAGTGTTGCCCTGAACGTGACGTATTTCACGTTGAATCTCACGGTTGCGAACCTGTTGATGTGAAACACGTCTAACTTGACGTCGCTGGCCTTGCTGACCTTGACGTACTTGTTGAACGTAACGTGGACCGGCTTGACCATCTCGAGGGGGGTAGTTCGCAACCTCGGGCAGGTTGGATTTGGCGAATGATCTGCTGGATTGGCCGAATCTCACGGATGATTTGTTGGACTGGTCCATGAGAATTGGGAGCTGGGCTTGAGGTTTGACCGATTTGAGTTGTGACTTGAACTTGACCTCCAGCTTGACCTTGATTTCCGGCTTGACCGGTCGATTCAGTGAGTCCAGAAATCGGCCGTAACGCAGTTAAAATAGGACTTTCTTCTCTTGGAGCTTCGTCAACTTCAGTTTGTTGTACCTCTTCTTTCACCGTTTCTTCTTTTATTTCTTTCTTGGGTTCCTTCGCTTCTTCACCTTGGGTTTCTTCTTTTTTTCACTGGTTCGAGGGTGGTGTACACTAGGGCTTCACTTTCTTCGTCTTTGACGTCCGGCAGCTCACTTCTTGGTGACGTATTTGAATTGGATTCTGGCTCAGACCGGAATTCTGAATTGACTCCAGAAGCCAAATTCATAGTGACTCCAGTAGCGTAATCCATGTGGTAAGCTTGGTTCGTCATCTGATATCCTTGGTTAGAGCCGGATTCAGAAGCCACGTAGTAGCCTTGGTTCGAGTTATCATCAATATATTGAACCGGGAACCCGTGGCTAGAAGCGGCCGAATTCGGTCTCCAATTGGATGGGCCTGGTTGTTCTTGACTGTTTAGTGGTGGAGTTACAGATCCTAGGCCGAGGTCATCGTATCTACGACCGGTCAAATCAAAAGTCGGGTCGTAATCAGCAATGTCTCCATGCATAGTCGCTGAGGGCCTCTGGTTTACAGGCTGACAGTTGATCGTGGACGGCAGCTCGGACTGGGTCACTAAAAATTTTTGAAATTAGTTTTTTTTTAAATTTGGAGGTCGATTTCTAATGTTTTTTAAAAAGTTTTTGCCGTTTTAAACAATTTTAAAACCAAAAATCTTACCAATCAATCTCTTACCAGTGATAGGAGCACGTGGATTCTGTTGATATTCAATTCCATGTTCATCAACATAGACAGGTTGAACAATCGTTCTTGGATCACATTCAGGGTCAGGAAAGACACGGTCTGGTGGAGGCATCCCAACCTTACCAGCAATAATGTCATCCAGAAGCTGCGGTCGTGCCATGGCATACTCAATGGTCGGGAGGCATCTCTCCTTCCACTTGGCTAGCTCCTGCTCCATCTTCTCCTCGCGCTGGTCTTGCAGTTCCCAAAGACATGATTTTCGACCGCCTCGAGGGCTGGGTGGAATCTCAACCTTTTTAAAACATTTGTTCAGAGACAAGTTGTGGCGCACCGAGTTCTTCCAGCCAGTTGGAGCTTCGCGGAAAAAAGGGAAATGTTCACTGAAAAAGGCCAAAATTAATGTCAATACCTACATAATTTTAATCACAAAGACTTAAAGCATCTTTTAAAACCCTTCTTGCTACATAAAATAATGATAACAAACAAAAATGCTCAAAAATCGACTAAAAAATCGACTTATTCAAACCCAAAAGCAAAGCGACTAGAACACATTAAAGTTAATGTCAATACCTATAATTATAATTCAAAAAACAATAAATAATCTTTAAAAATCCTTATTTTACCTAAAAATATCAATACCTAAGAAAAAACCATCGAAAAACCACCAAAAAATATTTTTTCGGATATTATGTTAGATAAACCGCACTCTTTTGAATATAACTTTTTTCAAAAAGCAGTTGATAACTTGAAACGTTGAGCAAAATTAGTTCAATACCTTCTCTAACTAACAAAGTAAATCCCGTTTTGAGAGTCACAAAGACCTAAAAGTTACAATAATTTAAATATACCTTACCATAAGAATCTATAGATGTCAGCGACATTCAGTCTTCCGTTAGGTGAATTTTTCAAAGCCAATCCGATCAAACAACAGTATGAAAAGTATGGCTTTTTGTAGCCACTTACAGGCTGAAACTGATCGATTGGCCTTCTCTGAGACGGCTGCTTGATCTTTCGTTTTGGCTTCTCAATTGGCATATTCTCCTTTTCCTCGTAAACATTCTGTTGCATTTCGTAGTTGTTCGGCTCGTATTTGGTTGATTCATGGGCCAAAAAGTCTTGAGAATCCATTTCTTGTGTGTCCATTTCGTATCTTTGGCATTCAAGCTCCAAATTCGTCAGATCCTGGCTCCCTTCCATCTCCTGGCTTGTAGAACGTGCATCAAACGGACTATTGTACCAATCCTTGTTATCTTCCATCTCATTCAAGGTGCTGTTCATAGGTTGCGCATAGGATGGTTCACAATCCCCCACATATGCGCCCAAGGCAGAAAAGTCCGAGTCTCCAAAACCAAGAGTATCAGAGTGGTATTGGTCAAGTTGAATGCTTTCTCCAGCGACAAAATCCTGAAATAAAGAAACTAAAATTAATAAAGCGTTTTTACGTATTTTTACGTCTGTGTTTAAAAAATTTGTTAAAAGATTTTAGAACAAGTTGCAGCCAAACTTCACTTGACCTAGATAGTCATGTACAATATCAACTGAAACTATACCTCAATTCACCTGTTTCTCGCCAAAATTAAACTTGAACCCTTCACAAAACCCTATTACAACTTTGTTTTAGCCTTTTACACCTTAAATCTCCATATTTTCTATCAAAAATTCACTTTAATCATGACTAATGTCACATACCGAGGTCAATCCAAGACTGGTCATCCAGTCGGTTTCCCGGTTGTTTTGTTGTTCCACGAACGGCTCTCGCGAAAGCGAGTCCGACTGGTAAGATGGCATGACGTGATCATGCTGATCCTCCTCATCTTCGTACTCGTACCTGAAAAAGTTAGAATTAATTTAAGAAAACATAAAATTTTTGACCCAAAACTTTAACATATTTATCAGATTATTAAAAAACCATTAAATAACTTACCGAATCATTATTAGAAATTTATCAATCGAACTGCCTTTAGAGTTGGCAGACGACGTTCACCTTACTGATTCATCAAACTGATTGGGGAGGGGTCAAAATAATTCGCACAAAAAAATTTAAGGCTTGGTCAATGCACTGAAAAAAGTTAGTGCAATCATAAAGTAGATTTTACTTCGAGGTCTATTATGGTTGCAAAGGGCATTAAAGAAGGGGGGGGCGGGGCAATATTACGCAAATGTAAAAGAAAATCAACCCCCAAAGAAAATTACAATAAATGTAGTCACAAAGGAGTATCTACCCGTACTCCTGAAGTAAGCAATTCATATTCCCAAAAAGAACGCTGCAACAAAATAAGCGTCTGTTTGAAATTGTCAGAGCTAAGACTAAGGGATAGAGCGCGAAAAAAGTTGAATGGAAAGAAAGTTTTTGCCATTTTTTTGTTTTGTAAAGAAAGTTCCTGCAATTTTTAAACCCAATTTCAATACTTTTGCACCGTGCAATTAAAAAATTCCATTGCACAGTGCAGAAAAATAAAATTTTTGTGCTTTGCCATTTTTAACTTATCTTAAATGACAATTATTATCCAAACTTTCAGAATCCACCTCGAAAAGCATATTAAAGTCTAATTTTCACTCATAGCGCATCTAAAATGGCACAACAAATTTTTAAAAAATGACTGCATTGTGCAATGCAAAAAAGCTCTTTTACCGTGAATGAATGCCTTTTTGCCATTATTAAATCCTTTTTGCCATTTTTATTATTATCTTAGTAAAAAATATTCAAATTGAATTTAAAAAATCATTAAAATCAAAACCCACATCTACTTATTCATTATTTATTACAGAAACGTACAAGAGTTGCGAAGAGAACGGTGAAAACATTGAAAGAACGTTTTTATAAAATGAGATGGATTATATTGAGAGATTCGATTATTGAAGAATAGGTATTGATTAGTAGCTGAAAGGGTTTTCAAAAGTTCTAACACTGCACAGCGCAAAAATTTCAAAAAATTTCAAAATTCAAATTTCGCAAGTGTCAAGAATTAATAGACCCTTGATGAGTATGATTATTGTATGAATATAAAGTATGAATACAGATTGTATTAAATACTGAATGGCTTTGAGTATTTGATTTCAAGTACGGTAACCCGATCGATATAATACAGTATGCCAGGAATAGTACAGTGTACCCAAAGGTATTGTACAGTATGCTTTTTTGAAGCAAAAGCTTCCTTGAACATGGCCATGATAGTTATATAAGTAAATACTTATATAACAGAAAGTTGATTAATAATTAAAGCTTATCAAGCAAAATTACAGTAATACCATAAAAATTACCACAATACTATAAAAAGTTACAGAAATCATAAAAAAGTATTAAAAAATAAAAAACATGAAACATAAGATTAAAAATTAATAAAGAGTAAGATAAACTAATATAAAAAGATAAAAAAAATCAATTATAAGATTAAAAAAATACTTATCGTACCCTCAGGGGCTGTTGTATTTACCAGGAAGCGATGACAAGACGGGTCTGGCCACTGGCGCCCGAGCAGCAAGCGCTGGGCAACGGCGGACGAGGTACTGGGTCTGGTTGGCACCATTGGCTCCACGTGTGATCCTGATTTTGGTCATGTGGACGGCAGTGCCTGGGGCTCCATTCAAAACGGTTGTACCGTTTTGGTACGCGTGTGAACCATTTGGTCCACTTGAGTTCAGCAGTGTTCCAATAGCTCCATTTGAAGCTGCGAATGAAGTCGACTGGGAATCAACAGTACCAGCTGAAGTAGTAGAATTGATAGCACCAGTTGAAGCCGAGAATGGTGCTGTGCTAATGGCACTGCGTTGAAGCGAGCCACCAGTAGAAGCCGAAAACGGGGCCAAAGTGGTACCACTTAGACCAGCACCATTGAAAGAAGTAGTACCAGCAAAAGTAGCGCTATGAGTACCAGAAGGACCAGTTGGAGGCTCGTTTTCGTCTCCAGATGACTGGTTTAGCGGATGTGACGTAGCCTGCTTCTTGCGGTTCAGCAGCGACTCCAGCGTTCTGGCGGCACGTTGGTGAGTGGACGGTGGGTCGATGGCCCGGTAGACCACTTGATGGTACGGTTGTTGGTTTTCGTGGAGGTAGGTCGGCTGGGTATTGTAGACGTGAATCGGACGATGATTCTGACGACCCTCACGGTGAACTTGACGAGTGTTGCCCTGAACGTGACGTATTTCACGTTGAATCTCACGGTTGCGAACCTGTTGATGTGAAACACGTCTAACTTGACGTCGCTGGCCTTGCTGACCTTGACGTACTTGTTGAACGTAACGTGGACCGGCTTGACCATCTCGAGGGGGTAGTTCGCAACCTCGGGCAGGTTGGATTTGGCGAATGATCTGCTGGATTGGCCGAATCTCACGGATGATTTGTTGGACTGGTCCATGAGAATTGGGAGCTGGGCTTGAGGTTTGACCGATTTGAGTTGTGACTTGAACTTGACCTCCAGCTTGACCTTGATTTCCGGCTTGACCGGTCGATTCAGTGAGTCCAGAAATCGGCCGTAACGCAGTTAAAATAGGACTTTCTTCTCTTGGAGCTTCGTCAACTTCAGTTTGTTGTACCTCTTCTTTCACCGTTTCTTCTTTTATTTCTTTCTTGGGTTCCTTCGCTTCTTCACCTTGGGTTTCTTCTTTTTTCACTGGTTCGAGGGTGGTGTACACTAGGGCTTCACTTTCTTCGTCTTTGACGTCCGGCAGCTCACTTCTTGGTGACGTATTTGAATTGGATTCTGGCTCAGACCGGAATTCTGAATTGACTCCAGAAGCCAAATTCATAGTGACTCCAGTAGCGTAATCCATGTGGTAAGCTTGGTTCGTCATCTGATATCCTTGGTTAGAGCCGGATTCAGAAGCCACGTAGTAGCCTTGGTTCGAGTTATCATCAATATATTGAACCGGGAACCCGTGGCTAGAAGCGGCCGAATTCGGTCTCCAATTGGATGGGCCTGGTTGTTCTTGACTGTTTAGTGGTGGAGTTACAGATCCTAGGCCGAGGTCATCGTATCTACGACCGGTCAAATCAAAAGTCGGGTCGTAATCAGCAATGTCTCCATGCATAGTCGCTGAGGGCCTCTGGTTTACAGGCTGACAGTTGATCGTGGACGGCAGCTCGGACTGGGTCACTAAAAATTTTTGAAATTAGTTTTTTTTTTTAAATTTGGAGGTCGATTTCTAATGTTTTTTAAAAAGTTTTTGCCGTTTTAAACAATTTTAAAACCAAAAATCTTACCAATCAATCTCTTACCAGTGATAGGAGCACGTGGATTCTGTTGATATTCAATTCCATGTTCATCAACATAGACAGGTTGAACAATCGTTCTTGGATCACATTCAGGGTCAGGAAAGACACGGTCTGGTGGAGGCATCCCAACCTTACCAGCAATAATGTCATCCAGAAGCTGCGGTCGTGCCATGGCATACTCAATGGTCGGGAGGCATCTCTCCTTCCACTTGGCTAGCTCCTGCTCCATCTTCTCCTCGCGCTGGTCTTGCAGTTCCCAAAGACATGATTTTCGACCGCCTCGAGGGCTGGGTGGAATCTCAACCTTTTTAAAACATTTGTTCAGAGACAAGTTGTGGCGCACCGAGTTCTTCCAGCCAGTTGGAGCTTCGCGGAAAAAAGGGAAATGTTCACTGAAAAAGGCCAAAATTAATGTCAATACCTACATAATTTTAATCACAAAGACTTAAAGCATCTTTTAAAACCTTTCCTGTTACATAAAACAACGATAACAAACAAGAAATGCTCAAAAATCGACTTATTCAAACCCAAAAGCAAAAAAACTAGAACACATTAAGGTTAATGTCAATACCTATAATTATAATTCAAAAAACAATAAATAATCTTTTAAAAACCTTATGTTACCTAAAAATATCAATACCCAAGAAAAAAACATCAAAAAACCACCAAAAAATATTTTTTCGGATATTATGTTAGATAAACCACACTCTTTTGAATATAACTTTTTTCAAAAAGCAGTTGATAACTTGAAACTTTGAGCAAAATTAGTTCAATATCTTCTCTAACTAACAAAGTAAATCCCGCTTTGAGAGTCACATAGACCTAAAAGTTATAATAATTTAAAAATACCTTACCATAAGAATCTATAGATGTCAGCGACGTTCAGTCTTCCGTTAGGTGAATTTTTCAGAGCCAATCCGATCAAACAAGAGTATGAAAAGTATGGCTTTTTGTAGCCACTTACAGGCTGAAACTGATCGATTGGCCTTCTCTGAGACGGCTGCTTGATCTTTCGTTTTGGCTTCTCAATTGGCATATTCTCCTTTTCCTCGTAAACATTCTGTTGCATTTCGTAGTTGTTCGTCTCGTATCTGGTTGATTCATAGGTCAAAAAGTCTTGAGAATCCATCTCTTGTGTGTCCATTTCGTATCTTTGGCATTCAAGCTCCAAATTTGTTAGATCCTGGCTCTCTTCCATCTCCTGGCTGGTAGAACGTGCATCAAACGAACTAATGTACCAATCCTTGCTATCTTCCATCCCATTCAAGGTGCTGTTCATAGGTTGCGCATAGGATGGTTCACAATCCCCCACATATGCGCCCAAGGCAGAAAAGTCCGAGTCTCCAAAACCAAGAGTATCAGAGTGGTATTGGTCAAGTTGAATGCTTTCTCCAGTGACAAAATCCTGAAATAAAGAAACTAAAATTAATAAAGCGTTTTTACGTATTTTTACGTCTGTGTTTAAAAAATTTGTTAAAAGATTTTAGAACAAGTTCCAAACTTCATTTGACCTAGATAGTCATGTACAATATCAACTAAAACTATACCTCAATTTACTTGTTTCTCGCCAAAATTAAACTTTAACCCTTCACAAAACCCTATTACAACTTTGTTTTAGCCTTTTACACCTTAAATCTCCCTATTTTCTATTGCAAGTTCAACTTTAATCATGATTAAAGTTGAACATATCACATACCGAGGTCAATCCAAGACTGGTCATCCAGTCGGTTTCACGATTGTTTTGTTGTTCCACGAACGGCTCTCGAGAAAGCGAGTCCGACTGGCAAGACGGCATGACATGATCATGCTGATCCTCCTCATCTTCATATTCGTACCTGAAAAAGTTATAAGTTATTTGATAAAACATAAATTTTTGGCCAAAAACTTTAAAATATTAATCAAATTATAAAAAAAACCTTTAAAAAGCTTACCGAATCATTATTGAAAATTTATTAGTCGAACTGCCTTTGGAGATGGCAGACAACGTCTGAGTCTTGGTTTGACGCACGGTGTTGGCGCGAGAAACCTGAAAATGCATAATATTTCACGTGTCTTTCCATAAAATTCACGCGTGCATTACAAATCGCGCGAAAACGGGGTTTTCGACCAAAATGGTAAATAATATCGCGGAAATAAATAAAAACAACATTATTTTATGTAATATTCAGAAAATTTACATAATTAAATTTTTGAAGTGAAAATAATATTTTAAGTTGTTTTCACTATAAAATGTGGCTTTAAAAACCTTTTTTTTAAATCCACCATATGACATAAAATAATTAATGAAAAAAATAAATATATTGTAAAATACAATGCCTAAAGATCGTAAAACACTTCCACATTTTAACCCCAAAATTTGTATAAAATCAACCGACTGTCGGTTGTAAAGGACGAAAATCCACAAATGAATTTTCGAATTGCGCGATTCCCGCTGAAAAACAGGGTGCGCAAGGGCCGAGCCGCAGTCCGGTTCGCTATTACAATCGAATAGAGACCGAACACACAGTGTGGGTGTGTGTGTGTACGATCGGCCTTGGCTCGCGGAGGTCGGGGGACCGGCGATTTTGGCGCCAAAAACGGCTCGCAAGGAGTCGAAAACAGGGGTTTAAGGGGCGGACTCTGTTATCAACCGTAATACAGAGGGCGGCTCTCGATTTGTTAAAAGATTTTAAAACAATTTATAAATCCAACTTTAAAAATGAGTTATCACATACCGAGGTCAATCCAAGACTGGTCATCCAGTCGGTTTCCCGGTTGTTTTGTTGTTCCATGAACCGCTCTCGCGAAAGCGAGTCAGACTGGTAAGACGGCATGACGTGATCATCCTGATCCTTCTCATCTTCGTACTCGTACCTGAAAAAGTTAGAATTAATTTAAGAAAACATAAAATTTTTGACCCAAAACTTTAAAACATTAATCAAATTATAAAGTTTTTGCTAAGTTATGGTTTGTAAAAAAATTTACTGCCATTTATGAGTTTGTAAAGTAAGTTTCTGACATTTTAATTTTGTATGTTTTTGTCATTTTTTGTTTTGTAAAGATAGTTCTTTCCACTTCATTTGTTGTAAAGTTTTATTGTATAAACCGATAAAATCTTGAATCTTGCCATAGAAATACGCAAATTGCATCAAAATCTTCAAGTTAATACATCTTTATTCGCACCTACTACAAGATCTGGCCATTTTAAAAAATGGCGGGAATGACGTAATGAAAAATGGCACAAATGGGAAACCACATCTGTCGTCAAAGGCAAGGGTTACCCTCAGTCAATGGCCCGAAGTCACGATAAGAACCGCAAGGCTCTAAATCGCTTCAATCAAAGGGATTTACAGACAATGAAATTTGAATGTTAACATTGGGAAACAGTGTGATCTTTGAAGTTGTTTTACAGTGAATTCAACATAGAAATTTTTTAATTTAATACAATTTTAAACTTTTACAGTGTATGTTAGGTTAGATAGTTATTTTTAGGTTGACTGGCCTTAAAGTGTAAAAAAAATTTTTTTAACTATTTGTTTGAAAAAATTCAAGTTTTATTTTAGCATTAAATAAAAGTTGCCAAAAACGCAATCCTCTTATGCAAAAAATTAAATTGAACATTTTCAAAAGCTATTTTAACAAAAAATATTGACAGTTTTATCAACCCTACACTCTAATATTGACATTTTCCGCCAATAATCCCTTTTTTACTGCGACTTTTATAAAGACGTGTAAATTAGGGAAAAACGTGAAATTTTATGCAATTTGAAAGGCCTTGACAAAATAGATGCTTTTTCGGGCCAAACATAGTTTTTATGGTTTTATTATAAATGTTATGGCCGAATTACCTAATTTTTTAATAAAAAACGTAATTTTTCGATAAAAATTAGGCTTATCCGTCTCTTTACGGCTAGTTTAATCCGTTGTGCGCCAACTTTTAACTGTCGCTGTCCACCTGTCTGTTTGATGAATGTCCTGCCGAGATGTTTATTTGTTTTTCGGTCATCTTAATGCACTTTTACGAGCAATTATATGTCGGATGGTGTGTTATATCATCTTGGTCATGGTAAATTAGGGTTATTGGCCCGGAAATTGGTCAAAAATTTAAAAAATTGCATGAACATTGTTTACAAAGCAAAAAATGGCAAGGACTTCCTTCACAAAACAAAAAACGGCAATAACTTTCTTTAAAAAATAAAGTTTTAATTTTATTATTGTATACAATTACAATATTTCATTGGAGATCACACAAGAACAGTGGTACAATACAAAGTTGATTATTTGGCTTTAAAAAAGCAATATTCTGACCTGTAGGTAATAAGTTTACATTTGAATTGAGTTGTCTGGCAAGGTTGTTTGAGTCAGAGGAGTATGGGGATACATTCATAATTGGTGTTACAGTACCACAAGAGCCAGATGGACTACTACTCAAACTGTCATTTGCTAGTTGAGTATTAGGTGTGGTAGAGAACGAGTGTTGACTTAATACGGTAGCTGGATTACTGTAGTTTTGCAAGTAGTTAGCTAAAACATTTGATGATATAACACTTTGTGTTTGACCCAGGATATTGGAGTTTATTATTTGATTGTCAGTACCCTTTAAAATTGATGTTGATGTAGAAGGTACTGTGTTGAAAATAGTACTAGAAACATGTGGTACGTTGCTATACATACTACTGCTTAAAGCTTGTGGGTTAACCGATATTGTAGTAGATGTAGATGGCAAGTTCAAGCACATAATGTTGTTGTTCCTAGCTTCAGCCGCCTTCAAAGCTTTATTTTTCAAAACTTTTTGAATTTTGAGCCGGCGAATCGTCTCACGGATCCGCTTACGGTAGTTGTCTACGTATAGGCACTACAAATATAGGGATTATCTACTATAACAAAACTATGTACTTTGTAGAACGGCAACTTATGTTAAAGTTGGGTCTGGATGTGTATAAAAGGGCAGGGGTAAGGTAAAAAATTGAGTTGAATATAAACTTACTTTACTACATGGACATTCAGCAAAGGGACATGAACTTGGATGGTTCTTGTACTTGACTTCAAAGCCATGTTGACGACATTTACCACACATTTTGGTTGACGTTTTTCTCAAATATGCCATTTTGAAAAATTCTGAAATCACTTGTTATAAACCAAAGTTTAAAAGTTAAGGCTACAATAATTTATAAGGGCTTTAAATTTTAAATAGCTTAGGCTTGGTAGGCTTAGGCTTGGTAGGCTTAGGCTTAGCAGGCTTAGGCTTAGTAGACTTAGGCTTAGTAGGCTTAGGCTTAGTAGGCTTAGGCTTAGAAGGCTTAGGTTTAGTAGGCTTAGGCTTAGAAGGCTTAGGCTTAGAAGGCTTAAGCTTAGTAGGCTCAGGCTTAGTAGACTTAGGCTTAGTAGGCTTAGGCTTAGTAGGCTTAGGCTTAGAAGCCTTAGGCTTAGAAGGCTTAGGCTTAGAAGGCTTAAGCTTAGAAGGCTTAGGCTTAGAAGGCTTAGGCTTAGAAGGCCTATGCTTAGAAGGCTTAGGCTTAGAAGGCTTAGGCTTAGAAGGCTTAGGCTTAGAAGGCTTAGGCTTAGAAGGCTTAACTGTCCAAAGACTATATTTTAATTTTAAAAAGTTACAGTGAGGCTAAATTTTTAATTTTAAAAAACGGCAATAGTTCAACTCAAAAGTTTGTTAAAATAAATTTTAAAAAGAGTTTAACTCTAAACTAAATTTAAAAGCGGCGATGCGACGAATTATAAATTCAGCACGCTAATCATTGATCAGAATCTGCATTGTGTTTGACGGTGAATTTGAGACTTAAGGGTCGCAAACGCCAATGATTTTTAATTTATCTGATTTGTCTATCTTGATTACTATCCACTTTAAAAACTATTAAGTTAACGTTGAATTTGGATTGCATTGATAATTGTTGATGATAAGTTAGACATGGCTATAAATTTTGTTTTGAATTCTAAAATGGCAAAGACTTTTCTGCACAAAATAAAAAATGACAATAACTTTCTTTACAAAATGAAAAATACTAAATGAAAAAAAATAGTAATAAATACTTTAAAAAATTAGTTATGGCAATACATTTTTTTTAGTACGCGATTTTTAAAAAAACGTTAACTTTTTTATGCAATTTTAAATAAAAAAAAATAACCAAAAAATTAAAAAATTTTTTCAATTTATTTTTAAATTTAAATTAGGATTTTTGTTGATCCAATTTTATACCAAGCCAGTGACAGTTTTCAACCATTTCTCATTAATCTTGTTATCTCTGTATCTTCGAAATACTTCGAAATATCCGTCGCAGTTTCGTGTCGATTTATTTTTTATAATTTTGTAATGAAATCACAAGGTATTCATGTAAGAATAAAATTGCGCAGATTTCTTAACTGATGGTCGATGCGTGAGAATTCGTCGTATACCGGCAACACAATGCATTAAGGTCAGCCATTGGGGAAAGTACTGTAGGACCAAAGACGAAGCCTACAAAGTATGAAGACTTCTAATTATAAGCAATTGGCTACTAAGCCTACTTAGCCATTGTCTACTAAGCCTAAGATTATTAAGCCCAAGCCGACTAAACCCAAGCCTGCTAAGCCTAAGGTTACTAAGCCATCGCCTACTAAGCTTAAGCCTACTAAGCCTAACTCTATTAAGCCTAAGCCTACTAAGCCTAAGCCTACTAAGCCTAAGCCTACTAAGCCTAAGCCTACTAAGCCTAAGCCTACTAAGCCGAAGCCTACTAAGCCTAAGCCTACTAAGCCTAAGCCTACTAAGTTTAAGCCTACTAAGCCTAAGCCTACTAAGCCTAAGCCTACTAAGCCAAAGCCTACTAAGCCTAAGCCTACTAAGCCTAAGCCTACTAAGCCTAAGCCTACTAAGCCTAAGCCTACTAAGCCTAAGCCTACTAAGCCTAAGCCTACTAAGCCTAAGCTTACTAAGCCTAAGCCTACTAAGCCTAAGCTTACTAAGCCTAAGCCTACTAAGCCTAAGCCTACTAAATCTAAGCCTACTAAGCCTAAGCCTACTAAGCCTAAGCATACTAAGCCTAAGCCTATTAAGCCTAAGCCTACTGAGCCTAAGTCTACTAAGCCTAAGCCTGCTAAATCTGTGCCAACTGATACTAAGTCTACTAAGCCTAGGCTTACTAAATTTACGTTTATTAAGCCTAAGACTACTAAATTCAAGTCTACTAAGCTTAATATTACTAAGTTTAAAGGAAGTTAGTGTACTTTCGTACAATAAATATTTGTAAAATTTATTAAAAAATAACGAAAAAATAACAATATCAAACATCAACCATGGCTTCTTGTTCAGTGATGACAGCAGGTTTTTTCACCTTGTCTTTAGTGCAAATATAATATACAAAAGCCGACAATAACAAGATGCAAAATAAAAATACAGTAAGAATGATGAAATGGCTAGCATGGTGTTCGTATTGTTGCTCTTCGTGAACGGTTTTGATCCAATTATCAATGGTGTCTATTTTACTTGGTGGGGCACAGACTGCTGCGACTTTTGGATTTCTAAATTTTTGTTTTTTAATTTATTGGCTAAAAAAATGTGGCATGGCAATTTTTTTTTGTAAATTTTGCCTTTGAAATAGGGTTGTAAAGAGGATGGGTTCAATTCTTCAGCTTGGTCCACGGGTTTAGTCTTAATTTAGGGCCTGGCCTTTAGACCAACATGAGTATAACTGGCCGCTCCAAATTTTTTTCGACTTGGCTCGGCCCGTTATGTAAATTCACTAAATTTTTTTTTGAATTTTTCAGGAAACAATTTAAAATTAAGAACGTTTTTTTTTTCAATTCAAGGAAAAATCTTACTGATAATGGCTGTAGCAACTCCAGTTTGGCGGGCATCCATCCTTCCATGGCCCACAAGCTTCTGGTTTTTGAAGGCGATGAAACAAAATTTGATTTTTTAGCTCCATAACATGCGTACAGGCTTTCAAATAGGGTAGCTAGAATGTGCTTTGACCCGTCTAACTTTTGTTTGGATTTCTTTTCACAAAATAATCAAAAAATTGAAATATGTAGGCTTATTAGCTACCGGGAACAAAAATTTATGTTCAGAGCCCAGTAGCAATAATAATATTAATTTAAAACAGAAGTAGTCAAAATAGAATTAATAATATTGTATTATATCATGCACCAATTTTTAATTAAAACTATTGAAAAACTTGAGAAAAACAATATTTTAACTTTTCCACTTTTAACTCATTAAAAGAGAAGAAGAGACGGTTTACCTTGAGAATCGCCGGAAAAATAAGGGCTGATAACACTCTTTGACCTTTTACGATAAATAAACTGTTGCAGACTGTTTTGAAGCACTTTTGGGGCAAAAAACTTAAAAATGGCAAGAATTTTTTACATAAGGCATAAAATGGCAATAACTTTCTTTACAAAATAAAAATTGACAATATGTTACTCTATAAAGTTAAAAAACACAAAGTTTGTTCCGTAAGAAATAGCAAGAACTTTCTTTACTAAGCAAAAAATGGCAAGAACTTTCTTTACAAAACAAAAAATGGCAAGAACTTTTCTTAAAACAAAAAATTGGCAAGAACTTTTTTTTACAAGTTTAAAAAAAAAGAAAAAACTCTTTGCAAAACAAAAAATGACAAGAACTTTCTTTACAAAACAAAAAATGGAAATAACTTTCTTTACAGACTAAAAAATAATTTTAAAACATTTTTTTTATTTTAAAATGTAATTCCACCCAATTCTTGTTATTTTTGTTTATTTCGGTCATAAATCCGATGCCATTCTCAACATGTTTGCTTAATGTCGTTGGTGTTAAAATTCCTTTTAATTTGATTCAATTTTCTAGCTTTTTGGCCTTATTAGCCCAACCGCCTTATTTTGTTATTCTTGTCAGTTTTAACACCAATTTCGCACATTTCACTTGTGTTTGACAATTTTTCTGGGTAATAAGGTTGATTTTTATGCAGGAGGGGAGGGGGGAGTCATTTTACTATAACTTTGCACGTTTATTTGCTTTGATGGTAACTGTAAAGAAAGTTCTTGCCAATTTTTTTTGTAAAGAAAGTTTTTGCTATTTTTTGTTTTGTAAAGAAAGTTCTTGCCATTTTTGTTTTGTAAAGAAAGTTCTTGCCATTTTTTGTTTTTTAAAGAAAGTTTTTGCCATTTTCTGCTTTGTAAAGAAAGTTTTTTCTATTTTTAAATTTCTACTCATAGAAAAACCGGAAGAAAGTTATTATCACAAGTACCATCAAAACGTTTTTTCAAAACTTTAATAATTTCAATTCCGATTGCTTTTTTCTAATAATAACCTTAATTGCCGGATAATCTGGCCAATAAAACTATGTAATTTCGATTAAATATTTTAATTTTGCGCAACAAATATTTACATATTTTGTCGCAATTAAACTCGGAGGATTATCTTTGAGGCGACTAATTAAGCAAAACGTTGTAAACACATTTTAATAAATTTGGTGTTATTAAGTACTGATATGAAGTGAACTCTGAATTGGAAATGGCAAAGACTTTCTTTAAAAGTAGAATGGCAAAAACTTTCTTTACATAATAAAAAATGGAAAGAACTCTCTTTACAAAACAGGAAATGGCAAGAACTTTCTTTAAAAATAAAAAATACGTTTCCCACGCCAACCACATGTTCCATAGAGCATGTTGTGTGGGTGTACAATAACCTTAAATCCGGTGCCATTTTTACTATGTCACTGGGTATTACAGTTAAGACATATCCATATCAAAGCCATAGAAGAAAGTTGTTAGGAAGTTGGCTTAATGCGCGGATAATCTGTCTATTTACAATGTTTTTGATCTTATCAATTACTGTGGAACTCCGGTATAATTAATTTTACTATAACGAATGTAGTTTGTGTTTTTTGCGTTTTGGAAAGGAAGTTCTTGTCACTTTTAGTTTTGTAAAGAAAGTTCTTGCCATTTTTTGTTTTGTAAAGAAAGTTCTTGCCCTTTTTTGTGTTGTAAAGAAAGTTCTTGCTATTTCTAGTTTTTTAAAGGAAGTTCTTGCTCATTTCCGTTTTTTAAAGAAAAATCTTGCCCTTTTACGCTTTGCAAAGAAAGTTTTTGCAAATTTTCCTTTGTCATTATTTAGAAAAGAACAAAAAATGTGAACTTTAATACAAAAATGTAATTTTAGTAACGTTTCATGTGCAAATATTATATTTTAAGCACCCACATTGTTTGTACGAATTTTAGAACAATCTAGTTAGGACAGGTGAAAAAAAAGGGGGGGGGTATTTTTGAATTTTCGTGTTTGTGCAAAATTGGTTTGCTATTACTTGCTTATTAATATAAGCTATTTATATAGAAACCGTATTTTGGGCTGACTTTTTTAGTTTTGCAACGGTAGTGATAGACCTGATTGGAGCCCACCAGGGCCGGGCGGGGACTTTTGGTCTGAGGGCAGGGGTCCAAAAAATCGGCACAGGTCTGTGCCGATTTTTTGCAAAATTTTTTTTTCGAAAATTGACAGAGGGGACCACGTTCAACTTTTTTTTCAAAAAATTTTTTTTCTGTACCCTCCCCCGTCCCCCCCCTCGCGCCCGGCCCTGGAGCCCACTAAGGCTGGTCGAGCTGAAGCAACTTTTAAAAGGGACAGGTTTAAAAGTTGGGCTCGGCCCCCGTTTATGTCTAGGTAGGGAAGATGGGTAAAAAAATGGGCCGGGCTTTTGCAGGTCTAGCGAGTGAAGATTTTTTTTCATATAAAAATCGATAGCGATGCCCAATGTCATAAATTGATGACGTTGAATAGAATAGTAAATCTGGTTATACTTAGTAATTAACCAAAAAAACTCACACAAGCTAACTTAATATTTTCTTAAGCTGAAGTTGAAACGTATAATGTTCTTCTTAGAATGTTAACATCATACTATGCCCTTTGCGAACGAAAAACACTGAGATAGGCACTTAGGTCTTTAATGGCTTAAATTTAGTACTGTAGGCTTTAGGTTTGGGTATAGAGGGCTTAAATTATGTACTGTAAGAAAGTACGGTTGAGCATAGTCTTATGAACCATAGAGTGGTATTTGTATGGTGTGGTTACGATGTTTGAATGCTTTTTTTTTAAATTTTTATTACGTAGGTTTATGCGTCTGGTACTGTATGTTAAAGTCCTGTACGCTTTAGTACGCTGGGTTCATCGCTTGTGTACTGTGGATTTTTAAGAGTAAGGCAAGTGTGGTTGGGGTATTATAAGGCAGGATGGAAGGGTAACAGTATCGCAAACATACAAAGGGAAGGGTAGGGTAGGGTAGGGTAGGGTAGGGTAGGGTAGGGTAGGGTAGGGTAGGGTAGGGTAAGGTAGGGTAGGGTAGGGTAGGGTAGGGTAGGGTAGGGTAGGGTAGGGTAGGGTAGGGTAGGGTAGGGTAGGGTAAAGTAAGGTATGGATTATTGAAGACTTTAGAGTTCAATTTGAAATTAAAAGATCGAATTTCTACACACTTTTTGACCTCAAATTTCAAAAGATTTGTATTTCAATCACCAAGCTTTATCTCACGGAAGTAAAAACTTTATGAACAAGATAAACACTTATTGTAATCCATTTTGTATTATACGCTCAAACTCTAAAGATACCATAGAGTTGCTGTAAATGTCATCGAATTAAGAAGAATTATTAAGAAACTCAATTTGTATGTTTACTACAAGACTTTGCAAGTAAGCTAAAAATAAAATGGCAACGTAATCAAAGCTTCAAAAATTAAATTGCCCTCAGGCTGTTTTGTTTAATTATTTTAACATTGAGACAATATTGAAGGGCTTAATTTGTTTTTAATGATAGTGTTATGATAAGTCTGGGTTTATTTTAGATTGTAAAGGAAGTTTTGGCGATTCTTTGGGTCTGTAAACAAAGTTCTTGCTATTTTTAAATTTGTAAACAAAGTTATTGTCATTTTGTGTTTTGTAAAGAAAGTTTTTGCCATTCTTTGTTTTGTAAAGAAAGTTCTTGCATCTTAATGAGTTGTAATGAAAGTTTATGCCCTTTTCATTCAAAAACCTCAAAAATTACAAAATTTTCAAAAAATTTTTGTTTGTGCCAAAATTTCGGTTACCGAATACCAAATGAGACAATGACGTTCGTACTGTAAAGTACGGGTTGACAAATTGCTTTTTGATGGCATTGTTACGACTATTTTTGGCCCAATTTTGACAGTTTTCATGTCGTATGAACGATAGTAGATTAATTATCGTTGTACGTACTGTAAAGTGCACTTACCGAAATGTATGGCTTTTATGGAAACGTGAAATATTTTAAAATTTTATTGCACTGTAAGTTTTGACGTTACGTCAAGATGAAAGAAAGATTAGGTAGAAAGCTTGAAAGGGGCAAGAAATTTCTTTACAAAACATAAAATGGCAAAAACTTTCTTTACAAAACAAAAAATGGCAAGAACTTTTTACACAAACCATAAAATGGCAAGAACTTTCTTTACAAAACAAAAAACGGCAAAAACTTTCTTTACAAAACACAAAATGGCAAGAACTTTCTTTATAAAATATAAAATGGCAAGAACTTTCCTTACAAAACAAAAAATGGCAAGAACTTTCTTTACACAATAATTTTTTATTTATTTTTAAATTCAAACTTGCATAATTAATGTCGTTATGTTTTGAAAACCTGTATTTTTTACGAATTTACTTTCAAAAGTGGGCGGAGCTTAAGGCCGTTTAAATAATTAAAAGAGTATATTACGGATTACAAATAATAAGATTTCATCTTTAATACCTCCAGATAAGGCTATAGTTGTGCATGCATTTAATGTTTTACGACTGAGAGTTGGTGGATTTTTTAAATTTTTTTGAAATTTCAAAACATTTTTTGAAATTTTTTAAAATTTGGGTTACTGTAGTGTAGGGTGGGCTGGAGTTGGGGTGAGGCTGGTAACTTTTAAAAATGCATTTTTAAGTCTTAGAAGGGGGTCTGGTTCACAAAACAATGCGTTTTTGTTTATTTTTCGAAAAACTTTTTAAGGGTAGGACTGTATCACAAATTAAAATTTTTTTTGTTTCTAGTTTCGAATTGAGTTTAATTTTTTTAAATTTTAATAATAATTTTAAAAAGAGGTCCACTAGGCTTTATCTGGACCGGATTGTGCCGGCCCGGTTGCGAGGGCCCAACCCAAGGTTACCGGGGCACAGATCAGGCCGTTAGAGTTGGTTTAAACGGACCAACGCAAATTTGAAACGGGTCGGATCTAGAAATGTGGGCCTGAGGGTCGGTGCTTAAAATAAATGCCTAGTTCATCCCCATTACCCGTCTACCGAAGATCCTTTCAGAATTTTTTCGGACCCTTTCACAAAACCTTGAATTTAAAAAATAGCACGTAAGCTTCTTCTTCGTGCCATAAACATACTGCTTTATTAAATTCTATATATAGTTTATTTTGAAATATATATATTAATAACAACCGCACATTCGTATATTCTTCACACGTTTGGTATGGGTCTATGTGGTATGGGTTATATACGTATAGACACTTAATTATTCGTATTGGCGCCGCTTCCGGGGGGCCAGTACATCCGTCGTATCTGTTATGGAAGGTGATTTATAATTGGGTACCAAGAAGTCTCATTTTGTTTTTTCGTTTCATTTTTTGTAATTTCGGGATGTTGTAGTAGCATATGAAGAATAGGTAGAGCTAAATGACGTGGTTGATGTAATCATATATGAGGAATGGGTAAAGGTATATAACATTTTAGTATTTTGCCGTATATATTGCCACTTTACGTTCATAGCTTGTATATTATACCATTCATGACACTATACAACACAGATACGTGTTACAGTTCGTATTTTACATCAAAACTCCCTTGTCATACCATGACTTTTTGTATTTTAGGATAAAAACCAAGTACCATGGTATCGGTTAGCTTTTTACTTGTTGTAGCAACTTTAGTGTCATGTGTAACATCACGAGTGACGAGTCGGGACCCTAAAATGCGTAAGTTTTTATTTTTGTTTTGTAAAGAAAGTTCTTACCATTTTTGGTTTTGTAAAGAAAGTTTTTGCTATTTTTGTTTTGTAAAGAAAGCTCTTGCCATTTTTTGCTCTGTAAAGAAAGTTTTTGCTATTTTTGTTTTGTAAAGAAAGCTCTTGCCATTTTTTGCTCTGTAAAGAAAGTTTTTGCTATTTTTGTTTTGTAAAGAAAGCTCTTGCCATTTTTTGCTCTGTAAAGAAAGTTTTTGCTATTTTTGTTTTGTAAAGAAAGCTCTTGCCATTTTTTGCTCTGTAAAGAAAGTTTTAGCCATTTTCTGTTTTATAAAGAAAGTTCTTGTCATTTTTTGTATTGGAAAGAAAGTTCTTGCCATTTTTTGTTTTGTATAAAAAGCTCTTGCTATTTTTCATTTTAAAAATACAAATAGCTTTTTATCGACCATAAAAAGTCTGTAAAAATATTAATTTATTAATTTTATACCAGATAGCATATAATGAAAGAGATAATCCGATAATTCTTAATGTCTCATTACAATTTATTAACTAAAATTTGCAAGATTTCCAAGGAAAATGAATCCGATATGAAAACCATTATATTATTAACCTTTAATGAGTTATGTTTTTTGGTTTACGGCGGAAGCGATTAATAATTTTTATATTAAAATATATTATAATTAACGTGCCTACACATTTTTTGAATGTTATCTATAAATTGAAAAAAAAAATTAATTTTTCGATTTGTAAAGAAAGTTCTTGCCATTTTTCCTTCTGTAAACAAAGTTTTTGCAATCTCTTGACTTGTAAAGAATGTTCTTGCCATTTTTCCATTTGTAAAGAAAGTTCTTGCGATTTTCGGTTTTGTAAAAAAAGTTCTCGCCATTTTTGGTTTTGTAAAGAAAGTGTTTGTCATTTTTTGTATTGTAAAGAAAGTTCTTGCCATTTTTTATTTTGTAAAGAAAGTTCTTGCCATCTTTCTTTCTTGTAAAGAAAGTTCTTGCTATTTTTTTTGTAAAGAAAGTTTTTTCCATTTTTTGTATATGTAATGAAATGATTTTTTTGTCATTGAAAAACAGCACGTTTGAATAACATGAACTTCCTGTGCAATATCGTATGACATAAACACAAAAACATAATTTGAAAGAATGTTACACTAAACTACGATTACACTGTAAAACGGTGGCACTTTACACTAGAAAAAGCTGGTACAAATTTGCACAACAATAGTATAGTATTTCTTGCTTTTTGAGTTTAAGTGCTGTAGTAATATTAAACAGCTTGCAAGGGTTTTATTTCTTAGGTCAAGATGAACTTGTTGTAGCTAAAAGCAACCTTAATGTAGCTCAAAAATTAGCTTGTTGTAGCCAAAGCATGCCTTAATATGGCCCAAAAGGCACCTTTTTGTAGTCAAAGATGTGAGGGTGTTTACAAGTAGTAAATAGAGATGAAGTACCATCATCTTGTGGTGTCATTTTTTTTTATTTTTTTGGTGTTTTGCCCACTACAAGATAATACAATCTGCCTTGGTATAGTAGGTAAAAAATAAGCCAACATAATGTTACAAAATTGCTTCACAGAACCTTGAATATTAATTGTAGTATCATCATAGTACTCTGAAAACAACCACTCTAATATAATCATACAAAATAGTACTTGAAAATCTTGTAATATCTTAACAAGCAACACTTATATTGAGAAATAGATAACAATCTTATGAGAAAGTATTATAGATAACTACCTTAAACATTACAAATGTTAATTGTCATGTTTTCAGGAAACGTGCGTTCGTTAGTCAGAACCCCCAACTCACCCCGATCCCTAAACAGTATGCTAAAACAACCCATCTTATCGTTTGGCTCGTGGTTTGGAGCTCACCGATCAAAACGACACCAAATGCATAACCGCCACTATCTACCACAAACTCTGCAATCAGCTCTACTGAACTCTGAAGTTGGTTCTCCATTTCTATCTTCTGAAATTAGAGCTCCAGCTGTAGAAGCCCAACGAACATCCCTAAAAAATTCCGAAGTTATAGAGTTGACTCCAAGGTTTATTCAAATTTCTGAACCTATGGAAGCCCCTGAAGGTTTGAAAGCAGAAGCCACAGAATCACTAGAATCTCAGCCGGACGCTACAGCATCCTACACTTCTTTGAATTCTCTAGAAGCGCCTTCAGAAGCCGAAGATGCTCCAGAAAGCGAAGTGTTATCAAAAATTGAAAACCTTGCAGCCAAAAACAAGTTGGTCAAAAAGCTTCTAGTAAAAGCCGAAAATCGACCAGTCAAATCGCAAATTCAGCAGAACGATCGACAGATTCAACAGAAAGACAGTGAACAGCCTGTAGACCAAGAAACTACAGAACCTAAAACACAACCGCAGCAAGTTGATAATGAAGCACAGCAATTTGATAATGCTAGCAAATTAGAAGAGCTGCAAAAGCGCAAAAATGAACTTTTGCACAACATTGAGGAAGTGTTATTAAAAAAGCACATCAAAGATGACTTGGAGCTGATTACGGTAGATGACGCCCAAACCAGCCGCCTTCAAAAGCTTCTGGGCAAAAATTTGATTGTTGTTAAAGTGTAACATTGTTAACAACAAAATTCATGTTAAAGTGCACGATTTTTTAAGTACTCTTTAATAGTACTACTGAGATACTAATAAGATTACTATACTATATGACATTTTAAGTAAGTCGTAATGTGGCACTTTGTAAGTCATAATGTATGGTAATTTTATTTGTATATTTCATGACAATTTTGCTTCTCCAACCTTTGTCTCCTTGCTGTCATTGTCTCATCTTAGAGTACATTAGACATATTATTCGCTTCCTTGTTTAGTACTTGTATTTACCATTTGGTTCAACTACATGATGAGATTAACAATTTGACCTAATTGTTAATCTTATCATGTTGTTGAACTAATACATCACCACTTTTAATTCGCACATCATTTAAAACAATTGGAAACTATCATCATTTAGAAACTCTTTTATGTCATCATTATGTCCAATTTGACGCTACATTTTGCAAGTTCTATGCGTTCAGCTTCAAAATCCGAAACGTCAAATTTTTGGAACGTCACTATTACTCAGTTTTTAAATTTAAGACAATTACGATCTCACATTTTTGGATTAAAGGCTTATGACTAATTTCGTCTGCCACTTTTAACCGAATTGTTTTGCAACTTTACAGTGTTTACCAGACATATTAAAGACATAAGCCAATTTGATCTGTTGTTTAGAGTAAAAACATTAGTCTATCCTATATCTATTTGTCTCACGTAGGATAACACAAAGGTCTTGTAAAGTAATAGACTTGTCTAACTGATTATCTTTGAACTTAATGACCTTATTATACAATTTGTAACAATTTGTCTTGTTATGCCCTATTTTCGAACAAATTAAACTTTATACTCTCCAAAACGGTGCCAAATTCTTACGATATTATCTTAATTTATTTACTACAAAAAACATGTTTACAATAATAAAGTTATACGCTTACAATCTTTGGCTTTACATATAGTAAAAATAAAAAACAACCGTGTTATTTATACTAAACGTTTATATGCACGTATTGAAGGAGTTGTCACGATATTAGATGGCGAACTTTGAAACAAAAAGTATGGGCTTGTAGCATAAACTATTGTCTAGGTATATGTTTTTTCTACTCATACTGCGGCCCTTAACTAGCCGTCTACTCCTACCTCACCATCAGCCTCAGCAGCTTAAGTTAAATAACCAACAGATAAATCTATAACTTCCTGGTGCAACATATAACGTTTCAATCAAGTTCAAGTTTATCTCCTAAAACGATAGTTCATTTACTTCTTCTAAGCTAATCCTATAATTCATCCTAAAACAACTTTAATCATTAAAGATAGCAAGCAAGTTTTAAAATAGGTTTTTTTAATTCCAAAAGCAATTATTTTTTAACTAAAAACTTTAACTTTGGATAGAACACCTCTTTAAGTCAAAACAATTGGCAAAAGAAAAAACAACAACATCCAACAATAAAAACGATAATTTCTAAACAAACTTTGAAAGGAAAAAAAATAAACAAAAATAAATATTCGTCTTGGCATTCTGATTCAGCTGGAGGCAATTGATTGTTTTCGTTGTAAGTCACGAAATAAAAAAAATTCAAAACTATTACTTTATTAAAATTTTGAACATTTAAAAACAAATTAAAGCCGGATTTCTTGAGCAAAATTTTATTTACTGGCAGTAGTGTCTGAGAAAAATACCGTATTTTTGATAAAATATAACAAGTGTGGAATCGTATGTTAGGCTGAACATACTATGGCGAGGTTTATTGATGAGTCTGGCTGGTCTGGGATTGACGTTGGTTCAAAGTGGCACGTTCCTGCAATTTTAAAATTTTAGTCTTTTTTTTTACTTTAGGTTATAGATTTGCTCTTTGAGGCATATAATACCATAAGAATTTAAAATTGTGACAAACATATTGTAAAATTACCTCTCCTTGAGTGTTGTACAAGATAGTTTGAATGTTGGCACCAACACCGAAAGTCTCTTCCCCATCGAAGATCAATTGAGCTGGAGGGTTATGAATGCCGCCTTGGTTGCGGGCCCAAATCTTGACAGTTCTGCCAGGCAACAACACGTAGTCCTTGGGGAAAGTGTAGACAATCTCTCGTTTACCGTCAATCTTGCGCTTCAATTTCCATTCTCCAATGGCTTCTTCCTTGGAACGGTGAGTGTTCTCCAGGGTCACGAATTTACCATCAGGAGAAGTTTCTTGAATAGAAACATTGCCCTTGGCTGAACGAGAGTAGGATTGATGGCTACTGGTTTCACCCTTGACCACACGCATGGTTTCAGTATCAGCGACTTCGTTGATTCCGGTAGTACGAACAACTTGTTCGACAAGTTGGCGAAGGCCAGGACCATCACCTTCTCCTTCCAACATTTTGCGGTAGATTGCGATCTCAGCATCTAAGGTTTGTTTAGCGTCAAGCAACATCTGAAGCTCCACCATCAAGGCTTGGCACTCTTCACGAAGCTTGCGTAGCTCATTGTCCTTGGCATTCAAGGCATCTTCGTAGCCACGTTGATCATCTTCGATTTGGTTGTTCAGGTCTTCAAGTTGCTTTTGTAAGAAGGCGTTGCGGCCTTCAGCATCTGCAATCTTGTTGCGCAGGTCGGCGAGTTGTTGCTTCAGACGTTTCAACTCGTCCTTCAGATGACCCTGCTCCATATCGTTGCGAGCACCTTGAGTTTCGATTTCTTGGACGGTCTTACGGTACCACGAGTCCATGTCGTTCTTGAAAGCATTGTCATCGTCTTCAATTTGTCTACGAATATCACGGATAGCATTGGCCAATTCGTTGCCAAAGTAAGCGCGATTTTCGTTTGTAGTGTCACGACCAATTTGGTCTTGCAAGTCCTTGATTTCTTGTTCGTTAGCACGACGTAGGTACTCAATCTCCTCCAACAATGTCTTGACCTTGTTTTGGTTATCCAATTTTGTCAAACGTGCTTGGTCGATCAATGTTTGGACACGACGAATTTCGTTCTGAAGTCTTTGGTTTTCAGCACGAAGGCGTTTAACTTCATCCTCCAACAAAGCGATACGACGCTTCAGGAGGTTAATTTCAGCTTCGAGGTTGGAGAGCTCGACCAGAAGATCGTCGATTTTCTGCCGGTCGGCGGCACGATCGCGTGAGGCTTGCTCGAACTTGCGACGAAGTTCATTGACCTGATCTTGAAGACGTCGAAGGTCTTCTTCGGTGTGACGCTTCTCGTTGTCCGTGTCGTCAATCATTTTTTGGGCTGACTAAACGTGGTTTTATAGGCTTTGTGATCATATTTTTTGGATTTTATTAATTTTTTGAAATTTGAATTTTTTTTTGAAATTTAAGAAATTTAAAAAAATATTTTTTGTTTTTTAGCTTGTCGTATTTTATCTTATACAGCTCTCAAATAAATGTCTTTTACAAAAATTCTAATTAAAGGTCTAATTAACGCTATACAACGCTTAATTTCCAATTAGTTTTGGCGGAAGAGGGACGAAACCGGTTTTATGTCAAAAATTCCGGGAATTTTGTACGAATTAAAGAAAAATGTGACTTAAAGAGTTTAAAAGGTCTTTTTAAAATTGACAGATGTGTTTCTTATTCTATAAATTTTAAAAAGAAGGTAATACAGCGCTTAATTGTTTTTTTTTGCGTATAACATGGTTCCGCAACCTGCAGGGGCTCAATGATAAGGTTGTTCAAAAAGTAATGAGCTAGCTCTTAGCAACTTTTCAAAAAAAATCAGGAAACATTAAAAAATCATGCAATTTCCTTTGTATAATAGTTTTTCTTTTTTCAGTGGCTCATTACTTTTTGAACAGAATAATACTTATTGAAAACGTTTAGCTTACTCTAATCTCCACCTCAAACATGGTCTTGATGGTAGTAGGCCCTCTGTTGGCAATCTTCTTGATATTCTCAATGTCCATGCCCAATTTTCGGTTTTGGGCCTCCAAGAATCGGACCTTCTCAATGTAGCTAGCCAACAAGTCATTGAGCTCGCTGAGTTGTTTCCGTTCACGTTCCTTGTTTTCACGGACGGCCGATGCTGGTCCCGAGCCAAGGGACGATACACCACTGCCAATGTTCTTGGTCACGGTTTCGGTCACGACGCGAATGGTGCGGTTGCCTGAGGCTACAATGCTTGGATTAGGGTGGGGTTGAGAGTTGGGGGTTAGATGGGGTGGAGAGTTGAGAGTAGGGTGGGGTTGAGGGGTTAGGTTTGGGTTGGGTGACGTATTCAGATTACGGTGAGGTACAGTATTTAGATTAGGATGACTTGGAGAGATTGATATAGAAGACGAAGGGGTAGATACAGAAGATGGTACTGATGGTACAACATTATTTTGGGACCTATGATCAGAAATGACTTCAGAATCTCTATAGTACAACAAATTTTCATAACCACCTCCAGAGTCATCAAACACCTCCATATAACCCCTGTCACTACTCCTCCTTATATACGGATTTCTACCGTATCTCTCCTGACTAATCACATTGTTAGGCTTAACATACGATGTACCTTCAGCCTTAACATATGATATATCATTAGGCTTAACATACGATATCTGAGTGCTATGTGAACCCTCAGGCTTGGTTATAGGAGAAACTACAAAAAGTGACATGGATGCCGACATTTCTCGAGATTTAGGCAGAATGACATATAATGATTCATCGTGAGAAGAGTAGACATCTGGAGGCATTGATGAGGTTCTTGAGGCTTTAGATAGGGTTTTAGACAGACTTCGAGATGAGCGAGGAGGTTTTGGGGGTAGGTCAGAGGGGAATGAGGATGAGGCTCCCATGGGTAGAGTAGGTAGGGTAAAGAGGTGGTACAGTTCAAGTATCAAGTATGATACAACAGTAATGTAATAGTAGTGGTAGTACTGTGGAGGTGACTAATATGAATAGTTCTTAGTGTAGTACATAGAGAATGTTTAAAATAGTACTGTACTAAATAGTACTATGAATTTTATCTTAGCAGCTTTGAGTAAATAATGAAAAAACAGTACGGTACTGTATAGTGAAATTGAATACCGTAAGAGCAAGTAAAAGTAAGAATGTAATAATTCAAAGTAAAGTAGTACAAATTTCAGTACTGTAGTACTAGTTCTGACTAAAATGTTTGTCTAGTACTGGTCACAAATACTCAGCTAGCACTCTACCAAATTCGAAATTACATATAGTACGTCGTCATTCAAATCCAAGAAAAGACCAAAGTCATAGACCAAAGATACGACGTTATGTACATAAACCAATAACTTACCGGGCGAGATATTGATGTCGCTTCCGAATTGGCCCGAAGCGCGGTTGAAGGACGCACGCGGCGTTATTGTGCTCCGATACTCATATTCTTCGTTCGCCATTCTGCAAACAGTTACTATGTAAAAACGCATATATGTATGATGGGGGTAAGTAAATATGAACGTTGCGGAGGTAACGGTATGAACTATAGGTTTATATAAACATTAAAAATTAAAAAAAAGAAGGTAAGGTAGGATAGAGTAACGTGTTTAGGCAAGTCAATGAAAGGGTATAGACAAGGGTTGGATAAGGCAAGGTTAGTATAAGGCGAGCATAGAGCAAGGCAAGGGTGGGGTAAGGCAACTGTAGGGTAGGGAATAAGGCAATATGGAAGGGTAGCAGTATTTCAGAAACATACCGTACGATAGGGTAGGGTAGGGTAGGGTAGGGTAATGTAGGGTAGGGTAGGGTAGGGTAGGGTAGGGTAGGGTAGGGTAGGGTAAGGTGGGGTTGAGCTGAAAATGGCAGGGATTCTGCACCCTCTTAACCATTTTAATTAAATCATCCAAACTTTCGACAATTTCTCTTAACCACCCAAGCCGCTATACCTTAATCTCCAACAACACCAACCAATATCAATAAGCCGAAAAGATTGTTTATCACCGCATCTAAACAACGGTCGCTGAACCAGCTCTCCCCGCAATCAAAGAAACACCCGAAACTTGAAGCGGCAGGGGTGGGGGAAAAAGAATTCCATCACATTAAGACGACGAATTAAATGGATTCTGGGCGTTTTCTTAATCATTTTGGAAAAAGGGGGGTTGCGCGATTGGAAAAAACGGAAAAACCGTTTTTCGCACCGAAACCGACTTTCTTAGGCGATGACTAAAAAGCCTTGAAGACGTCGAGAAAACCAGCTATATAAGGGGTATATTAAAAAATGGCACTTGCTGTTTATAAGTTTAGTTAAAAATGGCATAAATTTAAAATTAAAAGAAAAATTTGGACACATTTCATCGTATAACACGTCACAAAATTAAAAAAGAATTAAAAGGCTTTAAAAAAGCTAAAGTAACTCATGTAGGAAAAAGATGTACAGTATAAACACGGTGTTTTGCCTTTACACATGTTTCATCGTATAACATATCATAAATTTTTATCAATTTGAAAAAACGTTAAAAATTTCTTTAACAGCTTATGTAAAACAAGTTTATACAACTAAACTAATATTTTTGAATTTTGGACACTTTTCATCGTATAACATGTCCACCGCAGCCTGCAAGACGTTTCTTCATTCTAAAACAGGAATAAAACGTAAAAAAACATAAAAATATAAAAATAAAAAATTTAAAAAATTTTTAAACCGCAATAACTTTCTTTACAAACAAAAACTCTCTTTTTCTCGATTTTGCTTTTGCAATCCATCATTCCACCAACTCCTTGATTCACACCGTTGTAATGTTGTTGTTAACGAGTGCGCACGAGAAGAAAAAAATCATCAACAAAATGAATCACTAATGAGTCGTTTTAATTACAGCGTTTTTTAAACGTAATTTACTTTGCTATAAAAAGGTTTTACTGTTTACTGGACAATTGTACATACACTAAGGTACTTTGGACAAAACAAGTCTTTAAAATTAAAAAAATTGTAAAAAGTAGATGTAAATGACAAAAAATGAAACAATATTATACGTAAAATTCAAAAAAGGTTTAAAAAATTAAAGTAAATAAGTTTAAAAAAGTCTTGTCGTTTTTTACTGTACACATCAGTGCAAAAAAGCGACAAAACTTTTTTTTATTGGTTAGAACATTGTGTGAGGGTAGACTAGAGTAAGAAAGGGTAAGGTAGATTAGAGTAGAGTAGGGTGGATAGAATAGACCATGTAATACATTGTGTGAGGGTAGGGTAGACTAGGGGACGGTAGGTAGGGTAAGATTAGTTAAACCATGTTATACCACAATATAATCAATTTACATACAAAGAAAAATCACAATTTCAAATTATATAAATCATATCACGTATTTTACAAAAATCTACATGATTTCGGCCAAGAACTTTTTGATTTCACCAGGCAGGTCCTTAATACTAAAGCCTTTCTTCTCTTGTGTTGGCATGTCCCAGCCACTGTTCATGGTCTGGAAGTAATCGGCTTCGTACTTTGGCTTCACCTTCTTCGACGGCTTTGGTGGTTTGTTACTGTAGTATACAATACCCCAGATGTAGGAGTAGTAGTACAGGGCCATCCATAGGTGACCGGTCTGAAATAGAGATGGGGTTACGGTAATTGTTTGGGCAAAGTAGAGTAGCAAGGCAAAGGCAGAGCAAAAACAGGGCAAAGGCAGGGCAAAGGCAGGGCAAAGGCAGGGCAAAGGCAGGGCAAAGGCAGGGCAAAGGCAGGGCAAAGGCAGGGCAAAGGCAGGGCAAAGGCAGGGCAAAGGCAGGGCAAAGGCAGGGCAAAGGCAGGGCAAAGGCAGGGCAAAGGCAGGGCAAAGGCAGGGCAAAGGCAGGGCAAAGGCAGGGCAAAGGCGGGGCAAAGGCAGGGCAAAGGCAGGGCAAAGGCAGGGCAAAGGCAGGGCAAAGGCAGGGCAAAGGTAGGGCAAAGGCAGGGTAAAGGCAGGGCAAAAACAATGCAAAGCCAAAGCAAAGGCAGAGCAAAGGCAGGGCAAAGACAAGGCAAGGGTAGGGCAAAGGCAGGGCAAAGGCATAGCAAAGGCAGGGCAAAGCCAGGACAAGGCAACCTACCCAAACAACAATCTGAAAATCTGGATCAGTGCACTTCCGGGTGTTTAAGTATGGCGTCCACGCCAAGAAGTATAACATTCCCAAAGTAACGCAGATAAAGTAACCAAACACGACAATGTACAGCGTTCGTACTGTCGTCATGTTGTTACTGATTTGGAATTTTACGTCCAACGAGAAGTTGTAATTGTGACGACGTTTTTGGCCCCATACGTAGATTACTCCAAAGGTCTGAAATTACAAGATATTACTGTAGACTAGGACTAAAGCGAAAGCTAGCTAGAGTTAGAGCTAGAGCTAGAACTAGCGCTAGACCTAGAGCTAGCGTTAAAGCTAGAGCTAGAACTTGAGCTAGAGCTAGAGCTAGAACTTGAGCTAGAACAACTTACTACACATCCCCCAATACAAGCCGACCATCCCTTGAAGAACCCAAACCAAAACTCATTATGATCCGCCTCCATCAGCGGTCGAATCCGGCACTCCTTGGGTATGTCCGAATAGTACTGATACAGCGCCAAGAACACGCCATGAGCATTACCAGCCACAAAGTCAAAAATCAATAATAGTATGCCGAGTTTGGCATTCTGAGCATTATAGTTCTTGTCAGCATAGTACGTAGCAGCAAATCGTTCCATAGCCAGCACCACACTAGTTAGTACTACCATGTCTAGTCCACCAACGTGCATGATCTTTAAAAACATTGGAAAACCAGTACCAACGTCAATGCTCTCATCGTACTCGAGTATACCATTGTGCACTTTTAGGTAGACAAATAAGTAGACTAGCCGGAAACTGGCTACTACGTTGAATTGCATACCTAGTACTGTCTGTAAAAGGTTGTTTATGGCAGAGAAAAAAATGTACTACAAGCTTTAAAAATTAAAAAATTTAAGGTTTAAGAGGCATACTGTAGGGAAAGGTACTAAAGATTACGGTAGCGAAGGGTTACGTAGGGTAAAGTAAGGTAGAGTAAGGCGTGTGTAGTGCGTAAATAAGGTGTGGGTATCGCATGAAGCAGGCGTGGATAAGACTTGGGTAGGTATTGGGTAGGGCTTGAGCAGGGTGGGGTGAAAAATAGTTATTTAACTTACAAGCAAGATCTTGTAGTTGACATGAAACACCTTTGACTTCCACACAAATGGCAAAAACACTTTAAAAATATAGCCCCAGCAACACATGACCATAAATACTTCAAACTCGACTAGAGTTACGTAGATCCGCTCTAGTAACTCCATGTCACTCTGAAATTTTCAGTATATAAGACTGTACACATTGAATTTAAAAACCCTTTTTATTTCAGAATATTAAAAAATCACGCCTTTAATTAATAATATCTGTTTTTGTCAAAAATTAGCGTTTCTACAATTTAAGCAATTAAAAACACTGCACTGAGCAACCACTTAATTTCCTTGCACGGTGCAATAAGTTTTCATTTTTTTACTGTGCTATTGTTTTTAAAAAGTAAGTAACAAAAACCGTTAGAATTTTTAGAATAGGCCGATATTAAACTATAAAAAATAGTTTTACTTTAGTAGTATTATAAACAATGGCAGAACTAATTTTAAAAAACGATTGCACAGAGCAATCAACAAATCGTTTTGCACTGTGCAATTTCTAAAATTTTTAAATAAAAAAAGATCTTTTAATTATTTTTTAAGTTTGTATAAAATAGTTATAAGCATTTTTTAAAAAAATTTTGCTTACCTTCCTCCCCTCCTCTCTCTCTCCCCCCCCCCTCCTTCCGCTCCAACAAAACTTATGAAAAGTACGTACAGCAGTGTTAGAATAATGTAAAAAATAAAACAATTTGTAAAGAAAAATAATTAAGATAACACTCTTCTCCGATTACTCCCTCCGCATAACTATTTCCGCTCAATAAAGAATCCTAAGACACATAAGTTACAAATGAATCGTACGCTTAACACGGTTATTAAGAATTCAATAAAAAAACAAATCCTCCTGGGACTAATTTAGGCTTGTTTCTGGCACAAATGATCAACACCGCTATTTTTAATTGGGATAATCTTTGTTTGGGGAAGATAATTAAGGTTTGTAAGAAAAAGGTCATGATACGTATGTACTACATAAGCTTTAGCAGGTACGCCTCAGCCCAGAGCCCTAGCCCAGAACTCTAGCTCACAGCCCTAGTCCAGAGCCCTAGTTTAGAGCCCTAGCCCAGAGTGCTATCCCAGAGCCCTAGCCCTGAGCCCTAGCCTAGAGCCCTAGCCCAGAGCCCTAGCCCAGAGCCCTAGCTCAGCCTATCCTCAGTAACATATCAAACATTAAAAGCGTACTAAAACGTATCTTAAGGTGTACTTCACTTTAAAACGTGCCTTCCTTGTGTAGGTTCAGTTTTTTTCAAGTACATTACTACAAATTTAAATTTAGTCAACAAAGATTACATAATACAATGTTTGATAGGACAAACCTAAACGTTTCCGTACTTCTAATTAGGATAGTAAAAATAATGAAATTAACTAGTCTTGAGCATGACTTTTATCATGATAAAATTGAGAAAGAAAGTAAACTACAATATTAAACTGAACTATAAGGTGTTTAAAATTTTTAAAATAATTTTAGAAAACCTGAAATTATCAAAAAAATGACAAGAACTTTCTTTACAAAACTAAAAATTTCAAAAACTTTCTTTACAAAACAAAAAATGGCAAGAACTTCCTTTACAAATCAAAAAATGGCAAGAACTTTCTTTTTTACCCTACCTTTGTCTTACCTTACTCTAGCCTTGTCTGATACTACTGTTGCATCATCTTACCCTACCTGTGCCATGTAATACCCCTGCTGTACCTTGCCCTACATTTAGTGTTTTGCCGGACCGGTCCGGTTCGGTCCGGATTTTCAAAAATTGCAAGATTGAAAATAACTTTTTAGCTTATGGTTTGAAGTTTTAAAAAATAAATAACTTTTGTGAAGGTCCGTTGTTGGCTATCAAGTTATTATCAAAATGGTCAACCCGGACCGGCAAGACCTCGGTCCGGCTGGTCCAAATGTTTAGCGAGGAACTTGTATGAGACGGACCTTCACAAAAGTTGTTTATTTTTTAAAAGTTCAAATCAAAATCCCAACCTCTTTCTTACAGTTATTAACCCACTCATATGTTAAACATATAACAATGCTGATAATGAAACTAAAAGTAAATTACAGATGTACCTCAACTTTTCTGCTAATGATCTCCCTTGAGTATAATCAAAAATAGTCGTTTAGTCATTTTACCGGAAAAGAATGCTTTGTGCTTCTAGGATACCAAAAGCTACTTACACTATAGGTTTTACTGCTCTAGTAAGGTTTGCTGATAAATGCCGTTAAAAAAGTCTTGTCGTTTTTGCAATACAAATCAGTGTTGAAAAACGACAAACTTTTATAAATTATAATGAAATTTAAATTTAAAATTGAAGTAATTTAAAAATGAAGTTATGTAGGTAACGTCAAGATAACACATTAAACACTTGTATCTTTTCACAAATTTTCATCAAAAAGCAGATATTGTAGTTTTCGGAAAACGTGACTGGCAAATCAAGCTTTACACAATATAAGTTGCAAATAAAATGTAATTTAGATAACAAAACAGGCTTCTTTAAAAATGTAGAGTAGTATATAACTTTTAACCTCTTTGGAAAATATAAAAAACACAAAAACATGTTTTGGTAGGAAGCAAAATACTACTACAGCGTACCGTACTCTGCCCTACCCTGCCCTACCCTGCCCTACTCTACCCTACCCTACCCTGCCCTACCCTGCCCTACACGTCCCTACCGTACCCAACCCTACCCTACCCTACCCTACCCTACCCTAAAGTATGCCTTCCTATCTTACCCTGCCCTGATCTTACCAGAGCCTTGCCGTCCTCTGACCTTGCTTTACCATACTCTGGCTTACTCTGCCTTTCCCTTACCCTATCCTACTTTACTCTACTTTTGTCTTGCCCCACCCTTAACTTACCCTACGGACGCCTTTTTCTACGCTTCCTTTACGATAGCCTTGCCATAACCTATTCCAGCCTTCTTCTATTCTCGTCTAGACATGAAGAACGGGCCGGACCTGAGCAAAACTCAGATTGGACCAAGCCTGGAAATCTCTAAAAAACCCAGCCTGAAAATCCCGGCCCGTTTGTACGAACAAAATTCAAGCCGAGAAGAGCCGGGGCCTGCGCAAAACTCATATCAGGCTAGGACTAAAAAGTGGGCCAAGCCCGGCCTGTTCTTCATGTCTACTCTCGCCTACGTCGAACCAACAGAAATTTTGGAATTTTAAAAAATTTTCAAAAGTTCATTTTTAAAATTTCAATTTCCAAAAACGAATATTCAAATTCCCAAATTTTTCGTAAAATTTTGAAATTTCGCAAACCCACGTCGACGTTACGTGTTTCGCTGATTCTAGGTCAGTCGTCTCGGTTGTCGGTCTTCAGGTCGGTGGTGTTCAATTCTTCAGCTCTTCGTCCCATTCTCTGCGTTGGCCGTCGGAGAGGTCGGGTTTCTGGACCGGCCCCTTCGGCCACCGCTCTCTGTGCTGGGCTTCACAGAGAGTGGTGTTCAATTCTTCAAGTGGTGCTTATGGTGCAGTTTTTGCCGAGAAAACGTCAGATTTGGTCGGATAATGGTGCACTTGGTGAAAGATGGTGCAGCCGTCTTGAAGATGGTGCACTTTGTTTGAGAATGGGACAGTTGGCTTGAAGATGGCACAGTTTGCTTAAAGCTTGAGAATGGTGCACTTGGTCTCAGAATGGTACACTTGGTCTCAAAATGGTGCACCTGAATGGAGACTGGTCCAAGAAGTACTGTTGGCTTAAAGATGGTACAGTCGTTCAGAAACTGGAACTTCGGTCCAGATACTGGTGCAATGCTCAGGTAGATGGTACACTTGGCTTAAAAATGGATTTCTTGCTAAAATGCTGGTCGTTTCAAAGTGAGTTTTTAAAAATTTACTATTTACTGGTCGATAATTTTTTTTTCATTTTATCGCCCGGTCAATAAGATTTTGAAACTTTTTAATAATTCTTAAAATTTTTACGGTTTTAGATATTGACCGGTTGATAAAAATTTTTTTATATTATCGACCGGTCGATAAAAATTTGAACTTATGGCAGTACAAAAAACGAGTATGCTTGCTATTATAGATTTTTTCAGATTGTACTTGTAAAGCTAATGGTCGATTTGGTTATTGATGGAATTTTCAATTGCGTGGTTTAATTATCGACCAGTCGATAAGGGATTGGAAGCTTGGAGATGGTTATTAATGGAATTTTATTTTTGGTACGGTTGAGTTATCCTATGGTATGTTTGTTTTTGGGTTTTAAAAAATCGACCGGTCGGTATTTTTGAAAAAAATATTTTTTTTTTGCCTTTTTATCGACTGGTTGAAAAATTGAAAAAAAAATATTTTATGATTATTTTAGATTTTGTTTTATCGACCGGTCGATAATTGAAAAAATGGTTTTTAAAATTTTTTATATTTTTACTTTTAGCTATCGGTACAACCGACGTCTTAACCGAGAGTAAACGCTTAAGGTATTCTGATTTCTACAATGGCAAGTATTGGAAGCTCTGTTTGGAGATGGTTATTGATGGAATTTTCTATTTGGTACGTTTGCCAATCTTAAGGTAGGTTTATTTTTTGGGTTTTATAAAACCAACCGGTCGACATTTTAAAAATACTTTTTTGATCTTTTTTTTGAATTTTTATTGACCGGTCGATAATTTTAAAAATTGTTTTTTTTTATTTTTTTTTGTTTTTAGTTTTTTATCGAACGGTCAATAATTTTAAAAATACTTTTTTGATTCTTTTTGGTTTTTTTATCGACCGGTCGATAATTTTTAAAAATACTTTTTTGATTCTTTTTTGGTTTTTTTTATCGACCGGTCGATAATTTTAAAAATACTTTTTTGATTTTTTTTTGGTTTTTTTTATCGACCGGTCGATAATTTTAAAAATACTTTTTTGACTTTTTTTTGAAATTTTTTTTGGCCGATCGATAATTTAAAATTTTTGTTGATTTTTAAAATTTTTTATTTTTAGCTACCGGTACTATCATGGACTAACCCAGAGCAATCACTTACCGACTTCCGACTGATTCAAGCGTATTCTGTAGCTCAAGCTGGATTAATCGTTTTAAGTCAAATTGAATCGACTATTTTTGGGAATCTACCATTCAATGATGGCATTGGAAATATAATCGTGTGATTACGTTATTTTTGTGTCAAGGTGTCTCTTTGGTATTATATTGGTTTGTAGTGAATAAATTAATTTTACTTCGAAATTCGAGATTTTTTAAAATGATTGCATTGCCTTGAGGCTTTCACGGTGTTTTTTTTAATTAGCACGGTTAGATTGAAGTAGTGTGATTTTACATCTGTAATTGAAGAGATGAATCAAATCTGTCAAGAATTGGCATTGCTTTTGCTTTGCCTTTGCCTTTGCTCTGCCTTTGCCTTGCCTTTGCCCTGCCTTTGCCTTGCCTTGCCTTGCCTTGCTTTGCCTTGCCTTGCCTTGCCTTGCCTTGCCTTGCCTTGCCTTGCCTAGCCTTGCCTTGCCTTGCCTTGCCTTGCCTAGCCTTGCCTTGCCTTGCCTTGCCTTGCCTTGCCTTGCCTTGCCTTGCCCTGCCTTGCCTTGCCTTGCCTTGCCTTGCCTTGCCTTGCCTTGCCTTGCCTTGCCTTGCCTTGCCTTGCCTAGCCTTGCCTTGCCTAGCCTTGCCTTGCCTTGCCTTGCCTTGCCTAGCCTTGCCTTGCCTTGCCTTGCCTTGCCTTGCCTTGCCTTGCCCTGCCTTGCCTTGCCTTGCCTTGCCTTGCCTTGCCTTGCCTTGCCTTGCCTTGCCTTGCCTTGCCTTGCCTTGCCTTGCCTTGCCTTGCCTTGCCTTGCCTTGCCTTGCCTTGCCTTGCCTTGCCTTGCCTTGCCTTGCCTTGCCTTGCCTTGCCTTGCCTTGCCTTGCCTTGCCCTGCCCTGCCCTGCCCTGCCTTGCCTTGCCTTGCCTTGCCTTGCCTTGCCTTGCCTTTGCCCTGCTTTTGCCATAGAATGCAATAACAATTAAACCTAAAACGGAGCTTATTAGGCTTGGCTCTCGCTTGGTTTAACCATGTTTGAAAAGGGCCGAGCCGGGCCCGCACACATGGGCTTAAAAAACAGGGCCCGAAGAAAAGACCAGTCTGTGAACCGCTGCTCTAAGTTGTCTGTCTAGCTTTTTTAAAATTTTTTCCAAAGCTAAAGCCGCTTTGGAGCCGGTTCTGTGTCGGCTTCAAGAGAATTTAGTACTGAAATTCGATTCGTAAATTTGCATAAATTTTTTATTTCTTACAATTTTTTCAAAAATTTTATTTCTTCCTACCTCGACCGGTCGATACCACATTCTCTAACACGCTTTTCGTCCAAATGTGGCATCCAACCTCATTCCCGACTCAACAAAAGGGTCAATTCTACTTGGCCAAGACTTACGCGTACTACGAGTCATGGAGACCATATGTTTGGGTATGGGTGGCTGTATATGTTGTGTTGATGACTAAATTGGTACCAAGAGTACGACTAACAGAAAAGAATGGCGCGTTGTCGAACCTTATTATGAATTTGTGGAATATTTTCATGGCATCTGTGTACGGTATGGTTGTCATGTTTACGGGCATGGATGTGTGGGAGTCGATCTGGAAGGGTAGGTGGAAAGAAAGTTTTTGTCATTTTGGCCTTTGTGAAAAATATTTTTGCTATTTTTTGGTTTGTAAAGAAAGTTATTGCAATTTTTTGTTTAGGAAAGAAAGTTCTTGCCATTTATTGTTTTGTAAAGAAAGTTCTTGCCATTTTTCGTTTTGTAAAGAAAATTCTTGTCATTTTCACTTCTGTAAAGAAAGTTCTTGCCATTCTAACACTAAGCCCTTATAATTATGACAATTCAGGACCTCACTATGCCCTCTGTGTAGCTGGTGACATGTACACTGATATGTTCGTTGGCTACGTCCTCAGCGTCTTTGTGTTCGCCAAGATTATTGCACCAGTTACCCCACTTTTGGTCGGTCTACGTGGTCGTAAATTCGACATCATCCAGAAGATTTACAGCCCAGTAGCTTCTATTGTGGTGTTGTATAGCTACTTCAATGCTGGTAGGTTTTACCTCACCGTATTCTACCGTAACCCACCCTATTGTACCCTACCCTACAGTACCCTACCCTACTTTTCCCTACCGTATCCTACTGTATCTTTCCCTACTCTACCGCATTCTATCGTACCCCACCCTACCGTATTCTACCCTACTCTACCATACCCTTGTTTTACCCATGCCCTATCGTTTCTAACGACCTCTACTTCAAAAAATCATAAAATCAATTAAAAATGCCATTTTTAGGCGTATCCCTCCGTCACCTCGCCTTCTACGACAGCTGGTACCACTTCATCCACCATGCTTTCTACGCTCTCGCTCCCCATGAGAAAGAAATAGCAAAAGCAAAAGGCATCGTTTTCGCTTTTCAATTTGGTTTTGTCATCGGACATTGTCTATCTCTACTAGCTTCAGCCATCTACATGTTACTCGACTATGAATGCGACGTTTGGCTACGAACTTTTGTCACTTACTACGTGATCAATATTGTGTTACTGTATATGATGGGCACGGAAATTATAGAATTTTGCAAAGACATATACATTGATTTGAAGAAAGAAGAATAAGAAGGAGCAATAGAGGAATAGAGAAATAGAGAAAAAACGTTTAATTTAATTTGGCTTTGTTTATTGTATTATATTAACATATAAATAAATTTTGAAAAACTATAAATAATCAAATCTAAAATTACAAATTAGACCTAACTTTAGCTAATACTATCCTGAAAATCTAAAATTTCAAGAGGAAAAGCAAAAAATAAGTCAAAAACTACTTACACACAATAATAGAAGTAGTCCCGCAACGAAAACGAAGCACGCCAAAACGTTTTGGCATTCCGTTCTACTTATATTTTACGCAAAAATTTGATGAATTTTAAGAGAAAAAATGTTAATTAACTTGATCTAATGAACAGATCAACTCGAATGAAGATTGATTATGCTCAGTAAACGTATTTACATTCAATCAAGGAGGGCCAGGTAATAATCTTGGCTGGAAACGTTGATATTTTGCTTTAAAACATGATTTTAGGCTGTTTTTTGGGGTTTAACCTTGTTTTTTTGTTTTAAAACGTTTAAATATAGATCAAACATTAAGAGTTTTAGTCAGTTCTCTTGGGACGAAGTTCGAAAACATTATAAACACAAGTATCATAATGGCACAAGTGAAAAGAATGGCACAGGCCCACCTTTTCGAATGGTACTACCTCCTCCAAACGTGACTGGTGTTCTTCACATTGGTCATGCTTTAACTGCCACGATTCAAGATGCGGTTTGTCGGTATCAAAGGTTGAACAATCGTCATGTCGAATGGGTTCCGGGGTTCGATCATGCTGGAATCGCTACACAAACGGCTGTGGAGAAGATGTTGTGGAAGACGAAGAGAATCAGAAGGCATGAGCTTGGGAACGATGACTTTTTGGAGTATTGTGAGCAGTGGAAGAGTATGTAAGTTTTTTAGTTTTATTTGTTTGGTTTTTAGGTAGTTTGAAGGAAGATGCTAGAATTTGTGGCTGTTCTTGTTATAACGGCATCATGGGTAACATAACTTTAAAAATAGGTCTTTTTTTGGTTTGATTCATAACATAACATTATAGCAAAACAAGTTAATTTTAAAGTCCATGAAAAAGAAATCAGCATTTTTTCGCTATTGAGACAAAAGTTATGGCTATATTGAGTTAGATATACGAAGGATACGAGTTTGATCAGAAAACTTGGGTTTAGGTAACAAAAATGTCCAAATTGTTTATAGAACATTATTAATGGTGTAATAAAACATCTTTTGTCAAAATTTCAACTTTTTACAGCTATTAGTTTTTGTGTTCTAGTGTTTGTTATCTAAAAAGTCAAAAAATCTTCAACTTCTGTAAAAAATATTTAAATCGTGTCGAAATTTTAACTAAACTTTACGTTTCAGACGAGAAAAAGAAATATCCAACCAACTTCGTCAATTAGGAACGACATTGGACTGGGGTAATCCGTTCTACACTATGAACAACAAGTTTAAACATGCCGTGAACACTGCTTTTGTTCAGTTGGAACGTCAAGGTCTAATATATCGTGATAAGCGGATTGTAAATTGGTGTCCGGCATTGAGATCGACAATCTCTAATGAAGAAGTTGATTTGAAACCGGTTGGGAATAGTGTGACGATACCTGATGTTAATGGAGGACAAAGAACGGTGAAGATGGGCGTTTTGTACAAAATTAGGTATAAACTGGTAGAGCGGAGGAAAGGGTGAGTTTGGGTGCTTAAAACATTGAAATGAGTGTTGATTTGATTTATAAGTGGCTTGGAGCTAACGAAATATAGCTTGATATACACAAAAATTATCTTTCGATCACCTATACCTATGTTAATATGCCATTTTATAACATTTTAGTGAGCCAGAATACCTAGAAGTAGCTACAACAAGGCCAGAAAGTGTCTTTGCCGATGCCGCATTGGCAGTAAATCCAAATGACAGCCGGTTTTCTCAATTTATCGGCCGTTTTGTCAAGAATCCAATGTCAGAAAAGCAGATTCCAGTGATTACAAGTGGACTAGTGGAACCAGACTTTGGTACTGGAGTACTAAAAATCACTCCAGCTTGTTCAACGGTCGACTATAAAATATATTCGGAAGCGGCCGAACAGGACAAGAAGTTGATGGACTTGATTCCGGTGACTGATGAGGCTGGGTTCTTAAGTGAATATGCTGGACAGTTCAAGGGAATTGATAGGTTTAAGGCCAAGGATAAGGTAAATTATGTTTTTTTTATGTTTCTTTCTAGATGGAATGGACGTATTTTACAAAATGTTTTTTTGAAAAAGTGAAAAATTGCAAGAACTTTCTTTACAAAACAAAAAATAGCAAGAACTTTGTTTACAAAGCATAAAATTGCAAGAAATTTCTTTACAAAGCATAAAATTGCAAGAACTTTTTACAAAGCATAAAATTGCAAGAACTTTCTTTCCAAAACCAGACTAAGATATTGCTTTAGGTAATAAAGTACCTGAACCGAATCGGGGCTTATGGAGGAGAACAGTCAGTGGAGAAGACAGTGTTACCTATTTGTAGTCGATCTGGAGATCTATGTGAAGGTCGATTAATGGATCAATGGTTCTTGAAGACTGAAGATCTGAGCTCTGAAGTTTTGATGAGGCTTGAGAAGGGCGAAGTAATTATTTTATATTTAGGCTTAATTTTAGATTTTTTTAGGCTTAAATATTGATTTTTAGGTTTTTAGGTTGAATAAGGCTTACAATCCGGCTTAAGTTAGGAATATTTTAAGCTGAAAGTTTGACTTTTGGCATTTCTTAGGCTTATGAATGGTTTAGGCTTATGTTAAGCCTAAAACATAGTTTCTGTCAATTTCAGATTTATAAGCCTAAAAATTAATTTATAAGAGATTAGGATTATATCCCGCGTAAAAATTAGTTTTTAGCATTTTAGGCTTATGTTAAGCCTAAAAGTTTACAGTGCTTACTTTAGGCTAATATTAAGCTTAAAACTGAATTTTTGTTAACTTTATGTTTATATATAACCTAAAAATCGGTATTAGTGACCTTTAACAAAAATTGGTTTGTTTTTGCCATTTCAAGCCTATAAAGCTCATAATTTCACTATTTTCAGCTAAAAATCGACCCAGATTACGGTGAAATCGCATTGGAGAACTGGCTTCAGAATCCAGAGCCATGGTGCCTAAGCCGACAACTTCTTTGGGGTCACAGAATCCCATCCTTCATAGACGAAAATGGCAAAATCACAGTAGCCACGTCATTGGAAGAAGCCGAAAAGCTAACAGGAATAGCCAAAGAAGACCTTATTCAGGATTCTGATGTCCTGGACACATGGTTCAGTTCAGCGTTGATACCTATTGTTGTGGCCGAAGATTGGCCGGGATTGTATAGTAATGGAGATAAGAATCAGAATCCGTACGCATTGAATTTGATGGAAACAGGACACGATATTACTGGATTCTGGGTGGCTAGAATGTTGATTACCTGCTTTGGGTAAGAAGTTTTTGGTTGAAAATTTTATTGTAAAGAAAGTTATTGCTATTTTTTATTTTGTAAAGAAAGTTCTTGCCATTTTTTGTTTTGTAAAGAAAGTTTTTGCCATTTTTTGTTATGTAAAGAAAGTTCTTGCTATTTTTTTCGTAAAGAAAGTTCTTGTCATTTTCTGTATTGTACAGAAAGTTCTTGCCATTTTGCATATTAACAATGACGTTCCAGCTTAACCGGAAGATTGCCATTCAACAGAATCAGTCTGCACGGTATGATTCGAGATTCAGAAGGCCAAAAGATGAGCAAATCGAAAGGAAATGTGATTGATCCACTATTCCTGATCAATGGAGCTAAGCTGAAGGATATGATCAAGGACTTGGAGAACTCGAATCTTCCGGAAGAGGAATTGGGTAAGGGCTAAACTTAACAATTATGTTACGTCTATTTCAATGATGGGAGGGGTATTTTGGGCTGTTGAAGGGAGAAGGGAGTGGGTTAATTTTTTATAGATTTTTTTAAGGACCACGGCCATTTTTTATGAAAAAAATGTTTTTTGGGGGTGCATTTACCCCGCCCAGTTCAGTTTTTTAACTATGTAAACATCGATGTCTTGGCTATGTTTTCAGCAATTTTGAAGTGATTTGGTAAAGGAATCTTTGAGATATAACTAAAATAAGAGCATCATCTCATATATTAACCATGACAAAATTTGAAAATCTTATAAAATGTTAATCAACCAGCTTAATTTTTTCAGAATTAGCAATTGAATTAACATCAAAACAGTACCCCAAAGGTATTGCCAAGTACGGGCCGGACGTGCTACGCTTCGTACTCCTTCGACGCAACGTTCAAGCCAAGGATGTGCCGGTCGATTTGATACCGTTGGCCGAAGAGGGCTACAAGTTTGGAAACAAGCTGTCCAATATGTCTAAATATGTGGATATGATTTGTTCAAGTGAGCTGGTGCATAAAAATGGTGATTTGAATTATCAAACTGAGGTAGGTGTAATAATATTGAGATTTGGACGGAATGTAAATATTGATTTTTTGGGTTTTTTTTTTGTAAAATACGGCGATCGCGTTCTTCTTTGATTTTTGAACTTTGTGCTTAATTGAGGTTTCAATGGTCATTTTGGTAATGTGACAAAATGTCACTATTGATTTTTTTTTAATTTGGTATTATGTACCTTCAGACCAAATCGGTACGGATGTGACTGAACTAAACTGATCTTTCAGGACAAATGGATACGATCTCGACTCCAAAAAACTGTAAAAACATTCCAAATGAATATGGAAGAATGTCATACTCACACAGCATTCGAAGCCGTATTTCAGTTCATTTTAAACGACTTTTGTGATACTTATCTGGTATGTTGGTCTACAACATTATTTTTAGTCATATCTTATTGTATGTCAGCTTATTTTTGAAAACTGTGTATCATAGGTATACTGTAATTTCTAGCGTATTATTTTTATGATTGTGTTAAAGTTTTATTGCACCACCTTCCAGGAATCGACCAAAAAAGCTTTCTGGGACAAGGATCAAGCCCGTGTATCGACCATCAAGTCCGTAATGGTCGAATGCGTTGAGCTCTCACTGAAACTTTGGTCAACCTTCATGCCAATGATATCAAACTACATCCTCGACCATTCCAAGTTCCTAACAAATCGACCGGTAATCGAGTTCGACCAAATTTTAAAAGATTTCAACGAATCCGAAGCAAACTCTCTGAATTACGATCTAAGAACGGCGCAGAACATTGTAAGCACGGTGAGAGCGGCCCGATCACGTCTCGGCATCAGCGATAGAACACCATTCGCGGCTAGTATAATATCGAAAAGTTTGGACGGAAAGTTTGTTGAGAAGTATGGAAGAATTGTTCAGAATCTGGGTAATGTCACGATAGACAGGATTCAGAAGGAAGAGGAGCACGGTGAAGAGAATATCAACGTTCTACCGGTGTCAGGAACGGATTTAGTGCTGATATTACAATTGGACAGTCAGGTATGGGCTGTTGATGAGTTTTTGAATGGGCGGATAATTTTTTTTTTGAATGGGCAGGGTAAATTTTTTTTGGGAGTGGGAGGATTTTTTTTTGAAAATTTGAAATCTTTTGTTTTTTGGTCGACGTTTATTGAGGCAAAAAAAATTTTTTTTAGGGCGGGTAAAAAATTTTTTTTATTTTTAGATAACAAGTAAAAAACTTCATTTCAGGACCCAGAAATCAGCTCAAAAATCCATCATCAGCTGAAAGAAAAGCTAATCCAGTCCAAGAAACGCCTCGAAACCCTGGACGCTCTTATCAAAAAGTACAGTAACTACGCTACGGTAATCCAAGAGAAGCAGTCCAAAACGAAAGGTGAAGAGAATCAGCTACGGAAACATGAACGAAAACTGGCCCAAACCGAGCGGAACAAGCAATCCCAGCTAGCCGAATTCGAAAAGATTTCGAAGTTAGTGGAGAGCCTAGAGAAACAAAAAAAAGAACGCGCAAATTGAGGAAACGGCCAGAGAAAACGAGAGGAAAAAGAAGAGGGAAGAAGAGAGCGTGTGGAATTGGGAGAGCGGGTAGAGAGAGGGAGAAAAGGACGGGAAAAGAAGGGGAACCGTGCGGGAAGGAGAGAACGTGCGAAAAGGAGAGAGCGGGCAGAGAAGGTCAGAGAAAAAGGTCGGTTATCAGTTTTGGCGGTATATTATTAGGTACGAACGTTGTAAAGTTGAAAATACAGTAAATTGAAATTTTTAAAATATTTTTTATTAATTAGTCATTGAAAAAAATATTTTTCAAACAAAATTTAAAGAAAAAAACAGTTTTTTTTTAGATTTTGGGACATTTTACTGTATTTTTCAACGAAATTAGGTCACAAAAAATTTTTGTTATATTGTTATAGGTTGTTGAATCAAGTTTGTTACAATAAATGTTATAAAAATGAAAAAATTGAAATTTCAAAAAAAATTTAAATTTAAAAAATTTAAAAATATTTAAAATTTTAAATTTAATTAAAATTTCATTCGAAATCAAACAGAATTTACAGAAATACCGGGCATATTAATGCTGTCCGTTTTTCGGCCGGTCGGTATGACTCGGCGGCCAAGTTTGGTACCAAACCATTTTAAGGCCGCTACGACCAGTACCAACACAAATATGGTGGTTTGTAGCACAAAAATCCCTGAAAATTGAGGTAAAATACGTGACGGTCAGCATTAAAATGGTCAACATATTAATAATGACAAGAACTTTCTTTACAAAATAAAAAATGGCAAGAACTTTGTTTACAAAACAAAAAATGGCAAGAACTTTCTTTGCAAATTATGAAATTGCAATAACTTTCTTTACAAGGCATAAAATAGCAAGAACAACCTTTACAAAACGAAAAATGGCATGAACTTTCTTTACAAACTAAAAAATGGCTATAACTTTGTTTCCAAAACAAGATATGGAAAGAACTTTCTTTACAAGACGAAAAACGGTAAGAACTTTCTTTACAACACAAAAATTCTTTAAAAAACTCACCAAGATACTTCCGTTCGCTCTGCTTAACGGCCATAACCACAAACTCATCACCAAACCCGCATTCCTTTAACCAGTTGGTGGGTACCAGCTTGTCGGTATATTGTGTCAATTTCTTTAACGGACATGTCTTGCCACATATGTCCGACTGAACTTCTACAAATTTATCCGAATTTGTGGAATTGCGGTAGAAAAACTTGACGTAGTAACCAACATCTCGATGGTAATGTAGTTGTAAGGCCAGGGCTGAACATAGCTCCGGCGCAGTCTGCAAGGGACAAGTTATACGGGAAATAGTAGAAGTAGTAAAATACGTCGTTGTGGTAGTCGTAATCTACGATACATGACTACTATAAGTCTTTATAAGTTCTATAGTGGTACTAAGGGTAATAAAAAAGGTACTAACAGTACCATTATAGAATTTTTTATAGATTTTACTGTACTGTAAAATACCCTACCGTAATATTAAGTCCCCAAACACTGATCAAAGCGCTCAGACTAGTGTCATGACCCGAGAGTAATCGAATGCGCTGTCGTTGATCCACAACCCCGACTATGTAGTTATGCATACGACGTAGAAGGTTGTCCAACAGTGGGCCGGCTCGTAAACGCTTTAACAAATGGGTTTTAAAAAGTCCCCAGCCAATTTGGTCGTTCACATACATGATGTCATTGTAAACATCGTTAGTGACCCAGTAGGGCAGGGTCATGTTGTGGAGCTTCTGAAATAATAAGGTTACGCGCGGTAATTATTAGATGTAAAATTTGTTTTATGGTTAGCACGATCTGTTGAGACAGGAATCGATTGATTACGGTAGTAAAAATTTCATGTAAAGTAGGGTAGGGAAGCACAGTGTGATCCAGGAAAATTTATGGTGTCTTATTGTAGAGTAGAGTAAATACGGTAGGGTATGGTAGAATAGGGCAGGGTAGGACAGGGTACGGTAAGGAAGGATAGGATAATGTGGGTTAGGGTACGATAGGATAGGGTATGGTAGGGCAGGGTAGGAAAATTTATTGTAAGGTAGGGCTTGGTAGGGTACCTCCGAGTCAGGTAGGAGAAGATACGGCACTTCAAATAAAAATTTTTCGTACTATATTTAAGGACCATTCTGTAACTTTTATCAAGTCTTTCATTACCCTACCATGACTTTCAACGAATCGGCTACAGCAAAAACATCTCCAAGACCAAAATTGGAATTTGGATTGATAACATTCTCCTCCATAATGTTCAAGAGATGACTGTAGGAGTCTTTTAGGTTTACAAATTCATTATCCCCATTAAGAACCCGCCATCGCTCGTTTTCGGCTTTTGGGCATGGTGCATGGTAGTACATTTCCTAAAGTATCAGTGTTATAATGTGAATCTTGAGTAGGTTCAATAAGGTTAATATGATTAAACGTATTATAAAAATCACAAGAAGGGCCATACGTGTTGTAGAAGGTACTATAACAGTCACGAACAGTATTATAAGAGGCCTAATTCTTAAAGCAACCATAATAATAAGATATCACAAAGAAAACTAAGCACAAACCTTATCATTGTACTGTGCCTTCATCTTCACACCCTTAGGAACATAGCCAATCCTTTGGACTGTCTCATTATACATCCCAGCCAATACGCCTTGAGCTGATGATATAGTTCGTCCGAAATCGGAGCTACGAAGTGAAAGTTCGGAGTTGTCGTAGGATTCTGATATATAGCCTTCGTATCGTTGTTTGATTACACGGCCAAGATGTATAGCTTGCTCTAAACCTAGTGAGGTTAGCTCGTCATTACCTAATTTCGTCCACTCGGCTGGTGTACCACCGGGTACGGTGACTACTAGGTTTTGGGGCGTTCTGTCACCGTGACGGAAAATCTGAAATTTTTGGGTTTAGGAGGTTTTGTGGTTTTGGAAAGAAAGTTCTTGCCATTTTTGTTGTGTAAAGAAAGTTCTTGCCATTTCTTGTTTTGTAAAGAAAGTTCTTGCCATTTTTGTTTTGCAAAGAAAGTTTTTGTAATTCTCTCTTCTGAAGAAAGTTCTTGCCATTTTTCGCTTTGTAAAAAATTTTTAAAAAATATTTTAAAGCAGATGACAAACCTACAATCTGAACATATTCCAAAGTGTCCCATTTGTCGCTACCAGAACAAACCAAGACCAAACAGCATAAAACAACACTTTGCATACTACAAAAATAAGAACCGTGGCTGGTTCATTTGTTTGTGTGATAGACAAACCAACAGTTAATCCGTTTTGAATATGCATTTTCGTTTTGACCGTGCGAAATTTAAACTCAAAACACTGAAAAAAAGAAGTTTATTCAATGATAATATCAGATAATGGTGGATAAAATTAAGCGTATACCAAAAGTGGCATTATCAAATTTTGAAATTTATGTTGCAAATGAATGGTAAAAGTCTAGGCTACATTTTTAAAAATTTTTTGTAAAGAAATTTGTTTAAAATTAAAAAAAAACTACGGTCAAAAAACTTGATTAAATGTATAGTAACGAACGGTTTTATCATCTCCAAAACTGAACGTTTTATCAATAAAAACCTGTAACGGCGTCAGATTTCATGCGCTGTAGACAAATATTGTATTATTAGTCATAAAAGTTATACTAAAAGACGTAACGAGGTTATGTTACACATAAAATAGACAGAAAAGGAAATTGAAGGCGGAAGTTGTCTACGATAATAAACAGTCAGACAAAACTAATGTGTAGGAGGACAAAAAGATATTAGGCTTAGATTAAAAGGTTTAGGCTTAGGATGGCTTAGCTTTAGTAGGCCATGAATTTGTAGGGTCAGTCTTATAATTATAAGACTTAATGTTAGGCTTTGCAGGCTTATACTTAATTGGCTTAGGCTTGTTGGTCTTAGGAATACTAAGCTCAAATATAGAGTACAGTCATACAGGGTAGGGTACGATAGAGTAGGGTAGGGTAAGATAGGGTAGGGGTAGGGTAGGGTAGGGTAAGGTAGGGTAGGGTAGGGTAGGTTAGGGTAGGGTAGGGTAGGGTAGGGTAGGGTAGGGTAGGGTAGGGTAGGGTAGGGTAGGGTAGGGTAAGGTAGGGTAGGGTAGGGTAGGGTAGAGTTGGGTACGGTAGAGTACGGTGTGGTAAAGTACGGTACGGTAGTTCAGGGCAAGGTAGGGTTCAAAAACCACGACATTTACTGTTTACTTCCTTCAGAAGTCATGTGGAGGCGTGTTGAATAGAAACCACATGTAACCATTCAACTCTTGATAAGCTATATCTAAACAGAAATTATTTTATCAATTTCAATTTTAAATTACAGTAAGAAACCTGAAGTCAGCAGGCCTAATCTTCTTAGGGCACGGGAAGGCGTTCCCATGAAAGTTGAACTGATAAGAACAGTTTGAGAAAATAATTATTTTTGTTCGTTTGCAGAAGTTTGTATAAAAGTGGCAGAACTCTTGCACTTGTAACTTTTTGGATTAAATTTGGTTTTTAACATTTGACATCTACTACAATATAAACTAATTTGTACTATTCATCTGTTTGAAGTACTGTATTTGACACAAATTCAAGACGTACTAAACTACAACGTCGTCATAGTAAAAAAGTGCAGTATTAGGTACTGAACTTGAAAATACTGTTTGGTCCTAGAACTGACGGTACTATATAGTACGGTACTATTTAGTATAACCTAAACTTTGAAAAAGTTTACAAGGTCGCAGTACCCAATTACTTTACTGATAAGTCCGAAAAGGTTCCTTTTACAATATTAATTTAAAGGTTTCTGTTACAGTACCTATAGCCTTCAGAAATGTGGAAAGTACTATTCTGTACGACATTGATACCACTGTTTTGTCATGGTATTGTTTATCAATCTAAATTAGAAAGATCCGAGTCAGTTAGCCTAAAACCAAGAGATAACAGAATGACAGCTGATGGTGAATCTCATAAAGTGATCGACTTCTTCGACATCCGGTACTATGCTAATATTACCGTTGGCAGTCCTCGTAAGTTTAACTTTGATTTAGTAGGGTCAGGGTAATGCAAGGTTAAGAAAAGGTATATGGCATGGGAAGGGCAGGGTAGGCCAAGGGTAGATTGAGGCAAAACTAGAATGAAGCAAGAGTATGCTAAGTGAAGGGTAAGGTAACGCTAAAGTAAAGTAAAACAAGGGTAGGGTAAAAAAGGGTAAGGTAGCAAAAGGGCAAGATAAGGCAGGGCTAGAATAACACAAGGGAAAGTTATGGTAGGTTAGAGTAGGGTAGGGTAGGGTAGGGTAGGGTAGGGTAGGATAGGGTAGGGTAGGGTAGGTTAAGAAGGGGTAGAGTAGTGTAGGGTTGGGTAGGGTAGTGTAGAGTAGGGTAAGATAGGCTAGGCTAGGTTAGTGTAGAATAGTGTAAGGTAGGATATGGTAGGGCAAGGTATGGTAGGGTAGAGTATAATAGAGTAAGTTAGGGTAGGGTACTATCAACTTTAGGCTTAGTTTGATCAATTTAGGTTTCAAAACGTCATCTTTTTTCCAAAATTTTGCGTTTCATGCACTTTGTTATACTTGATAAGGGCTTGTTTTGACACGTTTTAATAGTTTCAATGATAAATTTGGGATGGGAAAGTGATCAAATTTAATTTTAAGATTTAAAACACAAAAATTAAGCTTCATAAAAATAAAAAAAACTTTTTTTTTGAAATTTAAAATTTTGAAAAAAAAATTTTTAGTCCAAGAATTTCGTGTCCAATTGTGCACTGCCAGTAATGAATTCTGGATATTAAGCAAAGAATGCACTAAAGAGCACTGTGATGTGGACAAACGTACTGGTTACGAGCATCATAAGTACGATGCTGAGTAAGTTTGCAGTTTTTAGTACTATACTAGTATTTTGCTAGTACTGTAAATTTAAAAAAAAGTGGTTTTTTGTGGTAAAATACGACCATTGACCCAATCCGATATCAATTTCAGTAAATCAGGTACCTATGAGTTCGATGGTCGATACTACTCGGTTAAGTACGATGGTGGTATGGTAGCTGGACATATGGCTAAAGATACTGTTAGAGTAAGCTACCCGTTCCTCTAACTCTACTTTACCCTACCCTTACCTCTCCCATTACCCCTACCCATACCCCTACTTCTACCTTAACTAGTATCATTTCAGCTAGGCCACCTTATCATCAAAAACCAGCTATTTGGAAGCGTCGACACTCTAGCCGGCTACCTAACCAGCGAAGACCATGATGGTATAATGGGACTAGGCTGGCCATCTCTGGGCAAAGACATTGTACCTCCATTGTACAGTATCAAAGACATTCTAGATGAACCTTTGTTCACGGTATGGCTAGCCAGACATGATCAGCTAAGGGAAGGTGAGCCAGGTGGAGCAATTACGTATGGTGGTACTGATAAGGAGCATTGTGATGGCAATATTAACTATGTTAAGCTGGAAAACGAGACTGTAAGTTGAATAGTCTTACTGTATACCGTACCTTATGTTACTGTATTTTATACTACCGTAGCCTTCCTTAACCTACGGTAGCTTTTTTTAACCTACCGTACCCTACTCTACTCTACCCTACATTACCCTACCATACCTTGCTCTATCTTACCTTACCCTACCGTAATCTATTCTACCCTACCTTTCTCTACTTTGTTTTACCCTACCCTACCGTAACCGACTCTACACATACCGTAACCTACCCTATTCTAACCTACAGTAACCGACCTTACCGGTGCCGTAACCTATCATACCTTACCTTACTGTAACCTACTCGTACCGTAATTTTCCCAACCTTAATTTTTGAACTTCAGGACCAATGGAAGTTAAATGTGGCTGAAGTAAAAACCAAGTTTAAAAACTCAACAGCTAAGGTCACGAAAGACACGTACTACATCAGTAACACAGCATCACCCTTTATAGATGTACCTAAATCAATATTCAGTGCTTTCATCTCAGGGATCGATGTTACGATAAGTAATGGTTACTATAATGTAGACTGTAATGTTGTTAACAAACTGCACAGTATCAACTTCACGATTAATGGCGTTGAGTACGTGGTACCACCGACGGAGTTGGTACTTGAGGTAAGGGTTTTAGTACTGTAATTTACATTGTCGTGTTTTATCTTATCCTACCCTATTTTATCCTACCCTACCCTACCCTACCCTACCCTACCCTACCCTACCCTACCCTACCCTACCCTACCCTACCCTACCCTACCCTACCCTACCCTACCCTACCCTACCCTACTCTACCCTACCCTACCCTACCCTACCCTACCCCACCCTACCCTGCCCTACCCTACCCTACTCTACTCTACCCTACCTTACCCTACTTTACCCTGCCCTGCTCTACCCTACCTTACCCTGCCTTGCCCTGCTCTACTCTACACAACCCTACCTTACCCTACTGCATCTTATCCTAACCTTCTCTACCGTACCCTACACTATACTATTCTACCCTAATCCACCTTACTCTGTCTTACTATACCGTACACAACCGTAGCAGTTGATACTCGGGTAGGGGTGATAAGAAGGGGTGTTTTTGAAAGTCTTTTTATTTTTAAATTGTGAAAGAATTAATGGATCTCTCTCAAGTCGTTAGGGGGTTTTTTGAATGATTTTTGGGGTTTTCATGATGTTATAGTATACCGTATGTTAACGTTCTTATCTGTATTGTTCTCTTGATGTCCATCAATCATCTTATCATTAAAAAAATTTTTTTTGGAGAATTTTGATTTCTTTTATTTTTCATCAAGATCCATTAATTCTTTTGTTTTTTTATCTAGTAAAAATTGAATTTTCGCTTGCAGATGCAGAAAAACCCATCCAAATGCGTGCTGGCCGTGACCAACAGCGACGCCAACGTGCTGGGCGAACCGTTCATTCGGCGTTACTGTCACGTTTACGATTACGGAAATAAGCGGATTGGGCTGGCGCCATCCCGAAGTTTTAGCGACAAACGATTCCATCGCCACGCTTTTTAACTCTGATTAGAATTGTCGTGCAGGTTTGGACACAAAGAACGTTGGGAAAATGGCAAGAACTTTCTTTAAAAATCAAAAAATGGAAAAAACTTTCTTTACAAAACAAAGATTGGAAAGAGCTTTCTTTAAAAATCAAAAAATGGAAAAAACTTTCTTTACAAAACAAAGATTGGAAAGAGCTTTCTTTACTGATCGAAGAATTGCAAGAACTTCCTTTACAAAACAAAAAATTGTAAGAACTTTCTTTACAGGTCAAAAAATGGCAAAAACTTTTTTTACAAAACGAAAAATGGCAAGAACTTTTGAAACGGCAATAACTTTTTCTTAAAAGTTCAAATTTTGATTTTTGCCAATTTTTAACCACCAAAGCTCAAATTGTCAAAACTTTTCTTATCAATATCGCAAAACCGGGTATTGTTTGTAAATTGTCATCCCACTTATAATCTTTTGAACCTCTTATCATTACTTTTTTACTCCATAATGCATTGTTACTACGCCTTATCTGAATGATATGACCACTTTTTTGATTGGCAAACAAACCCTGTTTTTAAAACTTTTATCAGTTTCTGGTTGATCCGAAAGTTCAGCACGATTCTAGAGGGCATGAAAAGTTAGGCTTGTTTTTATAATGCCAAAATTTTAGGCTTATTTTATTAAAAAATGGCAAAAAAACTTTAAAAAATTCAAAAAATTTTTGAATTCCCTGGGTTTTTTGAGGTGTTTTGCCATTTTAAACCCCATGTTTGATCCAAATCTGCTTCGAATGAATATTTATTGATATGTTATTGAATCTCAAATGTATATATGATTGATTATGACACGAATAAACACTGTAAATCAAGTTTGACAGCGATTTGTTACAGATATCAATGAAAACCCTAAACAAATATGGTTTAAAAGGCAAAAAACGGTAATAACTTTGTTTACAGATGCAAAATAACAACAAAAATGTTTACAAAACACAGTATTTTATGAAAAATATGTTATGTGCTTTTGGAAACAATTTTCGTCAAAAACATGATCGTTTCATGGCGCTCCCACCACGAAAACAAACGCCACGCAAAGCGGAATGCCAAACAAAAATAAATGAAATAATTTTTGGAAAAATTTATGTAAAATTCGAATAAAAATTATGGCTGTAGGGAAGAAAGAGAAAAATGAAGAACATAAGTTCCAGAAGAACGTTCAGAAGGCACTCAAAGAGGTAAAACATAAATCTGGAGATGTTGTACTCAGCGAAAGTGAAGTTTCTAATGTAAGTTGTTTTATTTTTTGTTTTGTTTGACTTTTAGGTGATGAAGAAGATATCAAAAAATGTGTGGCTAGCAATTTACAGGTTTTTGAATGTTATATATAACTATATTTTGTGAAATATATTAATTATGAAGTACTGAATTTACGAGATTTTAAGCCATATCTTCTTTCTAACCTAAAACCTCAAGCTCTCAAGCCTAAATCACCTTGTTTTAGGTCCTATTTGCTGTGCATACAAGTTTCAAAGCAGCAGCGATGTTTCCGGATGTTCAGCAATGCTTTTCTTCTTTAGATTCATCTGCTGAACTTGTTGTATATCCAGAGCAATGTGAATATAAGAATTATATTTTTATTTGTTGTTCTTCGACGGAAAAGGCCCAGAACGTTAGGGAAAAGTTGAATGGAACAAGGCCTGAATGGTTGAAACAAAGCACGATGCCGTTTTATATTTGTTACGCCAATAAAAGTAAGTTTTGGGTTGAAAAGGAAGGATAACATTGGTTTTTGGTGGAGACGGTCATGGATAATATACCTTTTGAGCTTTTTTAGGGCTTTTTTGAGGAAAATTGATTTTTATTAGTTAGAGGATATACTGCTTAATGTTTGTGGACAGTTTTTGTTATGTTAGAGCTAATTATATTGTTTTAGTACCTCAAAATGATGTTGAGTTACCAAAGGGCCTGAAGGTGGTAGAAAATGCAGTGTCAGAGGAAATGGAACAAAAGTTGTTGGAATTGGTCGATCAGTCATCACCTTCTGGCAAGTTTAATATTGTTTTTAACTGGATTTTAATATTTTACTTCATATAAATCTTTTAGGCTTAAAAAATGTTTTAGGCTTAACTTTAGGCTTATTTATAATAAGTTATGCCATTTTAATCATATTTTGAGCTAAAAATTTAAAAAAATGATTTATTTTCTAGAAATCTTAAAAAACCGTACAGTAATCCACTACGGCCATGTATTCGACTACAGTAGTAACACAGCGATGAGTGTCTCATCAGATACGATACCAACATTACTAACCGATCTCTTGGAAGAATATCGACAGAAAGGCTACAAAATCGACCGAACCTTTGATCAAGTAACGATAAACGTATATGAGCCAGGACAAGGTATACCAATGCATGTTGATACTCATTCAGCATTTGAGGAACATCTATTTATCATCAATTTGTGCTCGGATATTGTTATGAAGTACAGAGATTGTGCTAATAATGCCACGAGTATTGATGTTCTGATGCCGAGAAGAGCTATTGTGTTCATGGAGGGGGCTTCTAGGTACAAGTATAAACATGGGTAAGGTGGTTTTGGATTTTGTGAATTTAGGCTTAGTTGTATATTAAAATAAATTTTAGGCTTAATTTTAGACTAACAATGAATTTTAGGCTTATTTTGATCAAACCTTTAATTTAAACCTAAAATAATATAATTATCAATAAAAATTTAAATTTTCAGAATCTTGAACAGAAGGTACGACGTCTCACCGGTCGATAACAAGCTATTGGAACGTCAAAAACGAGTGTCAATAACGTTCCGCACGGTGCGCAGAAGGCCTTGTGAATGTGATTTTCCAGAATTTTGTGATTGGGACAGGAATGGCGAAATGGCCAAGCCTCAAGCTGATGGAGATGCCAAGAAGTTGGAAACCAAATATGTCAATGAGGTATATGTTATGCTTTGTATGTTATACTTGTACTAGGAGTGAGAAACGGGTTGTGTAGGCCTGGTTTGGCGTTATGATTGGGCCGGGCCGGCTTTTAGCTAAAATTAAAACGGGCTGGGCTTAAAATTTGGGTTAGTATAGCGCGCTGGGCTTGAAAAGTAGGCCCGGGCCTTAGTTTTAAAATTTTAATTTTTTTTATAAACAGGCCAGGCTTAGCATAGCATTTTTTAACCGGGCCGGGCTAGTCTAAAAGAAAATGATAAAGGGTTTGGTCTAACTGTTGGGCTTTGGGCCTGAGCCGGGCTTCAAAAGTAGACCCGGACCGTTTCGCACTCCTAACTTCTACTATTTCGTCAAGTAACATACTATAATAGCATCCACACTTCTTGATGTCATATAATTTTTTCTATACTTTTTGATGTCATTTTACTTATTTTAGGTTTTCATACTTGTCATTTCAGGTCTACGAAAGCATAGCAGGCCACTTCGACATTACTCGCTTCTCAAAATGGCCGGCTTTTTCAAATTTCTTGTCTTCATTCCCCGAATATGCGCTAACTCTGGACGCAGGCTGCGGAAACGGCAAATATTTGGTTGGGGACGAGAAGTTGGTCAGGGTGAGTTGGTACTAAGGTTTATAGATATTTATTGTCTGAGCATGCCGTCAGGAGCAGAATTTTTTTTTGAAAAAGTTAAGCTTGGTCCCCCCTGTCGTTTTTTTTGAAAAAAAAATTTTTTTGGTTTTTCTTTTCCCCCTATTTTCTTTCCTCCATCTGCTCGAAATTACCCACCCGGCCTTACATTGCATTTCCAACCTTCTAAAACCTTACTTTAGATAGGCTCCGACATCTGTGAAGGCCTCTTAAAAATAGCGTACCAAAAATCTTGTCCAGTGGTACGATGTGACAATTTGGGGCTAGCCTTCAGATCAAAATCCTTTGACGGAGTTTTCTGTGCGGCTGTAATACATCACTTTTCAACGGAAGATCGTCGTATTTTGGCATTAAAGCAGATAAAACGGGTTTTGAGAATTGGAGGAAGGGCATTGGTTAGTGGCTGGGCCATGGATCAGGGCCAGAGTCATTATGAAAAAATGCGGAAGAACAAAAAATTGGAGGAGAATGAAGGTAAGATACAGATGTTAGGCTTAATTTGGATTTAGGAAAATGATTTTGAGCGTATTTTGAGATGGAAGACTATTTTTAGGCTTATCTTGGTCTTAAACTGATTATTAGCTTTATTTAGAACTAAAAGTGATTTTCAGGCTTATTTCGAAATAAACAGGAATTTCTAGGCTTATTTTAAGTAAAAATGATTTTTAGGCTTATTTTGAATTATAAATGAGTTTTAGGCTTATTTTGACCTAAAAAATGTTTTTAGGCTTATTTTGACTCAAAAATATTTTTAGGCTTATCCTTTGTCAAAATTGATGTTTTAGGCATACTTTTTTATTTTAAGTGATTTTTAGGCTTATTTTATGCCAAAAATAATTTTAGGCTTAAATCTCTTAAAAAAGTTTCATTCCAGACGTAGACCCAGCCGAAAACCCGACCAACCGTCTAGTCGTACACGACGGTACCATATTCACACAGCAAGACATGCTAGTACCATGGGAATCGAACAAAAAGTCCCAAGAAGAGGCCCAATTCCTACGATATTATCATTTGTTTGTAGAAGGAGAGATGGATGAATTGGTCAAGAAAGTGGACGGAACAAGGCTTGTTACCTCGTTTTATGAACAAGGCAATTGGTTTGTCGAGTTTGAACGAACTTCTTAACTGTTTTTTGGTCTAGCGGTCGGAAAATTTGTAGAAAATTGGCTTGAAGGGTCGATTTTTAAAGATTTTTTTGGTAGCCGGTCAAAAAGTTTGTAGAAATGACACAATAGGTCTGAAAATAAAATTTTTAATGATTTCCGTTTCAAATGGTCGAAAAGTTTATGGAAAATAGGTTCTAAAAGATGGTTTTAGTGAGCTTTTATGAAAATGATTTTTGGTCCAAAAGTTGGTCCAAAAGAAAATGCACAATTTTAGCCAGAATACACGATTTCTATAAGCTTTTTGACCGTACGTTTAATTTTTCAAAAGCTTTTTTAATTTATTTTAAAAACTTGTTGTTTTATTCTTTTATAAGCCTATCTTGATTAAAAACGCTTAAAACTTTAAAAATTTTATAAAATTCAAAAAACATACAAAAATCTAAAAAATTGTTAAAACTGTCTAAACTTGTTGAAACCCAAAACATAATTCGTTGATTTACTCGTTGAAAAAATAAATTTTTATCGATGATTGCGAAAATTGGAACAAAAATGTAATCGGAACAGAACGCTCATTACTCATTCCGTCGTATTTCCTAAACCTTTTTCGGATTTTTAAATTAACACTGGTTAAAAGTATTGACTAACCTTTATTTTTGTTACATTGGCTAATCTTTATTTTTGTTTGTTTCTTCTTGTTCTACAGATGGAGACCTGATGTTTATGGGTGATAAGATGAAGAAAAGTATGTTTATTTGTTGGGTTTTTTGTCAGCGAGATGTTTTTTTAATTTCTGTCATTGTGACGTGCTTTTGTGTTTTTTTATTTTTGTGTCATTATGACGGTTTTTATATTTTTATGTCATCTTTTGAAGAAGGCTTTGCATCCCATCCCCACTCCTCTCGGAAAAAAATTTGTAGCAACGTCAGATCGTGATGACACTTTCTTTTAGATATTGTTTATGATAATCCATTTTTTATTCCCTCAATTTTTAGACCTTCAAAAATGGCCAACACCATCAATATTAACAATTTTGGTCTTCCTACCAACAACATTTTCAATCGACTGTGAAACAGCACCAACCTCAACCCTAAAACACATTTGTGAACAATTGTCAAAGTGGGATGAAGGAGCTCGAAATAACCCACCACCAGAAAAAACCGCATTACCTCCGGGCATTGACGAAAATTTGGCCGGTCTAGAGATTCCAGTACATGCTCAGACAGCCTTCGATTGCATGACTGTTGGCTGCCTTTGTGGGTATTTGGGTATGTTAAAGGTTTTTGTTTTTTTTTGTTTTTTTAGGTAACAAAATTGAACACACAAGTTATTGTATGGGGACAGAAGTCTTATACAAAGCTTTCTCCTTGCAATAGAGCCCTTCAAGCATGAAATATACACTTTCAAACTCAAAGTAATCACTTTCAAACGTAAAAACCTCACAATTCAGGTAGTACAGCCGAAAACAATGAGCAAAGCCACTATTGTAGACTACAAGATGGCACACACGTTAGGAAAAGTCTACGAAAAGAGTATCGTATGCTTTCCGACGACGAAAGAATGCGATTACATAGAGCTATTAAAAATGTAAAGCAAAGACAAGGTCCAGGCAGCTTCGACTTTTTTGCAAATGTTCATAGAGCTTTTGATAAAGCTGGGGCAGCTCACTCTGGTCCTGGATTTTTGCCATGGCATCGGGAGTACATCAAACGGTAAGGTTTAAATATTTTTACTGTAGTGTAAAATACGCAAACAGAGACATACTACTATGTGAAAGAGTTACATAAATCACTGTAACAAAACACTAAAAATGAACTAAAAAACGCTTCTGAAGATAAATTTTAGGTTTGAAATAGCACTCCGTTTAACGGATCCAACCGTCAGTTTACCGTACTGGGATTCCTCGCTTGATAGTCGAATTCCAGATGCCAAAGACTCGATTTTATGGAGTGAGAAGTTTTTTGGAGACAGTGACAAAAATGGCTACGTAATATCCGGAGATTTCTCACCTTGGCAAACAATTCAGGTATATTATTAAGAGAGGTGATATGATTAGTTTTTAGTACTTGATTGATTTTAGCACTTTCTTATCATTTGTTTAGGGTACAGACAAAATAAGAAGGAATGTTGGTGCCGAAGGTCATCCTTTCAACGATACTGAAGTCAAAATGCTACTGAACATGAACGATATTCAAGATGTACTGGCCTTTACGGCTCCAACTAGAGTACGTTTTACTATTTTAAATCAATACTGCTAAAATATTTAGTCCACAATATTAATATTAAGAACATAATTTTAAAAAATTGTTGACAATAACCAAAGCAATGTTCAGAACTGCCCAATCCGCCCCAACTTCTACTCTTTAGAATACACTCATGGTAATGTTCATATCTTTGTTGGCGGTGACATGTACGAACAAGCCACATCAGGTAATGATCCTTCATTCTACTTCCACCATGCTTTTACCGACATGATTTGGGAGCTATGGAGACAACAACGACAAGACCGGAATTCAAGAGAAATTGAGTACCCACTAACACAAAGCTCATGTTCAAGCTCATATCACGTCTCAGGGGCGGACATGTACCCGTTCGGTCCGTGGAAGAACATTGACGGACTTTCGAATAAATATACTGACGATTTTTATGAATATGAACCAAGACCGACCTGCTTCACTAATCGAAAAGACTGTGGGTCTGATTATTTGTTTTGCATGACAAACTTGGACCAGCCAGTTTGCGCTACCAAAATTAAGGTTGGAGGAAGTTGCAAAGGCCTTAGGGAAGAAGATAAACCTTGCTATCAAGGAATGTGTGTGGCTGATGAATGTATTCCAGATCCTGATGTAAGATTATACAATCTCGCGATTCGTATTTTACAAAAAAACTGATCAGAAGTCTAAGCCATAATTTTTAAATATTAATATACTGACATAGGTAATTTATGCTAACAGTAAGGTGCAAATGCATAAAAGGCTAACCCCCCAACACTAATCGTGAACTAATCTTACCATACAAACAATATTGACAAACATCACTAACACTAAAACAAAGAACAAAAGCTATAAAAATGTTTACAGTATCTAAAACCAGACCTATTGCCAACATCAGACTCAGCTCCTAGAATGCCAAAGTCGGCTCAACAGTCGGAAACATGTTATAATACACGAGAATGTTGTGATACATGGACTGCTGAAGGTCAATGTGAGCAAAACAAAAATTACATGAGAGAACATTGTCCAGCTAGCTGTGGCATTTGTACTCCTGTATCTTATACATTGAATGACAGTAAGTGCTAATGATGCGGCCACAAATTAGATAGAAAAATTGGCTTTTAGGACTTAAGACATTCGCTTTGAGAGGGCACAGAATTATTTGAACCTATAGAATTTTTTTGTATAATACAAAATTTTTTACAGCATGTTCAAATCGTCACATTAAATGCGGCCCTTGGTCTGCTAGCGGCGAATGTTCCAAAAATCCCAAGTACATGAACGAGAATTGCCGTAAGGCTTGTAATCTCTGCAACATACCAAAAACTTGCTCTATGTCTACCAAAAGTACTACTAATGTATCAGCAACGGTTCCGAAGGAAGACAGTACTACAGTATTGACTAGTACACTTGTTCCGGACAACACAGAGACAATTGTACTTAGTACTCTACCGTCAGGGCCTTCTGTGACGACTACAGTACCTGAAGTTGTACCAGAGAGTACCGCAACAACTACATTATCAGCTACACTGCCACAGAGTACTCCTATCGCTACAGTGCAAAAGAAGCCATTAGATTTACCGACTGAAACAGAGACAGAACGCGACATATTACCGTCGTTACCGACTGAAAAGCCAGCAATATTGAACCCATTGTTACCAGAGAGTCCTCCCTCAACTACTGTATCAACAGCGCCATCATGGGTGAGTAAATGCACATCTCCCGGTTGTAACAACGAAAATATGTGCTGTCAATACTGGGCAAATCAAGGAGAATGTCGCAAAAACCCGATTTATATGATGTGTTGGTGCCGAGTCAGTTGTGGGGTTTGCACTCCTAACGACTATTCATATGGAGATTGCGCAGACTACAATCCTCAATGTGTCGACTGGTCGAATAATGGTGAATGCGACAAAAACCCTTGGATGTTGGAGAACTGTCGAAAAAGTTGTGGAACTTGTGTTAATTTTAAGCAACTTAAAGAATTCTGCGAAGCTAATGGAGGTCGACAACGTATTAACTTCACCACAGGTCGAAATGACAATAATAATCATCATCATGGTAAAAATGAAAATAATATTAAGCATCATGGCCACGATGTACCTAACCATCATCCAAAACATGACCAAGTCCATAGAGATAATAATAATCCCACTTCGAGCCATTCGTACAATTGGCCATCTCAATCTTATATAGGTATACAGAATATTGCACCCAGATCTAGTTGGGGTGGTGGGTATTCAGGAGGGACAAGTGGTTATGGTAGACCAAGAGTATTTGATGATGGATGGGGTAGATGGGGACGAAGTGCTGATAAGCATAAGGTTATGTGAATATTACTTGTAATAAATCTCTTGATAACTTTTGCAAGAACTTTCTTTACAAAACAAAAGATGGTAAGAAGTTTTTTTACAAAACGAGAAATGACAAAAACGTTCTATAAAAAACAGAAAATAGCAAGGATTTTTTTTATAAAACAAAAAATGACAAGAACTTTCTTTACAGATTTTGAAAATTCAAAAATTTTTTAAACCATGCTCAAATTTTTTTTAAATTTTGTGAAAGAGTCCTTTTTTACCTTTTCCGTTCTCTCCAGCCTTGCAGCTTTTATAATACTAAAACTCGTTAAGAGGTCAATGTAAGCTCTAAAGGGGCAAACGTATTAAACTATATGACGTTTCCATCATGCTGGATGCCCTAATCCGCCACTATTTAGAGCCATCCGGCTGTATTTCAAAGAGCGCAAATAAAGCTGTTAAACCAAAGTCATGTTACTCACACATTTCATTCCAAACCTATATTTGGCTATACTCTTTTACTTTACACTGTTTTGAGAAATGGGATCGAATATAATTGTATTCCATTTATTATTTTGAGTAATATTCATGTTGGTTTGGGTTTGCAATTTATTGTTTTAAACGGTTTTCACACATGCTTGATGGATGAGTTGGTGGTTATTGCAAAATCAAGAGGCCGTTTTTAAAGGGAGGGATGGGGTAGACAAGGTCCTAGACAAAAATTTTGGTTTGGGGATTCTGGTAGCCTATTATGACTTTATCATGCATAAAGCCCTAGCCTTGCCCAAGCCCTAGCCTTGCCCCAAGCCCTAGCCTTGCCCAAGCCCTAGCCTTGCCCAAGCCCTAGCCTTGCCTAAGCCCTAGCCTTGCCTTGCCTTGCCTTGCCCAAGCCCTAGCCTTGCCTAAGCCCTAGCCTTGCCCAAGCCCTAGCCTTGCCTAAGCCCTAGCCTTGCCCAAGCCCTAGCCTTGCCCAAGCCCTAGCCTTGCCCAAGCCCTAGCCTTGCCCAAGCCCTAGCCTTGCCCAAGCCCTAGCCTTGGCCATGCCCTTGCCTTGTTTTGCCCAAGCCCTAGCCTTGCCTTTTCTTAGCGTTTCCTTAGCCTTGCTATAACCTTGCTAGCTTTGCCTTTTATCATATCTAAACCCGACCTTAGATTTACTCTACTCTACGTACTCTACTTTATATTAAGCGATAGTAATAGATTTTACTTGCTGTTTTACCTATTAGCTTTGTCTTAGCCCTGATTGCCTTTTATTATACTGTACATTATGATGTCTAACAGTACTTGAAAGATTATGGTGGGTTTAATTCATAACATATGGACCACAAACGACTTTTTACATTATGTTATTTTAATTATGTTTACAGCTGTACGGATTTGTAATAATTACTAAAAATACTCGGCAGTTTTATATACGTTTAGGTAGTTATTGTCAACATTCGTGCAGTTTCGGATTTTTTTATACGGTAACAACTGTAGATGTACGTATATTATATTAAGGTTGTTTTGTTACTATATAAGGTGAAAACAGGGGGTTTTGACGCTTTACATTGTTCTACTGACCCTACCGTATCTCGCCCTACTTTGCACTACCATACCCTGCTTTTCTCTATTCTACTCTGTCTTACCTTATAACAGCATACCATTGTTATTGGCCTGCAACTTATATGATCTATGTTTCAATGGCATGTCAGTAACATTGTGTTGGACCATAAATTTGACTAAAAAACAGAAAAAAACCTAAACAATAAATAACAGATTTATATGTGTATCAGGGTATAAAATATAAATGGGGTTTAGGATACATATCATAACATGTGTCTGAATGTAAACACATATTTGTTTTTTGGCTTTTTTTCTATGTATGCTTATTGTGTAACGCTTAGGCTTAATATGTTTAGTTTAGGCTTATTTTTGTGCCGTTAGGCTTATTGCGTTACTTTAGGCTTAATACCTTATCCGTAAGCTTATTGCACCATCTTTGGGCTTATTACGTAAGGTTTAGGCTTATTAGCTTTAATTTAGGCTTACTTCTGTGCCGTTAGGCTTATTGCGTCACTTTAGCTTTATTTTGTGTGTTTAGGCTTATTGCGTCATCTTTAGGCTTTTTTTGGTACTTAGGCTTATTGCGGCATACTTAGGCTTATTTTTAAGTGCTTAGGTTTATTGCATCATTTTAGGCTTATTTTTGTGTGGTTAGGTTTATTGCATCATTTGGGCATATTTATGTGCCGTTATGCTTAATACGTCAACTTTAGGCTTATTTTTATGTGCGAAAGCTTTTTTTCGTCAGTCTTAGGCTTATGCCGTCATTTCTAGGTTTATTTTTGTGTGCTTAGTCTAATACTTTAACCTAGTTTTTTTTGTAAAGAAAGTACTTGCCATTTCAACTACCAAAAATGTTTGTAACCATTTCACCTGTAGTTCGAAATATTAAGTTGAGTAAATATTTTTTAGATTTACTACTTAAGCTAAGTACAAAGTAAATGCTATTTTGGACCACGAAAGAGTACAATACCTTGAGTGTAATATAATTAAGCGGGCACATGACTCTAATCGAAAAACACTCGAAACGGTGGGAAGTTATTATATTAATGCCTTTGTGACTTATGCGTATTATAAAGAATACGAAAGACGTTTGTGGAACCATAATATTATAGTATGTACTTGTTGACTTTTACTGTTTTTTAGGAGGTTTTGGAACATTTTTGGGGCTTGTAATGAAAGTTCTTGCATTTTTTTGTTTTGTAAAGAAAGTTTTTTTCTATTTTTGGCTTTGTAAAGAAAGTTCTTGTCGTTTTTTGCTTTGTCAAGAAAGTTATTGCTATTATATGTTTTGTAAAGAAAGTTCTTACCATTCTTCAAAATTACTGTGTGTGAAAAAGCCTCAAAAACTTTCGTTACAGTTTAAAAACTGTCCATTGGCTCTAATCCGCTTGGCTGCAAATTGTCAAAAATGGCCTGTAAATAAAGTTCTTGCTGTTTCTAAAATTTAAAAATTATATTTTTAAATACTCTAGTACATATGATATTTTTGGGTTAGAAAAGAATTTTTAAACAACCGCAAGAACTTTCTTTACAAACCAAAAACTGGCCTTTGGTTTAAAGTTGGTTGGCTGTTATTGGCCAAACTAATTTGTAAACAAAGTTATTGCGTTTAACACACTATAGTCCCCGTCAATTAAAAGAGCAGCCTTCGTTCTCTGAGATGGTAACACCTAAACAAAAAATTTTTTCTGTTATCAATAGACCGATGATTTTCATGCAAATTTTTAAAAAATCAAGAATTTTGCTTTTATTTTACGAGCTACAGAAATTATTCAAATTTTCAAAGCAGCAATTAAAAGGGAAGCTTTATTAATACGAAACAAATATATTATATAGTATTGCCATTTTTGACCAAAGCAGACACCAATCGACCCGGAATTGAGTTGTACAAATCCTTAATAGCGTCCATGATGGCATTGATGGACTATAGTATAAATGCTAACTTTTGGCTGAAAAAGAATTTCTAAAGAGCCGCAAGAACTTTCTTTACAGTGCAAAAAGCGGCTTTGCTCAGGGTTTGCGTAGCTGAAAAACTATGTAAAATGGCCTTGGAAGGAAAGTTTTTGTAAATTTAAATTTTTTTGTATTTATGTTATTGCTGGTAGTATGTGCTATAATATGGCAAAGTGTCAGAAAATTATATTGTAGGTTTAAAAAATTATGGCATGTTTTTTAACTTTTGGTTTATAATTTTAAAAATGATGACTTTGATGTTTAGCGTAATTTATGTCGTTTGACGTGTTCATGGGTCCAATTATACAACTTTTATAAGAACGTAAGGTTAAAAACTGTATTTTACATGTACAAAACGTTTTCCGCACTTATATACGAAGATACGGTTACCAGAACAGCTTTAAAGACATAATAACTGAGATTATGTTAATTACTAGACTACCAGGAACTGACGTATTTGACAGAGTAAACACTTTCACATTTTGCTACTTACATCTACAATATTACTTTCATTCTACATTTTATTTTTACTTTTCAATATTTTTTAAATTTGAATACAATTAAAGTGGCGTGACCCTACTATAATATTGTATATGGTTGTAGCATGTGGTACACAGAGTTTTGAGCATTACAATGTAATCTGTTTGTGTAAAACTGTGGGAAAAGGGAGTGCAATTGTAGTGTTATTGTAGGTAGAGTTGGGGTTTGAAAGGGTGTAATAGTCTGGTATTGAAAATGGGTAGTACTGTAGATTTGGTATGGTAGTAGCGGTATATAACTGGTGTTTTATTGATTTTTACTTTCTATAAAAGAAGTTAGTGTCATTTTTTGTTTAGAATAACGCTTTTGCTGTTGCACGGTGCAGTTATTAAGTATTATTGTACCGTGCAGTCGGATATTTTTTTTGCACGGTGCAAGGAATTTTATTATTTGTCTTGGGGCGTAGTAAATGGACTTATACTAAAAAATATCTTTCAAAACTTCAAAGCATTTTAATTTTAACCTATTTAAACGATTTTTATTTTACTACCTCAAAAAAGAATGGCATAGTAAAATTTTTAAAAATGACTGCACGGTGCAATGTCAAAAACTTGTTGCACAGTGCAAAAAAAATATTTTTTTAAATTGTGGATCTAAAAAAATTTAAATAGCAGTTCCGCCTACAAATGTCAATTGCATTTTGACAAAAATACAAAAAAAGGAACAATTACATTATTCAATGGCTACTTCAATATTCATGGTCTTGTTTGAATATTAATTGTTCTCACATAACGTGTAATTAGAATAATATGTTTGTTTGTAAATTACAACTATAATATCAAATTCTTTTCTGATTAAAACTAGGCTACAAATAACGGAAAATATTGGGTAATGCAACAACTTTGTTTACGACACCGTGAAGAGATTCTAGAACGTTTTTGAGATTCTAAATTGGGAAAATTTAAAAACTTTATTTACAGAAAACTCGTGTTTTTAATTTTATTCGAAAAGTTTTTGGAAATCGTATTTTAACAGCATAAAACTGTGGAAAACTTTGTTTACGGACCAGAACTTGGTTGGGGTTCGAATCCGGCTGGATGCAAGTGGAAACACAAGCTTGTAAAGAAAGTTTTGACAATTTTTTGATTTACATGACTATGGTTTTAAATAACCTAGTAATGTGCTAACTTTAGGAAATATAAAAAAATTTGAAAAAGCGCAGTAACTTTCTTTACAAGTCAAAAATCGGCCAATGCTACGATTTTTTGTGGGCTTTGGAGGCTCAAAACCGTTGTAAAGAAAGTTTCGGCCGTTTTTCTAGTTTTTTAACTCTATTTTTAAATAGCTTAACATATGCACTAACTTTAGGTATTACAAAAAATTTAAAAAAAAGCGCAATAACTTTCTTTACAATCCAAAAATTGGGCAATTCTTCGATTTTTTGCGTGTTTTCGGGGCTCAAAAGCATTGTAAAGAAAGTTTTTGCGGTTTTTTGAAAATTTTGTTTTGAGGTTTTTATTTACTATGAAAATAGTCATCTCTATGCCAAATTTCAATATTTTTCACTTTTTGTTCAAAAAGTTATGGCAGTTTTTCTAACGCGTACTTTGTGTTTTTTATGATTTTTTGTGATTTTTTTGTAAAGAAAGTTATTGTATTGGTATTATAAAAGTATTGTAACAGTAAATCTGTGTTTTTTATATTGCCATTGAGTTATTCAATTATATTTGTCATTTTCAAAAAATATTTGTATTCAAAAATTTTTTTTTGTTACCTAAATTCCTTTGTCCAGTCCTTTGGCCTTATTTTAAAGCAAATTGCTGGCTGATTCTTGGTCCGATAAATAACGTTATATACAATTGTGATAAACAAATTTCTCATCGTTTCCGTTGAAATATAAAACGTTCGCGAAGGAACGACATCGAGATTATGCAAATGAGATTAATGCGATGTCAAATTAGACGCATCCTTGAACAAGGATTTGTTATTGTGTCTTTGTTCTTTTTCTATCGCCTCGAGCGTCCCGGATTGTAAAGGTTGTTTTTGGGCCGAATGGCATTATTTTGCAGGAGATATTGAGTTATTTTGTTATTAAGAAAACTTTTTTTTGCTTTTATTTAAAATTTTTATTACCTATATTTTGTAAAGAAAGTTTTTGCCATTTTTTGACATTTAAACAAAGTTCTTGCGATTTTTTGTTTTGTAAAGAAAGTTCTTGTCATTCTTAATTTGTAAAGAAAGTTCTTGCCATTTTTTGTCTTGTAAAGAAAGTTCTTGCTATTTTAGCTTTTGTAAAGAAAATTATTGCTATTTTTCGTTTTGTAAAGAAAGTCCTTGCCATGTTTTGTCTTATAAAGCATGTTCTTGCTATTTTAGCCTTTGTAAAGAAAATCCTTGCCTTTTTTTGTTTTGTAAAGAAAGTTCTTAACAGTTTTTGTCTTGTAAAGAAAGTTGTTGCCATTTTATGCTTTTTAAACAAAGTTCTTGCCATTTTTTGTTTTGTAAAGAAAGTTCATGCCATTTTCTCAAATTTTCCATCTTTCTTTCCACAAAATTCTGCAAAACTTGTACTACTTTAATTTTTCCGAAAATTTGCCAAAACTAATCGAGTGGCGGATTAAAAATGACATTTGTACTTGCTTTTGACAATTTTCGGCCGAGAATTAGAAAAAAAAAGATTATCGCTAAATTTCGGCGGATTCTAGTATTGTTTACAGTCTGGAAACTTAAAAAAATGGACCGACGTATCTCTTTTTACCATGTTGTTTTATACATCTTCTTGGGAAGATACTATGGGTTTTGTAGACGTAGGGGGATAAGGGCAGAAGTAAGGGTGGGGAAAATCTGTCTAGTGTTGTAACATGAAGCCATATATATTGTTGTACTTGGTTAAGTACGGGGAAATTGTAAAAGGCATTTTGGGAAAGGGTGCATAATACAATGACAGGGAAATTTAGGTAACAAATTCTATTGTAATTCTTCTCTACTTAATCAGTTGTTGAAAGTTTTGACAGTTCTTGATTTGTAAAGAAAGTTCTAGCCATTTCTTGATTTGTAAAGAAAGTTCTTGCCATTTTATGTTTTGTAAAGAAAGTTCTTGTCATTTTTACACAAAAAACTCCACTATGGAAAGGCTGCAGGCTGCGGGTGACATGTTATACGATTAAAGCTATTTTTTCGCTTTGTAAAGAAAGTTATTGCCATTTTTTGTTTTGTAAAGAAAGTTCTTGCTATTTTTTTGTAAAGAAAGTTCTTGCTATTTTAGGTTTTATAAAGAAAATTTTTTGGGTCCCACCACGAAAACCCGCAAACTTCAAAAGTCGCCATATTTCAAAGCTCAAAGCCCACTTTCAGCTTATGGTTATCTATCTCGACTATTAAAATATGAAAACGTTGAGTGGAGTAAATTATAGCACGCATTTATTTCGAAAATTTTCAGAAGAATGCCTGCGGCATTATCCGAAAAACTAATCTCTCGTTACTGTTTCAGAAGTTTTATTACTCTTTTAATGTCCAAACGGATTTTAATTTTGGTTTTAGATGCTTATATTGCCATTTTTGGAAGATTTTAGGTAACAAAATTCGGTTTTTTTTAAGTGGAAAGAAAGTTCTTGCTATTTTTTGTTTTGTAAAGAAAGTTCTTGCCATTTGTTGCACGATTTTGAAGTTTTAATTTTTTAGGTAATAGCTGCGGAAAGTTCTTTCGAACTTTTTTTGCATTTTTTAGGTATAAAATGGTAGTTTTTTGTCAATTTTTAGTTTTGTAAAGAAAGTTTTCGCTATTTTCAGTCTTTTTTGCGTTTGACGTGCTATGCAAGTTTTAGTAGTTTTAGCGAGATTTATTATTGTTTTTGTTTTGTTTATGAATAACGGCTTCAAATATTAAGCTCGTGGTTACTTTATGGTGTCATTATTTATTAACACATTAGTAGGAAGTTGTTTTTTTTTCAACTCAAATTACGTTCAAAGCTCGTTTTGATACCATCGATACTATAGTACAACCCTAGCCTCGGCCTTAGTCCAGAACCTTAGCCCAGAGCTCTAGCCCAGAGCCCTAGCCCAGAGCCCTAGTTCTTGCTAGGCATAGGGAACTGGCTGGGCCCATTTTTCAGACTAGGCCGGATCTAACTTTTAACGTATACCCTTATTTATGCTACTCTACGATTTGTTTACACGGCTTTTTTTAGCTTTTTACAATTTGTTTACTCTGTGGTTATTATGATTGTAAACTGCTAATTGTGTGGAATCGTACAGCTATTACTTTTCGTTAATACTACATTGTAATTTTGTTAATTCTATGTAAAATGAGTTTTTGTAGTGATATACATACATATACACTATCTATACGTGAGGTAGGGTAGGGTAGGATATGGTATAGCATAAAAAGTGACACAATAATGCAAGGGATACCTCGAAGTAAAATAGAGTGATATCCCAACACTCGCAGTCATTTGTTGGGTCGTTTTACACCGAGGCAAATCTTATATAAAACCATAATATTACATAAGAAAAAGTTGCGTAATACGGTTTCTTGCAATTTCTCTAAGGCTATCTTATTAAATCATCAAAGTTAGGTAATGACGCACAAATTTTTATCCATTTTTATTGCTTATGTCGGTATATATAATAGTCCAAAGGATGAGTAGAGAGTATCATAAGGTTGTATGTTAATTTAAAGTATGGTAAAGTACGATGGGGTACGGTAAAATACGTTGAGGTACGGCAGGGTAAGGTAGGGTAGGGTATGATAAATATCTTTGCGCGTATTTTACCTTCATGGCTGTTTATACTTTTTAGAATTTTAAAAAAATTTTAGATGCCAGAAGGCAACATATCGAATCTAGTAGACTATTATGATGACATTCATATGGAAGGAATGGATGATCAGCCCAGTTTTCTGGCTCTATTATACCTCAGTTATATGCCGTTATGTGCTTTGGTTGGACTGACTGGAAACTGCATGGTTTATATATTGATCAGGTAGGTCCTGCAAATGATTTTAGGCTTAGCTTTGTACAATTGGGCTTATTTAGGCGTTCTTTGGCTCACTGTGCAATTTCGGGCTTATTTATGCGCTTAGGCTTATTGCTTCATCTGTAGGCTTATTTTTGTGCCGTTAGGCTTATGGCGGGTCTGTTAAGTTTATATATGTGCCGATAGGCTTATTGCATTGTCTTTAGGCTTGTTTTTGTGTTGTTAGGCTCTTTGCATTATTTTTAGGATTTTTTTGTGCTTTTATTACGTCATCTTTAGGCTTATTATAGTGTTCTGAGGCTTGTGGCGTCTCTTACAAGCTCATAAACTCATTTCGGTGCTGTTAGGCATATGCCAGTTTGTTTAGGCTTATTTTTTTTGCTTTCAGGTTTATTGCGGCATCCGTAAGCTTATTTTTGTGTTATTAGGCTTATGGCGTCACGTTGAGGCTTCTTTATGTGCCATTAGGCTTATTCATAATTTTTAGGCTTGATTTTTCATTTTTTGGGTCACTATTAACTAGAACCCTTTCAGAACAAACCAAATTTTTCGCCGTCTGCCCTCTTCTGTATACCTCCAAACTCTGGCTGGCATGAGTTCTCTATTCTTGGTGTCACTACTGTCATTTTGGGTAGATCAAGGCTTCGTTCGGCCGTCAGCTCAACCGTCCAAGTACTTTTGCAAAGTTTCCACATTTCTAACTCATTTTTGCGACTTTGCCAGTGTTTGGTTGATTGTGCTGATCAGCTTCGAACGATTGACATTACTTTACAAGGCTACGTAAGTTTGAAAATGGGGTAAAATACGACAACAGGGCTTAAAAATGAAAATAATTGGCTTTTAAATGCAAATTTTAGGAAATTAAATTTTTTTTGTAAAATACGAATTTTGTAAACGTCTCTTTTTCAATATCAGGCTATTTGGCAGTTAAAATACCGAAAAATTCAAAATTAAAAAAAATTTTTATTTTTTGATTTTTTTTGAAATTGTTATCTGAAACAAGATCTTTTTTTTTAAATAAAAGCTCAAAAATACTTTCATCTACCATATAATACTCTAAATACATCAAAAACTTCATTTTCAAAATTTTTGCTTTGGGTCCCACCACGAAAACCTTAAAATCAATGTTTGCTTTTAGATTCCGCCGAAGCATGGTGAATTCGATAAAGCAAGTTGGAATATTGATCTCAATCACATTTCTGTGCAATTTGTGGATTTTACTTGTTGCTGAGATTAATGACATTGGCATTTGCGACATTACTCCCGAATACGAACATATCTACCATGTACTGTAGTTTTTTTTGTAAAATACGGTTTTTGATTCTTCTCTTAAAAATTGAAAAAAAAATTTTACAAAACAGAAAATGGCAGGAACTTTCTTTACAAAACAGAAAATAGCAAGAACTTTCTTTACAAAGCAAAAAATGGCAGGGACTTTCTTTACAAAACAGAAAATGGCAAGAACTTTCTTTACAAAGCAGAAAATGGCAAGAACTTTCTTTACAAAGCAGAAAATGGCAAGAACTGTCTTTCCAAAACACAAAATAGCAAGAACTTTCTTTACAACGTTCATTTTTAGGCCTTTAGTTTAATGGAAACGGGTATTTGCATGATCATTCCAACCGTTCTTATCATACTGTTCAACGTACTGGTTATTCTTAAACTACGGTCGCATTTCAAAAACATACCAGCATCACCATCAGTGTCGTTTAATACTGCTGATACTGTATATTCTACTGGACCTTCCCATACTATTAAGAGTACCAAGGTGTCTAAGTGAGTAATCTACAGTATCATAAATTATCTTACCCTACCCCACCCTACCCTACCCTACCCTACCCTACCCTACCCTACCCTACCCTACCCTACCCTACCCTACCCTACCCTACCCTACCCTACCCTACCCTACCCTACCCTACCCTACCCTACCCTACCCTACCCTACCCTACTCTACCCTACCCTACCCTACCCTACTCTATCCTACCCTATTCTACTCTACCCTACCTTACCCTATCCTACCCTACCCTACCCTACCCTATTCTACTCTATCCTACTCTACCCTCCCCTACTTTGAAATGTACCATTCTTCATTTTAGAGCCAGTATGCACCACTTATCAGTGAACGGTACCAATAGTGCAGAGACAATGGCTCTACGTTATAAACGATGTAGCTTACGCTACGCAGACCTACAGTTGACTAGGTCATTAGTGATTGTTACTAGTGTTTTTATATTGCTCAACCTGCCCAATTACTTATACCGTATCGCTGTACAGTATCTGAAGATCAGCGATCAGGTAAGGTAGCAAGAAATTTCTTTACAAAACAAAAAATGGCAAGGACTTTCTTTACAAAACAAAAAATGGCAAGAACTTTCCTTACAAAACAAAAAATGGCAAGAACTTTCTTTACAAACTTTAAAATGGCAAGAACTTTTTTTACAAACTTAAAAATAGTAAGAACTTTCTTTACAAAACAAAAAACGGCAAGAACTTTCTTTACAAAACAAAAAATGGCAAGAACTTTCTTTCCACTATATCATTTTTAATTTTTCAGTCAGAAGTAATGCAATGGTTCTCATTAGCCGCTCACGTCCTCTTATACACACATCATGCTATCTTATTTTACATGTATATCTTCAACTCACCGCAAATGCGCCGCCGCTTATTGCCGACGGCGTTGAAGCTGCTGGAGTGTTATTGTTTGAAGCCGGTTCAGGATTACTCGGAAAACGGGATTAACTACTAATCATATGAGAATGTTAATATTGTTTCATTGGTTTTTCAAGTTTTTTGTTTTAAAACGAAATCGTTAGTAAAGCTCAAGTTAATAAATTATTATAGTACAGTAACCAAAGGACGTGTAAAATAACGTTGTTTGAACTTGAAATGGTAGTATAGGATAAGGTTGAGTAAAATATGGTAAGGTGGGGTAGGATACACTAAGGTACGGTAAGTTAGGGTAAGATATTGAAAGCCCGAGTAGGATAGAGTAGGATAGCATAAGGCGGGGTAGGGTAAAGTAGGATAGGATAGGGCAATACAGGGTCCACTAGGATACAACAAGATAAGGTAAAGTGAAATATTATGGTAGTAAGGTAAGGTGGATAGGGGGTAATTTGATAAGAAAGAGAAGTGGTTAAGGTATAATACTGTAGGGTAGAGTAGGGTAGGATAGGGTAAGGTAGGGTAGGGTAGGGTAGGGTAGGGTAGGGTAGGGTAGGGTAGGGTAGGGTAGGGTAAGGTAGGGTAGGGCAGGGTAGGGTAGGGCAGATTAAAGCCGGGTAGGGTACTGTAAGGTCAAATATTATACTGTAAGATTTAAAGATTTGCACAAGTCACAAGATTTTTTTACACAAAAAAATATTTTAATTAATTTGATTACAGTGATGTTTTGCAGCTTACAAACGCTGCTTTGACAATGTAACAAACATTGTCTCGTGTTGGCAACCATTACTTTACCCTTTTTGTTACATTAATGCGCATTATGACGTTGTCTACACTAGATTGCACCCTACCCTACCCTATCTTACCTCACCCTACCCTACCCTAAACTACCCTATTCTACCGTATTATACCCTATCCTACACTTTTTTACCCGATCTTACTCTAACCTACTGTACTCTAAGTCGCAAAAAGAAAATTACTGTAAACAACTTTTGCAAAACTACAAAAACACAAGACATACGATAACAAGACAAACACATTAATGTCTATTTTAGAAATCCATTAAGTAAGTTTACAAAAGCGTCTCGAAGTTGGGTTTCTTCCTTATTTGAAACAGTTCGCAGAACGTTTTTACATTAACAACATACGATGGTATATAATGGGAAATGGTCTGCTGACTTATTGGCATAAACAAATATAGTGTTTAAGAACAAAAGGGTTACTGTATTTTAAAACTGTAGAAGCTGGGTCTTTGGTTTTTCCGCTGTTTATACCGTACTTTACCCTATCTTGCTCTACCGTACCTTATTCTAGCTTGTTTAACCCTACTTTACGGCCTACCTTATCGTACTTTATCATACACTACCCTACCGTATCCTACCCTTCCCTACCTTATTATAATCTATCCTACCGTACCCTACTCCACCTTTTTTTGCCCTACACTACCTTACATTAACTTACCTTACCTTACTTTTTTTGCCTTTCTTTACCTTACCTTGGTTTGAAATTTGTGTTAGGTTCGATTACTGTAGTTACAGTACACTACATAACAAAATTTACGCCTTACATACTGTAATTTTCTCCCAAATTTCAGTTAATTCCTACGATGGCGTACAGTAACCCGGCGTGCAAGCCGGTGCCCGTCGTTACTACTCCTATCAACGGAGTAGTACTAATCATCAAGTACCTCTTTTTCATAACCAGCTTCGTTTGGCAGGCTACAGTACGACTGTGTAACTATTTCGAGATCCGGCTGATACCACGTTATTTCTCCATCCAATTAGAAGCCCCACTACTACGCAAGGTCTCAAAGCTTTTGGCAGTTCATGACCATCTGAAAGATGGCTCCACCTTCTCCGGCCGGCTGTCACAAGTGGTACAGGCGGCTCAGTACCAACCTCGTCGCAAAATGGCTACATTTCGTTCGACTCGTCGCAACATCTTTGAACTTCAATCGCTTCTAGAGCTCATTTTGCCAATGTTCGGCGAGTACCCGTGGAACCAACTTGTACCAAACGCTGGTCTTAATATGGCCGTGCTATGTGGTCTAATCAGAAAGCTGTTGAAAGAGGACGAAAGCCTAGCTACACAGCCCAAGACTGTTACTGCTGCCGTTACTGATGATTATCATCGATGGTGTTCCGTGCTTGAAGTTGAACATTTGACTTTCGGTTTGAGTGATATGGTCGAGGAGGTCTTGTTCAACTACCGTTTCCATATGAACCGGAACGGTAAAATGAGTGGATTTGACAAATTACCTACTGAGATTCAGTGCATGATCATGTAGGTTTTAACTTTTTTAATATTTATTCTAACCTACTCTATCTTACCCTACCTTAATGTACCCTACCCTATCGTACCCTACCCTACCTTATCCTACCCTACTCTACTTTATCCTACCAAAGAAGGTGATAACACAGGGTGAATATGAAGACCACATAGTAGAGGGGCAAGATAAATCTGAGGAAAACATGAAAGGGTAGGGTAATTTAGAGTAAATTTCAGTAGAGTATGGTAGACAAGTGCACAGTATAATAGGATAGCATAGAATACAATAGAATAGTATTAGGTAATGAGTAAAGTAGGCAGGTCCATTAATTTGCGCCCTATTTTCAGCAGTTGGCAAGCTGTAAAGTGGGCGGAAAAGCATGGATTTGAAAAATATGCCTTACATTATCACTAAATAAAGGCCTTGTGAGTTAGTGTAAGTAAATACTTTTAGTCTAAAATAGTGGTACATACGATTACCATTACTTTTATTACTTTAAAATATCAACATTACTCAAATTTAATATTTTGACCCAGAAAGACTTGCTTAACCTTGTTAAACTGCTTTTTATACATACTCTACGTTCCCCTACCTTAACTTACCCTAGATTACGCTACCCTATTATTATACAAAAAAGCAACTTTTTACCTAAAAATAGCTATACAACTACTTTAAACAACCATTTTTTAGGCAAAAAGTCCATGTTCCCCTGTCCCAACAATTTATCCGTGACGACAAGAAGGCCCTTCGTCGCGTCTGGTACGGCAACGAGAACAAGCGTGCTGATAAGGCTGCTTTTTTGGCCAATTTCGTCAGAATTAATGCAAAAACCGCAACCGTTGCCAAAGCCGTTCTTCTTCATTAATTGTCACACTTATACTATGTTGCAAAATACATTTACTCACAGTTATTACGGGTATAAACGATATTGATTTATAGGTTTATTTGGGAGTTGGCAATGCTTGAATAGGTAATGGCAGACTGACATTCGCAGGTAATGGCAGACACACGCAGGGAAATCGCTAGAGGAGTAAAGGGAGGGAGGAAGGGGTGGGGGGATACACAAATTGTCCGTAGGCTTGTATTAAAATAGTTAAAACAACTTCATAGAAAAACATGTCATTCATCAAAGTAGAAACCACAGCAGTGTGAAATTACATAGTAAAACCAGCCTTCTCAATCAATTCAATACTTTTAACCCATAAAGCATCCTGTAGAGCTTCATCTTCAGCAAAAGCCTTGGCCAAATAGCTGTCATCGTCCCAACAGGACTCAAAATATCGGCCGCTTACCTAAAATCAAAAAAATTTTTTTTATTTTTTTAAAAACATTCTAGAAATAAACAAGATCGTATTTTACACTGTTGACTACAAGGAAAAGCTGCCGTATTTTACATTTAAAAAAATGTATCCAAAACCCCTTACCTTGTCCAAATCCGGATGAATAGCACAATAAACAGAGCAAGCTGCTCCTTGGTTTATGTTTTTTACAAAAGGTTTGGTAAGGGTTTGTGCTATTTTACCTAAAACTCCGTAGGGCTTGAAAATACCTAAAATTTTAAGTTTAATAGTAATGTATAATATATTATAAGTAGTACGCATGTCTGCCCCTTAGTTTATGCTTTATATCTTCTATCTGTACCTCATCTCATCCTCATGCTCAGTATCGTACTGTGCAAACAATTCATATAACTTTCGTATACTCACCTGTAGCAATCATAGCTCCAGGATGAACCACATTCACATTAACACCTTTATCATTCAATTCACGATGAAGTTTAAAGCCAAATAGCACGTTACACAGTTTCGACCTTCCGTACTGCACAATCTGTGGTGCCTTCGTACTCGGCTCCAGTACCAATGAAGCCAACTTCTCTTCCACCGTGCCTGAGGTACTCATTACCGTTTGACGATGTGAAGCCGACGATAGTACGACTACACGTGCTGGAGCAGACTGGACTAACTTTTCCATCAACAATAGTGTCAAATAGAAATGAGCCAGATGATTGACCGCAAAGATGGTACTATAACCATCTTTTGTAGCGGCATCCGTAGCTCCGATAATTCCGGCGTTCAGAATCAGTATGTGTAGCGGCCAATTCGATTTCAGATACTCGTCGGCACATTGTTTTACAGATTCTAATGACGTTAAATCAAGTTTAAGTAAATCGATTTTAGCGTTTGGCGCTATTTCGAGGATTTCTTGCCTGACCTTCTCAGCCAACTCCATATTCCGATTGGCCATAACAATATGAGCTCCTCTTTGAGCCAAAACCTTGGCTGTTTCGGTGCCAATGCCATTTGTGGTACCAGTGATTAGTACTGTTCGATTTGATAGGTCTATTCCTTCGGCTACCTGAAGGAGAGAAGGTTTTGTTTAGATTTTAGATAACAAAATATTTTGCAAAATTGAATCTACTATTTTAGGTAACAAACAAGTAACAAAAATAGAAATTTTGTTACCTAAAATAATAATTTATTACCTAAAAATAAGAAATAAGATTTCAGCTCAAAGAGGAGCTAAAAATAACTATTTTAGATATGAAAACCTTCTAAAACATGTCTTTTAGATAGCAAAACAATTATTTATTCCAGCTCTAACCTAATTTCAATAAAAAAACAAAAAAACCCAATAAAATTTTATATTAGACTACCCACCTCATTAGCATAACTTCTAGAATTGAATCGCCGTTCTCGTTTAGCCGAATCCCCTTGACAGTCCATTTGAAGCCAATTTGTGAGAGAAAATGAACACAAAAATGAGTTCGCTTCCGCTTTTTCGGACAAAAGCCGACCCTTCAGCTGGTTGCGAACTGCGGAAGCGCGGGCGCTGCTTGAGATTGTTATCAGTTAGTTGGATGGGTTTTCATTAGGCTTATCTATCTTAATATGTTTAAGGTGTACTTAGCTTGTGTTTTTTGGTTTAGAAATTTTATCGTATTTCATTAAAAATGGCATTTCTAAAAAATTTTAAAACCGAAAAATTTTTAATTTTGTCAAATGTAAAAAAAAATTTTTAAATCAATAAAAATTACAAAAAATGAATAACAATAACATTCAGTGCACTGAATTTTATTTTTGATAGTAAACAAAGATAAACAAGATTACAACCGGTAAATTAAAACGTCGACATTGTAACGTCAGAAGATAAAATATAGCAGTAGAAGTCAGGTATTGAGATTCACCGAGACACGCATCAATTCTAAAATCTTTTTACATTTTAGAATTGGTACTCTTGTTGTGGGTATCGGCCAAACGAGCGAGCATGGTTAAAGGTGTTTTCTTGAGCTCCAAAACCGGCCGAACGTTTACCGTAGTAGTAGCCGTAGGCTGGGTAGTAGCCTCCGTAGTACTGCAAGATAAAAATTGAGATTTATTTAGTTAGAGATCGAGGTTCAGACTTAGCAAATTTAGGCTTAGCAAGCTTAGGTTCAGTAGGCTAATGCTTAGTAGGCTTAGGCTTAGTAGGCTTAGGCTTAGTAGGCTTAGGCTTAGTGAGCTTAGGCTTAGTAGGCTTAGACTAAATAGTGCTAGACTAAGAAGGCTTAGGTTGTAAGCTTGGGCTAAGTAGGCTTAAGAGCCTTAGGCTTAATAAGATTAAGTTTAGGAGGCGTAGGCTCAGCAGGCTTAGACACTTACGTATTGAGCTTGAGCGACTTCAGCTACCATTCCAAGGCAGAGGACAACCAAAAGAGCGATGATAACGCTAAAATACTTTATAATTTAAAAATGCAACTTTTTTTTTAAAAATAGTAAAAAGGGCACCTTTAAGCTTAAAAATTTAGTTACTGTATGTTACCCGACCAAATTTATAATTACAGTAACTCAAGGCAATTCTTTGACTACAGTGTACCGAAGTTATAACGAGTAATAGACAAGGTATAACAACTTACGCTTTTGACATTTTTAAAGTCGGTAGTAATGTAGATAGTGTACTGTAACTAATAAAACAGTAGCTTTTAATGTCATTTTCAAATTTCACATAGTATTTATAGCATTTTAGGTACAATTGTCCGAACTTACTAGAAGGCAAACAAATCGCTTTTTTCAATTATAGTATTGTAACTTTTGTTTACTTTACCATGTTTGGCAAGTTTACTCAACAAATTTGATTCACAAAGTCAGTTCATAAAGTTAACAGAGTTATTGTACTTAAAATGTTGGCGATTGAGTTCATGGTACAAAGCAAAGTTTCATAATTTTGGTCTCGTTTTGTTGTGAGCCTTATTTTGTAAAAACAAATAAAAAACTGTTTTTTTTTTTAATTTTAGTTGAGTTCAGCTTGATCTAAACTACAATACTTTGTAATCAAAATTTTGTGTTATCCTAGATGCTAGGTGTAAAGTATGTGAACCAAATGTAGGCTGGTGATAGACAAAGGGATGGGCTACTACATCCAGAGTTAACGTTAGGGCCACGGATAAAACTATGGTTAGGCTAGGATAAAGGTTAACACATAGGCTAGAACAAGGTCTAGATCTAAGGCTAGGACTATACCAAGGCATGGGCTACTACACGGTCCAGAGCTAGAGTTAAGGTCATGGAAAAAACTATGGCTAGGCTAGGGTAAGGGTTAAGACATAGGCTAGAACATAAGCTAGGTCTAGTGCCAGGGCTAGAGCTCTGGGCTAAAGCTCTGTACTAGGGCGCTGGGCTAGGGCTCTGGGCTAAGGCTCTGGGCTAGGGCTCTGGGCTAGGGCTCTGGGCTAGGGCTCTGGGCTAAAGCTCTGGGCTAGGGCTCTGGGCTAGGGCTCTGGGCTAGGGCTCTGGGCTAGGGCTCTGGGCTAAGGCTCTGGGTTAGGGCTTTGGGCTAGGGCTCTGGGCTAAGGCTCTGGGCTAAGGCTCTAAGCTAGGGCTCTGGGCTAGGGCTCTGGGCTAGGACACATCCAAATTTGGAACTCATACATCCACAAAACAATGTAAACCTTATTGTCCCTATCTAAAACTTGTTGACACGCTGTACCGCAAAGTTTGCAAAAAGTCTTGAAACCTAACGAAACCCAACGTAACCCTAATATCAGTTACAAACAATGTAAACAATTGCTAACAACTATTGTCTGTTTGCGGCTTAAATTTCTCAAATTTACCGTTTCTTTTGGGGACACAAACAGGTCGAATTTTGTATAAAAGGGTCCAATTGTTGGACAAAAGTCATCACTTCTGTGTTCCAACAACCTATTACAATATGTCTGCCAAAAGGTTTGTTTTTAAAAATGGTAAAAACAGATGAGTACTGTAACTTTTTTTGCTTTATCAAAGGGTTTATGCTAAGGCTAGGGTTTTGCACAGCATGTTTATTAGTACCAAATAGTTGTACAGTAACCTAAAATTAAAAAAAAATGTTTGTCATACTGTAACTAGTACGGTACTAAACCCCAAAGTTAAATAATTTAGTACGGTACTAAAAGCGAAGTTAAATATATTTAAATATGTTGTTGTAGCATCATTGCTCTCCTTTTTATCTTCGCCTTCGCCATGTCAGCTCAAGCTCAATGTGGGTCATCATACTACGGAGGATACTACCCATCATACAGCGGCTATGGTGGCTACTCTTCATACTACCCTTCATACAACTATGGACTGTAAGTTTATTTGTAATATCTAAGCCAGAAGAGCTAAGTAAACTTTAAGTACAGTATTATTAGTAGCACAGTACTATTACAAGTACAGTACTATTAGCAGCACAGTCCTATTAGTAGTGCAGCCCTATTAGTAGTACCATATAGTACCTTAAGATAAAAACGTAAAGCAATTCTTCCGTTACAGAGGCTACTCCTCCAACTACGGTTACTACGGCAAACGTGAAGCTGGATTCGAACAGCCATCAGCTGGCCGCCATACCCGTCATGCTGAGAAACAACAGTAAAAACCATCCTACATAACTGCCATTTTTCCATTTTTATGAGTGTTTTTCCGGTGAATAAAATTTTTAATTTTTTAATTTTGAAATTATGACTTCATTTTCCAGCTTAAAGTGCAAGAATAGAGGTAGAAATAGGGGTATGGGCTAAGAAATGGGCTAGAACACGGTCTAGAGCAAAAGTAAGGGTACGTAGGAGTAGAAGTAAAGGTATGTATGAGGTAAATCATAGGCTAGAACATAATATAGGACTAGGGTTAAGACTAGAACTAGATCTAGTAAAAGAGGGGGGGGAGTAAAAGTAAGTGTATAGACTAACCCATAGGCTAGAACTTGGTCTAGGGCTAAGACTATAACTAAAGCTAGGCTCTAGGCTAGGGCTCTGGGCTAGGGCTCTGGGCTAGGGCTCTGGGTTAGGGCTCTGGGCTAGGGCTCCGGGCTCTGGGCTAGAGCTCTGGGCTAGGGCTCTGAACTAGGGCTCTGGGCTAGGGCTCTGGGCCACGGCTAGCACAAAAGCTAGTTCTAGAGCCAAAGGAAAAGCTAAAGCTATAGCGAATACTAGCGCTAAAGCTAAAGGCTAGATCTGGGGCTACTATGAGATATAACCAACTCAAATTTAAAAATCTTTATTATCCCCAAGCAGTTTTCAACTGATCAAAGTGGATTTTGGTCTCTTCTAAGGTACTTTTGGGTACAAACGCTGATGCTCGTCCCTTGGAATCACTTATTTTAGTGTATCCCAAATGTTTTCTCAAAGATTTTAGGTCTTTCTTCACACGCCGTTGAATGGGCCGGTATTTGAACAACAAGAATGACAAAAAGTAACATAGGTACGCGTCCGCAAACACTGAATGACTCTGAAATCAACTGTTTTTAAAACGATTTGTCATATACACTTAGAAAAAACTTTTGTAAACAAAGTCCTTGCCATTTTTAGTATTGTAAATAAAGTTTTTGTCATTTTTTCAACTGTAAACAAAGTTCTAGCTATTTTTTGTTTTGTAAAGAAGCTTCTTTATATTTTTTGCTTTGTAAAGAAAGTTCTTGCCATTTTTTTGTTTTGTAAAGAAAGTTCTTGCCATTTCTTGTTTTGTAAAGAAAGTTCTTGCCATTTTTGTTTTGTAAAAAAAATTTCTTGCCATTTTACGCCTTGTAAAGAAAGTTCTTGCCATTTTTTGCTTTCTAAAGAAAGTTCTTGCCATTTTTGAAACCTACAGCACAAAGCAGTACAAGTTCTTCGGAATTGACATTGTCACGATAGTAGTTGAACAAGATTAAACTAGATGTTAAACCACCAAATATGGCTACTATAACATACGCTTTGACTGTTTTTAATAGTACTGAAGTGTAAAAGTAATTGGCTTCAAGCTGATAACGTTCTTGTAGCGTGCAACCGATACGGTCTTTGTGTGACATGTCTATCTTGACACTAATTATGTATATCACCTAAAATTTTGAGTATTACTTGCTATATAGGATCTAGTACTATTTGCTATTTGGTACTACGTAACAAAATCGTGCTACATAGCATCAATTAATATGTACTATTTAGTACAGCAGGCTATAAAATGCTACGTACAATAAAGTACTGACAACAAATACTTTATAGTACAAGAGTCGCAAATACAAAATAGCACCACCTACTATAAATTATCAAGTACTACATAGTATTACAGCATATACACAGTATAAAATTAAAGATGCCCTACCGTTCCTCCAATAACACCCAGAAAAGTAGCTACGATCCATCCAATCATGGCTATTAGAGAAATGTCTACGTTAAAAGACTGCGGTATCTTGTACACACTACCGCTATATACATCATCTGGGTCTGGTTTAGATACTTCAGCTATTAGTATCAGGGCTACTACTGTAAGAAAGTTTAGGTTATTACTGTATATGTGTTTACAATTCCCTACACAACCCTACTCCGTATTAGATACCCTACCCAACCGTACCCTACCCTACCCTACCCTACCATACCCTACCCTACCCTACCCTACCCTACCCTACCCTACCCTACACTACCCTACCCTACCCTACCTTACCCTACCCTACCCTACCCTACCCTACCCTACCCTACCCTACCCTACCCTACCCTACCTTACCTATATTAACCATCAGCAATATGGGCACAATACAGTAGGTATGTTGTTCGTAAGTCTTCACAAAAATGCAAGCTGCCACTCGTTCTACTGCCATATTAATTACCGTTGTCACACATATACAAAATGCGACACTATTAAAGAATAACGCAATAAAAGTAAGCCAATTATAAGTTAGAGTGTTGGTTTCTTGAAAATACTGTAGAGCTTCGTATGATACAAATACTAATGGGTATTGCCAGGCTATTGTTGCCTGAAATAAGAAAATGTTGAAAATCGGCTGTAAAACCACTAACATTTGACATTATTTTAAGCCTAAAACCCAAAATTTAAGTCTTATTCATCATAATTAAGCCTAAACCTTCGAATTAAAAACTGAAACTTCAAATATAAGCCTACAAGTTTAAATTTAAGACTAAAGTTTTACATTTATGCCTAGATGTTCAAATTTCACCCTACAACTTTACATTTAAGCCTAAGTCTTCAAATGTAAGCCTAAACCTTCAAATTGAAACCTAAAACTTCATATTTAAACCTAAATCTCCAAATATAAGCCGAACCCTTCAAAACACTTACAAATAGCATTCGTAGATTGATATGAACAGTCTGTAGCTTAATAACTCTAATTGTAAAATATAAACCAAGTACGACATTAATTGCATTTAAAGTTGCTCGCATAGACGACGCAACGTAAAACCAACATATTATCCATGTTTGCATCGTATGTTAAGTAATAAGATTACCATGCAATATAGTACGTAATGTAACAGTATGTGCTATATTAGATGTTGGGTCTTAATATTTAGATTATTATGTGCCTAAGCTTTTAATATTACTAGACTAGTATAGACAAGTAACGCTTCGTACCAATTTTGTTTATATTGTCACGCTAAGTAAAGTAAACAATATGTTATAGTATCATATGATACAATGTGCCATATACATATTACTGTTCCAAACGATATTAATATTACTACACGAACCCTATAGTATCATCTAAAACAGTGTTACACACGTTCTCAAATTGTAGTTCTACCCACACATGCCATCATAGTACAAGGTTTAATATGAGAGATAACGTTTTTTTACTTAGTATGACAAACATTTTTCACTACAGATACTTGAACATTATCCCTTTAGGCATAAATTCATTATTGTAGTATTAAAAAAACATACATTTCACACTTGAACATTAATTGTAGTGAATTTCCTACAATTTCAGTATCTGTATGATGATAATTTGTTGTAAGGTCAAAGAATTGTAGCTAGGTCTTTAAATAATAAAAACTTGCCCTACAAACACTATGAAATCGCAATAAGCCTCAGCACATAAAAACTAGCCTAAGAGTGGCGTCATATGTCTAAGCACACAAAAAAGGCCTAAGAAGAGCGTCATAAGCCTAAACACACAAAAATAAGCCAAAAAGTAGCGTCATAAGCCTCAGCACACAAAAAATAAGCCTAAAATTGACATCATAAATCTAAGAACACAAAAATAAGCCTGAAAGTAGCGTCATACGTCTAACATACAAAAAAAAATCCTCAAGATGGCGCTACAAGCCTGGGCAATTAAAAATAAGCCTAAAGATGACGTCACAAGCCTAATCACACAAAAATAAGCCTAAAGTGACGCAATGAGCCTAAAGTTACCCCAAGGTACTTATAAAGCAAAAAATAGCAAAAACTTTCCTTACAACAGACCATAAAATGACAAAAACCAAAACAAACAAACATCTCAAACATAAACATTAATTAACTATGCCTGTAGCTTTTGGCCTGAATATTAATAACTCATTATTTTTGCCTAGAACATGTGTAAAAACACGTACAACAACTTCCTGATTTAGCTATTACGCCTTATATTAATAAAAACGTAATTTCAAAGTAATATAACAGTCGTTTTTAATAAAGTAATACTACAAATTTTTAGCTTATGACAGTTATATCGTTTATACCTAGACATATTAATGTTTTGCCATTCTTTGTATGATTGCAAACTAATCAACTTATTTTTTCTCATAATTTTTAAGTTTACCACATCATATAATAGCTTAATTTAATTAGTTTTGTGTGAAAAACTAAGTTTTTTCGTAATCAATTTGAGCAAAACTGTCTAAAATGACAGATTTTTTAAACTTTTTAGTGAATAAGCTTCAGTAACCTGTAAAATACTTCTTATATATTACTCAGATGAAGATATTTAAATGTACGTATTATATCAATGTGTACATATAACATTAAATTAGTTTTAGTACAAGATATGGCTTAAAATCACCGAAAATATCAGACGAAACTACTACAATATATATAAAAAAACAATTTTAAACTAGATATGAGAACATGATACCTTCGCCTCAACAATATATGATATAAAATAACAATCTCTGCCTGAAACAAATATAATATAATCTAAAAGCAGTAGGTAATAAAAAAATATTACAATGAGATCAAAAACATTTAAAAAAACAAAAATAGTAGACTATTGTCCAAAAACAGTAAAATAATTGTCTATAAACAACATGAAAAACATCATCAAATGATGACACTACTGTACATCAAACCATTTTCTAATTAACGAATAACCATGACTCCAATAGCCTGATCAATAAGCTTCTGAGCCGGACTTTTGATCGTGCTATTCACATCATCCAAGCTCCTCTTAATTTCATGCAAACACTTCCGTAATGGCACAAAAACCCTCTCCTGAATCTCATCCTTCCTCTCAGAATCCGCGTAATGCTCAGGAATTGCGCGACACAACGTCGCGCATATTAACATGAAATACCTGATAGTCTCATCACTGTAGGGAGTCGCATTAGTTTTTATAAAAACTTCAATAATATTAAGGAAGACACGAGCTCGAAGACTTTGAACTTCAAATCGTGGAGATAATAAGGTAATGAAACGGCGAACAAATTGTTCAAAACAACCGTCCTGAAATCTCGATATTATAGTAGATCTTTTACTATTTTTAAAACTTTTCAATCGCATTTTAACGTCTTTTTGTTACCTAAGACATAGAATGATATCTAGACATCACAGAGTCAAAAACAAACCAATTCGATCCCATGTTTAACACTAATCCAGTCCAAACATGTCCTCAGATCATAAATCATGTCTAATATCCACTTTCTCACGTCAGTCCATTCCACTATCGCTTCAAAATTATCATTCAGCAAATCAGGTCTAATCTCATAAAACTTCTGAGCATGTTCTCGATTCACCGACAAATGTAATCTAGCCATTCTCACATAAAACATGTCATAAGGTTTAGCCACAAAGTAGTGAGCAGTAAACGATGGATTCAAACGCATGAATCCACATAATACATCAACTACATCTTTCGAAGATTCATGCCGCATATATCGCTCTATTGTTCGAAAGAAAGGTGGTGCCATTTTGCTGGTTTCGGGTGGAGGTACCAGGGTTTTCATAAAGTTATCAAGGTTTGGCAAACTGCGAAAGATAACCACAACTTCATTGTTGTCGGCGTACTTTCTAAACATTGGCAGATGTCTGAAAATATAAAATAAAGTAAGAACATCATTCTAACCAGCTTATAAAAGAAGTTCGAGCCAAAACGACATCGAATTCCTTTGTCTTTCATCAAATCTACGTCAACATCCTTCTTTACCTAAAAACCAAAAAATAATTAAAACCTTACCGATCCAAATCTCTAAAATGGCTTATCATCAACTCAGAATAACATGCATATTTAGTATCGCCATTCCAGATATATCGCGGAAGTTTAACGCGACGATTCCGCCGCATCGGCTCAGGCTCGCTTTCATCTCCATCTTCATGCAGCGACGGCTTTTTGTCCGAATGTTTATGATTACGATGCAAAAATTTGGAATCTCCATAAATTAAGTCCTCCTCTTTTCCATCGTCAAACACCTCTTCTTCCTTGTTTTGAGGTGAAAACGCCAGACGATCGCTCTTTTTTCGTTGATGGCGGTCAGCTCTTGACGCTGTTGACACTTTTCTACTCATTTTAGTGAGTTCGAAGTAATATTTATATATTAATAATAAAAACAGATCTTAAAAAATTATTTTAAATTATAAAAAACGTTAATTAGACTATAATCAGGCTCTATTTATGAAAAAAACCAAATTTTATAAAAAAATATAATTTAATACGGAATGCCAAAAAGATTGGCCACTGCTTGTTTTCGTGGTGGGACTTTAGAAACACAAGTAAATCGGCTTGTAATTGTATTACCTAGTACTATTTTGTACTGTGTTTTGTAATTTTTAGTAAAAATTTCAATCCAACGTAAATTGTAAAACAAAAGTTTATTATCAAATATAACCAAATATAAACGTTAATTGTAGTTGATAACCACATTGACCCGTAGTCAAACGCAAAAATAAGTAGAAATTTCAAATGTAAAATACGTCCACTAAACAATCGGGACAAACATGCGTTGATAATAGATACAATTACCAATAACAGTTATCAAAAGTAAAGGTTAAAATTACAGTTACTTATAGTTACAGTAATGTAAAATTACAGTTGAAATAAGATAAAAATGTGTAAAGTTTTTTGAAGAGTTGTTTGTTTGCAATGCACCGCGTTTTGTTATGTAGAGGCGTTTCGAAATAGTTAATTACATCAAGATACCACGATATGGGCCTTGCATTTTTAGGTACTGAAAGTCAAACTATAGTAAAATTTAAAAAAAACTTCGAATTTAAGGAAGTTTAGATCCTAATTTACCACAAAATCTAAATTTTCTCGTCTCCTTTCATCGTATGTGATAAAGCGGCAAAAATACGTTTGATCGTATAACTTGTCCCTTCCTGAACAACCAGCCTTTTCCAAAGAAATATCGACCAAAACTTACTTGAATGACTAGTGAAGGACCGCCTTCAGTTATATCTTGTGGAATCTGCGACAAAGGACACCTTTCGATGGACATGATCTCCAATGAACAACATAGAGCAAGCTCGAATGGCAACGAATGGAGGCCAGGATTGTCGTTCAAATAAAGTGATTTCAGGTTCTCCAGATGACCTAAAATGAGGTAGAGTACGTTTACTATATTTATTTTATTATATTTAGGCTAAACGCAACTTTTGAACCACAAATATTTGATTTTTAAAAGGAAAAAGATCAAATCTGGCATGAATAACATATTCTTTTAATGTATAGTTCAAGTTTTTCAATTGGCCAAACAAGGTAAAATACGCCAAACCGGTTTTTTTTATATCTCTTAAATTATCTTCAACTTTTGGTCTACAAAAATTATGGTTTTTAACAAAAAAGACCAAATTTGCCATGAATAGCATCAACTTTTAGGTGTTTGCCACAAACAATATGAAAATTTGATGTTTTTACGTCAAAATAAAAATGAAATTGATGTCAAAATAATAAATAAAGATTTGCCTTTACTATTCTAACCGTAAACTAGATTAAATCTTGTTGTTTTTCCTTGAAAAATACCAAATTTTCGAATATTAACCATGAGGAACTGTATAGGAAAGGCGAAATCTTTGTTTTTTGATAGAAATAGAGCTGTGAAATGGTAAGATTAGTTACTGATATTATGTATACCACAGTTTAGAGCCTTTTTTTGAAGAATAAGGCACAGTTTTTAAAAATGGCATGGATAATATAAGCTAATGGCATTTTTTTGCTGTTTTTGGGCAGTAAAGCCTGAATTAAAGGAAGTAAAACCTTACCAATCTCTTCAGGGATAAAGCTGAGCATGTTTTCACCAACACGAAGGTCCGTTAGGTTTAGTAAGTTTCTGAAATTTAGGAAAGATCAAGGTTAATATAAAAATTCGAAATAATCGGGCATATCTTATGATTTTTGGCATAAAAGTCAATGAATTATCCAAATTATGGCAAAAATTATAAAAAAACCAACAATAATAACAATAATTATCAAAAAACCAACAAAAATATTACCCAATGGTTCTCGGCAGACTAGTCAATTTGTTGGATTGGACCCATAATTTGGTGAGTGACATTAAGAAGCCAATGTCGCTGGGGATGCACTCCAGTTCGTTCTCCTCCAAATCCAATTCCCTTAATTTGCGAAGACTGCCGATTTGGCTCGGTAATTTGCGCAGTCGGTTCGTGCTCAGCACCAGCACCTCCAGGTTCACGAGTTTGTCAATGTCGGAGGGGAGTTCGATGAGGTCGTTGTTGGAGACGTTGAGCTCGGTCAGGGAGGTCCAGGTGCCAAAGTCGAGGGGGAGGGAAGTGAGCTGGTTCTCTTTGAAGTTGAGCTTGGTTAGGCCTTGGGCTTTCGAGAAAATGCCAAAGGGGATCAGGGAAATCGCGTTGTGTTCCATGTTCACGGTCTGTAAAGGACAAAGTTGGGAGACGTTATGTTATATAATACACAAAATTAAGCCTAAAAATGAATTAAAAAGCCTAAGCACCTAAAAACAAGCCTAAATTCGACGCAATAAGCCCAAGCACACAAAAATAAGCCTAGGGATGACGTAATAAGCCTAAGCAGATAAAAATAAGACTATAAATGGCTCAATAAGCCTAAAGGTGACGCAATAAGCTTAAACAGATAAAAATAAGACTATAAATGGCTCAATAAGCCTAAAGGTGACGCAATAAGCTTAAGCACACAAAACTAAGCCTAAGATGAATTACTGTTATTGATACTTGATTACTATGACAAAATTAGACCAAACTCACTATAGCACTTTCGAACTGATTCGGCCCTCCCTGAGGGAAAGAGTTGAGCTGATTTCTACTCAAATTAATAGTTTTGAGCTGGTTCAACGATACCAACAGGCCTTCTGGTAGTCCAGTCAACTTGTTGCTCTCCACAATAAACTCGCTTAACGATGTGCATTTGGCTAGCGAGCTGGGTAGGGCCGAAAGTTGGTTATAGCGAATGGCAAGGCGTTTCAAGCCGCTTAATTTGCCCATAGCCGCGGGTAGGGTTTGGAGTTCGTTGTGTTGAAGGTCAAGTTGGGTTAGCTGGGCTAGGTTTCCGATTTCTGAAAATTTTTAAATTTTGGGTTTGAAATCTTTAAAATCACTCCAGGCCGGTGTAGAGTTGGATAGTACTGCTTAGTATGGTACAACATAGCATAGTACAGACCAAAGATCAAAGTTTTCAAAATTTTAAGGCCAAAAATCCCAATTTTTCCTAAACGCTAAACTAAAAATCAAGGCTTACCCTCAGGCAATGTTTTTAAATGATTCGCTGATAAAAGCAAAATTGATAACTGCTCTAATCCGCCAATTTCGACCGGTAATGCTGTGATTTTGTTTTCTCGCAAATCGACCATTTTCAACTTTTTCATTCGACCGATTTCTGGCGATATATGCGAAATCTTGTTGTATCGAAGCCACAGGGTTTCGAGGTTTTCCATTTGGAATATCACATCGGGGATTTTCTGAAAAAAATTTTTTAGTTTTGTGAGAAAATCAATAATGAAGTTTTTGACATTTTGTTATTTTAAAATATAAAATCAATAAAGCAATTTTTGACATTTCGTTACTTTAAAACATAAAATCAATAATGATTTTTTTGACATTTCGTTTCTTTTTTCCATTAAATTTTGGCACTTTCTATCATCGGTAAGACTCATAGGTTCTATTGTGCCGCTTCGTATTTTACAAAACTCACCTCAGTAAGCTTATTGTGCCTTAAATCCAGTGTCTCTAGCTTCTTTAGGCTACTGATAGAATCTGGTAGGGATGACAAGTTGTTCTCGCTCAGTCCCAAGATACGTAGATTGACTAGGGACCCGATTTCAGGTGGTAACGTGCAAAGTTTGTTCTTGTACAGGAATAGCTCTGTGATCTGAGTTAGCTCTTTGATCACCGGGGGGATTACGGTTATCTGAAAGTGACATTTTTCGAATTTTAAAAAATTTTTTGAAAAATTGAAAAATTTGAAAAAAAATTATGTAAACTTACATCAGATGAGTTAAGATCAACCCTAGTAGCTTGTTCATCTTTAACTCGTTGTAGCTCGCGATTTACATCCTAAAAATAATTTTTTAATAACTAAACCTTGTCATTTAATTTTTCCAAATTTTTTCTGGTTTACTGTCACATTTTTTAGATATTTAGTTTTTTATAGCAAAAATCAACGTATTTTACATTTTCCTACAAAGACCAAGTATTTACCCTTCTAACAGTATCATTCTGCACTGAATTGACAGTCTTTTCGTGCATACTATTCCGGTACTTGCTACGTGCAAAGTTTGTGAATCTATTGATAATGGCACCGGGGCTTTTCGACCGTAACTGTGTATTTGCATTCAGATTCTGTTGGCTTTGAGCTTTGTTCCCCAAATTCGCCTGTGCCATGGCGGAGGATAGACGAAACTCAAAGTCTCCGTTATCGTTAACACCACCATTATTCTTGGAAGCGCCATTTGAGGTCGATGCTACATCGTTGTGTTTCATGATTGACTTTTTGCGTACGAACGCGACAAGTTGCGATACCGTACCGGCTGGCTTCGGCTCGCTTGGCAGCGACGACGACGAGGTTGAGGTGGAGTTGCTGCGTTGTCGACGGACACGATCCACTCCACTCCGTAGCTGCACCTGTTCGGCCAGAAATGTGTCCGGATACAGCACGGGCTGGGTATGATGCTGGGCGGGGCGCGGCACGTACTTGTCCGTGGGCTGACCGCACAACGCGCGCTGGAAACAGTACGTGAGGGAGTCGGCGAGCTTCAGCGACGAGCCGGGCACGAAAAACGCCGCCTGCGCCGAGTTGGTGGATTTGCGGCGGTCACGGGCCGCGACTCGACTCGTCTCGCGCAACGAGCGGCTCAACGGACGGTTGCGCCGTCGTTGATCCAGTTTTTACAGAAAGCGACCGTACGAGTCGGTATGGGGGTGTAAGGGTTGATATAGAGTCAAGAATGACTTGGGAGATGGTTTAGGCTTGAAAAGTTTAAAGAGTGGTTAATGTAGATAGTGGAGCTAAGCGTAGAAGAGATGGGCTTAAGGGTAGAAGGTATGAGCTAAAGGTAGGATGAGCTGAGTTTAAGGGTAGATAGAGAAGAAGATGATAGTACAAATTATGATGACGAATGGCGAAAAAAGGTTGAAAACTAATAAAAAACGGCTTTAAAATGATTAAAATTGAGCTAAAGATGGTCAAATCGGCCTTAAAATGACCAACAAAGAACTAAACTTCACCAAAAGACCCTAATATGAACCTCCAATGATAAGACAACACAATGCAAAGACACAACAAAGTGCAATATCGAACAACAGCAGCGTGCAATATGAACACAGCACAACAAACCACCACAATTAACCCTAAAATTCGAAAAAAATGGTTAAAAGTGATAAGCGATCCCACGAAGGGATCTTAAAAGCACGAAAAACGAGTTAGCGTGAAATGTCAGGAATGCGATGATTCACTTCAGAAGCATCGCAATCATTCAACACAGTTATTCGATTAACAATCCAATTTGGGGGGGGGGGGAGTCGTTAAGGAATTGGGTTACCTTCAGAGCTTTAATGGGGGGGAATTTAAAATTCTTGATATTTTGCGGGGGGGGGGGGATGCGAATTGGGTTATTTCCAGGGCTTGTTGGGGTCATAAGGTGCTTAAGATTATGAGAGGGGGGGTACTTTGAAATTTCTAAAGAAGAGGGCACTCTGTCTTGAATCGCCTGTCCTTATAGTTAGACATGGCGACGGGTCGGGCTTGAGCAAGATAAAAAACGGGCCGGGCCTAAAAATAAGGCCAGGCCAGACGGCAGGGCTTGAGGAGTAGGCCGGAGCCAAAAAATTTTTTTCTAAATTTATTTTTTTTAAAACTGGCCGAGCCTAAAAATTTTTTGATCTCGCTGGGCCGAGCTTAGGGCTTTAAAAGCAGACCCGGCCTGACCCCTTGTCTACCTTTGGCCTAGCCTTGTTTTGGCTTTCTTTGCATTGCCTTGCCTTGCCGTGCCCTACCCTACCCTGCGCTACTACTTACTTTATATTACCCTGCTCTACCCTACCTTAATCTACTCTTCCCTACCCTACCCTAACATTCCCTACCATAATCTACACTTTTCTACTCTATTCTACCGGTGTTACCTACCCTCCCCACAAAATTGATAAACTAAAAAAGGATTGTTACCTAAAACACTATAAAGCTCTAACAAGTTTTCGTTACCCAAAAACCGAATCGATATATTTACAGGCTGAGATTTCAAAGTTTATTCATCATTTCCCAAAAGAGTTTAAACAAATTAATTAAAAAAGCAAAGGATTTTGTAAAAATGTTTGGGGAAAAGGCTTTTTTGCAGAACTACAACTTTCAATTACTTTTAATTGAATAGTAAGGGTTTAGTTGCTAACAGTGTAATGTTGCCGTGGAAGTGGAACAAAGAACAATTTTTTGGGGGCTTCTTTTAGTTTTTGTCACAAAATTTTGAAAAAAATTAAAAAAATTAAAAAAGTTTTAAAAATTTCAAAAAAAAATTTTTTTTAAATTGTAAAATTTGTGTTAAAAAATCAATTTCCAAGTCAGAACTCTACACTAAATAGCAATAATCAGCCTTTAAATCCAATTCCCACCCCGCAAAACCAAAATTTCCTCACCCCAAACCCCAAACTCTAGCTCATTTAGCCCTCAAACCCCCAAAAATTCCGAAAAACAAGCCCACATACGCTTACAATTAAGCCCAAAAAGCTAACAATTAGTGAAGCTGCTAAAACAAACCGCAAAACGTTAAAGAATTACAAAAAAAACTTCAAAAATCATCGGAAAAACAGGGAACAAGTGTAATATTGGAGAAGAGAAAAGGCTTTGGCGCCGTTTGATGGAAAAAAGTTCTCCACCCCGACCCCCATTCCAACAATAAACAACCCGAAAAGTAGGGCTGATAACATTGTTGGAGGTGGGTTTGGCGGAGGTGGTTGGGAATGGCAGGGTTTGGATATTTTGAATTTTTTTTCAAAAAAAAAGTTTTTTTCACCCTACCCTAACATACAGTACTATATATTAACTTACCGTACCCTACCCTACCCTACCTTGCCCTATTCTACGTACCGTACTCTGCAATGCCCTATCCTACCATACTGTATCATAGACTACTTTACCTTACCATACCTTACACTACCTATTGCCGTAGCTTTTTAATAGCTCTACTTAAGCCTTAAGGCACAAAAACGTACTGTAACAAATTTTATTACATGATGCACCATCCTAAATAGAAAAGTCACCATATATTGCACCACCCCAGCCAAAAGTGTGTCAATATAGTGTATCACCAACCCCAAAATGTCATCATATAATACACCCCCCCCCCTACCCAAAAATATCACCCCATAGTACTATACTTCACCCCAAAATGTCAACCCACAATATCACTCCCAGCCCAAGATTTCACACCGTATCAATGTCCCAGCCCAAAACGTAAACCAAATAGTGCACCACCCCAGCCATGTCTCCCCCCCCCCTCCAAATAGCTTCCCTATTACAAAAAGTAACGTTGACTCGTGAATCACATCAGAACAGACGAGAAACGGAATTCCACACTGCCTTAACTATTACAAACGGAATAGCTCCGTAATTAAACCGCTATCGACACACTCATTCAGTCGTATGAAATTGATGGATTCTTTTGCGCTTCAATTGAATGAAAATTCCCCAGTTTTTTGCGAAAAACCCGCCCCAGACACTAATACCCCCACAAACAAAACATTTCAATCATTTTTGGCAAAACGTCCTTCCTCGAGGCATTTAAATTCGAAGAGTAATGTAAAAACATCTGAAGGGGGAAGCTGGGAGGCAGAGTAGAAAAAAATGAATTAAGGGTTCAGTAGGGGCCCATACTAGGTTTAAAGTTTATTAGGGGGCCTTGAGACATTGAAAACTGTTTCAAAAGTTTGAAAAGTAAAAAAATGTCATCAAAAACACTTTTCAAACCTTAAAATGCCCTGCGGCACTAATATCAAACCAAGAACCAGCATGACTAACGTGAAGCAAGTGTAGGGTAGGGTATGGCAGGGTAGGGTAAGGTAGGGCATATTTATGATTGTTAGATAACCACCCCCGCAAAAAAAATGTCATTAGATTGCCATCCCCGCGGTAATTTTTTGGGTCGTATTACACCGAGGCATATATTATATAAAACCATTACATAAGAAAACGTTGCGCAATACCGTTTCTGACAATTTCTCTAAGGCTATGTTGTTATAGTATCAATATTAGGTAATACCTCCAAAATTGCGTATACTCAAAGGTTTTTTAATGGGTAAGGCAAGGGAATGCATGGGTGAACCTGGAGGGTGAAGTAGGGTAGGGTAGGTGAGACAGGGTAGGGGTAAGTAAGAAAATTTTAAAAATAAAACTCAAAAATCAAGGCCCACAAAACGACCCAAATTCGTTGCAAAATTTTAATTCATCAAAGTCGCGCCTAATAATCGAATTTTAAATTTACGTTGCCGTAAACAAGACGTGCTCCCATGTTCGAAAATGCGTGTAAACAAAATTCCTTCAAAAATTTTAAAAAAAATTTGTTTTTACCTACCCTACCCTACCCTACCCTACCCTACTGTTTTATTCCTCCGTACTGTGCCGTACGTAGACATGGGGAACGGGCCGAACTTGAATGTTAAGCACGGTTCAATCTGTGTTTTGCTCAGGCCCAGCCTGAATTTTTTTTTAGTGCGTACGGGCCGGGCTTAGATTTTTCTACTCCACCCGACCCTGCCTACCCTAACTTACTCTACTCTTATTTACTTGCCCTACTCTACGTTTAATCTTACCACACCCTACTTTTTTCTCTGCCTTATCCCGCCCGACAAAACAGAAAATGGCAAGAACTTTCTTCCCCCCTTATTTTTACCCCACCCAACCTCCCGGCCCTACCCTGCATTAATCTATCCTGTTCTACCTTACTTTATCCTACTTTTAATTTTACCCCACCCCCAACCAAAACCCACTTCCCTTCAAAATTTACAAATTTTCTTGAGTTTCGTTTCAAAAAAAACTTCAAAATGACCTCAGGCCCTACTATTTGCGGTCCAGAATCTCGGCGGGCGGCCGGAAAAGGGAAAACAACCAGAAAAATGTCCTCGATTCAACACGGGGCATTCGTGTTTCTGCTCCTCCGTTCTTTTGTTAAAAGTAATCACGGCACGGCCGAGAAATAACAGCATCTGAAGCCGGCGTGGCAGAAAATGACTTTTTTTGAAATAATTTTATTTTTGAAAATAAAATTTAAAAAAAAATTTTTTTTGAAAAACTTTGAATTTTTGGTGTAAAGGAAGTTCTTGCCATTTTTTGTTTTGTAAAGAAAGTTCTTGCCATTTTTAGCCCTGTAAAGAAAGTTATTGTCATTTTCTGTTTTGTAAATAAAGTTCTTGCCATTTTTTGTTTTGTAAAGAAAGTTCTTGCCATTTTTAGCCCCGTAAAGAAAGTTATTGCCATTTTCTGTTTTGTAAATAAAGGTCTTGCCATTTTTGGTTTCGTAAAGGAAGTTCTTGCCATTTTTTGTTTTGTAAAGAAAGTTTTTGTCTTTTCCGCACTTAATCAAGTTCAATTTACATCAAACTCAATCATTTTCAAAACACCCCACCCACTAAAAGTCAGTTTGTACTGAATGACAAATCTTAACTCATTTTTTGGCTCAAAAACCTCACAAAAGATTAGTCAAACAAAGCGAGGAGAAATACTGTTAAGCACACATTGAAAAGTGTCATTTATGTGGGGTTAGTGAGTGAGAAGGAGGGTCAGAAGGCATGGTTAAAAGTGGCATATAAGGGGAGGTTTTGGGTCTGTGATATGGTTGATAAACTTGAAAGGATTTATTGTAAAAAGACAAAAAAGGAATAAAAATGGAAATAAACATAGAAATGAAAATAGAAATAAAAATAGAAATGAATGAAAAGGTAGAAGAAAAATTATGAAAAAATAATTAAAAATCTAAAAATTTAAAAAAAAACTTTTCTTCATTTTACAAGGAATGTACCCCTGCCCCGCTCAGAATCAACTCAAAATTTTTATATGAATTCCGGGTACTACCAATACCCATAAAAAATTTCAGCTCGCGTTTTTGAGTTTTAAATTTAAAATATTTCAAATTCCCGCCATTTGACAACTTTGGCATTGTGTTTCAACCACTTTTTTCGACTTTCTAGCCTGCGGGTCGAGCTTGAAAATTGGACACGGGCCCGAAAAAAAATTTTTTAATTTTTTAAAAATTTTTTAAATTGGGCCGGCCCTATAAATTTTCTGATCAGGCAGAGCCAGGCCTGACTAAAATCAAAAATGGACCGGGCTTGAAAATAGGGCACGGGTCTAAAAAAAATTTTCAATTTTTTAAAAAAAGCCTGGACTAGAAATGTTCTGATCGGCCGGGCTTGACTAAAATAAAAAACGGGCCGGGTCTAGAAATTTTCTGATTGGGCCGGGCCTGACTAAAATGAAAAACGGGCCCCCGGCCCGCTGCTCATGTCTACCTAACCCCACTCTCCCTTCCCCTACCCATCCCTTTTTTCTACTTACCTCACCCCCCCCCCTCCCCCCCCCCTCTCCCCCCCCCCTCCAAATTTAAAACCCCGTATAAACCGATCACCCGGTCCACTAAAAGCAGTCTGACAAAAAAGTGTCCGAAATAATATAAAATGAATCCAGAAATATTCGAGCAGCTGCAGCCCCCCCCTTCCTTCTTATTCTTCCGGGCTGATCTCGACCGGATCAGGGGTGGGAAAAACGGAGGGGTTTAAAGTCGAAACAGCTCTCGCTTCAACCCCATTTATTTTATCTTTTTGAGAAATAGCGGGCAAATCGAGAGCAGTAAAGATAAGGACGACAATGAGGTTCGACAATGTTTAATGTTTTATGGTGGGGTAGGGTAGAGGAAGGCAAGGTAGGGTAAAATAGAGTAGAGTAAAATAAGGTCGAGTAGGGTAGGGTAGGGTAGGGTAGGGTAGGATAGGGTAGGATAGGGTAGGGTAGGGTAGGGTAGGGTAGGGTAGGGTAGGGTAGGGTAGGGTAGGGTAGGGTAGGGTAGGGGTAGGGTAGGGTAGGGAAGAGTAGGGTAGGGTAGGGTAGGGTAGGGAAGAGTAGGGTAGGGTAGGGTAGGGTAGGGTAGGGTAGGGTAGGGTAGGGTAGGGTAGGGAAGAGTAGGGTAGGGTAGGGTAGGGTATTGCAAGGTAGGCTGGATAGAGTAAGGCGTCGCAGCGTAAAGTAAAATATAATTAAAAAAAAATTTTTAACATCCCCCTTCTCAATTTGTCCTTACAGAAATCATCATTTTGAAAAAAACCTCCATACCCTTATTCCTCCTGTCTTCCCCCGTCCATATATTCCTCCTTTCTTCCCCTGCCTATACTCATTTTCCTCTTTTCTTCTCCTGGCCGCACCCATATTTTCCCTGTCTTCCTCTGTCCATACCTATATATTCCCTCTTTTTCACACTTACCCTTACCCTTATTTCTTCTTTCTTTACTTGTCCATACCCATATCTGCCTTTTCTTCCTCTGCTTGTACCCATAAAACGAAAAGATGTGAAAGACTTTTATAATAAATAATAATCAAATTGTACATGTAGTAGACTTATTTATACTCTTAGTGTTTTATTTTTTGTTACTTTTTATTAAAAATATAACACGCAAATGCAGTTTTACATTAAACGTACACGTTTATATGCTGAATTGTGTTTGAAAAAGTGTAAAATAAGTAACAATTGTAAGTAAATCAAAATGTAAAATACGCCGTAGTTATTCTAATGAGAGAAATCTACACCTATTTTTAAAATGTAACAGTAAACCAGAGTTTAAAATTTCAAATCAAATCATAAGGTGTCGACATAAAGAACCCGCCATTCTTTTCCTGTATTTTCCTGTAAAAAATGGCGGGTTCTTTATGTCGGACCTAATAAAATTTTTAAAAAAATTTTAAACCCACCAATCTTCGTGCCAATTTCTTAGCCGTCCTACCACGTAGTCCAGTGTAGTGTGCTTTGTCTTGACCAGGCTTATCGACCACTGTTACTCGTCTGGTCAGGTCTGAGGTTGAGGAATGTTTTGGAGTTCGAACGTTTTCAAATTTCTGAAAAAATTTAAATTCAAAAATTTAAAAATTTTGGCTAAAATTTAAAAATTTTTTATATTTTGAAAAATATGTCATTTTCTCAAATTATGGCAGTTTTTGGTATTTATTACCTAAATTTTGCGGTTTTTTAATTTTGTTACCTAAATATAACCATTTTTTAAGTTTTGTTACCTAAGTATAACTTTTTTTTCCATTTTGTTACCTAAATTTACACACTTCTCAAAATTTTGTTACCTAAACCACCACAACTTACATTATACAAGCTAACAGGGGTAAAATTGAAGCTCATTTTGATTGTTTTGATTAATATTAATCAAAAAACTCAAACATATATAACATTTATCGAATAAATTTTGTCAGATGAAACAAAAAAAGCTTTGAAACCTCACTGATAACACAGCTTTTTGCTCAAAATTGTTGAAAAATCAAAAAATATCAATGATAATATAAGGGCAGGCAAGATTTCTTGACGTCAATAGGTTTTTTTTGTTTTGTAAAGAAAGTTTTTGCTGTTTTCAGTTTTGTAAAGAAAGTTCTTGCTGTTTTTTTTTGTAAAGAAAGTTCTTGCCGTTTTTTGTTTTGTAAAGAAAGTTCTTGCCATTTTTTGTTTTGTAAACAAAGTTCTTGCCATTTTTAACCCTGTAAAGAAAGTCCCTGCAATAAAACACCCAAAGCACCTCAAGAAGATCAGTAGAACCATGCCGTTTCTTAACATCAGTCGATCCCCATTTGTGTCCCAACACGCTATGTCGATCACAGTTTTCGTCATCGACCGGTAATGACAATCGTCGCTTCGAGGCTTGATACAAGCCGTGCAGGAACGCTCTCGACCGTGACGAGGACGGTGGTGGACCGTGCTTGTTGATCGGATGTCCTAACGAGACACTGGAGATCTTTTTGGTTATGTTCTCACCGTCCGACGACTGCCGATCGATCGACTGGTCTCGGGATAGACGCCGAAACCAGGCTGTTGTCATTTCTGGTGGTACAAAGAGTAATTAGGGGTGGGGGAGGGGGCAAAAATAGTGCGGCACGAGTAGAAATGTACAAAAAATAAAAAAATTTGGAGCTCGGCAGTAAAATATGTGATATAATAGAGCTTGAAATAGAATAGCAAATATTATTAGTAGGGGTAGCCATGGGGAATAAGCCGGGCCAGGCCTGAGCAAAATTTTGGTCCGGCTGGATCTAAAAATCAAGCCCCGGAAATCAGGGAAATTCGAAAACCAAGTCCTGGCTTGGCCCGGCCTTGAAAATCAATTCCTGACCGGCCGAAAAGCCCGGGAAAGCCCGGCCCCCCGTTCGCACTTAAAACAAAATTTCGGCCGGGCTGGCTTTGAGCAAAACTTATAGCCCCATGTCTAGGTAGAGGTGAAAAACGGACGGGGTAGGCCAAGCGCGGCCCAACTCTGTCTTACAACGGGGCCGGCCATAAGCTAAAGTTGAAACGTGCCGGGGTAGAGCTCTGGGCCAGGGCTTTGAGTTAGAACTCTGGGCTAGGGCTCTTGGCTAGGGCTTTAGGCTAAAGCTTTGGGCTAGGGCTTTGGGCTAACAAGGCTAAAGCTAGGGCTGACTTTCTCAGACTAGCTATAGCTAATACACAAAATATGGCCAATAAAAACAAAATTACAGTTATATTCAAAGGCCCATGAATTAAATTTACTTTCAAAAGTTGTTGACCTAAAATTTTACTCAATTTCACATACTTATTAGGGCCTATTTTGAGAGTAAATGGATGTATAATTTGTCTCAAAGGCTACAATAACTGTCCGTAAACATGTTCTATGTATATGAAATGAAATGGTATAAAAAAAGTTTAAAAATGGCAGTAGTTTTGAAAAAACGTTTTAAAAAACGACAGTAATTCCAAATAAGACAATATAACTCTCCTATTAGGATGAACTAAGAGTAAATGGTCAAATTAAAGTGTCCCGCTACTTTTGGTTCAACCAACTATAACAACACCGTCAAAGCCATTCCTCCAAAAATATGTAATTCGGCCAAAAGTTTGATGCAAAACCCTAATCCCCGCAGGCTATAAGAAGAAAAAGAGAACAGAAATCCAATGTTTTTAAGGCCAAAAATGACGGGCTAATCTACGGTATATCTTTGGCCTTCGTATGTTCGACCCGAGAAAATGGCCGCCAAAAGGGGAGAAATTTAATTGAAGCAAATGTAAAAATAAATGTAATGTTACCCTGCCTACTGTTGTTGCAATTGCTCGTGAGAATTTTCGATAGGAAAAGTTTTGGCAGTTAATGGGTTGATTAAAGCATGTATATGATATACTGTGGTAGGTGTGAAAAGGTATTACAGTTTTATAAAAGATTAAAAACCACAAAGCTGCAGCCTACTGAGCCTAAGTATACTAAGCCTGAGCCTACTAAGCCTGAACCTACAAGCCTGAACCTACAAGCCTAAGCCTACTAAGCCTAAACCTACTAAGCCTAAGCCTACTAAGCCTAAGCTTGCTAAGTCTAAGCTTACTAAGACTAAGCCTACAAAGCCTGTCTACTAAGACTAAGTTTACTAAGCCTAACCCTACTAAACTTAAGCCTACTAAACCTAAGCCTACTAAGCGTAAGCCTACTAAGCCTAAGCCTACTAAGCGTAAACCTACAAAACCTATAAGCCTATTAAGCGTAAGACTACTAAGCCTAATCCTACAAAACCTCTAAGCCTACTAAGCCTAAGCCTACAAAACCTCTAAGTCTACTAAGCCTAAGCCTATTAAGTCTAAGCCTCTAAGCCTAAGCTTTTAAGAATAAGCCTGTGCCTATAAGTATCAGCCTCTAAACCTGCGCAACCTCAAACTTGGCCTACTAAGCCAAAAAATACAAAACCTGAGTATAAGCCTAAAAACTCTACAAATTCTCAAGCCAGACCCTATTCCATAAGCCTAATAAGCCCCAGAAGAAGTTTTATTCAAGAAACATTTAATAGAATGCAAAAAACGAAGAAATACACATCTGTACATGTTTCCATACAAACTAAAAACGTCTTGTGTATACGTGACAAACAAGTTTCTATACACATGTACATACATATGCCATGATATCAAGAAAGATAAAAAGCCACTAACAAATCTGTTTTTTTTTCTCCGAAGACAAACGTCTTTAAAAGCCGACGAAAATACGCGCAAAAAGTTGTGTTTAGGCCTTCATATCATATTTGGAATTCGTTTCTATTCAAGTTTGATATTCAAAATGTTGTTCTCTTTAGGCAAATGTGTGAACATTGTTGTTTTCTTGGGTTTTGCATAAAGTTTATTTTTTTCTTTTCAAAATGTAGTTAAAAATAAAAATATAGGCTAAAGGCAATGTAAAGGGTAAGGCATTCCAGGTGAGTAAAAAGTAAAACGTACGACAAAATACAGGGGAAAGGTAAAGATAAAGGCTAGGAAAAGAATTAAGGAAGAGAGCTGGGTAGAAAATATAAGGAAGGTAGGGTAGGGTACGATAGAATAAAATACGAAAAAACATATATTTATTGTAAGACATAGCAATCAAATGGCAAAGTAAACGTAGGGCAAGGTAAAGGTAAAGTAGCTCAAGTTTAGTACGTAAAGGTAGAGTATGTACAAAATGAAGGCCGGCTAGGACATAAACGTGAGATATTGTAAGGCAGAGTAAAGTAGGGTAAGGCAAGAAAACTGTAGGGTAAGGTAGGGTAGGGTAGGGTAGGGTAAGGTAGGGTAGGGTAGGGTAGGGTAGGGTAGGGTAGGGTAGGGTAGGGTAGGGTAGGGTAGGGTAGGGTAGAGTAGGGTAGGGTAGGGTAGAGCAAAATAGGGCAAACTAAAAATTCAAAAAATTGTCTAAAATCCCCTGTTTAAAAGCCCTCAGCGTCATAAACGAGGACAAATTTTGAAACTGCCGGAGGCATTTTTAAAAATAAAACTTGTTAGCATAAATCGTAAAGGACTTAAATTTATGCGGACAAAACCCCTCAGGCAGAAGTTTGTGTTGACAATGTCAAAAGAGTCATAGCATTCTTTGTAAAATGTCATAAGATCTAATATTTTTGTCATAGGAGCTTATTTTCTTGTAAAAACTTTAAAATTAGTGCTAGAGCATGTTACCTAATAAATTAAAATGTCTTTTTTATGAGTTTTAAGACATTTCTTTTGTTTTTAGTACAAGGCGTATATAAAACTATTGCATCGTGTAAAAAATATTGAGCTAAATAATATTAAAACAAGAAAAAGTTATTTTTAGATAGAATTTATTGCATAACTTCATAAAAGTTAATGAAAAATAAAGAAATCCAGAAAATAGAAGCTGAAAATTGTAAGGGAATAAAGAATGAAGCCAGTCAAGTGTATAACAACAAAGAATGACATATTTTTAAACTAAGGATTACAGGTGAATAGAGTCAAAACGGTACTCGGTTCAAAACACAAAAATGAAGAATAAATAAAAGAAAACAAAAAAGGGTACGACAATATACGTTACTTTATGCCATTTTATGTCAATTTTAAGAAATTTTAGCAACGCACTCTCAGTACATATATAAATCAAAATGATCTGTTCTACCTAAAAATGAAGCTTTTCCTGCCGTACCCTATTTTACAAACCTGCGATTAAAGACGCACCTACCCTATGAAGATGGGTCCACCCCCCCCTACCAAAAATATACGTAGCGACGTCCCTGACACTATCCCCAACAAAAAACAGTGCAAAAAGCAGTTTAAGACAATTCCGAACGCCTCAAACCCCCGTTCCTACCACTTATCCAATCATGCTTAAAGTTGTAAAAAACAATGGCCATAAGCCTAAAATGGCGGTGTCAGTAAACAAAACCAAGTTTATTTAGCTGCCATGTTCAGGATGGAATTTAATTACTCTCTGCCACAAATACCGACCAAAACAACGCCAATCTTGATTCAATAAACCACGACTAACTGACAGTTTTGCGGTATTTACGGTTTTAACATTCAAAGTATACACAAATCTATAGTAGAGTAGAACATGCTAAAGATGTAACTAAGACTAAAGCCCAGGCTCAGCCCCAGGCCCAGCCCCAGCCACAGCCCCAGCCCCAGCGGCAGCACCAGCCCCAGGCTCCGGTTCCGGCTTAGGCTTAGGCTTAAGCTTAGGCTTAGGTTTAGGCTCAAGCTTAACGCTATGGTTCAAGTTCAAGGTTAAGTTAAAGCTCAAGTTCAAGCTCAAGCTCAAGGTCAAGTCCAACCTTTTTCTCAAGCTCAGGCTTAGGCTCTGGCTCAGACGCAGAACCAAGCTTAAGCTCAACCTCATGCTACGGTAAAAGTCAAGGTTTAAGCTAAAGTTAGGCCCAAACAACACCTAAAGTAAGGCTAAAATTAACACCAGTACCAAAACAGTTCAAACCTCAAAAGTCAAACCAAAAACCCAAACTTTAAATTTAAACTTCAAAAAGCAATTTAATGAAAAAACTTGAAGTCGAGCCAAAAAAGCGGTCAGATTTAATTTAAAAAAGCCCTGAGGTTCCAAACGGTCAGAAGCGGACACAAATTTCCGGTCGAGCTGCGTGAGTAATTTCGGAAAAAAACAAAAATACTCACTCAACGTTTATTAAAAACCTTTTCTAAAATTAGTTTTTTAGCAAAATTTTAGGTCTACAGGAATGGGCATGTCAATCATTAGAGGTTTTATTGGGTAGGGAGTTAGCATTTTAATTTTATTAAAATGCCTAAGCTCTAGCTCAAGTATTACAGTGACTTTACTTTGCCCCAGCTTTGCCTCCTGACAATTGTTTAGCTTAAATAGCTTTGGTTGCAAAACTTTTTAAAATTCAAGAAAATTTTAAAATAAAAAAAATTTTTTTCAAAATAAAAAAAAATTAATTTTCCACGCCCAAATAAAATAAAAAATCAGCCAAACCCCAAACTTTTGTATCACAAAGCCCGGCCCCAACCCGCCTATGGGGCTGTTTGCTAAGCAAAATACTGCAAACATACATATCCCTCTGTAATGAAAGAGGGCTTTTTTGTTTATCTTCCGAGACCAAAACAAAAGGCCCTAGCTTAGACAGTTTTTCCTCAATTTATAACAAATTTCGACAAAAAAACTTTAAGTGTTGTTCATAACGGTGTATTTATAGGACATTGTAAACAAAAATCAAAAATAAAGCGTAAGCCTCCTCAGCCTAAGCCTACTTACCCTAAGCCTACTAAGTGTGAGCCTACTAAGCCTAAGCCTACTAAGCCTAAGCTTATTAAGCCTAAGCCTACTAAGCCTAAGCCTACTAAGCCTAAGCCTAATAAGCCTAAGCCTCCTAAGCCTAAGCCTGCTAAGCCTAAGCCTAATAAGCCTACTAAGCCTACTAAGCCTACTAAGCCTACTAAGCCTAAGCCTAATAAGCCTAAGCCTCCTAAGCCTAAGCCTGCTAAGCCTAAGCCTAATAAGCCTACTAAGCCTACTAAGCCTACTAAGCCTAAGCCTACTAAGCCTAAGCCTAATAAATCTAAGCAGACTAAGCCCAAGCCTACTAATTCTAAGCCTACTATGTATAAACCTACTAAGCCTAAGCTTCTTAAGCCTGTGCCTACTAAGACTACGCCTACTGAGCCTACTAAGCCTACTGAACTTAAGCATACTAAATCTAAGCCCGCCAAACCCCAGCTAAATGAAGCGTTAGCCCATGATCCAAAGTCCTCCTTGACGGAACTAAAGAAAGTAATAAAACCAGAGAAATCATAAAAAATATTATTAGCAAAGTAGCCTGAAATCCCTAAAGCTCACAGCCGTTCGGCCATTTTCCTCCCAAAACATTATCAATCTATTTGTTTTTTATATTTCTCATGACAAAAAACCGCTGAAACGGCTCCGTATCATGAACTCTCAGCTGCAATCTGGCTCCGCTATCTTTCGAAAGGATGCCAAGAAGATGTGGTTTAGATAAATAATATTATACTATATAGTATCATGCTCAAAAGACATGTTGTTTCTTGCCTTGCGTTGCCTTGCCTTTCCTTGCCTTGTCTTGTCTTGTCTTGTCTTGCCTTGCCTTGCCTTGCCTTGCCTTGCCTTGCCCCGTCATACCCTGCACTGCCCTACCCTACTCTATCCTGCTCTACAAAAAAATTCTACCCTACCCTAAAACATCAACTGTAGTATAATTTACCGTAGCTTCTTACACTACCCTGAGTATCAACATTATATTATCCTTATCAGTCCTAGGCATGGGGAGCGAGCCGGGCTTATTTTTTAAGCCCGATCTGATCTAAGTTTAGGCCCAGGCTCAGCCCGGCCCGAATTTTTTTTTTGTGGCCTGGTTGGGCCTTCATTTTCAGGCTCGACCGGACTTAAATTTTGCTCAGTCCCGGTCTGATCCTTTCACTTGCCCAGCAAAATCAAAAATTTTTTACAAAGAATACTGTAGACAAGACCCGTCAACCCTACCCAACTTATACCCATGCCCCTCCTTTCCCTTCTCCTCCTCCCCCTTCTCAATTAACCCGATTTGGCCACACAAGCGCATTATTATGACAAGCGCTTATCCACTTTGCGACAACTTGAACTGAACGCAATAGTCCGAAAACGAAGTTAAAGTTGTTAAACAGTCCAAGAGAAGTTATAAGCACGGAACGGCCGAAAAACTACTTGATAACACGCTTTGTGCTTATTTTGCTAAAAGTCTTCGGATGTTGTTCAACTACTTTTATATGGCTATAAAATCGTTTTTACGGTTTTTTGTTAAAAACTAGATCATAAATGAGCTTGTTGCAAAAACTTTGTTTCCACAAAAAAATAAGCATTACTTTTTTATTAAAAATGGTCAGAACTTTCTTTACAAACAAAAATAGCAAGAACTTTCTTTACAAGACACAAAATGGCAAAAGCTTTTTTATAAGGCTCGAAATGGCAAAAACTTTCTTTACAAATCAAAAAATGGCAAGAATTTTCTTTACAAAACGAAAAATGGTAGGAACTTTTTTACAAAACAAAATATGGCAAGACTTTCTTTAAAAAATTTAAAAAACGGCAAAAACTTTCTTTACAAAACCCAAAAATTTATTCATCGTATAACTTATCTTCCGCAGACTGCAAAACCTAACACTTTTTATTAAAATCTTAAAAAACTTTGTCTACCCCAAAAAACGTTACCTTACCCCGATTTTAATAAAAAATATTAAACCTGACCTACCTTTTTCGCCCTTTCCTGAGCCTTTTGTAGCTGTTCCATGTTCATTTGACTTGGATCTCTTCGGCCGCACAAACAAATCCTTTTCAAGAACTGTAGCGGAGATGAGGGCGCTGACTGGGTTTCACTCAGATGCGAATTTGCAGATCCATTTGAACGTAGACTAGTTTGCATTTGATACTTTTTCGCTGATCCTGAGGCTCGTCGCGGGATTTGAGCCTGAAAATAGTAGGATTAGTAGGCTTTGGTTTAATAGGTTTAGGTTTTGTGGGCTTAAGATGTTTAAACTTATGCTCAGCAATTCTTAGGCTTAGCAGTTTTTGGTTTAGGATGCTTAGACTCAGTAAGCTTAGGCTTAGTAGTCTTAGGCTTAGTAGGCTTAGACTCAGTAGGCTTAAGCTTAGTAGGTTTAAGCTTAGTAGGCTTAGGCTTAGTAGGCTTAGGCTTAGTTGGTTTAAGCTTATCTTTAAACTTATCCTAACAATTAAATTAAAACTTTGCTTTAAGCCTAGCTTTAGGCTTAATATTAAACATATTTTTGCATTTAAGCCTAACTTACTGTAACTTAACCCAAAAATTTACCTTGTTCAACCAGGAACTTTAAAAAATAAAAAAAATTCTTTAGATTTCAAACAAATTGACACAATAAATCTCTAAGCAGAAGGAACGGCACGGTATTAGCATTCATAATTAAGCCGCAAAAACGAATAGGTCCAATATTTTAATGTCGTTGTGGCACGCAAGAATTTTCTTTACAAAGCAAAAAATGGCCAAACCTTTCTTTACAGAATGAAAAACGGCAAGAACTTTCTTTACAAAGCAGAAAATTGCAAGAACTTTCTTTACAAAACAAAAAATGCAAAAACTTTCTTTACAAAGCAAAAAATGGCCAGAACTTTCTTGACAAAGCAAAAAATAGCGGAAACTTTCTCTACAAAACAAAAAATGGCAAGAACTTTCTTTACAAAACAAAAAATTGCAAGAACTTTCTTTACAAAACATAAAATGGCAAGAACTTTCATTACAAATCATAAAATGGCAAGAACTTTCTTTACACAACAAAAAATGGCAAAAACTTTCTTTACAACCCAAAAAACCGTTAAAAAAGTCATTTTACAGTGAAAAACCCACTTTTTTGGAGGTATTTTGTCCATTCGATTGAAAGGCATCATCTTTCTCGGATGACCCGCTGGGCAGTGTTGAAGTCGGAATGGGTACAACAGGTTGTCTTAACAAGGGCTCCTTCGCTTCATTTGCTAACATTGAACTCTGAAATATAAAATAATAGATAGTTTTTTTAGCTTAAAAATATTTTAAAATCATGGTAAATCAAATGATTGTAATAGAGAAAGCAATATATTGTAAAATACGGTATACAAGTTTACATCATAAAATAAAAAAATGGCAAGAAATTTCTTTATAGAGTCCGACATCGCAAGAATTTTCTTTACAAAACATAAAATGGCAAGAACTTTCTTTGCAAACCAAAAAGACTAAATTTATTTACAAAACAAGAACTAGCAAGAACTTTCTTTACAAAACAAAAAACTGCAAGAACTTTCTTTACAAGATATAAAATGGCAAGAACTTTGTTTACAGAGTCTTACATGGCAAGAACTTTCTTTACAAAACAAAAAATGGCAAGAACTTTCTTTACAAAACAGAAAACAACAAGAACTTTCTTTACAAGATATAAAACGGCAAGAACTTTGTTTACAGAGTCTTACATGGCAAGAACTTTCTTTACAAAACAGAAAACGACAAGAACTTTCTTTACAAGATATGAAATGGCAAGAACTTTGTTTACAGAGTCTTACATGGCAAGAACTTTCTTTACAAAACAAAAAATGGCAAGAACTTTCTTTACAAAACAGAAAATAGCAAGAACTTTCTTTACAAGATATGAAATGGCAAGAACTTTGTTTACAGAGTCTTACATGGCAAGAACTTTCTTTACAAAACAAAAAATGGCAAGAACTTTCTTTACAAAACAGAAAATAGCAAGAACTTTCTTTACAAGATATAAAATGGCAAGAACTTTGTTTACAGAGTCTTACATGGCAAGAACTTTCTTTACAAAACAAAAAATGGAAAGAACTTTTTTTTACAACACGAAGTGAAGAAACTTTCTTTACGAAACAAAAAATGGCAAGAACTTTTTTTACAAAACCTCAAACTTTATTCATCGTATAACTTGTCACCCGCAGACTGCAAAACTTAACGCTTTTTATCAAAATCTTAAAAAATTTTATTACTAACATACGATCAAAAGTGCTAAACTACTACCTAATGTACTACCTCATACAAAAAAATGTTTATAAAAAACCACCTAGTGCATTTTAAAGTATGGCAAAGTAATCAAACATCGTAAAATTAGTGTACTTTTAGCTTAAAAACTCCATTTAATAATCGAAACCCCCCTCTTTTCAGCTACATTTGAAAGTAGACTTTTCATAAATCAAAACACGAAAACAGGCTAAAGTGCGTGAAAAACTAAAGTCCCTGCGGCCATAAATTTGAAAATAAGGTCAAAATTTCGCAAAAACAATATATTTCCGCGGCTATTTTGACATTTGTAACATTACACTTTCAACGCTTTCACACGCCCAAATTCAAAGTTAAATGACTCTGTTTTGGGAGGTTGATGACGTTTTTTCTAAATGAACTTGTGTTTGATTAGCTTATGTTAGCTGGACTTTAAAACTTATGAACTTGGTGAACTTTTATAGAAAAACTACGACTATAATTAGGCTTAGTAAGCCTAGACTTCAGTAAGCTTAAGCTTGGTTTACTTTGGCATTGGTAGGGATAAACATAGTCAGCTTAAGATCAGTAAATTTAGGTTTAGTAGGCATAAGGTTATTAGGTTTGGGCTTAACCGTGGGCTTAAGCTCAGGCTCAGACACAGGCTCTAGCCCAAGCTTGCTCAGACTTGGGCTTAGACTACGCTCTCCGGCGCAGGTTCAAGCTTAGCTTTAGGATTCTAAGGCTCAAACTCAGGCTTAAGCTTAGACTTAAACTTAGGCTTAAGCTCAAGCTCAGGCTCAGGCTCAGGCTTAGGCTCAAACTCAGGCTCAGACTCAGGCTCTGGCTCAGGTTCTGGCTCCGGCTGAAGTTCAGATTTAACACCAGGCTTAACCACAAGCTCAGACTCTAACTCAAGAAACATATGCCAAAGCTTACGTTTGGACATAGAATTAGGCTTAAGCTAAAGTTTGGTAATCTTAGGTTTAGAGGCTTTGGCTAACTGAGTTTAAGACTTGCAGCTTAAAAGTAATAAGGCTTACTAAGTTTAGGCTTAGTAGAGCTCAGCTTGGTCATATTGGAAAAAAATGCGCTCTGTTTTGGTGTTCCGTATCACTCTCTTTTGACACTTACATATAACCTTCTAAAACTTGAAAAATTCAATTGAATTTTCCGGATGACAACCTTTAAATAGAACAAACACTTCTGAATTATGTTAGTACTACCAATCATCAATAAGTTTTAAAACATTAAAAATTAGTCTAAGCCAGTCCCCTCCCCACTATCACCGCCTACCCCACTCCCTCATTGTACAATGAAGTCATCAACAATCCCTGCCTTTCAAATCCATCAAAAACCCATCTTTCATAGCCAAATTGAAAACCCCTAAAGGCAATAAAGGTTTTGATTACCCTGCCTAATCAAACATAATCAAATACGTTTAGTCCGCGTCAGAAAAAACATCAGAAACCGGAACCGTTTGGGCCACGGAAACATCCTTTAAGCGGCCTTGTTCTTCTTCACACCCTCGAGTCATCTCACCCCCCCCCCCTTGTGTTCCGTTGCCGCGTTTTCCTTCTGACGCTCCAAAAACATGCAAAAAGGTCAAAAGAAGAATTGTTTAAGAGGCTTATGAGGACAGTTCAACAACCCTTATTAACTGTTGTTTTATTAGGCTTATTCTTTAGCCCAGAGCCCTAGTCCACAGCCCTAGCCCAGAGCTCTAGTCTCAAAGCCCTAGCCCAGAGCCTTAGCCCAGAGGACAAGCTAACGGCCTTGGCACTAACTTAGATCCTGGCCTTGCCTTTTACTCCGACCCTCTGGCTCTAGCTCTGGTTCTGGTTGTAGCTATGACTCTGGCCTGGCTTTCAGATTGGCCCGTTTTAGCTTTGGCTTTAACAAACTGTCTTCTTACTGTATCTTTGCCATACCGCACCCATACTCCAATTCTACCGTCTCTCCGAGTACCATATGGACGTTAAGAACCATAACAATATGTACTACACTGGGCTAATTAGAGTTAGCCGTGTACTACCACGACTATCTTCGCCATACATAAGAGTGCCCTACCCTTAAAAATAGCACAAAATCAGCTATGTTATGTCAGATGAATAATAAAGTTTTCAATTCTTTTGTGGGTCAAAATCTCCTTTTGTTTTTTGATTTGTTTTTTATGACAACATTATAATAGTGTTCTACCCAAAACATTAGAACTGTCATAACGGTTGTAAACATAAAAAATGGCAGTGCAATCCAAATCCAAATGAACCTTTACCTTAAAATTTTTTTTAAAATTTACCACGCCCAAATTTTTTTTTATTTTACTCTACCCTACCCTACCCTACCCTACCCTACCCTACCCTACCCTACCCTACCCTACCCTACCCTACCCTACCCTACCCTACCCTATCCTACCCTACCCTACCCTACCCTACCCTACCCTACCCTACCCTACCCTACCCTACTCTACCCTACCCTACCCTACCCTACCCTATCCTACCCTACCCCTACCCTACCCTACCCTACCCTACCCTATCCTACCCTTGTACATTTAAAAAAAATTTTTGGCCTAGAAATTGTACTTAATTTCGCCCAACGTTTTACAATCCCAATGGACGGTGGTGAAGATACCAAGCATGCAATTACTTTGAGTTTTTTTTGGAGTTTTATGTGTTCTTGGGGCTTCTTCGCAGGGCAATTTTGAAGAAAGCAAGATGGGCGCGGTAAAATTAAAACGACGGGTAATGGGAGAAAATGTTTTGGAAGAGTAGAGCCACTTTTTGTTTGCGGTCAAGAAGTGTAGGGAAATATAGAAAAATATGGCATAGTTGGTAAGTTTTCATTTCTACCTAATTTTTGAGCTCCAAAACAAAATTTAAAAAATTTGAAGTATTGGCTATAAAATAGCAAGAACTTTCTTTACAAAACAAAAAATGGCAAGAACATTCTTTACAAAACAAAAAATGGCAAGAACTTTCTTTACAAAACAAAAAATGGCAAGAACTTTCTTTACAAAACAAAAAATGGCAAGAACTTTCTTTAAAAGACAAAAAAAACAAGAAATTTCTTTACAAAACTAAAAATAGCGCGAACTTTCTTTACAAACCGAAAAATAGCAAAAACTTTTTTTACAAAAACAAAGAAAACCATATAAAATCCAGAAGCGTAAAAAACAATCATTTAACTACAACGTAAACAGAAGAAAAAAATAAATGTTACAGTACTCCTCAATAGAAAAAAAAATTTTTTTTCACATTAAAAGGTCCTAGCTCTACCTTATTCTTACCCCAGCCTTCATGTCTACCCCAACCGGATCATAACCCAACCCTAAGCCTACTTTGCTCCACTAGGGGGGTTGTCTTATCACGCCCATACCCTACATAATTATGAAAATTAATAATTTCCTACCCCACCCTGCCCTACTAGGCTTTATTCCACCTTACCCTACTTTACTGTACCCTACCATTGCCTTACCTTACCTCAACCCTAGCCCTACTGTAGTCCTACCCTATCCCTACCCTAGCCCTACCCTTCAGCCCTACCCTTGCCGCACCCTAGCCTTAGCGAAGCCTTAGCCTTACCCCTTAGCCCTACCCTAGCCCTACCATAGCCCTACCCTAGCCCTACCTTAGTCCTATCCTAGCCCTACTCTAGCCCTACCCTAGTCCTATCCTAGCTCTACCCTAGCTCTAGCACTAGCCCTATTTTGGCCCTACTCTAGCCCTACTCTAGTCCTACCCTAGTTCTACCCTAGCCCTACTCTAGCCCTACTCTAGCCCTACCCTAGCCCTACTCTAGGCCTAATCTAGCCCTACTCTAGCTTTATCTTATCCTTGTTTTATCTTATCCTTGTTTAAACCTTACCATATTCCTACTCAGTAATATATTTCTGCTGCCAATATAAACACAAGTATAATATAACAGTTATTTACAGTCCGAGTAAAGTAAGTATTGTAATGTTACAGAAAAATAAAAAAAAGTTATCCGAGCAGCACGGGGCGTCGAAAACAAATAAAATATTTACAAGTCTGTTCATACAACTTATTGAAATACTCGAATAAAATATTCCCCAAAGTGTCCCAGTTTTTCGAATTGACTTCGATAAATAAGTCAATTCCAAATGGCAGAAAAACAGTTTTGTAAAGGAAGTTGGAGCGTTTTATAGCATGATCTTAGCCTGAACAGTCTAAAATATGGTTACTAAGCCTAAAATGGTTCAGTATAAAGAAGCTAGTCTAACAAACTAAACTCTACTAAACCCGAGATTGCTAAAGATACCCCTCCGTCTAGTAAGCTTAAAGCGGTTAAAGCTAAGCCCAAATCTAAGCCTACAAGACTTGAGCGTACTAAGCCTAAGCCTACTAGGCTTACTAAGCTTCTGATTACTAAGCTTAAGCCTATTAAGCTTAAGCCTACTAAGCTTAAGCTTACTATGCCTAAGCCTACTAAGCTTAAGCTTACTATGCCTAAGCCTATTAAGCCTAAGCCTATTAAGCCTAAGACTACTAAGCCTAAGCCCACTAAGCCTAAGCCTAGGCCTAAGCCTAAGCCTAAGCCTAAGCCTAAGCCTAAGCCTAAGCTTAAGCCTAAGCCTAAGCCTAAACCTAAGCCTAAGCATAAGCCTAAGCTTAAGCCTAAGCCTCAGCCTAAGCTTTCTAAACTTAGGCGTACTTATCCGAAGATTTCTAAAACTAAACCTACAGGCCTGCCCCCCTCTGCTTAAGCCTTATAATTCTAGGGTCACTAAACCTAAGCCTACTAAACTTAAGCCTACTAAGCCTAAGATTCCTTATCCAAATTCTACTAAAACGAAGCCCACCAAGCCTAAAAGTGAGGATATGTAAACCAATTTAGCCTTAGCTTACTAAGCCTAACTCTATGAAGTCTAATTCGACTAAACTTAAACCTACTACGCTTAACCTACTTAGCATAAACCTAAACGTAATCAGCATAAGCCTGCAAAGATAAGCCTATTACGCCTTTGCTTACTAAGAATAGGCTTACAAAAGCTATATCTAAAAATTTTAAGCCTAGTAAACTTATTTCTACTAGGCCTAAGCCTAATAACCCTAAACTTGCTAAGCCTAAGCTTACTAAGACCAAGCTTAAATCAAAAGTATAACATCATCGACCCAATCCCAAAACAAAAATGTATAGCCTGAACTTACAACATTCGTCCACATCCGCCCTAACCCACGTTCGAACCACTGACAACAGAAACGACAATGAAAAAAGAATTGTGACATTGTTCGCGCTGTTTCGTTTTTTGCCATTTATCGCGAATATGGGGGGTTTCTCTACGCTTCACAAAGTTTCAATGTCAGCGAGGATGAATCGGCGTCAAAATGGGGCGCGTCCCCTGAGGGCTCGGCTTTGCTTTGGCACCAAACATGAATGGACAAAGATTTCGAGGGTTGATAGGCAGTGTAATATATAAAAGCAACATTAAGGAGACTTTGAAGAAATATCTTACTTTATTATGATAGGGCAGAGTAGGGTAGGGTAATGTAGAGTAGGATATTGTGAGATCCGGTTGGGTAGGGTAAGGTGGGGTAAGATACAAGTACAGTACATAAGAGTAGAGCTGGATAAGACAATATAAGGTAGAGTAAGGTAGGGTAGGGTAGACATAGAAAACACGCTTGGCTTAAGCAAAATATAGACCGAACTAAGCCTGAAAATCAAGGCCCGGTCCGAGAAGTCTTTCTTGCTTAGACTGGCCCGGAAAAACTTTAGACCGGGCTAGGCTTAAGCTAAATTTAGATCGGATCCCGTGGACCTGAGTTTTGGAAAGTGGATCTGGCCCGTACTCCATGTCTAGTCTAACTAGCTAGAGTAGGACAGCTACACCGTTAGTTTGAGTGTTACGCCTGGCACGATGTGTTTTGTTCATGGCCGGCCCGATCCGAATTTTTTCAAACGGGCCGGGCTATTCCAGGCTTATCGGACCGGGCCGTGCCTTCATTTTCAAGACCTTAGGCTTGGCCTGTTTCTCATGGCTAGTCTAGGTAGGGTAGGCTAGGATATCTACAGCAACTTTCACGTTTAGGAAAAAACATTTATTAGCGTTTTAACGTTCAAGCACTAATATAACGATAAGAATCTAAAGCTCATTGAAGCGCGTTCAAAAGTTGCTGAATAATTTTACTTTATGTATAATACGAAGCAAAGAAAAAAGTCAAAAAAAATTTAATGTTTTTTGAGTCAAAACAACTTTATTACTACAACATACTAGTCATGTTGCTATAACACCCCGTATTACCACTGCCATTCCATACCCTATAACTCTAAAAATGCCATTTTATGTCTTTTCAAATATATACTAGGTCTATTAAAACCATTTGACCCTAACAACCCCTTCAGACCAAAAAACATCTCAAAAGCTTTGAGAGACTAATAAAACAACGTGATAAAACCTATCAATTTCATGTTTTAAACCCATAAAAAAGCCTTCAGGGCATTTGGAAACCACAAATTTTTTGAAATTTGTTGAATTTTTTAATTGAAAAATTTGAAAATTAGGCTTATTAAGTTTAATAAACTTTAATCTACTTGTAGCCTAAGCTTGCTATATCTAATTTACCTACAAAGCCTAAGTTTCTGTCTACTAAGCTTGAGCTTAAACCTATTAAACCTAAGTAATAAATTACTAAGCCTAAGATTACTAAGTTAAAAGGTATTAAGCCTAAGCTTACAACAATTAATATATAAATTACTGAGCCTATGTTCACTGACCCCAAGCCTAAGTCTACTAAGCCAAAGCATATTTAGCCTAAGCCTACTAAGCCTAAGCCTACTAAGTCTAAGGCTACTAAGCCTAAGCCTACTAAGCCTAACCTTTCTAAGCTTAAGTGTACTATGCTTAAGCCTATTAAGCCCAAGCCTAATAAGTCTAAGCCTACTAAACGTAAGCATACTAAGCCTAAGCCTAAAGCTTATTTTTTTCTACGCTCAAGCCTTTTAAGTCTAAGCCTATTAAGCCTAAGCCTACTAAGACTAAGGATACTAAGCCTAAGCCTACTAAGCCTAAGCCTACTAAACATAAGCCAACTAAGATGAAGCCTTATTCTATCTACTAAGCCTAAACCGCTTGGGAGGGCAAGGTAAGAACCTTGCCCTCCCAAGCGGTTTTAAAGTAAAAATTTAAAAAAAGATCCTCAAAAAGAGAACATTTAGCTAAATTTTGCCCTCAACATGGCTTTGTTTGTTTATTTCGAGTAAATAGACAGTTTAATAGTTTATTTTAATCAACCACCACAGCTTTTTTCGGCCGCTTTAATTGACATCAAACAGCAACTAAATTTGAACAAAAAGGGCATTTTTTGTTTTGTAAAGAAAGTTTTTGTCATTTAGTGTTTTATAAAGAAAGTTTTTGCCATTTTTTGTTTTGTAAAGAAAGTTCTTGTCATGTTTTGTTTTGTAAAGAAAGTTCTTGCCATTTTTTGTTTTGTAAAGAAAGTTTTTGTCATTTAGTGTTTTATAAAGAAAGTTATTGTCATTTTTAGCTTTGTAAAGAAAGTTCTTGCCATTTTCTGTTTTGTAAAGAAAGTTCTTGCCATTTTTTGTTATGTGAAGAAAGTTCTTGCCATTTTATGTTTTGTAAAGAAAGTTCTTGTCATTTGTTAATTTTAAATTTTTATTTACCAGTAATAGTTCATATGTCAATAAATTACAATTTACAATATCAATATTTAAAAAAATGCCATTTTATACCAATGGTTCACGAATTGGCGGCGGAGCAACCCAAGCGAATTGAAGAAAGAATAGCAGTGCTACAGCATTCAGTGATTGAAATATAGTCAACAAAATGTAGTCCAGTCTACTGAACACTCTCGCCCATTCTTTTTCTATCTGAAAATATAAATTATAGACAAATTTTTTACCCTACCCTACCCTATATAAATTTTAAAAAATGTGATGCTCTATCTTGCCTTTTTGCCCTGCCTTTGCCTTGCCTTTGCCCTGCTTTTGCCCTGCCTTTGCCCTGCCTTTGCCCTGCCTTTGCCTTGCCTTTGCCTTGCCTTTACCCTGCCTGCCTTGCCCTATTCCATCTTTGCCTATCTTATCGTACCTTGCTTTACCGTACCCTACCCTTTTACGCGTTACTTTATTCTACCCATTTCTATTGTACCTCATCCTAGCCTAGTGTAAAATTTACTTTTTGCATTATGCTAGGCTTACCATATCTCTCAACTTCTTCCTTTCCTGTTTTCTTTTTAATGATCGGTTTTCTTCGGCCAAATATTTTACCAGTCGATAAATTTTGTTCAAGTCGTCGAATTGAAATCTTGTTGTTCCTGATCCAATGCTTCTAAAAACACAAAAAAATCATTTTTAAAATTTAAAAAACTGCCCTTGTAGAAAAATAAAAATTCAAAATTCTTTCACCCCACAATTTTTAAAAATCTACCCCTAATTGAAAAAAAAATTTTTTTTTACCCCACACTTCAAAAAAAATTTTTTAAATGTAAGGTATTTTCAATAAAAAAAACTTCATCAAAAAATTACTCTTCTTTCACCCCCCTCCCCCCTCATTTTTTCTTTTATTCGGTTTTTTTCTTACTCCTACCAACCCCTACTTACGTATTATCCGGAGTATCAACACTATTACTCTGCCTCACCAGCGGATCTCGTATGATTTCATGTTTCAGTAGACTAATGTCAATGTTATGCTTATTCTCCGGCTGTCCTTTAATCGACCCATTCGCCGTGCCATTCTGATTCACACCGTTAATATTATTCACGACCAGTGATAACGACGGCCTGAATATCGAGTGGCGTGGCACGCTTTTTACCGTAAAGTTCTTTGGCTGTAGAAACATGGTACGGTAGGTGAACTGAGATGGTACTCGGGAACGTTCGACCAGTTTTCGACTCATCGTGAGAAAGCACATTGAAAGACCGACGGCGACGGCGCAGAGTATGATTACTACTAGAATGTAGTAGCCAAGGAGGGGGATGGAGTTACTTTTGGGCATGGCACTAGCCAAGATACCGAGAATTACTGTCATTGATAGTAAACTGCCTAGGCCAAGGGATACCTGAAAATTGAAAGTTTAAAACGATTTTTTAGCTTTGCCAAAATTTTTGAACTTTGTTTTTAAAATTTTAAAATTTCAAAAAATTTTTTTTTTATTTTTAAATTTTTTTTTGAAAAATTGATTTTTAGGTAACAAATCATTAAAGGTTGAAACTTTGCGGATTAAAAGTGACATGTTATGCGATAGGAACGTTATTATGATTTGTAAAGAAATTGTTTGCTTTTTTTTGATGTGTAAAGAAAGTTCTTGCTACTTTTTGTTTTGTAAAGAAAGTTCTTGCCATTTTTTGTTTTGTAAAGAAAGTTCTTGACATTTTTTTTAAATTTAAAAATTTTTTATAAAATACGATTTATAAATAAAAATATTGTACCTTTTCGTTTCTCGGGCCATTATCAGCACTAGGAGTGAAAATACCTAATATACTCAATGCTGAAATCAAAAATATTGGTACGACGATTACTGTAATGTAGAAAATTGGTCGTCGCCTTAGCTGGAAGATGTAATGAACCTGAAATTTTAAAGTGCATTTTCATAAATATTAAAAAAAAATTAAAATTTTTAAAATTAAAATTTTTTTTTTTAAATTTTAAATTTTTAAAAAAATTTAAAAAATAAAAAAAAATCTTACCTCTGCCCGATACTCTCCCTCCTCTCTGAAGCTCATGTGCCGTACTGATACGTTAGTCAAGTGCCATTCGGCGTTACCCGCAAAATATGAGTCTTTAGGTGGTGGATGTGAATAGACATCCATCTCTTCAATAGTAAGTAATGGTGATGCTAATGCCACAGCACAGTATTGTGTATCAAATGGAAACTGTTCTATATACAACCGGCATATACAGGTCACGTACTGGGGAATGTTGATTTTTACTCTGCCATCAGATTGTACTCGGACGTCGTATTTGTCATCTGATAACATGTCTTTTGTGTCCATACTGAAATAGGTTGTAGGTAATAGTAAGACAGAGTGCGGTACGTAACAAGGTTTTGTAGGGTAAGGTCGAGTACGGAGGCCAAAGCAAGTCCAGGGCAAGGCCAGGGCAAGGCCAGGGCAAGGCCAGGGCAAGGCCAGGGCAAGGCCAGGGCAAGTCCAGGGCAAGGCCAGGGCAAGGCCAGGGCAAGGCCAGGGCAAGGCCAGGGCAAGGCCAGGGCAAGGCCAGGGCAAGGCCAGGGCAAGGCCAGGGCAAGGCCAGGGCAAGGCCAGGGCAAGGCCAGGGCAAGGCCAGGGCAAGGCCAGGGCAAGGCCAGGGCAAGGCCAGGGCAAGGCCAGGGCAAGGCCAGGGCAAGGCCAGGGCAAGGCCAGGGCAAGGCCAGGGCAAGGCCAGGGCAAGGCCAGGGCAAGGCCAGGGCAAGGCCAGGGCAAGGCCAGGGCAAGGCCAGGGCAAGGCCAGGGCAAGGCCAGGGCAAGGCCAGGGCAAGGCCAGGGCAAGGCCAGGGCAAGGCCAGGGCAAGGCCAGGGCAAGGCCAGGGCAGCCAGGGCAAGGCCAGGGCAAGGCCAGGGCAAGGCTAGCGCAAGGCAAGGCAAGGATATCCTACCTATTATATACAAACATTTTAGGTAACCATAGCATTGACTGAGGTATGATCATCTCTTTAGTACCATTATACTCTGCGGGGTCCCATGTTAGCTTAGGATCGTGCCAACGCTAAAATTTAATTTTTTTACAGTAGTCTCTAAACTTGATGTTATAAAATTTAGATTTTGCAACGTTTTTTAAAAAAAAGTCAAACAAATCACGTCGTATTTTACCTGTATATGTGATATGACATAAGCTGCAACTTGTTCGTTTTCACGCTGAAATTAGTTTACATTACTGTGTATATCATATCAAAAAACAACGTATTTCACAAAAAATGGACACAAAATGCTACCTACCATTTCAATTAGAATGCCAAGTACAATAGTCATATGTACTCGGACGGCCGATCTTTTATCAGCGTACGGTCGAATACGCTTATCATACGATACAAATAGGGTGTCCAGCAGCTTTCTTGATATGGATTCTGAATTAAAAACTTTTAGCCTAATTTATTGACCTAATTATCTTGTTTTACCATAAGACAATCATGAAGTTTTAAAAAAAGTCATAAGTTCAAAAGTGTCATAAATTTAAAAAATATGTCATCATGACACAATTTTTCAAAACCAAAAAAACTTTAAAAATACTGTTATTAGGACAATATAACACAGGTAGGCCTAAAAATGTCATAAATTTAAAAAATATGTCATCATGACACATTTTTCTAAAAAAACGAAAATTTTTGAAAAATTTGACTTTTGTAACAATATGATATAAAAAAGCCTAAAATGTCATAAATTTACCTTTGGCAACATGTGATACATTCATATGGCGTCTGTGAGGATGAGAAGCTTCAGTGAAGTGCATGGAGAATATAAGTGTGAACAGCAGTAAGACTATGGTGCAATTCATTGTGAAATAAGTTTTTTGGGCTAAAAATGTCGTTTTTAGGTTGGTATTAGGCTAGCAATTAGAAAATTTTAAAAACATGTTACCGCGATTTGGGTCCCACCACGAACATTGTTTAAAAACCAGCGAAATGCATTGCAATGTTCCGAGAGCAAAAAATATTATAAAAAAGCAAATATAAAGTTGAAATTGAATTCTAAATTAATTAAAAATAATCTTTTTTCAAAACTTTGATATACTCTTGACTCTAAAACACTATGGCATGAGTACGTACCACGAAAAATGCGATGTGTTATTATATATTATAATACAATGTATGTATGAAATTAATTACGGCCTAGTCTTAAATTACGTTCAAATAAACCCGCGCCTAATGTATCATAGTCATCCTTTTTTTGCTCAAATTACGTTTCATTTATTAGTTATATATTAGACGTCTGGGATACATGATTGTCGTATGTACATACTATGAACATTGATCTACCCTACCCTACCCTACCCTACTCTAGCCTACCCTACTCTACCCTACCCTACTCTACACTACCCTACCCTACCCTACCCTACCCTACCGTATGCCAAACTAAAATCCGTATCTTTTAAACGTACAAAAACCTCGTACTAATTAGGACAAACCAATTAAAAAGTAATAACAGAGAACTGAAACATGTTGTATAGTATAACAATTAAAAGTGTAGACATTTAAACTAAAGTTCCGTGTAGTAACATTGATTTACAAAATGGCATGTAACATCAAGACAAGTGCATTTGGTTCAAAAAACACTGTAATCATGTTTAAAGACAACGAAAAAATCAAAGTTTTCCGAAAAAACATGACAGAGATGAACTTGAGTATGATGTATTAGAACAACTTGTAGATATAGACAGACAACACATTGTTTTTGAAATTTTTAAAACAAAGTTCTTTGCTTTTTTTTGGTTTTTTAGCCATTTATGTAACAAATAGTCATAGCATACTGAGCCAAAACCTATATAAACCCTAAGCTTAAACCTACCAAACCTAAGACGACTAAAGCTAAGCCTACTGAACCTAAGCTTGCTAAGACTATGCTTACTAAACCAAAGCCTACTAAAGCAAAATATAAGCTTTATAAGCTTAAAGTTACTAAGCCTAAGCCTTAGCAAAACTTTAAGCTTATGTTTGTTTTTAAGCCTAACCGAAATTAAGCTAAAGCTTGCTAAGCCTAAGCCTGCTAAGCCCAAGCCTACTAAGCCTTAGTCTAATAAACCTAATCTTAAATCTAAGCCTTAGCCCAAACTCATCCTTTAACCTAATCATAAGCCTATACTTAAGCCTATATCTAGGTCTAATTCTACACAAAAGCTTAAGCTTACGTCGCTAAGCCTAACTAGAAACTCGATTCTACAGCTAGACACAAGCTTACACAAAAGCTTACGCCAGAGCCCAGGCCTAAAGAAAAGCATCAATCCAAGCCAAAAATTTAACCTAAACCTATGCCTAACCTTAAGTTTTTTAAGCCTAAGTTTACTATGATTAAGCCTACTAAGCCTAAGCCTACATAAACGTCTCAACCTAATCCATTCAAAAAAAGCAAAAAACGAGTCGTAAGCCTAATGTTCTATTTTCCAGCATACTAATCGTAAACAGAGAAATCTTAAGCCTAAAGATTCATTATATTTATTTACAAAACAAAAATCGTACATCTAAACACCAAGTAACGCTCGCCTAACCGTCTGTAATTTATTTATAATAAAGACATTTTCTAGTACACATTAAGCAAATAAGGCATCAGTTGACTGTTTACGAGTTAAACTATATTCAATTTAGTTCCCCTTCCTCATCTCCCACTACTTTTTCAAATATGAAAAACATCTTCGAGTTTGAAACCGTCGTACTCAATTCGGCATCAATGTCAGTACATGCCCCTTTCCCCCCCCCCTCCCCTCCCCTCCATCCCCCCCCTCCTCCCCCCCCCCACCCCCCTTACATACACAGAGTAACATATCATATATTTACAGAGTAAAATAACTAAGATATACATAGTAACGTAGCCCACATACGCTTTGCAAAGTAACGTAGATATGAAATTAAAATTTTTTAGGCCTATTTTAGGTAATATTTGATTATTATAGTAGAAAAGGCTAATTGGTCACGTCAAGGATATCCGCGAATAAAAGTGCAATATAAGTTTGAGAATGGCATAATGATAAAAAATGACATTGTACTGAAATAACACTGTTTTTACTTTATGTACGTATTAGAATGTAGATTGTAATTAGGTGGCAACACGATTATGGCATCATATATGACATACAACGTAATAAATAGCAATAACGTTTTTTACAAGGCAACGAATGGCAAAAACTTTGTTTACAAAACAAGAAATGGCAAGAAATTTCATTACAGAACATAAATGGCAAGAACTTTCTTTACAAAAAAAATGGCAAGAACTTTGTTTACAAAACAAGAAATTGCAAGAACTTTCTTTACAAAGCGTAAAATGACAAAAACTTTCTTTAAAACACAAAAATGGCAAAAACTTTCTTTACAAAACAAAAAATGGTAAGAACTTTCTTTACAAAGCAGTAATGCATAAAAATACACTAACACTGTATTTCGCCTCTTTATTGCACCGCCGTTTTGTTGTTGACCTAAATTACTATTTTGGGCAAGTGCTAACCAAAAAATAGAAAAATTTTAAAATTTTTCCGTTTTTATCTCACTTTGGTCAAACTGTTGTCCTAAGGCTAAAAATAGACTGCAAGAAAGGTTTTATTTGGTGAACATGTATTAAACTACAGTAAAACTCGCGTATAACCAATTGCTTCAGTTGTTCGAAAACCACTATCTTGCCTGTTATAGTACTTTACTGCACAATAAATAGTGTGTAAAGATTCCGTACGTATATACTAGACAAAGTTTAATCTTGTGACAATTTATGCCACTAGTATTTAGTTAACATATTAATCTTTATCTTATAAAGTATTACTTACTACATTATTAACATTACAGCTATATAAAAGCTAACCCTTTCAATTAAAACATTATATTAACAAACTTTATAGCTTCATTAACTAATTCATAATCTTATACTGTTTATTATATTGCACTAACGCAATTAAATTTTTAATTCTATTAGCCTTTTTGTTATACTTTAAAGTTTTCAGTACGGTTTTAAGAACTAAGGAACAGAAAACAATACGCTCTTTATAAGTATTGTCTACTTTATTTAAATACTGAGTTCTCACACTGAAGAAAAGTTATTATGGGAAACGCCAGACTCAAGGATAGTACCGTTGGCCTTTATTTGAACCTTGAACATTCTTGCACATTAGCACAGTACGTTACAATCTATAGAATCAATCTACTAGTGGCATCTATAACTCTCAAATCGTAATTGTAAACGAGGTAAATGAGCATGACAAAGCAAGGCAAGGCAAGGCAAGGCGAAAATTTTTTTTTTATTTTTTGCGACACATTACATTAAAAACGTCACAAAATTGCACGTAATTGCTCTAATTAGCAATTACGTTTCCTAAAAAAACTCACATGTTCAATAAGCACCCAAGAAAACAAAATGCTAAAAGTTGGGGTTGATTTTGAAAAATTTATGTCATTTCTTTTGGCAGCTTTGTCTGACTGAACTCGACTGTAAACTAATTTCTTTTCGGCCACCTTAACCGGCTTTTTTGTTCGTTAGCAAAAGACTCTTCAGAGTGGACTCTAAGGTTTTGAATAGTTATCATTTCTAATGAAAACTATAAACTAATCTTTATTTTGAAAAATCTTGAGTTTGAGCCTGAGCCTGAGCCTGAGCCTGAACCTGAACCTGAGCCTGAACCTGAGCCTGAGCCTGAGCCTGAGCCTGAGCCTGAGCCTGAACCTGAGCCTGAGCTTGAGCCTAAGCCTGAATCTGAGTTTTAGTCTGAGCCTGAGCCTGAGCCTAACCCTGAATCTGAGTTTGAGTCTGAGCCTGAGCCTGAGCCTGAGCCTGAGCCTGAGCTTGAGCTTGAGCTTGACTTTGAGGATGACTTGGTGGCTGAGTCTGGCTTTGGGCCTAAGCTTAAACCTAAGGTTGAATCTGAACCTGATTCTAAACCTAAAGTTGAACCTAAACTTGAAATTGATGCTAAACCTGCGGTTGAGTTTACGAACGAGCCTGAGCCCAGAGATTACGTAAATATATTTTTCGAAACAACTTGAAACAAAAAAATATAGTTATAAACATTTAAAAAAGAATATAATTTTTTAGGTAACTTCCAGTATGACAATGTGTCATCTTTCAAGAAGAACGTAAAAAAAGACCAAAAGTCAACAAAAGATAATTTATACATATTAACAAAATTTCAGCTTCTCATCAAGTTATAATGTATGTGTTTCAAGAAGCCACAAGTAAATATAACCAGTATCACTATAGTAAAACGAAAATATGTTATGTGTCCAGGACTCAACATTTTTTGAAATTTTTTTTGGAGAGTTCCCCCCCCCCCTTTTCTTCCATCGCTCTTCCCCCTCCGTCCCCCCCCCCTTCCCTCGCGCCCGCCCTGTATGTTTCTTACAACTAAAAAAAATTAACCTTTTTTTTACTCTACCCTACCCTAAGAACCTAAAATTCAAAAAAATCTTTAAAAACAAGCACCACCGTGACTCCCGTCGTTAATTTATCGACCACGTTTGTTATTCGGCGGCGGACGAAATTGCATTGCGCTGCCAAAATTGCTTTGTTTACCGTTCACACAACATACTATAATCGAATCTCGTACTTTAAGTCGGCCGCTTTTACGGTATTTGGTCTTTTTCCGGAGGCAATAAAATAAAAAATATTAGAATTTGAAGTTATGGGTTTTGACCCGAAGAGAAGTTCGCTTGAAGCCACACTTTGAGAAAGTATGGCTTTTGAGTTATCGTTATTACATACTCGTTCTCAATGCAAAATTAATCAATAAGAAACCTTTACTTCTATTGCAAAGAATATTTAATATATGCGAAATTTTTGCAAGCTTAGGCTTGGTAGGCTTAGGCTTAGTAGGCTAGGCTTAGTAGGCTTAGGCTTAGTAGGCTAGGCTTAGTAGGCTTAGGCTTAGTAGGCTTAGGCTTAGTAGGCTTAGGCTTAGTAAGCTTAGGCTTAGTAGGCTTAGGCTTAGTAGGCTTAGGCTTAGTAGGCTTAGGCTTAGTAGGCTTAGGCTTAGTAGGCTTAGGCTTAGTAGGCTTAGGTTTAGTAGGCTTAGGCTTAGTAGGCTTAGGCTTAGTAGGCTTAGGCTTAGTAGGCTTAGGCTTAGTAGGCTTAGCCTTAGTAGGCTTAGGCTTAGTAGGCTTAGGCTTAGTAGGCTTAGGCTTAGTAGGCTTAGGCTTAGTAGGCTTAGGCTTAGTAGGCTTTGGCTTAGTAGGCTTTGGCTTAGTAGGCTTAGGCTTAGTAGGCTTAGGCTTAGTAGGCTTAGGCTTAGTAGGTTTATGCTTAGTAGACTTAGGCTTAACAATTACTTTACTTATTTCAGTCTCAAGAACCTACAACAAAAATATGGCTACTTATATCTAACTTTATACCTCGCAGAAAAATAGGGTAATATTTCAGCACTCGCAGTAATTTGTTGGGTCGTTTTACACCGAGGCAAATATGATATAAAACCATAAAATTACGTAAGAAAAAGTTGCGTAATACGGGTTTTCTCAATTTCTCTAAGGCTATTTTATTATGTAAAAAAGTCATGGTGATATAAGTTTTACCTAACATGATAATGACCATATTAGGTAACACCGGAAAATTTGTTCTGTAAACTCATCATTATTCAGTTGTAAGGTTTATTTTTAAAGGTTAGCTTTTAACCTAATCAGCTTAAACTTGCTAGGCTGGTTGGGCTTGAGCCTCGGCTTATTTAACTTGACCTTGGCTGGTTGAACTTGAACTTAAGCTTAGTAGTTCAGTGTGCTTTGGTTGGTTGAGCTGCGCTCACTAAGTCTGCGTTTACTTGACTTGGACTATTAGGCATGGTAAAGTAGGCTTACGTTTTGTAAACTTAGACTTGTTAGGCTGAAGTTTTGTAAGTTTAAGCTCAGTACTCGTAAGTTTAGTAGGCTTACTTTGGAGATGAGAGACGGATTGGCTCGGCCAGTCCGGCCCTGCAAAGTTTTCAAAACTTTAAAATTTTTAAAACGGGCCGAGCCAATTTGGGCTTCAAAAGTGAGTCCGGATTGTTTCTCACACCTAGCTTAAGCTTACAAGGAAAGTGCTCGACCTGCCCCGCTCTGATTGACTTCAAACTTTTTATAAAGGAAGATCATGTAAATATAAGATCTTCAGAAAAGTACTAAATCGCGCTTTCCCGGAAATCTCGAGAAAATCGAGATTAAAAAACAACATTTGAATTTTCCGCGAACTTGGCATTGTGTTTTAAGTTTGCAACTTTGTCATTTTTTGACTTTTAATTATTTTTCTTTGATATACTAGTATAATATCCTTAAATAAACCTACATTTTTAAATTTGTAACCGTATCTTGTCTGGAAAGTCAAAAAAAGTGCTTGAAACACAATGCCAAATTTGCCAAATTGGCGGAAAATTTAAATAATTCAATTTTAGAACTCAAAAGAGCTAGCTAAAATTTTTTATGGGTACTATTGGTGGTACAAGGAATTCATATAAAAATTTTGAGCTGATTCTGAGCGGGACAGGTAGGGTACTTTCCTTGTTAGCAAGCTTGGATTAGTGAGTGTAGGCTACATAGCCTTATGTGGCTACAATTGTTAGTTGGCTTAGGTCAAGATTTGTGTCCTATTAAACTAAATCGTAGATAAGCTGTTTAAAAATGTTTTTTAGTTTTAAAAAAGCAAACAATTTTTTTATATTATCTTACATATAATAGGTATCTGATATTTTTTACTTAGTTGATATCCAGACATACTTTAAAAAGCCATTGTTTATCCGTTTGATTTGTCCACAGCGGTCAACGCTTCCAGTTCTATAATATTAAAACTGCAGAAACAGGTGTTAAGATCGTTTTTTGCCGATTTGAAAAAGCCGACTGGACCCTCCGGGGGTGGAAGAAGGGAATTCGCAAAATTTGTTTTTTGAGCTTTTTGGGACAACTTTTGAGTTTTATTTAAATTTTGGTTGATTTTGCTTATTTTTGATTTGGAAACAAAGTTCTTGCTATTTTATGTTTTGTAAAGAAAGTTATTGCCATTTTTTGTCTTGTAAAGAAAGTTTTTGCAATTTTCTGGTTTGTAAAGAAAGTTCTTGTCGTCTTTTGTTTTGTAAAGAAAGTTTCTTAATTTTTTGTTTATTAAAGAAAGTTATTGCCATTTTTGTCTTGTAAAGAAAGTTCTTGCCATTTTTTGCTTTGTAAAGAAAGTTTTTGCAATTTTCTGTTTTGTAAAGTAAGTTTTTGTCATTTTTAGTTTTGTAAAAGAAGTTCTTGCCATTTTTTGTTCTGTAAAGAAAGTTCTTGTCGTTTTTCGCTTTGTAAAGAAAGTTCTTGCCATTTTATGCTTTGTAAAGAAAGTTTTTGTCGTTTTTTGTTTTGTAAAGAAAGTTTCTTCATTTGTTGTTTATTAAAGAAAGTTCTTGCCATTTAAAGCTTTGTAAAGAAAGTTTTTGTTATTTTTTGTTTTGTAAAGAAAGTTCTTGCTTTTTTTGACTTTTGTAAACTAAGTTCTTATCATTTTTTGTTTTGTAAAGAAAGTTCTTGCCGTTTTTTGTTATGGAAAGAAAGTTCTTGCCATTTTTAGATTCGTATAGAAAGTTCTTGCTATTTTTTGTTTTGTAAAGAAAGTTTTTGCCATTTTACGTTTTGTAAAGGAAGTTTTTGTTACTTTTAACTTGATTATTCACTTGAAACGTATTTTATTTACAGTACCATACTGTACTAAAACCCTTTAATTTTAGGCTTAATGGCCCAAAAGCAGTTGGACAATACGGGGCCCAAAAAGCTGTGGCAAAGAGTTTATGACACAGTAGAACTATGGCATTTGAATGCAGCCGCTTGTACAATAGTCGTATGTTTTATAATACACCAGCTTGCTACAATGTTTCGACAACGACATCATAGACAATCGGCCAAAGTGACACAATTGAGAGAGCAAGAGGAAGAGAGAGAGCGGTTGAGAAGGTCTATGAGCAAGGTGAGGGAGTGGTGTTATGAAAGTCATTTTTTAAATTTACAACTTTTTTAAATAGAATTTTAAAATTTTAAAATTTTTTTAAATTTCAATTTTTTAATTTAAGATTTTTTTTAATTTGGGATGACAAAACAGTATATCTAAACCATTAAGACCAAAAATTAAACATTTTTGCTTGGGGTTCAAAAAGAAATGGCATTTTTAAAGTTTAAGGCTTTTAAAAAAGTCTTGTCGCTAATTTCTTAAGTTTTACATGTAAAAAAACGACAAGATTTTTTTTTTCATTTTTTGAATGTTTAATAAAGTTATTTTATGTTTTAGAATAAAAAATAATTTTAAAAATTTTAAAATTTTAGCAAATTAAGAAAGAATTTGCGGAAAAAGGAGTCGGATCAGACTTGGACGTGCTTGACCTACAAGAACATTTGCACAATTATAAAGAAGTGCTCTATTTACCAATTAAATTCTCTGAAGAGGAAATGATGGCTAAATCACAGGCATTCTATGAATACATGAAGCTACGACGAAGTGTACGGTGTTTCAGTGACAAAGACATTTCATTGAAATTGGTACAGAATTTGGTCAAGACTGCTGGTGAGTTATACAAATAGAGTAAACTAGAGCGGGTTTGGAACGGTAGGGCAAAGCAAGGGCAGAGTAAATTTAAGGTAATAAAAAAGTAAGGTAATAGCAAGGTAATGCGTTTTGAAGTGGAGTAAGACAAATGAGTTCCTAAGGTTGTAGTACGGTGAGTAAGAAAGGGTAAGCCAAGGGTAATTTAAGACAAGGGTAGGGTAAACCAAGGATAAAGTAAGAAAAAAGTGTAGCAAAGCAATGGTACGGCAATGCAAAGTAAGGTGAGGCACGACAAGAGTACTGTAAGAACATGGTACGGTAATGCAGAGTAAATTAGGGTAGGGTAGAGTAGGTTAGGGTAGGGTAGGGTAGGGTAAGGTAAGGTAGGGTAGGGTAGGGTAGGGTAGGGTAGGGTAGGGTAGGGTAGGGTAGGGTAGGGTAGGGTAGGGTAGGGTAGGGTAGGGTAGGGTAAGGTAGGGTAGGGTAGGGTAGAGTAGAGTAGGGTAGAGTAGGGTAGGGTAGGGTAGGGTAGGGTAGGGTAGGGTAGGGTAGGGTAGGGTAGTGTAGGGTAGGGTAGGGTAGGGTAGGGTAGAGTAGGGTAGGGTAGGGTAGGGTAGGGTAGGGTAGGGTAGGGTAGGGTAGGGTAGGGTAGGGTAGGGTAGGGTAGGGTAGGGTAGGGTAGGGTAGGGTAGGGTAGGGTAGGGTAGGGTAGGGTAGGGTACAAAATTCAGTTCTACCCTAAGTACGATACCGAGTACTTACACCACACAAAATTTAGGTACTGCTCCGAGTGGTGCGAACCTCCAACCATGGACGTTCTGTGTGATTCACAGTAGGAAGATCAAACGTTCGTTACGGGCGATGATTGAGGAAGAAGAACAACGTAATTATACAAGGAGAATTGGAGCCAAGTGGGTATTGGATGTGGAGCATTTGAGTGTACATTGGAATAAGCCCTACATTACTGAAGCGCCTTATGTCATTGTTGTTATGAAACATGTAAGGTTTCTTTGGAAGTTTAAATTTGGAGGTTTTCAATTTTTTTTTGAAATTAAAAATTAAATTTTTTAAAATTTTAAATTAAAAAAAATTATTTTAGATCTATCAAATAAAACCTAATGGAGAACGACAAATTACATATTATAATGAAATGAGCTGTAGCATAGCTGTGGGTATACTATTGTCGGCTATTCAGGTAACATAATTTCATTGCTACCCTACCCTACAATTTTGTACCTTACCCTGCCCGGCCCTGCAATTTTTTACCTTATTTTAACCTAACCACACTATATCGTCCTACCTTACCCCTACCTTGCTCTAAAAACAATTTTATAGAACGTCGGCCTAGTAACTGTAACCACAGCCCCATTGAACGCTGGTGGCCACATCAGGGAACTTTTACGTCGTCCTGAGAATGAAAAAGCCATGTTAGTACTGCCTATTGGATACCCGGCTGAAGACGCTCATGTGCCTGATTTGAGAAGGAAAAAACTTGAGGACATTATTAGGATGTATTAGTACTAAAATATGCTTGTGAGCATTTTAGTACTATAGTACGTTTATCTTGGTTAAGTTTGTCTTTCATGTACTATACTATTTCACTTTTGTTGTTACATTCCATGGTTAAAAAATAAACAGTTTTTGTGTTCATTTTACTGGAAGACGCCTTAGGGCATAATAAGTACTAGTAAGCCATAAAATTTAAAAAAACTTTATACTGTGCTGCTAGCTTTAGCCAAATATGGCTATGGCTTTGGCTCTGGCTCTAGCCCTGACTCTAGCCCTATCTCTAGCTCTAGCACTGGCTCTGGCTCTAGCCCTGACTCTAGCCCTAGCTCTAGCCCTGACTCTAGCCCTAGCTCTAGCACTGGCTCTAGCACTGGCTCTGGCTCTGGCTCTGGCTCTGGCTCTGGCTCTGGCTCTGGCTCTAGCTCTTGCTCTAGCTCTAGCTCTGGCTCTGGCTTTAGGGGTAGGTTTGACGTTGCTTGTGGATCTAGAAGTGAATCTGGTTCTAGCTTTGGCTTTGTCTTTGGTTTAGGCTTTTACTTGGGCTCTGGCTTGGGATGTGACTCTGGCTTTAGCTCTGTCTCAAGCCCTAATTTTGGCTATGCCTTTGGCCGTAATACATCTCCTAACCCTAATACTGGCTTTGAACTTTGCCTTAATTCTAGCCCTAACTTTAATACTAGCTTTGATTTTAGTCTTGATTTTGCCTTGTTCCTAACTTTAGCTTTGGCCTATTTCTTGACTCCAGCCCTCGCCTTAGCTTAAGGAAACTCAAATTTGAAAAACTGACATTCCTCTACAAATTTATTACAATTCCTTCAAATTTACAATTCAAAATGTTCAGGTTTTATAGATTTTTGGCCACGAACTGCATCATATGTGTATTTCTGGGTAAGTTTGTTCCAGAATTCCAATTCTCTACCGTAATACGGTTCTTTGACTACTGCTTCAGTACTAATGTCAGTATAAATGTAAGGATGGTCTTTAGATAACAACTCAAAGTTTTGGTTTTCGGCTGATTTTGGTGATCTAGAAAGGATATTTTGATGTTATTAATAGTGTCATAACAATAAATTTTTCAAAAAAAAATTTTTTTTTTGAATATTTTAAAGATATTTTTGAAATGGAATAAAAATGCCTTTCCCTACCCAGTTTTAATGAAATTGACTACAGAATCGATCAGTAACTTCCGGTAAACCTCATCTTCCTCATTAAGTTCAGTATGAGGAAGTAGCACGGCTTCTCCAAACAAAAATCTGTATTCAGTACCATGTGTAGCATTACATATTTCGACGCCTGGTATCATACGACGATTGAACTCGGCATACGTGCTCATAATGTTGTATATTGGCCAACCGGCTTTGTGTTTCAGGCTTATTTCACGACCTTGAGGTATGTGGAACATTATATCGCCTAGGGCCTGAAAATAAACTTTAGAAGGGACGGTAAGGACGGTAGAGTACAGTAGGCAAAAGTAGGGCTTGGTAGGTTAAGATAAAGTCTAATAAAGCACAGTAAAGTACAGTAATTTAGGGCAGGGTACCGTAAGTTAAGCTAGAGCATAATAAAGTACAGTAAAGTACAGTAGGGTACAGTAATTTATGTTAAGGTACTGTCAGTTAAGCTAAAGTGTAATACAGAACAGTAAGGCACAGTAGAGTACAGTAAGTCAAGGTAGGGTGCGGTAGGTTATAATAGAGCATGTGAAGCACTGTAAGGTACAGTAGGGTACAGTAATTTAGGGTACGGTACTGTAAGTCAAGCTAGAGTGTAATAAAGAACAGTAAAGTACAGTAGGGTACAGTAAGTCAAGTTAAGATACTGTACGTCAAGATAGAGCTTGATAACCTACTGTAAGGTACAGTAGGGTACGTAAGTCAAGGTAGGATGCGGTAGGTCAAGATAGAGTATATAGGTCACGATAAAGCACGGCAGAATAATAAAGAGCAAGGCAGATCAGTAGACTTTGGTAGATCAAGAAAGAATACGGTAATAAAAATTGTGTACGGTAAATTAAGCCTTGGTACAATAAGTAAAAGTAAAATACTACAAGTCAAAGTAGAACGGCAACTGAAGACAAAGGTCAATGCAAGACACAGTAACGCAAAGATATTGTAGAAGTTAGGCATGACAAAGCTAAGGTAAAGTAAAACCCATAGTAAGACCTACCTTAGCATACAAGTGCAAGTAGAACTCAGTAGTATGTTTGTCTTCTTCCAAAGTGTTCAAGTAAAAGTCGATAACTTCTTCAGATGCTGCTTCATGTTCTTCTTTGAATAAATCTTGCTCGACGACAGTTCTTCTAATGAATTTTTTAAAATCATCTACAGTAAACTTCTCTTTCTGTTCTTTAGTCAAGCCCAAATTGAAGCCGACTTCTGATGAGAAGAAAATGGCTGAAAAGGTCGTTTTAAAATTTAAATAATAATCGAAATAATTTTCTTTACAAAGAATATGTTAATGTTAACTCACAAAACAAAAGTCCTTCATTTTCGTTCATAGAATTCATCGTGACTTTAGGCTTGGCTTGACTAATCAGAATTTCTGGATCAGCGGGGAAAAAGTCGTTATCAACAACAGCTTGATAGTCAAAATGATTTGATTCGCCATCGAAAGAGTGCTAAAAACACACATTTTTAGTTACCCTACCCTATTTTTTTCAAAATTTACCACGCCCAAAAGTTTTGTAATTTTTGATTTTACGTTGCTTTACCGTAATCTACCGCATTTTACCCTACCCTACCCTACCCTGCTCTATCTTATCCTACTCTTATCTACCCTACCATACCCTGTTACACCCTACCCCACCTGAGGGTGAGAAACGGACTAAGCCGAGTCCACTTTTGAAGCCCAGCTCACTCCCAGGGCCCGAAGTTTAGACCCGATCCGATTTTTTAACGTACAAACGGGCCGGGCTTTAATATTCAGGCCTAACCCGACCTAAATTTAGCTCAAGGCCAACCTGTTTCTCACCCCTAACCCACCTTACTTTACTCTACTTTGCCCTACTCTATCTGCCCATTGTCTACCTTATTTTACACTACCTTACCCAGCTCACGTTACCCCACTTTTTCTTACCCTACCCTAACCACCCTTCAATTTTTTAATACAAAAAACTCACCGCTTCAGCCACAGCACTGTTAATCTGTTCAACACTTTTGGATTTCAAACACTCTCTAGCATTTTCATTTTCGTCACATTTCAAAATTTTCAAAACCTCCAACGTCTTCTCATATCCACGTCTACTAAAAGCAAATTGAGTTAATGTAGAGCCGCTGAACTGAAGTACTTGACTAAATTTGTCATGAGTCAATGGACTGATTGATAAGGCGCTAGCTGCAGAACTGCCAGCACTGTAGCCGGCTACTGTAATCCTGCTCGGATCTATGAACAAGCTTTTGGCGTATTTGTGAGTGAATTGTAGGGCCAGATGAAGATCATGTAACGCCAAATTGCCTGGTAGGTTCGGGGTTTTTGTTGTGGCAAATCCTGAAGGATTATATATGTTCAAGTATTGATTAAGAATGAAAGAGTAGAAGGCAGAGAAAAGATTTAATGGAATAACAAGAAGAAGATAAAAAAGAAGTAAAGAAGTTGAAAAAGAAAAAAAGAAGAATAAGAAGAAGAAGAAGAAGAAGAAGAAGAACAACAACAACAACAAAAACAAGAAGAAAAAGAAAAAGAAGAAGTAAAAGAAAAAGAAAAAGAAGAAAAAAAACAAAAAGAAAAAAAAAGAAGAAGAAGAAAAAGAACAATTATACGAAGAATAACAACAAAAACAAGCAGAACATAAAGAAAACAAGAAGAAAAAACCATAATAAAGAATTACCTACCATAAAAGTTGAGCCGATACTGAGGAATAAGTACAGTAATCCCACTACCAGCATAGTGTTCAGCAACGTAGTCTTTGGTATGTTCCTCAGCACTTCCCATTTGATAACCACCACCGTGAATGAAAAAGAAGGCTGGATAGCCGGTTGGCGACTATAACAATACATACAGTGACATATCTTACTTAATCTACTCAGCTTAAATTCAACAACTTGACATACTTATATATAGTAATCGAACTCAATCCATATCCTATCTTTACTTTAGCTTTACTATAGCCTTACCAAGTCTTGTACAAGCCCCTACCTGTTCATGAGGCCTATAAACATTCATATATAAGCAGTCTTCACTTTGCTTCCACGGCATTTTTTGAATGCAAGCTTTGGGTCTTGTTGCGGCATTACGTTCTTCAACATAGTCAGCATCTTGTGGCTTCTGAAAAATCGAAAAATGTTAAAATTTTTGTTTTTGTAGCTCTGCCAAGCCCAAAGAAATTGCCCAACTATATGTATAAATTCAAACACTTAACTACTCTATCATACCGTGTCGTACCGTACTGTACTCTACCTCACCATGTCGTACCATACCGTACTCTATGATACTCTACCCTACTTTATCCCACCCTAATTTACCCTACCCTACCCTACCCTAACATACCCTATCCTACCCTACCCTACCGTACCCTACCCTACCCTACCCTATCTTACCCTAAACTACCATGTTCTTATCCTAGCAAAAACAGTACTCTTTAGTGACTCTAGCTACATTTTAACCTTACCCTAAGCCTAAAAAACCATATTAACCTACCTCAAACCTCAGTTCACCAACAGGCGGTTTGGCATAAGGAACGCCATAAAACGCGTCAACTTTGATTCCACCTTCAAACTCCAGCACCGTACCGTAAAATTTTCCAATGTGAGTATCCAACACTGGTCGACGGTTAGAATTATCACTATATACACATTCGGCCAAAGATAGTATTAACAATAATAAAAACTTATGCATGTTATCACAGTTTGTGCGATTCACAACCCAACCTTGAGCTGCGACAACCTTTTCTAAACAAAAATAAACTCTTTCTCCAGTTTTTGTTTTTCCGATCTGAAATGAACAGTGTCTAACAATAAGTGTGAAAAAGAGAGAGTAGTGTAGTCTGTAGTTTGAAGAAACAAAAGATGTAGTTACCTCAACATCAAAGAGCAAAGACTTTTATACTTTGAGTTGAAGCAAAAGTGCGTTTTAAAAGTACATAAACTATTGTACCCTATCAGCCTATCCTTTTTTATAAGGTAGATAGGGTAGGGATTTAGAAGTTTTTGCGACCTCTTTTGAATTGATACGATTTTAATATTTGTTGGCACTAAAAGTGTAAATTAGTACAGTTTTTATATTTTTTGATGCTAAATGGTACCAAAAGTTCAAATTAAACTTTTAGTACCATTTAGTACCAAAAAAAAATAAAAACAGAACGAATTCAAACTTTAAGTATCAAAAATATTAAATCGGCACCAATTTAAAAATTTAGTAACATTTAGTACCAAAAACTATAAAAACAGTACCTTTTTTGGACTTTTAGTACCAAAAACTATGAAAACACTAAATATTTAAACTTTTAGTACCGTTTAGTACCAGAAATTGTAAAACAGTACCAATTTGACTCTTTAGTAGACTTAGTATCAAAAAACATAAACACGGTACAACCGGACCCCTCCCCCTCCAGAAAAAAATGTTCGAAAAAACTTGAACTTGGTCCTCCGGTCTGGAAAAAAATTTTCGCGAAAAATCGGCACAGGTGAGCTACATATGCCGATTTTTTCGACACCCAGACCAAAAGTCCCGGCCCGGCCCTGCTAGCGCCTGTAAATTATATTGAGATATATAGAGAATGCAAAAAAGCAAAAAATAATAACCAAATTAATAAAAACTTACATGTTTAGACGTTCCGATCCTCAAAATGCCCAACTTTTGCGTTCAATTTTCCACCACAAATATCTGTTTCTTTTGAGAAATCCAGGAATTTGGGCGCAAGTGGCCAAAATTCGCGCGGACCGTTTTATACGCAAAAAATATATTATTATAATCACGTTTTTCAACACGGGTTTATTTGGCTAATGTTTCTAAGATATAAAAAAGTAAACTACGTTTTTTTTTATTTCACCAAAGGCTTATTTTACAATATTAAACTTAATGTGTTTTATAATAAAATAAGATAAGATAAACACCCATAGGAGGTTCAAAGATCCCTCGCTGGTCTAGTTTTACAATTCAACATGCTTAAGAGTTTTCTTCGGTTCTCCTCTGATGACATCAAACTGATATTTGTTGTAGAAGTTGCTCCAGAATTCAAATTCTTTTCCAAAATACGAATCTTTTACTGTCGCTTTCGTATTAAGGTCCGTGTATACCAAAGGGCGGTCTTTTGAGGTTTGAGTGAAGTTTTGATTTTTGGTTGATTTTGGTGACCTAAAATAACTTTTAGTACTGTTTTAAATGTATTGAGGTACTAAAATTAGTGTTAGTATAAGATTGTATAAAAAATAATGAGCTATGTTTTATAATCTTATTTTCAGTGTTTTGTGGTACCAATAGTACTAGCAGTACATTTTTTAATTTTTTGTAGTATTAAAAGCAGTACCAGTACTATTTATCAATACTATTTTCAGTTTTATAGTATTCAACGTACCTAAAGTACTAGTAGTATACCATTTTTGATTTTTTGGTACTAAAAGCCGCTACTGTACTATTTTTGCTTTTTTATAACATAGTGTATAAAAAATGGTACTATTAGTACCATTAGTACCACTTTTATTTTTTATAGTACTAAAGGCTGTACCAGTAGTAATTTTACCTTTTAATAGTATAAAGAGTACCAAAAGTACCACTTTTCAATTTCAAATGAATACCCATACCCAGTTTTAATAAAGTTGACAACAGAATCGACCAGTAGTTTCCGGTATTTCTCATCAGTTTCAGTCAATGAGTTATCGTGAGGGTTGAAGCCAATACCAAACAAGAATCTGTACTCAGTAGCATGACTCGTCTTACTGACTTCAATGTGTGACATGGTACGTTCCAAGTAATCAGAATAAGTGCTTAGTATGTTATAAACTGGCCAACCAGCCTCTTGCTTGAGCTTTAGCTCACGAAGTTGTGGGACTACGAACATGACGTCGCCTAGGACCTGGAAGAAGGATATATGTGTTGGTTATTATTAAGTATATATATATATATACAAAATATAAAAGTAATACATGTTTATGGTTAAGTATATATACGTATGATTAAAAACCGTGTAACAGAACTTTTGACGCACCCTTGTACATACAGACAGTATAGAAATGTAACGTTGAAATAATATACCTTAGCATGCATGTCCAAATAGAAAGTTCGAGTATGTTCTTCATGAGTGGTGGATTTCAAGTAGAAGTCAATAATCTCATCTGATGCTGCTTTGTGTTCTTCACCCAATAACTTCTCCATTACAATCGTTTTTTGCACAAAATTTGTGAAATCTTCAATGCCAAAGTTTTGCTTCTGCTCTTTTGTCAAAGCATGCTTAAAGGCTTGTGGCGTTGGTGGGAAGTAAATTGCTGAAATTTGAAAATGTTAGTATGCTTAAGTTTATATGATATTATAGTACTTTTAGGTTTACAAACTTAGAATTGGAAGTGAAGAGGAAGAAGTGAAAAGGTACAGGGATGAACGAGTGAAGATACAAGAGGCGAGAGAGCAAAGGGATAAAGTAGTAAAGAGGTAAAAAGGTGAAAAAGTAAAGGGTAAAACAGTAAAAGAATAAAAAAGTAAAAGAGTAAAGGAGTAAAGGGGTAAATTGGTAAAGAGGTAAAGAGGTGAAGGAGTATAGGGGTCAAAGTGTGAAGATATAATATAAAAGGCAAAGAAGTAAAGGGTAAGTGAGTGAAAAGCTAAAGGGGTAAAGGAATAAAAGAGTAAAGGAGTAAAGGGATAAAAGGTTAAAGGATAGTAGGGTAAAAAAGTAAAAGAGTAAAGGAGTAATGGTCAGGACTGAAGAGGTGAAGAGGTAAAGAGGTAAAGGAGTAAAGAGATAAAGGGGTAGAGGGGCAGTGTTTTGCCGAACCGGCCCGGTCCGGATTTTCAAAAATTGCAAGGTTGAAAATAACTTTTTAGCTTATGGTTTGAAGTTTTAAAAAATAAATAACCTTTGTGAAGGTCCGTCTTTGGTTATTAAGTTATTACCGAAATGGACCACCCGGACCGGCAAGACCAATTCGGTCCGGCCGGTCCAAATGTTTAGCAAGGAACTTGTATGAGACGGACCTTAAAATAAAAGAATAAAAGGTGAAAGGTAAAGGTTAAGAGGTAAAGAAATAAAAGAAAGGGTAAACACGGGAAGGGGTAGAAGGATAACAAGGTAAAGGGGTTCGGTGTAAAAAGGTAAAATGGTAAGGAGGAAAACGGTACAGGTGTAAAAAGATAAAGGAATGAAGGAATAAAAGGGTAAAAAACAAAGGGTAAAGTGGCAAAAAGATTAAGGGATATATGGGTAAAGAGGTGAAGGGTAACTGGTAAAGTGGTAGAGGGGTAAAAAATAGAGAGGTAAAGGAATACAGGGGTAAAAGGGTAAAAAAGTAAAGGGTAAAGAAGTAAGGGGTAAGAGGGTAAGAGCTAAAGGGGTGAAAAAGTCAAGGGGTGAAGAAATAAAGGGGTAAAGGAGTAATGTAAATTGGATGACGATTTTTATCCTAAAGTTGAAAAGGTTAAACTCACTGAACAAAAGCCCTTCATTCTCATTCAACGAGCCTAGTGTAACTTTAGGCTTAGCTGACTTTACAAGGCTTTCTGGATCATTTTTAAAAAAGTCGTCATCCAATGTAGAGCCGTAATCAAAATGATTAATTTCTCCTTCAAACATGTGCTATAAAAGACATTATTATTATACTTCGTTACACAGCCTGAGGGCAACAAATTCAAAATTAGCCTAAAAAGATGAAGTTAAAACTTAGGCCTACCGCCTTAACCATAGCCTTGTCAATGTCATCAACACTTTTCTCCTTCAAACACTTCTTAACATCACCTTGATCACAATTCAATATCTTAATAACCCGTTTGGTATGTTCATATCCTCTGTTGTTAAAAGCCCATTCGGCCAAAGTAGAGCCACTAAATTGAATGACTTGAGCAAACTTGTCATGACTCAATGGACTTAATGACAAAACACTAGCAGCTGCTGAACCGGCACTATAGCCGGCTACAGTAATTTTAGTAACATCAATGTTGAGAGATTCTGCGTTTTTATGAACAAAGTCTAGGGCTAGGTTAAGGTCATGCAAACCTAGGTTGCCTGGTAGGTTTGAGGTTTTTGTTGTGGCAAATCCTAAAACATATAGTACTACATTACCATAAGTATACCTAATATAGCAAATTTAAGATAAAGAAGGAAAAGAAGAAGAAGAAAAAAGAAAAAAGAAGAAGAAAAAAGAAGAAGAAGAAGAAGAAGAAGAAGAAAAAGAAGAAAAAAAAAGAAGAAGAAGAAGAAGAAAGAAAAGAAGCAAAAGAAAAAGAAGATGAAGAAGAAAAAGAACAACAACAACAACAACAACAACAACAAAAAGCAACAACAAAGTGTTAATCAATTATTCCTTACCATAAAAGTTGAGTCGATACTGAGGAACAACTACCGTAATCGCACTACCAGCGTAGTATTCTGCCACATAATCTTCACTATGTTCTTGAGCACTACCAGCTTGATATCCACCACCGTGAATGAAAAACAAGGCTGGGTTGCCTGAAGGTATCTAAAACAATACTTCGATGTAAAAAGTGTAAAATTTTAAATTTAAGACGGAAAATTCCATAGTATTAAGTCGGAAAATTTCACTTAACACTGTAAGATACCTTTAAGATACCGAATATACCAAAGTGTACAAACAGTTACCTTTTCGTGAGGTCTAAAAACGTTCACATAAAGACAATCTTCGCTTGCTTCGACCGGTAGAAACAGTTTAGCTTGTAAACAAGCTTTAGGTCTAGTTGTGGCACTACGTTCTTTAACGTATTCGGCGTCTTCTGGCTTCTGAAAAAGGCATTTTAAAACAAACTTTAACCTACCCTACCCTACCCTACCCTACACTGTACCATATTTTACCCTAACCCTACGTTAGCCTTATCAAAGCCCTATCTTAGCTCTACTCTAGCCTTACTCTGGCCCGTACTCTAACTTGTAGTATGTACCCGTTACTTAGTCCAGCTTTATTGTAACCGACCAGACCTGCAATCGCACCTAAATAACCCGATGCTAAGTTTAAAAACTCAAACTAACTTACCTCAAACCTCAGTTCACCAATAGGTTTTTTGGCATAAGGAACGCCGTAAAAGGCATCAACTTTGATTCCACTTTCAAATTCCAACAGTTCTCCATAAAACTTTCCAATGTGAGTATTCAACACTGGTTGATCTCCATCACAGCCTTTATTATCTAACACAGCATTTAATACACAAAAAGCTATTAAGTAGTTCTTGATCATTATACCAACAAGTAATCAATAATATTAACTTATATATGTTTATATAAACATATACTTTTATAATGTTAACGTATAGTAGTAGTATATGTCAAACGAACAGAAAGTAAATGTTGTTCAAGTAAACACTAACTTATTAACGTTGAAAAGTTACTGATAAAAGGTTGTTTTGAAGGTTCAAACCGTAAATCTATGTTTTCGAATGTTGTAAACAAATGCAAAACTGTTTGTTTTTTCTGTTTACTATTAGATATAAACTACGTTTAATTCATTTGATTCAAAACAATCATTTCAAACTACGTTACAAACAATATTAATTGGTATTTGAATTCAGAAATTAGAATTACTACACAAGAAAAGATACCATTGCTCTATGTAAGGACCACTCAAATTATCTATTACGTGATACTAGACATTCTACTACTACATAATTTAAGTTTAGTAGGCTTAGACTTAGTAGGCATTGGCTTAGTAGGCTTAGGCTTAGTAGGCTTAGGCTTAGTAGGCTTAGGCTTAAAAGGCTTAGGCTTAATAGGCTTAGTTTTAGTACACCTAACTTAGTAGGCTTAGGCTTAGTAGGCTTAGACTTAGTAGGCTTAGGCTTAGTAGGGTTAGGCTTAGTAGGCTACGCTTAGTAGGCTTAGGCTTAGTAGGCTTAGGCTTAGTAGGCTTAGGCTTAGTAGGCTTAGGCTTAGTAGGCTTAGGCTTAGTAGGCTTAGGCTTAGTAGGCTTAGGCTTAGTAGGCTTAGGCTTAGTAGGCTTAGGCTTAGTAGGCTTAGGCTTAGTAGGCTTAGGCTTAGTAGGCTTAGGCTTAGTAGGCTTAGGCTTAGTAGGCTTAGGCTTAGAAGGCTTAGGTTTAGTACACTTAACTTAGTAGGCTTAGGCTTAGTAGGCTTAGGTTTAGTACACTTAACTTAGTAGGCTTAGGCTTAGTAGGCTTAGGCTTAGTAGGCTTAGGCTTAGTAGGCTTACCTTAGTAAGCTAAACTTAAGCCTAAAACTAACCTTAGTAAGCTAAACTTAAGCCTAAAACTAAGCCTAAAGTTAAGCCTCAAGCTAAGCTTAGAAGTAAACCTAAAGTTAAGCCTAACGTCAAGTCTAAAGTTAAGCTTAACGCTAAGCCGAAATCTAAGCTTAAAGTTAAGCCTAAATTTAAGCTTAAAGCTAAGCCTAAAGCTAAGCCTAAAGCTAAACCTAAAATTTCAGTATTCTGTACTCGGGTTTATACTAAAGTAGGGAGAACTAAATGAATAGGAGCTTGCTTCTTTTTCTCTTTCTTTCTTCTCTTCTTCATCATCATCATCTTCTTCATCTTTCTCTTCTTCTTTTTCTTCTTCTTCTTTTTCTTCTTCTTCTTCTTCTTCTTCTTTCTTCTCTTCTTCTTTCTTTCTCTTCGTCTTCTTCTTCTTCTTTTTCTTTTGCTTCTTCTTCTTTTTCTTCTTCTTCTTTTTCTTCTTCTTCTTTTTCTTCTTCTTCTTCTTCTTTTTCTTTTTCTTCTTCTTCTTCTTCTTTTTTTCTTCTTCTTCCTCTTCTTCCTCTGCTTCTTCTTCTTTTTTTTCTTCTTCCTTTGCTTCTTCTTCTTTTTCTTCTTCTGCTTCTTCTTCTTTTTCTTTTTCGTCTTCTTCTTCCTTCTCTTCTTCACCATCTCCTCTCCTCCTCTTCACTATCTGTGAAGAAGAGGAGAGGCCTCTGTGAAGAAGAGAAGATCTCCTCTCCTCTTCTTCTCCATCTCGTCAGATGGTGAAGAAGAGGAGAGGAGCCCCAGCCTTACTCTGTACCATTTCCAAGCTGAACTCCCGGTGTTCGGTCGGGCCCAACCGAACTGGGAGTTCAGCCGAAATGGTACATTTCGGGCTGGTCGCGCGCGCCGCCACCGCTCCAAAAACCATATCGCGAATCCGAGCCCGCCATCACTGCCAATCCCTTTCTACTCATCTGGCACTTAAACGGTGTATTAAGCTGCTTTCTGAAGGCAGCGCCAAGGACACCTTTAGCCGAGATCAAGACATGGGAATTGGAGGTATAGGCAAGTGGAGACACAATAGGTTTTCAGAGCGCGCACCACCCCTCCCACGGCTTAGCGACTTCAGAATCCTTACTAAAATCTAGACTTTTGTTCGTTTTTCATTCAGATATACCCCGCCCTTGGAGCGGAGATACTCAAAGAACGTTGGACTGTCATTTTTGAGCAAAAAAAAAAATTTTTGAAAAAAAAATTGTGACAGTCCCACGCCGACCTTGTTCTAGATTAAAGTGATTTTTCTGGTTCCCTAACTTTTAAGAATCCTCACCTAGCTTAATATCTTAACCTAGCCTTTTAAATTTAATAAGTAAGACCCAAATCTTAGTACGAAAGCCCATTCTAAGGCTAGCCGAAGGCTGACCGTAAACAATTTTAATGCTAATAAAAAATATTGACATACCTATAATTTTTTAAGATCCACCCCAAAAAAAAAGTTTTATAAAATCCACCCCCAAAAAAAATTTTTAAAAAACAACCCCGAAAAATATTTTAAAAAATTCACCCCCCAAAAAAATTTTAAAAAACTCACCCCCAAAAAAAAGTTTTATAAAATCCACCCCCAAAATAAAATAAAAAAACTCACTCGCAAAAAAAAAGTTTTATAAAGTCTACCCCCAAAAAAAATTTTTAAAAAAATCCAGCCTTAAAAAAATTGAAAAAATATTAACCCAGAAAAAATCCACTCCCAAAAAATAAAAAAAAATTCAACCCCAAAAAATTTTTAGTACCCCTACTAATAGAAAAAATAAAACTAGCTACCCTACTCTAGCTCATACCTAAGTAAAAATGAAGAAGTTACTGCGTAGTAAGCCTATATAAATAGCATAAAAATCTGTGCCATTATACAAGCCTAAGCCTAATGGGCGTTATTTTACAATGTAAGTGCATTAAGCGTTACTTTACTATATTAACTTAAGAAAAAGTTTGTGCGTTGCGTAACTCGGCGCGTCAGTTACTTATTATAATGGGTTCATTTGTGCATTGTGTACTGTTATAGTACGGTTGTGCAGTATTTATTAGTCTTATCTAGCACTATATTATATGTTATTATATTAGCCTACTAAGCCTGAGCCTACTAAGCCCTAAGCCTACTAAGTCTAAGCCTAATAAGAATAAGCCTAAGCCTACTAAGCCTAAGCTTTTAAGCCTAAGACAACTAAGCCTAAGCTTGCTAAGCCTAAGTCTACTAAGCCTAAGCCTACTAAGCCTAAGCCTACTAAGCCTAAGCCTACTAAGCCTAAGCCTACTAAGCCTAAGCCTACTAAGCCTAAGCCTACTAAGCCTAAGCCTACTAAGCCTAAGCCTACTAAGCCTAAGCCTACTAAGCCTAAGCCTACTAAGCCTAAGCCTACTAAGCCTAAGCCTACTAAGCCTAAGCCTACTAAGCCTAAGCCTACTAAGCCTAAGCCTACTAAGCCTAAGCCTACTAAGCCTAAGCCTACTAAGCCTAAGCCTACTAAGCCTAAGCCTTTATGACGTTTATGATGTTATGACTTTGAGAATTTTGTAATACGTATTCAAAGCTTTCCAAAAGCTGTGTGACAAGGCTTGGTGACCAATAATTTAAGAAACAAAGCACCAAGAAAGCATGGAATTCGTTGCCAAGGCCGGTAATCATACCCTCTTGACTGTTTTATTGCCTCTAGAGCCGGTAGAATGAGCTTCTCGAATGGGTTTGGGATTTGGTTGGCCTTGGTTTATATTGGTTATAAACGAATATTTTGGCATTGTGTAATGTTGATATAGGTGAAGAATTAAAAATGTTATATATTTTTGTTTTGATTTCTTTAATAAATAAAAGTTTTAAAAAATGATGACAAATTAGTTTTTACTGCGGTTTAAAGTTTAACTTGTGACCGAAGTATTCATTTTTAGGCTTAAAATGCATATTTAAGCTTATGATGAAAGTTTTTAAGCTTAAACTGCATATTTAGGCTTATGATGAAAGCTTTTGACTTAAACTTAATTTTTAAGCTTAGAATGGATTTTTAGGCTAAAAATGACAGTTTGTTGGGCTTAAAATGATTTTTAGGCTTAGAATAGAAGATTAGGTTTAAAATGAAAGTTTTCAAAAGTAAAATGCATTTTTAGGCCTAAATTGAGGGTTTGAGCTTAAAATGAGTTGTTTAGGCTTATAATACATTGTTTTTTTAATATAGTGTTTTAAGCTTAATTTACGCTTTTAGGCTTATTATAGTTCTCGACTAACTTTGTCTCGGCTTAAGTACCCAACAACGATGTTCTTACATTTTTTTGTTAGTTTAATGTAGTTAAGCCTAAACTATGTTATGTTAACATTGCCGTGTTTTTTTATATAAAGCTGAAGACAAGTGAAATTCGTCAAATTTTTTTAAATGCGCGCAGCGACCAAATTGGATTTGCATCGAGAAATCGATTTGGCCTGTCGGTAGGCTTAACAGAGCCAATTTCTGCCAACGATTTTCTCTCTTTTGGCTTTTTGGAGTTTCGGCCGCGGAATGAGTGTTACGGTAGGAATGTTTGAAATGCGGTTGTTAGGGCGGGTTTTATTTGATTAATTTTTTGGGTAAGGTAAGGAAGGGCAAGTTAAGACAGCTCAAGTTATAGTATGGCATGGCATGTTAGAGCAGGTCAAGTTACAGTAAGGCACGATGAGTTGAATGTGGCTAAGACAGAACAGGTGCTAGAAATGAGGAACGGGCTGGGCTCATTTGTCAAACCATGCCCAAATTTTACGTGTTAACAGCCCGAGATGATTTTCACTAAAGCCTTGACTTAAGTTTGGGTTAAGACCGGCCCGGTTTGGTGGTAAGCCCTAAATTCCATATACCTAGTTAGGGCAGGACAGGTTGTTAGGCACGGTAGGGCAGGTTAAGGAAGAACAGGTTGAGGCAAGGCAGGTTTTTGAGCACGGTAGGTCGGGTTTAAAAAATGGGCCCAGCCAAGCCCGTTCCCCATTTCTAGCCCCAACTTGCCAGGGTAGGGTAGAGTAAGGTAGGGTAGGGTAGGGTAGAGTAGGGTAGGGTAGGGTAGGGTAGGGTAGAGTAGGTTAGGGTAGGGTAGGGTAGGGTAAGTTTGCACTACGACTTCGTACTGTATTTTCTGGTACAAAAACTCCTTTTTCTAGTCCAAAGCCCTATATATAGCCGATGGAATTTCTGTATAGCCATGCCTAGACAACGATATATGAAGATGTTTTTGGCCTCGCTGACTTCTCAATGCCCTCCGGGAATGCGTTGGAGCGCGAAAGTTCGTTAGGCCGTGATTGTTCTCCGGGGACGGCGAAAGTTTTGGCGCAAAAACCAAAGACATCCTTCGACGCCTTCGTTGTTAGGGCCCGCGACCTAAGACGGCGATGAAGATGAACATTATCTTTTTTTGAAAATTAATAGTTAGTGATGTCATTGGCTTGGGCTTTAGAGATGGGGGGGGTGGGGGGGGGGGGGGAGGGGGGGGTTTGGAATGAATTATAGGATAAGTATTAGTTAAGAAAGGCTTATTTAAGCCTTATTTTTATAATTATTCAGAAGGGACTGTTTCACAAAAAAACATTTTTTTTTGTTTATGGGCAAAAAATGATTTTTGGACATTTTTTTGTAATTTGTGATTAAACAGCATTTTTTGAAATTAAAAAAAATTGAAATTTAGGTAACAATTTCTTTTTTTTAACAAAATGTCTGTATACATAATAAAAATTTAATTTTACGGGATTTTAAATCGTTTTTGTTTGGAATTTGTATTCAAAATGCATTTTTTAAAATTTTTAAAATTTTTTTTTAAAAAAATTTTTTTGAAATTTAGGTAACATTTTCTTTTTTTTAACAAGATGCCTATAAATACATAATAAAAATTCAATTTCACGTTACTGTACGTTTATCTTTGCCGGTTTGAAATATCAATATTATTTATTGCAAATCTTTCTCAAAGTTTTGCCTTCAACCCCCCAGGGAGGGACGCTTTTTGCATATCGTTGGTTTCAAAGTCTTCGTATTCGTTGGCATCTGAATCTGGGTTAAGAAGACCAGAAAAGCGTCTTAGAGCGGTTTGATTACAATTTGAGGAAAGTGAAGTGGGCCTTGAGTCGACTTCAGTAGCGTCATCGTGGGGTAAGCTCATTTTTGGTTAGAAGGGAGGGGGGGGATCTAATTCTTTAGGCTAGTGTTAATGCTAGGTTTAGAGCTAAAGTTAGAGCTAGAGCAAAGTTAGGACTGGGATTAGGGCTAAGTCTAGGTTTAAGGTTTAGGCTAGCGTTAGGGTTAAAGTTAGGGTTAGGTCTAGGTTTAAGCCTAGGTCTAGGTCCAGTCTTAGGTCTAGGTCTAGGTCAAGGTTCAGGTCAAGGTCCACTTCCAGGTCCAGGTTCAAGTTCAGTTTCAGGTCTAAGTCCAGGTCAAGGTCCAGGTTTAGGTCCAGGTCTAGGTCCAGGATCAGGTCCGGGTCCGGGTCCAGGTCCAGGTCCAGGTCCAGATCCAGGCCCAGATCCAGGTCCAGGCCAAGGTCCAGGTTTAGGTCCAGGTCCAGGATCAGGTCCATGGCTAGGACTCTAGGCTAAGGCTCTAGGCTAGAGTGTTCAAGGTTAGAGCACGGGACAAGGCTTTGGACTAGGGCTTGGGGCTATGATTTGGGGTTAGAACTCAGAGCTAGGGCTCTGGGCTCGAGCTTTTGGTTAAGGCTAGGGCAATTAGTACTATATGCTTAAAGTACATTGCCCGTTAACCCGGTTTGTTTTGAAAAAGGAAGAATGTTGTACAATTAGCGATTCAAACTTTTTGAATGCGGCTAGGACACCCACTTTTTAGTCCATTCAACAATAGGTTCTGGAGGCCATTGTTCTGTGCCGTGTGCTCTTAATGTGGTTATGTCATACTTTCGAAAGCAAAACGCTGAGAATGTATATGTTAGGTTTTGAGGTCGTATTAGTGTCTTTGGGTGGATCAAAGTCATATAGGGGGGGGTGGATTAGAGGGTGAAAATTTTTTCAAATTTTTTAATAAAAAAATTCACAGGGGGGACCACGTTCAACTTTTTTTCAAAAAAAAATTTTGAGGGGGGGGAAACCCTCCCTGTTACCCCCCCCTCCGTGCCCAAACCTGTACACCCCCTTTCTCACCAAACCAACCCAAACATCAGTACGAACTGAAAGCTATATTAACCCCAATTCTCATACCCAAGATTCCCTGATTACGCACTCCCAGCCCCTCCCCCCCCCCGCCTATAACAATATGAAAATAATTTCTTGGGCATGGGAATGGTAGAACCGCGGGAACTTTCCGGGCCCTGCCTGACTTTGATACGAGGGCTCGGATTTCAGGGAACTAGCCTCTTCATTCGACAACATCATATTCGCCTCGACTGGCTTCCGGTACACAAACAATATATATGGGATGGTAGAGGCGGATTTATTGTCGGCTATAAAGGTTATGGGCTTGGGAGGGTGGAATTGGCATAAGGATGGGTGTGGGGTTATAAATTGGGGTAAGGGGGTGGGGGAAAAGAGGTTTAAATCGCTAAATGGGCATGCTTGCTAGACTAACAATTTTTGAGGTTTTTAAGAAAATGGCAAAAACTTTCTTTACAAAACAAGAAATTGCAAGAACTTTCTTTACAAATCAAAAATGGCAAGAACTTTCTTTAAAAGATAAAAAATGGCAAGAACTTTCTTTACAAAGCAAAAAATAGCGAGAACTTTGTTTACAAAGCATAAAATGGCAATAACTTTTTTTACAAAACTAGAAATAAAAATTTTTAGAAAGTTTGCTTATTTAACATTTTTTTTTCTTTTACCCCGCCGCTTGTCATAAACCCATGCCAAAGTTTCAACTTTACACTTATTACTTTTTGCCATACGCCAGCATTTACTCTGTGCAGAACACTCCTAAAACACAATACAGCTTATTAAAATTTGGTGGATTAGAAAACAAGTTTTTTTTTGCGGGCGGCCCAAAATATAAAAATGGCTCTGATTTCCGGATGGGACTAATGAAAAGTTATTCAAACAAATTTGGCGCCCAAAAACAGGCTTTTGGTTATTTTGTAAAATGTAAGTTATACTTGACGTTAGAAGGTTGATAAGAACAGGAGAGGCAAGAGATTGGAGGGAGGGGGGGGAGATGGGAGGGGGGGGAGAGATGGAGGGGGGGGAGGAGAGATGGGAGGGGGGGGAGAGATGGGGGGGGAGAGATGGGAGGGGAGTGAGGAGAGGGTGGGGAAGGAAGAGGGGGTTATAGGGGTACGTTTTAGTACAAACGTTTAAAAATGTGCACCCCCACTAGAAAAAAAAATTGAAAAACGTTGAACTTGTTCTCCCCTGTGGGTCCTTGTAAAAAAAAATTTTGCAATTTGCCGTGCCCTTGCCGTGCCTTGCCTTGTCTTGCTTTGTCTTGCTTTGCCTTGCCTTGCCTTGCCTTCAGAATTAACGACGACATTATCAGATAGCCTTTAAACCCCTGTTTTTGCCTTGTCATTCCGTCTAGATTAGTATGTTTATCGCGTTTGTTTTTTCCTTACAAAATGTTGTTTACAAAAGGATATTTTTTAACAAACCGGTAGAGTAACACAATATTATGGACAAAGCTATGTCTTTTTTGTTTTTTTTTTAATTTTTTAAAATTTTTATGGCAAAATTTTATAGAGCAATGCCAAATATTTCTTTTCTTTAAGATGTTGTCTTATTTTTTATTTTTTAAAATGCCAAAAAATGTAAAAAAATAAATGGCTAAATCAGATTTTCATGCGTGCGCGCCTTTTTTCCTTCCGACACGAAATTAACTGAGCGAACAACGTGCTGTGTTCGTTTCGTCAATCTCGTACTGGTTGTACTGAACTTTTTCTATTTTATATTATTTTTGCAGGAGGGGGGGGGGGAAAGATTTTAATCTTTAAATTATTTTAGGCTTAGAAACAGGTTCATTACGAAATTTTAGACTTAAATGCAGAGTATTTTAGGCTTTGCACAATTTTTGGCTAAACACACTTCTTTAAGCTTGTTCAACAAATTTAAGCTTATGACAAGGTATTCCGCTTATTACGAAGCAGGGAATTTTTAGGCTTACCACATTGTTTTAGACAGGACAGAGCCAGAGCAAGAAAGAGCAGAGCAGTCCAGAACAGGGAAGGGCAAAGGCAGGGCAAAGGCAGGGCAAAGGCAGGGCAAAGGCAGGGCAAAGGCAGGGCAAAGGCAGGGCAAAAGTAGGACAACGGCAGGGAAAAGGCAGGTCAAAGGCAGAGCAAAGGCAGGGCAAATGCATGGCAAAGGCAGGGTAAGGCAGGGCCAAGGCAAGGCAAAGGCAGGGAAAAGGCAGGGAAAAAGCACAACTTTATCCTACAGAAGCTATTTATATATAAAAGTCCGTTACTAACACTGATATATTATATTTTTTCATCTTATTATTACTACGTTAACGTAATTGCATGTTGCGTTTTTGTGTATTGAATTATGGCCAGCGCAATACAAGCAAGATATAGTAAAAATAACTGAAAAACACTTTAATTTTTGACTTTGATAACTTTGTGTTGTACTTTTGGGTTTGGGCGTATAAATTTAATTTTTTATTAATGTGGTGTGCAGCGGAAGAAGAAAGGGGGAAGGGTGTCTTTAATTTTTTTTTTAGTTTTTTGGCTTTGCAATATTTTTCAAAAAAAATTTTGCATTTTTTACCTCCCCCCCCTCATATCAAAATCACCCCGCCCAATCCAAAGTTAACCCTCAAATGCCAAGTTTTTGCCTAATCTCACCCTAAACACATTACTCGACTTATTTACACAGTAAATGCGTTCATAATATCAAAAGCTTCTTCCAGATATATAAATCTTTACAATCTATGACCCGGGCCCCCCACCCAACAATAACAAGACGTCCGCGAAAATAACAAATTGCCTTAATTTTGTTGAATATTACTCAAAATTCCTAAGGTTTTTTTAAATTTTGGTTTTTTTGGCGTTGTTGGGCGTTACATGAGTGTTGGGTGGAGTGAGGCGTGGTTGGGTATAGGTATATTGAAAAGGTTCGATCTTTGGGTAGTTTAGGGTTAATGATAGGCATTAAAGTAGTGCATCGATTAGGTAGAGGAGGCCTTTTAGTGGGGTATTTTTAAAAAGCAGAGTAGATCTTAATATATTATAAGCCTTAAAGTAAGGTAGGCTTTAAGGTACAGTAGGCTTTAGGGTAGGGTAGGTTTTTACGATAGGATAAGTTTGAAAAAAAGGTAAACCTTAAAACTTTAGTCTTAAAAAAGAGTAAATCTTATGGTAAAGTAGGCTTCAGGGTATGGGTAAGTCATAGGATGTTTTTAAGCTCGGCCTGATCAAAATTTTGCTTAGGCCCGGCTTTTTTTTACGTGTGAGTGGCCCTTTCCTCATGTCTATAAGCCTTAAATCAAGGTAGGTTTTAAGTTGATGTACGTTTTAAAATAGAGTGAAATATACGTATATAAAATGCTAAAAATAGTGTGATATGTACGGTTTTTTAATCAGACTAAAATGCTATGTTGCTCATGATATTAATTATTAGTTATGTGAACGTAATCGTATGTAATACTTACTGGGGCAAAAAACATATTTTTTTCTTTTTTAAAGCGGTTTTTTTGAAATTTAAAGACATTTTTTACCGTACCGTACCCTACCTTACCTTACCCTACCCTACCCTACCCTACCCTACCCTACCCTACCCTACCCTACCCTACCCTACCCTACCGTATCCTACATTATTATCACGGTAGTGGGTGCCTAAATTTTACTTTTTTTAAAGCCAACGTTCTATTTTGAATGTAATTTTTTGCGCGGTTATTAATATGTGTACGTTGTTTCTACTACTATAATTTATGTTCACTACATGACATATTACATTTTTCTGTAATTTCAGCCGTCTGGATTAAAAAGAAGAGGAACATTGGGAACAGAGGATAAAAGGGCACGTTCAGGTGGGTTACCGTGTTTTTGTTGTGTTTGTGGGTGTTGATGGTACAAGTGGTACCTAAAAAGAATCTTTTATTTTTAAAAAAATTTTTTTTAAAAAAAAATTGAAAGAAAAAAAATTCTTGTTTTTTAACTGGAACCTTCGGCACTAAATTTTCAAAAAAAAATTTTTTTTGTTTACCAAGTGGTACTTTTGCTACTAAAATTAAAAAAAAACTTTTTTGAATGTAAAACCTAAAAATAAATGCCATTTTTAAATAAATCCACCCCTTGTGTCTAATTATATGTTACCAACATAGCCAGACACACTTCCCCAAAACTTCCGCCGAAAAATGACTGGTTTACAATAATTGTCGCACTTGAGTTTTACCATGTAAATACGTAGATTAACTTGCCGTTTTGGATTAACTGTCCAATGTAAATTATTTTACTTTGGAGAACAATTTACTGTGTGAAAAATGACAGGAAATAATGTGTGTTTACTTAATTAATAATGAAAGTAAAAGTAACATAACATGGTCTCACGCGATTACTAGAGTATATGTATATACGCATTGTATATATATTTTGGTAACGGAATGAATTTGTGCACAACATTAAGTTCAAAAACAAAAATTAGTATTATTTAAAGAATATTTGGTAAATGGTACTGGTTCTGTTTTTTGGTACTAGCCTGAAAAAATGTTTTGAAGACGTGACATTTGGTTCTATAATAAACGTTTATTAATAGCCTTAGCTTTATCACTAGTCCGTATCCTTAACTCTAGTTCAAACCTTAGCTTTGAGCCCTAGCCCCAAAGCCCTAGCCCCAAAGCCCTAGCCCCAAAGCCCTAACCCAGTGTCCTAGCCTTAGCTTCAGCCTCAACTTGAAGTTCAATCCTATCCTCAGCTTTAGTTCCGGTCCCAGCCCTAGTTCAAGCTTAAGCTTCATTCCCAGCCTTAGTTCCAGCATTAGCCTTCGCTTTAGCTTTAGATCAATCCCCAGCCTTAGCTCCAGCCAAAGCCCCAGCCCAGCCCAGCCCAGCCCCAGCCCAGCCCCAGGCACAGCCTCAGCCTTATCCCCAGCTTTATCCCCAGCCTTAGCTTCAGCCTCAGTCCCACCTGGATGTTATTATCAGTTTGGTCCGACACTAGAACGGGGACCGGCACCGGAATATTAAATTTCTTAACTGGGCCAGAGTTATTTTGGAACTGAGTTTGATCGGACCGGACCGACAGCCACTTTTAGTCCCATTTCTAGCATTGGATCTAGCCTTAGCACTAGCCCTAGCATTAAAATTATTTTTTGATATGTTTTTCAAACTTACCAACATAACTTAAAACTTTTGTGTTGAAACATGACACTAATAAGTTTTTGTTTTTGAGTGTCAAAACTTTTTGTTGAAAATATTTAAAATTTGAGAAAAAATTGAAAAGATGCGCGACAATACTCTCGAGGGAATCGCGTCGGGAAAGCGGTCGTTATTTTTCTCCCCACACCATTTAGACGACTAATTTAGTGGATTCGTTTTATGTTAATAACTTTTTTTTTGTTTTTTATGATTTTTTAAATTTGGGTTTGAAAAAAAAGATGGAGGGGGGGGGGGAGAATGCGAAAACGTTCTTTACAAAACAAAAAATGGCAAGAAGTTTTTTTACATTTCGAAAAATGAAAAGAACTTTCGTTAAAAAACAAAAAATGGCAAAAACTTTCTTTACAATACAAAAAATAGCAGCTTTTCTGTAAAACACAAAAAATAGAAGGAACTTTCTTTACAAATAAAAAATTGGCAAGAATTTCTTTACAAAACAAAAAATGGCAAAAACTTTCTTTACAAAACGAAAAACGGCAAGAACTTTCTTTACAACACAAAAAATGGCAAAAACTTTCTTTACAAAACGAAAAACGGCAAGAACTTTCTTTACAACACAAAAAATGGCAAAAACTTTCTGTTCAATGCAAAAAATGGCAAAAACTTTCTTTACAAAACGAAAAATCGCAACAACTTTCTTTAAAAAGCAAAAAAAATGGCAAGAACTTTCTTTACAAAACATAAAATGGCAAGAGCTTTCTTTACAAAACGAAAAACGGCAAGAACTTTCTTTACAGGATCAAAAAGGCTAAAAAAAATTTTTTTTAATCAAAATTTGGTTAAAAACTTAAAGAATTACATGTTACCGCGTTTTAAAATTTTAATTTTTTTTTTAAATTTTAAAATCGTTTTTCCATTCAAAAATTTTAGTCCAAGATGGGTCGAAACATCCCAATCCTAAACCGGGACACGGACTGGTTAAAGGCCTGGATCATGAAAAACACCGCCGACCCGAATATGCAGAAAAAGTTGGTACTAGTGGTCGTCTCCATCGCTCTACTCCTCGACAACATGTTGTACATGGTTATCGTGCCGATTATTCCTCGTTATTTGCGCGAGATCCACGCCTATGATGTACAGTATGTTGGTTATCACAACGAAACACATCGACTGAAGAACGGTTCAGTGGTGGTGAAGATGGTCGGCGGAGAGATTGACTACTTGGACGAGGAGATTGAGTTGGGGTGGTTGTTTGCGTCGAAAGCGTTGCTACAGATCTTTGTGAATCCGTTCTCTGGCTTTGTGATTGATAGGATTGGCTATGAGTTGCCGATGATTATTGGGCTTGTGGTCATGTTCAGCTCGACCGCCATTTTTGCGTTGGGTCGAAGTTATAGTGTGTTGTTCTTTGCTCGGTCTTTGCAGGTGAGGTTTTAGGTGTTTTTTTGAAATTTTAGGCTTGGAACGGCTTAAATAAAATTTTTTTAATTATTAAAATTTTTAAAAATTTTTTGAAATTTTAAAATTTTTTTTAAGTGAGAGTCATAACTTTAATTTTCAAGCCCTAGGGCAGTAAAAGACTTGATAAGTTCTTAATTCTCACCTTTACTCTTTATAGGGCTTTGGCTCAGCCTTCGCCGACACCTCGGGCCTAGCTATGATAGCGGACCGTTTCACAGAAGAGAACGAACGTTCCGCAGCCCTCGGCATTGCCTTAGCCTTCATCTCCTTCGGCTGTCTTGTAGCACCACCATTTGGCTCCGTACTCTATTCATTTGCCGGCAAACCGGTACCGTTCTTAATTCTGGCCCTAATTTGCCTTTTGGACGCTTTTATGGTCTTCATGGTAATCCAGCCCAAGACCAATGACAAACCGCCGGCTGCTGCTCATGCTGTTGATAGTAGTGAGAAGATCAATGGTACTCCAATGTGGCGTCTCTTCATGGACCCGTTCATAGCTATATGTTCTGGCGCACTCATTATGGCCAACATATCCTTGGCTTTCCTGGAGCCGACTATCACTACATGGATGGCAATCAACATGCCAGATACGCCGAGTTGGATGGTTGGCATGGTGTGGTTTCCGCCGTTCTTCCCGCACGTTCTGGGAGTATATGTCACCGTACAGCTGTTGAAACGATATCCACATTATCCATATGCATTTGCTGTGGTAGGCTTGGCCATGGAAGGTATTAGCTGCGCATTCATACCGTTTACTACTACCATTTTCCAACTGATCATCCCGTTGAGTACCATTTGCTTTGGTATTGCTCTAATCGACACATCACTGTTACCTATGTTAGGCTATCTTGTCGACACTCGTCACGTCAGTGTCTACGGTAGTGTCTACGCCATTGCTGACATTTCCTACAGTTTGGCTTACGCATTTGGCCCGATTATTGCCGGAAGCATCGTACACAACATGGGCTTCATGGCCTTGAATATTATCATTTGTGTGTTCAATCTGGGCTATCTACCGGTCTTGTACATGTTGAGGAAGGTGTATGCATACGAACAACTAAATGGTCAAACGAACACTAATGCTGCGCCACCTAAGCCACAAACACCGTTGTTGAGTACGCAAAATGGTGGTGCTGTTGATGAGGTGAAGCCGGCGAATACAAATGCAGCTAATCCATTTGCTGATAGCTATCAGACTGCAGCTGCTCCAGTACAACAGAACTTGGGTTATGATCCGTTGAATCCGCAGTGGTAGATTGGTGAAGCTTCAAGTTTAGTCTGGTGATACTTCAGTTTTATTCAGCTGACACTTTGGTTTTAGTCTACTGAAACTTGGAAGCTTAAAAGATACAGATTATAATGATGCTTATGCTACATGATGAATAGATGATCTATGGAGTAGAAGGAAGTAGATAGACGTATAGCACTTTAAACATTTTCATATATTAAGATCAATATAAACAACTATCTAAAAGTTCAATTTTTAAGAGTGCCTAATATTACTTACTGCTTTAAAATTTTGAATTTTTACTGTTTTTTTAAAAAAAATTTTTTGAATTTGAATTTTATTTATTAGGTACCGACATAAAGAACCCACCACACTTTGCTTGTAATTTCCTGTAAAAATGGCGGGTTCTTTATGTTGGCACTTAATATTATACTAACTCAATATATTTTTGTACCCAAAGGTTTTATTTACTAATTCATACCCATTTTCTCTAAGATTTATAAGAGTTTTCTAGTATAATATACGTATACTGAATGCTATCTTATAATACACACACATTCTGAATGCCATGTGAACCATTTCCCATTGTTCCGGTCTATTCTTCTCAACCCAGATTCTCTTATCTTTAAACCGTGGCCAAATTGTTTTTTACATAATATTTTTATTCAAAAAAAAACTAATAAATTTTTATAAATTAAAAATTTTGAAGTTTATTATTTTTTTTTTCAAATTAAAATTCTTTTTTCATTTAAAAATGTTTTTTTTAATTTTAAAAATTTTTTTATTTTAAATACTTATAATAGTTTACGTGTAACCTACTTCACTGTTTACTGCTTTACCTTAGCCTTATAAGCCTAAGATTCATATGTTTCATTATAATATAAGGGTATTATCTATACTTACTACTACTATTATTTATGGACCTTACGCTCAATTTTACATAGCTTTATGCTTCTAATTTACTTATGGAACCTATACTATATAGTACGTAGCTTGATGCTTCTAAATTACTCAAGGAACATATACTAAATGTTGTACATTATCCTGCTTGTTATACATAGCCCGGTGTCTCTAATCATTTGAATATAACCTTGCCTTCCTCTTTTTTACATTGTAAGTTTGTTTTATTGTTACTTTTATTATGATTAACAAAGTTTTTTGACGCACATTCGGAGTTTTTTCGTGGTTATGTGTAAAATACTAACGTTTTAGGCCTATAACATTGTAAAATTCAAGTGCGACAAAAAACTTTGTAAATTTTTTTAAAATTTAAATATTTAAAAAAATTTTTAAGTATATACGTTTACCTAAAAGTATATACATTTACCTATGAGTATATTTATTAGGTGCCGACATAAAAAAACCCCCGCCATACTTTGCCTGTAGTTTCCTGTAAAAAATGGCGGGTTCTTTATGTCGGAACCTAATACTTAACTTAAGTATATACATTTAACTTCATATACACTTACCTAACCACTATTTTTAGAAATATATATATATTTACCTAAGCACTATTTCCAGAAATGGCAGACTGGCTTCGACAACTAGTTCAATCGAACGAAAACAAAGTTGCAACATCCTCAACTTCAGTATCTATTACCTCAAACACTTCTTCAAGAAGCTCTTTCTCTAGAGAGCCACCATTCAAAAAAGCATCGGTACCAGTTATTCAGGAAATAGACCACTTCCAAAATGGTTATCTCAGCTGTGATTGGAACCCGGTAAGGCTTTAAACTTATTTTTTGGTGTGGGTATTCTTTTGAAATTGAAAAGTGGTACTTTTGGTACTTTTTTTATCATGAAAATAGTATGAAAGTAGTGCTACTGTATTTAGTACTATGAAAATAAAAATGGTACTAATAGTACTTTTGGTACTTTTAGTACTAGTACTGACAAATAGTACTGGTACTGGTTTTATTAGGTTAAACCAAAAGTAGCCGGACACTTTTCGTTCATTTTTCAATTTAAAAGTGTCCCGCTACTTTTGGTTCAACCTAATATTAGGTGCCGACATAAAGAACCGGCCATTTTTTACAGGAAATTACTGACAAAGTATGGCGGGTTCTTTATGTCGGGACCGAATATTAAGATACTGTACTTTTTATACTGTAGTTTTTGATACGGTATGTGATGTTACAGTACGTGGTGTTACAGTAAGGTATTGTACTGTGAATTTTGTATAAGATGGTGTATTGATGTGTGGTAGTCTATAGTAGACCTTAAGAAGAACCTACTAGGCCATAAAGAACCAGCCATTTTTTACAAGAAATTACAAGCAAAGTATGGCGGGTTCTTTATGTCGGCAGCTAATACATAATGTAATCTTTGCTACAGTGTATGATGTGTTACAGTATGTGGTGTTACAGTAAGATATTGTTCTGTAAACGTTGTATGGGATGTTGTATTGATGTGTGATAGCTTATAGTAGGCCTCAAAAGGTGAGTCTACACGGCTTTTTTGAAGATCTACAGTCAAAATCGGCATCTCTCCAGGTCTAGCCTACAGTCAAAGCCAACCCTCTTACAAATCTAGTCTACAGTCAAAATTGGCTTCTCATTCGGTCTAATCTACACTCAAAATCACTGTCATAAACCTCTTATAGGCTACGTATTGTTTTTGTCTAATTTTTTACAACTTTAATCTCTTCGAAACGCTTGAAATCCCTGGGGCAAACAATGTAGAATTTAATTACTCTTTTTTTGGATCAGTTCGTCCAAAGCGGTTTTTTAGGCCGTTTTAGGGAAATTTAGTAATAGGAACGGGGGTTATGGACTAATTTTGTCGCCTAAAGACAAGTTTTAGATTTTTTTAATTTAAATTTTTTTTTGAATTTTAGTTTTTTTTTTAATTTTAATTTTTTTTTAATTGCAAAATTATTTATGAAAATTCATTTTTTTGTCCAAATAGTCCTTTTAAAATTCTATTAAAATTTTTAAAAAATTTTAAATTTAAAAATAAGTTTAAATTCACAAGGAAAATATCCGACCTGCCCGCTCTGATTGACTTTAAACTTTTTATATAGAAAGATCATGTAAATATACGATCTTCAGCAAAGTACTAAATTGCGCTTTCCAATCACGAGAAAATCAACATTACAAAATCACTTTTGAATTTCCCGCCAAATTGGCATTGTATTTCAAGCTTTTTTTTTTTTTTTGAGCTGATACTGAGAAAGATTGAGCTACGGGCGGGTAGGGTACTTTCCTTAAAATTTAAAAAAAAATTTTTTTTTTTAAATGCAAAAATTTTTGAAAATTTTTATTTTTTAGTCCAAACTGCCCTTTTAAAACCCATTTTATCAAATTTAAAAAAAATTTTTCAACTTTTTTTCACTTTTAGCCACAGGAAAACAAAATTATGTAAATTTAGTCGAAAAGCGATGTTAACGTCCCGTTTCTTGTGTCTTTCCGGCAAAGTAAACACGCCATGTCTCTTCAAAAATGTGCGACGTTTCATGTTTTTGCCGAACAATGCCTACGGGCATTTTTCGCCAACTCGTACATTTTCCACCGAAAAACGGATTCTGAGCCAGGATGAGCACGGTGATGTAAGTGATATTGTGAATTGGGTCTGGAAGGTTGAGAAGTTTGTCGTAGGGTGGTTGTGGTAGTAATTTCTGTTGTTGTAGTGGTACTGTAACATAAGTTTCAACATTTTGAAAATTTTTAATTTTTTTTGTAATTTGTATAGTAGGGTACTGTAACCTATATTTTTAGAAGTTTTTATTATATTGGTAACTTATGCAGTAGTAGTGGTACTGTAACATAAATTTTGAAATTTTGAAAAAATTAAAATTTTTTGAAATTAACAAAAAAGTTAAATTGAAAACGTTTTTTAAGGTCCCCCTACCAAAGCCTCCATTACCATCTCTCGAACACACATTGGAAAGGTACCTTCAACACGCAAGTGTTGTCAGAACCTGGGAGAAGATTCCAGTGGAAGATGTTGAAGCTGCGGTTAGTAAATTCTTTCCTGTAGCTGAAGCGTTACAAGAAGAATTGAAAGAAATAGCTCAAAAAGAAGAAAATTGGGTAATTTTTTTATTTTTAGTTTTTGAAATTTAATATTATGTTGTATAAAAAAGATTGAGCTACCTTTTACAGCCAATTTTTGAAAAATCCATATATTACATATACTTGAAATTATTGAAATAATGAACTTTTAGATAGTAAAATACTGGCTAGAAACAATGTACCTGAAGCCTCGTTACCCACTGCCAGTTTACTCCAGCCCAGGTTATATTTTCCCACGCCAAGTTTTCTATGATGAAGATGATTGGATTCTGTTTGCGGCTTGGATGGTCAAGGGGATGCTTAACTTTAAGGATCTGATTGATAAGTAAGTGATACCCTACCCTACCCTAACTTACCCTACCCTACCCTACCCTACCCTACCCTACCCTACCCTAAGTTACTCTCCTCTACTTCATTCTACCTTACCGTAGCCCACTTTATCCTCTTTCATCTTACTTTACCCTGCTCTATTCAACTGTACTATACACAGCCCTACTTTACTCTGCCTTACTGTACTCCACTTTACTGTGTTTTATCTTATTTTACCTTACTCTTATCTATTTGACATTAATTTACTTTACCTTAAGCTTCCAATGATCTCACACCTTTAACACAATATCATTTCAGACGCGGCCTAGACCAAGAAAAGTCTCGTTCAGGCTACCCAATGTGTATGGACCAATACGACCGTCTTCTCGGCCTATATCGTCAACCTTTCATAGGCTGTGACAAGCACATAAGCACTCGTTATCGCAACAGTTTGAACGCTGATCAACATATATTGGTCATGTGTGAGGCTCAGGCTTTTGTTTTACATGTGCGTCAGGATGGTGTATCATTAGGACCAACTGAGATTGCGACACAGTTGAGAGAGATTGTGAACAAGGCTAGGAATCGGAACAAGGTGAATGTGGCACCAATTGCTGCGGCTACTGGAGCCCCGAGAGATGAGGCTGCTGGATTCTGGGAGTCAATGTTGGAACGTGAGTTGGTTTTTTTGTGGTTTTAATGGTACCGCTGGTACTGTTTTTATAAAATTTTTTTAAAATTGAATTAAGAAATTAAATAAAATTTTGTTTTGTTTTTAATTTTTGCAAAATGGTACTCTTGATAAACTTATTGGTACACTTGGTACACCTTTTGGTACTGATGGTACTGTCTTCATAAAAAGTTTTCAAATGAATATCAAAATTAAAATTTTAAGCTTTGTTAAGCTTTTTTCAAAGTGGTACTTTTGGTACACTTACTGGCACTTTTGGTACACTTGTTAGTTCTACTGGTACTTTTAGATGAAAGAAATTTAAAGTCATTACAAATGGTCCAAGACTCCGTATTTGGCTTATGTTTAGACGGTTATGTACCTCATAGGGCTTTCCATGATAACCACATGGAAACAGCCGGAGATCTGATACTTCATGGTTGTGGTTCTGATGGATATGGGCTGAACCGGTGGTATGATACTACTATTCAGGTTGGTTTTTGACAGTTATTTACTGTAATATGATTTATTTTTGCTTTTAAATTTGTTTTATTGAAAAATTTTGAAATGGTACTGTTGGTACTGTTAATGGTACTGGCGGTACACTATGATTTTTTTACTTTCATTTTCATTACAAAAATGAAAACTAAATGAAAAAAAATCTATTTTTTTTAAAATAGTACTATTGGTACACTTGATGCTACTATTGGTACTGTTTTTAAAAAACTATAGTTAACTTTATATAACGTCGTATTTTAGCTCGTCGTATCACTCGACGGCTTCAACGGTCTCACAATCGAACATAGCGTAGCCGAAGGCATGGTCATTATCTCTATGATGGAGCACGTCCAGAACTGGGTTCGTGACAACCGTCCACCCCACGCTCGCCTACCCCCATTCCTGGGCAATGTCAAGCATCAGCCGCTGTCTTGGATTGTTAATGAGGAGAATCGACTGAAGCTGGACCAGTTTGTCTACAATTTCGATCAACTTGTCACTGATTTGCGACTGACAGTCTATAGTTTCGAAAGCTATGGCAAGGATAAGATCAAGAGGATGGGGGTGTCGCCTGATGGGTTTGTGCAAATTGCTATGCAGTTGACTCATTTTAGGTATGTTTTACATTGTTATGGCAAAGTAGGGTAGGGTAGGGTAGGGTAGGGTAGGGTAGGGTAGGGTAGGGTAGGGTATTGCTAACTACCGTTTACTTCAGACTACATGGTCACCTTGTCTCAACATACGAAAGTGCGACATTACGAAAGTTCCGGTTTGGCCGTGTAGACAACATAAGAGCTGCTACACCCGAAGCACTGGCTTTTGTACGTGCTATGAACGATCGAAACGTGTCGGATTCGGAAAAACGAGAACTTTTCGACAAAGCGGCCAAGAAACAAGCTCTGCTTACTGGAGAGGTACGTAGTAGGCATACTTACACTATTATGTTATATATAATGTATGTACTTGCTAATGTAAACGTATATTTTTAGAATGTGAACGGTTACGGAATAGACAATCATTTGTGTGCATTGGAATGTTTGGCCAAAGAGAATGTGGCCAGAGGACGACTAAAACAACTGCCAGAGATCTTCACACAGGAAACTTATAAAGAAACTGTCAGATTCCCACTTACAACTAGTCAGGTAAGGCCTTGCCTTTCCTTGCCTTGCCTTGCCTTGCTTTGCCTTAGGCTTGCTCTATTCGTAGTCCTAGTCCTTTCATATCTTCTGCCTTGGCTCAAGCCCCGGTGCTAGCAGCTCCAGCCTACAAAAAACTAAAAGTATGTTTCAGGTATCAACCAACCCAATATTCGAAGGAACCTACTTATGTTACGGTCCAGTAGTCAATGATGGTTATGGCTGTGCCTATAACATTCAACCTCACAAAATCATTTTTGCAATAAGCGACATGAAAAGCTGTGACAGAACAAATGGCATCGCTTTCGAACAGACTTTGAAAGAAGCTCTTGAGGATTTGAGCTACTTGCTTTGTAGGGCTTGAGTTGTACTTTTACCTTTACAGTACTAGCCAATGTACGGCTTGATTTGTACAGTGCGACTTGAGTCGTATAGTACGACTTGACTAATGCACTACGACTTGATTTGTATAGTACGAGCTGATTCGTATAGTATGGCCTGACTCGTACAGTACGACTTGACTTGTACAGTACAACTTGACTCGTACAGTACGACTTGATTCGTACAGTACGACTTGACTCGCACAGTACGACTTGACTTGCACAGTTTGAATTGACTCGTAAAATACTGCTTGACTCATATTGTATGACTTGTCTTGTATAGCACGACTAGATTCGTACAGTACGACATGACCCGTACAGTATGAATTAAGTCGTACAGTACAACTAAAGTCACTCGTACTTTCTTCCTTTTACTTTACAGTTTCTATGCAATAACTTTTATGGTGTACGGTACATTTTTGTCATTTTTTTAGTACTCTATCTCATGTTTTAGTTAGTCGGCCTAGCTTTAAAATTACTTTACTTTTAGTTTTACTATGCTTTTTTTGTAAAAATATTGAAAATCTTGTCAAGGCAACAATCTCACTTTTAAAATACGACTTTCACTTACGTTTTTCTAACATTACTAGTCATTTTATACCTACTTTTTCACTTTTACTCTTACTTTTTTAGACGTTTTATACCCAGTTTTAGCTCTTTTATGCCTACTTTTTGGTCATTTTATAATTACTTTTAAACTTACTTTAAGGTCATTTTATAGAAAATTTTGTACCAAAGCTTATGTTTCTTAAAACAGAGAATCTAAATTTTATATTTCCAAGCAAGAATCTTATAGTGCAATGTAAAAAAGAAAAAATTTTTAGACATTTGTAGTCATTTTTAGCTGTTTTTATAACTTTACCGCCATCGAAATGTGAATGCAATAAACTTTTTTTGCTTATTGTCACCTTAAACCAACCTTTATTATAATATTTATTATGTAAAATACGGCATTATACAACAAAATTGCTTTTAAAAACATAAAGCTTTGATATATCACCATATATCTTCTTCAACAGCGTTAACAACACATTAACCACGTCCACAATTGTGACATACCAACCAAACACCAGCCATTTCATTCCCCATCAAAATGCCACTCTTACCACTAGATGTAGTAGTATACGGCATCATATTAGTGCTAGCTGGTTGATTGTAGTAGCTTTGGTAATATGGATATTGGTATCTTTGTGGACCATAGTAGTTAGAGTATGGTGGGTAATAGTACGATCGTTGACCATAGTAGTTGTAGTACGCACCTGGACTGTAGTACCGGCCATTGTAGTAGTTTGGGTAGCCATAGTTGTTATAATAGTTACTGTACTGAGCTGAGATCAGTGTTAGGGTGGATAAGAGTAGAAGGATACTGTAGAACTTCATTTTGGGAAGAGAGTTTTGAACAGTATAGAGGTTGGAAAAGAAGGTGTAGATACTGTAGAAATGTTACAGTAATCACAAAAGTTTTTCAGTAGCTAGAAAAAAGACTTGGTTTGATTGTTCCAAGCTGTGGTCAAGATCTATCAACAACGAACAAAGATATGACCAAAAGAGCGGCTTCCACTACCCTAATATCTACAACAGTATAACTTCAACAAGCTATAACAAAAAATCGACCAAACAAAGCAGCTCCAAACTTTACCAAGACAATCTCTATCTAATACTAACACAAGATACTAAGTTACATTGCTCTTTATATAGTAGCACTTCCGCTAAGAGTAATTACTTTGATTTTGTAAGGCGGCGCTTAAAGGGCGTTGAACCGAGAATATATCCGTTCGCCGTTGAGTTAAGTGTTCTAACGAGATACCAGCAATTATTTATTATGGAACAATAACATTCGCTTGTTTTTAGATATTGTTATAGGGGGAAATGACATATTTTTTAGAAAAAGCGAGACTTTTAGGAAAATTGTACTAAATGTGGGGTTGGGGTGGTCGATACAAATTAGTACAAACCTAAAAAATAGAATTTTAAGATTTTGGTTTTAAATGATGAGTTGGAGTAATGTAAAGTGTGTTGTAACGTGATTTTGCTCAAAATGTCATAATGACATATTTTTGACATTTTTTAAAATTTAAAATTTTAAAAATTTTAAGGCTGTCTTACAACAAAACTAAAACGCAAAACAATTTAAAAACTTGTGACAATATTAATTAGACTATTTTAAACACTTTTGTAAATGTAAACTATTTGATTGGATTACTGTAACATACCAAAATCAATTTTTTTGTAAAAAACTAGACTTTTGTGTTATAAATTATGTTTTAAGATGGTTTTTCCAAGATTTTAAAAATTTTTTAAACTGCCAAGCAATTAAAAATGCCATTTAAATATTTATTATCAAGAATTCAAAACTCTCGGTCATTTCCGACGCACATGAACGTCGTGAGAGCAGTTACGAGCGGCTTTTAAGCTTGCAAAGATCAACGAGCGAAACTGGATTTCTTTACAATGGGATTCGAGCAGACAGTTGTAAACCTGGTGTGAAGTTCACATGAAGAAAGTAAAAGTTTTAAAAATAGAATTTGGAATGCCACTGCAAATTTCAATTTTTTCAAAAAAAATTTTTTTTATCTACCCCAAGAAAAATTTTTTTTTACCACCCCCGAGCACAAAAAATGGTTTTTTTAAATCTACCCATAGGGTGTCAACTAACAAAAGATTTTTTAATTAATTTTTTACCCCCCCCCCTCCCTTCTCAACCTCCTCCCCCCCCCCTCCCCCACACCCCTACGACTACAACAGCATGGCTCAAAGCCCCAGGTTTGTGCCGGGCCTGCTAAGACCAATCAAACAAAATTTTTTAAAAAATAAAAAATTTACCCTGCCCGACATTAAAAATTTTTGAGATCTCAATTTTACTCATCCATGTTTACGACATTCCAACGGTATTTAAATACTTGAACTCTCCGTGCCTCAGCTTGATCCTCGAGACTTACTCACGCCAAAACTCGATTTTTCGAACAAACGTTCTTTTTGCAGAACGGCGATCGCAAAAAGTTTAAAAATAACAACGTAGTTTAGAGCTGCTTTCATCTGGGTGACACATCGGCGAGCCCAAACTGGATTGGCATGAAAGAAGGGTTTTGTGGTACAGTCTAGCTTGAATTACTCTGCCTTACCCTACTTCATCCTACCGTACCGTACCCTACCTTGCCCTACCCTACCCTACCCTAGAAAATCCAACCTCAACATCCTTTATTCATCCTCATCATTGTTACAACAACACTTCCTTTTACTGCATCCACAAGCCTTCCTCTGCGGCACATTGTATCTGGCCGTGCTCCAGCTTTTTTGGAATTGTCCACAATTAGGCGGCGGTGTCTTTTTTCGCTTCAGGCTTTTGGGTTTCTGAAAAATATAAACATAAAATTTAAGTCATGGATTGGGCTAGGATAGGCCTAGCTAGCTTGAGGTATAAATGCAGTAGGGCTACCCTTTGGTACCGAAATTGTAAGGCTAGAGTAGAGGAAGGACAGAACTGGAGCAAGGCTAGAATAGAGCTAAATTAGAACTAAGGTAGAGCTATGGCAGGACTAGGGCAAGGCTAGGGTAAACCTAGGGTTAGGATATAGCCAGAGTATGGCTAGAAATAAGGAATGGGCCGGGTTTGAGAGTTACGCCCGGCCTGATCTAAATTTTGCTCAAGCCCAGCCCGGCCAAATTTTTTTTACGTCCAAACGGGCCGACTTTTTGGGCCGGGCCTGGATTTTTAAGCCCAGCCCGACCCATTCCTCATGTATAGGTAAGACTAGGCTAGAGTTAAAATTAACGTATAACGTACCTTTTCCTTCTTCTTGCTGACCTTTGTAACCTGTTCTTTGGGCTTTACCTTCTGTTTGTCGTCTAGTTCCTAAAGCAATATTGCAAAAAATTTCAAAAATTTAAATAAATTTCAAAATTGAAAAAAAATAATAAAACAGATAAAATTAATATCAATCTAACTCACAGCTTTGCTCATTTGAGTATCAGAAGGTGGTAGAATCAACGAAGATGGCATCGCTTCCTTCAACGATCCATCTTCGGCCGTATCGTTCCCCGATTGTGTATCAGCTGTTGCTTCTGGTGCTTCCAACATTTGGGACTTTTTATTCGACTGGTTACTGTTACTTGCATTTTGTGGTCGCATTTGAAAATAAGCCGATTTGTCAGTAGATCCGGAGAAACTTTGAATTTTGGGTTTTAACACCGCTTTTGGAGCGGTTTGCTCTCTTTCACTGTCTGTGCATCTGAAAAAACGTTAGATCTAGATTTTTTAAACTTATTTTTAATAAAATACTGCAATCTATACCTAGTTCCACCTAAATATGGACCTTTCTCGTCAAGAAGCCTGGTTTTCCCGCTAATTTCAATAAAAACGTGAAAATTATGGAAAAAGATGTGAAATCTTATGCATTTCGAGCCATCGCTGAATTTCGCGGTCGAAACGGAGTTTTGCCATTTTCCACTAACACCAAGCTTGTTGTGCGACCAATTCACATTATATCTGATCCGGTAAGTCTTGTTCAACTATTTTTTAACAACTCAATTCAAATTTCAAAGCTTAACACCTACAAATTTAACCTTCTATCTACTATAATTTAATTTTCTCAAAACTTTCGGCAAAAACTTTGTTTAAAAACTCACGGTTCCGCGATATAAACGTAGTTTAGTTCAGATTGTGCCATTTTCAATGCCGTGTCGAATCCGTGATTTCCATTTTGACTGTAAACATACTCAAAAGCCAGGCCATTGGAGAACAAAAAAAAACTTTTCGGCCAAAGTTCGGATTTGCTTAACTTCATTTGGAAATCGAAAATCAGAAGGTTTGTCGGAATTTAGGACATCAATCAGGGCTTTGTAGTCTAGTCGGATTAGTACTGATTGGGATCTAAAATTTCGAAATTTTTTAAAAATTCAAATTTTTAAATTTTTTAAAATTCAAAAAAATTTTACATACTTGAATTTTTTCCACTTCAAAATACGCTCCATGGCAATAATGACTGCTTTGACTTTGGCATAGCTTCGACTTTTGATTTCAGTACGTAGACATTGACTATGGTTTAAGGCATGGCCATCACCGAAAAACAATCCAATTGACAATTCGTTTTTGAGGCCTTTTAGGGCTACTGAGTATACCTAGAATTGAAATTTATGAAAAATGAAAAAAAATTGTTCCGTAAAGGAAGTTTTTGCCATTTTTTGTTTTGCAAACATGAAAAAAATAAAAATTTTAATTTTTTAAAATTTTAAAAATGAAAAATTTTGATTGAAAAATCAATCAACTTTTCCTGTAATTTTCTGTATAAAATGGCGGGTTCTTTATGTCGGCACCTGAAATAAGATCAAAAAAGAGCTAGCGAACAATGTTTTTAATCCAAATCTACCTTTTATAAAGGTATAAAATCAGGTTTTGAGCGATATTATAGTAGATCGCTTTGTATTTCAACTTTTTATTAAAAACTTTATGTTTCTAACCTTTTGTGTTCAATTTTTAACTTGACAGACATAGTTAACATGCTTTTTGGAACAAAATTGTTAATGCTATTAGTGCTATTTAAAATAGTATCTACTATGAATGCTAGTAGTAAAAAGTATTCAACTATTGGTAGTACTGGTAAGAATGTCGCTAGGCGGTTTAAAACCAGCAACTTATTACCTAAACTATGTAGCAAAACATTGCCTAAAGTATATAGCAAAACATTACCTAAACATCAACCGTATTCTTCGTATTACCAACCTTACCACAATAATTTTAAAAGTAATAACTTGGGCTACAATGTAAAGAAAAATATTGGCTTTGACTACAGTAATTTTGGTTACAATAATCTTGGCTACAGTAATTATGGTTATAATAATCTTACCAAGAGTAATTTTGGCTACAATAATCTTGACTACAGTAACTATGGTTACAATAATTTTGGTCTTAATAGCCTTGACTACAGTACTCTTGGCAAAAAAAGTGTTAATCAAAACTACAATATGATCTACAATGGTCCATACTATAGCTCGAAAGGTGTGTTTTATGGAGTGCCTGGTCTGGCCGAGTTTTGGCTGGTCTGTCATAACTATGGAAGGAATGGCTAGCACGTACAATATCTTTGGTTACCATGGTTCTAGCCTTACAGGTCTAAGAGTGTCATATCTATAGCCTTAAAGGTCTACAGGCACCATGCCTCTAGCCATACAGGTCTAAGGGTTCCATACCTCTATCCTTACAGGTCTAAGGGTACGATGCCTCTAGCCTTACAGGTCTAAGGGTTCCATGCCTATAGTCTTTATTCTACGTACAATATCTCTACTTCTTGCTGACAAATATCTACTTTACGATTTTACAATGGCATGTTGTTTATGTAGTGTTGTATATATTTCCAAATAAAGTTATTAAGGTTTCCAAGTGAGAGTTTATAAGAGTTTTCGGCCGAATGTCATTAGTTATCCATGACTCTTAATTGAGAGTACGAGAGTTGGTTTGTGGTTAGTGGTGTACGTATATATGAGTATCTATAAGAATATATATACATATATATGTATTTATGAGCACGTATATACATATGTGTAGTGATAAGCACGTTTTCGCACCAAAATTAGTCACGAGTACGTGGTTAATCCTCTAGTAATGCCACGTGTGTTTTTAACAACCATGGTAACAGTTATGGCTACTTTGCCGGCCGATACTAACAAACTGTGTCAGTGTCAGTAGGGCTGAGTAAGAGGGGCTTATTTTTTGACAGAGGAGGAGGGAGGGGGGATTTTTTGTTTTGTAAAGAAAGTTCTTGTCATTTTTTGGTTTGTAAAGAAAGTTCTTGCCATTTTTCGTTTTGTAAAGAAAGTTCTTGTCATTTTTTGGTTTGTAAAGAAAGTCCTTGCTATTTTTTTGCTTTGTAAAGAAAGTTTTTGCCATTTTCTTGTTTTTTAAAGAAAGTTCTTGCCGTTTTTTTACTCGACCTATCGTATTCCTACCCTACCAACCCTACTTACCGTACTCTCCCTCCTATCCCAATTATGTGTCCCTCACCTACCTTTAACTGCCTTAACCTAACCTACCGTGCTTCTATTCTACCTTACGCTAACCCACCGTGCTTCTATTCTACCTTACTCTAACCTATCGTGCCTCTACCCTTACCTTCCTCTACCTACAGTACCACAACTCCTCTCTCTCCATCCCTCCTATTAGTATACGTAACACCCACACCAACTAATATGCTCAACTACCCTACTCATTAATTTTTTGTGGGGTGGTTACTTTAATTTCCTTCTCACCTGCCTAATACCGCTGAATGCGACTCTAATGAAGTGTGCCATTTCTAATAATGGCCATCTGCATGGCTCGTTTTACAACACATTCGAAATATTTTCGATTCGGTTTTGTCGCATTAATCCGCTTAATTTGCATACAACCGCATGTTTGGGATATTCGGTGAGAGAGTGTGGGCGGAGGAGAGACGGGAGGGAGATATAGCGGTGTGGGGGGATATAGGAGTGTGGGAGGATGAGAGACGGCAGTTGCATGAAAGGTGAGGGTACTAGAAGAGAATTTTAGGCTTATTGGACTATTTTAGGCTTAGCAGTGAAAAATTTTTGGCTTAACACACAATGTTAGGTCTAGGCCACAATTTTTGGCTTATTAAGCAATTTTAGGTATACGAGGGTTGGGGTAGAGTATGGCAAGGTAGGATAGGTACGGAAAGGTAGGGTAGGGGAGGGGTGTAGGGTAGGGTAGGGTAGGGTATGGTAGGGTAGGGCAGGGTATTGTAGAGTAGGATATAGTAGTGTAGGGTAGGGCAGGATAGGGTAGAGTAATCTTACGATTATGTAGGGCAGGGGCGTGGTTAGACGAACTCCACCAGATTTCCCCCCCCCCTCTCCCCCCTAATGCGCCAAACCCAAAAAGTGCACATGCACTCTTCGAGACTGCAAACCCAAAACCCGAGACAGCACGGTACTCGCGGAGACGGCGGCAGAAAATTAAAGCACAAATCCGGACGAGGCCGCAGCCCAGCCGACGGAGAGACGGGCCCTCGGACAGATGTTTCGGAGGCTTCCGAAAAAGGGAAAACGGATATTCCATGGGTCGAATTAATTGCGAGAGCGCCGACTTGGGCACATGGCCCTTTTCTTTTTCGGCTCGAGATTCTCGACAACCCAATTTTTTAAAAATCTACCCCTTTTAATTTCGGATATTATTAGTGTGGGCCCAAAAGTGGCGAGTTTGGTGGCCGAATTTGGGTTCGGGAACTGGAAAAGCGGGGGTTGCTTGCCAACTTTTGAAGATTTTTATTGATGACTTGATTAGGTAGAGCAGGGTAGGGTATGATGGGGCATTGCAAAGCAAGATAGGGCAGGCTAGGGTAGGAAAGCGTAGGGTAGGACAGGATAGGGTACAGCAGGAAAGTGCAGAGCAGGATAGGGCAAGGCAGGATAGGGTAGGACAGGAAAGTGCAAGGCAAGACAAGACAGGACAAAGCAAGGCAGCATAGAACAGGATAGGGCAGAGCAAGAAAAGGCTTGGCAGGGTAAGGCAAGGCAGGGCACGTCACGTCAGGGCACGGTGAGGCAGGATAGGGTAGGGCAAGCCAAGGCAGGGCCATTCAGAGCAGTGTAGAGTGGAAGCAGGGTAGCTAGACATGTGGAACGGGTTGGGCCTGAATATTAGGCCCGGCTCAATAAAAATTTTGCTCAGGCGTAGTCCGACCTTAATTTGTGTCAAGCCCAGTCCGGCCAGTTCCTCGTGTCTAACAATTGTAAGGGGTAGCGATAGAGTAGGGCAGGGTAGGATAAAAAATTGAACAAAATCTTTGCCTTCCCCCCCCCGCCCTAAACTAAATTTTAAAAAAAACTCCACTGGTTAGACGGAGCCAGAAAAAAAATATTTTTGATCCCCACCGCTCCCCCCCCCCTCCTTGTTACTTCTTGATCCATATGGGCCACCCAGCACTAGGCTATTATAATTACTTTTTCACTCTATTATTGTAGGCTATGTCAGTAAATAAGGAAAACGAAATGGATGGAAAACAATTTTTTTAAAAATTTTTTTATATTTTTTGCCGACATTTTTAAAATTTTTATGTTTTTTTTCATTTCTAAATTTTAAATTTTTTCATTTTAACATTTTTTTTTCTAAAAAGCCCAAATTTGCCACTTTCTGCCACTTTTTTTTTATTCCGCTCTTCCTGCCAAACCACTACCCAAACAAAACCGGGCTAGGCGGCCGAAGCGAGTTTTCTAAATTTTTAATTTAGAAAAAAAGGAATCTGAAAGTTTTTTTACTCGCGGCCGAAATGTCTTAAATGGCATTGCTATGGCTTTTAGAGCGTTTTTTTTCGATTTTCAACCAAATTTTTCGGCCGCTTTTACTTTACTTTTACTCTTTACTTTGGCTCTGTAATTAATAAAGCGTTTTATTGGTATTGGCTGGTGTGGCATGGGATTTTTTGCTTGTTGTGGCATGAGATTGGCTTCTTTTTTAGTGTTTGTCTTAACATTTTTTGAAATTTTAGGTATTTTAGAGAGTTTTAAGTATACCCGGCCCTCGGACCGGGCTTTAGGCGGTTTGTGCTGGGCTAAAAACAAATAGAAACGGGTTGGGCCGGAAGCCAAGTCTAGTTTTTGGTTTATAAAGTATATAAATTAGCCTTTTATGTATTATAACTTTAAAAACTGACGCTTTTTAGCCTTAAAAAAGGTATAAATCGATCGATGTTAGGCTACAGAGCCATGATTTTCTATGAAAAATGAAGCTTTTTTGATTGACGTATTTTAGGTACATTATGTTGTATTTTAAGCTCAGTATGTCAGACTATCTTATATTGATCTCTGTTTCTACTATATTACATTAAACTTGTAGTATATTTGATTACTATAACTGCATTGAACCTACAACACTTTACGCTGCTATATTTGCTACCTACAACATTTTATTGTACTACATACACTATCTACAACAATTTATAGTACTATATCTACTACATCTTATTTTACAAGCTAGTACTACTACAACTATTCCGCTATCATTTACTAAAACTACAATTTTTGTCTAGTAGCGTTACTATTACAGTATGTGCAATATAGCCCTACGAAAAACATTTGCCAGTCCTTAGCCTTCACTCAGTGACCTTAGTGTTATAGTCAAATAGTTTCGATACTGTGTGGCGTATTACGTGACTAAGGCACGCGGTGAAAGCCAAGTTCGAAGCAAATTAATTGGCCAATTCGTTGGCCATGGTCTAATTAATATTCGGTATGGTGGCCAAACATGGTGTGAGGCAAAGGGTGGGGAGTTACTTTTGGGAAGAGCCACTCTACGATAATATACTTTTTTACTTTACACTAGCTTAACATAGAGTAAAGTATATTTCTTTAAACATACATATCTTATCCTACTGTATCATACTCTAGCCTACCTTAGCTTGCCCTACCTTACCATGCCCTATCTTATCCTACCCTACCCTATCCTACCCTACCCTTACTTTACCCTACCATACTATATACCAATAACACCCCTTTATATCTTTCTAGAGCAAGAAAACATAACTTCATATCATCCACCAAGCATTTATATACAACAAATAAAAAAAGATAAATTATCAACCAATAACACAAGTGATAAGCCCAAACATCTGCAAAAACAAAGCCAAATTTCATAAACTGTCAGATCCAAATCACGTCCAGTGTCCATTCTAGCTTCTAAAGTTATGTCAACATCCAACTGTCCCATTGCTTTACTGTTCAATAACATTTCTTCTTCGGTCTGACGGTCTAACGCCGGCAAGCGGTTCAATATCCGAGAGTTTTAGGCCTGGGTAAAGTTTAGCGACGTTTGATTTTGAATTGGCACGGCCTTCAAAGTCTTTCCAGCCCCGCCAACAGCTCTCCGACTTGGCCAGGTACATTTCATGTAGGGTTAAACCGTCTGAAAGGGTTAATATTACTCTTTAATACGATCATACAGTATATTACCCACACCGTACTCTACCACATCCTATTATAAATTACAGTACCCTACCTTACCCTAATCTATCCTACATTACCCTATCCCACCGTACTCTACCCGACCGCACAGTACCCTAACCTATCTTAGCATACCCTACTTTACCCTACCGTACCATACCCAACCCTTCCGTACCCAACCATACCCTACCCAACCCTACCGTACCCCACCATACCTACCCTACCGTATTCTACCCTACAGTACCCCCCTCCCTCCTTACCGTTCTCATTTTTCTTCGATTTCTTCGTAGGAATGGGTGATTTACTATCACTTCGTTTCACCGGCAAACTTGGTGATTCGGTCCGTTTTTGATGACTGAATTCTTCATTCAGATCTAGTCCAGTCACACTCAACACAAAATTGTAGAATTCGTTGTGTTCCGGGGTTAGAACCGCGTAAACCTTCATGATTCTGGCGATTTCGATGAAAACTTCTCGAACCTTCTCTTCGTTTGTCAAATTGGTCGGTAAGTTCGAAGATTGCGGGATTTTGATGCTAGCCAGTTTTTCGCCCACGGCACGGTAAATGAATGATTTCGCGTTGGCTATGATCTGAAAATGGCATTTTTTATTTTCAAATTGAAAAAAAGATTAAAATCGTCATTTCTAACACAAAAATATCAAAAAATTAAAATGGTGCATTTGGTACACTTGGTACGCTTTTGGTACTATTGGTACGTATTTGGTACGAATTTAGTACAGTTGGCGTTGGTTTAATACACTTTGTACGCATTTAGTACAGTTAGTACGCATTCTTTACACTTGGTACCCATTTGGTACACTTGATGCCCATTTGGTACTCTTGGTACCATAAGTGGTACCACTGAAGCAAATTACGTTCATGCTTCAAAAACTGCTTCAAACCTTCATTTTATACCTAAAAAATCAAAAAATTAATATCAACCAACCTGTGGTGGCAGCCTGTTATAATTCACGACCTCAAAGATGGGTAAAAAGTATTCTGGTAGTTGGAAAACAATGGTATCATTGTCATGAATTGGCAAATACGTAGCTATTTGATTGGTAATCTCGGTGGGTTTTAGCTTTTCTCTTGGTGGTGCCATTTTTAATGGATACTGTATCACGTCGATTTCAAACGAAATGCTTTCCAGATACTTGGCCATTGGGAAGAGTAACAAATGGTTTTGGGGTAGGGGTAGTGTTGGTAGGGCTGAAAATAATTTAAAACATAAAATTAGCCAAATTTTTTCCTAAAATTCAAAATTTAAAAAAAATGTATCACTAGTACCATTAACAGTACCAAGTGTACCATTTATAAAATTTTTTCTTAATTTTATTTTTTAATTTTAAAAATTCAGCATTTTAAAAAATCACTTTTCGCTCAAACTGTACCATTAGTACCATGAAAAGTACCAGGTGTACCATTTCAAAAATTTTTTAAAATTTGAATAGCAGATCAAAATTACTTACAATTCACATCAAACCTCATGCTGTTCAGAAACATAGCACCAGTTGACTTGTCCAATGAGAAGAAATGACTGATTTTTAAGCCGTGGAAGTTGGCTTCCAACTCTGAAACCTTGGATTCTGGATCCATATCGAGTAGTACGAATTTTCCATTCAGAATGAAATTGCAAATACAAATGGCAGGGCGATCGCGGACCTTCGCTACGGTAACTGGTGCTCCATTTTCGTGAATTGGTGCCTGAAAAAATTTACGTAGAAGCCTAAGTACACAAAAATAAGCCTGAATGTTACGCAATAAGCCCAAGCACAAGAAAATAAGCCTAAAATTTAGGCAATAAGCCTAAGAGCAACAACAAACCTAAAGCTTACGCAATAAGCCTAAGCACACAAAGATAAGCCTATAGTTTACGCAATAAGCCTAAACGCACAGAAAAAACTCTAACTTTTACGCAACAAGGCTAAGCACAGAAAAATAATCCTAAAGCTTACGCAATAAGCCTAAACGCACATAAAAGTAAGGCTAAAATGACGCTAAGCCTAAACGCAAACAAAAATAAGCCTAAATTTTACGCGATAAGAATAATCGCACATAAAAGTACGCCTAAAATGACGCAATAAGCCTCAGTGCAGAAAAATAAGCCTAAAGATTATGCAATAAGCGTAAGCACACAAAAATAAGCCTAAACATTACGCAGTAAGCCTAAAGGCACAAAAATAAGCCTACAGTTCACACAATAAGACTAAGCGCACAAAAATATGCCTAAAGCTTACGCAATAAATTTAAAAATAAAAAATAAGCCTGAACTTTAAGCAACAAGCCCAAGCGCACAAAAATAAGCCAAAAGATCGAAAGTAAGCCTAAGTTGAGATAGGAAACAGAAAAATGCCAAAAATAAGCCTAAATTGTCAAAAATATAAGGCCCTACCTCAGCCGCATTCAACTTATTATTGACCGACGACCATTTCAACCACGTGGTTCTGTATTCCCCATCTGATTTTACAATTGGAGACTCCGAGTCTATTAGATTATACTGACGTAGGTGAGCTTGTGGTATGTTGGTGTGGAACATTTCCACATTGTAGTTTACAGATTTACCGGCATTGGCTTCTTCCTGAAATAAAATCGTCGTATCTAATGTCAGCTTATCAAAAATCATCATTTTAAACTAAAATCAGTAAAATCATAAAATGGTACACTTGGTACCTTGAGTGGTACCACTGCTACATTTTGTAAAATTTTTCAAAAAAAAATTTTAAATCCTCATTTCCTATGCAAAGTCATCAAATTTTTTCAAGTGGTACCTTTTGGTACTATTAATAGTACCACTGGTACACTTATTCAAAAAATGAATCCGACAAAACAAACAACTATATAAAAACAAATACCATCCGCTTACCTTCATCGGAATGTTCTGTACCGTCGTACTCTGAACCCCGTAATCGTACTGTAGAATCGAGTGCATGGTTCTGATCAAATTTGTACCAGTTGTGTAATGTAGCTTCACATTCACAAGGCTCAATCGATTTGTGGCGAACTCCTGGCACTGTGCGATCAGTGTTGGGTTTGGAGCTTCATTAGCAGCTGCCAACTGAATGATATGAAGGTTTAGGCGGCTGATGGGTAACATTACTAATTCGGAAATGAAGTTTGGACTGAAAAAGTGGAGCTTGGACTAAAAAACATAACTTTTAGACTAAAAAACGTAACTTTTGAACTAAAAAACGTAAATGTTAGACTAAAAACGCAAAGTTTAGACTAAAAAAAAGTTGTAAAGAAAGTTCCTACAAAAACCTACTCATTGCAACTGTTTTTGAAGAGTTCATTCCTTGACAAAACCTCATCTTCCATATTCGATATCAGCTTTTTAAACTCGTCGAATGATTCAATTGTCGTAAATGCTATTACAGTACCCGCATTTCGTACAAATTTCGGTTTCGTAAAGGTTTTTGTCTGTTGTTGAGTACGGTACTTTTGGAGACGGTCGTAAAATCTGGTCGAATTTGGGGTTCTCTTTGCTTTGATGGGTCTGAAAATGGTAAGTCTTACATAGATTTAACTTTTTCTTCATTTTTATAGCATGATTTTAAAAATTTACAAAGTGGTACACTTGGTACCTTAGTGGTACTAATGGTACACCAAAAAATAAAATTTTCTCTAAAGTAAAACAAGAAGAATAAAAAACGTACGGTAAATCATTAACCTTAAAGCTCCTCCCATCCTGTTTCATCTTGTTCAAACCCTTCTGTACCATCTTCTGAAGCGGCGTCGGTTCCGTCAACGCATCCATACACATGACAAGCCCATTATTAATTGAAGAAGAAGCCGGATCTGCTTGTGGATCCGGTTTCGAACCGATGAAACTGTGTAGAACGGCACGGTAATCAGTGATAACATCCGACCAAGCTGGAGTTGTGAATCGACCACCCGTGTCCGATATTACTAGTCGTAGGAGTTTGGTAGAGTTGGGGTATAGATCGCTTAAAACACGATGAAATTCGACCACTGCTTGGATAGCGCATGACCAGCGGGATTGGTTTAGACTGCTGTTTGTGGACGGGATTTTTACCTTAATTTTCAAATTTTAAGAAAATAAGTAAGCCTTCATATCTAAATCCTACTTTTTAAAATTGATCTTGTTTTCGAATTTAAAAATGCTGTTCTTCTCAAAACTTTGGATCAAACAACTTACTTCAGCACACATGGCAGCAAATTTAGGACCACGATCCAGTACTATGATGGTTTTGTGTGATGGTAGTTCATGTAGCTCGGAGAACACTGTGCTGGTCATCTTCAATCAAAATTCCTTAAATTTTCAATTCCAAACCACAAAAAGTCCTCATTTCTAACAAAAAATCCTCATTTCTAATGAAAACCCTCAAGAAATCCTCATTTCCAATGCAAAATGTCTTCCAAAACCCCTGTTCTACATACTTTACAATCGCCAAACCCCGGATTCTCCCACAAAAAATCCAATTTCCTTCAAATATTCAACATCTCCAGCGATAAACACCTTTCTCAACCACAACAAGAACACATACGATGAGATAATTTATTATAGTTACTTCAGATTCACAATGAAAATTGAAATAAAATCATAAATATAGACATCAAACTGACAATGTTTGTATTGTTAAGAAAATTAACTTTTCTCATTTTAACAAGTAAAAAAACGAAATAATTAGTTTTATATTGAGAAAAACTGTCATAATGACATTAATCAAAAAGCCTACAAAATGACAAATTTTCAGTTTGAAGCACCATCAAAATGACACTTTTAGTTAAAAAAAACCATCAAAACACCCATTTTTCAATACAAAACATCAATAACAGCCATTACAAATTAAAAATGTCATATTATTTTTGAGCTTCTTGAAGACATTGAAGTCGATTTTTCAGGTAGTCAATGTACTTGTGTCGTACCATATCCACATTCGCCAATTCTTCCAGTAATTCTGTCGCTTTGGTCACATTTTCGTTCGTGTTTTCTCCTTTCTCGGCTTGGTTGTAATGATAATCAAAAAGAATATAGCAAAGATGAGGTGACTTGTGATTGCCAGCATCATGAAGCTTTTGGCAGAAGTTCAACGCTCTTTGATTTCCTGCGATTCCAGAGGGTCCGAGAATACTGAAAACGTAAAATATAAAGCTAATTTTCAGTAACCAGAAGGAGACCTCAAATATTCCTAAATTAGCCCATATTTCGATGTTATCCATGAAGAAAAGTCAATATAAATAACTTTTTAAACTTCATCTTCGTAAAATTTAAACAAAAACCTTCAAAAAACTTGTCCTTACCCAGCCAAATAAGTCCAAGCACTTTCGTTAGCACTGGCTTCCTGAATCACCTCTTCAATCAACTCCAGCTCCTTGTCGATCATCGCCATGTTAGTTAGCTGATTACTCAATGAATTCACAATAAAGTACCGGTAATTCCACGCTGAATTGTTCCTCATATCTTCTTCCAACAACTTCAGACTGTACTCAACCTCTCGCTGGTCGAATAAATTGAAACGCTCCACAACCCATTGACGATGTTGCCATGCGTGATAGTTTTTGTTGTCTCCAATGAGAACATAGTCCGTGAATGGCAATTCTTTGCTGGGATCGTTCGACCACTCAACTAAGACTCTTCTGTGGTGCCTAAACATAATATTGTTAATTGAGTTTGTAAAAATTGATTTTTAGAGCCGAATATCAACAAAATTATGAAAACTCACCAAATCTGGTAGTTCTTTGGATGTTCACAAGCCATATCTTTGCAAAACGTCATCTCCTGGTTCAGATCTTTCTTCAAAGCACGCAACAAATTTCTTCTGAACTGCCTAAAACATAAAAATCGTAAATTATAACAAAGACAATATCCTTTTCAACGTTTCAATTGAAATAATCACCTACCAAACGGAATAATTAGCCGGATTCAGTTGAGAACAAGTCGTAGTCAACTCAAATGCACGCTCACTCATCTCGTTCTTGTGTAAAACGGCCCGGAAGTAGGCAAATGCATCAATAACTAAAAGGTTACAATGTTATTTATCTAGGAATTTTAGAAATTCAGCTCCGTGTATTTACATTCTTAATCCATAAAACTTTAAATACAATACCTAAAAACCAACAAAAAAGTAAATAAACATACACTCGGGAGTATGGCTGATTCTGACAACAGCATCTTCAGCAATAGAGTTGTAAATTGGAGTCACATCCTTCCATTCTGGCTTGCTGTCGTATCTAGTTGAACTGCTGATAAACTCTCCTTCTTGGCCAAAAGTATCAGCTCTCTCTTGAGGTGCGGTTGAGGCCATTTCCCAAAGCTAAACAAAGCACATTAGTCAGCAAACGGCCAATAAAAATCATTAAACACCAATATTTTCGCAAAAACATTAATTTTTGTCAAAAAAATTAAAAATGTTAACCTCTACAACAATATATAACCTCAAAAAAAAATAAAAGAAAGTGTTATGTTACACAAAAAAGACCTTTATCGACCGTTTTGGCACGAAAACGCTTCCAAAAAAAGATTTGAGAAAAATAGAATTACATGAAACGAAAGGCCAGGCATTGTTCCCCTTTCAGGCAGAATCGTGCCAGGAGCTATGTACACTGTCAGTGTTTTTAATTAGATCGAAAATTCGGATCGAAAGTGCTACGTCGCGACATTTGCGATCATTCCTTATATAGAACAATCAAACTTCTTTACTTTTATCTGCTTTATATTTTTAATTATTCAGTTTTGCGGTTATTTAACTGATTCGAACGAACATAGACGAATATTCGAGGAAAATACGAATTTGTTTTGCTTTATGTTAACGTAGCACGATGAAAAGTTTCTACTGGGTATTTCTGGCATTTCTGGCTGTACATTTGGTAAATTCAGCTCCGATTCAAAGTGAAAACAAGAATGGTAAGTGTTTGTTGAGATGCTCCAACTGAAAAAAATATTTAAAAACATATTTTTGGTTATAACTATACTCAACATATAGTTTATCACGTGTATTTTAGATAACAAAACTGCCGAAATAACGAAAAAGGACGATACAGATAAGGTAAGCAGTTATTTTTTTAATTATTTCGTATTTAGGTAAAGGAAAATGTAGATAAAGTGAAGGATGTGGCAGAACCTGTGAAAGAAAAGATTGTAAATGAAGTCAAATCTGAACCGAAACCTTCTTCTGATCTTAAATTAGCAAATAGTCAGACAACTAAAGCAGACGACGTTCCTACTGGCGATAAAAATTATGTTTCAACTACGGCTAAGATGTCAACCAAGGTAGAAAGCAAGGATACGACGCTGGAAAGAGCAAAGTCAGTCAAGGTTGATGAAACAACCAAGAAAGATGCTACTGTGAAAGACAAGGCAGCAAAAGCAGCAGGTGATGGCAAAGTGACTAAGAAAGCGGCAAAAAAGGTTAAGGTAACAATTGATAGATGGTTAATGTTAACATTGGTTTTTTTGTGTGTTTAGGGGACAGAAACTGATGTTCTGATATTTTATTAGTTAAAGAAGATTATGTTGAACATTTTTTTATGGACAGCATTTATCTTACACTGCAAAAATTAACAGCACGAACTTTTAAGTATTGATATTCTATATTATTTACGATTCAGGGAGAGGAAGAACAGAAAGATTTGCCAAATCATGAAGAAGAAGTAGAATATAAGCAGCCTCATGACAAGTATGATGACATACCTGACCATGTGTTTGTTAATCGTGAGCATGGATCGTCTTTCTTCAACTACTTGGTGATATTGGTGGTATTGGGCGCTATTGGCTATGTTTATCGAAAAAAGATCTTTAGTAAGTTAATTATTATTTTATTTTAAATTAACGTAAATGTGTTATTGTAAACTGGCATACTCCGTGATGTTATGCTGTTCTTTGCTTAAAAATCGTATTTTAGACCACTCTTTTTGATATAAAATATAGATATACATTATTTTAGCAATGATAGCAGGAAGCCGAAGATCTACAAGACGTAACGTACGATATCGCAAATTATCGACCGGTGAAACCGATTCAACTTTCGACTAGGATATTGTTCTACTTTAATGTAAAGTCCTACAACAATATGTTGTTATATGTCCACGAAAGCTTTCTTGGGTTGTTCCATTCAAAATTGCCTTCCAAACTTCTATTTGTACAATAATAACGGGCTAATCGGGTATTTATGTTAATTCTAATACTTAATTTATATTGGTTGTTATAATAAATTTAAAAATTTTATTTTTTTACGGTTTTTGAAGTGGATGCTTGGAAAATTAAGTTTAACAAGTCAAAAAGACATGTTTAATTGATAGATAAGGTAAAATTGTCTTAAATTTTGGAATTGGTGTTAGTTAAAGCTCGGAGTAGAACGTCGGTCACAGCGGCAGCACTTTTGAAGTTTCTGGCGTTCTCAGGGTTGCTAATTCGCTTCATATTGGCCGCTACTAAAATTTTTTTTACTTATTTTTATTATTATGTTTATAGTTTATCATATATAATATTATTACTATCATCAGATAAAAATGTCATTTAGCAGTAGAAAAAAGATAAACTTACTATCATCAGCAGTAGCATGAAGCTTGATAACCCCTCTGGTCAGTGTGACTTTAAGCTCTCCAAAATACCCAGCAGCGGCCAAAAATATCCGCCCATTTTCACGACATTCTTTACTGGACAAATAGGTCACAAATGGTGAAACATGAACAGGATCGAAGATTTCCAACATATTTTGAGGCATGATTTTGGCAGTCATCCGCGAGCCGGCTGTCGGAATGATGGTATTACAGTTGATATGATACTTTTTACCTTCCAATGCTAAGGTCTTTGCTAGGCCTACCAGGCCGTATTTGGCTGAAATTTTAAAGATTATTGGCTTGGATGGTAGGGTAGGACAAGGTTTAATAGGATCGATTATGGTAAGGAACCGCAGGGTATGATAAAGTAGGGTAGGGTAAGGTAGGGTAAAGCAAGGTAGAGTAGGGTAAGGTAAGGCAGGATGTATTACTGTCAAACAGGGCACTTCAAGCTAGGCTGTGGTACTATATATTAGATGCCGACATAAAAAACGCGCCATTTTTTACAGCAAATTACAGGCAAAGTATGGCGGGTTCTTTATGTCAGCACCTAATAGTATGATACTACAGAGTGGCTTACAGGTACTGTAAAATCCTTACCAGCACTATAATTTGCCTGTCCAAAACTGCCAAATATGGCCGAATTAGATGAGATAAACACGATTCTACCATAATGTTGACGCCTCATATAAGGCCAGACGGCTTTGGAACAAGAGAAAGCTCCAGTTAGGTGGACTTTCAACACCATATCTGAAAAGCTTTTCATTAGAAATGAGGATTACGGATTGTTTATTAGTAGATATCAATGTTAACTTACTCCAATCTTCAGTTGTCATGTTGTTAAATGACTTATCTCGCAAAATACCAGCGTTGTTTATCAGTATATCTAAAAAATTTTTGTTGTAGCCTAGTTTTTAAATAAAAAAATTTTAATTTTTGGTTTTAAAAGATTTGAAATTAAAAAATTTTCAAATTTTAAGACCCTTACCGACCCTCCCAAACCTTTCAATGGCCGTTTTGACGATTTTGTCGCCAAACTCTACAGAATCATAATTAGCGACGGCCGTTCCACCATCCGCCTCAATTTCTCGTACCACCTTATCGGCCATATTGGTACTATTTGTAGTACCGTGTAAATCCCCACCTATATCATTGACTACAACATTTGCACCACGTTTAGCCAGCTCCAGAGCATAAACACGGCCGAGGCCACCGCCAGCTCCGGTTACTATCGCTACTTGATCGTCGAAACGGATTTGCATCTGAAATGTTATAAGGCGGGTTAGTAGACATGAGCAACGGGCCGGGCCCAATTTTCAAGCCCGGCCCGCGGGCCGGGCTTAACTTTTAGGCTCGGCCCGTTTTTGATTTTGCTCAGGCCCGGCCCGAAGGTAGGGTCCGGCCGGGCCGGACCGGCCCGTTGCTCATGTCTACGGGTTAGTTTTAGAAAATTTTGTTATATAATAGTACGTAGCACTAATTTTTAAATAATTGAAAAATATGTGTTTAACTTAAGGATCGAAATGGTGACCTTTAGATATTCAGTCTAGCGCTCTCCCGACTGAGCTATCATGACGACAGTCAAGGAACATTATTATGACGGTCAAGACACATTATTTTTTTATTTTTCTATAAACTTTTTGACCAGACTTATATTAAAAGCGTCAATTTTTATCGATTTTTTCATTAAAACTCGACTAAAACAATAATAAAACATCGTTAAAGAATTAAAGTAACTTTTTTTGAACATTTTAAACTTAAAGTAACTTTTTATGTTACTTTCGTTTTGTTTTTACTGTAGTCCATTAAGTTTTTTTTTTTTTTTTTGCGACGACCTTTTACTCTGATCTTAAAATATAAATTTTTTTTTAAACAGAAAAATCGTAATTTTAAATTTAAAAAAAATTTTCCAAGCCTCAAAATGTAGTTTAAGCCTAAAAACCGGTTTAGGCGCAAAACTTACGTTTTAATCCTAAAAGTCTATCCTAAGCCTAAAAAAACCATCTTAAGACAATTTTTTAAGCCTAATAATCATTTTAAGCTTAAAATTTTCATTTTAAGTCTAAAAGTCATATTACAATCCAAAACTTTTAAGCCTATAAATTCATTATAGACATAAAACATATTGTTGTAGGACCTTAAATTAATGTAGAACATATCTTTGTTTATAGTGGTAGGCTACCACAACAAACCATCAAGAATTTTAAAAAATTCCCCCAGCATTTGCCAAAAATCGGCCGGAGAAAGAGAGTTTTCTCCATTTTTTGGATTCTTCGCGATGATTTGCCTCCAAGGAACGGTTGATCTTTATTCGCATTTTGCGAGTTTTTAATGTTTTTGCCGCTGAATTTTTTAAAAACATAACTTTAGATAATGAAAAGTAATCATTTTGTGTAAGAAAATTTCAAAAATAACTATTAAAACACTAAAATTAATATAAATAAATGGAAACCATTCAGAATCTACAAGTAAACGTTAGGAAACGTTTTTTCTCGTGCACATGGCCATTTTTTTGGACAGCTTGAATTGAAAATTCGCGTTGCCAAAAGTTGCAACTTACAACTAATGCAACTTTTTGCATAAAATAAATATTATTGTATAACTATAATTGAATACAATATATAAGAGCGCCACTGTATGTTTAACAATTGTAGGTTAGATCTAGTCCTGAAGTTTAATTGATGTTAAAAATAAATTAAGGTTTGAAGCTTGTACTTCTCTGCAATCGCTAGATACAGCTTTGGCGTTTTTCAATCCGACACCAATCGTCGATGAATTTTTGATAATATTGAGCAGCTTCATTGTTATCATACATGCGAATGTCTTCAAACATGAAAAGGTGGCTCATTTCTAATAGTGGGTGCATTTGTCGACAAACCGCGGTATAATGCAGTGTGGTAATTTTTCCTAAAAATAAAAATTAGGGATGTGTTTTTAAAAATTGGAAGAAGAGGTAGGGTGAGAAAAGGGCCGGGGCCACTTTTTAGACTTGGCCCAGGACTGGGGCCCAACGTTTAGGCCCGGCCCGTTATTATTTTTTCCTCAGGCTGGCCTGGTCAGCAAATTTCTAGGCCCGATCCGGCCCGTTTTTGATTTCGGTCAGACAAGAATTGGCCCGACCAAAAAATTTCTAGGGAATTTTAGCTCAAGGCCGGTTCGCTTCTCACCTCTAGGAAGACGGCGTGTTGTAATAACTTATTTGTTATTTCTACTTAATTTCCATATTAGGGCAAATTGGTACCATTTTGCCATTTTTAGCAAAAGTATAAACTCAAATTTCCACGACAAACATGTCACACTTACTGTTCCTTTTTTCTTCTATGAATGTTCCACTATATACCATCCAGCCAGTGCGATCCTCAGATGGGCACAGGTCAAAATCACGACGTTTAGCTACCTCGAAGTTTTTGTCAACGACATCAAGAATATATTTTGGTACGGATTGTGCCTCACAGTTGTTTTCGCTGCCACTACATTGAGGGAAAAAATATTTTTTTGTGATTAAAAAATTCGGAGCTTCTTTTAATACACGGCAAGGTACTGGTACAGAAGAACCGGTGTAGTCCCATGTGCCACTAGAAGAATTGAACTTATAAACCTGAAATAAACGTATTTCTTGTTATGCTTCTTTGACTTGCCCTAATCTCTCAACCCCTGTACTCTACTGTTAAACTATAGTTTCAAACCTACACTTCCATCGTTATTTTGGATTAGAAAGGGCGCCATGAATCTCAAGCCATATACGCTCTCCAACACCAAATTACCAGTTAAAATATTGTACACTTCGCACGGCCGTTTCCATGCATCGTTTCTGTAAATAATTCGAACACAATTTGTAGGTGCCAAAACCGTCACGCTATTAACAGGCTTATTACTTTGATTCAAAGGAATTTTGTACTTTACGTCTTTGCATACATCGTGAACGATCAATGTGTCTTGTTGAACATGTGGAAAAATATTTTCTGTCGGTTCGCTATGTGGTTTAATAACAGAAAAGGTTTTTTTTGTACTCAACACTTCTTCCACAACCCCAGCTAGGTAGTCAAATTTATAAACGCTTGAATTGAATTTCATGTTTTTCCGTTCATGCTCGTACAGACGCCTTCCTGTTGTTAATTCGTATACGTGATATTGTTCTTCTAAAAACGTCTGAACCTTGGTTAATTTCGAACATTTAAAAGACATGACAACATGGTGTACAAAATATGCGAAAAATTGGAAATCAGGCCCAAAAAATAAACAGCAAGTGAAAATAAGCATACTTACACTAGCCACAACGTATTTTTGATCAGTAGTGATCTGTGCATTTACGATAAAGCTGTCGAACCTAAACACTTTGACGAACGGATGCGAAAAGTCTAAACTGCAAACGACTAAAATTTTGTTGTATGAAAATAAAATAAAATGACTGTTGTTTCCAATATATGTTTTGACGCGCGTGTAGATTGGGAAAGATCTTCCTGTTAACCGTCCTACGTCTATCCACGCCGATGAAAACTGAAATTATACTGATCGTACGGAGCCTTCTGATTTAAGCCTACGTGTATGTGTTTAATACTGGGAATATGTTCTTTGGACTTACTCAGCAAAAGCATCAGCCCAAGATTCTCCTGGAAGTCGAAAAATATGATTATCCACACAAAGCTTATGAAAATCTAGATTAATGAAGTCATTTATATGGCAGCCACTTCTAGCCAAATTTGTTAACGATGTCAGTTCACAATGTTTAATGATAATGTTCCAAATCTGTAAGTATCAAAATTAATCTTTTTGTGCTGCAAAATTGGGGAAAAATTGTAAAAAGTTCAGACTTACATCTTCATTTAATCTACAAATTTTTTCCATTTTGATAACGCACACTGTTGCCAAGTCAAACGGGTATGACACACGCAGAGCCTTAAAATAAAAAAGCGAATATAAACGAAAAAAATTAGCAATGGCGTCAGGTTTATTATGCTTTGCATTTTTATTCGAGCGCCATTTTTTTGTCAAGTCTTGCTTCGCAATGTAAAAAATAGCGACCTTGTAAGGTTTAAAGATTTAGACAATCTTGCCTACAAAAAAGCAACCAAAATTCTTCAGTAATACTACAACATAAAGCACAAGTTTTGTAAAAACCTTACCAGCAACTAGCCTGTCTCAAACTTTCAAATATGGCCGAGTTTTATTAGATAAACAGTACTCTACCAAAAATGCAAAATTGAAAACAACTTTTGAGCTTATAATTTGATGTTTTAAAAAATAAATAACTTTTGTGAAGGTCCGTCTCATACAAGTTTCTCGCTAAACATTTGGACCGGCCGGACCGAATCGGTCTTGCCGGTCCGTGCGGTCCATTTCGGTAATAACTTGATAGCCAAAGGCGGACCTTCACAAAAGTTATTTATTTTTTAAAGGTTCAAACCATAAGCTAAAAAGTTATTTTCGATTTTGCAATTTTTGAAAATCCGGACCGGTCCGGCAAAACACTGATCGTAGGCGGTTTTTTATAGCGAATTAGGGTTGACTTACTCCAACCTTCAGTTGTCATGTTGTTAAATGACTTATCTCGCAAAATACCAGCGTTGTTAATCAATATATTTGGAAATATTATTGTAGAAAGATTTTTTAACCAAAAAATTTTAAAAAAACTTTTGAAAAAAAGCGCAAGTTAGCTAGATCAATCCAGGAACATACACGCATGACTTCAATGCGATCATCGGCATCAACTGTAGTTGTATAGCGTAGAAAATTTATTAATAAAGCTTTAAAACCGTTAAAAAATAAAATTTTTTATTTTTAAACTTACCTACCCTCTCAAACCTTTCAATGCCCGTTTTGACGATTTTGCCGCTAAACTCTACAGTATCACAGTTAGCTACGGCGGTTACGTCATTCGCTTCAATTTCCCGTACAACTTAATCGGCCATATTAGTACTCTTTGTACTACCATGTAAATCCCCGCCTATATCATTGACTACAAGATTGACACTACGTTTTGCCAACTCCGTAGATTAAACGCGGCCAAGGCCACCGCCGGCAACGGTTTCTATTTCTGCTTGATCGTCGAGTCAGATTTGCATTTAAAGTGGTGTAAGGTTGGTATATTTTTAAAAATTTAGCAATAGTACTAACAATTTTAAATATTAAATAGTAAAAAAATGCCATGAAACTAATTGTTTAATCGTATTTTACAAAAAATATCCAAAACACGGCTAACTGGCTTGTTGCCACGAACCGAGATCGAACCGGTGACCTTTAGATCTTCAGTCTAGCGCTCTCCCAACTGTGCTTTCATGACGATGTTAGAGAGGGCATTAGTTTAGTTTGGATGACCAACCTTAATATTAAAAATGTAAATTTCTAGCGATTCTTTCACTAGAACTCGGGTAAAACGATAACAAAACTCATTGTTAAGGTGTTAAAATGCCGTTTTGTGTAAATTTTAAACTCTAAAGTAACTTTTTATGTTACTTTCGCTTTGTTTTTACTGTATTCCATTAGTTTTTTGTGTTTTTTTTGCAACAAACGACCTTTTATTCTGATTTTGAAATTTCAAAATTTTTGGTTTTAAATTGAAAACATGTCTTTTCTGCCATTTTAAATTATATTTTTTAATTTTTTTATTATTTCATATTATTTTACTTTCTTTCCTATTGTCAACCTTATGTCATATCACGAAGAATAAGTTCAAAGACAAATTGTTATCAATGTCTTATCATAAACTTCATATTTGTAACAAAATTTCTAATCTAACAATAAGATTTTCTATTCGATTTTCAAATATATTTAATGTCAGACACTGAACCACTGAATCCACAGGGTCAAACACCATGGAATTCGATTTACATCACCAGCGTTCTTACGTTTGTCAGTGCAGTTCAATACAGTCTTTATTTTGCTGCTTTGTGGCCGTATATGAAAATTGTAAGTTGTAAAATTTTAGAACGAATTTTTGGGATGGATGTAGGACAGGCAGGGGGTCTTAGGCTTACCACGAATATCACGTTTTAGGGTTAGCAGCACATAATTTTGGTTTTAGCAACAGGCAATTTTAGGCTTATTACGCAAGGTTTAGGCTTAGTAGCAGCGAATTTTAGGCTCAGTACGCAATGTTTAGGCTTAGCAGCACTTTATTTCAGGCTTAGAAGCAGAAAATTATAGGCTTATTATGCAATTTTAACAGCAGAGAATTATAGGCTTAGCAGCATATAATTTTAGGCTTATTACGCAAAGTACAGGCTTAGCAGAAAAAAATTTTAGGTTCAGCAGCACATAATAGGCTTAGCAGCATATAATTTTGGTTATTACGCAAAGTTTAGGCTTAGCAGCTTGTAGTTTTAGGCTTAACAGCACACAACTTTAGTTTTAATACGCAAAGTTTAGGGTTAGCCGCACATAATTTTGGGCTTATTACGAAAAGTTTAGGCTGAGTAGCACTTTATTTCATGCTTAGCAGCAGAAAATTTCAGGCTTATGACACAGTCTATTTTTATGACTGGCAATTTCAGATTGATCCAGAAATCAACGCCAACTATTTTGGTCTTACGGTATTTGCCTACAGTGTGGAGCAGATTATAGCTGCTCCATTGTTTGGGAAGTGGAGTAATGTAGTCAAAGAAGTGAAACAGCCTTTATGTGCTGGACTAGGTTTAATGTTTCTGGGTAACTTGCTTTATATTCTAATGGAAGTTTTACCTGGCCCTAAGAGGTTTATTTTGTTGATTTGTAGGCTTATATTGGGGCTTGGTTCGGGTGAGTTGAATACAGGTTGCGCCAAAAGTTCTGTTACAAAACTTTACCGGTCGTTTTCTCTAGTTGCGGTTAAATTATTTAAAATTTTTAAATTTCCAAAATTTTGAAGTTTTAAATAAATTTTGAAATCGATTTTTAGTTACAAAAAATCATTTTAAAACGAAAATAAGTTTTTTTTCTAAAAAAATTAAAATTTTTAGGCAACCTAGCCCTATTAAGAACCTACGTAGCCACAGCCAGTACATCTCAAGATAAATCTAAAGCTATAGCTTATGTCACGTGTGGCCAAGCGTTGGGAATGTCGCTAGGCCCAGCTTTTCAGATTATTTTTACAGTTTTTGGCTATCCAGGGATATCATTTCTGGGTCTACATATCAACATATTTACTGCACCAGCCTACTTTGCTTGCTTAATGAACATTGCTGGAGCTGTTTGGTTGTCTGGGTACTTTGTTGAGGCTTATGCTGAGGAATTGAATGATGTAAGTTGAAATTTTAAAAGTTTTTATGATAGGTTGTTCGAAAAAGAATGGCATTTTGGCGTAAAAATCTAAGGTTATAATCGGCCATTCTTTTTGAAGCAATCTTTAGTCAGGATTTCATTTATTCTGAATTTTTATTAAAAAAACTTAAAACTTTTGAAAATATTTTAAAATAATTATATTAATATATATATACAATCACTGAAAGTAGTATCATTTAAAACTTCTGTATCTCTCCGTGTAACACCAAGAATCAACCAATTTTTGATAATAAATAGCCGCGATGTTCTCACTGTAACCGCTGACATCGTGAAACATAAGTTGTTGGCTAAGTTCTACTAGAGGGTGTTTTGTGCGACATATGTCCGCATTGTACTGGACTAGCATTTTGTCTAAAAAAGTTGAAATTAGTAAAGGGTTTTTGGTTTTTTTTTAATAAACATGAGGTTAAAGATAGGTCAAGCTAGCCCGAAGTCCTATTCTAGAGCCCTAGCCCAGATCAGTAGTCCAATGCCCTAACTCAGAGCTCTAGACCAGAGCTTCAGAGTCCTAGCTCTAGCCTTAGCCACTGATCTTAGCCACAGCCCTAGCCCAGAGCCTCAACTCAGAAGTCTAGCCCAAAGCCCTAGCCCGAAAGCCCGAGCCCTAGACCTGAGCCCTAACCCAGATCTCTAGCCTAAAGACCTAGCTCAGAGCCTTACTCTAGAGCCCTAGCCGAGAGCCCTAGCTCAGAGTCCTGGACCTATGCTTACAATTAGTTCTTGCTTTGGCTCTATATCACTAGACCTAAAGCCCTAGCTCATCATTTTTTAAACCACTCCATGCCTAGACATAGCCTGAGTAGACATGGGGAAAGGGCCGGGCCTGAGCAAAACTCAGATTAGGCCGGGCCATAAAAGTGGTAAGCCTAAGTTCCCATTTTTTATGTCCCTTACTTTGTGGTTTTTCCTGTAAAAACGCGATTTCAAATGCCTGCCATCCAAACTCATGTTCATTTGGATCAAGTTCCAAATGAAGACTTTCCGGTGTCCAACGGGGACTGTCATCCTCAACATCGCTGACAAAAAAATCTAGTAGATTGCGGTCATCAGCTTCTGCTTGATTATGATTATCGTTTTCAAGTAACTGTCGTATTGCATCCTCGTCGTTATATTCTAGTAGGCCGCGAACGTAGGCGCTGGGATGAGTGTCTTCTGGGTCATCTACATTAACTAAAGGTTCTTCTTCGTCGTTACTTTGATCTTCCTTATTGGATTGAGTATTGTCGTCAGTATTTGAATTTTCGGTTACAGACAAGTCTTCTACTGACTCTGATAAGGCTGGTTCTGATGAATCTTCTTCTGTGACAGGTAGATCTTCTACAGAGTTAGACAAGGATGGTTCTGGTGCATCTTCTTCTGTAACAGGTGAATCTCTTTCAGACTCTGATAAGGGTGAATCTGATGAATCTTCTTCTGTGGCAGGTGGATCTTCTACAGCCGGTGATAAGGCTGTTTCTGATACATCTTCTTCTCGATTAGATGAATCTTTTGAATCATCTGATTCAGAACTACTGTTAAGTGTATACTCAGTGTAGGCTACAGAAACATTGCTGTAGTCCGAGTCACTAGATAAGCCGGCTTCACTGTGTCTATCAACATCTATTTCATTTTCTTTAGTTGCGTCGTTATTATCTTGATGTTTCTCATCATCCCGAGATGTTTCGCCGTGATGTTCTTCATTATCTTGAGATGTTTTACTGTGATTTTCATCATCATAGTATGATGTTTCATCTTGATGTTGTTCATCATCGTGTGATGTTTCACCATGATGTTCATTATCATTCTCAGGCGTTTTGTTGCCTTCACCGTGAGCTTCTACATCGACTTCAACATTTTTATTCAAAGCTTGTTCAGTATCCCCTTCCACACCCTTCTTCATCCTATTTACACTATCAATAGCCATGCTTACATAGTCATCCAGTGTATACAGTTTGTCATCGTGAGTCCTATTATATTCTTCTCTGTCTTCATGTAACTGTAGAAAATCACAATAATCTTTCACATCCCTAATTGCAGTTTCATTGAATGCGTTAAGTTTTGGACTGGAAATAGGTATCCTTCTTTCCAAATTCGCTCCAGGAACACGGTAGTTTTCGGTAATGCTGAAATCTGGGGCAGTGATGCCCAAGATCGTGTGTGGCTTTTTCATTGTCGAGCCGGCGTAAACCCATGTTCCAGTACAGGAATCGAAACTGTAAAGCTGAAAATTGAAAATCGTGCGTAAGGTTTAGTAACGAGGTAGGCAGTGCCGAGCGGGGACTTTTGGTCTGTGGGCGGGGATCGAAAAAATTTCTCCGAAAAATCCACAGGGGGGACCACGTTTAACTTTTTTCAAAATTTTTTTTATAAACTTTCCCCCCTCCCCAGCGCCCGGCCCTGGAGGTAGGGTAAAGTAGGATAGACATGAGGAAGGGACCGAACCGGCTTTGACCCAAATTTAGGTGGACCCGGGCCTGAGAGTCAAGACTCGGCACGAAGAGCCAGGCCTGTTTGCACGTAAAAAAGTTAGGGCCAACCCGATCCTGAGCAAAATTTAGCTTGGGCTGGGCTTGAGTATGATGCCCGGCCCGTTCGTCATGCCTAAAGTAGAATAATAACGTAACCTGCGTACGGTAGGCTACAACAGGGTAAAGTCGGCCAAAGTTAGTGGAAAGCAGAGCGGGGTATTTTGTTTAGCTGGTGTTGCAGAGAGGGGGGGGGGGGTGGAAAAAGCTTTAAAAGCTAGGGTAGGGTAGGGTAGGGTAAGGTAAGGCAGAGTAGGGAAGGGTAGGGTAGGGTAGGGTAAACACAATAAAATAAAAACTGTCAAAAACTTACGAATCCTCTGTGGCATCGTACAAGACATTCAGTCAAGACATCACAGTCGTCAATGTCCGAAAAAAGCAAACTGCCATTTTCAATATTGTACATTTCAAATGGCGATAAATTCGAATTTTCGTTACCATAAACAATCTTTACGCAGTTTGTTGAGGTCAGAAGAGTGACATAGTGAATATACGAGTAATTTTGGTTCAACGGTACCTCGTACTTCAAAGCACTGTTTACATCGTGTATCGCTAGTTTGTCCTCTTCAACACAAGCCACGTAGTAACCACGAATTGCTATGATATTCGTTCGAATATTTTCAATCGAGATTTTCTTCGTACTCAGAACATCCTGTATGAAAGTGCAGTTGTAGTCGTGGGTGAAAACGCTGGCATTGAACTTGATGTTGGTTCGTTGATCCGTGGAAAGAGGCTGATTTGACTTTAAGTCATTAACAAAGCTTTGACCATTGTCAGTCTGAAATTGATTGTCACTTTTTTTTAATGGTAGGGGAGGTAGGGTAAGATATCTTAGGGCAGGATATGGTAGGTTAGAGTAGGGAAGAGTAAGATAAGTTAGGTTAAGGTATGGTAAAGTAACATAGGTTAAGTTGCAGTAATTTAGGATAGGGCAAGGTAGAATAAAGTAGAGTAGAGTAATGACTTATTAGGTAGGGTAGGTTAGGGTAGAGTACAGTGTTATCGGCAATAGAAGTGTGGTCCTCCCTCTCTTTCCGTCTTGAGGCTGTACCCCCCCCCCCCCCTTACTGAGAACACTAGTAGAGTACGGTAGAAGGTAAAGTAGAGAAAGGCTTCCAAAGTAAAAAACCCTTTTCTTCTCCCCCTCCCCCCCCCCTCTTCAGATCTCTCCCCCCCCCCTCTTCAGATCTCTCCCCCCCCTCCTCGCCAAAAACACCAGTAGAGAAAGGTACAGTAGGTAGAGCACAGAAAGCAACCCAAAGTAAAAAAATCACTTACAGAAACAACGACGTAGTTTTGATCGCTAGTAATTACAGCATTTATCACATTTGCTTGATATCTGAACACTTTGACAAGAGGACGCGCAAAATCCATACTACAGACCACCAAAACCTTTCCCTTGGCAAACATGACAAAGTGGCTCATGTAGCCAAAAAAAACGCCAATCCACAACTTTGTCGAGTTTTTCCATAATCGACGGTGGACACTGAAATTTTAGGATATTAGTAAAATTTTAAGCCTAAAAGTTTTTAAAAGTCCAATTTTTACTTTCAAAAACTGCTATACGGTTTTGGCTAGCTAGACATATGAAACGGGCCGGGCCGGCTTTAAGCAAAATTTTGATCGGGCCGGGTCTGAAAAATGGGCTTGGCCCGTTTCACATGTCTACGGCTAGCAAGATTTTCCCGGCCAAAGGATGTCTTGTATAACCAAAAAAAATCGATCACAAGCTAAAAAAGATGTTTAAAACAAAAAAAAACTTTTTTAAACTTACTCAGCGAACGCATCCGCCCATAACTCGCCAGGAAGCCGGTATATGTGATTTCGAACACAAACTTTTTTAAAATCAAAATTTATAATTTTTTGCGATTTTAATTTGATTCTAGCCAAGTTCGTGATCGATGACATGTCACAATGCTTCATTATGATGTCCCAGATCTGTAAATTATTAAAAATTACGTTTTTTTATTAACAATGGTTTAAAAATAAAGATTTTATAAGACTGATAACAGGGGTTTTTAAAATTATAATATTTGGTGCCGACATAAAGAACCCGCCATTTTTTACAGGAAATTACAGGCAATGTATGGCGGGTCCTTTATGTCGGCACCGAATAAAGTCTAATTTAAAAAAAGTTTTTGTTAAGTTGAATCAAAAGTATCGGGGCACTTTTTAATTAAAAAATAAATGAAAAGTGTCCTATTATTTTCGGTTCAACCAAAATTTTTAAAATTAAAAAATTTTTAAAATATACTTACATCTCGATTCATCTGGCCAATTTTCTTCATTACTTACAAAACACAAAATACAATTTAAATAAATTAGCAACAAAACACCTTTTTCCAAAATCGTGTAATCACCACGGTTAGAGACGCTGAGGTTCTTTGCTAAACGCGGAATGGCATGCGGTAAAAGAAGCGCTATCTACGTTTAAGACGCTGGCTGCGTACGATAGTTTGGCGCAATTTTTTTATATTAAACTAGATGTAGATACAAACAAAAATGTCAAATACGGATAATAAATATTAAATAATAGTCAAAATACAAATTGCGCCAAAAGTTCTGTTACAAAACATTACCGGTCGTCGTCTCTATTGACTATGTTATAACTAGTACTATGTGTTAATATTGTTAGTTGTTGTTTTAGTTATATTTGTTGTTAAAATAAATATTAATTTAACCGCAACATAGAGAAAACGACCGGTAAAGTTTTGTAACAAAACTTTTGGTGCGCCCTGAAATTGAAAAACCGTGTAACAGAACTTTTGGCGCACTCTGTATGCATATATAGCCAAATAAAAAAATTTTGGGTTTATACAAATGAAAACACTTAAAGTTACTACTAGCCTTGTGAAAGTGCAAGACAGGCTTAACTTTTAAGTCCGACCCTCGGGCAAGTCAAATCTTTCGTTGCGAGACCAGAGCTGGGTCTCTAGTGCCTTTAATTTAGCCAGGCTCTTAGGCTAATACGATCTGGCTTGGTCCCTTTAAAATTTCTATCTGCTTGTCTTAACGTAAGGCAAACCTTTCTTACTAAGATCACTTTCAAGCCATTTACCACGGTTGTCTTTCGTATGACACACAAATTTTTAGGAAGACGGAGTATCACCAACACTACAAGAGCACCATGTGTATGATAGAAGAGCTTTGGTGGTGTGTTATGTAACACGATTTGTGGACAAGTACGTTAGAACGAACATTGAAACGTTGGGCCCACCGTTCGCTATGATGATGTTCGCTTTTGATAAGATAGAAGCAGTTAAATATCCGTCAATGGCTCAGGGCCTAGTTGGTAGCATTACTTTTATTATGTACATTGTGTTTATTAACATCAATGTGGAGAAGTAGTAAGGGAGTTACATTTTCATTTACTGATAGTATTTTTTTTTATTTTTTTTAAATTTTAAAGTTTTTTAAAAGTTTTAAAAATTTTTAAAAAATTTTTAAAAAATTAATTTAAATTTTAGTCTAAAGTTACGAACCAACTGTATATTAGGGTTGATTTTCATGCTAATCTTCCACTTTATGACTTATCCGTATGCCATCTACAATAACCATGTCAAGTACAATAATGGTATGCTTTTTGTTAAGTAAGATAGGCTAAGGAGTGGTAAGGATAAGCTTTTGCGTTTGTCAAGGCAAGGTCTTGGTCAAGGCAAGGTCTTGATCAAGGCAAGGACTTGATCAAGGCAAGATCTTGGTCAAGGTAAGGTCTTGGTCAAGGCAAGGTCCTGGTCAAGGCAAGGTAATGGTCAAGGCAAGGGTTTAGTCAAGGCAAAGTCTTAATCATGGCCAGGTCTTGGTCAAGGCAAGGTCATGGTCAAGGCAAGCTTCTGGACAAGACAAGGTCTTGGTCAAGGCAAAGCAAAATCAAAGAAAAAATCAATATTGTCCTTTTCAGAAACCGACCACCCTGAAATAGGTTGTAATGTAAGCCGTTACAAGTGGTGTTTTGAGTTGACAGCAATTTCACCATGGTTATACTATATATCGTATATTGTTCTGATCGGAGTGTCATTTCCAGTGATGACAATCTCTTTATCAACCCTGTTTTCAAAAGTTCTGGGACCGAGAAGGCAAGGAACGCATCAGGGATGGCTACAAGTTTTTAGCTCATTTGGTAAGGGATTTCAAGCTCTACAACTTATTTAGGGCTTACTGTAACATTTTTGATAGTACAGAATCTATATTTAACTATATTACAGTATCCCTAGACAAATATAATACAGTATACATTGTTAAACCTAAAGTATACCCCTTAGTTTAAGGCCGCATGTTCGGTTCCATGGCATCAGCTTCAATGTACGTTAATGGTGGCCCACGACCAGTATGGCAGATGGAAATAGCCATCATCGGCACTACCATAGCTGCATGGTTTTTGTTTTTCAATAGCATGGTAGCTTATCGACCACCAAAACCTCGGCCGGTTCATGAAGGCAGTGAAAATTCTAATCAAAGCATTGAATTTGTGCACCATTCGTAGTACTATATGTAATAGTAAAAATAAATTTAAAAATAAAATAAAATAAAATAAAATAAAATAAAATAAAATAAAATAAAATAAAATAAAAAATATAAATAAAATAAAAATGAAATAAATTTTACTTTGATACGACGTTTTATTTTACTACAGCAGTAAAAAATTCAACAACAAAATAGTAACTACCAAACGCTTTTCGGTCGATTTTTCAAGTAATCCTGAAGTGGTGGTAAAGCATGAACACGTCTTACGTAGTCAGTAAGTTCCGGATAATCATCAAAAAAGTTCCTTCCTGAACCCCATAACCGAGTACAGCCATTCAGCAAAAAAGAAGTCGGCGACAGTCGGCTTTTGTGAGGCTATGAAGTTCATGTGATGCTTCTTCAACATCTTCACTAATAAAGGAAAGTATTGAGCGGTAATGGGTTTGGCTTGGCTTTCGTATAGCTCGTCCTGAAAGATTGTGGTGTTAATTGCTGTTAAGGGAGTATAGAGGCGTTGTTACAGATTCTTACAGAAAGGGGAGGAGTAGATGAAGGTAGGCCTATAGTTACGACCCTGAGAGTACAGGGTGCGCCAGAAGTTCTGTTACACGGTTTTTTAATCAAATATTTGTTTTAACAGCAAATATAACTAAAACAACAACTAAAGATAGTAACATATAGTACTAGTTATAACATAGTCAAACGGTTTCGAAGTGTCCCCCTTGTATAATTAGAAAGCTGTGGAAAAGCTATCATATATACAAAAACTATGTAAAGTTATATTAAAGCTATCATACCGTTAAGTTTAGAGCTATTATACATTTTGAACTCACTTTGTCCAACCCTCTCAGCCCACCCGACGAGTAGTTGAAATCTGCCATTTTAGCGTACATATCTTTGTAAGTCGCTAAAGCTTCATCTATCCTCGCCATTTCTAGTTCATTTCTACCTCCAAGGCCTGTAAAATTCAAAAAATATTTTTAAAAAATTTTCTTTAATAAAAGGCGCAGAATTAAGTGAACAGCCTAATATTACTTTAGTATTACTTACTTAGTATTAGTTATTTTAAAGTTTGAAACTAAAAAAATTGATTTTTAATAAAATAGTCAAAATATACCTAATAATCTATAATACTTACCAACTTTTCTAGCCAAATAACAAGCAATTGCTGTGCTTTGAGACAATTTTATCTTGCCATTGTCTATTGACAGCACTGGTACAGTGCCTTGGGGCATTTCTGAAGTTTTTGAAATTTATGAAATTTTTTTATAAATTTTAAAAATTTCAAAAAATTTTTAAAAATATATTTTTGACCTCTTAAAATTGAAAAAACCTACTATTTTTGTAGTTGCGCCAATCTTTCTGCTCTATTCTGACGTCTTCAAACTCAATATTACCATAGTGCATGACCATTCGCACTGGCTCGCCTATCCCACGCACATTAAAGTAGTAGAATTTGTAGTCTGGCATTTTTGATACTGTATCAAAATGAATGTGTTTGCCTAGTTTAGACGGCAATTTTTGTCAATTTTTAGGTAATTTGGCACTGTAGAGGCTTTACCGTATAGTAAACATCGCACCGAGACAATGATCACTCAGAGCTTATGGTTATATTTAGGTAAATAGATTTAGGGCAAAACTTTCTTACTAGGCTTGTAAATGAAGCATTGTATCAAAAAATGGTTTACAATTAAAACTATGGTACTATTTTTTACAGTGGTAAGGATAAACGTAAGTTAGTAGTTTTTCTAGTACTATAATACTTATAAAATGAAACAACAATGCTCTATACGACAAGAAAAGCCAAGTTAGTAATTAAGAAATGAGTAACAAGAAGGGCACAGCTTACTATTTACTTTAGCATTAAGAATTTCATGTTGTCATGGAGCCTTCGTAACGTATGTACGTTTTTTGTAACACAACACAAAAAATGACTGTTTTAGTATGAGGTTTAGTTTGTGCTTTGTCATAAGTACAAGATTATAAGTTATTCTATTTATTATACAACTTTATATACAAAAACTTAATATTTTAGGCTTATAAGGTAAGACCAAAACCTTGGCTACAAACAAGCCTAAAGTTAGGCTTACAAGTAAACTGTTATAAGCTTAAAACCCAGCCAGAGTAAACCGTTATAAGCCTAAAACCTAGCCGAAACTGATCGCAAACTTCTTGAATAGGTATAAGTTTCAGTTTGAAACGACTTTTTGTACTGTACTGATCGTAGTAGTATACGCCGATAATCACGCATAAAATAAAACGTTAACATGGCATTAATAGCTGATACCCAACTTAACGGTGACATTAAAAATATACCGTAGAATTCACCATCAATACCCAACATAACACAATATAGTAGAACTGCTACTGGAAAGTTGGCTAGTAGGCCTATGCATATTGTCTGAAATGAAGTTGTTTTAGTTTTGCAATTTTATAATAATAGCAGTGCTGGCGTGCGATTGATCAAGGGTTTAGCCCTAAGCACAGGCACACCCCCAGGACTATGTTCAGACTCAGGCTCAAGCTCAGGCTCTGGCTCAAACTCAGGTTTCAAGCTCAGGCTCAAGCTCAGGCCCATGCCCAGGCCCAGGTCTAGTCCAGCCCAACTGAAGCAATTTTAATTGTGTGGACACAGAGACCGGTGCCCAAATTGTAGCCTCAGAAGCAAAGTTTAAGCCAAAGCCAGACTAGGGGTGAGAAACGGGCCGGGCCGGGCCCACTCTTCAGGCCCGGCCCAGGCCCGAGGCCCAACGTTTAGGCCCGGCCGGTCAGAAAATTTCTAGGCCCGGCCCGGCCCGTTTTAAAAAATTTTAAAAATTTTAAAACTTAAAAAATAAACGGAAGTTTGGCTTTGCATTGTTCTTTTAGATCATTTATGTATCATGGTACCCAACAAAATCAAAAAACATCAACGGGGATTAAAATAAAAAATTTTTAAAAATTAAAAAATTTTTTTTTCGGGCCCGGGTCCAATTTTCAAGCCCGGCCCGGCCCGTTTCAATTATAGCTCAAGGCCGGGCCGGGCCTAGACGGCCCGTTTCTCACCCCTAAGCCAGACCCGTAAGCCAAGTCGAAAAGTCCGACACACCAGCCGGCACAAAAAAAAATAGTCTAAGACCTTTTACAGAACTAGTGAAAACCTTTTGCTCTAAACCTATGTACATACATACCTGTGACAACAAGCTTCGAGTAAACTGACGCTGTAAGCTTTTTGTAGTTTTAGACACAATGGTTGATATTGGGTTGGCAAACACATAAGCCTTGTAGGCATATAAAATTAGGATTACTATAGAACTTCCAGATATGATAGTAGTTACCAAAATGAAAATTTTTGTTGATAAGTCCTGCTAAAAGTGATGTAAATTAATGCATAGTAGTAAAATATAGTATAGTAAAGTAATTCTTGTTAAAAATATAAGACTCTTATCTCTTCTACAAAATATATAATCTTTACTGTATAACACATAAAACTATCTTTATTACTAACAAAAACTTACAAAATCAGTAGCATAAATAAATTCTGATTTGCCATTTTCATCAAACCACATGTCAGATAAAAAGTCAAGATAATATTGAGTGCCTCGAGCATTCATGTCCATTATAGCAAAAACTACGGTAAATCCTACAGTACAGGATGCGCAAACAGCAATAATTGAGTTTACTATTAGCGGTTTCATCGATGAACAGTCACTAAAATGGCATTAAAAATTTTTTTTGACTAAAAAAATGATAGATATGTTTAAATTAAGGGTAGGGTAAAAAGAAGAAACTATATCAAGGCAAGGGTAATTTAAGTTAAAGCTAGATTGAACCAAGGGTAAGGTAAAAGACTAGGTTAGATTGAGACTAGGGTAAAATTAAAATTTAGGGTCAGGTTAACCCTAGAGTACCGTAAAGTAAACAGATTAATAAATTTTTATATTAAAACTCACTTTGCGATCAACTGATACCTAAACTGATAAATAGCTGGCAATAATGTTATACTGTTAGTAATCAACGTAGCATGTAAGAAAAATGTAAGTGGATATACACTTCTTGGCAAATGTTGCTCTATGCCATGGCCAAATATCATGAAACTACTGTTTTTCATACATACTGTCTAAAATTATTATATGTTATAGTAGATTGTTCAAAAAGTTCTGTGCTCCCTATTTCCAAAAAAGGAGGTTTTAAAGGGGGCACAGAACTATTTGAATGAAATAATACTGATTTAACAAAAAAAAGTTTGAGCCCACTCTCTCTCCCCCTCCTCCTACTCTTGCATCTGACATGTGATCTCCCCCCCCCCCCCCCCCGCGCCGAACGCTAGTTATAGCTCTAAAAACCTACATGCTGAATCAAAACTTCAAGTAAACAAAAAGCAATGTCCTGTATGCCAATTACAAACACCATCCAGGAGTAAGCATGTATCCGTCGGTTCTTAGCTGACAATAAAACTGCCGTTACCAACAACAAGTTCAATATTAAGCCTACCCCAGAGCCTAAAACATCGCTCAACCAAAACCATACTAAGTAGGCGGCTGTCATCTGGAAAATTAATACACTCTTGAAAAATATAAATTCAATAGTATAGTACATGAAAAAAAATTCCGGCAACTTTAATACAGGTAAAATACGCTTGTCCAAGTAAGCCCAATAATTTAATTTTAACAGACAAGATTTATTATTAACCATTTCCTAATGAAAGGCCGAAAAATTCACTGTACTTGTTAGCTCATATGTTACAACTCTTTTAAAATGCGGTACGTGTAATATAATTTACACAATTAAATTCCCGTTGCTGTTAGCAAAAAAATTAATCAGCCTAAACTAAAAAACAAAACAGTTGAAAAAAGCAAGCTATGAATAACAAGGAAATAAACATTCTACCCTACCCTACCCTACCTTACCCTACCCTACCATACCATACCCTACCTTACCCTACCATACCCTACCCTACCCTACCCTACCCTACCCTACCCTACCCTACCCTACCCTACACAAAAAATTCCAAAAAATCTTACCTTATCCCACCATACCGTCAAGAAAATAAAAAATCCTAACCCTTCTTACTCTACCCTACCTAATAGTGTCCGACTAACTTCCCTATCATATCATAATATATCACACCTTTTTCGGCCACACTACCCTCCTTTTCCCAACTTTAAGACTACTCTGTTCCTACTTTAATAACAGTAAAATTTCTGCCAAGCGTAACAACATGATCATTGTGCAAAAATAATATTTTAATCATAAGGTATATGAGAAAGTACTCAAGCAATCAGATTTTTGAACTCTTTTTAGTCTCACAATTAGTTATAAGAAATTTAATTTACTGTGCGGCTTATATCTAAACAACAATATATTACAATGTTAAAAACAGAAAACAGATAAAATAAAATTGATCTTCAGTAAAAGTCATGCTGTTGTTTGTTAATTTTTTTTAGCCTTGCATTATACCCTACTCTACTTTATCAAAGTCTAGCCTATTCAACCCTTTATTGTGTACTAACCTATATGTCTCTTTACCAAATACTGATCTACGCATTCTATTATTGCATACAAAGTTACCCTACCTTTTTTCATGTCCTAGCCTACCCAACTCTATACGAACCTACCTCAACCCGTACTTTACAAACAATGTCATTCCCAAATAAAGTATAACAATCCGGTAAACGGCTTTATGACCACTATTACTTAAAAATTCATTACTAACACAGCTGACATAACCTAGTAATTAAAAATCAAGTTTATATATTACCAGTACTAGCTACGAAATCATTTTCAACACTACCAAAAGTGCATTTACATTAAAATACGAACAAATCATGTATGAACTACTATGTTATGTATTCTAGTATATTAAGATGACATTTATCGACTAGTGTCTCTAATTCAAGTTGTTTCTTTTGACAGGTGAAAGTGGTAGTCTAATTATTGAATTTGGCTAGTGGAACATGACTGTTCAAAAATTTTTGAAATTGAAAAATAAAAAAATTTTTATTTTTTAAATTTTTTAAAATTTTGTTTGATAATTTAAAATTATCAATAACTGTTTAATAACTGATTAAAAGTAACATTATATTACAATATTGTTACGGGCCGATCTTGAGTCTTTTCTGAGATCGGGCAAGCAATAAATTAGCCTGCCCGAAAATACGAAAAGACCTGATATCGCCGTATAGAGGTCAGTTGCGTTTATTGTAGGCGTAGGGAACAGGACGCTCTCCCTACGGGTCTCCTCAACAAAGTATAATATGAGAAGTTCGGCTCTGTACTATTTGAGGCTGCTCTAGACAAGAACAGGGTAGCAGGAGGGACTAAACTGCCCGCTACAATATAATGTAGCTTCTGGACTCATTTAGTCACATCTTTAATCGTAAAGCTATGTCATACAATAATTATCTACAATTATAGTTTGAAACATTACTTCATTTGACTAATTACACACCTCCGCTCTTGGCCGTTTCTAAATTCAAAAATTTTAAATTTTGCAAAAAAAATTTTAATTATAACTCACATAGACTACTTTTTAATAATTACTAACCTATGAGCAAAGAGTAACCTTATTTTTACCGCAAACATCATATCGTATCTATGGACAAATCATAGTTTATATGCCAACGTTCACAGTAGCTCACAAAAACATCATTTACACCAACTTCTACGAAAACACTAATAAACTAAATAAAACGTTACTCAAAAGCTACATGACTAAATTGTAATTAAGTTTTTATTGCGACAGTAATGTAATTTGACCAAGAAAAGTGCCTACGCAGCGGTAAATACGCGCCATAACACATGCTACAATGACAACAAACATAATGTGTTTAAAGTAACAATGTAAATCATTCTACTCTTATTAATATTATATACTTTCTTCGTTTTTAAAAACATACTTGGCCTGAGGAGTTATTTTTAGTCCTTTACTGTTTACAAAGTGACACTTGACTCAACGTGTCAACATTTTCTCTGTAAATATTATTTTTTTGGAATTTTCGCGTGGGCCGTTTTTCAGTAAAATTAGTCAGAAATACCTCAAAAACCTGTCGTATTTTGGCAATTTCTTGTCATATATAATGATACGACAATTGACCAGATCGTTACGACCATTTTATGGCCGATTATATTATTCTACGGCTTCTCCAAAGGTTTTGACAGAGGAAAAAGAGGCCGAAGACGTAAATTTCGACAGTTTTATGGATGATCTAGTTCAAGAAACGGTTCATACTGCTCCTAATGATCACGCAAAAACAAGAAAGATTTATGCTTTAAGTTTCCAGGATTTGAAAACGGTAAGATTGTGCTTTTGTTTTAACTTTGGGTTTAGGAGTTCAATCTTCGTCCACCAAGAAGCGAATGGGAATTAGTGACGTTTCTGGACTATTTGGTGGCTTTGAACAAGAAGGATAAGAAAATTAAATATCAAGAATGGTTAAAAAGGTAAGTGATCGGATTTTTAATAAATGTTTTGATGTTTAGGGCTATTTTGAGTTGAAACATCAGCTTTGATGAATAACATAACATATTTTGGTGTTAAACACACTTTATGATACAATTTTTGCACAATATTTATAAAAAACTGTCTTGCCATAACTGCAAGTATACTTTACTTTGATTTTTTTTCTAAAAATACATTTTATTCAATTAAAAAATGACATTTTTAGCGAAGAACTAGCTTCAAGCCTTCACGCAAAACTGATGAGTCCTGAAGCCGCTCCAAATGCTGTAGTATCAGCCTTAGCCGGTCTTCTAACTTTATATTGTCCGCCAAAGGATTCAGAAGCTTCAGATGGTCTAGTTGATTTAAACGTGGCACTAGAAAAGATTGTCAGTTTAGTGGAAGAGATGGTGAAGACAACCCCTTCAAAATTGGACATTCATTCGCTTTTAACACTACTTTTGGCATCTAAACATACTGTCTATAAGCTGCCTGACGGTTTTAGGGAGTCGATTATTCAGTTGTTACCTAAAAAGATTGAGTAAGTTTGAGTTTTTGATATTTTGAAAGGGTTTCTTTGAGTTTTTTGAAAGTTTGCGTTGAAAGCTGAGATATTTAACTGTTTTACATTAGAACGAAAGTTTTTTGTTTTTTAAATGGTTAAAATGGTGTTATGTTATAGAGACATTGCCCAGCCAGCAGTCTTATTGAACATTTTTGAAGTTGACGAGCTGATCAAGAACAATATAACTTTGGACAAAATAGAAGGAAAAATTGATGAATTGCTGTCGATTATGAACACTGGAGAACTGGTTTCATTATTTGCTGTACATGTCAAAGTACGGAGGAACGTGAAAACACTTTCTAGGATTGCTGAAGCTATCAGAACGTAGGTTCATTTATAAAAATTGAGATTTATATTGTTTTAGGTTAGTGTTTTAATGCTTTTTATAACTTTATGTCTTGGAAAGTCTTATAAATTTAAAAAATTTGATTTTGGACAAGCTTTTATGTTAATGTTGTTCAGAAAAGGTACATTAACGGCGAATCAATGTGGAAAACTCCTCACCTCAATGGACTTACTCAGCTTTTATCACCCGAGATTGTTAGCATTTGTCCAAAACCAAATTAGCCAATCACTGCACGAGATTACTCGCTGGAACGTATTCAACACCATCGTATATTCGCTAGCCAAAGTCAAAGTCAACAACCCCCACTTATGGTACTATTTAGCACAATGGACCAACAGTCATGCGAGAACAGCTGATGTCAGTCAACTATCTATGGTATTGTCATCATTGGCTATGATAAATATACCGCCAGAGCTTGTGGAGGTGTCTACGAAGAAATTGGCAGCGATTTTGAAGACGGAACGTGCCAGAAGTCCTGGGGTCTGGTTGAATACGTGTTACTCTTTGGCTATGTTAAGATGTTTGCCTGCTCGATTTGGGGAGACTTTGTTGGAATTGAGTTTCCTCAGTGAATTGAGCAAAAACTGGTAAGGATTTTAGTATTTTGATGAAGGTTTGTCGGCTTTTTGCGTTAGAAACAAGGATCTTGAACGCTAATTTCTTGTTTTTTTTAGCAGTGAAGAGCTACGGTTATTCCGGGTTATTAAAGTCTTTCATGTAGCCAGCTACTTGAAATACGATTTGAATCTTGATGTAAAAGTACCACAAGACGTGTTAAATTTGATCAACAGTAAGGTAAGCCTATTTCTGCGATGTTTTATTGGAAATGAAGATTGTTACAAGGCTTATTGCGTCATTTTAAGGCTTATTTAAGTGCTGTTAGGCTTATAACGCCAATTTTAGGCTTATTTATGTGCTGTTAGGCTTATGACGCTACTTTTAGGCTTATTTTTGTAGGACTAGGCTTATTTCTGTGCGGTTAGGCTTATTGCGTCACTTATATGCTTGTTTAAGTGCTGTTAGACTTATGAAGCCAATTTTAAATCTTTTTATGTGTTGTTAGGCTTATGACGCCACTTTTAAGCTTATTTTTGCGTGCTTAGGCCTATTTATGTGCGGTTAGGCTTATTGCGTCATTTATAGGGTTATTTTTCTGCGGTTAGGCTTATTGCGTCACCTTTAGGCTTATTTAAGTGCTGTCAAGCTTATTACGTCACTTTTAGGTTTATTTCTGTGCGGTTAGGTTTATGACGCCACTTATAGGCTTATTTCTGTGCGGTTAGGCTTATTGCGTCACTTATAGGATTATTTAATTGCTGCCAGTCTTATGACGCCACTTTTAAGATTACTTTTGCGTGCTTAGGCTTTTTGGGTTATCTCTAAGCTTATTTTTTTTTATTTCCTTAATTATTTCTATTTACTTTTTGACCAATGTAACAAGATCATTACACGTTCACTAACTAAAATATGAACCATATCTTTTAGCCAAAAGAAATGCTGATAACCATGCGACATCGCAAAAACGTGGAAGCTGAAGTGCTCAACTTCAACAACAACCTCTTCTTAATCGCACCCAAGGAGACTCACATCAAACCACCTCACATCGAACTCAACACTGGTGCCTACGTGGATGCGGTCGTGTATGTGGACGAAACAACCAAGAAGCTAGTGCCAATTAAAGCGGCCGAAACCCGAAACGACCTCACCAAAGTTGCGATTATTTACGCGACCTACAACTTGTTAACCAAACCTGACCTCGACGAACGAGCACCGGTCAGGCTAAGTGGTGACATTGCCATGAATGTGCGTCATCTTCAGAAGGCCGGCTACAGGACGGTCGTGCTGACCAAACATGAAATGGCACAAATGACAGAAGGACTGGAACAGGCCAAATATCTGAAGAAAGCGATTCAAGAGGGACAGGAGTTGAAGTTGACTCCTGATTTGACTGTTTTTCAAAATTGATTTGAAAAATTTAATTTAAAAATTGAAAACTGGCAGAAGTTTAAATTTGCAAAATTAGGTTTAAATGAAAGGACAATGTGTGACTTGGAACGATGTCATTTGTATTAGGACAGATTTATATATACATATTGTTATCTTTATTTTGTTATAATAAAGTCAAAAAATTTATTTTTTTTTTGGAAATATGGTTATTTTTCAAAGTTGGCATATTTTGAAGATTATGCCATTGTTTTTTATAGGAACTAATAAAAAAAAGAGGTTTTACGTACTCTATAATAGCCCAAAACGATTCTTTACAAAAGCGGAAGACATGACGCATTGAGTCGAGTCTTCTTTTCTATCAAACTATTATTTTACGGACCCGCGTTATCTTCTTCTCAATGTTATTGTCGAAAAATCTATATTATCTTTAACTCTTTTTATTTCTTTTGGTCTTCTAATATCTCTAAGATATTTTAGAGTTTTTTTTGTCAACAATTCATCTGTTTTTATATTTTTTCAGCGGTTTAAACATGTAAAACAATATAAATTAATATTCCGTTATCGTGATCAACGTTTGGAATTGTTTTTGATGTTTTATGTCAGTGTTGATGTTTTCAGATGTCGAAGAACAGTATTTGCACACAAAATATGCGCTACGTTACGAGAAACGATTATTGTTTTTCCACTTTCACTGTGTCTGATCTAATGGGACCGGACAGAGTTGTACTACCTTTGACGTTACGGTTTAATGTGAGTTTTTATAAATTTTATAGTTTTTAATGTCTAGGCGAACTTATGAACGATTGAACGCTTGAAGATTATCCATTTTTGAGCTATTACAGGCTTATATATTAACCATGGATCTGATTTTCAACAACAACATTGTTTCAGATTGCCCCTCCGGCTGACTTTCAGTTTGGTGTTTGTAACATGAAGATCGAGAACTTGTATGATTCTGTAAAGCTCAACAAAGATTGTTTTACGTTTTTGAACTTTAAAAAGCTGTTTTGTGGTGCAGTCGAAAAAGGAGACATGCTCAATATTGTTTTTTACCGAGAAAGTCACGGATCATTGAGGGTAAGATATTTTAATTATTTTTTGTTAGTTTAGGATGAAGATACGATGTTTTAAGTTAAGGTGAATGCTTTTATTTAGGTATTTGACAGGTTTAAAAGGATTAACCTTATTTTCCAATGTTATCTTAGGTTTGATTGAAAAAAAAGTGATTTCTAATTGAAATTTTGTCAAAATATAAATCGATTCGTATAATTGTCGTATTTTACATATATTTTTGTTCTTTTAGATAATGTTTGGAACTGATCAAAAGAGAGCAGAGCCGCTTTATGTTCAGATCAATGAGAAGATGGATACTTTTGTTTTTCAATGCGAGGAGAAGTTTTTGGTAGGTTTTAAGGCGCTATTTCTTGTGTGAACTAATTAAAAATGAGGATCTATCAAATTTTAAAATGATTTTTGAAGCTACACTGTTTTAACTTTTAGAATTCTTCTCTAATCGAGCTCCTGGACACACACGACCTTCTAAATGACGCTCCACCATCCGACTCCTCATGTGTAGTATGTCACGATCGAAAGAGCACAGTTGCGTGTATTCCATGCGGTCATATAGTATACTGTACAACATGCGCCAAACACCAACTGAACTTCTGCCCTGTTTGCAATAAAGTGGTCAATGATCAAGTGGAAGTTGGCTTCAAAGCCAAACGGTGCATGAATTGTCTGGATGTGAAGACGTGCAAAGGCATCGGCTTGATCAATTTACCGTGCGGATGCGTTACACACTGTGAAACCGCGTCCGACTACACACAATACTGCTTATGGTGTGGTGGTAACATTGATGATAGCATTAAATTTTATTTGAGTTGATTGTGTTGTAGGGTAATATCGATGTAGTGTAATGTCAAAGTCGATGTATTGTAATATCATGTAGATTTAAATTTTAGTTGGGAAACTATTTTTTATTTTTAAAAGAAATTTGTTAACTTTTTTAATTTTTTTATTGTTAAACATCATCACCAAGTGCCTGGTATATAATCAATGTTTATTGATCTCTGTAAGGTAATTTTTGTTGTTATTAACTCTTATTTCATCTTTATAACATTTAATTCTTTGAAAATATGTATAAAATAAACCGTGCTGTTTTAAATTTAAAGTTTTATATTGAATTTGGTTTGTTTTTTCAATTATATTACACTGGAGGAGAGGTGGAATTACTTAGCTTAAGGTTGCCGAGTTGGGTGCTTAATTTTTTTGAATATACTTTGCTTTTTTAGCCTAGACTATTAGCTTTTATTTTCTGTAAAAACCACTGAATTTGATAATGAAATCTATGAGATACATCCAATTTTGTCCATCAATACCTGATATTATCATAGGTTAAACAAAATTCTTTGTACCTCTAAAACCAGCAGAACGTTTGAAAGCTTTAATAATTTTTTCATATCAGAATGTGATTTCCCATCGAATGTTAAAAGGTGTAACAGTTCAGAATTGATAAAAGTTGCCTACCGAACAAACTTTTGTTCTAAACTTCGTTATCTCAAAAATTCTTTTGTTAATTGCACGATAAATGTCTTTTATCAAGTTTTTAATTGATTTAGCGGCTTCCAAGTTTGTCAGTCTTGAAAATGCTCTTTCAGCTACTCCTGACCCTGCTTTTGGCTGATTTGGCTTTGGCCGCCAAGTTCACTTGGCCGATAAACAAGAGGAAGAGTGTTAAGAGTCAGCTGATAAAACAAGGTAGGTTTGACAGAGATAATTGTGATACTATATAGTACTTCTTAAGAAAAAAGTTTTTAAAAGTTATTTTTTTACAATAACTTTCTTCACAAAATATGAAATGGCAGAAACTTTCTTTACAACTAAAAAATTGCAAAAACTTTCTTTACAAAACTAAAAATTTGTATTTTTAGGAAAATGGCCACAAATGGCAGCCATGAGACGATTGTACAAGAACACTACCTTGATGGGTGACAGCATTCCGATTTATGACTATTTGGAAGCTGAATATTGTTGTAAGTCATCTTTTTAAAATTTTAAAATTTAAAAATAACATTTTTTTGAAACTAGGTATCAAAAGTTAGGTATTTTAAATCTCAATTTCAGTAATTGCGACCGTTGGAACCCCCGGGAAGAAGTTCAATGCCTTGTTTGACACCAGCAGTGACATTTCTTGGATTATCAGTAACACATGCGGAAACAAGAAGAGTGACTGTCCCAGTTACTGTAAAGGTACGTTTATGTCAATTTAAAACTATATTAATAAAGAGTTTATATGTTTTGGCACTTTGAAACGATCAAAAAAGTCTTGTCGTTTTTTATTGTGGAGCTGCGTGTAAAATGACGACAAGACTTTTTTAAACTAAAATATTTACTCTAAAAGCCAAGGAAGGGGTAGGGTAGGGTAGAGTAGTGTAATGTAGAGTAAATTACATTAGTGGTAATACAATTAAAAAGTCTTATAATAGTACTATATGGCCATAAATGCTGCTTTTCAGGGCAATACTGTGACTTGTTATGTGAAGAAGAGTGCTGCTCAGGTAACGATGACATTGCTTGTAAAGACAAAGAAAAATTTGATCCCAAAAAGTAAGTTTTCAAATAAAATGGCAAAAACCTTTTTTACAAAACAAAGAATGGCAAAAACTTTCTTTAAAAAACAGAAATAGCAAGAATTTTCTTTACAAAGCACAAAATGGCAATTACTTTCTTTACAAAACAAAAAATGGCAAGAACTTTCTTTACAAAACGAAAAATGGCAAGAACTTTCTTTACAAAAGAGAAAATGGCAAGAACTTTCTTTACAAAACAAAAAATGGCAAGAACTTTCTTTACATAATACTTTTTTTTAAATTTTAGTTCCTCAACATACCAAACGTCGTACGGTACCTTTCAACGTTACACTACAATCGGAAAGATTGAAGGAGCCTATGCTACTGACAAATGGACGATTGGAAGTCAAAATGTGACAGCTTTGGCACTCAATAACTACAGGTTTGGACTGGCTACAAGCTTGGGAGACAAATTCCAAACCTACGCATTGGATGGAGTTTTTGGCCTTGGCAGGGGTCTTAATCGTAAGCTTTTTTATTTGTTTGGGCAGGTAAGGTTTCTTAGGTTACAATATTGAGTGGGTAGGGTAAGATAGGGTAGTTGGGTAGGGTAGGGTAGGGTAGGGTAGGGTAGGGTAGGGTAGGGTAGGGTAGGGTAGGGTAGGGTAGGGTAGGGTAAGGTAGGGTAGGGTAAGGTAGGGTAAGGTAGGGTAGGGTAGGGTAAGTTGTATCGTGATGGCGTTTGAACTCAAGGAATACCTCGCGGTAATTTCGAATCATATCCCAGCACTCGCAGTAATTTGTTGGGTCGTTTTACACCGAGGCATATATTACATAAAATGATCACATTACATAAGAAAACGTTGCGTAATACAGTTTCTGACAATTTCTCTGAGGCTATGTTATTGAAGCATTAATGTTAGGTACAAATTACGTCTACCGACGGTTTTTTGTATTTGTAATGCAATACAATGAAGCTAAGATTAAGATCGGTTGGCCAGGGCTCTGGGCTATTTGCTAGGGCTAATGCTAACGCTAAGACTAAGACTAGTTGTTACTGCTAGGACTCATTGTCAGACTATGGTTTAGGCTATTGTTAAAGCTAGGGTTCTGGGCTAGGGCTTTGGGACTAGGGCTCTGGTCTAAGACTAGGGCTAGGACTAGGACTGGGCTAAAGCTAGAGCTACAGTAAAAGCTCGAGCTTGAGACTAAGTTTAAGGCTAAGCCTAAGCCTAATCCTAAGCCTAGCTAGGGCTCGGGCAGTAAGGTATTGAAAAACCTAATTTTTGTATTTTAGCCAAATCCTTTATTGTGGATGCGATTGAGAAGAATCTTTTGGATGAACCGTTGGTTTCTATCTATTTCAAAGACCTTGGTTATAATCAAAACGGTAAAGTTGGTGGTGCAGTGACTTTCGGAGGTATCGACAATGAACATTGTGGCATTGTACTGGACTTTGTACCACTCACTAGTACCTACCAGTGGGAATTCCGGATTGCTAGCGGTAAGAACTTTTATTTTTTGAAATTTTAAAACAGTTAAAATTTTAAAAAAAATCCATTTCAGGCAATCTAAACGGAAACTACGCCCGCGGCGGCCTAGCCATCACCGATACCGGCTCAGCTTACATCCACCTACCCTACTCTTATCTGTACCAGTTCACCAGTAGTGTAGGTGCAACATACGATTACTACAACTCAATTTACAAAGTAAATTGTACAGTAGACTTTACTTTTGCCATAACTATTGGCAAACGAGAGTACAAGATTGATAAGAAGCATCTGATCAACGAGTATCAACCTAACAAGTGTGAACTGATGGTAGATCAAACTGGCTACTGGGACGAGCACGATTGGATTCTTGGTGTACCATTCGCTGAGGCTTACTGTCAAATCTTTGATTTTAGCGGAAAATTGGGATTGGCTGCTACTACACCGTAGAAATTTTGTTGGAGAATATTAAAATCGATTTTTTTGGAGAAATGTATATTTTTGGGTAATAAATGATCAGATTTTAGAAATTTTTTATTTTTTTTTGTTAAAAATGGCAAGAACTTTCTTTACAAAACGAAAAAATGCAAGAACTTTCTTTACAAAGCAAAAAATGGCAAGAACTTTCTTTACAAAACAAAAAATGGCAAGAACTTTCTTTACAAAACGAGGAATTGCAAGAACTTTCTCTACAAATCAAAAATGGCTACAACTTTCTTTACAAACCTGCAAGTGCCATTTCTCATCTATCATACTGGCAGAATTATGTCAAAACAAAACACCTATGTCCTAAGGTTATGATGATATTTAGTATATTTAGTTTTTGTTAAAATTAATCCGATAAAAATGTTTATGATAATGTGTAGATGTTTATGATAACACATTATCATTAACATTTAACTGAATTTTTGTATTTGATTAATTAGTAAACATGCTGAAATTGTTTTTTATTTTGACTTTCCTCTTTGTTGTTAACTCTGCATTTGCACGAAAGTTTACTGTTCCACTACACAAGATAGAAAGTGGTAGAAGTCAACTATTAAAGCAAGGTAATGATATTATATAGCATAAAGCAGGGCTGGATAAAATATTGTAAAGTAGAGTAGTGTAAGGTAGGATAGAGTAAGGTAGGGTAGGGTAGTAGAGAGTAGAGCAAGGCAAGGAAAAAGAAAAGACTTTGAGAGTATAGTCAATATATATTCAGGTACGTGGAGTCAATTTTTATCAACTACACACAGTAACTCTAATTTACCATCGTTTCGTAGGGATTCAGAGAGTCGTTATAACTACTTGGAAGCTGAATATGTTGGTAAGTTTTATCATTACTGCATTATAACGTCCAAGAAAATCTTTTATTAGGCGTTGACATAAAGAATCCGCCGTTTTTTACAGGAAATTACAGAAAAAATATAGCGGGTTCTTTATGTCGGTACCTATTATTTCTGATAGTATCTTTGCTTTTTCTTTTTAAACCTTAATTACTGTAATATTTTAGTCTCATCAACAGTTGGAACGCCTGGTCAGACCTTTTACACTATACCATCTACTAAAAGTGACTTGTCGTGGGTTGTGAATGAGTCCTGTGGCAATAAAAGTGCAGAGTGTTCTAGTCTGTGTAGAGGTGCTTATTGTGAATACCTATGTTCAGCTGAATGTTGTGTTGGTAATGGTGATCCAGCTTGCCGGATTAGACAAAAGTTCAATCCTGAAGAGTAAGTAGCTTTAAACGGTGCTGTTTTTAAAACTTGTGATACTGTAACTTTTTAATGCTCTTCATACTTTTTATACTATGATACTGTACGGTAATTTAATGTAAAATACGGAACAATAATCGTTTATATACTATTTAAGTAATAACATAGTAAATTTACATAGTATACTTTCGTATCAAAATTATTGAGTACGTTAGTGTTATATATGACGTACTCAAAGCTTTCAAACTTGTTGACGAAAGAAGTACTGTAATTTTAGACACTGTACAGTACGATATATCAAATTACTAACCTTTTTTAAGATCACAGTCATATCAACCTTCAAATGACACGTTTCAACAGTACACAGCAATTGGTAGGATTCTAGGTGAATATGGTACAGATAAGTGGAATGTAGAAGGGCTGAATAGATTTACTGTGAAAGAACACCGCTTTGGAGTTATCAACAGTATGGAAGACGAATATCTGGACTATACGTTTGATGGCGTTCTTGGATTGGGCAGGAGCACGGGGGAGAATGAATGTAAGAAATCTTCTTATTGTAAAGAAAGTTCTTGTTGTAAAAAGTAATTTTGAAACAGTTTTGATTAAGTAGGGCAGGTTATGCTTAGCGTACGGAACAGTACCGTAGGATAAAGCAGGTTAGTGTAGGGTAGGGTAGGGTAGGGTAGGGTAAAGTAGGGTAAGTCTTTTTTTGTTACGGTATCCTATTTCAGTCAAACCGCTGCTAGTCCAAGCCATAGAAGAGCATCTCTTAGATGAGCCTATCGTATCTCTCTACTTCAAAGACCTTAGTCACAATAGGCAAGGTCAAGTTGGTGGTGGTATAACATTTGGTGGAATCGATAACCAACATTGTGGTATCGTACTAGATTCTGTACCACTGATTAGTTCTGATCAATGGAGCTTCAGACTAAATGAAGCTAAAGTTAACAGGCGTACTGTAACCGGAGGAGATACTGTAATCGACAGTTCATCTGCGTACATTCATTTTCCAGTAAACGATGTAGAACTCTTTATTACTGTTATCAATGCTACATACGATGTGAAGAATGAGTTGTTTACTGTAGATTGTCATAGTGATTTTACTTTTACAGTAACTATTGGCAAGCATGTATATCCAGTTGATCAGAAGCTGCTGATTAAAGAGTACGATAGGCAAAGATGTGAATTGATGATAAAGCGAACATACTCATGGCAAGCACATTCGTGGGTACTGGGCATACCGTTTGTTGAGTCATACTGTACTGTTCTGGATTATGGTGGACGAATAAGCTTTGCGGCTATTATACAGTAATTTTTTTGTAATACAGTGTTTTATTTAATTAAAAATTTAATTTTTGGCGAATTTGTAATTTAAGGTTTTTAAAAATGTAAAATGGTACACTTGGTACTTAGTGGTACTACTGGTACTACTAGTACACTTTTTAGTTTTTTTGTACACAATTTTGAATTTTTTGATAAAAATAGAAAAATTTTGTAAATGGTACTATTGGTACACTTATTGGTACCACTGGTACACTTTTGGGATAAATAGTTTTAACATCATTTCGAAAAAACTGCTCAAGTCTTATGCTTTAAAACAGTTATAATTTCACATTTGGTACATAAAATGGTACTACTGGTACAGTTTTTTAAATCCGAAAGTTTTGCAACTTTTATTACTCTACAAAATCGTATGATACATATACTAGTCCATAACATCACAACTGACATTTGTCATCGCTAGTAATCATCAGTAGCTGTTTCAACTGACCACCAGCCATAGTTTTATCAACCGCCACCTTAAAATCCTCGAAATTCACCTTCTCCATGGGGGTAGCCGTAACATTCTTCGTCAAAAACAAATCCTGTAGCTCTTCGTACACCTTTTTCGTGAATTCACAGTTATCATAGTTGATATAATCGTACAGTAAGAACCCAACCACCTTGATACTGTTGAACACCAGCGACGATGTGAGAATCTCGTGTGGCTTCAGACTCATTCCGCCGTACACTACCATCGTGCCGAACTTGGCCAAATTGGCCGACATTAGAATGGAGCTTTTGCCACCGATTCCGTTTATCGACAGTTTTAGCGGGCGATCCAGGGATTTTATGAATTCTTTGCCTTGTTGTTTGAATTCGGATTCTGTGAACACGTAGTTGGCTCCACGATTCAGAAGGTCTTGCTTCACGGCTTCGATTTCTGGACGGTCTCGGACAACGTTTATGGATTTGTAACCGAGGGCTGGAAAAGAATGGCATGTTTAGTTTAAAAAGTTAGAATGGTTCACTTGGTACTGTTAATAGTATTAATGAGACAAGTTTGAAATTTTTAAAAAATTTTAAAATTTGTGAATTTCAAGGCCAATTTTTTTTAATTCTAAAAATGGTACACTTGGTACTGTTAATAGTACTAATAGTATAAAATTGTAAAAAATTTTAAAAAAACTAAAATTTTTAATTTTAAAATTAATTTTTCAAACTTTCAAAATGGTACACTCAGTACCTTAAGTGGTACCACTGGTACACTTTAAAAAAATTTTTTTTTAAAATTTTTATTGTAAAAATTAAAAAATTGATAGAACACTTTGTACCAAAAATAGTATCACTAGTAAACTTTTTTTTGTACCAAGAGCAGTACCACTAGTACACTTTTTTGTACCAAAGCTGAAAAAGTCTTACCTTTAGAAAGCTCAATAATCATCCGCCCAACCTGTGAGTTAGCAGCATTCTGTAGCACGTAATCTCCCTTCTGTAGCTTTACAAATTGTGTCAGAATTAGATAAGCACTTGGAGTGTTGGCAGCCAATGTGGCTTTCACTTCTAATGGCAGTTCTTTTCTCAATTTGTATACTTCGTCAGCTTTTAACACTTGATGCTCTCTCCAAAAGCCACCTTGAGTCTGTGGCATCATCGGCATTATATGATCGTTCACTTTGATGTGCTTTACGTTTGGACCGACCTGGAATGAGGAATGGGCACTATAGAATAAGATTGAGAGTAGAGATAGAGCTTGAGCTTGAGCTTGAGCTTGCTATTGATATTGATCTTAATCTTGAACTTGGTCTTGACCTTGAGCTAAAGTTAAGAATAGACCTAAACATGAAGAACGAGCTTAAATTGAGCAAAATTTGGGTCGGACCAAGCCTGGAGATCCCGAAAAATTTTGGCCCAGCCCGTTTCCCCGTAAAAACATTTGGGTCGGCCTGTTCTTCATGCCTAAATAGACCTAGAACTAGACCTTGGCTTACACCTATACCTGAACATAATACTAGAGCTTTAACTACAACTAGAGCTAGAGCTAAACCTGGGCTTATATTTAGACCTAGAGCTAGAGTTAGCGTTAGAGCTAGAGCTAGGGCTACAACTAAAGCTCAAGCTAGAACTAGATTTAGAGCTAGAGCTAGAGCTAAAGTCCAGGCTAGACTACTTACTTTTTCAACAATGCCAAAAGCATCAATCCCCAAACATGATGGAGGTTCTCTTTTATAAAAATACACTCCTCTGGCTATATTAATGTCAGCGGGATGAACTGGACTGGCTATCCATCGTGTCAAAACTTCACCTTCTCTTAACGTTGTGTCAATTTGTTCTGTCGTCAGTCTTAAGGTCTGAAGATTCAAATTTTAAAATTTTTGAAATTTTAAAAAATATTTTTTTTTCATTTTAAATATAAAGTTATGAAAAACTAAACAGACGTATTAGCCTTACACTGTAACCACAAAAACATATATTATAGTACCCTACCTCCCTCGGATCTCCAACTTTGAAGAACTTAATAGCTCTTGAATTGATGATCTTCTTCACATTCATATCAACAGCTTGCTGTCCAGACTACAATAAAATAAAGTGCAAATGTTACAAAGGTTACAACTTACCTCCATTATCAATGTCACAACTGAAACTTGGCTTATCAGGTAATTAGCAGTGGCGCGGTTTAACTTGAAACCTGTTTTGAAAGTCACAGAATTTACTTTGGAGCTACTGTATAGTGGTTAGTGTAGCTTGTTACAGTACAATACCGTATTCCTGAACCCGCGGAAGCTCGAATTAGATTGCTTTTAGTCCTGGCTTGTGATCAAAGTTAATATAAAGCACCTTCTTGCTGTATACTTTACAATATATCACGAGTTACCAGCTTATATACGTATTGAACGAACTGATCTCTGAGTAGATGTTTCGTTTATACTTTAATATTGATGTGGTAGGAAAGGAAAACAAAAAGGTTGCAATCAATCGCTTTTTATACCATGTTGCCGACATAAAAAACGCATTTTTTGTTTTAACTGAGAAGTAAATGCGCTTCTTATCAATCTTAATCAATATTGTTTTCGTGTGGTTCTTCGGTAAAAATAAATTTTTAAATATTTGAAAAGGCTAACAACGTCATTTTAAATACGCTACATATACTATTAATTGTAACCCTAGCCCTAGCCCAGAGCACTAGCCCAGACCTCTAGCCCAAAACCCTAGCCCAGAGCCCTAGCCCAGAGCCCTAGCCTAGAGCCCTAGCTCAGAGCCCTAGCCCAGAACCCTAGCCCAGAGCCCTAGCTCAGAGCCCTAGCCCAGAGACTTAGTTAATAAATAACGGGCCGGGTCTGAGTCTCGGGCCTATTGATAAATTTAAGTTGGGGTCAAGGTAGGCCTGGCTTTTCTTCATGCCTATAGCCCAGAGCTCTAGCCCCAGAGCCCTAGCTCTGGATCATGGCCTTAGATTCTAGACCTAGCTTCTAGCCCTAGCTTCTAGCCCTAGCTTTTAGCCCAACTTTTTAGCTCTAGCTTCTAACCCTAGCCTTAGTCCTAGTTTATTTTACCTCCACCCTGTTAAAATTTAATTGACTTCATAACCACTGTCCACCAATGGCTGTATCGTTCTTTTAGCCGCCGTGTAACTATGTAACCCTAGTCCTACTCTTACCACTAGCTCTGGTTTAACGTTCAGAAAAGGAGTCAATTTATTAAAATTTATTGACTTTAAAACAATTTAGGTTAATTAGACCGAATTTAATATAGAGTATTTTACAATTAATTTAAAATCTTGAGCTGTCATTCTCTGGACTGTAATTCGAACTGGGTTTCTCTAGTCCATTAATTATCACTGATGAGTTTTTTGTTGGTTTTATCCTAAAATGAGTTGTTAGTACTATATACGTACTTATTTATCTTTTAGTACTATAATTGTCATTGCAGTTCTTCTTTCACAGTACTACTAGTACTAAAACGTTTTTTAGCGTACTACTACAACAAAAACATAAACCACTATACTACAAAAAAATAAAGATTTATAATAAAGTACCATTTTAATCTACCAAGTACCATTTTAACCCACAAAGTACCATTTTGTCCTACTAAGCACCATTTCAACCTACTTTCTTCTATCTCTGATGCTCTTCCACGCCTTGTCTGGTCGGTTTTTCCTGTAAGTGGCCTTTCGAGTTGCATGAGCTTCGTTGTGTTTCGCGCAATCAACAACCTCAGTACAATTTACGTACTCGTGCTGTTCCATATAAACTAGCCTTGATTTATGAGGTACCATTGTTACACGGGCTTCTTTTTTCACCATGCTGTAATGTGTTTTGTTAAATTTTTAAAATTTATTGCAAATTTCGTATTTTACTGATAAAAATTTTTTTTTATTTTTTTAGGTAATGACTCTGCAAATTAGGTAATTTTTCTTACCTAAAATGACGTTTTTACTGTAACAACAAAGTAATGATAAACTACCACAAGGTTTCCGTGGATGATAAAAAAGATCAAAACCTTGAACTCTTTGATTATTTTTTTGTCCGGACCACACAGAATGTTAATCACGGTATTTGTAAAAACACTGTAAACTCGGAAAATGTTTTGTAAAACTTTGATGTAAGCTGTCACAAACGATATTACTTTTAAAATTGTAAAGAGTTATTGATGATACCTTAAAAAGCATTTTTAATTGTTATCATTTGTACTAAATTCCTACCCTACCCTACCCTACCCTTAGGCTAGTTTACTTTACCTAACCTACTTACCGTACCCTCCCCTACTCTACCTACGCTACCTTGCCCTGCCTTAGTTTACTCTACCAAGCCCTACTTTACCCTGTTGTGCCCTACCGTACCTCACCCTACCCTTTCTTACACTTTACTTTATTCTAGCCTATCCTGTCGCATGCCGTAGCTTAGTCTGACTAAGCTAACAATTAGCCTTATCTAAAAAAAATAGTTTTCAAATTATTTTTTATAGCAAAAACTTTCTTTACAAACAAAAAAAATACACATTTGGTTTCTCTAAGCTAGGCATGAGAAACTGGTCGGGCCGGCCTTGAGCAAAATAGATCAAGCCGGGCCTAACATTCAGGCCCTGCCCGGCCCGTTTCTACGTAAAAAAAATTAACCCAGCTCGGACCGGGCCTGCCATCTGGCCAAGCCGGCCCTGAGCAAACTTTAAATCGGGCCGGGCCTAACATTCAAGCCCGGCCCGTTTCTCATATATACTACTCTAAGCCCCTGTCCCTAAAAACCTACTTGACTTCATAAGCACTGCCCACCAATGGCTGTACCGTCCTGCCAGCCGCCGTGTAGCTATATAAAGGATGAATGACAGCTTCATAGAAGTGTTTGTCTTTGCTGAGCGGCGGAATTTGGTCGTTTCCTCTGTCGACCAATAACATACCAGTAATTAAGTTTTTGTCCATTACACAGTTGATCTCCAAATCATCATCATCTTCACCTAGGGGGTTTAGTAGGGCTTCGGCCACTTTCATCCATCCCATGTAGATGATGAACTCTACCATGGTCATTATTGGAACCCATAGGTCTAGCTAGAAATGATTTTGATGTTTTAACATTACTACAGTGTAGTTGTTGCTATATTAGCTTCACTATTAAGTGCCGAAATAAAGAACCCGCCATTTTTTACAGGAAATTACAGACAAAGTATGGCGGGTTGTTTATGTCGGCACCTAATACTTAACTTAAGTATATACAGTTACCTTCATATAATCTATGTAACTTACATCATCACCCTTCAAATGTTGTCGACTAACCAAGCAGATGCCAAAGTACACTCTAACAGTTAAAAAAACCACTTGAGGGTATACCAGTGGGATTGGGATCCAATCGAACTTTAGCAGATTGGTCAAGCCTTCTCGGAAGTGTTGTAGGTCCTAAAGTAACAAGTAACCTGCACTGTTTTTTTTTTACATTTTAAAAGTAAAATTAAATGGCAAAAAACAAAACACCGTATTTTACAAACAAAACTCACCTCAACAAGATGTACCAACAAGTGATCGCTAGCAATACGTTTCGTCTCTCTGGCTTTGTCCAAAATGCCGTAGCACCAGTGTAATGGGATCCAGTATCTTGTATATTCGTCGTGGATGCTTTCTAGCTCTAGCTTTTCGGTTTCTGTCATAAAACCTAAAAATTTTTGATTTTAAAAAAGTTAAAAATTTTTTAAAACGTACCAGGAGCGCCATTAATGATACCAAGTGTAACATCTTACAAAATTTGTACTAAAGCTTAATTTAAAAAATTTTAAAAAACCCAAAAATTTTATAAAAAAATTAGTACCAACAGTACCACTAATGGTACCAAGTGTACCATTTTCAAAAAGTTGCTTAAAAAGCCAATTTGCATACTTTTATAAAAAGCGCAAAACTTTTTATGCAAAAAATAATACCAACAGTACCACTAACAGTACCAAGTGTACCAAATAACAAAAATTTTTTTTTGTAATTTGATATTAAAGTATAATAGCTCACCAGCAACAACCATAGTATCAAGAGTGGGAAATCGTTTCCGCACTTGCATACTAATGTCACGTAGCACCAACGCTTGATTCAGCACCATATACCGCACCAAAGTACGACGAATTATCCGAGTTTCTTCGTCATTACCGTGAATAAAATTGGCAAAGTTGGTCGCTGAGCTAAATTTGTAAAAAATTATTTTTTAACCAGGATTAGTAAATCGTATTTTACAAAACTTACTTGTCGATCCACCCAAAGTCTTCGGTAATATGGCTCCATCGACTGACAACTTGTGTAACGAAGAAACCGAGTAGGAAACTTAAAGGCATGTACTTGGCCAAGTCTTTGTCAAAGTACTTGGCTATTTTGGCAAAGTCGCTAGAAAGATAAACGTTAACAAGTCATTACAGAAAATTAACGTAGAACAGTGTAAAGTTAGGTAAGGTAGAGTAATATAGAGTACAAGAGGGTGAACCAGAGTAAAGTAGAGAAGAAGAGGTAGAGCAAGGCAGTGGTGTGATAGGCTAGGACGGACTAGAGTAGATTAGGGTCCGGGAAAGCAAAGCAGGGCCAACCAGAACATGGCAAAGCAAGGCCAGGGCAAGGTCAGTGCAAGGCCAGAGCAAGGCCAAAGCAAGGCCAGAGCAAGGCCAGGGCAAGGCCAGAGCAAGGCCAGGGCAAGGCCAGAGCAAGGCCAGGGCAAGGCCAGGGCAAGGCCAGGGCAAGGCCAGGGCAAGGCCAGGGCAAGGCCAGGGCAAGGCCAGGGCAAGGCCAGGGCAAGGCCCGGGCAAGGCCAGGGCAAGGCCAGGGCAAGGCCAGGGCAAGGCCAGGGCAAGGCCAGGGCAAGGCCAGGGCAAGGCCAGGGCAAGGCCAGGGCAAGGCCAGGGCAAGGCCAGGGCAAGGCCAGGGCAAGGCCAGGGCAAGGCCAGGGCAAGGCCAGGGCAAGGCCAGGGCAAGGCCAGGGCAAGGCCAGGGCAAGGCCAGGGCAAGGCCAGGGCAAGGCCAGGGCAAGGCCAGGGCAAGGCCAGGGCAAGGCCAGGGCAAGGCCAGGGCAAGGCCAGGGCAAGGCCAGGGCAAGGCCAGGGCAAGGCCAGGGCAAGGCCAGGGCAAGGCCAGGGCAAGGCCAGGCAATGTATTTTCAAACCAAAGCACTTACATTTGTTGATCCGCAGTCAAAACGTATCTGTAGATCAAGCTGATACCCATATAAACCATTGTCCATACCGTTAATTGTGGCAGCACGGCCTTCCAAACACTGCCTCGCCATTTGAATAATACCTTTATGAAACTCTCAAGTTTGGCCCCGGATACCAGTAGGGTGTAGGACACCGTCATCCCGAACTGCAATGTCATTATATTGTTTTAGCTAACAAATTGCAAATATTTTTGAATTTTTTCAAAAATTGTAAAGAATAATTAAAAATTGAAAACGTTTTGTTAAACCGGATGTAAACTTAATATTAAGCTAATGAAATGGCAGATTAGTATTGTAAGATTATGTTTATAAATAACAAAAAAAATTTTTAAATTAAAAATTAAAAAAATCATTTTTACAAAATTAAAATATTCAAATTTTCAAAAATCAAAAACCTTTTTACAAACCACCCTATCCCATCCCAAAGTCCCCAAGCTTATTAAAGTTTCCCCAATTTGCGTTACAAACCATACATCTCAGCCGGCTGGCGCTAAGAATCTGGAAAACAAAAATAAACAAAACCCGGAGGGCACAAGTTGGACTCGATGCAAAAACTTCTCGATTAGAATGCAATATCAACTACTAAAAGTTGCGTGTTCTTCAGAATTAAAAATGAATGTCATCATACTTAACAAGTTTTTACTGGTTTTGGAAGTTAATTTACAGTAGGTACTATAGGATACTACTATGAAGGACGTCAAACTAGAAATGAAGAACTAGCCGAGTAGGATCAGCCGAGTCCAGCCAAGCCAAGTCCAGTCCAGTCCAAACCAGACAAGACCAGGCCAGTATAGGTCCAATCCGGTCCAGTCCAGTCCAGCCCAGGGCAGCTTAGTCTAATCTAGTCTAGTCTAGTCTACTCTACTCTACTCCAGCCCAGCTTAGCCCAGCCCAGTCCTGTCCAGCCCTTTTTCGTTATAAAAATTTACCAAATCTTTATTCTTTAGGTAATAAAATCTCAAAATTTACACAAATGTTCAAGTTAAAACAAAGTTCAGAAACAGAAAACAGCTAATCCCCTCTCCCCCCCCCCTTCTTCATTTTAAAACATAAAGCTACAAAAATTAAAAATGCTCAAAGTGCACCATTAATCTCTTTACGGAAATGTAGCAAACGTGTCATGTAGCCATGAATATGTATGCATAGTTATGTCTGAATATCGTAAAAAAAAGTTTTTTTTTGTTTTATGACATTTCGAATGTTGTGAATCATACCGGTTCATTCAATTCTGATTTTGATATGTATTGGACTCACGTAGCAAATTTGAAAATGAACTTTTGGTCTTTTTTGAATTTTAAGGGATTCTACTTCCTTTTCAACTTTTGTTTCTTCTTCCCCCCCCCCTAGCTAATTCAAAAAATTACAAAAATTTTTCTCCCCCCCCCCTTAGTTATAATACAAAAAAAAATTTTATTTTTTTTATCCTCCTCCCGCCTTCCTCATCTCCCACTCCAGCCTTATAAACAAAAAAATTTAATTTGTTAATACCCCCCCCCCCCAACCAAAAATAAATTTTGAAAAAAAGTTTGACGTGTTCCCCCCTATGGGATTTTTTCGACACTATCCTTATAACCAAAATCACCCCTCTCTCCCTTTCCGTCCTTCCACCCACCTTCCTACAACATATAATTACTATTATATACTCCCACATACCCACAAAACGTCATAATCAGCTACATGTTATGTGTGAAAGACGATGATTTAAATCATTTCCACGACTTATCAACATTTTGCTTGCTACAAAACATTTAAAAATGTTATCAAAAAACTTATAAAACTCATTGTCTTCTAATTTAAAATAAGTTTGCAAGATGTCTTCAGTAACAAGAAAAGTGTATTTTATGTCGAAAACAAAAAACAACAATTTTCAAGTTGTTTTCGGTTATAAACATGAATATTTGCGGAGAGTAATTTGATGAAGTACACACTTTGAAGACGTACATAGCTATAATCGAGTAATATTTTTAGATGTTATAGTAGATGGCTGGAAAGATAAACAAAAAAGTTTTAGAAAGTTTGTTATAGTTTTTAGCTTTTAGTCTAACCCTAGGTTTGAGCCTACCTTGATTTCAAAGCGTAGTACAAGCTTTACGGCTAGCCTTAATTTTAAGCTTGGCTCTATATGCGTACCCTTAGCTTAGAGTTTAGAGAGAGAGTTTAGCTTGAAGCTTAGCCTTAATTTTCGGTTCACAACTAACATTAAATTTAAATCTAGCTCAAATCTTGTCTTATTCTAGCATTCATCCGGTTGCGTTTCTAACGACCGGTTGGTTTTTTTCTACCGACTTCGTCGCTCTAGAACACAATTAGAAGTAAGCAAATGAATGGAGCCCAAGTACGATATCTAAAAACTGGAACGCTCAACATTTGTGGTATCAGGGGTCCGATCATGCTGGCTAGTTTGGAACTCAACATCAGTACTGTCTCTCTCAACGTTATCGGATTCTCAGAAACCAGACGACCACAACACAAGTGCGCAAAACTTGGCTCCGATCACACGCTTTACACTAGTGGAACATTTGTATGCTTAACAACTCCTCTTAGTAATTATTGAGAGAATAAATCAATAAATTTAGCATTAAGCTTATTTTTGGCTTAAAAACAGTCCTAAGATATGTTTTAGCCTTAGCGGCCCTGTCTGGCTTTAGCTTTAAAATTTCTAAATGTAGCCTAATTTTACATTAAGCTAGTGTTACCTTTATCGTATTCTAACTTGCTTTCCTTAGTTTTTATTTAGACTTGCTTGAACCTAAGTACTAAACTTAAACCATTAATGACACTATCGCAAAAACCACAAAATAATCACTCGTCTTTATGTGTTTTTGACATAATTACAAGCATGATAGTGTCATGTTTGCCACACCTCCACAAACCATTTTTATTGTTGCCATAAGTATGAGCAAACAATTTTAATAGACACAAAATTCTCAAACTTTATTGCCTGCGGCGTTAAAACAAAGACGTCAAAGACATTTGTCACAATGTTTGCGCTGATAAGCATATTAACACATTTACAAGTTTCAGCTAGCAATGTTGAAATTTTTTATTATACTTTCGGTTTTATCAGAAAAAATTTTGTAATTAAACATTCATTATTGATCAGATTACTGTATCACAGGACGCAGAATGGGAACCAGAATTGGCTGGGGCTGATGCTAGAGAGTAGGATAAGGGTGAGGCTGCAGCTGGGGCTGGGTTGAGTTTGGCTGGTCTGGGCTGGGCTGGGCTGGGCTGGGCTGAGCTGGGCTGGGCTAAGCTGGGCTGGAATAAGCCGGGATTGGTTGGTCTGGGCTAGACATAGAGAACGGGCCGAGCTTGAGCCTAATTTAGGTCGGGCCGGTCTCGGAAGTCTCTAAAAAGCCAGACCAGTTTCCACGTAGAAAATTGTGACTGGGCATGGCCTGAGCAAAATATAGGTCGGGCAAGCCAAAAAGTTCCAGAAAAGTCTATTCCGAAAAGCCCGGCCTGTTTTTACGTAAAAAAGTGGGCCAGGCCTGTTTCCCATGTTTAGGTTTGGGCTGGGCTGAGCGGGGCTGGCTGGGGCTGAGGCTGAAGCTGAGGCTGAGGCTGGAGCTAGGGCTTTGGGACTAGGGCTTTGAGGCTAGTGCTAAGCTGGGCTGGGGCTATGTCAAAAATAAAGAAAACCTGCAAAACCTTCTTCCCCTTCCTCCTCTCTCCCGAGCTTTGTCACAAACACTTCCTGAATGCTTTGCTTTGTGACAAAACCATGATCGAATACTCACTTTTTGTCATCGTATTATCAGTTGGAATGGTCGATTGATATTCATAAATTCTCGTAAAATTTTATTGCACAAAAGAATATTAAAATGCATGCTAATGATCACATTGGCATAGATACATGACACTTATTATTGGGAAAACAAAAGCATAAAAATTATTAAGAATGTTACAGTAGGATAACAGTTGGACGTCTTTTGTGACACAAACAGTAATTTTTAAGATTTTGAGTTGTTTAAGTGATAATATATACAAGTTTGTTGTAATCCACTAATCTAGCCAACAGTAGTTAACATGTGTCTTATAACAAGCAAGATACCAAGCGTAAAACGGCCACGGTACCAAGGACTATAGCATGGGCAGGCACACCAGCTTATCCCCAGTAGCCGCCTCTGTAGCCACCGTATCCACCGCGGTATCCTCCGTATCCACCACGGTATCCGCCATAACCGCCGCGGTAGCCGCCGTATCCACCACGATATCCACCATAACCTCCGCGGCCGTAGCCCCATTGAGCAGCCGTAGCCACAATAAGGCACAACAGTACTAGGATAACTTTGATGTTCAGCATTTTTCCTAAAAATGTAAAATTCGAAAAAATGTTGTTTTTTATTCTAGCCTACCCTACAATTTTTAGTACATATATTCTACAGTAATCTACTTTACCTTACAATTCTTACGTACCTTTTACAGTACTGTATTTTAATTTAAGATACGTACATATCTTCTAAAGTGATGCACTTTACTTTACGATACCTACATACGGTTTACAGTATTGTATTTTACTCTACAGTACCTACATATCTTCTTCAGTACTATACTTTACCTTAAAACACTTACACAAATTCTAAAATACTGTACTTTACTCTACAGTATCTTATCTTACAGCAGAGTATCCTATCACGTCTTACTGGTTTACGCTGTGTTACAGCATTCTACCTTATAAACCGCACTACCCCGCTTAACCTAACTTTATACCAAGCTTGATTCAAAAACTTACCAATTCAACAGATCAAACAAAGTAGACTGATATCAATGTAAATCATCCACGGCTTAAATACCATCCAGAAGAACTAGTTTAAAAATATCGATGACGCAAATACCACGAATCTTTGGTGAATTCGGGTCATAGCGACGTTGTTCGTCATTACACTAACTGTTCGTAACTTCCCACAAATGACAATCAAGCCGTCAAAAACAATGTTTGTAAGCAAAGGTAATGAATTACTTTACGTTTCATCATGTTGTACTTAAGTTAATTGAGAAGGTTTACGACGAAACTTTACAACGTCAGTTACTGTGTCTTAATTTCTTGACCTTTTATTTTGATAAACAAAAAAAGTTGAAAGTAAGTTAGAACTCATCCGCAACTTTGATCATGAAAGCTAAAAAAATTAAAAACAAAGTTTGCATTCTTGAAAAATAGCTACAGTGGAATTCCTGTATAACGAAACGCCCGTGTACGGCGCTAGGACAAATTCGGTTTTTGGACATTTGCGGATCTGGGGTTTTTAGACACTTGCGGATCTTCGGTTTTTGGACACTTGCGGATTTTGGACATTTGCGGATTTTTTAAAGGTTTTTTTTATTTTTTAGTTAATTTAGTTGTAGTATGGTACTAAATGATACTAAAGTTTGAATTAGTACTGTTTTAATATGTTTTAGTGCTAAATAGTACTACATTTTAAATTGGTACTGTTTTGTATTTTTTGGTACTGAATAATACTAAAAGCTCAAAAAGGTACTGTTATGTTAAAACCGCACCAATTTAAACTTTAGTACAATTTAGTACCATACTACAACTAAATTAACTAAAAAATAAAAAAAAACCTTTAAAAAATCCGCAAATGTCCAAAATCCGCAAGTGTCCAAAAACCGAAGATCCGCAAGTGTCTAAAAACCCCAGATCCGCAATGTCCAAAAACCGCATTTGTCCTAGCGCCCCGTGTACTTGAAATTTGTTTGTTATAAAGAAGTTTCTTTATAAAGGTGTTTTAAATGCAGTGAATAGTAGTAGACGGGGATTCAAAAGCTTTTGACTTTCGTTATAGAGGAGTTCGTTATACAGAAGTTTCACTGTATATTTTTTGCCATTAAAGTAGACCCGGTTCCAGAGTTAAGCCGCACTTGAGCAAAATGCAGACAGGCTGGGCTAAGGAAAATAACAAAAAGCCAATCCAGGATTCAAAAAGTCCTAGTTTTTTCTCGTTTGTCTACCGGAGTTATCCTTGGGTTATAATGTTTTCTGTAATTAAGCCTCCGTGTTCCCAGCACTACCAATTCATCAATGCGTCTGAGTTAGGTGGAGACGGAGGTCGAACCAAGGTCCTTCCAAATAGCAAGTGGCGCCGCAACCACTGCGCTACCCGCGCTATTAAATTTGCTACATCTTCGTTCCGTCTTCGATATAACTCCGTCTTTAATAAACTTGCTTTGGCTTCGATTCTAGCTTCGGAAAGGGAACTGCCTCGAAGCTGTGGACGGAATTGTTTTAGAGCCTTTTAGAACTACTGTATAACAAATTTATTTAACGCTCTTCTTTAACAAAAATCCTGTATAACAAACACTTTTTTAAGTCTTCTGGCAACACTACACAATGCCGGGGAACTTAGCTAGTGGCAGAAATGCCGTGGGTTCAAAACACAGTTGATCGGTTTGTGATTAACCTGGTGATATTGTATTTAAAATTCTTGAACATTAAACCAACTTTTTATTAAAAAAGTTTAAAATCTCAAAGCGACTGCTTATAAGTATAGTTAACGAAATTTTGAAATATAATAAAACCTTGCTAATAGGACTCCGAACAAAACCTGATGAGAGTTTGGTAAAAACCTTCAGATCGATCTATTGTAGCTGTTACCGTTGGAACGCCATTAAGCTGGTTTGCCTTTCAAGCTGCCATGATTTGATGAGTTGCTCGTCAAGACTTCAAGCCGCAGTCGGAAAGCCTGTGAAGACAAAGAAACTGATTTGCCAATTTTTTCAAAAGCTTACTGTAAAATATCGGAATTATTGTATAATACCTTAACTATAACATATACAAATTATTATATTAAAATAGACAGATCATTATGTGAAATTCGCATAGACAAAACTTTGTTTACGGTCATCAATCATTACATGCTTAATACTGTCTTATATAATTTTAATGACTTTTGTACAATAGAAAAAAAAAATCTTCAATACTACAATAAAATTAAATGCAAAAAAGCATTACTCTATAAATTTTTACAAATTTTGAGCTATCATAATGAGTTGCTGCAAGCATAAGTTTGGTATGTTATTCTAATGTAATAGTTTGTATTTGGTAACTACACATGGAATTTGCAAGCGGCCTTTACAAGGGAAGTGTCTCACCTCATTCCGGAGATAAGAATCGAGACTAGGCTCGTTGGAAAGCCTACTTTAGAAAAAATTGTTAGAAAAAGCCTTACCGTCATGGCTAGGGTCGGGCGAGGGCTTTTGGTCTGGGAACGGAGGTCCAAAAAATCGGCACAGGTAGCTGGACCACGTTCAACTTTTTTCAAACATTTTTTTCTGGGAGGGGGGGAGGGGTCCCACCCCCCCCCCTCTGTCCCCCCCCCCTCCCGTCCACTCCCTCCCCCAGCGCTTGGCCCTGGTCATGGCTGAACTTTAATACAAATAGTCAAACACCATTGTTTTGATGTTGTTCTCTTACTTTTCATTACAACAATAATCAAACAAACAACTGTTTATCTAGTTGGTTGTTATCAGACAAGGAAAATTCCATTATAAACTTTTAAAATAGGTATTAGCTGGGAATTGCCGGCAGAATTTGATTAATGAGAACATAACAATGACCATTTTTAATAGTAATCAGTTTTGTAGGAAAAGGCACTGGAAAGTTCTTTCAGATAAGAATAAACAAGGAGAATGTTAAAAATTACTGTGTTATAATTTACAGGATGTACTGATGTAAAACTTTTTAAAATTACATAGGTAGGATGGTTTAGTTTATACTGAAGCGTAGTAATGAAGATTTTTAAAAATTATGACATAAATTGGTGTTGATTATGACACACTTTTTCGTTTTTTCAGAGCAATCGTAGGCCTACGATTGAAAAACCAGTAAATTTGATTTATGTTTACACATCTGTAGCTCACACGACATAAGGACGTTGCTACGGTTTTTCTCTGGGGGAAGGGGGGGGTGGAGACCCAAAAATTTCCGACTTTTCGAAAAAATTTTTTTTTCGTTTTTTTATTTACAGGTACAACCTGTGGAATTTTTTTTCGGATCGGCTCTGGATTCTCATCGGCTTGTGCTTTTTGTCACTATTTCTGAAAGAATTGAGGGAGGACGAAATTTCATTTTTTTTTATAAATTTTTTTTAAGCCTGTAGCTTGTAAAAAAGTAAATTTTTTTTAAATTTTATTTTTATATTATAATTTTTTTTGATAAGAATAGAAAGTAAAATATTTTTTGTGTAAAAACTTAATATCTTATCAACACGGCCAATAGCTAATTGCTTTTGGTTTGCGCGTTAGCTTTATTTTGTCTTTTTTCTTTACATTTTTACAAGGCTCACCAAAAGTTCTGTTACATATGGTTTTAGCTTTAAGGATTACATTTTTAACAAAAGCAGCTGATTTTTAATTTTTTTTAAATTGTTGATTTTTTATTATTTTGTAAACTTCACAAACTACTTTCTTACTTTTTTCATTATTTTACTTCTTGCAAATGTCAGTTATTTAACCTTTTAAAACCTGAAGTGTCTTTTCATTTTAAACTTTATCAAATATTACCTATAGATAGACGTGTATTATAGACGCATGTATTTTTGGTTTAATTTCAGTGACAGAGTTTTCAACGTCTTTGTGATTAGAGGGTTTCCCCCGCTCCAAAAAAATATTAAAGAAGGCGGACAATATTAATACATATACATATGTATTCGTATGTTTGATCGTTATTATGTAAGAGGATTAAAAATAAAATGGCAGTTTACTTTTTTGACATATATTATATTATACTTGGTGTTTGCATATGGAAATGAATATTTTAATGTAATGTATAAGTAAATATGTGTTAAAAGTTGTGGTTAAAACAAATGTAGGGTATGGTAAAACAGGATATGATAATGAAAAGTATTTTTGGTAATGTAAGATAGGGTAGGTCTAGGAAGGGTAGAAAAGCGGAAGGTTGAATAGAGTAGGGTAGAGTAGGGTACGACGGGGCAGGGTAGGGTAGGGAAGGGTAGGGTAAAGTAGGGTGGAGTAGGGTAGGGTAGGGTAGGGTAGAGTAGGGTAGGGTAGGGTAGGGTAGGGTAGGGTAGGGTAGGGGTAGGGTAGGGTAGGGTAGGGTAGGGTAGGGTAGGGTAGGGTAGGGTAGGGTAGGGTAATGTAGGGTAGGGTAGAGTAGGGTAGGGTAGAGTAGGGTAGGGTAGGGTAGGGTAGGGTAGGGGTAGGGTAGGGTAGGGTAGGGTAGGGTAGAGTAGGGTAGGGTAGGGTAGGGTAGGGTAGGGTAGGGTAGGGTAGGGTAGGGTAGGGTAGGGTAGGGGTAGGGGTAGAGTAGGGTAGGGTAGAGTAGGGTAGGGTAGGGTAGGGTAGGGTAGCGTAGGGTAGGGTAGGCTAGGGTAGGGTAGGGTAGGGTAGGGTAGGGTAGGGTAGGGGTAGGGTAGGGTAGAGTAGGGTAGGGTAGGGTAGGGTAGGGTAGGGTAGGGTAGGGTAGGGTAGGGTAGGGTAGGGTAGGGTAGGGTAGGGGTAAAGTAGGGTAGGGTAGGGTAGGGTAATGTAGGATAGGGTAGGGTAGGGTAGGGTAGGGTAGGGTAGGGTAGGGTAGGGTAGGGTAGGGTAGGGTAAAGTAGGGTAGGGTAGGGTAGGGTAGGGTAATGTAGGATAGGGTAGGGTAGGGTAGGGTAGGGTAGGGTAGGGTAGGGTAGGGTAGGGTAGGGTAGGGTAGGGTAGGGTAGGGTAGGGTAGGGTAAAGTAGGGTAGGGTAGGGTAGGGTAGGGTAGGGTGTAATAAATTATGCGTGTAAGTAGTATACAATTTTTTTTTAATTTTTAATTTTTTTATATTAGATTGGGTTTGTAGCCTCGTTCAGCTGACGAACGTCTTTTTCCGACCTCATTTGCATTAAATGATGTTTTCTATTTTTATTGGATTTTTCTTTACTTTGACAATAAATGGTTTGCCGTTGAAAGATCAATTAGGCCCGGTACAGCCGGCTGGTCATAAGTTGGAGTATTTGGCTGCGGTAATTTTTTTTAAACAAATAAATTTTAAAAAATTTTTATTTATAGTTTTTAAGAATTTCTTCTTTTTTTTTTAGTTATGGCGACACGGCGACAGAGCACCGGCAAAATCATTTTACCATGATTTGGTCAATGCATCTTACTGGGACAATGGTTATGCTCAGCTGACAAATGTAAGTCTTCCATTACTTCAACCTTAGCTCTAGCCCCGAGCCCTAGCCATGAACACTGGCCTAGAGCCCTAGCCCAAAGCCCTAGCCCTAGCCCTAGCCCTAGCCCTAGCCCTAGCCTAGAGCCCAGAGCCCAGAGCCCTAGCCCAGAGCCATAGCCTAGAGCCCTGGCCCAGAGCCCTAGTCTAAAGCTCAGCACTAGTCTCATCATTAGCTTTAGCTGTAGGCTTAATTTTAATTTTAACCTTAGCTCTCGTTCTAGGCCTTACAATTTGAACCCCTACCTTGATCAAATTCAGCCCTAGCCTGGTTAAACTACTAAAAATTTCTTTTTCAGTACGGTATTGAACAACAACGTCGTCTAGGAAAGTGGATTTACAACCGTTATGTACAAGAATTCAAGTATTTACCGACTGATTTTGATAGTAAATCAATTAAAATTCAATCTACATGGTACAATAGGACCAAAGAAAGTGCACTATACAACTTTAAAGGGCTTTATGGAGAAGACATCAGCTTTGGCAAGCTTAAAATACTCACTATACCTGATGACCAGGTAGATATTGTTGGGTTACCGTACGATAACTGCGAATACGCTCATCAACTGGCCAAAGAAATTTTGAAGACAAAAGAAGTCAAAGAGTATCTGGTGCAACATAAAGTAAGATTTCTTTACTAAAAGTTGTCTATGTTGCTAAATATATATTACAACTGTAATTTTATAGCAATGGCAACAAAGGCTGGCTAAAGCAATGAACATGAGCATGGATAATGTGGTCGACTGGTTTTCGATTGAAGACCCACTTTATTTGGAAGTAAGTTTTATACCCTACCCTACCCTACCCCACCCTACCCTACCCTACCCTACTCTGCCTTACCTTATCCTACCCTATTCTACTCTACTCTGTCCTACCCTTATCTTCCTTACCTTACTCTACCGTATGCTACTCTATTCTATTATACCCTACCTTACCTATCTTACCTTATCTTGCTCTATTGTAAACCACTCTAACTTAAAGTATTTTGCTCTAATCTACCCTACTCTACCTTATCTTGCCGTACCCTATCTTACCGAAAATCCCCCTAACCTAAAATGTCCTATCCGAAAATGCTTTATCTTACGTTGCCGTATATTACTCTACCCTAAACTATCCTACCCTACCCTACACTAATATAACCATTCCAGAAGCGAAAAGGCCTAAAACTCTCTCCAGAGTACGAAACTAACTACGCCGAGATCTTTGACATGTATCTACAAGGAATTCGCTTTATGTATGGTTTAGACTTAAAACCTCAAAACTTGATTGATTGGCGATACGAAATGGTCAAAATGCAAGCAGGAGGATTGTTAACAACTGTTGTGAATGACATGTCGGTTAGGGCATTTTGTGAACATAATCCTAATCAAGCATACTGTAAGAAGGATGGCGCCGATGACTTGAAATATAGGGTTTTTTTCTATGGTAAGTTAGTGTAATATCCTATTATAACTTCAAAAAATTGTTGTTGTTAATGCAAATTTAAAAAATTGTTTAATGGTGCACATGGTACTTTGAGTGGTACTACTCTGTACTCTTGGTACCAACGGTACTCATTTTTTTAATAAAATTAATTTTTTTTAAATTTTGTTTTTAAACAAAATTTCGTTTTAAAAAAAATTTTTTAAAAACGGTACATTTGGTACATATATTACCTTTAGTGGTACCACTGGTACTTCTTTGTATAATACTTTTAAAAATTATTTAAAATTACGTTTAAAAACAAAAAATTTTTAAAAACGGTACGTTTGGTACATAGGGTATCTTTAGTGGTATTATTGGTAATTCTTTGTATAATACACTTGGTACCGTTAGTGGTACCACTGTTACACTTTTAATAGTATCATTAATTTGACAGTACTAATTTGATATTATTTTTTAAAATTTTTCCAGCACGACACCAACGTACTAGGCGTACTAAACAGTTTCGACTTCCCAAAGGTTGATTACAACCGAAATGACAATGTTGAACTAGGATGTTCCTTGTTTTTCGAACTTTGGAGTGATGAAGAGAAACAAAAATATGTCAAAATCATTTACCGACGAAGTCCGGAAGAAATTTTCGATCTAAGCGAACAAATCAGTGGCTGCAAAAGTATTGGCAAAGGGCTGGGATGCAGTTTGGAGGACTTCTTGAAACGTACGGACAAGTACTTGATACCTAGGACTGATAAGGTAATTTTACAAATTCTTATTGATTTTGCTACTTAATTCTTTGTTTTATGTTAAATCGCAATATATTATAGTATGTCGTACTGTAATGTATTTTGTATTTCAGTACTGTGCTAAGCCGTTACCTTCTGAATCCTCCACTGACGATGCTCCATTAGTACCTTTTAAAGTTTAGACTTACATAGAAGATCAAATCAAATCACAAACAGCTTTAAACAGCATTCCATTCAATTTTTTTTAATTTTTAAAAAATTTTTGTTAAAATTGGGTAATAAATGTACATATTTATTAAATATTTGGAGAATATCTTAAAGTAAACCTTGCTACCGTACTTTAACTTACCCTACAACATGTTTTCCTACCCTACCCTACCCTACCCTACCCTACCCTACCCTACCCTACCCTACCCTACCCTACCCTATTCTACCCTACCCTGCCCTGCCCTACCCTGCCTTACTCTACTCTATCTTATCTACCCTGCATCTATCTTACACTAATTTACAGTACAGTAACATATTCTGCTTTATCCTACCTTATCCTGCTCTAAACTTTTTTACTTTGTGTTACCTTACCTTACCCTACACTACATTAACTGGACTTATCTTACCTTGCCTTGCCCTACCTTACATTAAACTGCCTTATCTTTCGTTGCCTTATCCTACCTTACCCTACCCTACCTTACCTTACCCTACCCTACCCTACCCTAACCTACATTAGCTTGACTTATCTTTCCTTGCTTTACCTTATTTTGTTTTAATCTCTGCTCTATCTTCTGTCTTACACTACACTGTTTTTTGTACCCCGCAGTCCGCTCCTACTATAATAATACTCTTTCCAACTCATCCTATCTTATTATATGTTATCATATCCAACCTTACCATAGTCAAACCCTAGTTTCTGATATAAATCTCTTTAAAAACTGACAGAACAGTTATTTGCACGGAAAATGTAAGTCAAGTGGTTGGAGCCGGCCGGCTGATCTGATCCGTTCGTTTCCAGTTTTGCGAGATCAAAAGCTGTTTTTGCTTTTTTGCGAAATCTTGTATAGTACAAATGTGTTTTGATAGCCAGAGGGAGCTGGTTCTCAGTTAAAAACTGAAGGTTTTGAGCAGCCGGTTGGCACTAATCTTTTTTTTAATTTTTGAACATTTTTAAAATTTTTGCTGCTTTTAAGTAAACTTTTTTAAATTTTTACACGTTTTTTAAAATTTTTTTGTTGCTTCAGGCTTTTAAGTAAATTTTTTTTAATCTCAAAAAAATTTTAAATTTTTAAAAATTTTTTAAAAGTTTTGTTGCCTTAGGCTATAAATAAATCTTTTTCAAAAAAAAATAACTTCAGATGTGGTATCATGGAACTAGTACCAAGACTCGACTACCTATCACTTCGCTTCTTGGCTTTGTATTTATTTAAAGTCAACGCGAGATGGCGCAGTAACCGTGACATACGACGTGATGTGTTCGACACATTGAAAAAGTTACCATTAACTTTGGCGGTCAAAAAAGCGATCTTAGCTAGCTTTGACAGGATTTTAAAAGATGTGGAACGGTGGGGTAAATATTTTTTTGAGAATTCTGTTTTAGTTTAAGGGCCGACATAAAGAACCCGCCATTTTTACAGGAAGTAACAGGCAAATTATGGCGGATTCTTTATGTCAGCGAGTAATATTATATATCATACTATAACTTGACGATGTTGTTATTAAATGAATGAAGTATTATATATTATAACCTTATTTTCCTTACTTTTCGAAAAAAATTATGTTGTTGTAGACTCAAAGCACTCAAAGTTGTTCATAGAAGACCATGTTAACATGAAACCAACCATAACCAAAAGTAAGAACAGAAGTGACCATTTGAGAACATATCATGGTAGCTTGGTTTGGAAAAATAATTTGTAAGTTTAAAAAATGTCATGCCTTTGTCTTTCTCTCACACTCTCTTTATCACTTTCTCTCTCTTTTGCTGCTTTTGAAAATGAAAAAAAGTAATAAGTATGACATTTCAGATTCACAATTGATGACAGTAAAACAGCTCATAGGTTAATATATCACGATTTATTGAATTGGCCTCAACTACGCTTTCAATTTGCTTGTTTTTACGCGGTAGAAGACTTACTGAAGAATGACTTTGTGTTTGACAAAGTCAGACGAAAAGTGTTTTGGTGAGTTTTTTACTTCCCCCTGCTTTTCTTTACTCTACCGTACTCTACCTTACTTTATACTATCTTACCGTACCGTAATCTACAATACCCTACCCTACCCTACCCTACCCTACCCTACCCTACCCTACTCTACCCTACCCTACCCTACCCTACCCTACCCTACCCTACCCTACCCTACTCTACCCTACCCTACCCTACCCTACCCTACCTTACCCTACCCTACCCTACCTTACCCTATCTTGCCCTACCTTACCCTATCTTACCCTACCTTACCTTATCATATCACCTAATCATATCATAACTCTACTCTACTTCACCATACTGGACTTGGACTATACTACTAAACACTAAAATGAACTTTTTAGTCAGCGCCTAGGCGGACATTCAGTATACGACCTCTGGTTACGCGTATTAGATGACAAAAAGGCATGGAAGAAAATCTGTCAAGAAGACCGCTTACTGGTCGATCAAACTTGTGTTCAGACAATTCACTACGCTATGAGGAATGGCTTCATGGAGTTGACCCAATTCTTGTGGAAGAAGCTTACTGGTCCGCAGAAGGAGACGATCGGTACTATTTTTGATAGTTTGGCGGTATAGAAGTTTTTGAAAAGTCATTTTTATTTTTTTTAATTTTCGAAATTTTGAAAAAGGTTATGAATATAAATTTAGGCTTCTTGGCCTGGAAATCAGTTTGTATTCGAATGAATTGCCCTGAACTCATCAAGTTTTTGTGCTCGGAACTTTGTCAATTAAACTTGAAAGGAATGACGGTGCTGACATGGGATAACTTCTACATCAAGATCATTGAAGCACTAGAGGTAAGTCGTCTTGCACCGACTTTCACTGATATTGCCTTGCCTTGCCCTGGCCTTGCCCTGTCCTTGGCCTGGCTTAACTTGGCCTTGCCCTGACTTTTCCTGTCATATCCTGCCTTGCGTTGCCCTGACCTGGTCTTCTTTGTCGTATCTTGCCCCACCCTACCTTGCTTTACTCTACCCTACCTTACACTATATTACCTTATCTTATTTTACCTAACCCTGTATACCTTTTCATGTAATTGTTTTACCAAGACCACCCTACCCAGACTAACTCTACTACAATTTTCCAGACAGAAGACCCCAAATCCGACCTCTATCTAGACTACCTAGAACGTCTACAGACTTTTCTCCAAAATATTTGTCCACCACTTAAGACAGCCCTTCTTAAACGTAATGGATGCCGCGCTATAGCCGACGCTTTCTGGTATCAAAACGAAGAAATGTTCAGTTTGTTGATGGAGAACGTGGACAAAGAACAGTTGGGTAATGCTCGTGAGGTTGTGGATCGAATTTATGATCGGAAGAAGAGTCGTAATATGAAGAAGTTGAGGAATCAGTTTATTCATCGGCAGAATACTGTGCAGTAGACGAGAATATTGTAAAGTAGAAAAGAATACTGTACAGTAGAAGAGAACACCGTGGTATAAAAAGTGAGAGAACACCGTGGTATAAAAAGTAAAAAGAATACTGTGTAGTAAAGATTGTTTTTGTAATATCCAGTACTATATTAGCATTGATGTGAGGTTTTGTTTAATATTGAATACAAACCTGTTGTAAATATAAAAAATATATGTTTACTCGTATTTTATGTTTTTCGATGATGCTAGAGAGTAAGGAGGAAAATATATACAAAGACATAGAGAAAGTATAGTAAAATTTACAAAATGCACATTACAAACCACAAAATCGAAATAAAAGAATAGAAAGTCTTGCCGCTTTTTTACCTTCAAAGATCTCTTAAAAAGCGACAAGATTTTTTAGCGCTCATTTTTAAAATTTCAACAAAAATATACTCAAAAACTCCCACCAACACAATATAACACTATTAAACCGACATACGAAAGTAAAGCAAACCCGTTTAACAATAATACCTAAAGGTTATGGAATAACAAATGCCCACAATCGAGTTGCACAGCCTGTAAACACCGTGCGATTTTCCAAAAATAATAAAGCGATTCCAGCAGGTTGGGAACATTAACACTTTTTCTTAGACTGTATTTACTTGTTAAATAAAATTATAACATATTTTGCTATTCTATTAGTTTACTCTGTATTTAAATTATAAAGTAATGAAAAACAACCTAAAAAACCTATAAACATTCCAACTATTTAATTTACATTTGTGTTACAATATATAGAATTAGCAAATCTGTAGAATCCAAAGTCGTTCAAATCATTCTTCACAACGTTCTTGTAGGCCTTATCAAAATCCTTGTTCAGTACAACATATCTATTCTCTCTCACAGCGTGCATACCGGCTTCTTGACACATAAAATTGATGTCGGCTCCAGAAATCTTGCCTGGTCGTGCAACAAAGTCTTCCATGTCCACGTCGTCACTCAATTTCATTTTGGCGGTGATGGCACTGAAAATAAGACGCTTTTGTCGACGGTCTGGTGTTGGGAATTTGATTTTTCTGTCCAAACGGCCAGGACGAAGCAGAGCAGAATCCAATGTGTCTTGTCTGTTCGTAGCCATGATTACCTTGACATTGGTGGTTTGATCAAAGCCGTCCATTTGATTCAAAAGTTCCAGCAGAATACGTTGTACTTCTCTGTCGGCACCGGTTTGAGCGTCAAAACGTTTCGTAGCAATGGCATCAATTTCGTCGATGAAAATAATAGATGGGCTGTTTTCCTTGGCCAGACGGTACACATCTCTCACCATTCGAGGCCCTTCTCCAAGGTATTTCTGCACAAATTCGGAGCCAACAACGCGGATAAAGGAAGCTGTGGTATGAGCAGCTACAGTCTTGGCCAACATGGTTTTGCCACATCCTTAAGGACCGAATATGAGGACACCACGTGGAGGATCAATACCAATCTATAATGAAGTATTTAGGATAAATCTCTGCATAAAATATTAAACTTATAGTCAGAATACGTATAAACCCTGCCAAAACATTTAAACTTTGAGTATTGGCTAGGCTTGGACACAGGTCAGGGAATTGGCAAATTTCCATGCCATGCCCTGTGCCCTGCAATGCCCTGTCCTGTACAGGGCATTCCAATTTCATGCCCTGCCCTACCATGCCCTGCAGGGCATCAGGGCATTTACAGGGTATTTACAGGGCATTTGGGTGTATTTCGGCGGACGCCTCCGCCGAGCGGTAGATAAATGGCGGACGTCATAGCTTAGTTAGTTTAGCAGCTAGAAACATGTAGTTAAGTTCACAAGTTGTTATCTGTCATAATCTACACATTAAAACAGTAATTTATGTTTTTGTAAGCAATATTGTTATTGACTGGTCGATAATTTATAAATGTTTAATCTGTACAAAAAAGGAATGTTTTTTGCTTAGAATTGTACCTAATGTAATGTATATACAATTTGTAACAACAGAGCGATAAGAATATATATATATATAAATTGCAATTAAAATATACTAAAAATTATCGACCGGTCGATATCAATACGACTTTTAAAATTTTAAAATTATGCTTTTATTTTTAACGCATGACAAATAATTAATTATGAATTTAACTACATGTTTCTAGCTACTAAACTAACCAAGTTGTGGCGTCCGCCGATTATCGACCGCTCGGCGGAAGCGTCCGCCAAAACTTACTATGACACAAACAGGGCATTTGCAGGGTGATGCAGGGCATAGGCCGTGCCCTGCCCTGTTCCAATCTATACCATGCCCTACCATGCCCTGTAAAAAAATTTTGAAACATGCCCTATACCATGCCCTACCATGCCCTGTGGTAGGGCATGGTACAGGGCACCCTGCCCTGCGTCCAACCCTGGTATTGGCTCTTCAAAGCTATTTTATTACCTAAAAACCAAGGAATCAAATCGAAATTTTACCTGTTGATAAAATTCACCATGTGATAACGGAAGTTCCACAGCTTCCTTCACTTCTTGCTTTTGCATGTCCAACCCACCAATGTCAGAGTAGCTGACTTCTGGCTTTTCATCTGGCCTCAACATCTGAATACTCGAGTCCGCTTCAGGTGGGAGAACATCAACTAGAGCATTTGAGTACTTGTGAAGGGCAACAGAACACCCTGGCTTCAACAATTCTCTGTCCAAGATAGACAACACACGTACATAGTAGTTTGGACCTAAAAATATAAAAATTAAAATAAAACTTGCATGTTCAACTTGATTTAGGTATCAAAGCATTCTTACCAGTTGCAAAACCAACAATAGCGTGATCTTGATCAACAGCTTCCAAAAACTGCCCAATAACAACAGTAACAGATTGAATACGTTTTACCTAAAACTTAAAAAGTTAAGCATCTAAAGATATATGAATTTTAAAAAGCAGCTAAAAAACATCGATACATATGAAACAAACAAAAGCCCTAGCTTTAGCTTTTTAAAACTAATTTAAAATCTAAATAACTAACCTCCTCCTGAACATGTAGAAGCTCTTTTTCCATGTTTCTAGTCTCCAACTTGATATACTTTACCATAACATCCAAATGCTCAAGTTGTTCCTCCAATTTTTTAAACTTCAGATAGTCGTCAGCTTTATTTAAAGCCAGATCTACTTCCATCGCATCTTTGAAGATGTTCACATCCAGATTTCTCTTTTAGGTGCATCCTAAAAAGTTTTACTAGAGTATTGATCCTTCAAAGCTATTTTATTACCTAAAAACCAAGGAATCAAATAGAAATTTTACCTGTTGATAAAGTTCACCATGAGTTAACGGAAGTTCCACAGCTTCTTTGACTTCTTGCTTTTGCATGACATAAAAGATATTATCCAACCCACAAATGTCAGAGTAGCTGACTTCTGGCTTTTCATCTGGCCTCCGTTTCTAAATACTCGAGTGTGCTTCGGGTAGGAGAACATCAAACAGAGCATTTGAGTACTTGTAAAGAGCAACAGAACACCCTGGCTTCGACAATTTGCTAATCCTGTATCATAACACACGCTACTAGAATTCCGAACCTAAAAAGTATAAAAATAAACGTAAAAATTTTAAATATTTAGATAAAACCACAAAAATTTACTTTTGCCATATCACTTGTAAAACCAGCTAATAAGGTAATTTGAAAAATAATGACAACATACCGATTATTCTTCGAACTGTACTATTTTGTCCGGTGGTATTAAGTCCTAAATTTCAAAAATTATTAGCAAAATGTTATAATATAATAACTTTAAATTACCTCTATATGTAAGCGTATATACTCCAAGGCAATGATGCCACACCGACCTCCAGTTGCTAGAACAGACGGTTGTTGGTTATGATCGGTCTCGAGAGGCACACGTTCAACTTCGACTTGCATGCCGATTAGTCGGCCTTCTTGGCTCCAACAGCCAGCTCCACTATCACCATGGAACGATCCACTGGTTCCTATGTAACGTTTCCTTCTGTTTACACCACTCGCTATGATGCCCATTGACACTGATTGGTGGTTGTGGCCGGTGTGAAAAATTGAGAAACCCATCTGAAAAAGGTTGGTTTTTAATAAATAACTCGAAAACAAATTTCTTATAAATTACCATTAGATATAGTTGTCCTTTGCGAGGCAGGCCAGCGCAAACAATGAATTCCTGGTCGCAAATATCATGTTCTGTATCCATAACGATAGTGTCCAGCTCGTCTATTAATCGAATCACTTTCGCTTCTACTGCAAGTTGATCATTGCTAACGGAACGAACGGTCAATGTGTCGCCAATTTTGATGTTGCTGTTGCTCCCATGTCGATAAGTCGCAGCAAGCCGTGGCGCTAAAGGTACTACCGATACCTTCGTCAAAAAGTCCCTTTGAAAGTACAAAGCGTATTCCTTCACCCGTTCGTATAGACTCATATCCAATGGTTGACATTGAAGAACTTCTTCAATCCGAGGCCTTTTTGAAGGAGGACCTATAACAACATGATTCATGTTTAAAATACATTGCAAATAATTTTTAAAAACCTATATGTGGAACTTAATTAAAAACTAAATTAATAAAGCCAACAAGATCATAATTGGAATTTTAAAGGCGGTTTAGTAAGACCTAAAGTTGATAAACACAAAATGTGCAAAAAAATACCTTCATCCGGGGTTGATGGACGTGATCGTCGGAACTCCGCAATTTCCAACTTAAATTCTTGTTCCTTCCAGTTAGGTCCTAACAGAAATACGTTCGGTCGGGAGCTTAAAGTATAGGAATAAAAAACGTTAAAAGTTTTATCCAAACTTGCCAAATAAACAAAAATATTTAACAAACATTTTAGAACTTACTCTAAACCTAAATCTCCTCTGTATAATGAAATTGAGAGATCCTCCGCAACGTGAAACAGATCTCTTATCGTTTGTTTACCCACTGTACCATCAGCACGAGCGGTCACCTTGATGATCTTTTCTTGGTGCCGCACGAAGATGTACTGAAAATACAATTTCTTGTTTATTTTTTCTTTTGCTCATACAATGTAGACTTTTTAGTCGACTAAAAACTAAATTACAAAGTAAAATATAGTAAGTTAACTTACCGAATCCATTTCGATTACCTTACGAAAATAATATCGAATTCCTTCTATAGCAAAAATTTTCTCTCAAAATATGTTGAAACAGAATGCCAAAAACAATAAACATCAGGCAAAGTCGCTTGATGATAAAATAAAATATTTTTATTTTCAGTGCTCGACAATTAAATTTTTGGTCGAAAATGGGCGACGGTTTGGCAGAAATTGGAATTTTGGTATGTTTATCGTATTTTCGTTATAGTTTTTTAGTTTTTAGGTATTATTGGATCAACGTTTATACGTAAAACTTTCTTGAGAATTGATTTTCATAGTTTTCACGAATAAATTAGGTAGCAATAAGTCAAAAACGTAGTTATTTGTAGTTTAACTATCTCTAAAGTTGACAATTGCTTTTTAAGACTAAACACATTAAACATTGTTTAGGATGCACCGAAAAGAGATCGATCTCTGGCTGCGAACACCTCCAAAGATGCGATGGAATTAGATCTGGCTATAAATGAAGCTGACGACTATCTGAAGTTTAAAAAATTGGAGAAACAACTTGAGCATTTGGATGTTATGGAAGAGTATATCAAGTTGGAGACTAGAAACTTCGAAAAACAGCTTCTACATGCTCAAGAGGAGGTTGGTTTTGTAGATTTTAAATTAGTTTTAAAAAGCTAAAGCTATGGATTGTTTTTGTTTTATATGATTCGATGTTTTTTAGCTGATTTTTGAAATTTACATGTAACTTTAGATGCTTAACTTTTTAAATTTTAGGTAAAACGTATTCAATCTGTTCCTGTTGTTATTGGGCAGTTTTTGGAAGCTGTTGATCAAGATCACGCTATTGTTGGTTCTACAACTGGTAAGAATGCTTTGGTACTTACACCAAGTTGAACATGCAAGTTTTCTTTTAATTTTTATATTTTTAGGTTCAAACTACTACGTACGTGTGTTGTCTATCTTGGACAGAGAATTGCTGAAGCCAGGGTGTTCTGTTGCCCTTCACAAGTACTCAAATGCTCTGGTTGATGTCCTTCCACCTGAAGCGGACTCGAGTATTCAGATGTTGAGGCCAGATGAAAAGCCAGAAGTTAGCCACTCTGACATTGGTGGGTTGGATATGCAAAAGCAAGAAGTGAAAGAAGCTGTGGAACTTCCGTTAACTCATGGTGAACTTTATCAACAGGTAAAATTTCCATTTGATTCTTTGGTTTTTAAGTAATAAAACAGCTTTAAAGGGCCAATACTCAAAGTTTAAATGTTTTGGCAATTTTTATACGTATTCTGACTATAAGTTTAATATTTTTTGCAGAAGATTTATTCTAAATACTTCATTATAGATTGGTATTGATCCTCCACGTGGTTTCCTCATATTCGGTCCTTAAGGATGTGGCAAAACCATGTTGGCCAAGACTGTAGCTGCTCATACCACAGCTTCCTTTATCCGCGTTGTTGGCTCCGAATTTGTGGAGAAATACCTTGGAGAAGGGCCTCGAATTGTGAGAGACGTGTTCCGTCTGGCCAAGGAAAACAGCCCATTGATTATTTTCATCGACGAAATTGACGCCATTGCTAAGAAACGTTTTGACACTCAAACCGGTGCCGACAGGGAAGTACAGCGTATTCTTCTGGAACTTTTGAATCAAATGGACGGCTTTGATCAAACCACCAATGTCAAGGTAATCATGGCTACGAACAGACAAGACACATTGGATCCTGCTCTGCTTCGTTCTGGCCGTTTGGACAGAAAAATCGAATTCCCAACACCAGATCGACGACAGAAACGTCTCATCTTCAGTGCCATCACCGCCAAAATGAAATTGAGTGACGACGTGGACATGGAAGGCTTTGTTGCACGACCAGACAAGGTTTCTGGAGCCGACTGTCAAGAAGCCGGTATGCACGCTGTGGGAGAGAATAGATATGTTGTACTGAACAAGGACTTTGATAAGGCCTACAAGAACGTTGTGAAGAAGGATTTGAACGACTTTGAATTCTACAAATTTGCTTTTTATATATATTGTAACACATATGTAAATTAAATAGTTAGTTATGAGTTTTAGGTTTATATTGCTTTTGGATTGAAGTTGACAGGTTAGTATTGAGTAATGATGGTTTGGTTTTAGGTATGAATCTTACTGGGGAAATGTAAAATCAATCTTCAATTCAAATTCTGTTCACAATCTGTCTTTGTGGACTTATTCCTAATGTTTGTGGAGCTTGAAACCATCTTAATGTTCAAACGAGTACCTAATTGCTGTTTGTTACTTCTCAATTTTCGTTTCTATTGTATTAACAAAGAGGAACATATATTTATATATTTTTGCTTCAGAGCCCTAATTTCCGCTGCTTTGAATCAACAGACAATTGCGCAAAGGGGAATGTGCGGCCGAAAGTTTTTGGACAAATATTTTTTGCCAACAAACAATATTTTGACTTTGAAACTTTTGGAACGCTTTCTGGGTATGATATTTGGTTTAGGTTTGGATTTAAACCTGAAAATACGATTTGAGTGTGATATCAAACGGTCTTACAAGATGTTTTGAGCTTAATATTTGACTTTTCATTCGTTTTTACCTTGTAAAATGTTTCAAAAGAAGAGTAAAACATTTTGATGAATATTCGGCGCTGATTCAGAGGCTTCGTATCAGAGGCCTTGATTATAAATAACTGACCTTTTGAGGCTTTTCAAACAAAATTCTTTGATTTGAGACAGGGGAAACGAATGTAGGTAATGTTACAAAGGTGGAAACGTGGTATATCTTGTTGTTTACGTATGTTATAGTGGTTTTATGTGAGGGATGACATATTATAGTAAAAGATACTACTCCGTATCTCTTAGTTTTAGGCTTAAAATAAAAGACATACTACTAATTATCTCTTAGTAAATAAGAAGTAAATACGAACGTGGACAAAGAATAGTTGGGTAATGCTCGTGAGGTTGTGGATCGAATTTATGATCGGAAGAAGAGTCGTAATAATATTATGAAGAAGTTGAGGAATCAGTTTATTCATCGGCAGAATACTGTGCAGTAGACGAGAATATTGTAAAGTAGAAGAGAACACTGTGCAGTAGAAGAGAACAGTTAGGCCTTTCAAGCATTGGTTTGAGCCCCGGCCTGGGGCCCAAGCCAAGGCAACTAGAGAGCGCCCGTTTCAAATTCAATCCAACCCAGCACCTACCCCTACTTTAAAATTAAAAAAAAAACTCAAAATCCCCATTCCCAACCCCAAAAAATATTATTCAATAGCTAAAACTTTATTTACATTAACAACGATCTAATTCAAGGCCCAGTCTTTGATGATTCGGTGAGCAATGGCGCCCCGTGGAGGTAGGTATGAAAAGTCATCCGGGTTTTCCAATCGTTTTGATAATGGGACTTTGAGGAATGGGTCTTTCTCAACCCGTTCCAAAGCTTCTAGTACTTGTTCGCGACGGAACCACCCGGCTGCGTCTAGTTCGTCGCGGCATATATCTAGCTGAAAGTTTGCTTGGTAGTTTAGAATTTAAAATTTTTTTAACAAAATTATTAAAAAATCATTTAAAAAGACTTGTTTTCAAAAAAAATTTTTAAATTTTCAAAAAAAACCTTATTATAATTGTAATAGAAATCTCGGTACCTCATGATCAGGATTAGCTTTAGCCTTCAGGCCACACATTAGCGAATTGAAAGGCATTGGCCATGGCTGAGAATCATTGAACAGACAAAGATCCGTAGCTTCAATACCTACTTCCTCAGCAATTTCTCGTTTCGCCGTTTCTTGAATACTTTCACCTGCCTAAAATTTTGTTACTTTACCATACCCTTTATTATTTTTTATTACTAATATTACATACTATATTACTATTACCACGCCCTTTTATGTTTTCGTAAAATGAATTTTTTTCAAAAACCCACCCCAAAATTAAAAATTTCTACTGCCTCCCCCCCCCCAAACTAAACCTGTTAAAAAGCCGGGTCAAGCCTAGTGACCCCAGGTCTACCCCCAACTCCACATACCATAGCAAATCCAGCAATAAGAGTATAAACCGATGATACCGAGCCTTTATGCCGTACCAGAAGGACCTTTTCGCTATTATAGTCCTCGACCAGTGTTATCGCGACCGGTGAGATCGTTGGATAAAAGAATCTGTCACATCTTATGCATCTGGCAGCACTTTTCGATGGTCGTAGCTGAAGAGGTGTGGAACAGGTTGGGCACCGGCGGTACGTGTGGTACCATCGAGTTACTGCTTGGAACTGAAATTTTTTAAATTTTTATATCATAATGTAAAAAACTGATACAAAATTATTTAAAAATCAATTAAAATTATTAAAATCCTTATTTCTAAACCAAAAACAATAAAAATATAAAATGGTACAGTTGGTGCACTTAGTGTTCCTAGTAATAAAAAAAATTTTTCGTCACAAAATATTTTATTGAAATATGCATTTTTATGCTAATTTTTACAAATAGTACATTTGGTACTATTAATGGTAGTACTGGTACAATTTTGCAAAAAAAAAGAATTTATAACTATTATAGTACAACTTCACTATAAATTTAAAAATTTCAAAAATTCAAATCTCCACTACAAAATGAAACCTCACTTTAGCCAAATTATGCCGATCTGCTTCAGAATCCAATGTTAACATAGCGATCCTCAAATTCATGAACTTTCCTCCCAATGAAGCAGCTAGTTCTTCCTTTAGTTCCTCTGCTTTGATGCCACTTTCAACCGGGGGTTTCATCGTTCGTACCGCACAGCCAAATAAGGGCCTCTGAAATTTGTTAGTACAATATCGTTATTGGCAGTTATTAACAACGGATTGGCCAAAAAACCTCATTCCTAATGCAAATACATCAAATTATCATTTCCATAGCAAAATTATCAAACAATGTCATTTACAATGAAAGATAAAAAACCTTATTTTTATGGTAAAAGCTTGAAGAATGGCTAATTTTAGGTAACAAACATACAAAATTGGTAACAAACATACAAAATCTCTATGAACTTCATCTGGAATGGAGCAATCGATCAACGCCGAGTTGAGTAGACCAATTTCTAACCCGTACTGATTTAGTTTCTCTTTTAAATCTAAAAATATTATGTTTTTATACCTAAAATCCTCGTTTTCGAGGCCTTAAATCCTCATCTCCAATTCCTAAAAACCTCTTTCCCCACACCAAAATCAACAATATACCTTTGGTTTCAAACTTGACAATGCTCAAAGCATTCGTATTCTCATCCTTCTTCACCAATGCCTCCTTATCGACTAGTACAATCGACTGAGAATCCGTGAATTCGGTCTCTAAAGCGTCTTCTGATTGATTCCAGTAGTCCATCATCTTCACCTTCCTTACGTACATACTGTTGCCGGCATCTTGACTACACTGCCTTAACCCAAAGAGTCTTGAGATTAGGCGATGAGACCGGAAGGCCATCTGGAATTCTTTTAATAGAAATATTATTTGAATGCTATATTAGAAATGGCATTGGTATTAGAGGCCGACATAAAGAACCCGCCATTTTTTACAGGAAATTACAGGCAAAGTATGGCGGGTTCTTTATGTCGGCACCTAATATTTAAAGAAAATTACAAAAATAGTCCACTTGGTACTTTTAGACATGAGCAGCGGGTCGAGCCCATCTTTTAGGGCTAGCCTGTTTTTAATTTTGCTCACTATTAAAAACATGCAAAGTCACAAAAATAATGATTAAAATGCCCTTAATTTTCATATTTTTCTTATAAAATGTTCAGTAACCTTTCGTGAAAACGACCAAAACAAAATCACAAAAAGTCAGATCAAATACCCATTTATTCCCAATGAAAATATCACAAAATGTACAAAAAATAAGAGCAAATAAACATTGTTGAACAAAGTAAAGTAAATATAACAACAGTAAAAAGTAAAATAATAAAGTTAAGAAGAGTAACAATAAAAACAATAAAATAATCAACAATCACAAGAAGATTTGCCATATCATATCACTATAGCTAAAGGTTGACAAGATGAATCTATTACCATAGCTAAACGTTGACTAGATAAATCTATCACTATAGATAAATGTCGACCAGTCAGATCAAAAGTCGTCACTATGACACAATTTTCGTCCAAAATACATCAATATTTCAAAGTTTTTACACTAAAAACTGAGAGATCAGGTTACCCACTCCAAGTAAAATTATAATAGAATGAATAACTATTTGAGCATTCGTGAGTTTTCCACTGTTTTGAAGTTTCTTCAGATGAACTAATGACGGTAATGCAAAGATGTATACCAATCCTGACAATGATCCAACGTACCTAAAATATATTTACGTTTAGTAAAAAAAGCAGAGTGAAAGTGGTACTAAGAGCTAAAGCACATTCTGTTAGTATAAAGCAGAACAAAACGGTACAGTAAAATACGGCAAATTTGGCTATATTAGAGTAGGGTAGAGCACGGTAGAGCAGGCTAGGGTAGGTTAAGGTTATGCTGGGTTAAAACTAGCAGTAAGACCTATAGTATAAAGTAGGGCACGGTAGGGTATGGTGAAACGGAGTAAAATAAGCTTAAAACAGCAGCATAATAACGGCAGATAAAAGGGAAGCCTCGCAGAAATATAAAGTTATATCCCAACCCTCGGAGTAATTTGCTGGGTCGTTTTACATCAAGGCATAATATTATAAAAAACCATAATATTACATAAGAAAAAGTTGCGCAATACGATTCCTCGCAATTTCTCTAAGGCTATATAGTTATATCATTAATGTTACGGTTACGTATCATCCCACACACCGTTATAAATCTTTCATGTTTTGTAGAAGCATTGCGTGTATAGTAAGCTAAATCCTTATAGGTAAGGCAGAGTAGGATAAACATACCTCAATATCCCTCCAACATGTGGATAAACAATGCAGAAAAACACCGCCACTAAGATCACCAAAACATTGATCAAACATACGTACAGTAACCTGAAAAAACATAAAATTACCATAAAGATCCTCGTTTTCAACGTCAAATCACTTCAAACCCCGTTTTTAAACGTAAAAATCTCAAAAAAACCTCACTCACAATACAAAAAAAAACCCCAAAATGCGTTTTTTTTTACTTTAAATCTATAAAATTCAGCTTACCCCGGATACACAGTGCCTGTGAAAACGTAGCTGAACTGAACTCGAACCAAGTACATGAGCAGTGGTAGTACTGTGATCATCTGGAACAGTAAGAACATTCTTGCTGTTGCACTCAAGACATCACCTGATCCGAAGTTGTTCAAAAAGTTCTGAAAAATGCCGTATTTTACGTGCTTTACTTAAAATTAAATTTTTTTCAAAATATTGCACCGTGCAAGTTAGAAAAAGCCTTGCACTGTGCAATCAAAAAAGCTTTGCACTGTGCAATCAAAAAAGCCTTGCACTGTGCAATCAAAAAAACCTTGCACTGTGCAAGAAATATATATTCTCGCACGGTGCAGTCAAAAATACCCGAAAAATGTTCCAAACATCAATTTCATTACCTAAAAATCCAAAAACAATTAAAAGACCAACTTACATCCGAAATACATTCCCTTCGTCCTGGAAAAGCCAAGTAGAACATACACCCAATCACAATATAACATATCATAGCCAATATGTATCCAATCGACAGGTCCCTGGCATTGTTCTCTGGATGTTTCTGGTTTCTCAGAATCGTCAACACTGCGTTATGAATGAAGTACGACAATGCTAGCGTTCCTGTTAGCGCTGTGAACTTTGAGTTGTACACTAAAATAAGATTCTTCACTCAAACTTTAAAAATTTTAAGAAAATTTATTGAAAATAGCAAAAACTTTCTTTACATAACGAAAAATGACAAAAACTTTCTTTACAGAGGAAAAAATAGCAAGAACGTTCTTTACAATCCATAAAAAAGGAAAAACTTGCTTTACAAAGCGAAGAATGACAAAAACTTTCTTTCCAAAACAAAAAATAACAAGAACTTTCTTTCCAACCCCAAAATTTCAAAAAAACGTAAAATACGGTCTAAAACCTTACATTCCACATAGTGAATAGACGTAGCATCACTAAAATTGACATTCAATCCGCATTCATACGCTTTTGACATTGTAAATGCTATCAAATAAGCCACTGATATCGTTCCCAACACATTGAACTTGGTGAATATTGTAGGCGATTGAAAGTTTAACAGTGGAAACGTCAAAATGCCTAGATAAATAGGTACTGTGCCTTGTAGTGACCATAGCTTTTTGAATGACCAAAAACCGTCGTCTGATTCGTCTTCTTCTTCGTAGTCAAACATGTCCTTAGGTGGTAGGCACTTTTCATCGTAATATACTGAAAATATTAGGCTTAATGCGTCATTTTAAGCTTATTTTGTGTGCTTGGCTTATTTTTCTGTGCTTAGGCTTATTGCGAAAGTTTTAGGCTTATTTTTCCGCGGTTAGGCTTTTTGCGTCAATTTTAGGCTTATTGCGTAAGCTTTAGGCTTATTTTTGTGTGCTTAGGCTTATTTTTCTGTACTTAGGCTTATTGCGTAAAATTTAGGCTTATTTATGTGCGCTTAGACTTATTGCGTCAAGCTTAGGCTTATTTTTGTGTAGTTAAGCTTATTGCGCAAGTTTTAAGTATATTTTTCTGCGCTTAGGCTTGTTATGTGTTCTTAGGCTTATTACGTCAACCTTAGGTTTTTTTGTCCGCTTAGACTTATTGCGTCAATGTCAAGCTTATTTTTCTGCGCTTAAGCGTATTGCGCCAAGCATAGGCTTATTTTTCTGTACGTAGGCTTATTGCGTCACTCTTATGCTTATTTTTGTGTGCTTAGGCTTATTGCGTGAATATTAGGCTTATTTTTGTGTGCTTTTTGCGTCAACCTTAGGCTTATCTTTGCGTGCTTAAGTTTATTTATGTGCGCTTAGGCTTACTGCGTCAATCTCAAGCTTATTTTTCTGCGCTTAAGCGAATTGCGTCAATCATAGGCTTGTTTTCCTGTGCTTAGACTTACTGCGTTATCTTTAAGCTTCTTATTTTTCGCTTAGGCTTATTGCGTATTCTTTAGTCTTTCTTTTGTGAGCTTAGGCTTATTACTTCACTTTTAGACTTACTTTTGCGTCATTGCGTAAGCTTTAGGCTTACATTAGTGCATACACCTTATCTACGTACCCCATAATATCAAAAACCTTCACTTACTGTCACACGTAAACGTTTTATTGGCCAAAACCGGTAGCACCGTGCTGTTGGGTTGTAGAGATTCGTAGATAATATTTCCCGTAAAATATAAAAAGTTTGACATTAATACGAAATACACGATAATTCCACCAAATAGTACTATGATTGAGAAGAAAACGGCCGTATATTCTCCTTTCTTGCCCCAATAATAGCGACAAACATCCGAGAATTCGGCTGCACTGGTCTCTACTTCTAGTGCTGAAAATATTATATTATAATCAAAACATTACGTGGTACTAAACTTTTATAATTTCAGTACGTTATGCTAAAACAAAAAATACTTTCAAAATCAAAAAAATTTCAAAATTTGTTACCTAAAATTTAAAAAATATAACTTACTGATGCCCTGAGGGCTTTGAACAACCCGATAAGCTGTGTATAACGCTAAGAAAGCCATTAGAGCCATTAATACCACACCAAGCCCCAAGCCAGCTTGAGCTAGAGCCCAAGGCATGGCCAGTAAGCTGGTCCCCATCATTGTGTTCCAAATTGAAAATCTGAAAGATTTGTCATAGATCCTTACTTTCATTTAAAAGTGACCTCAAATAACCTAAAAACCGAAAAAAAAACAAAAAATTAACTTACATAGTGACCAAACTGCTCTGCTTCCCCTCATTATCCTTAAAATCATCAAAGGGCAATATTGAGAACCATTCACTTAGAAATGAGACGTGATCCGGCATCCTCAATGTCTGCCCTCCTGGATCCAACCTATTAAACAATCTGTATCGTATAGCCATATTGTGATGTCTGTGAGCATCTGACACTGCATTTGATGCAGCATCTGAGGTTATACTTGAGGTTCTTGAACGATTTGAATAGAGAAACGGTCTTCGCAGGGTATTGGCTATAATAATATTATTAAAAATAGGTAAAAGCTGCCATATTTTTGAAATTGATTCATATTGCTAGTTGAAAAAGCTTATAATCTACTATCAATTAAAAAATACAAAGTCCTGTGGATTTTTGCAGAACGTTATAACAAAAAGTAAGTCAGTATACGCTATTTCTACTGCAACATCCCCAAAATCTCTAAAAATAAAAACAAAAGTAAAGAAAAAACTCACCAGACTGCACTCTGTTCATCCCAGCATTCCTAACATTGTTCACTAATAAATGATCTACACTTCTAGCCACCGGAAAATCGTCACGTAGCTCTTGCGGCACATCCATCGGGTCGGTTTGACCGTGACTTCCGTTTGACCCGTAATTCTCTGCCATCTTAAACGATAATTTTCAAACCTTCTCCAAAAAAGTACTAATCACTTATCATAATCACCAAATTCCCCTAAATACTTATCAAATTAAACCAAAAAATAGTTGATAATTTCGTGGAAAAGTGATAAAAACCCCAATCTTCTTCTTACTTTTGCCTTAAGCAGGCGCGTCCGAACCTCAAACATGTATGTATAAACAAAAATAATATAAAAGAGTTCAGTCTATTACATGGGAATTTTCATAAACTAACGAAAGTCTCGGGAATTGGCGTGAAACTGATAAGAAAGTCCAAAAAGATGAGTTATTAGTAATACAAATTACTGAAACACATTTAAAAACATTAAAAGCCAATCTTATTTATTGTTCTTAATGTTAACACACCACTTCTTATCTTAACAAACTGATCGTTGAGTTACAAAAATTTCATGTCTATTAAAAGCGAGGTATGTACGTTCAACAACGTCGTCATACCTAAAGTTCGACACAAAAAGCAAAAACTTACTGTCTTAACGTCTGATGGATATTGTGTTAAACACTAAACAAATCAGTTATCTTTTATTGCTCATCAGACTTCAATCAGATCAAATATTTTATTTTTTTATAATTTTTTATTTACACATTGATAGTGCTCAAGTCCCGCCACGAAAAATGTAAATGCGAAAGCAGAATTCTTTCTTTAGCGTTTCGTGGCAAGTAAAAGATTCGTTCGATTCGAAGAAGAAGATGATGTATACGCATTTTGTATTTGTTTTTGGAGTTTATCAATGATTCACGATGCTTTCAATTTCTTTCACGAACTTGTGCTGAATGTTATATTTTATTTTTTGTTGGTATATATTGATATAGGTCTTCTTTAAACGAAAAATGAGTGTTCTAAAAAGGAAACATTATATTCTTGTTAATGTTGGCATTTAATACCTTTTATTTTACTTGTCGTTGGGTTTTTAAATTTTTATTTTGTTAATAGCAACATTAAAATTGGCTTTTCAGGGAAACATCTTGGAAATGGCAGATGAGTTTGTGTCGGACGCGGAGAAGGGGAAGATTGCAGCCGAATTGATACAGGAAGCGCCTCCAGGCGAGTTCAATGAAGTCTGGAACGATGTGCGAGTTTTGTTGAACAATGACGACTCGTTGATGACCAGTTGTTCTCGGGCAGCTGCGCAATATCACAAAGACCAGTTGTTGCCAGTGACTTTGGAGGTTGACCAACCTAAAGTGGGTTTATATTGATGTTATTTTAAAGTTTAGAGGTTTTAAAATAAGCGACTTTAATGATGAAGGACAAAAACGCTAAAAATATTATGGTTTATATGTTGTTATAGACATTAATCAGTTAAAAATCTAGTAAAAAGCTAAAATCTGCGTAAAACGAGCTACTTTTTTGTTGTTTTAGCCGCAGAACGTGCAAGTACGAGTTATTTTGTATATATATTTGTTGTTTTAGACATTGCTCACAAATTACAATGAAATCTCTGAAGGAAGATTTTTTGATCCGAATTCTAAACAATCGTTTAAATTTGATTTTCTATCAAAAGTTGTATCTGATGTTCAGCCATATGAACAGCCGAATGTTGAAGAGAAGCTGGAGACCTTTAGAAAGGCTGTCCAGACAGTAAGTTTTGATATTGTAGTAGATAGTGTATTGTATTCGATGTTTTTGTAGATTTATATTTGGAAAATGCTATGTTTTTTGTTTTTTAATATAAGCCTGAATGGGGATGTTAGAATTGGCGTGTTTTTTTTGATTTTGTTACCTAAAAAAATAATTTTCCCTTTAGGAGCTGAACCATTACATTCAAGAACACTACCACAACATTGGTACAGGTGTAGTCTTCATATTCAATGGTCATTTGGCTATTGCTATTGAGTCGCACATTTTCCAAGCCAAGAACTTCTGGAACGGTCGTTGGCGTTCTCAGTGGGAAGTCCCATCATTGACTTCGAAGCAAGGTACTGCGGAAGTGAATGGTATTGCCAAGATCAATGTACATTACTATGAAGATGGAAATGTTCAGTTGTCGACCAAGAAAAACTTGAAGGGAGAAGCCAAATACTCGGCTAATACTAATGATAGTGCTAAGAATGTGATTAACGCTATACATAAGGCTGAGACTGAGTTTGAGGTGGGTTATTTTGGTATTTTTGTTTTAATGAGGGTCAGGCGGGTGATTTTTATGATAAGAATGATGAAGTAGGGTTAGAACAAAAAATTTTGTTACCTAAATTTAAAAAAATGTTGTTATTTTTAAAAATTTAGAGCTCAGTACTTCAAAATTACACTGTGATGTCGGACAGCACGTTCAAGACGTTGCGACGAAAACTACCGATCACTCGTTCCAAGTTCGACTGGAACAACGCCCAAAGCTATCGCCTTGCCCAGGACATGAACCGGAACTAAAAACTGCCAAAAAGTAGTATAATACTGTGTAGTATTTTGTAGTTTTACTAGTTGGTATGAGCTTACTATTAATGGTAATACAGCATTAACAAGCTATGTTTATCATTACATACTGTTAATACTAATATTGTGCACTCATACTGTTTAGTACGTCGATTTCAGTACTATGTACTAAATAGTTACAGTACTGTGTATTGAATAGTTAAAGTACTGTATATTGAATAGTTACAGTACTGTACACCATTTTTGATTTTATATTTTGTCTCGTACTATATAGTATTTATCTCGGTACTACACAGTTCCGTTTGAACACTCCGTCGATCTTTTAAACTAGCTTTCTCAACAATCGTGGCCTAATTTGTATAACTTATAATTATTGTATACTGTAAATGCTTTACCATATAAATTTTTGATAAGTACGGGTTCGGAATATTGAGTACCTTGGTTTGTGTGCCATGATATACATTCTATTGCTGGTTATTATATGTGTTACTTTAAGTTTTCTATGGTTTTTTGGAAAAGAAATTGGTAAAACACTATCTTTAGGTAACATTTTAGTTGTTTTACCTATTCTTTAGGTAACATTCTACTTTTATTACCTAATTTTTCAGGCATGACCTCAATTGAAGCTCTTCTCAACGTTACAGACGTAGCCGATGCTGATAATGCGACAACATCGACTATCTTAAGCACTACCACTACAGTTTTAACTACTACAACTACAGTGATCTCGACAACGTTATCCACTACAGCAGCTACAATAACAAGCACGATACCCGTGCCCACTGAGGATTCTCACTCATTATTCTTGTTTTGTACGGTACTATTCTTTGCTGGAATTGCTGTTGTGGCTAAAATTATATATTCGAATCGGAATAAGTAGGTTTTTTGAATATTTGTAATTTGTAAAGAAAGTTTTTGTCATTTTTTGTTTTGGAAAGAAAGTAACTGCAGTTTAACAAACAATAATGCCTATATTACCTAAAACCCTTTCAGATACAGCGTACTAAATATCCATCCAAACTGGCGAATGTCAGCATCAAGAACCTCAGGTTCAGTACCATTTGGAGCCACTACAGACCCATTTAATCCAAGTAACGCTCCTGCTGGTCTTGGCTTCGGATCGGCTCATTATACAGCTGTAACACCGACTTCAGGCGATCAGTTTGCCCAAGCTCACGAGGAATGGGAACGACAATTCTTTGACGAACGGCCTAGTGAACAGGAAAGGGTAGGGCATTTTGAAGGTGTTTTTGAGAAGGCATGGCTTAGAATAACATTTGGGGGGTTATATAGTTTGGCTTCTTTATCAGTGTATTGCTTTTTTTATAATAAGGGGGGGGGGAGTGATGAAAAAAAAATTTTGCTAGGGAGGGGGTGGATCTACCCCCCCCTTCTCCGCAGAAAACCCGTAGCGACGCCCCTGGGTACCATCAACTCTTTAAACACCTCATTCCTTTCCCACAATATCCTTTCCAGTAGGTGAATTGAATTGTCATCATTGTTACCATACCTACAACAATATCCATTGCAGACCTCATCTCGCCTCGAACTGCGACGATAATCTCATTCCCTGACTCACCATGCTAAACACAAGAATCTCGAGAGCACCCGGGTCGCCTTCCTTTTCTTCATCATAATGAAATTAACTGGACTAGTCCACAAGCATAGCACTTATAGATTCTGAAACACACATTTCATAGTATACTACAGTACTCGTAAATTTATTGGAATACTGTCACATATTTTTGGTAATTTTTCTAGTTTACTGTTCTAGAGTACTGGTACTTTTCTAGTAATTTTTAGTATAATGTACTATAGTATTAGTACTTTTCTAGTATAGTACCGTAATACTTATAATGATTAGAATATACCGTATTGTAGTATTAACTTTCGTATGGGTCGCGTGTCGGTGAGCAACATTCCTTGTAATATCTTTCTGTTTATTAAGCAATAAAAATTTTTAATTTGTACAATATTTTTTGAAATTTTAGTCGGATCCATTAATTTTTTCGCTTTTTTAAAATAAATTTTTTTTTCAAAATTTTAAAAAATCGAAATTTCAAAAATTTACAATTTTTTTTTAAAAAAGTAATAAAAACCGAAAGAACTAATGGACCTGCCAAACATAACCCAGACGGATCACAAAAAGCAAGTATACATACCTGAAATACCAAAGTACAACGGACAACCACAACATTATGGTACGAAACAACATACCATAGCGATATGGGGCATAAAAACAATATAAAACCAGGCGTGGCGTAGACAGACATGGACGTTGAAAAAGACCCATAAAACAATCAAAAGAATCATATAAACCATCAAGTTGGCATCAACAATATCGTTCATTCGAGTCATATCGACCCATTATCAATATTATAGTACATTAGGGTCGTATTGACTCAGAAACAATATTGTATTAGATAAAAGTAGAATAGAAAAACCCATAAACCGTAGTTTTAGGTAAAGAATGTCATAAAACAAAGAAATCACCGCGAAATTCAAGAGGTTTTTGTCGAAAATTTATCCGTTTTTGTCCAAAACAATGGCTGACTAGCGGGATTTGTTAGCCAATTATTAAGATTTGCGAGGAAAACGTACGGCCAGCGGTTTTGAGGTGATTTGAGATATAAAAACTAATTTTTTGGGCCCAGAATCTTGAGTTTGAACGTGAAAACGACAAGGGCTAAAATGTCAAAAGTTTTGTCGCTTTTTAGCATGCAAAATAACGGCCAAAAACGACAAGACTTTTAGCATCTTAATTCTTTTGATCGATAGACATTCAACTTCAGTAAGGCTTCTAATTTCAAAAAAAAAAATCATTCCACTGGAACCTCCAGCCATTCAAAAAATCAAAACACCTCAAACCCTTTGGCCAATACAGCAAAATTGAAAAAATATTTAAAAATTTTTTAAAAATCTAGAAAAATTTTATCGAAAAGACAAATCGCACAAGACAATGAACAAAAATATACACTGAGTTGATATTTAGACATCGGAAGCGTTATTGGTTGGGTTTCTTCTTCTCCAACGAGTCCAAGAACTCCTGTTGGGATAAGGCGAGGGCTTGAGCCAGAAGGGCGGTCTCGTCCAGGACGGGGCTGTTCCAGTCGCCGTAAGCTGAAATGGCAATGAAAACTAGGTCAATTGGTTGCCAAAACGTTTCCTAAGGCAACACACCTTAATTTTTTTCAACAATTTTAAAAATGGTCCCACTCATCATCGATTTTTCGAACAAAATTTACCCCTCCCTTCCCAAACAAATTTCACCCTCTTCACCCCTGAACAAAATCACTAGTTCAACACTACCCTCAACATCAATCATTCCACTTACAAGCACTAGAAGCCAGCAATTCCTCATATAATCCAACGTTCCCTCCTGCTCCTTCTGTTTTATCCGTATTTGCGTTTTCCTGTTGAGATTCCTGAGGTTTTGACTGTGAGGAACATGGCTCCTCGTGCGAAGATACCAGGTTGGCGGCTGAAGTTGAAGGCTTCAGCAAGGCCGCATTCGAATGGGCAAGGCTTTGGCCGAAATTGGCGTCAATGTTTGGCATTGAAGTGGAGGCGTAGTCTGTAAACCATGGTTTATATAACTTAAATTTGCTTTTTTTAGTTTTTTCAATTAAAAAAAGTCATTTTTAAGCTCCTGTTTAGTCTTAAAACGTATTATAAGTCCTTGCCCAGCCAAAAACTTTAAATTTTCCTGCCAAACTCACCATTTTTGTACATTTTCGGCAACCGATGTTCATCTGCATCCCTGCTTGAAGACGGCAAATTAGGTGAAGAAGCCCCTCTCTTCCCTCCCAACGTCGTCTTCAATCCATGAAAAGTACGTTCTTCCTGAGGTGATTGTTGCCTGGTGGTTCTTGGCCGCGGCGTATGAGGTTTTTGATTTTTTTCGTGAGATTTCTGGGCTTTTACCACGTCTTTTTTTCCCTTCAACGGCTTTCAAATAGTCCATGTAGCTTTCCGACGCGATTTGTCGGCTTAGCTCCTCTTCGGTGCGTTCCCAATCTGTCATTTTCATCTTGTCCTTCAGCATGGCGTCTTCAATGAGTTGACGTTCCGAGGCTTGTGTCGCTTCTTTGAGAAGGTTGTGGTCGGCTAGGCCGGGTTGGTATTCTGGGAGGCCTAGGCCGACGCCGATGGTGGGGTTGAAGGGGTCTACGACTGAAAAAAATATTATATACCGTACATATTACAGTAGACAAAAAATACTTTAAAACCCAAATTTAAATATAAGAATCAATTCCCTACCAGAGTTATAATGAACACTTCCATGATACGACAACCTGATGGCCGGATTCTCGACACCAGTGTTGGCTTCTCTTGAGATGGGATGGAAAGTATTGATCGGATCTGTACTGTATTCATAGACTTCAATTGGCCGTAGAAAGATTTCAGACATGGCCTGAAGTTCGACATGGTTACCATGAACAGCATCCAGACGTTTTCTCGTCAAATAATCGTTAAAATCTTCCGTGATAAACTGAGAAAAGTGATCACGGTTCTTGGCCACATAGTCCATACACAATCTTCTGACTTCACGGTGCATTTCTTGATCTCCGTAGATTTGATCAGCTGGAAAATTAAGTTGTATTGTCTATCTTATTTTAAAATCAAAAACTATTTTAAAAGCCTAAATTTAGATAAAATAAGCCTTAAAATCCATTAAAGCAGCACTTTTCATCCATAATATACCTAAAAATACAAAAAAACAAAGCTAAAAACACACCAACAGCTCTGAACATGCACGCGCCATCACCCTTAACTTCCTTGACCACATATCCTTTGACGGCCTTCATCCTCTCCACAAATGCCAATTCCAGCTCCAGATCCTCGAATCCTCCACCATATTCATCATCACTGTTCGGAGCTTCATTCACTGGTTTTTCATCTAAACGTTTTCTAATTTGAACCTTCTGTGGATGGCCATCAGTCCGACGTGGAGCAGTTTTGGCTCCACCGAAAGCTTTTGGCAAGTTCACACTTGGCAATTGTGCTGACACACTGGGTGGGGGATGGGGTTTGACATAATGTCGCTCGTGGTGAGTTGCGTTTGGTTGACAACGTCTAAAACACATTTTTGTGAACAATTGCCGTCTATTTTTTTAGGTATACTTATAGTTGTGAAGTTTATCCTTTTTCTTCACCTTCCCAAACAACCTAAAGTTCAAAAAAACATAAGTTATTACCTTTCAGCTCGCTCCCTGTGGTCCGATTTAGCATGAGGCTTCTTCGACTTCGGTAAAATAGTCATTTCACCAAGTCCAGCACTAAAATCCAAAAGTTTAGGCTAATAAAAACTTCAAAACATCTAAAAACGCATTTAAAACAATATAAACCTTGTAAAATAAAGTGAAAGACATAATGAATTTCGCGAAATATATATAAAAACACATTGGTCGTCTTAAAGCTTCAAAATATCAAATATATTACACTTGAAAAGAGGTATTAAACGGTAAAACAACCGATTTTCCAAAAAAAAAAAAACAAAATTTTCAAATTCACTTTGCAAATAATTTATGAATGTACATAATGAACAAGTTATAAACAATATAGTAGTAATTTACTAGGCAAAACATCAAAATAACAAAGTAGTGCCGTTGAGAACCAAAATAAGATGTTTTCCCATCATAAACTATAAAATAGTCCCAAAACAATCATAAACAACATAACAGTCTTGGCTACACTTTTTCTATATATATTGTCTTTTCTTCATACACTATTCAAAAAAACAATCGATTTCTCTCAATCGATTAGGCGCAGAATTATATTGTCTTAGGTGACCGTGTCCGATGAGACGTTGCTGCTACCCGAGCTCGAAGCACGCCGCGTACGCGTCTTCGTACCCTGTAACAGATCCTCCTTCACGGTCAACAGCTTCCGCTCCAGGATGAATCGGCCTGAAAAAAAAAGAAAAATACCACTTTGAAATGAGTCAAGTTTTTCTCTTTGATTTTTTGGTGTCAAGTGTTGCGCCGCAGAAGGGGAATATATTAATAGTCCCCTCAGCTGACAGATGAGAGGCAATGGCTTTATAGTAGAGTATAATTATAAATATGTAATTTTCTACTAACATAAAATTTCAAAAAATTGAAGCAAAACACCTATAACAGCACATCGAAAATGTTGACTTCAATACGTCATAACTTTGTTCAAATTTATGATAAAATGCTCAATATTTTCCTCGAAAACAGTAAACATTGTATTTTTTAAGAATAACATAATAAAAACAATATCCAGAGGCACAATACCAAATATCCTATTTAAATGCATCAGGTATAACAAACTATGATTACAAACATCATAATCATTAAAAACCTGTGTCCCTACCTTCTTTGTATTGTTGGCTCTCAGCGTAAGCAAATTCATACATCCACCCCACTTTTGCGCTACAGTTTTTACAAAACACATCCCGAACCACATGTTCTCCTGTTATCATGGATCTCGTATCAGCTTTGGATACGTCAACGTTCTTTACGTCGCTGAACAAGAACGCGGGACCGGTAGACCCTGAAACGTATTTTGTTGTTAGAATAAACCATAAACTCCGTTCTTACAAAGTTTAAAGTGGCTTTGTATTATTAAAAAGTAGTTATAGATATTTTAAGTTATCCATACCTATATCATATCACACCTAAACTTGAATCAAAAAACACAAAAAATTACCTTGAAATGCCGTAGATTGTAACCAGTTTTCATTAGACAAATATGTGTAACACCGCTCGCAATGGTATGTTATACCACCGCCGCCGTGTTCAAGATACACTCGGCCCATTATCTGAAAGTATTACTTTACAATGCACGCCACAATTAACTTTTTTTCTTAAATATAACAAAAAAACGCGTCAGCAGGTAATGAATGAGTTCATTTTAAAGGTATAGAGGTGTATATTTCAATAATAATATGGGAAAAAGCTATTTTACTAGCAAAAGAGAAAACATGTATAACATAAACAGCAAAAGTAAGAAAATATAGTTATATAAAAGGCTAAAAACTTTTTTAAAATAACAAACTTCTTTTAATGTTACTTTGTCTATTGCTAAACAGTTGTACTCGAAGTTATTTTTAACAAAAAACTAAAAAATTAAATGTCAATATTGAATTTCGTGACGAAGTATCAAAAATTTATTGGAATTAAAAAAAATCATTAAATAAATTTAAAATTAATATAAAATCAATAATAAATGTTTATTATTTTTACAAAAAACCAAAAACAATATATGATAATGTACAACAATATAATTTTCAATTCATAACAAAATGATAATAATGTACAATAGAAATTCAATATTTTTCACCAATATGTACACAATAAGGCCATAAATGTCGAGGTAGATAAACTGTTCATCTTACCATCCACTCCATCATTTTACAATTTGTTTTAAGACCCGTGATAGTTATGATGATTTCTACCATATCGGCGACTACTCGGATATTGCAACACAACCTGTTCTTCAGGCATTCCGTTGTTGACGATATAATCTGGCAGTAGTCGTTGCATCACAATATCGACTGTTTCGTCCTCATCGTCGACCATTGGGATGTTGTCGGCACGGTCGTTTTCGTTGTTCATGCAAAATATAAACGACCATTCCAAGATATATTGACCTTCCTTGTATTTTTGACTCTCTTCGTATGCCAGTTCGTACATCCAGCCAAGTTTAGTCTGGAAACGATTAGATTACCACAATTTTTTGAACTTTTATATAAAAGACGGGTTTTAATGTAAAAATGTTACAGTAACCCACCTTGCACTGTATGCAAAATATGTCCCGTACCATGTGATCACCAGTAAGCATATGCTTCTTTTCAACGCTTGATTTCGTTATATTGTAGACCTTTTGAAATAAAAAGGCTTTTCCAGTTTGAGCTAAAAAATTTGGCTTCATCAAATTATATTACACTTAATATTATGTTAAACTTGGTTACAAAACCATAAAATCTCACCTTGAAACGCGTCGCTGCAATAATGATCGCTGCTGGCAATAAATGTACGGCATTGCTTGCATATAAAAACGTAACTTCCATTCGGTACTTGGATATACGGGCGGCCCATGACCTAAAACAACATAACATTAAACGTTTATAACTTGAAAATTTGTGCATGAAACCAAACGAAATTTTGTTAGTATAGCACTAATACGTTAATAAATACCACTGTAAAATTTTACAAGAATCTATACAATTTTCAAAAAGATACAATAGTTTAAAAATCAAAATTTTCGGTTTCAGCCTCTAGTGTAATATAAAATTATCCATATCACAAAAAGTTCGTACCCAAATATAACAAAAGTTTGGGAAACTTATAAAAATAGTCTTTAAAACATTTTTGTAAAGTTTCATTCTAAATAACAACGGCAAAAAAAAGTTACAGCTTTCAAAACATCTGGTACACCTAGTGTAATATAAAACTTTTCACAGTTCAAACATTTCATTGCCAACTGAAACGAACCTTTAGATATAATATTAACAGATTATCTAAAACATTTAACTAAAGTTTCATGCAAATTGCTAAACGCAATAAGAAAATACAGCGCGTAAAACATCAAGTATACCTAGTGTAATATAAATCAACGCCCGAAAAACATAAATTTTGAAGAAAAGTGAAAACAAAAACGAATGACAATAAAAATTAAACTCTAAACTTGATATAAACCTAGAAAAAATAGCATTTACACACGTTGAAAATACGATAATTTCGATTAAAATTTTCAGTTTCGAGCAAATTTTCCGAGAAAAAAACTTGAGTCAATACTAGAAAAAAGGCCATAACTTTTGTAGGAGATACCTGTAAGAGATGAAAGTGACACCATTTTAAAGGTTTTTAAACGTTGTACAAAATATGTAAAATTTGTATAAAAATATTAAAAACGAAAGAAGTTACAGTAGATTAAAAAAGGTAACAGACAGTGTGCGGCGAATACATCACATGTCGATTCTCGGAGTGGAATACGAAGGAAGAGTGAGCCCTTTTCAACGCAGAGGCTCCTTCTCTCCACTTTTTTATATTTTCTCGTCTATTTTTAAGTTCTTTTTGTTCAGGGAGACGAAAATAAACAAGCGAAAACAGCACCAGTTTGTACCAAACGGTCAGCTGGTACCGTTTTATATTTTTATTAGTCATTCTTACTTTACTCCGCCTTACCCTATCTTACTTTAAGTTACCCTTCCTGACCTTACCTCACCTTATCTTATTCTACCCTATTTGAACTGCCCGGCTAAGCCTAAAATTCTTCGCACTTAAGCCTATAATTGCGTAATAAACCTAAAAGTGTGTGCTGCGTGACAAGCCTAAACTTGCGTTATCAGCCTAAAATTGTCTGCTGTTAAGCCTAAACTTGCGTAATAAGCCTAAAATCGTTTGCTGAATCTAAAATTTTCTGCCGCTAAGCCTAAACTTGCGTAATATGCTTAAAATTCTCTGGAACTAACCCTAAACTTGCGTAATAAGCCCAAAAGTGTATGCTAAGCTTTAAATTCTCTGCAGCTAAGCCTAAAGTTGCGTAATAAGCCTAAAATCGTTTGCTGAACCCAAAATTCTTTGCAGTTAAGCCTAAACTTGCGTAATAAGCCAAAAATTATCTGCTGCTAAGCCTAAACTTTGTATAATGAGCCTAAAATTCTCTCCAGCTAAGCCTAAACTTGTGTAATAAGCCTATAATTGTGTACCAAGCTTAACACTTCCTTACGTTACTTTATCATCAAGGCAAGATACCGATAAACACATCACAGTAATTTCCAAAATCAAAAACAATAACTTTATATGAAATAATTTAAAATTGGGCACTATTAACACGTTCAAGGTAATGTACAGAGCGATCGTCCTGATTGATCAATGTGAAGCGACCTTTCCGCAGGCGCTTCTTGTCTCGTATTAAAACGAATGTCATAAAAGTGATAGCCAAGAACCATAAGTACATAGCGATGAGAGCAACCGAACATACGGCGAATGCTGGGAACAGTTGAGTACCAAGTTTGTCATTGGATAACATTAAGAAGATGCCTAATCCCATCGCTCCCATTATATTTAGGACCTTAAATTGGTATTATACACAATTGTAAGCTAGGGTATGATACAACAAATTAAGATAAGGTAAGGTACGGTAGCGTAAGGTAAGATATTGCAGGGGAGAATACGGTATAGTGAGGTAGGATAAGTTGGGGTACGGTAGCGTGAGGTAGTGTAAGGTAGGATAGGGTAAGCTTAAGTTTGGCAAGGTAAGGTAGAATAAGATAAAGTAGGGTACGGTATAGTATGGTAGGGTAGGGTAGGGTAGGGTAGGGTAGGGTAGGATAGGGTAGGATAGGGTAGGGTAGGATAGGGTAGGGAATGGTAGTGTATATCTTACCAAATTTATCATGAAAGGTATCAAGAGATACTGTACGTTCCATATTATACCCGCTAGCATTACAAGGCTAGATAGCACTTTGTACACAATAAATAACAATGCTGGTATTGATATAGGTATAACCATTCTGTTGTGCTTTTGTCGCTCATAATGGCACCATATAAATAGTACTAAAATTAAAAAAATTTTTTTAAAATTAGTTTTAAAATCGATTTTTTGTATTTTAAACACTTACTGACAACAGGATACAGCGCTGACACCATGCCAATCACAGCAGATGCTGTCTTCAGTTTACATACTCCAAAACAGCATTTGTATCGTTTCATAGTATTGTACAAGTTCAGCGGTCGATCCGGTGGTCCACCAGCATCTAGTAGTCCTACTGCACTTAATGTCGATGCATATACACTCATAGTACTGTTTTTTATACTAGAAATAGCTGAGACCACAACGCCAAACGGCTTCTGAAGCTTGAGCTTCTCGACTTCATTTGGTAGTTGTAGGGACGAGGTTCGGCGGAGCTAAAATTTTAGTTTAGTCTTAGAGAGTGGATTAGAGCTAGAAATAGGGCTTGGGCTAAAATCGAAGTTAGCTAGATCTAAAGCTAGGGCTAAGACTAGGACTTAGACTAAAACTAGGACTAAGACTAAGGACCAGGACAAGGACCAGGACCAGGACCAGGACCAGGACCAGGACCAGGACCACGACCAAAACCACGACCAGGACCAGGACTAAAGCTAAGATGAAAACTAGGGCTAGGGCTCTGGGCTAAGGCTTCAGGGCTAGGGCTAGGGCTAGGTCTCTGGGCTAAAGCTCTAGGCTAGAGTTTTGGGAATAGGGCTTTGGGCTTGAGGCTAAAATAAAAACATCAGTTTGTAACTACAGTAACTTACCGTACGTCCACGATAATCGGAAGAAACATGAAGCGAGGTTGCTGGTAGTTGGAAGTTCATGTTCTCACCAGTCTACAACCTAAACTTTTACAAATTACACCAAGTTCTTGGATAATCACGCACTTTATACACATCATAGCAAATTCCCACGCATTAAACAAATACTAAATTATGCAAAAATACTTGCAAATATTATGGTAATTAGGTAATAAATGGCGGTTCCTAGAAATTGCAACAAAATTGGTTTGATATGGCAGTGGTCAGGGCCAAGCTGGAGATCGGGGTCTAGGAAGGGAGGGGGATAGGGGGGGGTGAAAGGGAGGTCGACCAACCCGTAAATTTTGTAGCACATCTCCCCCCCCCCTTTCCGGAACAATTTTCAAGCCCGGCCCGATTTTTTTACGTGGAACCAGGCCGGGTCTTGGTTTCAGGCTAGGGCTTTTGGGTTAGACATGAGAAACGGGCCGGGCCTGACCGAAGTTTATGTCAGGCTTGGCCCGTTCCTCATGTGTACTTTTTCAAATATTTGGGGGGGGCGGACAGAGTGCTTTTTTCTCTCCCCCCTCCCTTTCCCTTCTCGCATCCGGCCCATGCCACACCCTAAAACATCCTCAGCCCAGAAGCTATTGTTATATATGAAATGCCATAACAAATTTATGCATCAACAATATTGCAATAGCATAAAAACGTCAAAAGTTATTATCCTTACGTTCGTATTCTTCACCTTTGACTGGCCATTATGTACCGGAAGTAAATTTAAATGCACAGTCAACATATTTTACGAAGTAAACGATTGAAATATGCTTAGAAATGCTGAAAAAGCTTGAACGTTTGTGCTTAACTTCGGTCTGTAACTAGGCTTATTAAAAGAACGGTAGTGCAGTTGGGTATACTGTATGACCATTTTAGCCCAATCGTAGCTATAAAGTAGTTTTTTTCCTACTCTACCCTACCCTACCCTACCTTACCCTACCCTACCCTACCCTACCCTACCCTACCCTACCCTACCCTACCCTACCCTACCCTACCCTACCCTACCCTACCCTACCCTACCTTACCCCCTACTGTACTTTACCATATTCTACTATACCGTACCCTACTTTATCTTATCCTATCTTACCTTGCCGAACTTAGGCTTACCCTATCCTATCTTATCCTACCTCACTCTACTGTACCCCTCCCCTGAAACACCTTAACTTGCGCTGCCGTATGTATACTTTACTTTACCTTACCCTGTCCTACTTTATCTCACCCTGCCCTTACTATCCTACCATGCCCTGTCTTACTCTGCCTTTTTGTACGCTTCCCCGCCCTGTCTTGCCCGGTTCTCCGTGTCTTATTCTACCCTACTCTGCCGTATCCTACTGAATCTTACTCTGTCTTGCCCTACCCTGTCTTGCTTTATCTTACATTATCAAACCCTACGTTTTCTACGTCATCATACCCTACACTTTTTTACTTAGTTTCAATAGAAGCCGGCTCTTACGCTGTCCTAGCCATACCTTTTCCTAACCCTACCCTAAATTCCGCAAACCTAAACTAAAAAACTTAAAAACCTTTAAGAACCTTCAAACTGCTACGTTGTCAAGAAATTTAATAAGCCTAAACTTTGTTACTTTTTAAAACTTAACAATTTGGCTCAAACGTAATTTTGCAGCTCACGACTAGACTTTAACTTTGTTTAGTCATAATGAAAGCTCTTTCAAATTTGTTCCTTCAAACAACACAAAAAAAGAATTATTATCGACCGGTCAAAAAAATTTTAAAATTTTCAAATTTTTTTTTAAAAATTTTAAAAAAACAGGTCGTAACCTAACTTACCACTCATTTAGAACCAAAAATTATATTAACAAGCCCGCATTACTTAGTAGCATTAATTAATTGAACCCCCAAACCACCTACTATAATATGACACCAAAAGTCAATAAAAATAACAAAGTAAATTTATTCTTGAACCCAAAAAATTTTGTATCGAAAAAAAAACAAAAAATAGCACGAAATAGTATAAAAGAGTATTAAATATGCAAGAGGCGAGCTATAATAATATTACTTTAGACATGGCAAGATTTCAAAAAATACTCTGTGAGATGTTGTCTTAAAAACTGTTGTGACAAGGCGAGTATGAGACTTGGGAATTTAAAAATATGGTTTTTTAAAGTATTTTTAGGAAACGTATTTTTAAATTTAAAAAAACTGAAAAAAATATTGCACAGTGCAAAGGTTCACTAACAAGGAAAGTACTGGACGTACCCGACCTGCACCGTCCTGATTGATTTCAAACTTTTTATATAGAAAGATAAATCAAATACCACCTCTTCAGCAAAGTACTAAATCTTGCTTTCCAGTCAATCTCAAAAAAATCGAAATCAAAAAAATTAAGTTTTGAATTTCCCGCCAAGTTGGCATTGTGTTTCAAGCTTATAACTGTAATTTTTTGACTTTTAAAAGTTTTTCTTTGATATTCTAGTAGAATACCTTTAAATAAACCTACTTTTTTAAATTTGTAAGCGTAGCTTAGTTGGAAAGTCTAAAAAAGTGCTTGAAACACAATGCCAACTTTGCCAAATTGGCGGAAATTAAAATGATTTGAATTTAAAACTAAAAAGCGCGAGCTAAAATTCAGGTACTATTGGTGGTACAAGAAATTCATATAAAAATTTTGAGCTGATTCTGAGCGTGGCAGGTGAAGTACTTTAACTGTATGTCGCACAGTGCAATGTAAAACAAGTTTTTTAAATTTTAAAGTCAAAAAGAATTGTCTGTATAAAAATAACACAGTAAAGAGCATGTATTTACCTACCCATTCAATATTGGGTAATTACTGTTATATTAGCCCGGTTGTTTACCCCTTTACTTTGAATATGACATTCAATATATATATAACACTTCAAAATAATGTGTCAAAACGAATAGTAATACATTTTTTTAATTTTTCACTTAATTTTTGTCTAAATTTCAAAAAAAAATTTTTTTAAATAAATTTTGTCTAGTATTCAGCCTTTTGTTGTATGATAAACAAAGACAGACCGACTATAAAGGGCACAACACACGTCACGAAATCCCTCAGCCATGCCATGAATAACGTGTTCTACATAACATGTATGCCAATATTATAAACAGCTTTTGCTGTTAAATAGCTTTGTTAAAACTTTATTAATGTTTAGGCCTAATTTATAAAGTTTAAAAGCATTTTTAGCCCCAATTACTAAGATTTTAGTACGGTAGACTTACTGTGGTTCTATATTTACTGCCTTAGCCTTAGTCTAGAACCTTAGCCTAAAGCATTATCCCAAAGCCCTAGCCCAGAGCCCTAGCCCAGAGCCTTAGCCCAGAGCCCTAGCCCAGAGCCCTAGCCCAGAGCCCTAGCCCAGAGCCCTAGCCCAGATCCCCCAGCTCAGAGCCCTAACTGAAAGCTCTAGCCCAGAGCTCTAGCCCTAGATTTTAGTGTTAGCTTCTAACCCTAACCCTAGAGCTCTAGCCCAAGAGCTTTACCCCAAGATCTTTATCTTAGAGCCCTAGCACAGAGCCCTAACGCTATCTCCGGTTTTATTTACATTAAAACTAAAGTTGAAAAATTTACTATGTACGATTTAAAGACTTTTAACGTCTTAAAGTGTCATTTTTAAATTTAATACACGGCCGTTTACAAAGATCACAAACTATAATTCTGTCGTTTGCTATGTATTATATGTATTATACAGAAATAGCAAATGAAACCCTTAATAAATTTTTTACGATGATAAGAATAGAATAGTGCAAACCTACTAAACGTACTTTAGAAGCTGGATTTTGTGTTTGCAAATATAATACATAACAGCTACATAGCACAAAAGAATGTCCTAACGCCCAAAATTTCAATTTTTCAGTCAAAAACAGCTTCACAATAAGCAGCTCTTGTAGTCGTAACCGAGTTAGTGAGTATTATATTAAAAATGCTCAAAGTTATAACAATGCTCAGTACTCCCACAGTAAATAATAAAAATTAAAGTATAATGTAATGTAACTTTGAAAACAAAAAAACAAAACACGAAAGTACATTATGCTGTATAATACTTCCTTAGTACGTAAGCTAAACTTGTAAATAATGAAAAAAATCAAAAATCGAGAAAGAAAATATCTTACCCTACCCTACCCTACCCTACCCTACCCTACCCTACCCTACCCTACCCTACCCTACCCTACCCTACCCTACTCTACCCTACCCTACCCTACCCTACCCTACCCTACCCTACCCTACCCTACCCTACCCTACCCTACCCTATCCTCCGTTACCCTATTGTATCTTACCATGTCCTGCCCTATCCTACAATATCATGCACTAGTCCACCAGTCTATCTCTTCATAAAATCGCTAGCTCAATCGTTACCTCTAAATTCAAAGTTGACTGCCAACATTACAAGAAGCCATAACTTACAACAACCCCCTTCACAGAATGGCATATAAGTTACCACAACAACACGATAAGCCTAATCCCCACCGTTCCGCCTGATTTACTGTATTCTCCCACGTACTCAGCAGTATCTCCCCATACTGCAACGTATCATAACTAAGCGCATTCCGTGAACGTGCCCAATTAGTAATAACGTTGTTCCGCGTCTTCATCTGAAGCAGCAAGAATTAATTCCGACTGGATTCGGTGTTTTTCGCACGTCCAATTAGGACCGTGATGTTCTCGAGACGGAAAATGTTTTGGTGGCGAAAAAGAAACAGCAAATATCAATTATAAATACGAGTGCGTTGGGCTTGTTCTGGGACTTGTTCTTGGCATGTTTTATTAGAAACAAAAATTTAAATACCCAAAGTTTTGGAAATTTTTACTTGAGCCAAGAGAAAAAGCTGGTTTAGAGACATAGGGTTAGTAGAGTTAAGCTTGGTAGATACAGATATAGGCTTAGTAAGCTTAAGCCTAGTAAGTTTGGGTTGAACAGGATTAAAGGACCAGTTCGCCCATTCATATACCATTGGCATTCTGTCGCAAAAAGCGTCGAAAATCAGGCAATTTCAATCAAAATCATTTTTCCCGTGAGTGGGTCGGTGTCGAAATGAATTTTCCAATTTGGGACCGACCTGCTCAGGTTTTTTGCGAAAAAAAATGAACGTCGAATTTTTGCGACAGAATGCCCATGATATTTGAATGGGCGAACTGGTCCTTTAAGTTTGACAAGCTTAACTATAGCGGGCTCAAGTTAAGTAGGCTTACTTGTTAGACTTAGTAAGCTTAGAGTTAGTTAATAAGCTTAGGCTTAAACTTAGTAGTCTTAGGCTTAGTAGGCTTAGGCTTAGTAGGCTAAGGCTTAGTAGGCTTAGGCTTAGTAGGCTTAGGCTTAGTAGGCTTAGGCTTAGTAGGCTTAGGCTGTAGGCTTAGGATTAGTAGGCTTAGGCTTAGTAGGTTTAGGCTTAGTAGGCTTAGGCTTAGTAGGCTTAGGCTACACAAACTTAAACTTTATAAGTTTAGTAAGGTTAAGCTAAATTTCTTTAGGCGTAGGCTTAATAAGCTTCCTCTTATCAGATTAAAGCCTAGTAGACTTAGGTTTAACAGGCTTAAGTTTTGTACAAATAGACCCAATCACCTTAAGCTTAAATTTTATAGGTCTACTGTTCCAAAATCTTGTTTATATCATAGCACTATTCACGGAAGTCAAGACATAACACAAAGATCGTCACGCTTAATAACATAGTATGTACTAAACAAGTCGACATTTTTAATTGTCGTCTTCAAAAGGCACGTAATTCATCCATGGTTATGTTCTATAGAAGAACCAAAAACAATGAACATGAAATGTCCTCTGAATTTAAAAAATATATCAGCTTATTATGGGCTATAAAAATGGCAAGAACTTTCCTTACAGCACAAACAGTGCCAACTTTTTAAACAAAAATTTTTAAAAAATTTTGAAAACTATTACGTTCTCCGGTCTAAAAATATATAGAAGCCTTGCATTCATCAAATATCAACGGGAATTTGAAACAGTTTTAATTAAAAATCGTTTTAAAATACTCGTTTTTCATTAATACTTTAAAAAAACGTGCAGAAGGTCATATACCACTTAAGCAAAAATTGATAATCCGGCTTAACTTTAATAAAACTGTTGTGAAAATTAAATTTTAAAAATTAGGATTTTGAAAATTTAAACAAAACTTTAACCCTACCCTACCCTACCCTACCCTATCCTGCCCTACCCTACCCTACCCTACCCTACCCTACCCTACCCCACCCTATACCTAGTATTTTTCGAGTAAGTAATACTTAGTATGTAAAGCATATAAATGCAAATACGTAACCATAATTGATAGTTATTGTTAAGCCTTTTCAAAAAACAAAACAGAAAATAATTGCCTACTTTGTTATGACAATATAGAAATGTCAATGTTGATAGTTGGAAAAATTGTACTACTATGTCCTAAGTTTTAAACATCAACTTTAAGCCTAAATAAATTTAAACTTCAAAACTTTTTATATCTTTTTTAAGCTTAATATAAGCCTAGAAAAAAAATTAAGCTTTAAAGCAAATGTAAGCCTAAAAACTAAGTATAAGCCTAAGCATCAAAAGATAAGCCCAACAATTAAAGATAAGACTAAACAACAAAAAATAAGCCTAAAAATATAATATAAGCCTAAACAACAAAAGATAAGCATAAAAAAAAAAAGAATATAAGCCTAAGCAACAAAATATAAACCTAAAAACTAAACATAAGCCTAACCAACCAAAAAGCTAGATATAAGCCTAAACAACAAACGATAAGCCTAAAAACTAAAAAAAACCTTAAAAAACAAAATTTAAAAAAAATCATTGCTCCCAAAATACAGTAATCTACCAATGAAAAAACAAATCCTGAGTACAATACTACCCAACACTTCATTTCAAGGCCAAAATGAAAGTGTGGCCTAGCTTAATTTACATTTGGAAATGAATAAATGATAAACAGAATGGGGTTAGTAACTGCAATGTTTGTTCTAAAATAAATTATTTAACCCTCAGGGACTTGAATGCGCAAACTTTGCGGGCAGCCGGATGTCATTAAGTGTTTATGGGACTAAGATACAATTTGGCACGGTAGGCACGTTAGAATAGGTTAGGCGAATTTAGAGCTTAGTAGTGGAATCGGATTTAACGTATTCAAGCATTACGAAGAGAGTTTTTTACGACTTAGACTTAGTAGGCTTAGACTTAGTAGGCTTAGGCTCAGTAGGTTTAAGTGTAGTAGGCTTAGAATTAGTAGACTTAAACTTAGTAAGCGTAGGCTTAGGCCGAGGCTTAAAACTTAGGCGTAAGCCTAATAAGAAATAATAATGTCTACAACAGCCGAATATAAAATTAAATACATATAAGTTATGTCAGATACCCGACGATACCTTGCGGAAATATGGTGTGATATCCCAGCACTCGCAGTCATTTTTGGTGGGTCGTTTTACACCAAGGCATATATTATATAAAACCATACTATTACATAATAAAAAGTTGCGTAATACTATTTCTAACAATTTCTCTAAGGCTATGTTGTTGTATCATATCAACAACATTAGGTAATGTCACACAAACTTATTAACAAATATTGCATTATATAATGGTTTTATATAGAGAAAGATAGACTTTTCAGTTTATATTTTAGTTGAATAGTCTTTGGCTCAAAAGGGTTTAACTCAGCAGGCTTAGGTTTAGTAGACTTAGGCTTAGTAAACTTAGGTTTAGTAAACTTAAGATTAATAGACTTAACCTTAGTAGGCTTAGACTTAGTAGGCTTAGTAAGCTTAGGCTTAGTAAGTTTAGGCTTAGTAATCTTTAGCTTTGTAGCCTTAGGCTTTGTAAACTTAAGTTTAGTAGTATTAAGTTTAGTAAACTTAGTAAGTTTATTCTTAATAAACACTGAGGCTTAGTAAGCACAGACTTAGTAGGTCTCTTCCTTGTAAGCTTAGGCTTAGTAAACATAGACGGTTTTTAAAATCAAATCTTTAAACCATATATTAATATACGAAACCGAAAGGCCTGGTGTGCCAGTAAGTAACAAAATTTTAATTACTAACCCAACAAAACGCCCCGGGGTTTTTGTTGTTTTCAGTCATCTTTAAAGTGACATTTACTCTGTCATGTTGAAGGCTAAAAAACGTTTCCTGTTATGATGTGTGACAACAATAGGGATTTTATATTTAGGCTTAAGCTTAAAAGGCATTTTTTAATTAGGATTACATTTATGTCATTTCAAATGTATTTAGACTTTCATTTTGGATTTACGTTGTGATGCATTTTTTATGTTAGGCTTAAGTCTAGGGTTTTTTCATCTTCTCAACATAATTTAAAACAACCTTTAAACATTATATCATGTTACAGATGTTTTCCCATTGTTTCATCCTTCAAACTTATCTAAAACAATGTGATTTCTCCTTCAAATCAGCTCATTTCCCACCTAAAACAACATGATCAAAAGTTTCATAAGCCATTTTTTAAATTTATGACAAAACTATTTCAAAAAAACATTTGCTAAATCAACCACAGACCTTTTTCCAACTCATTTTGTATATTTTGACAAACTGGACACGAGTGGTCAGCCGGCTGCCAGCAAATCAAATGTTTTCGCCCGCAACTCCCGACGAAAGAGCGCGCGAAACCAAGAGAGCGGTGAGAGAAAGGATTATAAGAGGAGGGCGGTTAGAGAAATTTTCTTGTTTTTTTAAATGAATCACCCCTTTTAAACTCTGATACAACAACTACCGACCTTGACGCCGCGCAAACAGTTCAACTCGACGACGGGGGGTTTAAGCTGTTTCGAGGGATTAATTGCAGTTCGACCCTCAGGGCAACGGCTTTGATTTATGACACTTTTTTGGGTTTATCGCAGTCGATTGATCTCAAAGGTGTTCCGTGAACAATATCAATCGGTTTTTTTTTCACTTTAATAACGTTTAAATTTGTCAAATGACGGGTTTTTCTATTAAAGTTTTCATTTTGAAAAAAGTTTGGAAATTTTTTAAAAAAATGTCATGATGACTGTATTATTATGTCATGATGACATCTTAAAAGTTTAAAAATGACAAAAATGTTAATAAAAAGGTTTTTGAATAAATTAGCAAGGCCATAAAAAGTTTGTGTCATTACTTTTGTTGTTTTAAATCTATAGAAATATTGTCATGATGACATGTTTTTAATGCTTGATCTTACTGATAAAAAGGAGATTTTTAAATTTATCTATATTTTTAAAGCCTGTCAAAAATTTTTGAGTATTTTTTAATGATTGTATTTTCGTCTTATCTTTAAGTATAAAAAACGTCATGATGACATTTTTTAAAACAGGTTTTTTTTTAAATTTTAATTTTTAGAATTGATCACAGTGCTTTTATACCTCAAAATTAAAATTTTCATTAAAAACTTTCAATTTTCTTTTCTAATTTACCTTATTAACATGCATGTTACACTGGACTGACGCATTTTCGGGAACTTCCTTTGATTTTTCGGAAATGTTTTTAATCAGCTAATCAAAAATGCACAATTTCAAGCAAATCAATGGTTAAATGAGTGTGGATCAGTTGATCGATCAAAGTTCTCGCGACTTTGAGCAAGTTCGAAGTTTGTTCGCCTCCCAACGACTGGTGCTGAGTGGTCGCGCTGAGCCGGGTATGTCAATTTTTTCGAGATATTTTGGGATTTTAGAGTTTTATTTGAGTTTCTTTATTGGATCACGTGATTTGCTGCCTAATCGCTGTTGTTTTGTTTGTCAAAAGGTGAATCACAACGTCTATTTTTGAAAAATTATGGATAATATGGACGTTTTGCTTTGTTTACATTGGAAATGAGGATTTATTTTGGGAGAAATTTTTGAAATAGAAAGTTTTAGGGTTTTGAATTTAAAATCGGGCTTTATTTTTGCTATTATTTGTTTTTTAGACTAGACAGCTGATTGGCTCATTTTTGAAGTGTTACCTAAAATTTTTTAATTTGTGTCAATATTAATGAATATTCTTACATTTTATCATTTAAACTAAACATTATTTATCATTTTAAATAAGAAATGAGGATATTTTGTCTGAGGAACAACTTATTTTACGTTGCTCTTCAATCTCGCTCAAAATAATTACCTAAAATTTTTAGGTAATGTTCCGAAGAGCGCATCGAATGGATTGAGAGGTGTTTCAAAAAAAGTGTCACCATCGTTGCCTCGAAGGCCGTCGGATCTGCCGCCGTTGCCAAGAAAGCCAGTGTTACCTAAAAAACCGTCGTTGCCTTCTAAAGCTGACTTTTCATTGTTGGATTCTGGAGATCGGAAGTCTGGGGATAAAAACCTTGGAGGTGGTGGCTTGAATTCAAGTCCTGGAGTTGTTAAAAGTCAGATTCAAAATTCTACGGCTTCAGAAGGCCGGATTCAGGATTTGACGTCGTCACGATCTGGTTGTCAGGATTCTACTGCTTCAGAAGCCAGAACTTTTTATTCTCCAGCTTCAAAAGGGCAGATTCAAGATTCTACAGCTTCAGAAGGTCACCAGCAATCATCTGTACCATTAAACGGTCGTGTTTTACCTGTACCATCAAAAGCTCAAAGTGTACCATCGTTACCACCTTCATTACCGTCAAAGCCTTCAGAATCTTTGGTCAAATCAACATCGTCAAAACTGGGGATTTATCTGAATTCATCAGTCAGATCTGTGGCCAAGAAACTTGACAGTCAGTTGAGGTAGGATATAATAATATGACATATTACTATATTATATTAGGTAACAAGTTAGGTTGTAATATATAGCCAAAATAAGTTAGAACACAGTGGAAGATAAGTTGGAGCATAGTGTGAATATACTTCCAAATACCAACTGTTTTAATCTTCCAAAAACTGCGTTTTTGGAGGTAGCTCACCATGTATAATATCGTCTGGGTGCTCTATTTGTTTTGCGATTTACTTCGACGAGTTTCGGACGTTTAAGGGCGCTTATTTTTTGTTATGTTTTCACTTTTCATAACTGTACACAGGGCGGTAAAAGTACAATATAACGATTTTTTGGTTGGGGGTGGTGGGAGGGGGGGGTAGAGATTTGTTTGTGTGGGAGCGGAGGAGGGTAAAACTTTTTTTTGGTTATTAGTGGGTTTTAAGTGAACAGAGAGCAAGTTAAATTTTTAAAAAAGTTCTGACAGTAAGCGGGCGGGGTAAATTTACGGATTGGCTTTGCGGGGTGGATCCACTCGCTCCTGCCAAAACCCTAACTAGTTTGGCTTTACTGCCACTTTTACTTCAAGTAGATGGTACTATTGGTAATTATGAAAGGATTAACTCAATTTTAATCAAAAAATCGGGGTTCGTTCCTGATTTCAAACGAGCATAAATTATGTTTGACGCTGTCACGAGAAGAGGTGATAAAGTAAATACAATTGTATGCACAAAACGAACGAATATTAGGTGTTTTTTGGGAAAAAATATTTGATTTTCGCATGCGAATATTGATTTGCTGCCAATTTTTAAAATGCTTGAAGAGTGGTACATTAAACTGCTGGATTTCTTAAGGTAAATTTGTTTTTTTTAGGTAATACAGATGATAAGGTTTTGATTAAAAATGAATTTTGATTAGGCTTCAGCTTATTATTGATGTGTAGGTTTAGGCTTAGGCTTATTAGGCTTAGGCTTAGTTGGTTTAGGCTTAGTAGAGTTAGGCTTAGTAGGCTTAGGTTTAGCAGGCTGATGCTTAGTAGGCTTAGTCTTAGTAAGCTTAGGCTTAGTAGGCTTAGGCTTAGAAGGCTTAGGCTTAGCAGGCATAGTCTTAGTAAGCATGGGCTTAGTTGGCTTAGGATTAGTAGGCTTAGGCTTAGTAGGCTTTTGTTTAGTAGGCTTAGGATTTGTAGAATTAGGCTTAGTAGGCTTAGGCTTATTAGGCTTAGGCTTAGTAGGCTTAGGCTTAGTAGGCTTAGGTTTAGTAGGCTTAGGCTTAGTAGGCTTAGGCTTAGTAGGCTTAGCAGGCTTAGGCTTAGTAGGCTTACGCTCCGTAGACTTAGACTTATGCTTAGTAGGCATCGTCTTTGGAGGCTTAGTAGACTTATACTTTGTATGGTTAGGCCTTGAAAATAAAATTCTATGAACTTTTAGACTAAAGAATTAAATTTAAAAAGTTTGTTTTGAATTAAAAAATGATCAACGTCATAAATCTTGACCTCGTCATGTTAGCAGCCTATTTTTCAATCATTTTTATTTTCACGTTCAAGCTCGAACTGAAGGGAGCCATTTCCCATCACTTTCAATCAAAACCTATCAAAAACATATTTCTTCTTTGACTTTTTTGCTTTTTCAGCCATCTCACTGGTAATATGTTACCTTCGATCTTGGTCGAGAACGGCGAAAGTGGCCCTAATTTGAGTATGGTACATAATATTACTAGTGGTGGTAATGTAGATGGTGAACGTGGTACTGATGGTAGTACTAAAGATGGACTAAATGGCACTAGTTCATCGAAAAATGAGGCAGATACAACGGAAGATATTGTTGTAAATGACAAAACACCAGATAGTGTACCAAATTTACCATCTTTATCGGTCGCTGATACAACCAAGGATTTAGAAGATTCAGAATCTGATTACGAAGAAGTTTTCGAAGAGTTTCCATCAAGGAAAAACAGTGTTACAGGCAGAACAAAACAGCTACATTCGAGTATTATGGAGGAAATGAAGACCAAAGGAATCTTGAGGAAGTTGTCTACTGTACAGTAAGTTTTTGGGGTTTTTGAAAGTTTTTGGGGACCTTGTTAATAGGTTTTGTAGAACATTCAATTTTGTGTATTTACTGAAAATTTGGTGGGTATATGGATAGTTCTGGCAGAGATATGAGTGTTTGAAAATGTCGAAAATTCAAAAAAGTTCGAATTTGGTTGGATTTTGGTGACATTTTTTATCATAACTTTTTCGAAAATGTAGCTACAAACTAAAAACTTTGTCGAACTGTGGCTTTTTATAGTAGTCAAATACCGAAATAAAAAAATATTTCAATTTTTAAAATTTTCTTGAATTTTTAGAATAAAATGTTCACATTTACTAAACTTATGCCAATTTCAAATTTTATGGCTTACTAAACGCATTTTTAACATAAATTCATGCCCAACCCATTTTCAGGCCGATATTGTCTCCAGATGTTGGTCGAATGCGGCCGCAAAGCTCGAAAATCAACCGAACGGCCCAGAATTGGTGCAAAAGTGAACCACCAGTACCATTGAAGACGGAATCATTCGACGGAGGCAAAGATCGGAGACTAACACAACAATTTTTGAGTGTCACTAGTAAAAGTAGGATTGGGTAGGTCTTTGAATGTCACTAGTAAAAATAGGATTGGGTAAGTTTTTGAGTGTCATTAGTAAAAATAGGATGGATAGTTTTAATTATGAAATGTGTTTTTAGCTGTCCATCAATACTGGAGTCATCTCCAAGTACGTCGACTTTGTCAGAAGATGTCGATCTGGAGATATTCGAATACAATGTTGAAGGTGAAAAAGAGGTAATATATTTGAATTATCGTTAGGGAAAAGTGTAATTCTACGAACTTTTGGACCGAAAAATGAAATTCTAAGAACCTTTGGACAAAAAAATTATATTTTGAAATTTAATACCTAAAGGTCTAATTTTGATAATTTTTCTGACTGAAATTGCAATTCTAAGAACCTTTGGACCTGAAAATGAAATTATACGAAATTTCGAACTAAAAAATGAAATTTTATTCCTAAAGATCTAATTTTTAAAAATTTTTGGGTTAAAAATGCAATTCTATGGACTTTTTGACCGAAAAGTGAATTTCTAAGAACTTTAGATCCAAAAAATGAAATTTTGAACTTTTATACCTAAAGATCTAATTTTGATAACTTTTCGGGCTAAAAATGCAATTCTACAAACTTTTGGACCGAAAAATGAATTTCTGAGAACTATTGGACCAGAAAATCATTTTTTTTATTTTAAATTTTTTTGAAATTTTTTAAAATTTTAGCGACACCGCCTAAAAGACCTACACGGACTGATTCACGAATTCTACAAAATGCAAAAGAACTACGTCGAGTTACTACGCAACATTGCCGTTTATTTTCCAAATTACATCGACGGATTTATTCGAAGAACGAATCGACAAGCCTTGACACCGCCGACCGATGGTCGACCACACGTTTTGGAGCGGCTGGCTCGACATCTGAATTTGATCTTGAATGTTCACCAAGTGTTTTTGACAGAGTTTGGGCAGAAGTATCAGAAATGGTAGGAAATTAGTGTTTTAAAATTTAATTAGGACTGGGCGGGTCTTTTTGTTGTCTGGGAGTGGTAATTTTTTTAATTTTTGGGAGGGGGTGGGGGGACATTGTCGTTAATATTTCTTTTGGGATTGAGGCTTGCCTTTTTTTACTTTTACTGCTATTAGGTTGTTCTAATAATTCTCCGCTCTCAGAGCGAATTTTTAAGGTTAGGGAGCGCAAAATTATTTGAACAACAATACTTTTGACTTTACTATCTGATCTCCAATCTACATTTCCCCCCCCCCCTAAGATGAAGAACTTAATAATGTCATAAACAACCTTTTCAGGGACTCCAGATACCCAGACTTTGCTTCCGTTTTCCTGAAACTAGCCGACTACCTCAAGATCTGTAGCGAGTTTCTAAAAGAAAAACAGTCGATTTGCGAGGAACTTACCAAAGCCCTGGAAGACAACCGCGACCTCGCCCATGTGACAAAACTTTTTGAAGATGAAGTACTGAATGCTCAGAACAATGCCGACCAGTTCAGTTCAAACCCATCCTTAAACTCATTCACACCTCGAGGCATATCACTGGTTATGCATCTGGATGGGGTACATCAGAATGTGGTACGATACAATTTGCTCATGGAACGGTACAAAAAGTTGTTGCCGGACGATATCGAGGAGTATCAGGTGGCTGATAGTAAGTTGTTTGCGGGCGGTTTTGAGGGTAGAAGCTTGGTTTTAGGAGGTGGTGTTGAAGAACATTTTGGTCTAGGGTGTGGTATTGAAGAAAATTGGAATATTGGGGGTGGTATTGAAGAACAATGGGATCTTGGGGGTGGTATTGAAGAACATTTTGGTCTAGGGGGTGGTATTGAAGAACATTGGTATATTGGGGGTGGTATTGAAGAACAATGGGATCTTGGGGGTGGTATTGAAGAACATTTTGGTCTAGGGGGTGGTATTGAAGAACATTGGTATATTGGGGGTGGTATTGAAGAACAATGGGATCTTGGGGGTGGTATTGAAGAACATTGGTATATTGGGGGTGGTATTGAAGAACAATGGGATCTTGGGGGTGGTATTGAAGAACATTTTGGTCTAGGGGGTGGTATTGAAGAACATTGGTATATTGGGGGTGGTATTGAAGAACAATGGGATCTTGGGGGTGGTATTGAAGAACATTTTGGTCTAGGGGGTGGTATTGAAGAACATTGGTATATTGGGGGTGGTATTGAAGAACAATGGGATCTTGGGGGTGGTATTGAAGAACATTTTGGTCTAGGGGGTGGTATTGAAGAACATTGAGGTCTTGGGGGTGGTATTGAAGAACAATGGGATCTTGGGGGTGGTATTGAAGAACATTTTGGTCTAGGGGTGGTTTTGAAGAACATTTTGGTCTAGGGGGTGGTATTGAAGAACATTGAGGTCTTGGGGGTGGTATTGAAGAACATTGGGGACTAGAGGGTGGTATGGCTGAAAAGTACTGGTTTCAGGGGGGGGTGTGGCTAGTGTGGTAAGAATAACAAATTTATTTCATTTTTTCAGAAGCCCTAACTAAACTGAAGTCAATTTCCGAAGCCATAAACGTCCGCTTGGCCGATGCAGATTCGAATCGAAAAATGATGGATCTTCATCGCAAATTACAAGGCTGTTTTGACGTTTTTGCTCCAGGGAGACGGCTGGTTTACGAAAGTCGACTAATGAAACAAAGCCGAAGGGAACTTCAGGAACGGCATTTGGTTTTGGTAAGGATTTGTGCTAAAACTTTGTTTACAAAACGGAAAATGGCAATAACTTTCTTTACTAAACAAAAAATGGCAATAACTTTTTTTACAAAACCAAAAATGGCAAAATCCTCCTTCATGAAACAAAGTAGCAAGAACTTTCTTTACTAACCTAAAAATGCCAAAAACTTTCTTTACAAAACAAGAAATCGCAATAATTTTCTTTACAAAGCCCATTTTCAGTTCACGGACTACCTCCTGATCTGTCGCTACTCTCTGGGATCAGATTACTTTGACACTCAGCGAATTTACCGCATCCCGGTGGAACAGCTCCGAATTCACGTCGAAGATCACGCCGACTACGACCGTGAATTCGCCGTGATCAATCCGAAAAAGTCGCACGTTTTCATATGCAAATCGCGGAACGAACGTGACCAATGGATGAAACACCTGGACCGGTCCATAAGTTCGTGGAAAACCATGCGAAAAGAACGCCGCGCCCGATCCGAATATCAACCGGATCCAAGGTTATCGACCATCGAATCAACGGCTTCGACTCCGGTGGCCGAAGACCCGGTGAAGGATGCGTTGTGGATACCTGATAACAAGGCCACAAAGTGTCTGATGAATGGGTGCGAGTCGAAATTCAGTGTTGTGTTGAGAAGACATCACTGCCGAAATTGTGGATGGGTAAGGATTGGTCGAAAAGTTTGTAGAAATGAGGGTTTTTAGTTTATTTTGTATTGTAAATACAGATTTTGAAAAAAAATTGAGAGTGTACCAGTGGTCACTAGAGGTACCAAGTGTACCATTTTTTAATTTTAACTAAAATTTCACATTTTCAGCTGATTTGCCGCCGCTGTGTAGGCTACGCGCCCGTCCGTGCAAAGCAGTACGAGTCGGTGAAGGTGTGCCCGGAGTGTTTCGACCGTTTATGGCTCGACTTCTTCAATCTACGCCTTTTCCCCCTCGAAATGGTCCAAATCGCCAAACCCACCCTCCTTACCCAAATGATGACCAATCCCGGCCTAGCCGTCCAAAACACCATCGGCTCGGTCTGGAACTACCCATCCGTACCAGAAGAGCCGGAATATCACCACGAGGAGCTGGTCAAAATATTCAGGGCCGATCCCCTCGACGACAGCATTCGCATCATGTACGATAACGGCCGGAGAGCGGAACGGCCGAAAGATCTATTCAAACCGCCACAAAACCAACATTTGCGACGAGTGATGGCACCACTGACCGAACAGGAAATGGTACTGGTCACAGGACGAGTACTGTTGAGAAAACGAGGCGAAGAAAGCGTGAAATGGGCAAGGTTTCACCAAAGCTTCTTCCTCAACTTTTACGACGCTGAATTTGTGAGTTTTGCTTAGGTTCTACGAAATTTTGGACCGGAAAGTACAAAATCTTAAATTTTGGTGATAACTGCTGTTTATGAGGTTTTTGGGTCGAAAAAAGAAAATTCTAAGGATTTTTGGACCAAAAAATAAATTCTGGGAACTTTTGGACCGTAAAATGAGATTCTAAAAACTTTTGGACTAAAAAATAGTTTTTAAAAAAAATCTTTTAAATATTTTTAACGTTTCATTCCAGGACAATCAACCGGTCGAATCGTACCTAATACTCGGATTCAGTTTGGAAGTCAAAGATGCGGAGAACGGAGGCTCAATATTCGTACTGGAACATCAGAACCAGATCAAAACCGACCGAAAATCAATTCATATTGAATTCCGGATAGAGAACAGCAAAGCGGTCGATAAATGGCAGGAAGTCCTCGAACAACACCTACCAAAACCCGACTCTGGTTAACAAGTCATACCGGTCAAAAAGTTCATAGAATTTAATTTTTTGGGTCGATAGTCTTCAGAATTTAGTTTATCGGTCGAAAAGTTTTAAGATTTTTTTTGGCCTAAAAGTTTTAAAACGTTGTTCACGGTCAAAAAGTGTCTGGAGATTAGATTTTTTGGTCTAAAATTTCTTGGAATTCCATCTTTTGGTCAAAAAGTTTCTAGAATTTTGTTTTCTGGCCAAAAAGTTTTCAAAATTTTATTGACCGGTCTGAAAGTCCTCAGAATTTCATTTTTTGGTCAATTTTTTGGAAAATTCATAGAACATAAATTTTTGACCCAAATGTCCATCCGGTTACCACGTCTTACTAACCTGTGATTCCTCAGCACTATCTTGTCTACGCTTCTCCAAACTAACTCACATGTATCCTCCTCTTTAGCTTAACATTAACGGGTATTCGAACATATGTTTATATCAAATGACATACGCAGTTTTGCCAAATTTTTACGTTTTTATCATGTTATATATAGAAATATACATATTATACCGTACTTATATATTATAGAGTAGTTATGTATAGTATACAGAGTATTTTGTAATAAACCTTTTTTCATTGCGGTGAGAAATTAATAAAATCCTCATTTCCAATGCAAAATCGATAAAATCCTCGTTTCCAATTCAAAAGCAAAAAAATCCTCATTTCCAATGAAAAATATTAAATTTAAAAGAAAATTTTCAAACTTTTTCCAAATATTACCTAATTTTATCAGCAAAATATACAAAAAATGCCATAACAACATATAAACTTAACAAAGTTGATTCAGATCATAATCTCACCCGATTCCGTTTCGTGCTTTTTGAATGCCATTGGCTTAGGTTCATTTAAATTGTCATGAACCTGCCGTAGGCATTCTTTGAGTTCATCTACTTGTTTCGATCTAGCACTGATTGGAATCACATCGACAAACTTCACCCGGGTTGTGGGCCTTATTTCCTCAGGCACTTCGTTCCACCATGTTTTTGATTTTAGTTTTTGCACGATTTCATGGGCTTTCTGAAAAATATAGTAGTTTTTAAAAAATAATTTTTTGAGAACTTTTGGGCCAAAAAAGAATTCTGCGCAATTTTAAGCCAAAAAATGGAATTCTGAGGACTTTTTGACCAAAAAAAATATTTAAAACTCACTTCTTGCCCAAACAAATCGACTTTATTTAAAGCGACAACTAACGGTTTTCGGGTCAATCTAGCATCATAGTTTTCCATTTCTTGACATAGTACTGACACTGACTCTAGAGCATTCCTAAATGACAAATATACATAACAAATTAGTTATTCTTACCTAAACGGTTCCGAAAGATCATTAGACAATTGGAATCCATTCAAATCCACTACCATGACAATCATATCACTGTATTCGAGATGTTTCAAAAACGCATGTCCTCTGCCACGATTCCTCGATGCTCCTTCGATAATTCCAGGTAGATCAGCCACACTTAACGAAAACTTGTATTCATCTGGATCTTGTTCGTACTCCAGATCCAGTACTTGAGGATTGATGGTGGTGAAAGGGTAGTTGGCGATTTTCACTTTACTTTTAGGTACAAATGCTTTTAATAATGTCGATTTTCCTGCGTTCGGTAAGCCCAATAAGCCAATATTGGTGTTTAGTTTGAGGTGAATGGCCAAGCTGATATGTTCTCCTGGTTGTCCTCTGAAATAATGGTTTTAAAAATATTATTATAGGTTATTAAATTTTTTTTTGATTCAAAAGTTTTCAAAATTTAATGTTTCTGATGAGTTTTTAACATTTATCTTGAGCACAACTTACTTATAATTATTGCCAACATTTCCCCCATGTCCACCTCTAGCTATAAGTAATTTCCTTCCTGGTGTGACACACCTCGCCAACAGTATCTTCGTCCCTATATCAACACATTCTACTCCTAACGGAACCTTTATTACCTAAATATATCATTCATTAGAAAGTAAATAACTAAAAATAGTTGTTTTAGCCATTGAAAGTGTGGATTTTTTTTAAAACCTACAATTTCCTTTCCCGGATTCCCTACGAGTTTTATTTTTTGAGCTGATTGTCCAGCTTCAGCCTTCACAACCCATCCTTTGTCCCTGTATTTATCATAAACGTTCTGAAACTGGACATTCCTTTCTGGTATAACATAAATCGATCCTCCTTTACCTCCTACTCCATTGTACCTAGAAAAGAAGCTTTTAAGCTTATAATATCATATAAAACAATATTACTTTCGTTATTTTTATAATGAAAAGTAGTTTAATCTGAATGCTACGTACCTCGGAAGCCCTTGACCACCGTTTCCTGCTTTCAAACTTAACCTTATCACGTCCTTGTATACAACATCACTAGCTTTTCTGACACATACTAACGACCTTCCGAATATTTTACAATAACTCATTCACTATAAGCAATATAATAACTAGAAATCAAATTATTACAATTTAAACATTCGAAATTACGATCCAAAGAATTAAACCATCTCCCTTTCAAAGAATAACATCTTTATAAACAAAAGAAATAACGAATTCGACCAACAAAAAATAATAGAAACAATGCCTTCTTAACGTTTGCGGCGAACGATGAAGGTGTTGTTCCTCTTCCAGGCGGCACGACGAGATCCACCAATGGTCTTGTTGTAGGATAGACCTTTGCCCAAACCACGGCTCTTGCGGCCAGCTGATGTGAGACCACGCAATTCACGGTGTTTGTGCACGCCCTTGGTGATCCATTGGGTGTCGGGGTTCTTGCGGATGACGGTGTTGAAGGGGTCGATCAGAATGACTTCGTAGTATTTGAAGACCGAGTCTTCAGCAATCCAGTACGAGTTCAAGACACGGAGACCACCGCACAGACGACCAACACGTTCCTGCAAAGATTTAAGTTAAAATAATTAAAGTCAGACGGTTAAATCTTAAAGTAAATTTACTTTCATGAATTGTATCTGACCGAACCGGTAAGGTTAATCAATCTCGTAACCCAAAACGTCTAAAAGTAAAAAATAAACACAAAAAACTTACTTCAGCAACAGATTGCAAGTTACGGGCGAATTTGAGCTCGTTTACTCCATGGGTCTTTGGCTTACCATAGGTTTGACCCTTGGTAACCTTGCGCTTACGGCCTCCTCTGCGGACGCGGACACGGTAGATCACGTAACCTGTAATTCATAGAATAAGAAGTTAAACAGCCTAAGAAAGTCAAAAAAGTGAAATAAACCCAAACCTTAATTTTAAAGCTACATCGTTCAGCACATCATTAAGCTAAACCTTTAAAAAATTAGGTTGGGACACATTTATCACGTATAAAACATATTTTACTGTCTCAAAAAATTAATAAAGATAAAAATACAACTTTTAAAATTTCTCCTTTTACCCAAAAATTCGTCAATTCCAGAAAAAAATCAAGCCTAAAACAGTAAGAACAATAATATTATCCTACCTTCCTTAGCCTTGTATCCGAGACGACGAGCCTTCTCTGGTCGGGTTGGTCGTGGGGCACGGTGGATTCTGGTCAATTGACGATAATGCCAAGTGCGGATACGTTGAAGGTATCTCACGGTGTCACTTTGCTTCTTGCGCCATATTTCTTGCATATACTTATAGGCACCCATGTTGGCTAAAATAAGGTTAAAATAAATATTAAGATTAACTTCGACAAATTCGCGACGAATAATTTAAAGATAAAAATGTCTAAAACACGATAAATTACAAAAATTTTAGAAAAAGCGCATTAAAAACAATAAGAATATATTACTCTACTAGTTAAAACCAAAAACCCTTCAGCTCACACAACAAAATCGTATTTTATATCCAAAATTTAAAAAAAATCCCAATCGAAAATAATTTTCTATTTTTCTCCCCAAAAAGAAGAATATAAAGGACCTGCAGCGCTTAGAATACGGTATTCGCAAGCCCGCCAATTCAAACATGAAATTCCAAAAGAAAAGAGAAACTTGACACACAAACGAAAATGTAGGTCAAGTTTAGCACTCTCTTCGCTTTCTGAACTTGAGCCATTTCGTTTCGCACAGCGGCGTCAAACAACATCTTTATCTGCTCAAAGCCGGTTCGTTTTTATCTTTAAATATTCGTTTTTGATGTTTAGGTATGAATTTGTGTAAATTTTGGTGTTGAATGTGGAATACGGTCAATTTTGGTGGAAAAGTTGGCAAAAAACCGTTATTTTTGGGTGTTTTCGTGAAGAATTATTGATTTTGCGGACTCTCGAGACATGTTTTTCGTCTGCTGACCCGAGATCTTTTGTTTTTAATCTGTCTCCTGACCTTGATAACGTCTTTGAGGATAGGTGAATGGGACTGTTAAGTGCGTTTTGGTTGAGATGGGACTTGTTTGAGCTTGGACTTTGGATTTGTCGTCATAAAACGTTCATATTATATTTCTATGAAATGGAATTTTACTGAATTTTTAAGATATTGTATTGTTTAACTAATACTTATTTTTTTAACTGTTTTACGTTGGTTTACGCTTTAGAAGAAAACTTTTCTAATATTTTCTAATGACATTTTCGGTAGTTGAAATGCATGTAAATTAATCGGTTACGCTTTTAGTTTGAACCATGCCGAAGAAAATTATTTTGCAAAGCAACGACAACGAGGACTTTGAAGTCGACCGTGATGTGATCCGTCTATCCAACACCTTGAACACTATGTTCCAGGACTTGGGCATGGATGATCCAGAAAGCGCTGATTCCCTGAATGACCCAATCCCGTTGGCCAATGTTAACGGTACGATTTTGAGAAAGGTGATCCAATGGTGCCAGTACCACAAAGACGATCCACCAGCACAGGCCGATGCTGATCGTAAAGAGCGTCGTACCGACGACATCAGCAGCTGGGATGTTGAATTCCTGAAGGTCGATCAAGGCACGTTGTTTGAGCTGATTTTGGCCGCTAACTACTTGGACGTGCACGGTCTTCTGGATGTGGCGTGCAAGACTGTAGCCAACATGATCAAAGGAAAGTCCCCTGAAGAGATTCGTCGCACTTTTAACATCAAAAACGACTTTACCCCGGAGGAGGAGGAACAGATCCGCAAGGAAAACGCGTGGTGCGACGATTAAATCTCAGCTTTTTGTACCTTTCTACACTCGTATCTGTACTGACTTACGTAGTACTACTATAAATATGTACTGACCTTTTTAATAGCGACTTTGGTACTAACCTGTTATTATTCGGTACCCGTTTTTTGGTAATTTGTTAAATGTGTATCCAACTTACTTTATGTATTAGTATGATTGTACCAAAATGAATAAGTAGTACTATTACTATTTATATTTGTTGTTTATTTAGACCCGTATAATTATATTGCACGTGAAAACTAAAAGTAAATGTTTAATTGATTATGGACATTTGGCTTGGCTTTTGGAAGGGCGGTTTTGGGTGAGCATTTTGTTCAAAAAGTAAACGGAAGAATATGTTCAAAGTTATAACAAATTTCCATCGAAAGTGTAATTTTGGAGCTTATAACAGCTGGAATCCGGGATTTTTTAGATCTGAAATAAACTTTTAACAACTTTAAAACCACAAAAATGAAATTCCGTAAACTTTTTGAACAAAAAAGCCTTAAAAACAAATCAAGCCGCTCCTTGACTCAAATTGCGTCGATGTTCACGTTGGCTTTGTTGATAGGTGGGCGGGGGTGGAGGGTATAGCGTGCTGAAGCTGGGCGGATGTATCTGATAAATTGGTGTAGCCGGCACTTCCGGCGACACTCCATATCTACTTTTGGCATTTAACGATACTCCCGAACCCAAAAACAGCAGAGATGTCATAAATGCGGCGGTTGTTTCGAAGACGAACCGAATCTTGGTTATTGACAGCCGGTCGGATGCTTTACATTGTTCATCCTCGAACAGTATTCCAAATGCTGCGACCAGGACGAGGCCAGCACTGAAGAGGAATGTTGCGGCTGATAGGCTGGAGATATTGGTAATGTTAATTTAGGTAACAAGTTTCGAAAATTAGGTAACAAATTTAGTAAATTAGGTAGAAATTTTTATAAATTAGGTAACAATTTTAAAAAATTTTTGTTTAACTTGGTTAAAGAGGTCAAGATTGATCTGATTGGTAAAAAATTGACCCTTTTGGTATTTTTTGTACAAAATGTAGTGTTTATCTTCTTTTTGACATTATTTTTGAAAAACGTCAAGATGAACTTACAGTGAGATGATAAAATATATTTGGGAGGGTATTTTGAACTGCTTTAATTGCATGAACATTATTAATGCGATTATTAGTAGTGATAGTAATGAGAAATAGGCTACGGCGGAATCTGAAAAATTGAAATTTCAAAAAATTTCGTAAAATTTTAATTTTTTTGGTTCATGAGTTCTTAGAGTTTATTTTTGGTCCAAAAGTTCTTAGAATTTCATTTTTTGATCTAAAAGTTCACAGAATTTCATCTTTGGCCCTAAATTTCATTAAAAAATCCATTTTCGACCAAAAATGCCATTTTAGACACAAACTTAAGCCTAAAACCTAAAACAATATAACCAAACTCACGATATGTCATTTGGTAAGGATACTCAAAAGTCCCCAGACACGATTCAGATACCTCGTGGCTGATCTGTTCCGTGTATTTCAAGTTGATCCACACGAATAGGCACGTCAAAATGATGTTGTTCACCAAGAATAAGATCAAAAACATCATTTTTGTCGCGAATTTGTGTGCATTTTCCTTACGAAAACAGTGCAACAAATCGACCAGTCGTTGTCGAAGACCGGTCGATTCGTGTGAGGTGGTCTGTAGAGGTCGGGGGACATTATTGCGATGGGAGGGGGCCATTTTTGTGGATATCAAACTGGCATAGCTGAAAAGTTTAATTTAAGGACGGGAACTTTATTTACAGATTGTTAAATGGCAAGAACTTTCTTTACAAAACAAAAAATGGCAAAAACTTTCTTTACAGAACGCGGAACAATATTTTCTAAATTTGTTATCAGTAACAAGTATATTTGCAGTGTTATAGTAAATAATCAAACACACGTTGAGCTGGTAATCAAAATAACAGTCCATGGAGATTATAGTAACTCACTAACTGTTTTAAATTGCTAGACCTAAAATTATGTGCTGCTAAGCCTAAACTTTGCGTAATAAGCCTAAAATTACTTGTTGCTAAGCCTAAACTTTGCGTAATAAGTCTAAAATCATGTGCTGCTAAGCCTAACATGGTGTGCTTCTTAGCTTAAAATTATGTGCTGCTAAGCCTAAATTTTGCGTAATAAGCCTAAAAGTTGCGTAATAAGCCTAAAATTATGTGCTGCTAAGCCTAAACTTTGCGTAGTAAGCCTAAATCTTGCCTAATAAGCCTAAAAGTACCTGCTGCCATGCCTAAAATTATGTGCTGCTAAGCCTAAACTTTGCGTCATAAGCCTAAACCTTGTATCAAAAGCTTTAAAAAAATGCTGCTAAGTCTAAAATTTTGTGCTGCTAAGGCTAACGTTTACGTAATAAGCCTAAAATTACCTGCTGCTATGCCTAAACTTTGCGTAATAAGCCTGAATTGCCTGCTGCTAAGCCCAAAAATCACGTAATAAGCCTAAAATCATGTGCTGCTAAGCCTAAACTTTGCGTACTAAGCCTAAATTATGTCCCGCTAAGCCTAAACAGTGTGTAATAGGCTTAAGGTTACTTGCTGCTAAGCTTAAAAATTGCATAATAAGCCTAAAGCTGTGTGTTAAGCCTAAAGCACTCTACTACTTATTCTTGCCCTATCCTCTTATAATGTTTCACCCGAACTTATGCTTGTTTCTCTACCCGAAACTGTTACATTAGCGCTCTAGAGTTTTAAATCCATGATGGATTTAAAAACATTTAAAAAAAAATCACGAACTTTAGACGTTAAGCCAAAACCTGGTCCAACCTTGACCTTTTCCTAGCTTTTTTAAGCTTAAAAGTTTTAAAAATACGTTGATTGCTCAAAACTTGAATTCGACCAACCCTGTGGCGGTTTTGCATACATACACGCTCGTTATCACTGATAACGCGAAAATTATGCAAATCAAGTTTGAATGATGTTTGTGATGAGTAATTAACGTAACGTACTTGACTATGTTAATCTTAACCTCAACTCTTTCTCCTACCCTTTACCTTCTCTTCCTCCCCCCCCCCTTCTCTTTCCTTATCTCCTGCCTCCCCCCCCCCTTCCTTATCTCTTGCCCCCCCCCCTCCTCTGAAGTATTATCAAAATAAAATGATCCACCCGGCACTGTACATGGCTATGTTATCTTCCTATATCTAAAATAAAACATTTTTTTCGTTTTTTATGAGCAAACAATAGGATGAATAATATAAATGTGGGTAGATGATATTGACTGCTGACAAAAGGATTGAAGTGTGTTTTGTGGAGACATACGACGGAACTAATGACAAGATATTAGAGTTGTATAATTTGCAAAATATAGTTTATTTTTACAGTGGGAATACTGTAATTTATGTCACAAAATCAAACTTGAAATTGCAGCTGAAAGTTTCAAAGTTCAAATCGAAAAATGACTTGTAATACGGTCGTAGTAGTACCAAAAACAAAAATGTTTATAAAATATCTTCACAATACCATAGTAATAAGATATACTAAATTAAAAGTGTATACGATAAGTATGTCAAATATTATACTTGTTTGAAAGCCAAAAATCATCAAAAAAACCAAAAAAACGTAAAAATTTTAAAAAATATAAGAAAAATAAAGCAAAAAGAAAAGACATACCGTTGTAATTGGATGTTTATGACGACAAAAGTAAGCCTACACTAATTAGCGTCTTGGTACTTTGTTTTTGTAAATGTACAAAATGTCTACAGCAACATTTTTTTTAAATTTAATGATAAGGAGGGTAGGAAGGGGGGGGAGAGGGTAGGGTAGAGGGTGGGGGGGGTAGGGTAGGTAAGATAAGGCACGTTAGGGCAGAGCAATTAGGCACTTCTTTTGATTAAAAAATTCAAAAAGTTACCCCCCCCCCTTCCTCTCGAAATGTACTCTTCTACTATCCCTCCCCCCCCCCTCCCCCCCGCTTTTTTTTCCCCCTTTCCCCGTAGGGCAGGGTAAGGTAAGATAGGGTAGAGCATCATAGGTAGGCTTTCTTTTTTAATTTAATGTTCTTTATCAACCCCCCCTCCCCCCCTCCTGAAAACGTATTATTATCTCTTCATTCCCTCTTCCCCGAAAACGTATTATTCTCTTACCAGGTTCTGCCGGCTAATCATAGATATTTTTAAAATTAAAAAATTTCAAATCCATAACCCCAATCATCCAAAATAATAACCCATCGTACAGCCGGGATGAGAATTCTGAGAAACGTGAAGACACTGTTTTGCGCTCGGTCCAAAAACCGAGCCTTGGACAAACAACCTGGGCCCCATATTGTTGGTTCTAATCAAGCAACGAAGGGGGGGGGGAAGGGAGGGGTAGGGAAAAGAGACCGTTTTACGTTCCTCACGCGGTCGCTTTGAATTTTGTCGGATGAATCACGAAAAAAGGGCCCGAGGCAAAAACTGAAGCGACGCGTTTTATATTAAATACAATATTATATTATGACTCGGGAAGAGGGGGGGGATTGTACTAATCTCCGCTTTACAAATAGATCTTGTTATGAAATATTGAAAAAAAATTTTTGAATATTATTAATAAGGATGTTAAAAATAGATGCTTTATTTGATTATACGGTACATGACAGCTGGTATGGCCGAGTGAATTGAATGGCGGACGGTCTGAACTAAACGATCAGTATATTATAGTAATATACAAAAACAGAAGACAGAATACAACTAAAAATTTGAAAAAAACACTGAAATTTCAAAGAAAAAGTAAAATAATTTTAAAAAATAATTTTAAAATTCTGCCCTAAGGTCATTTTCAACATTGTCATAGAAGTAATATGCCGTTAGATATGTAAATTTGTTGTCCATTGGTCAAGAAAGTCTATTAAAAATGTACGGTTTTATGACCTCGTTGGAGGTGAATTTTCAATTTTAATGAGGTTGAAACACGAAATTTTAGACTTTATTTGAGCTAAAATCCTAGCCCTAACAGTAACCCTAGTCCTAGCTAAACATGAAGACTGGGCCCGGCCAGGCCTAACTTTCAGCTCTAAGTTTTGCTCAGGTCCGGCCCGGAACGAACTTTTTTTTACTTGCAAACGGGTCGAGGTTTTCCGGACTTTTTGGACCGGGCCGGGCTTTTCTGGCATTTTCAAGCCCACCTAAATTTTGCTTAGTCCAGCCCGTTCTTCATATGTAACCCTAGCCCTAACCTGAGCCCTAGCCCCAAAGTCCTAGCCCAGAGTCCTAGCCCAGAGCCCTAGCCCGGAGCCCTAGCCCAGAGCCCTAGCCCTAGCCCTAGCTTTAGCCCTAGCCCTAGCCCTAGCCCTAGCCCTAGCCCTAGCCCTAGCCCTAGCCCTAGCCCTAGCCCTAGCCCTAGCCCTAGCCCTAGCCCTAGCCCTAGCCCTAGCCCTAGCCCTAGCCCTAGCCCTAGCCCTAGCTCTAGCTCTAGCCCAGAGTCCTAGCCCAGATCCTTAGCCCAGAGCACTAGTCCCAAAGCCCTAGCCTTAGCTCTAGCTTTAGCCCAGAGTCCTAGTCCTAGCCCAGAGCCCTAGCTCAGAGCCCTAGCCCAGATCCCTAGCCCAGAGCACTAGCCCCAAAGCCCTAGCCCTTAGCCCAACGCCTCCAGTTCAAAACCTTACCTGAGAGTCCTAGTCCAGAGCCCTGAGCCCTGAGCCTTAGCTTTAGTTTTAGCCTTAACCTTAGCCCTAGCCGTAGCTCTAACTATTGCTATTTCTAAAGCCACAGTATTGATCTTTTTGTTAGCCTAAGATTCAGCTCTAGCTTTAGCATATCCGTGTCTATCTTACAATGTTTGTCATACTGTAACTTTATCAAAGCCCTCTTCCAATGATATAGTATGCCTGTAATTGCTTGCTTTTTTTGTGCTTCTACTATAATATAATTTATGAATTTTTAAAAAATTTTAAGTTTTTTTAAAACTATACAGCGATCCCATTGTACCATTTCCACTCCCATTTTACCGCAATCCACTTTCACCCGTTTCCATTAATGTCTCAATAACCGTGTCATAACTCATTCCGTGCGTAATTTTAATTGTACTTCTCCACTTTCCCCTATCTTATTCATGTCCACTTCCTGAGGGAGACCATCTGCTGAGTCGAGAAAGCAGCTGCTGTTCTCGATCAAGTTTAGCGCAAAATTTGCATTTACCCCGCCCTCGCTCTTTGGGTGCGCGGTCGAAACGTCGCGGTTGGCTCTCCGTCTGTCAGCTTATTTGTACGTCTGGCCGGGGGTTTTGGTTTTTCATAATAGGGCGATTGAAGTAGAGGGGGGGAGGGGGAGTGAGGTAGAGGAAAGGGGTGATAGAGTTTTAAAGGGGGGGAAGGTAGAATTGAAAAAAAAATTTTAGGGAAGGGGGTGACAGTAGGTCACAATACTGAAATCCAATTTGAGGATTTAAGCTGGAGAGATGGGTGGGGTGAGATAAAACCTATTTTTTAGTACGGGGTGGATGTTTTTCATTTTTTGATTAGCATTAACATTAAAATTTTCATGTTTAATAAAGAAGGGTTGTTCATTATTTTCCTCGCCCACTTCCCTCCTATTTCATTCCTTTTACCCCCCCCCTCTCTTTCACTTCTTTTTACCCCTCCCCCCCCCCTTCCTAGTTCATTGCTTTCACCCTTCCTCCCCCCCCCCTGCTCCCTCCTTGCCCTCTCACACCTCCCCCCCCCCTTTTTTTTTACCTTCCCCCCTCTTCTTATTTCATTGCTTTCACCCTTCCTCCCCCTCCCCCTTCCTCCTTGCCTTCTCACTGCCCTTCCCCCCCCCCTTCCTCCCCCTAACTGATCTCGACACTTTTCTTCCGACCTTGATCACTATATTTGTCAGTTCAAATTCAAATTGCCATAAATTTTCATTTTCAAACTTTCTTTGTCTTCCTTATTAGCCTCATCTGTAATTGTGAGGCCGTCTGTTTCTTAGCCTGATTATTCGCGTTTCTCGCCGCCTTTCTTCCCGAGCTGAATTTCTCGTTTTGCGTTTGGTTTTATTGTTCCCATCCCTGGTTTGCCATTTTGATTTTAGCGGCTTTTTCAAACCCTAAGGAGGGTTTTTTTTTTAATTTTTTTTAAATTCTTAAAAATTTTTTAAAAATTTTTTTTTAATTTTAAACTTTTTTTTAAATTTTATCACATTTTTAAATAATTTATTCAAATTCCAAATTCAAATATTGTCTTATCTCCACTGTTCAACTCTATGGCCGTTTTTTATGTCCTCCGGCTCTTTCTTGCGCCATTTCTGACCCTACGTCCTCTTTTCTAACACACATTCCCTTCAGGCCCTGCGGCACGAAATGCCGCCCCATTCTTGGGCTCCCAAGTCGAAATTCACTCTTCGCTCGCCCAAATCCAACGTTAGGCTGAAACAGCGGGCCGTTGGGCCGGGCCCAGTCATGGATTCCACAAGGTTTTCTTCTGGAGCTTCAGAATCTCAGCGTCGGACAAATTCTGAATTGCTATTAGCATCAGAATCTTTATTGGCTCCAGAATCTTCATTAGCGTCAGGATCTCAACATCGATCAAACTTAGAAGCCCCAGCAGCTTCAGAATCCTTATCAACTCCAGGATCTTTATCAGCATCAGAAGCCCGATCATCTTCTTCACCAACTTCAGAATCCCAAAACCCACCCCAAGAAGCACAACTTCTATCCACGCCTTCATCCAGTCAACAAGATTTCAAATCCACCCCCTCCGGCTCTCTACCGGACTCGTTGCGCAACTTGAGGCCGCACCGCTGGACCTGGCTTCACAAAGCCAATCAAGTGAGTTTTGTTTGCACAGGCTTTCAATTTTTAGGTTGGGGGAGGATAATTTTGAAATTTGCTTGGTGATTAGAAAAAAAATTTTTTGAAAAATTGGAAATTTTACAAACTTTTGAACCAAGGCAAGAAAGTTTAAAATTTTTGGGTCAAACGTGGGAATTCTACAAACTTTTGGACCAAGGCGAAAAAAAATTAAATTTTTTGGGCTAAAAGTGAAAATTCTACAAACTTTTGGACCAAAAAAATATTTTTTTTAATTTTGTATATTAGGTGCCGACATAAAGAACCCGCCATACTTTGAATGTAATTTCCTGTAAAAAATGGCGGGTTCTTTACGTCGGCACCTAATATTTTAATTTTTTAGCCCAAACCTTGATATTTTAATTTCAAATTCAATCCAATTAGCCAAAACAAGACCAAATTGAAGCTGGCTGTCGCCGAAAATTCCTTTCAATTTCCGTCTCGGATCAACATTAAGCCTTAATTTTAATGGCCTTTGAAATGACTTTCACTTCCCGACTTTCGCGCAACTACATTAATCACCTCATCCTCTTTGGTTCAATGTTTAGGCCGCGCTTTAAACTTTAAGGCTGGTCATTTAAGTGGCCGTAAACTGACCAGACTTGGCCAACTGTTACCGGCTGTAAAATACGGCTGTTGCCACCGTAAAAGTTTATTTTTTAAGCGTTTATGAGTTGGCATTTGGTTTTAAGGTTTTGGTCGATATTTAGATTTAAGGTTTTGGTCGATATTTTTTTAAAAAAATTTTGGTCGATATTTGCTTGGGAGGTTTTGGTCAATATTTAGATTTAAGGTTTTGGTCGATTTTTAGTCTAGAAGTTCTCGTAATTCAGTGCTTTGGACTAGGATTTCTTGGAATTGAAGGTCTTGGCCTAAAATTTTAGAATTTTTTAATTTTTTTGGTCCGAAAGTTTGTAGAATTGATATTTTTCGATCCGAAAGTTCACAAAATTTTATTTTCTGGCCAAAAAGTTCTCAGAAGATTAATTGTTACCTCAAAATCTTTTAAAATTTTCTGTTTTATAGCCCAATACCTTGCTTTACAATTTAAATAATTTAAGCCCAACATAGGGAAAACGACCGGTAAAGTTTTGTAACAGAACTTTTGGCGCACCCCGTTACCAAATTTCAAAGAATTTCAAACCCTTTTTGATTTTACACCAACAAACGAGCCAAAAACATCTGCGCCAGACGTTTTTCGGGATCAGTCCGAAAAAAGTGTGGCAAAAAAAGGTACCAGGGCGTATCGGGATTCTCAAAAGAACTCGCTTTCCTCACCTTTGCGGGCTTCTGACTCAAATGTTTTGAAATCATAGGCTTACAATGGGCAGTTGAAATTGAAAAAAAAATGTTTTTTGAAGTTTTTTTGGAGGATTAAATGAAGTTCTAAGGAGTTTTGAACCACTAAATAAATTTTTTAAGATATTGGGTTATTACCTAAAATTCTAAGCATTTTTGGACCATTAACTCAAATTCTAAGGAGTTTTCGACCATGAAATGACATTTTAAGCATATTTGGATCATTAAAGTTAGATTTAAGCATTTTTGGACCACTAAATGAAATTCTATGAACTTTCAGACCAAAAAATCAAAATTGTAAAAAAATAAATTTTTAAAAAAATTTTAAATTTTAAAATTTTAAAATTAAAATTCATGAAATTTTGGACTAGAAAATGAAAAATCAAAGAAATTTTTTTTATAATAAACATAAAAATTTTATTTTCACTCCAAAAGATGAATAATATCGAGGGAAATAACAAGAGAGGGGGAGGCAATGAATCAGACGAAACGTTATTTGCCTCAGGATTTGATAAGGTTGAAGAGTGGGAAATGATTTTATTTTATAGGATTTTGAGTTCCGGTCCAAAATTTCTCAGAATTTTAAGTTTTTGGTCGAAAAGTTGGTAGAATTTCAATTTTGGTCCAAAATTTTATGAAATTTTAATTTTTTAGTCAAAAAGTTGCCAGAATTTTAAGCTCGGTCCAAAATTTTCTAGAATTTTAATTTTTTAGTCAAAAAGTTGCCAAAATTTCAATCTTGGTCGAGAATATTACAGAATTTTAATTTTTTAGTCAAAAAGTTTCCAGAATTTTTTAAAAAATTATATTTTCCATGTTTTCTAACTGCCATTCTTTATTTAACATTATATAAAAATTCAAATTCAAACCTTTTCATTCCAGGCCCTATCATCAATAGAAGCCCAATTCACAGAAAATTCTGTCGAATTCCATCCAAACTACGCCTATGGGACCGCTTCGGCCTTTGGCAACTACCCCCTAACCTCCTCCACCGTATGTTACTGGGAGTTGCGGGTACCCTACATCTATGGCACGTCGGTAATGTTTGGAATTGGTAGTTTGGGCACTCCAATCAAGCTGGCCAATCAATTCGACAACTTGTTAGGCTTAAATGGCAGTTACGGTCTTTCGCACAAAGGCATACTGTATCATAATGAAGAGGAGAGGGTGTACTGTAAAGAATTTGAGGAAAATCAAGAGGCTGTAGTTGGAGTGTACTTTAATGGTCCTAAACGGCAATTGTCGTACTATTATAACGGTACCGGTTTGGGCGTGGCGTTTGAGGACTTGAATTTGGATGAGGTCATGTATCCTATGGTTTCAAGGTAAATTTTTATGACAATATGGGACGTTTGGTACAACTTTTGATGGTTTATGTTACAATATAAAGAATTTAGATGTATCATACTTTAGATGTGTCATAATGTTTTTCATTAAAAAAATTTTTTAAGTTGTCAGCGTTTCAACCCAACATTTTTCAGCACCGCCAGAAAATGCACGTTCATTCTACAAAAACAATACAGCAACGCCGACGTAACCCTACGAAGTATATGTAAACGATTTGTGGTCGAAAAGTTAGAAAACTCCCCCATTGAGCATGTTCATCAACTCGGACTGCCTAGTGTAATATCGGCAGAGATAGAAAAAGAAGTTGAATATCAGAAGCGACAACAGAATACACGATTACTGGCTGCTTCGCAAGGTAAATACCGGAAACGAGCAGCGGTACCCGACGAGGTACTGGAGATATCGAACAAGATGATGGTGCACTTGCTGTCGAATTACCGACTGGACCAGATTGAAACAATGTCGTTTGAAGGGTGGGCTGATGCTTATGAAGGCATGAGGGGATGGGCTTTGTAATAATTTTTAAGAGTTTTACTGTGGTTAAGTCGGTATTAATTTAGGTAGTATTTCTTTATTTTTCAAGTTTAATTTTTTGTCACAATGACATTTTTTTTGTCATAATGACATATTTTTTACAAAATCGGCTGAATATGTACTCTAGTCACATTATGTCGCACCATAATTATATTTTTTGTCTTCGTTTGCTCTCTATACATTGATTTCTTAAAACTATTTGGGCGGGGTAAATTTGTTGAGAGAAGTGTACGAGGGGGGGGCAAAAATTTTTTTTAATTTATAAAAATTTTTAACTTTTTAACTAATGGTAACTTCAAAATTTTCAAAAAGTTGTGGCCGACCCCTCTCAGACTCATTCGAAACAATTTACCCCAGCCAATCCATTTCCTTGATAATAACATAAAATTATAACATAGCATCATAGCAAAAGTCTCAGTAAAAGTCAAACCGTTTATATTACACTAATTAATCATATATTCTCCTAAAAATGAAACACAAATATACATTACTGTCACTTTCGTATGTCCCTTAATGTAATGTTTTATGGTCGTTGTAGATGTCGCGGGTCCTGCTGGATTGGAAGAGTGTGGTTGCCCGACGCATCGCCTAGACAATGGTCTTTTTTAACCCTCCCCGTTTTTTAATCAAGTTTTTATGATATGGTACCTTAACAATTTTTAGAATACAGTAACTTTTGTATAACGAACTCTAGTAATCTTTAAAACAAATCGAAAAATGTCACAAATTCGTAACTGTAAAGCCATTTATATAACATGATCTCTTATAAAAATGTCACGCTTTCATCGCATCCATTGTAATCTCAAATGTCAAGTTGTACAAGTCTTTACAAGTTTTTTTAATTGAAAAAAATCAAAATGCTAGCTTTCATCAATTTTTTTTTATTTTAAATCTTTTTTTTTTGAATTTCAATTTGTTTTTAAATTTAAATTTTTTTGCCAGTTTACGATCTGAAAAGCTTTAAATTGTACAGATTTCAATTCGTATTCGTAACGCACGGTCTATAAATTGATTTTTAAACATAATATTAGGTACCGACATAAAGAACCCGCCATTTTCTACAGGAAATTACAGGAAAAGTATGGCGGGTTCTATATGTCGGCCCCTAATATATTGTTCTTCAAAAATTATTTTATTAAAAATCATTTTAACCTTATTGTATGTAAACTATTAAAACTTTTTCGTACGGTCATGTCATCGCATTTATGATACTATTTAGCACTATACTGTAAATAATGTTTTATTTTTCTTTATTGTAATTTAAAGCATGTTTTATTGTTCCTTATTGTATTCTCTTTTACCTTAATATTTAAAAAAAACGCTCGCTGAGAAAAAACTAGTCAATAACCTGTAGGAAATTAACAATTTTTAGTGTTTTTGGAGAAATAAATATTTATATTTTGGTGTTATAATCAAGCCTATTGCCCTCATTTCATATAAATATCAACAAAAAAGTATAACAGCCCATTAGCAATTTATTCGCAAAAACTTTGATTTAAAGCGACTATTAAACCACCTATAATAAACAAATGGTGAAAAATAAAAATAATTTAAAAATAAATTTATGAAAACCTCAAAAATAGATAGTATATCCAAATAAAATAATTGTTTTTCAAAAATATTATAAAAATGGCATCTAGACAAATATGAAACATGGCTTTTCCTTACAAAAATTACAAAACTTTGGCTATGACTATAGAAACTACAATTAATGGTTCTGAAATTAAATTAACAAGATAAACTGGTAAGATATGCTAAATTAGAAAATATAAGGCAATGGTGCGCATCACGGAATTATACAACCCTTTACAAAAGTGACAATGCTCTATACACACTGATCATGTCATGTATACATCTTACTGAGCATCAAGACAAAAAACATATACCTTACTGATCATCAGCAAGGTTCATACCTCACAAATCATCAACAAGGCGTATACCTCACCAATCATCTACAAGGCATATACCTTAAATGTGAACCTTTTGGTACTGTCTATGGGCCTTGTTGAGGTTGGGAAGGTGAGTTTCGCTCTCTGAACCAGGCCGTCTCCTTGTAGGCGAACCAGATATTTGAGGCGAACAAAATCAGACACGCAAAGCCGGCTAGCTAAAATTCAAAATCGTAAAGCTTACTGTTAGATTTGTGGCAGCACAAAGGTTTTTTAGTACTACTCCCACTCTTATTTCCAACTTATCGTTACATATTAGATCAAAAACTTACGACAGAGACAGTTAATGGTCCTGTGTCGTGATAAGTCTTCAGATGACAATCCTTTACATCTGGGAAGTCGCAAAACTTTTTGGTTTCAAAAGCTTTGCCAATGGTTTCAGGCCTAAAAGTCATAATATAGTAAATTTTTGAAATAAGCATGATCCATCTATCAAAATTATCAAAAAATAATTAAAAAACCAAAAAAACCTAAAAAAAAATTAAGAACCTACGAAGTTTCATTAGTTAAAACATCCGTAGCATGCCACCAACTCCACGCAGCTAAAAACCAACAGACGCCTAGGATCATTGTGATCGCAGTATCCAACTTTGGCAGCCTTTCATCACCAGCATACGCACCCCATCTGAACAAGTACAAAAAGAGCATGATAATCACAAACAGAATTGACACGATTGATATGAATCCAAAAAATCTGGCAGCTCTGAAAGAGTTTTGCTATTTAGTACTAGTAAATCATAATTTGAATTTTACTACTGTAATTTCAGCCGAAAACAATTAAAATTTAAAATTTTAGTAGTGCGATCCTATAAGGATTTTAGCAGTTCAAACCAACAAAAAACTTACGTGCTATGGTCGTAGGTAATCAGCCCAATCGGAACACCAGCGCAAGTTGTGAAATGATCAGAGTAGTCAGAATCGGCCATACTAAAATATAATAAGGTTCAATCATCATATGCTTACCTAAAAATCAAAAATAAAAAAATGGCTTACTCAAACCCTCCATGAGTGATAGCATGTGTAGAATTGTCTTTACATGTGTATGTAGCAGAGAACTGAAAGCCGGATCTGGCAGAGAACGCGATTATGGCTAAAATGAGTTGAGGTATCTTGATGAACCCCAACGGCACCTTCAGCTGATCCACGTTTAGGTCGTTTATCAACGCCATCTTAATTTTATTATTATTCTCTATTGTTTTTCATATTCAGATTAAAGAGTAATTTTGTCACGCGAATTATCATAATAAACATTTAAAATAACATTCCTTAGCAACAGAATGGAAAAACATGACATTTTTCAACTATAAATAACAAAATATTGAAACCACAACATACGTAAATGTTATATTTAATTTCTAAAACAAAAACATAATAATAAGAAGCCGTATTGTTCCACCACGACATAACAAAAAGCCAAATATCATTATACCACAACATAGATATAAGCCAAGATGAAAGCAATCTGATAAATAAAAAACCAATTTCAAATTTATCTAAATCTTTATTTTTGCTCACGAAATTCAATCCTAAGAGCTGAACAGCCAAAAATAGTATATTTAGGTGCTACCGACAACGATCACGTCGCCCTTGAAGGTGTAGGCAGGTACGTGCAAGTTCAATGGAGCTGGACCTTTGCGAATACGACCTGAGCCGTCGTAGTGAGAGCCGTGGCATGGGCAGTAGTAACCGCCAAAATCGCCAGCGTTGGCTGAAACGTGATTCAACATGGTTAATTGTAACTTTCATATTATAGTACCTAAAGCTTTAAAAATTTCGCCTTTCAAAATTGTCAAAAACAACCAAAATTCGTTTTCTAAATATATTCAACTCCATGCAGCCCCCTTTCACTAAAACCATAAATAATATTAACAAAACAAGTCAAAAAACGTTTTTCTTTTTTCCGTGAAACCCCTTGACTAACATAATATGCGACATGAATCATGTAAACAAACACATACCAATTGGGACACAGCCCAAGTGAGTGCAGACGCCAATAACGACTGACCATTCGTCCTTCTGAACACGATCTTCATCAGCTTCTGGATGACGAAGTTCGGAGATGTTGACTGAACGTTCACGCTTGACTTCGGCAGCAGTACGATGCTTAACGAACACGGGCTTACCACGCCATTCAAAGGTCTTAGTCTGAAAAACATTGTCTTAGCAAGAAACTATATTATTATAGACCAAAAGACGTCTAACCATAAAAAATATACTGTCGAGTACCTAATATCAATAGTGTATGTATAATTAAAAGACATATTACAAGTAGGTACCCAAAAATTTATACTAACTTTTAACCTACAACCAAAAAACTAATATATGCATCATAAAAGACTTACCTGGCCTTCTGGCACTTTGTTCATGTCAATTTCAATAGCAGCCAAAGCTCTTTGATCAGCAGCCATAGCTTTGTAGTAGACCAAAGTTTGGACAACATTACGAGCGGCCAACAAAGTAACCATACCACCAACTAAAACAATATACATTACATACCTGTATTTCAATACTACAAAATCTCATCTTTTTAAGAAATATGTAAAGATAACATTCGTCATCCGAAACACAGATAACAAATATAAAATTAACCTAAAATTAACAAATCATAAGTGAAAATAAATACCTCCGTAAACAACAGCACTGGTAACTCCACGACGAGCATCTTCAGTAGCTCTGGCTGGTTGATGAGGATCCTTAGTAGCTTCATAACGATAGTTGTCATAGTTTGGGAACCGGACATCAGTGTGGGCGAAACGCTTAGCCAAAACTAAAATATAAAAACAAGATTAACAATTTTTACTTTTAACTTAATTTTCCAAGTAACAAAAAAATAGCTATCTTATGTACTCTTTAGATATTTACTATACTCTTACCACCATAAATAAAGCATCACATATAATTTAGATCTAAAACAACCAAAATCCTCACCAGCAACGTTCTTAGTAGACAAGAATTGTCTGTTTGAGGCATTAAAAGCATATCGTCTCAAAGAATCAACATTTTTCAAAGTAGCAGCTTCATCCTTGGTTTGGAGAGCATGTACTTGACCAGAAACGGCATTTGGAACAACCCCGTTAGTGTACCATCCAGCAATCTAAACCAATACATCAATATCCGTAAAATTACCTAAAAAATTAAAAAGCAAAGCAAGTCCTTACCAATTTTGTGCTGGATCCGGCTGATCTCACGGCAGAAGCCATTTCGAAGTCCGGAACTGAAAACACCCAAAAATTAATGAACAGCTAAAATTTTACAATAAAAATCTCGACAATTATATAAACATAATGACGTAAAATGTATAAAACAATATTTCAAAGCAGAATATACTTTATATAGCAAGAAAAACCACGGACGATGCTATAAACAGAATTTGAGTACATTTTTCAGCGTGAAAGAGTGAAACGAAGGCCATGTAAACGAAACGCCACTATTGAGCAGCCGATTACAAAACTACGATACGCCACGAGATTTTCGTTGATTTTTTTGAAAGAAAATTCTCATTATTTTGGTATAGCATTGGTAAAACTCTGAAAAATGTTGTGTTTTCCTTTTACGTTTGCTTCTTTTGTGTTTTTTTTTATTTTTTAATTTTATATTATGCATTATATTGTCTGATATTTTAGGTAATCATGCTCGGAAAGGAAAAGGTCGTTTTGAAATCAAGTGATGGTATTAGATTTTCGGTCGATTGTGATTCTATTCGTCATTCAAAGCTTTTGTACGATATGATGGCTTGTTTAAGAAATGTAGAGCACGTATCAGACACAAACGACGAAGAAGTTCCGCGTGAAGATGTTGTTGTTCAAAATGAGCAAAACCAGGAAGAAATCGCACCAGGAGAAGCGATTGTAGCTGAAATGGGCGACAACGAAGAAACTGGAGATAAAATGGAGGAAGAAGCAGTTGTTGAAGGTAAAATTGAGGCCGAAAAGGCGTGTGGAGACAGCAAACATGCTAACAAGGATACGATGGATAAATCTGACTCAAGCGACGACTTTGCTGAACCTAGTACTAAGAGATTTCGAAGTAACAAAGCCGAAGAATTTAATGACGATGTAGCCGGCAAAACCAAAGAATCAGACTCTTCTAGTGACGAGGACTCACCAGGCACCTCTATTCCGATCAAGAATGTCAAAAGTGATGTCTTGGAGAAGGTGCTGCATTGGTGCGAATATCACAAGGAGGATGAGCCTCTAACGGACGAAGAACTCAAAAATAAGGATAGGAATGTTCATATTTGTGCTTGGGATGCGGAGTATTTGAAGATGGATGACCAACTCCTACTCGAAGTGATTAAGGCCGCGAATTACTTGGACATTCAGGAGTTGTTGGACATTACTTGCAAACACGTAGCTAATAAGCTCAAGGACAAGAGCCCAGAAGAAATTAGGGCCGCCTTCAACATTGAAAACGATTTCTCTCCGGAAGAGGAGGCTAAGATCTTGAAGGACAATGCTCTTTTCGACGATTAGTTTGTTTCTTATTATTTATTCACATTGTTATTATGTTCTTCTGGTATCTCCTTTTTAAGATTTGTTTTACTTTATCCTGTTATCTTTCATTTTATATATCTTAATCTCGTTTTTTTACTGTATTATTAACTATTACCAATTTCCGGCATGTTAACTACTTTAATACTCAATTGTATCAAAATATGATCTCTTTAGTTGTATCTAAATTCTCACTATTTACTGCTTTAACTCAATTTAACCTCACTTTACTATTACCGGGTATATCTACAAAAATTTGTACGGTTATCACATTGTTTTATATCAATTTGTGGATTTTGAAATGTATGTGCTTATGTTATATAATTTGGCTTTAAAAGTAAACTTTTATCAAGTTTTACAATAATTTTATTCTCCATTAACCAATGTTAAGTTCAAGAAGTTTATATGTATAAGTTTTAATTCAAGTCCTTTTGCGTAAGTCCACGATTACCAAAACGGTCAAAGTAATGATCACTGCTACCATCACCTAAAATATTCCTGAAATTAAATAATGTTAGCAAGTTGTGGGGAAATATTAATCCTTACAGCTTTCAACTCCACTTTCATATGTAGTAGAAGTTAATGGAGGTTGTAAATAACTAGTTGTAGTCTCTATTCTGTCTTTATTATTTCTATCTTTCTTAACATTCAAATTGGTTGATTTATTTGAGCCTTCAGACGAGGCATTCTGAATCGTGAAGTTTTCGTGGCTTCCAGCCACCAAACTAATCAAGTAAAAAAGCGCCTAAAAAAGGTTTTAAAATAATTTAAAAAATTATTTTTTAAAAAAAATGTGAAGATCAAGGACATAAAAGACAAAGGGTTTATATTACTTAAAACTTACCAAAATGTACAGCAATTTCATAGTCGTGCAAGATGATAAAGTACTATTTTTTTAAATTTCAATATAAAACAAAGCTTTCTATTTTATAATAGCTTATGTTGTGAATTCGAGCCTTTTTGTATTAATCATCTTCCTAATCATAGTCTACCGTATTCATCTGCAGATCATCTTGTATAGATCGTTTTAACATTTAATTAAAATTGTAATAAGTCATTCTGATGCATATGCTTTTTAGAAATGAAAACTGGCCAGGTTGGCCCGGCCATCTATCAGACCGGCCTGAACTATTGCTCATATAATCATGCATAACGCTTTTAAATTGTGTTAAAAAACGGACTATAGCGGCATTGCTATAATCGATTTTTGCGACGAAATGTAACAATTTTATTCGTTTTTTCGGCGCTTTGTTGTTTTATCTTTAGATCACATTCCACCTTATTAAACGTTGTTAAATTCATTTCGATAAGTCGAAAACATGGTGAAAAACATGCATTATATTGGTAAGTTGTTTAACTCTGTATTTTTATTGATTTAGGCAAGAAAAACAGTAAAAAAAGGTACGAAACTCTCGATAATGCTCTAAAACAAGGTCTTTTTGTTAAATAATTGCTATTTTTATGGATGTGTAAAAAGAATAAAACCCAAAGTTATTATAATAATGTACATACTTAAATTTATTATTGTAATATTAATAATGAGAGCAATTTAAGCCATGATTCGTTTAGCCAGCTGTCTTTGGGACAGCCGTTTATTTATCTTGAGACGCCTTTTCTTATACATTGCCCTTGCATGCCTAGAGGGATTTTTTGATTTTGATAAAAAACTTGAATATCTGTTTTTCGTTTACGTCTTGAAACAAAATTCCTCTAAAATTCTGCCAAGATGGTAAGTTTTCTACGAATTTTCGATATTACATTAGGTTTGAAGGCTGTCGAAGACTTGTTTGCCTTGTTAGATCTCATTGGTATTCTTGATGAGATATTATCTCATATTATTGTTAAAAAGATCATAAACTATCTAAAGAACCAAGGAATGTCCAAAAAAACTCACAATTTTTATGAGATACAGTTGTTTTTTTCGATAATTAACAATGATGGGCTTTGTTTTAGATGCCCCGATCGAGACGCGGATTCCAGGCCGCATCGGCCGCCAATCCCGAACGAGTCCGAACCCATCTTTTGTTCTCCTCCCAACCTGAACATCACACTGCCAAAAGGAAACGGCGGCCGCACAGTGAGCTCATTTATTTATTTCTTTTGTTTGTAGGTATTGATGAGTAAGGCGGATTTGCTAAATGATGATAATTTTAAGAGAAGAGGTAACGGTGAAGTTAAAGTAAATGTGTATGAAGGTTATGTATTGTTTTTAGAGAATTGAATTGTCAACAATACTATCCTTTGCTCAAAATGACAGCCCAAAAAACCTATCGCAATATAAAATTACGAAACTTTTGATATTTTCAGACAAATTCCAATCAGTTCACAAGAAAGATGAGATGATACAGGCCAATCCAGATGATCTGGACCCAACGGCATGGACTGGAAATCAACGGGTTTTACACTTCGGCCCTATGGCCAACAGGGATCCATTCTTTTATTATTACCCAAAGGGTTGGGACATTTTATACCCGGCACAGTTTGGCTTCTTTCCTTATAGAACGAGGTAAAAATTGTGATTTAAAAGCTTTAACATTTAAAAGTAATTAAATTTTGAGTTAATTTTAATATTTTACATACTATAACATACTGTAATTTTACAGAAAGTTCCGTGGTAACTCAGTAACGGTATGTGTATGGGCGTTTGGAGTATTTTTGCTGTTTGGAGGTGCTTTAATGTCATATTTTGGGTATTTTGTGATACATGACACTCCGTTCTGGATGTGGAAGAAGAAAAGTACAGCACAAATACCTCCAGTTCAAGTGGCAGGGCCTATAATGCTGGTCATTGGGATTTTACTGGTGCTAATTGGACTAATATGTTCTATTTGTACTTCTGAGGTTAGTTTTTTGTAAATTTATGATTGAAATTGATTGAATTTTTTTTAAAATACGAAATTTTGAAAAAATTTCAATTTTTATGGTTTAAAATTGATTTTTTAAAATTTTTAAATGATTTCTTTTAGTTTTTAAACGAAAAAATCCGTCATTATCACCATCGAGGGCAGCCAGCTTCTGTTACTGTCTATACAACTCATATTGAGGTAAGTAGATATTGCTTTAAGGCGGGACAGGCTATTTTCGCTGGTCTTTCTCGGCCTGATTGAACATAATATATTTGTCATTAGAACTCTTGGCTGCTCATACGTATGGGCGATTTTTTTGTATTACAACTTATGACAATATATTTCAGCAACCAAAAGCAGTGTACGAAAAAAATCCATATCAACCACTACCTCCACCTGCTTATCCAGTGCTAGAGAACAAGTATGCTCACAGTTCTGGGTGGAATCCCTATGCGGAGCTTAAGCTATTTCCTCCTGTGTAAGTATTTTTTGGGCAGGGGTTTGTTTTAGGCTTAAATGACTTCTTTAGGCTTAATTTTTAAGTTTAGGCTTAATATTGAAATTTAGGCTTAATATTGAAATTTAGTCTTCATATTGAAATTTAGGCTTAATTTTGAGGTTTAGGCTTAATTTTGAAGTTAGGCTTAATATTGAAATTTAGGCCTAATTTTGCAATTTAGGCTTAATATTGAAGTTTAGGCTTAATTTTGAAATTTAGGCTTATATGGGTTTTTATATCTAATTAAGCAATTTTCTTCATGAAATTAGGCTTATATTTACTTTTAGGCTTAATTTTGTGGGATTTACTGTCAGTTTTTACTAACTGTTAACAATTTTAGTATGCCAGGGTATTCGACTTTGTCATTACATGGAGAACATCAAAATCATGGCAATTCTCCATCAGTATTTGTTGCCAGTCCCTACAATACCCTCAGGGCCATGTCGGCTAATCGGTAGGCTTTACTATATACTCTGCCCTACAGTATCTTACTCTATTCTCTTCTTATTTACTCTATCCTACTCTATTTTACTCTACTATAACATATCGATATGCCCTACCCAGTCCACCATAAAAAAATTTGTATCTCATGCTTTTTCAGATTCCCAGTATCAGCGGAGCCTCTCCAGAATCCGAACGTAGCCGGAATGCATTTCGAGAATGCCTCCACGATAAGTGGTAGTGTTGGCAGTCGGCGACAGTCGATGGCTTCGAATGCCCAACGAAGGGCTAAGTCCGTCGGCCAAATGCCAAAATCACGCGAATCTTCGGTCTCAAGACGTTTTCGAGAAATGTCACAAAACAATTGATCTCATATTTTGTTTTTTGAAATTTTTTAAAATTCAAAATTTCGAAATTTCAAAAATTTTAAATTTTAAAAAATTTAAAAATTTTGGTTTATAAAAATTTAAAAAAATTAAAGTTGCTAAAGCATGTAATAAAGAAATGACTAATTAAGCAAACATTTGGTCAGAATGGTCAACTTCCACTCAATTATTTGTTTTTATTTGTAGGGGTTGTAGTGTTTCACAATGATAATGTAAGGCTTATTAGTTAGATCAAAAAGTGTGTAGAAAATCAAGAATTTTAAAGGATTGCACATTGGAAATGAGGATTTTTATTTGATTTTGCTCTAGAAACAAAGATTTTTTTGAAATTTTTGGTCGAAAAATTGTTTTATGCCATTTCTTTTTATACCTAAAATATATATTAACATTTACATGCTTTAGAGCTTATATGTGGCAGATCTATTGCATGGTATAGTAATTTAGCTTGATTTTACAATGGATTCAACGAAAATTGGCATTAATATGACCGGAGTCAAGGTGGTCAATGTAAACATGGTTGATTTTGCCATTCCCAATGATATGACATTAATAGATCATTTGGGGAGTAGTAACTATGGTAATGTAATGTAAGTCTAGGGAGATTATGGTAATGTACTGTAGGTGTTGGGAGAGTATTGACGGTTTAAGCTTGGACAGGGTGAAGGAGGACAGGTTTTTTCATTTTAGGTAACAAATTTATTTAAAATGTTACAGTAAGACAAAAAAGAACGATGGTAGAAAATACGCAATCAAGAAGATGTACGAACCGTTTCGGAACGCTATAGAAGCGCGACGAGTATACCGTGAGCTACGATTGTTACGGCTCCTGAACCACGAAAATGTCATACGATTTGTCACCGCCTACACAGTGGATCCTGACATTGAGCACTTTAAAAATGTGTAAGGGCTAGAAATTTATATATACCCGGTCAAAAAGTTTATGGTATTTTTGTTTTTTGGTCGGAAAGTTTGTAGAATTTCATTTTTTAGACCAAAAGTTATTAGAATTTTTAAAAAATTTTAAATTTTGAAGCTTTTTCATGATAATATTATATTATAATAGATAGATAATGGATATAATAGTAAATCAACAACACTCTGCCATTTTAAGCTTCGTTGTCACGGAATACGCGGGTGTCAGTTTGAAATACGTGCTGGACAAGAGGAAATACAATTCCGTGCAGTTAATTAACGATGATCATATCAAATACATCATTTATCAGCTGTTAAGAGCTTTGAAGTATCTACATTCCGCGAATGTGATTCACCGTGACCTAAAACCGTCAAATTTGGCTATTACTGAGGAGTGCGATCTTACCGTAGTCGATTTTTGTGTCGCTAGGACATTGACTAACAATGATGCTGGGGTGGGTTAACTTGTTGTCAGTCCTACCTTTGTCTTTACTTGTACCCCTATCCTACCCTATTCTATTTTACCCTACCATACCCTACCGTATCCTACCCTAACCTATCCTACCGTATCCTACCCTATCCTACCCTAACCTATCCTACCCTACCCTACTCTACTCTACCCTACATTACCCTGCTCTACCACTACTCTTACACCTACCTCTACCTCTGTTTCATCCTACTGTATCCCTACACCCAGCCTAGCCGCAAATCTTTCTTAACTAGTCTCTTTACTACATCCTTGACCTAATTGTCAATACATTTTGCAGCTAACAGCCTACGTAATATCAAGGTGGTACCGTAGTCCAGAAGTCATCTACTGGAATCATGTCAACTACAATTTCAAGGCCGATGTTTGGTCAGTCGGCTGTATTATGGCCGAGCTTTTTACTGGTAATGTGGTTTTTGAGGGGTCGGAAGGTAAGTTACAGTACGAAAAATTTGCATGTCTTATCAATATTTTAAAATTAAAAAAAAATTTTTATCAAAAATACGACGCTATGTCATTTTAAAACCTACTACAATATCCATATTCATGCCACTTCAGCTATTGAACAATACCGCCTCATAGTCAACCTATGTGGCAGTCCCAATTCTCAGCTAATGGAGAAGATCGAAGCCGAAAACAACTCATCGATGCGAATGGTCGTCGAATCCCTCGGCGGAGGCTGTGTCCGCCAGGACTTTCGCCAGTACTTTGCCGGAATGCCTTCAGATGCTATCGACTTGTTGGACAAGATACTCGTACTAGACCCAGATAGTCGCATCTCGGTCGAAGAGGCCCTACAACATCCGTACATGAAGGAATACCACATGCCATCGGATGAACCGGTAGCACCGGAACCATTCGTACTGGATGATAAGGCGGATCAGGACGTGGAGTTTTGGAAAGGTAAAGAAATTCACTTTAAGAGAGGTTTAAGTAAGGCTACGGCAATGTAGGAAAAGGTAGAATCTAATTGGGACAAGGGGGATTAACTATAGGCTTAGCAGCAGGTAATTTCAGGCTTATTGCGCAAAGCTTAGGCTTATCAGCACACAATTTTAGGCTTATTACGCAAAGTTTAGGCATAGCAGCACACAATTTTAGGCTTATGATGCAAAGTTTAGGCATAGCAGCACATATTTTTGGACTTACCGGACAAGTTTAGGCTTATTACCCAGAGTTAAGACTTAGCAGCACACAATTTTAGGCTTAGCAGCACACAAATTTAGGTTTAGCAGCAGGTAATTTTAGGTTTATTACGCAAACTTTAGGCTTAGCAGCACACAATTTTAGGCTTATGATGCAAAGTTTAGGCTTAGCAGCACATAATTTAGGCTTAGCATCATTTAATTGTAGGCTTATTACGCAAACTTTAGGCTTAGCAGCACACAATTTTAGGCTTATGATGCAAAGTTTAGGCTTAGCAGCACATAATTTAGGCTTAGCATCATTTAATTGTAGGCTTATTACGCAAACTTTAGGCTTAGCAGCACACAATTTTAGGCTTATTACGCAAACTTTAATCTTAACAGCACAAAAAGGGGGAGGGAATAGTAGTCTAAAATTTTCTAGGACTTTGTTTTCTTTTGAGACTTAATTCGAACTCATTAAAAGCCTATAAAAAGTGCATTTTAGTGTTTTTATTTGTGCCAATTTCCCGCACAAATACCCTCCCCCCCCTCTTCCTCTAATTACACGGTTATAATAGTATTAGGTCGTCCTATTGTCACGATGTATGTGCTAAACATGCGATATGCCGATAATCTACGATTCTCGTTTTAGGCTGCGTCTGGAGCGAGCTGGTCGGGCTGGCGGGCCAGGCCAAGGAGCGCGATGAGGCGCGGGCCGAGTGAAGAGACGGAGAGAGCCGGCCTCCCCCCTCCGACTTCACGTGTACACATCTCTCGTTTGCCCTCCAGGCTTTTTGCCTGTTCCTGTTTTTTCTCCTTTCTTTCGCTTTTTGCGGCCGTTTTTTGCCACTTTGCGGCCAGAACACCGATCTCGTATTTTAGAATATGTTATTAGTGGGTTTGTGTAAATTTTGTTGGGGATGGGGGTGTGAGAATTCTTTGAAGGGGGAGATGGGGGGATGGAGGGAAGAGGGTCTTAAAGTTTATATGAAAAGAGAAAAAATTATGTAAATTTATTGAGTGGGGGGGGAGGTATATAAGCTTAATCTTTGTGTACAGGGCCGTGGGGGACGAGGGGGGTACCCGATTAAAAAATTTTGGAAAAAAGTTGAACGTGGTCCCCCCTGTGGATTTTTGAAAAAAAATTGCAAAAACGACCTCCAGAGCAAAAGTTCCCGCCCGGCCCTGTTTGTGTATTTTTAATTGCTTAGGATAGGGCGAGGTATTTAGGACTGAAAAAAGGGGGGGGGAGTTAAAAAATGTCTTTGGTAGGGTTGGACAAAAATTTTTTTAAAATTTTTTTACATGTAAACGGGACGGGCCTTCATTTTCAGGCTCGGCCCGACGTAAATTTGGGTTAGGCCCGGTCTGTTCTTCATATCTAATTCCCCCCCCCCTCTCCCCCCCCTCTCTGTTTTTTCTCTCTGCTTTTTGTTAATTACGGATTTTCATTTTTTAAGTTGTGTCAAATTTGATTTTATAAATTATTTTTATTTTTTTAGCTATTTATCAGCTGTATATTATCAACTTTTACCTATTTATACTTTTACATTGCTGTTTCTTGCTGTTTATAAAACATATATTATATTACTGTAGACAAATTTTTAAAAATTGACTTTAGCTAATCGAAATAAACTATTATGATAAATATTTGTATTTACCTTATTTTTACACTTACTTAATGGTAATATACCGTAATACTTTTTTTACATAGTTTTTATTATAAATATTTTTATTTTTTTACTTACTATAATATAAATTTGTGTGCAATGTTGTGACTTTTTACTTCTTTTAATAAAACCATGCTACTTTCTAATCAATTTTAAATTTAAGGATGTTCCAACAGCCTTCCCAGACCATCCCAACGCATGTTAAGGAAGGCTTTTACGCGGTGGAACTGAATAGGACGGTATGGATCATACCCGACTATTATCAGAAGCTAACGCCTGTTGGGAATGGTGCTCATGGTGCTGTTTGGTAGGTTTTTCAATAATAGGGGAGAAATGGCAAGAAATTTCTTTACAAAACAAAAATAACAAAAACTTTCTTTACAAAAGAAAAAATGGCAAGAACTTTCTTTACAAAAAACTTTCTTTACAAATTTTATTACAGTGCGGCCGAATGCTTGTTAACCGGTGAAAAAGTGGCCATAAAAAAGTTCACCAGGCCCTTCCAAAGCCCAATTCACGCCAAACGAGCGCACCGTGAGTTGAGACTATTACGTCTAATGAATCACGAAAACATAATTGACATGTACGATGTATTCACACCGGATCCAGAACCGAGTCAACTCAACGATGTTTATTTCGTTTCGGTGTTAATGGCCGCGGATTTGTCAAATATTTTGAAAATTCAGAGGTTAAGTGACGATCATATTCAGTTCTTGGTGTATCAGATACTGAGAGGGCTGAAGGTAAGAATTTTGGTTTTGTTTTTACTGTAGTTTTTCTTGTCCTACCTTACTTTACTATATCACACGATACTATACCCTACCCTACTCTACCTTAACTACCCTACCCTTCCATACCCTACCCTACCCTACCCTACCCTACTCCACCTTTCCATATCATACCATACTCTATCATACCTTACCCTACCCTACCTTGCCATACCATACCATACTCTACCATACTATATCCTATCATACCCTATCATATCATACCCTACCTTACCGTACCTTTCCCTATAACTACTGTACAAACATCTCTAAAACTCTTTACATTACAGTACATCCACTCAGCCGGAGTAATTCACCGTGACCTAAAGCCCTCAAACATTGCTGTCAACGAAGATTGTGAGCTAAAAATTCTCGATTTTGGCCTAGCCAGACACACCGAGCAAGAAATGACAGGTTATGTGGCTACAAGATGGTACAGAGCACCGGAAATCATGCTGAACTGGATGCATTACACACAAACAGTCGACATCTGGTCGGTCGGATGCATCATGGCTGAGCTGATAACTGGGAAGACGCTGTTTCCTGGAGCTGATCGTAGGTTTTCGAGGGCTGTTAGGCTTAGTTTTTAGTAGGGGGGAGGTGAGTAGGGATTTTTTTGGCTTTGTAGGGCTGGGCAGAATAAGGTAGGGTAGGGTCGTGTAGGATAATATAAAGTAGGGTACGGTAAAGTGTGGTATGTAAGGGCATTTAGTTTAATATAACAATGTAAAATACGATAATTGCTTCATTTCTTAAATTTTAGACATTGACCAACTAACCAGAATCATGAGTGTCTGCGGAACTCCATCCGAATACTTCCTTTCACGGATATCATCAGAAGAAGCCCGCAACTACATCCGCAACGTGCCACAAATGCAACGTAAAGACTTTAAAGTGTTCTTCGCCAACGCCACTCCTCACGCCATCGACTTCCTCGAGAAGACCTTGAATTTGGACCCAGACCTGAGGTGAGTCTTCATAGTCAAGTGGTTTTTTGCGGTGTCTTGCACGCCAAAGTATGTGGGTTCGAACCCGGTCGGTCCGATTTCTGTCAATTGGGGCTTTTCGGTGCCGCATTTGGTTCGTACTCGGACTAAAGCGTACCCACCTACAGTAAGAACAGTTCAGCATTGGGTTGGTAGTACTGGATTGTAAACTGATGGTACACTTTTGATTTTTTTGAGGAATGTGTTATGATGAATATTGTTTTGAAAGAAAAGTTTGTGTTTTTGAGCTGTTAAGGGTATGGTAGGCTACTGTAGGACGTCATAGAACACTGTAGGAGGGTATAAATTACTGTAGGTTTTGATAGTGTACTTTTTGTAGGGCTAGAGAATGATGTATTATATAAAAATAGGGCTCAAAGATGACCTATTGACTTATAATCAGAGCTATAGTTTCATAAACACCCTCTATGATGCGTGAGAATTAGTATATAACCGTTAATTATAGGCTGTATAGAGTATATAATGTAGTAAACGTCAACTATAGTCGAAAATAAATTATATATTACACTAAAGACGCGAAACAGAAAGTTATGACAAAAGATCTTCATATATTAGGTTGTTCACTTAATTCTGCGCCCTCTCTCAAAACAACTTTGTGGGGTAAGGGAGCGCAAAATTATGTGAACAACCTAATAGCATATAGAAATTCATATAGCAATAGTATGATACTATACTAACATAGATATTGTTGTAGACCAAACGCCGAGCAAGCCATGGAGCACCCCTATTTCCGCCAATTCCACGACCCCAACGATGAGCCGGTAGCCGAACAGATCTACTTCGAAAACGACGGTGATTACAGTATCGAACAATGGCGGGATATGGTATGGAAGGAGATTTTCGAATTCCAAACCACTAGGGGGGGCACAACGCCAGAACATGGCGAAGGCGTGGTACGAACATAGACATATTGCGGCTAGCCAAATGCCTCCACAGCTTCCGACTGCTCTGACGAGATGATTTTAATTTGAGTTTTATGTTAGCTTTAGGCTAGTTTTTTTTAATTTTCAAAATTTTTTAAAATTAGCTTTAGGTTTATTTTTTTGAAATTTTAAGTACGGTAGGCTTAAGTTTACTGTAGGTTTTTAGTTCGATAGACTTAACTTTACTGTAGGTTATGAAGTACAGTAAGCTGATGTTCACTGTAGGTTATAAATTACAGTAAGCTTAAGTTTCCTGTAGGTTGTAAAGTACAGTAAGCTTAAGTGTCCTGTAGCTTTTAAAATACAGTAAGCTTAAATTTACTGTAAGTAATGATATGTTATATGCTTCTGGTCTTACTGTAGCTATGAATGCATTACTGTATATCTTATTATAACTGAATATATTTTTTAGTCTTACTGTAGTTTTTTGTAATGTAGCTGATTATATATAATATTAGGTGCCGACATAAAGAACCCGCCATTTTTACAGGAAATTACAGGCAAAGTATGGCGGGTTCTTTATGTCGGCACCCAATATATCAGGTTGTTCAAATAATTCTGTGCTCCTCACAAACAAAGGTTTTGGAATAAGAGGGCACAGTATTATTTGAACAACCTAATTTGTCTACTACTCCTGTACTACATTATATCTCCTGTCATACTGTATTTTAATCGAGTACTGTAAGTCAACGTTTTCTTTAACAAACTTGCATTTCAGGGCTTTCAGCCAAGCTTCGTCTAAAAATAGTGTCATGATTAGTTGTTTTATAAATATTACTAACTATTAAAATTGTCATTTCTCAATAACGTGAGTACTAATTTATACTGTAAATAGCTAAATTAACCAGAATCAATATCTATTCTATTCTCTCGGTGATCTGCTTCACTTTCGACCTTATTGTAGTCAATCTACTGCGATATCTTAACTATAGATTTAAAATTTTTTAAAATTTTTGTTTAGAAATTTTATTGGCAAGAACTTTCTGTTACAACCGTATTTTTAATAAAATATTTTGGCTTTATCTTTTGATGATTTTGCATTGGAAATGAGGATTTTTTAAAAATTTTTTAGACAAATTTTATTAATTTTTGTCATGATAACGTATTTTTTTTACTTTTTCAGGACCACATATTTTTTGTAAATTTGTCATTATGACATATTTTCTGTATACATTGTCATGATGACGAATTTTTTGTACGTTTTTATGATGACATTTTTTGTGCATTGTATTGTCATAATGACATATTTATTGTAAATTGTCAAGATGACATATTTTCTGTACCTTGTCATCATGATGATATATTTCCAATACATTGTCATCATGATGACATATTTTCTGTAGTTTGTTATAATTTCAAAATTAAATTAAATTTGAAAAAAATTTAATATTCTTTTAGCCTCAAGGGCATTCGAACTTGACTGCGAAACGGGTTTTTGTTCAAAAAACAATGATACCTTATTATAGTGCACGCATTGTCTACCACGGCGTATTGTTCGTATCTCGGGGGCAGGGTTCGAATTCTCGAAATTTTTGTAATTAAAATGCAAAAGAAATGATTTTAGGTCTAATGGTACTAATGGAACTACAAGTTGCATTGTCTTACTTAAATTTGTCTAGGCTACTGTGCGTAAACTTGAGTAATAAGCCTAGAAATGTGTTTTAAACCTAAAATTGTGTGTTAATTCTAAAATGTGGGATTCTAAGCCTAAAATTACGTAATAAGCCTAAATTAGTGTGATAAGCCTAAAATTGTGAGCTAACTCTAAAGTTTTTTCATGCTAAGCCTAAACTTACGTAATAAGCCTAAATTAGGGTGTTAAGCCTAAAATTGTGCGTTAAGCCTAGAATTTCCTGTTTAAGCTTAAATTTAGTTAATAGCCTTAAATTAGTGTGCTAAACCTAAAACTGTTCGCTAAGTCTAAAATCGTGTGCTAAGCCTAAAACTCGGTGCTGATAAAGTAAACTTAGCCTAAATTATTGGCCTAGGCTTAAAATTCTTTTTCGCTAAACCTAAACCTGCGTATGAGGCCTAAAACAGTATATAAATCAACCCCCGTCAGTTAATGTTATATTGTTTTATTGTAAAATGTAATCAAACTCTGCTGTGAAACGAATCAAGAGTGGTGCCATTAGTTCTCGGACCGCTTCTTCATCAAACACTGGATGGGCGAGTAGAAGCAGGGCCGCATCCGCTTCATCTGATGCGTTTCCCCCGCGAACTGGCGCAGCGATCGGCGCGGAACCTGGGTTTCGATGAAGGTTTTCGCGACGGGACCCACCATTACTGGCTCCTCGTCCAGGGCCACCGGTACCGACGGGAGGAAGGGTACCAGTTGAGGTAATGGGGCGGATGGGCGGAGGATCGACCGGTCGGACATGTAACTGAAATGGGCGTGGGTTATTTAGGTGTGGTGGGCAGGTTAGAGTGGGAGAAGGGGAGAGGTTTATTGGGAATACTGTAACTGTTATGGGTTACTGTAGTGAAACAAAATTACTGTAGAAAACATATTTTTTCAAAATAGTACTGTAATGAAAAACACTGCAAAAAATGATAATTTACCTAAAATTTTTTTAAGAAAAGTTACAGTAGCCAAAATTATTACGGTATCAAAAAATCTACCGCAAGACCGAATGATGTCATAGTACACGAATTTGCAGTACTATCAATCTGTCTTTAACTTCAATCCATTGTCCGTAAGGTCATTCAATTTTCATGAACATAATGAATTACCGCGCAGTAAAACCCATATACGAACATGTTATTTGTTTGTTATTACAATTGACAGCTGAGTAATGACCGTAATATTTTGGGCAAAACAATGGATTTTGTGGTGATCAGTGGACATAAGAAACCCTACTGTGAGTCTCAATTCAGGTCTGCTTTACTACAATAATTTATGATGACATATCGTATCTTCTATAGCAGCTACTGTATAACTGACAGTAGTAAGCTAAAATTTTACAAGATGACTTGTACAGCATTGAAAATATCATTTTAACAAAAAATTTACTGAGTATTCAGTTTACAACATACTACAGTGACCTATCGTATCTCAATGATGTAATCTCTGTAACTACCGTATACCATAACATGAAAATCCAAAATTTTACTACAGTAACAAAAACAGCTTACTAAATAAAATGCCTCCAAAATTTTGTCAAAAATTACATTACATCATACCAAAATGGCACATCGTATCTTACCGTTGGAAGGATGGCGGAAGCGCGTAGAACGCGTTTACTGTACCGCACACTGTAGCCGCTACAACACATAAAACCAACACTGGTTGCATTTTGCCTCGTCTGAGCCGATTCTAAGCTATCGTCGACTTCTGATGCCCGTATGACCCGAAAAAGAGGGCGGAGTCCGCTTCTGAATGCTCATGGATTCTGAAGCTTTTTGTGAAAATTTAATTTTTTAAAAGTTTGGCCAATGATTTTAAGGTTTGCTAATAATATTAGGGGTTATAAGAGCAAGATGCATGAAATTTAAAAGTGGTACTACTGGTACTTTTTTTGGTACAGCTACTTTTTTAAAGGAATACAGGTTTATTGTGGTAACTTTTGAAGTTTTTGAGCTTTTTAATACTGGACTAAGGACCAGGGGCAACGTGGAACTGAAACAAGAGGAGGGGGAGGGGTACCCCAAGTTCAACTTTTTTCAACATTAAAAAAAAATTTTTTTAAGTTGAACGTGGTCCCCCCTGCGGATTTTTTCGACCACCGCTTCAGACCAAAAGTGCTCGCCCTGACAGCACTAGTGCCATTTGATTAATAGCACTACTTTATTTTACGCCATTCAACTAAGCATAGGCTGAAAAAGACAATTTTGAATTTTGTATTAACCTTGTAGTTTTTAAATTATTAACTGCCGACATAAAAAACCCGCCATTTTTTACAGGAAATTACAGGCAAAGTATGGCGAGTTCTTTATGTCGTAAACTAATATTTACTGTATTTTTTAAAATAATTTTTGGCCTAAATAAGCTTTTTATTAAGTAAAACTTAAAAACTTAAAATTTTTTCAGTTGACTAGGTTTGAACGGTTCAAAATGAAAAAAAAACCGGAAAAAATAAAAAAAAAGTCTATTCAACTTCAAAAAAACAAAAAAATTGTTTTAACTCACCCCTCTCTAGCTCAAGCCCCAACCCTAGCACTAGCCTTACTCTAGTCTCTACTCTAGTCTTTAACCTTATCTTACCTTTAAAATATTAAGCGCCGACATAAATAACCCGCCATACTTTTCATGTAATTCCCTGTAAAAAATGGCGGGTTCTTTATGTCGGAACCTAATAGTAAAAAATGGTTTATTTTAGTTCCAGAACCACTTAGAGTCAGCTGAACATTAAACGTCCCCTGGGGCTAAAATGAACGGTTTGAATTTCAAAATTTAAGATTTTTTGCACTTACAACAGGAAGTCATATGTTATGTATGATTAAGGAAAGTCTTGAAGGGTCGGCCAGTTAAATTTTGTCGAGTTTTATGTCACAAAATGACATTTTTCTTCCGAAAACCTCGGAAATCACGTACAAAATCGTTTGTTTTTTCGTTTTTCTCTTTCCTAAATCCTGATTTGATGCAATTTCACAGGCTCAAACCCGTAATTCCCTTAAAGGAGTGTAAAAAACAGTGTGGAACATTCGTCGAAAGATTAACATCATTTCCCGCAATCGAATCGAATTTAGCACGAACCGGCCGAAATTATGTCCTCCGGGCATTGACTTATTTTTGATTCGTTCTACATGACATCAGGTCAAAAATTGATGGCACGATGAGTGATAAAATGATAATTTGAAATATTTAAAGTGGGTAAACTAGATATTAAATTCGGGGGGAGGGGGGGGAGGGGGGAAGGGAGCGGGGAGTTGAGTCGATTTTCGAACACTTTAGGTCCCTGCTCCTTAAATTTTCCTCAAATACGATCCGGTACCCTACTACCTACTCTAGACATGCCCTGTGGTCAGGCTTGGACACAGGACAGGGCATAGGGCATGGTTTGAAATTTTTTTACAGGGCAGGGCATAGCTCGGAACAGGGCAGGGCATGCCTTATGCCCTGCATTACCCTGAAAATGCCCTGTTTGTGTCATGGTAAGTTTTGGCGGACGCCTCCGCCGAGCGGTCGATAATCGGCGGACGCCATAAATTGGTTAGTTTAGCAGCTAGAAACATGTAGTTCAAGTCAGAAGTTATTATATGTCATACGCTACAAGTAAGAGCATAGTTTTAAGATTTTAAAAGTAGTATTGTTATCGACCGGTTGACAATTTTTAGTATATTTTAATTGCAAATTTTATATATATTCTTATCGCTCTGTTGTTCTAAATTGTATAGAAATTTGCATTAGATACAATTCTAAACCAAAAACTTTGTTCTTTGTAAAAATTAAACATTTGTAAATTATCGACCGGTCGATAAAAATATTGTTTTCAAAAACATAAATTTCTGGCTTAATGTGTAGGTTATGACAGATAACAACTTCTGCACTTAACTACACTTTTCTAGCTGCTAAACTAACGAAGTTATGAAGTCTGCCGATTATCGACCACTCGGCGGAGGCGTCCGCCAAAATATACCCAAATGCCCTGTAAATACCCTGTAAATGCCCTGCAGGGCAAGGGCAGGGCAGGGCAGGGCAGGGCATAAAACCCCAATGCCCTGTACAGGGCAGGGCACAGGGCAGGGCATGGAAATTTGCCAATACCCTGCCCTGTGTCCAAGCCTGCCTGTGGTCCATGTCTAGAGTAGAGCAGAGTAGGGTAGGGTAGGGTACGATTTTATATATAATGCTTTCATAGCTTACTAACTACTATTGACTATACTTTTACTATGCGTTACTTTATCATTCGGCCGAATGACGAAAATTTTTTTAAAAAAAACCCAGAGGAAAAGACGCAAAATTTCATGAAATGTTTCACTTTGATTAATCTTTCCATTCAAATGTCAATAAATAACAAAACAGAATTCTTGGGGTTTTTCAGACGAAAAAACGGCCTCTGGGCTTCATTTTATTCGGTGCCGACAGAAAGAACCCGCCATACTTTTTCTGTAATTTTTTGTAAAAAATGGCGGGTTCTTCATGTTGGCACCTAATATAGTACAAAAGAAACAAAACTTTCTTAAAAACTTTAAAATACTAAAATGACCGATCAATAAAAGTTTTAACATAATAATTTAAAAAGCAAGCCTAATCTACCACTTTTAATTCAAAAAAACATAATTTTTCACTAAAAATTTTAAATTTTTAACTCAAAAGAGGTAAATTATACCATTTCATCAACCACTAGTACCACTTTCAAACAGCAAAAAGGTAAAAAAAGTAAATGCAAAAATTTAAAAAACTAAAAAGTCCTCCAGATGGTAGTGCATGTTGAATAATCACCAACAATCATAGATCTTGGTTGTTGATATCATCATCGGACACGAACCCCCGACCGTCCGCGGCCGAGTCAAGCGCACTAACCACTTGGCTATGCAGTCACTTTCGAAAAGAGGCCTTGGAAAGGGTTAGAAAACACAAGAGCGCTTTTGCGGCATGGTTTTTGACTGTTCCTAGCCGTAATTTTGAAAGATTTAGTCACACTTTAAGCAGTTTAATAGTTTTTAATTAATTTTTTATTGTTTTTATGTTTTTTCTGGCTTTTAATAAATTTTTTGGCAAATATTCCTCCAAACTTCTATAAACCCATACCAGACAAACGGAGAGTAAACCCATATAAACCAGCCACCCCCTTTATAAACAAGATTTATTATTAATGAAAAGATACAGGGTTAAGAGAATAAAACAAACAGTTAATAACCTCACGTTGAAAACAGTTCCGCCTTCTGATAACGATTTTGGAGAAAAAAAACGGCTGGATGAGTTTTGGGACCCGCTGAAAGTTTGAATAAATCAAAGTGATTTCGAAAAGTAACGAGGCGAGTTTGACACAATATTAAGGTAGGTTGGTCGTAATGAATATGTCATTGTTTTTTGACATTTTGGCAAAAAATATGACCTTTTGACAAAAATATGACATGACGAAACTTTTTGTCCTTAAAGTACGACCAAATACAGGCTAAAAAATGCCATAAAAGGTTTGACAAATTTGGCAGACAATATGCAAACTTGATAGAAAAAAAGGTTAGAAACGATCAAAAAGGCACAATTTGAGCGGTGTGTAGCTATTGGACGGTGAGAATACAATAAAACAACTAATTTAGATGTGATAGACACACGAATATACAGTATACATAAACATATAAGACAATATCCGGAATATGGTGACCATAGTTAATACTAACATCATATTAACTAACGATAAAATAGAATATAAAGACACGTCTATAATAGTACCATACATAATTTAAATGGTACTACAAATATTTAAAATAGTACCACCATAATTCGACATAGTACCATAAATACTACGAAGAGTAGCTTCATCTACAATAAAGCACAAGTCTTCTTCTTCTTGACCGGTGGAGGACAGAGTACGGCTCGTATGGCTTCGTCAAATACCTTCTTCAATCCCACTTGTGTTAGAGCTGAGCATTCCAAGTACTTCACGGCTTTTATGTCTTTTGCCATCTGCATACCTTGATTGTACGTGATTGGGGCCAATCGTCGTTCGTGTAGCTTTTCGATCGTCTTTGGATCATCTCGAAGATCTAGTTTTGTGCCTAAAACATTGTTTTAGATTAAAATAGGCCTGAAATCATGAAAAAAATCATCTATAACATCGTATTTAAAAAGAATCTTTCTTTGAGTTCTACAAACATGTCTTTTTAACTTTAATTCACACAATATTGTCATGTGAACCTTGACCAATCCAATATAAGCCTAAAATCCAAAAAAAACTCAAATAACTTACCGACTAACAAAATCGGAGCTCTTGGGCAATGATGACTAACTTCGTGATACCATTTTGCTCTAATATTCTCAAATGAAGCTGGATTCACCAAGGAAAAGCACAATAAGAACACGTCCGTCTGTGGGTACGACAGCGGCCGCAGACGATCATAGTCCTCTTGACCTGCCGTATCCCATAACCCGAGGTTTATCGGCCGCCCGTCTACCATAACATTGGCCGAGTAGTTGTCGAAGACGGTGGGAATGTATTCGCCGGGGAATGCGTTCGTCGTGTATGATATTAGGAGGCATGTTTTACCCACCGCACCGTCACCCACCACCACGCATTTGATCGCCTGCATTTGGGTCTAAAACACGATGAATATTATGTTACAGTCAGGATATAGTTTTTAAAAAACTTTTGAACCATCCTCATGAAAAATCTCGTAAATTAATGAAACCCAAGGAGGCTGTAAACTGTGTACAAGCTTAATTACCCGCGCCCTTCGTCTCCGCGAAATCGCCCATTAAAAACCAATTCCCAGCAATTTTAATTCATTTCCTTCGTCTCTAATCTCGACCAAATTATACATAATATTCAAAGATGGTTCACATGTCAAAAAGTGATAATGCCACAAAATAAAAGACGACATCACCAACAATTATACTATCAAAAATGATCAAATATCTCCACCGTTGATAACGGTTCTAAGCCTTCAACGTCAATATTACCCATGTTTCAATAATCTTTATTCAATAAAAGTAAATCACCAGTAAAATATTGGGCAATGTGCCTAATAGTAAGAGAGCGACACACACGACAAGAGACATAAACAAATACAGCAATAGGATATTGTAGTACGATCAAAGCGAAACTTTTCAATAAAAAAAGACTTTTTTGAACATCCGTTATTTAAAAAAGACCAGAAGTGACCATTCAAGTATGTATAAGACAATATATTAAGACGTATATACTATTCTAAGATTAGTTAAGCCATAAAAAAGCTTTAAAAACGCCAATTTACTATGACAATATAAACACATTAATCGTTTTTACTACAATATATCATATCTTTACTATGATATATGATTTTTACCTACAGCAGACAATAGTATACCTCAATATACCATCTACCAGCTATAGCATACAATAATATACCCTTTAGACCGGCAATCCAGCCGCTTGACGTGCTTTATGTAGCGTAGCACGCTTCTTGAACTGTTTCCGAGACAATTGTCGTACACATTTTAGGTAGACGGGCAGAGTAATTGTACCCTTCTTTAAAGCTTGTCCTAACGCATAGATTGTATCATCGATAGCACAATCCTCAACATAACACTGCAGAATCTGTTTGTGTAGAGGTGTTGCGGCATCTATAGCCTCATCTACCGTATCTTCCACACTTTTGTTTGATCCTGAAGCTCGAACGGATTCTAATGCCTTTGTTAGTTCCTGTTTTTTGTCCTAAAAATGACATTTTAAGTTATTTTTAAATTAAAATAAACTTGTATATCAAAATTAAAGTTTGCCTTTACATAATATCAAAATTACTTAAATAAAGAAAGTTCTTGCCGTTTTTATTTACCTCATAAATCGCCTTGATATCTTTCAATCTCCTCTGTTCCTTTTCCATTTGATCAAGCATGTCCCTGAGTTTTTGATTGCCATTCTTCAACTCTTGTGTATTCACTTCGATCGACTGAAGCTCAGCGTACGGTGTTCCTACAACCAAAACGTTAATTTTCTAACATTCATATTATCAATAATCCATTAAATAACTTACTGAGTAGAAACGGCCACATATTGGCTATTTACGTCGTAAATGTTACCTAAACTTCAAAAACAAAATTATCTACCAAAATCCTTACCCATCATCTCCTTCAGCCTCTCCTTAAGTTTGGTCTCCACGGCTGAAGTCAAACTATCTCTAATATGATTCGGTTGAATCGTATTGTAGAAGTTGTTGCTATTCTGAGAAGCCAACGACTGACTCGATCCGCTTTGATGAATATCCGGCACAAACGGCTGATATGCCGGCTGATAAGCTTGCGGATATGGCGGAGTTGAAGTCGGATAACCTGGATTGGAACTTGGATAGCCTGGACTAGAAAGACCAATCTGTGGGTAAGGTGTGGGTTGAGGCATTTGTACTGGAGACTGTGTGGGATACGGTGGAATTGCGGCCGGCTGAGGTAGAGGAGCTGGTTGACTGCCTTTAGCATAAACTGGGCATTTTTCTTGAAACGCTATTATCATTACCTAAAACAATATTTATCATTATTACCACAAAAAGTTTTTGTTGAAAAACATAGTGACCTAACCCCACACACATTTTCTAACTTCTAGCTACCAATTCCAAACAGACATAACAAAAACAGTAGAAATGTCTACGAACAGCTAATGTATAACAAAGTAAAAAGCAAATTCCTCAAAGCCTTAGCTTCTAAACCCCAAATTAACTTACCTGAATCAAACCAACAGTATCATAATTCGGATATCTCCATTCGGTAAGATACGGCAGGTAAACGCGACCTTCATTGTCCACGTATTTGCTAGCCTTAATCATCATGGTCTCAGTCGGCCTAACGTAACAATATGGGCCGGCATACGGATGATTGTCCAAGAAAAACATCGCAATAGGAATGTGATAGGTATTACTCTAAAAGCATAACGAAAAAGTTTAAAACTTTACCGGATTTTGTAAGAAATTCCATAATTTTCTATGTTACACATGAAACAGTTCATATTTTTCAATTCGTATTCTTTTACCTTGTAACTTATAGGTATAGTGCCGTCTAAAGAAAATACTGTCCTTTCAATACCATCAGGAAACTTGTGAGATGCTTTCCGAGGGTACAAATCCTTGAAGTTTTGACAAACTTTTGTCAGATCTGATACTGCTCGATCGGAGAACTTGAAACGAACAGTCTTGGCTACGTTTTTAATTTCCCGTTCGTTCGCCATTCCTACCCTAAAATATTTTATAAAAACGTATATTTTTAAGAAATTTCATAAGAATTAGACGAAAATTCCCGCACAACAACCGAAATAAGACATCAACATCAGATAAAGTTACATCCATATAATTTTCAACTTTTCAAACCAAATTTTCAAAAGAATCAGATGTTACTTATCAAAGAGAAAAACTCTTATAAGCGCCTAATCATATTGTTCTTCAACCCAAAAACGACAAAACAAAGGTCAAACAGAGCTGATTCATCTTGGTTCGCGTCAATTTCATAAAAGAAAAACTCGACTTTGGCATTGCCATTGAATCGGCCGTTTTTGAGCAAATACCTAAAACAATATATCCAAAAATATTTTTATAAAAACCAGATCTTTTTTATAAAACACGAACACCTTTAGGTGCTATTTGACACTTGAAGAAGATGCTTGCCACCAAAAAAATGATCAAATGATTTTGTGACATTGCGTCCCACAAAGTATAGGTTTTCGGTGACACTTCGTTGATTCATCATTAGCGAGTGCTGATAATTGGCTAATGACTCATGGAGTTGGGTTTTGAAAGAATTTAAGTAATTTTTTAATTAAAAAACAACAAGAAGTGGCAATTAAATCAATTAATATTGGCTTAGCGTGACAAACCTATTAAAGTTGGAAATAATATTTTCAATGTCGTCAATAAATGTTACAGTAACTTTTATTTAAATTCTTAAAGTTTGAAACACTTCTCATTCTATTTTTAAAATTTCATAAATTTTTAAAATATTTATTTTGTTTCCATCTTCTCTATAATGTTGTGCGACATAAATATTTTAATATTCTAATCCAGTTAGACGTAAACAGCACGTCATGAAGCAATTAAGGCATCGTGCGACTTGATTAAGTCTTGTTTATTGCTGTGGGCTGTATTTTTGTTTTAATGCGGCTTTGTTTTGCAGTAATGACCTTGTAAATAATCTTGTTCATGATATATGTCATGTATAATATTTTGATGTGTCTGGCTAGATTATTGATGCAAAATTTTAGAAGATTGAATTATTTTGTAGCTAGAGAAGACTTTACGACTTCAAAATGTTTTGGTTGCATATTTTTTATTAGATTTTGAAGTGAGATATGGCGTTTAAATCATCATGATATCGTGCATGTTCTTGGTTTTTATAGGATTTGTTCTATGAAACTCGACATCACACCCTTTCTATAACATATCCCTCTGAATGCTATTGCTCATAGCTTCAAAAAAGCATTTCACATGTGAAAAAAACATTTGTATGTTTTAGTTTCCTCGCAGATTTCCTGGCTGGGGTTGAATTTCGAAGCCCATTTATTCATCATGGATGTAACCAATTCCGAAAACAATAGGAAAGACGAGGGGGACAGAAGCGGGCAGAGTAGAGCGCATGGACTCTACTCTCGGCCCTACTCTCGACTCTCTGGAGAAAAGAATTAGAGGATTTCATGCCACTGGGGGTTGCGGGAAAAAAGGGGGGGTGGGGATGAGGATCATGAAGGAAGCTCGGGGGTGAAGAAAAGAAATTACGAAATGGAGAGAGAGAGGGGGGGGGGGTTAGTAATGAAAATCAGCAGTATAGACTTATTAGGCTTAAGCTCGCCAAATGTGAGCCTTCAAAGGCAAAAGCTCATAAGCAAGTCTTTAATAAGCGTACTAAACCTAAGCCTATTGACTCTCAGTTCCTTAAGCCTAATTCTACTAAATTTAAACCCCCAATGCCTAATCCTACAAAACCGTGCCTACTGATCCTCCTTAGCCTCAAACGACTAAAAGAAGTCAAGAAATTAGCTTATAAACCCCCAAAACTTAATGTCCATTCAAAAAAGCCGTAGCGTAGAAAAAGAGACGAAGAGGGGCAAAGTCGGCCTAAGGGGACGTACTCCAAAACGGGGAAATAGAAACAGAGTGCGCAATGCGCCGCAGGCAAAGAAAGAATCGTATTAGAGGGTCGAGGCCATTTGGCAAAAGATCTCGACGTTTTAGGTCATTTTTCAATGGAAAAAAGGAGCGAAATCCCTCCGAATGACCACCTGGAGTTCGGATTTAAAATTTCTAATAAGTATTTAGAATAGGGGCAGGGGTGCTTTTCTAAATTGCGGTAAAATATCTTATTTAAAAGGCTTTACTTATAAAAAAAAGTTTTTACAAAAATTTAAAATCATGTTTAAACACAAAAAAGGATGACTTTTCATTTTTAAAGGTACAAATATTTCATACTAAACATATCAAAAAAAGCTTGCGTTATTTTCATTTTTTCTGTACGTGATTACGTTTTATCTGCCATATATTATATGTATAGATATAGCCGTATTTGCTATTGTACGCGCCATTTATTACTTTCCTAAGCCTAAGCCTAAGCCTAAGCCTAAGCCTAAGCCCAAGCCTAAGCCTAAACCTAAGCCTAAGCCTAAGCCTAAGCCAAGGCCTAAGCCTAAGCCTAACCCTAAGCCTAACCCTAAGCCTAAGCCTAAGCCTAAGCCTAAGCCTAAGCCTAAGCCTAAGCCTAAGCCTAAGCCTAAGCCTAAGCCTAAGCCTAAGCCTAATCCTAAGCCTAAGCCTAAGCCTAATCGTGGCAGAAAAACAATGATACCTCGCGGTAATTTCGAATCATATCCCAGCACTCGCAGTAATTTGTTGGGTCGTTTTACACCGAGGAAAATATTGTATAAAATTATGAAAATTACATAAGAAAACGTTGCGTAATAACATTTCTGACAATTTCTCTAAAGCTATTTAATTATATCATCAATATTAGGTAACGCCGCAAATATTTTTTGCAATAACATATTGTTATGGCTTTTGCGTGGTAATACTTCAAACACATGCTCTTTGTAATTGTACTTCTAGTAGGTTTACTAGGCTTAGCTTAGTAGGCTCAGGCTTACTAGGTTTAGGCTTAGCAGGCTTAGGCTTAGTAGGCTTAGGCTTAGTAGGCATAGGCTCATTAGGCTTAGGAACAGTAGGCTTAGGATTAGTAGGTTTAAACTTAGTGGGCTTAGGCTTAGTAGGCTTAGGCTTAGTAGGCTTAGGCTTAGTAGACTTAGGCTTAGTAGGCTTAGGCTTAGTAAGCTTAGGCTTAGTAGGCTTAGGCTTAGTAGGCTTAGGCTTAGTAGGCTTAGGCTTAGTAGGCTTAGGCTTAGTAGGCTTAGGCTTAGTAGGCTTAGGCTTAGTAGGCTTAGGCTTAGTAGGCATAGGCTTAGTAGGCTTAGACTTAGTAGACTACGGTCTAGTAGGCTTAGGCTTAGTAGGCTTAGACTTAGTAGACTACGGTTTAGTAGGCTTAGACTTAGTAGCTTAGTTATAACAAGTTTAGCCTTCGATAACTTATGCTTCTTGATTCTGATTGCTTTTTCACTGCCTTTTTCCCGACTGCCAAACCCCAAGCTTCGAGTAGTTAGTAACACTTTTGCTCAATAGTTGTAAAAACAATTTAAAAAACAATTTTCCGGTTTCTGAAAAGATTTCCGGTCATTTTGCAAAAACTTTTTGAATTGTTTTTGTTTGTGACTTACTAATGTTCGATTTAATATTTGCGCAAAGGCTGAGAACCTACCTCAATTTCTTTGTTCTCTTCTCAATTTTGCTTTTTTGAAAATTCGATTTTGAATGTGTTAATCTTGAACAAACTTTTCACAAGGTTAACATTTTTTCAAAAATTTTTTTTGAAATTTTATTTTTTTTTGGGTTTTGCATGACAAACATAAGGATATTGTGATTGATTTTGCTTTGGAAATAATGATTTTTTAATATTTTTTTTGCTGAATATGAAAATTTTTTTAATTTTTGATTAAAAATCACTTTTTATTAGATGCCGACATAAAGAACCCGCCATTTTTTTCAAGAAATTACAGGAAAAGCATGGCGGGTTCTTTATGTCGGCACCTATATTAAGATGTTTCATTTTAATTTTTAAAAAAATAATGATTTACTCAATTTTTTAAATTAAAATAAGTTTTTTAAATTTTTTTTAATTTCGCACTTTTTTAAATCAAGCTTTTTGTGTTTTTGCAACAAAATTAGCCTAAATCCCCGCATTTCCTCTTACGAACACCTTTCACGTTACTTTGGCGCACTACAAAAACAGAAAAAGCGGGAATAATTACTCGGTTCGAACCTTGAATCTTCAATAATAGAGTCCGACTGACCTCACTGACCATGAACGCTTTCGAAATGTAGGGAATAATGTGTTGGTCGCCCTCGATTGCGAGTTGTTTGCCCGCAGGGGACGTGAAAATCGAGCCGTTCAACCCCACCGAGTCGTTTGTCGCGGCTGCGGAAATTGTTATTTTTGGCGGGGGCAACAATAGCGTTTTTTGATGGGATACGATTTTTGAGTTATGCGGGTTTATCAAAACATATTGGGTTAAGTTGGTCATGTTTATGTAAACAATTTTTATGCAAAATTAAAATTTTGCAATATTAGTTTGTTCGGAAACAAATTCTCATATCCCTACTAAACCTAAAGCTACTAAGCCTAAGCCTACTAAGCCTAAGCCTACTAAGCCTACTAAGCCTACTAAGCCTACTAAGCCTAAGCCTAAACCTAAGCCTAAGCCTAAGCCTAAGCCTAAGCCTAAGCCTAAGCCTAAGCCAAGGCCTAAGCCTAAGCCTAACCCTAAGCCTAACCCTAAGCCTAAGCCTAAGCCTAATCCTAAGCCTAAGCCTACTTAAGCACGCTAAGCCTAAGTCTACTAAGTTTAAATTTAATAAGCCTAAATCTATGAAGTGTTAATCCACTAAGCCTAAGCTTAATAAACCTAAGCCTAAGAATGAGTCTAAGTAAAAACTATATTTAAACCTAATTTTTTAACAATTTTTATAAAACATCGCCGCCATTTGCCCTTTTCCATGGTTTTTCCGACAGCTGTGAGAATTATTATATATTGAGATCCTCATGAGCCAGGAGAACCGGTCTTCGAAAACCTTCGATACTTTTTGAATCTTTTTTTAATTAATCGCTTAATTCGTTCGGTGAGGCGTTAGCTAATTCCTAATTTGAAAATTCGATTTTCAGCGATGACTCAAGGTTCATTGGGCTTCTAATAGGCAGATTACGTTTCGGTGCAAGGTAAGGGTTGTTGTGGTAAGCCTAAAACATTTTTTTATTAGAAATGATTTTTAAGCCTAAAAGTTGTTTTGAAGTTAAAATATTTTTTTAAGTCATAAGTTTACTATTCAGCCTATTTTTTGTTGAAAAAAACTTTAGAATAAGGCTATTTTTAAGCCTAACACTAAATTTTAAGCCTAAACTCATTATTAAAAACTTTCAGATAACTTAACATCATATTTTCTACTTAATCACTATCTACTTCAATATACACTTGCTTACTTACACCATCATCACTATCTTATAACGCTTTTTCACCTAAGACACCCTCCACCAGTACCAAAGATACTATAAATGGTATAGCACTGTACACCGCCATTATACCACCATGTTTCCGTGGCTACCCTTTCTTTCAATCCCTGATGTCAAGTCGAAAAAGCGACGACGGCTAAGATCACGACACAACTCTCTAACATCAGTTTGGCTTAATACCAACTCAGATGTACGTGTAGAATACCTACTACATGTTCATGCTGCCAGTGCTTCCGTAACCGCAGCTTCTAGTGCTTTTAATGTTAATGATCTCGACGATGACATCAAAATTCGTGTAGAAAATGCTTTTGGAAGAGCTGAGGGTTTAGAAAATCGACCGGATGAGAAAGATGACCAGAGGGAAAATGGGCAAAATAAAGATTCTGAAGAGTTGAAGGCTTCAGAAGACCGGTTGGCAAGAGAAAGTGGGCATAATTTAGTCGAAAATGAACCAGAAAGTGAAATAGAACGTCCAGAAAGATCTGATTCAGCCCCACTCGTGCATAAAGTAGAAGAACCACCGCCAAAAAAGACGTCGCTACAGAGTTCTCGACCTCATACACCTAATTCCCGAGCGTCGCCAAGCCTTTCTAGGCCTAGTTCAAGGTAATTTTTAAAATTTTCATTTTTGAAAGTTTAGGAAGACTCTCCCCCCCCCCCTTTCAACCACTTTTACTATACTAAAAAATTTCAGACCAAGCTCAACTCAACCACCCCCTCAACCTCGAGTACGACCCAACCGGAACCGTATGTTCGAAACATCTTCGGCGATGCGTGACATTTTTGGTGGTTCATCGTCACCACGAGCTCCGCGACATACCGTAGCGTCCGAAGGATCCCCCAGAAGATCCGAGAACTCACCAAGACCATCAGATAGTACGCTACGTTCTACTCAATCTGAAGCATCTACACCTGCTGTGCACCAAGCCGAATCTCGTTTGAAATCCAGCGAAACTAATCCGGAGATCAGTTCAATCAATGACCGTAACACGCTACAGAATGCGACGGATGTTCAGAATCTAAATGCAAGCCAAAATATCGACCAAAACACGACCAAGCCCGACCATTTCCGCCGCTCCAACGAAAGTTTCAACGACGAACACTCAGTTCGCAGCGGAGTCACTAGTGATTCCGGAATCGCATCGTGCTTCCAACGAATCCGAACCCCTCCACCATCATCGTCAGGGCCTTCAGAAGTCGCACGAACCAACGTCCTACAAAATGAAGGTGTCCAACAAGGTCGGTGGGAATCTGCTCCAAGCACATCGTACAGCACGACCAGTTCTTTCTACAACGTTCCAAATCACGATACGGCGTACGAAAATGCGCGTAGAAGGGCGAATGGTCGTCCGCCGATTACGTCATCGTTTAATATCATTACCCATGAACCTATGGGTAGTAGGGTGAACCAGCCCGGTCCCGAGATCCCGATAGAGCCAGGCTTCGTTTTTGGCGCGGGACCGAGCACGTCAAGTCCACGGAGAAGGTACGGTATTTTTGATGCGATTTTTAAACTTTTGGTTTTAAAATTTAAAATTTTTGAAATTTTTTTGAAATGTTAATGTTAATATTTTTGATGGCAAAGCCAATGTTTAATTTCGTCATCCTCAATATCTTCATGTTCTTTGCTCTTACTGCGTGCTTAAGCCGTAATAAACGCATTTGAAATTGGCATGAAATTTCGAAATTGACCTCGGCCTTAATTTTAGGAATGACCAAATCGAGTTGGGGGCACCGGGACCGGAAATGGCCACGGATACGGAAGAGAGTGCGTCGCCCGAGACCGAATTCGACCGAGAACTGGACACACGAACAGCTGATGATGGATTCGGAGAGTGCGTTGGCAAAGGAGAGAGTGATAGTCGAAGACAGAGCACTGGAAAAGGAGAGAGCGACAGTCGGCGAGAGAGTACGGGGAAAGGAGAGAGTGACAGTCGACGAGAGAGCATTGAAAGAAGAGAGAGCGGCCGAGATAGTATTGGATTTGAAAGAAGCAATCCCGAACGGCCAGAAAGACACAATGGCTACCAAAGAGACCGCAGACCTAGCTCCGAACACCAGAACGGGGACCTCAATGGGAGCCGGAACGGAGCCGGGGGCCGCGCGCCGACCGACGACCTTGCTCTCTCTCAAAACACCCCCTACCCAGTCCAACATCCCCTCAACCACAATGCCGCCGCATATCCCCCCTCCACTGTCCCCCACTCCAACGCCCCACCCACCGCCGCCATTGCCCCTACCCGCCGCTTCGACCCACACAAACCGTTGGGTGGGGGATTTGGTGCGGCCGGCGGTCCCCTTGTGAACGACGAGAATCGCGCACCCACCGAACTTCTGCTCCAGCTACGACGCTTTCTCTTGTCCACTAGCGAGGACGGTAGCGGAATGGCTTCCGCTGCATCGAATGGTACTGGCGGTGCGGGTGCAAACCCGTTGGTGATTCGTGGCGGACAGATTGTCAACGATGACTCCATCTTTGCGGCCGATATTTATATTGAGGATGGTGTTATCAAGTGGGTTTTGAATTTTTTTAAAAATTTTAAATTTTCATTTTTAAAAATATTTTTAAAATTTTTAATTAAACAAATTTTAATTTTAAAATTTCAGACAAATTCTACCAAACCTCGAAATCCCAGAGCAAGCAGAGATCATCGAAGCGGCAGGGAAATGGATTCTGCCCGCAGGCATCGACGTCCACACTGAATTCTCAGCCGGCCTAACACCAGACGAGTTTCTAGTGAACTCAAAAGCAGCCTTAATTGGAGGTACAACAACAGTCATCGATGTTGTTCTACCAGGTATCAGCGAACGGTTATCCGATGCTGTGGAGAGGATAAAACGGCTAGCTGATCAGAAAGCCTTGATTAACGTTGGACTAAGTTTATCATTGTACAAATGGAACGATGAGGTTAAAAGGGAGGTGGAGCAGCTGGTTCGGGAGAAGAAGATCAACAGTTTCATACTGGAGATGCAGAACGATTCTGAATTGTTTGAAGCTTTGAATCACTTGAAGGCATTGGGCGCTTTGGCTAGGATTTACCCGGAAAACAAGGATATTATTGGACTGCTTGAGAAGCAGAACAGTAACCAGACACCGGCTGAGAATTACATCAATTCAAGGCCTGTTCAGGTAGGATAATATCACAAAATTTCAAAAAAAAAAATATTTTTTCAAAATTTTTTAAATTAAAAAAAAAATTTTTTATTTTTAAAAATAAAAAAAAAATTTATTTTCAGCTAGAAGCCGAGCGGATTCACAAACTCTGTGTGCTAAGTCAGCTAACAAATTCTCCGATTTCGATCTTATCCACGAGTTCAGATGAAGCGTGTCGTTCCGTGATTCAGGGCAAACAAAGTGGTGCTTCAGTCTTTGCCGAGGTACCAATATCAACTTTGGCAGCTGATTTAAGCATTCCCACACCTAGCCAAAGCCGGATTCCGATTAGAAAAGGCGACGAACATGTTAAGGGAGCTCTGGAGATATTGGCAAAGTAAGCGGGCTTCTGTTTTTTTTTAGCTTTTTAAAGCCTAATTTTGGATTTTTTTTAATTTCTAGGCTTATTTTTAGCGTGTAGGCTAATTACGTCATTTTTAGGCTTATTTGATATTTTTAAACTATTAAAATGTTAAAATGTTACCTAAACTTAAAATATTTCAGTGGTCAACTAGCCGTCTGCGTATCAGGTCATCGTACTCCACGTCAGTCAGGTAACCGACCACCGTACGGAGTAATATCAGTTGGCGAACGTCTTCCAGCTCTATGGGAACGAGCCGTAGCCTCAGGCAAACTCGACCTAATGCGTTTTGTAGCCGTTTCCAGTTCGAATCCAGCAAAACTGTTCAATTTGTATCCGAAAAAAGGCCGAATTGCAGTCGGAGCCGACGCCGACCTGGCCATCTGGAACGCTCACAGCTCACGAACACTCGGCTGTCGTGCTTCTGGAGCGGCGGACAAAAGTCCGTTCGATGGATTCGCGGTTCATGCCACAGTCGAAGCTACGATCTGTAATGGTACTGTTTTGTACAAGAACGGAAAAATTGAAGCCGAGAAGCCGGTTTCGCAACGATTTGTACCTTTATTGCCCGAGGCTCCTCATGTGTTCAGTGTGGTGAAATTGAGGGAAAAGGTAAGGGGTTTTAAAGAGAAAAGGTCTATTTTATCCTGCTTTATTCAACCCAATTATTGCCAAAAAATCATAATAAGCGTGACATTTTTCAGACTTTTTTCCTTGGCCTCGCCTGAAGCCAAGCCTGAAGCCAAGAACGGCCAAGGACCTTCAATGTTCGAAGAACATCACAATAATCGATGTAGGTTTAAACTTATCAGTTTTAAAATTAAAATTTTTTTGAACTTTTGATTTTAAAAAAATTTTTAAAAATTCAAAATTTCAAAAATTTAAAATTTTAAAATTTTAAAAATTCGAAATTTCAAAACATTAAAAATTAAAAAAATTCAAATTTTCAAATTTTTTCAATTTCAGCCACCGAATCGTCGATGAAATCCCGTTCGGCGACCAAAGTGATCCAGCCTCCGGGCGGCCGATCGAGTATTTTTTAAGGCCCGCCCCTCCAATCACTTAATCGAATGCCGTGGCAGTTGGCGTTGTATAAAAGACCTGGATCAGCTCTTGTTCTCTTTTTTTATTGCCCAGGTCTTCGCGGGTGCATTCTCAGGACTTTTTTCGCGTATTTTATCCGAAAATTGGCGTTGTACAGCTTTATTCGTCTTGTTTTATATTGTTGATGGTCAAGTTTGGGTGAAAATTATCATTTTTTGGTTTTAAATTTAACTTTTTTGATAAAATGTTACCTAAAAATTAAATTTTTCATCGATAACTATATAAACCATGACCTTTTTGAATCAAATGTTACCTAAAATTGACGGTTTTTACTCAGAAAAGCAACTAAAGCCAGTTTAACCACCATTCCAGTCATTTATAATATTTATTGTTGGCTTTTAATCTCGAGCTTACTGTACTATTTACTTAATTGAATAATAAACTGTGCCTACTTAAGTGATGTCGATCTTGATCAAGAATGGCATTGTGGTCAACGAGGACTCGATGCAACGTGCCGACGTGCTCATTCACGACGGGGTTATCAAGTACGGTGGTTTTGGGGCAGTGTTACCTAAAAAATTTTTTTTTGAAAATTTTTTTTTTCAAATTTTAAATTAAAAGTGACCTGTTTTAGCCTAGAACAATAAAAAATCATTACAGAGCCGTAGGTCCACTAATAGAAGCCATTGACAGTAACACAGAAGTCATTGATGCCACTGATCGCTATGTGATGCCAGGAGGTATCGACCCTCACACTCATATGCAACTACCTTTTATGGGTGAAGTCGCAGTAGATGACTTTTACTCTGGTACTAGGGCTGCTCTTGCTGGTGGTACCACTATGGTAAGAAAAATTATTTTGACGAAATGTCACAAAAATTATTGGTTTTTTATTTATAGACGGAATGTCACAAAATTTATTGGTTTTTATACGAAGTGTCACAACTTAAGAAATACTTTAAAAATAATTTTTATTGTTTAGATAATTGATTTTGTTATCCCGGACAAACAGACCACACCATTAGAAGCCTACCATCAGTGGAGAAAGTGGGCCGATGACAAAGTATGTTGTGACTATGCTCTATCAATGGCCATAACCTCATGGAACGATCAGGTAAAACAACAAATGCAAGCTCTGACCAGCCCCGAGTACGGCATCAACTCGTTCAAGTTCTTTTTGGCCTACAAGAACGTGTTCATGGTGGAGGATCACGAGTTCTTCCAAGGCCTAAAACAATGTGCTACCGTTGGTGCACTAGCCCGAGTTCATGCTGAAAATGGCCCAGTAATAGCAGAGAAGCAACGAGAACTGTTAGAACTTGGTATCACTGGTCCTGAAGGCCATACTCAATCCCGGCCGGAAGAACTCGAAGCCGAAGCAACGCATCGTGCATGTATTCTGGCTTCACAAGCCGACTGTCCTTTATATGTTGTTCATGTGATGTCAAAAGGTGCGGCCAGAGCTATTGCCAACAGTAGACAGAAGGGAAATGTGGTATTTGGTGAGCCAATTGCAGCTGGACTGGCTTGTGATGGTTCACATTATTACGATAAGGATTGGGAACACGCGGCCAAGTACGTGTTGTCACCACCCTTAAGCAGAGACAAGGGTACGCCTGAGGCTTTGATGGATTTGTTGGCGTGGTGAGTTTATTACTCTATTCTGTCTTATAGTACTCATCCTATTCTACCCTGCCCTACAGTACTCTTTCCTACTTTACCCTATCCTAATGTACAGTAATAAAAACATTTTCAGTGGCCAGCTCCACCTAACAGCCACAGACAACTGCACCTTTACCTGCTCACAGAAGAAAATCGGCCAAAACGACTTCACCAAGATTCCAAACGGTGTCAACGGTGTAGAAGATCGTATGTCCATCGTATGGGAAAAAGGCGTATATTCCGGCAAAATCGACCCAATGCGTTTCGTATCCATCACAAGTGCTACGGCCGCCAAAATCTTCAATTGTTACCCAAAGAAAGGCCGAATCCAAGCCGGATCCGACGCCGATATTGTGATATGGAATAAGGATACGGTGAAGACGATATCAGCTCAACATCATCATCAAGCTGTCGATTACAACATATTCGAAGGCATGGAGATTCACGGAGAAGCCGAAATCACGATCAGTAGAGGGAAGACCGTGTGGAGGAACGGGGAACTGATAACGATGGCTGGAGCTGGCAGGTTTGTACCATTGGAACCATGGTGTGCTCACGTGTTTGGTACCATTGAGGCTAGGAAAAATGTAGGTTTTTAATGTTGATGTTGTTTTAGGTATGAAATTATTATTTTTATAGGTATAGCGCACAACAGGCTTAGGCTAACTTTAAGCTTAATTTTAGGCTAACTTAAGCTGAATTTTAGGCTAACTTTGGTCATAATCTGAGGCTTAGCCTAATTGTTACCTAAATTAAGATCTCGTGAACTAATGGCCTCAAAACAATTTTTGTTTATCAGTTGTTTCGTATACCCTCTTTCAACTCTTTTTACGTATGCTCTTACGTTCCAAATCCATCAATATAAGTTATATTATCCATGGCTGTTTGGAAACGTGAAAAGAAGGATAAATTGACGTAATTTAGCATTATACAGCAGTTTTTTTTAAATTTTAGAGCTATTTTGGCGAGTTGTTACCTAAAATTATCGAAACTTGTTCTTATTACGTAAAACTAAAAAATTGTTACCTAAAATTATCAAAAATGATCTTTATTACCTAAAACTAAAAAATTGTTACCTAAAATTATCAAAAATGATCTTTATTACCTAAAACTAAAAAATTGTTACCTAAAATTTGAAAATGCGAACGTTTAAGCCTAAATATTTTAGCACCGAAAGCCGAAGCTTGTGATACGTGAAACAGATGTTCGAAACAACAATCTGAAAGCAGGTAAGGGTGATTTATCTCCAATGAATGTTCCAGACGAACCAATTCAAGTGGATTAGGTTGGAAGCGAAGAATTACGGGTGAATCAGGATATTATCTATCAAAACGTGCTTTATATTATCTATTAAAGTGTGCCATATCGTTAATATCTGCTTAAAACGGTATTATACATGTTGTAGTAGGTACGGAATGCTATATTGCTCATATTATACGCATTTAATGCTATATTTATGTTAAAATAGGTATAAAAACCATATTGATGTTACTGAAAAAAGCCTAATGTATTTTGCAAATAAATTTGAAACAAGTTTATTCACACATATAAGAGGAATGACAACAAAATGAACATAATAATATGAAATAAGCACCTGTGTTGGTATTAAAGTACAATGACATATAAGTATATATGCTACTGTATATATGCTGATAGTATAAGTTTAAAGCAAAAGCCAGTAAAATTTACCATGACAAACATTATTTGTAATCACAAACGGTAGAATAAAAGTCTTGTCGTTTTTTTCCGTGCAAAACCATGGTAAAAAGCGACAAGACTTTTCCAACCTTAATATTATAATAATATTGCAAGTTTTAGCTATGTATACGCTACGTTATACTTGATATATCACATTTTGAATAGCTTTAGAATCTGTTATGTCCACTTCGACCGGTCGATACTTCATCACTACTCTCTTCGTTCAATTCACCGTACATTGACACATTCGGTCGACTTCTATCTGACGTTGATGGTGTTGTCGTATCTTTATCACTACTGTCTTTACTCTCCTCTCTTATAGCGTGTAAAGAAAGTTTTGGTTCGGTGGGAGTGTTGACTGATGAATTGATAACGGCTTCGTGGTCTGTTATAATGTAATTGTCTTCGTCATAATTAACGTCATCTTTGTTGACATTTTTGATGTTTAAGGATTCTGGAGGCTCTACAGTATACTTTACGGTTGATTTGGTGGCCTGTGTCGTTACTGTAGAATGATTACCATTAGGTGAAGCCTTTAAAACAGTTTTATCTTGGTATGTAGGCTTGCTACTGTAGCTCACAGTGTCTCTAACCTCTACCGTATGACTAGTACTAACTCCGTTATACTTTGTCGTTAAGCTATCGTATCTTTTTTCATCGTTCTCGTCCTCTGATGATATTTCATCGCTCCAACTTGTGATGATCTTTGACCGTGAAGCAGATTCTGGACTAATATTAGACGTGCCAGATTTTTGGCTACGGACATCTGTAGCCGTCACGATAATCGGATCATCATCTAAGCTAGGTAGTTTGTTCAAGTATGCAGCACGTTTCAATACGGTTTCGGCTGGTACGTACTCGTCTTTTTGTGTTTCATTGTCAGGATGATCGTGGTACTTAGTGTAGCTACTGTGAGGTGAGTTTTTCAGTACCGTGCTATTGGTATTCGAGTTAGCACGCTCATTATACTCGGTTTTTTGCTGAGCTACAGTATCTTCATGACTTGGTGTTACCTTTATCACAGTTTCTTCGTTCGACCTAACTTTTAGTACCGGCTTTGAAGTAGCACTGGTACTTTTTACCGTACTGTTGTCAGCATCATCGTCAATTTGAAACCGATGAACACCGGCCGTTTGTGAAAACTTGATATCTTCTTCACTGGCCGATGTAACTACATTATTCTCAGGCTCAGTATACTCTTCACTCTGTACGTCATCCTTGTCATTCCGTGCTCCATAAATGTCATCTAACATCAGGCTTGTGACTTGAGTAACCTCATTATTCTCATCGTTCTTCCGGCCGTTCTTTGAGCTGTTTTTACTATTCTTTGATACAATCTTGCCGTTTTTACTATCTACATCTTGTTTGGTATTACTCTTTTGTAGTTTTTTACTGTCGTGCCGTGGTTTACCATCCTTATCTTCTCCATCTCCTAACCCATCGTTTGTTCTGTGTAACACAAAGTCGTACCGTTCATTTTTAGCACCAGTACCACTAGTTATACCATTTCTAGTACCATTAGGTATCCCATGTTTGTCATCAAGATTAATCTCGTCAAACTCCTGTCCATCGTCCTCAAATCCAGAATTTGCATTTCCAGTACGTGGTGTTTCACCAACATCATGAAAGTCGAACCCATTCGTCTTTATCGGTTGAGTAATCACTACTGTGTTATTCCCATTCACATCGTACTGCACAGCATCCGCATTAGAGTACTTGGCTTGACGATCTTTGTACAAACAACAACATAGACGACGTTTTACTGTGTCCATAGTAAGGCTAAAATAAGGGAAATTAGAGATATTAAGGTATAATAAGGTCACGTTTGTAAGTCAAAAGAAATTTGAAATATTCGGAGATATCCTACCTACCATACCATACCGCGACCTACCCTACCCTACCCTACCCTAATGTATAAATTAACAGTAAAGTAATCTTTATTCGAGCATAATATTCACATCAAACTTCAAACCGAAAACTTTAATTCAAAACAGTAAAAACTACAAATCTGATGTTGGCTACATTTAGTATTTCGCATTATAAAATACAACTTAAAATTTCATTTTCAATCATAAATTTGTATGTTCAGCATAAAATACAATTTTTGGAAATTACAACTTAAATTTAGCAAAAATTGCAATATATGGTACATAAGAAAAGCCCACCCAAAGTGCAAAAAATCATAGTTGAGGCTTGAAAATGGTCGCAAAATCAAACATAGGCTTATGAACAATATTATAACATTAGAAATTTATTTTATCTTCACAATTAATTTTTTTATGCTAAAATAATAATCCTTAAGTTTAAATAACAGTTTTTAGGCTTAAACAACAATTTTTAGGCTTAAATAACAATTGTTGCGCTCAAAAAACCCTTTTAGGCTGATATAACAGTTTTTAAGCTTAAATAACAGTTTTTAGGCTTAAATGACAGGTTTTAGGCTTAAATGACAATTCTTAGGCTTATATAACAGTTTTTAGGTTAAATAGCAATTTTTGGGCTAAAGTGAAGATTTTTAGGCTTAAATGATAGTTTTAGGCTAAAGTGAAACTTTTTAGGCTTAAATAACAGTTTTTGTGTTAAATAGCAATTCTTATGCTAAAGTGAAAATTTTTAGGCTTAAATAACACTTTTTAGGCTTAAATAACGGTTTTTAGGCTAAAGTAAACATTTTTAGATTTAAATAACAGTTTTTAGGCTTAAATACCCACGTTTAGGCTTAAAATTATCCTTTAGTTTCAAATGTCCCTTTTAGGCATAAACAATTTAAACCCCTTTAAAACATTATTTTCCAAAAAGAGTATTACTACAAGTGCAGAAATGGACACAAAGGGCGAATCGTGGGTATTTTAGTCAGTGAAACATAATTGTTACATTATACATGAGAACAAAATCGATAGAAACTCGAGAATCGCATTACTTTTAGTCGTTTTAATGATTTTTCAACTGAATTCTGGTAAAAAATAATCACTTGTTTACCAAAAATGTGAATAATTGTTACTTCTTTTGAGTTTAAGCTTTGCTCTAAGCCTATCTTTAAACCTAAACCTTGTCCGAAGCCTACTTTTTGAACCCAATTTTTGTTTTAAGCCTAAAAAATCGTCTTTTAAAACCAAAATTCACCATCATTACAATGATGAAAAAAAAAACCATTTTTAAAATTTTAAAAATGATACGGTCAAAAAATACATAGAATAAGCACAAAAAATGATTACACTAAATAAAATTCTCAAATTTGTAGCAATGACGGTATCAAAAACAAAACATATTCAAAATAACCACGGTATATGTTCGTTTACTCTGTTAGAAAACGTTGCCCGGGCGATAGCACGGCCATTTCCTTAAGCCGGCTGGCGCCAAAAAAAGTAAAATTATTCGCAAAAAAGGTAAGTTACACTTAGATGGCATTTGTATAAACCTCTATGTTCATTAAGAGGTGTATATAAGGCATAGTGGTATAGTATATGATCCTTCGTATTGTGATCTAATATCCTAAATAATATTGTTTAGGGGATACCGTATAGCATCTACTATAAGATACTAAGTAGTATTTACTAAGAGATAATTAGTAGTATCTCTTTTATTTTAAGCCTAAAACTAAGAGATACTGAGTAATATCCTTTACTAAAACATGTCATCCCTCATATAAAACCATCATAACATACGTAAACAACAAGATATACCACGTTTCCAACTTTGTAACATTACCTACTTTCGTCTCCCCTGTCTCAAATCAAAGAGTTTTGTTTGAAAAGCCTCAAAAGGTCAGTTATTTATAATAAAGGCCTCTGATACGAAGCCTCTGAATCAGCGCCGAATATTCATCAGAATTTTTTACTCGTCTTTTGAAACATTTCACAAGTTGAAAACGAATGAAAAGTCAAGTATCAAGCTCAAAACATCTTCTTAGGCTTAAAAATGGAATTTATTTTATTCCTTTAGGCTTGTAGAAAAAAACATAGATTTAAAAAGTCTGATATCATACTAAATCTCATCTTCAGGTTCAAACCCAAGTCAAATATCATACCCACAAAGCGTTCCAAAAGTTTCAAAGTCAAAATATTGTTTGTTGGCAAAAAATATTTGTCCAAAAACTTTCGGCCGCACATTCCCCTTTGCGCAATTGTTTGTCGATTCAAAGCCGCGGAAATTAGCGCTCTGAAGCAAAAATATATATATATTCTTTTTGTGAACACAATAGAAACGACAATTGAGAAGTAACAAACAGCAATTAGGTACTCGTTTGAACTTTCAGCATGGGTTTAGGCTCCGCAAACATTTGGAAAGAGTCCACAAAGACAGATTCTGAAAAGAATTTGAATTGAAGATTGATTTAACGTTTCGAAAGTTAGATTCATACCTAAAACCTAAAGCTTCAAATAAAGAAAACCCATCATAACCCAACGCAAACCTGGCAACTTCAATCCAAAAACAATATAAACCTAAAACTTCCATATTAAGGCAAAATATTTACTTTACATCGTATGGGTAGCACAATAAATAGGATTAGCTTATTTGTAGAATTCAAAGTCGTTCAAATCCTTCTTCACAACGTTCTTGTAGGCCTTATCAAAGTCCTTGGTCAGTACAACATATCTATTCTCTCTCACAGCGTGCATACCGGCTTCTTGACAGATGGAATTGATGTCGGCTCCAGAAATCTTGTCTGGTCGTGCAACAAAGTCTTCCATGTCCACATCGTCACTCAAGTTCATTTTGGCGGTGATGGCACTGAAGATAAGACGCTTTTGTCGACGATCTGGTGTTGGGAATTCGATTTTTCTGTCCAAACGACCAGGTCGAAGTAGAGCCGGATCCAACGTGTCCTGTCTGTTCGTAGCCATTATTACCTTGACATTGGTGGTTTGATCAAAGCCGTCCATTTGATTCAAAAGTTCCAGAAGAATACGCTGTACTTCTCTGTCGGCACCGGTTTGAGCGTCAAAACGTTTCGTAGCAATGGCATCAATTTCGTCGATGAAAATAATCGATGGACTGTTTTCCTTGGCCAGACGGAACACATCTCTCACCATTCGAGGCCCTTCTCCAAGGTATTTTTGTACGAATTCAGAGCCAACAACGCGGATGAAGGAAGCTGTGGTATGAGCGGCTACAGCCTTGGCCAACATGGTTTTGCCACAACCTGGAGGACCGAACATAAGTACACCACGTGGAGGATCAATACCAATCTATAATGAAGTATTTAGAATAAATCTTCTGCAAAAAATATTAAACTTATAGTCAGAATACGTATAAAGATTGCTAAAACATTTAAACTTTGAGTATTAGCTCTTTAAAGCTGTGTTATTACCTAAAAACCAAAGAATCAAATAGAAATTTTACCTGTTGATAAAGTTCACCATGAGTTAACGGAAGTTCCACAGCTTCTTTCACTTCTTGCTTTTGCATGTCCAACCCACCAATGTCAGAGTAGCTCACTTCTGGCTTTTCATCTGGCCTCAACATCTGAATACTCGAGTCCGCTTCAGGTGGGAGAACATCAACCAGAGCATTTGAGTACTTGTGAAGAGCAACAGAACACCCTGGCTTCAGCAATTCTCTGTCCAAGATAGACAACACACGTACATAGTAGTTTGAACCTAAAATGTAAAAATTAAAATAAAAGTTGCATGTTCAACTTGATTTAGGTGCCAAAGCATTCTTACCAGTTGTAGAACCAACAATAGCGTGATCTTGATCAACAGCTTCCAAAAACTGCCCAATAACAACAGGAACAGATTGTATACGTTTTACCTAAAATTTAAAAAGTTAAGCTTCTAAAGTTATACGTCAATTTTAAAAATCAACTAAAAAACATCAATACGTATAAAACAAACACAATACTTAGCTTCAGCTTTTCAAAACTAATTTAAAAGCTACGAAACCAACCTCCTCTTGAGCATGTAAAAGCTCTTTTTCCAAGTTTCTAGTCTCCAACTTGATATACTCTTCCATAACATCCAGATGCTCAAGTTGTTTCTCCAATTTTTTAAACTTCAGATAGTCGTCAGCTTCATTTATAGCCAGATCTACTTCCATCGCATCTTTGGATGTGTTCACAGCCAGAAGAGATCGATCTCTTTTCGGTGCATCCTAAACAATTTTTAATGAGTTTAGTCTTAAAAAATAATTATCAACTTTAGAGATAGTTAAACTACAAATAAATACGTTTTTGACTATTGCTACCTAATTTATTCATGAAAACTATAAAAATCAACAGTTCTATCTCGCCAGCTTCCGAAAACCTCAAAACAAAGTTCATAAATAAAGTTTTATCCAATATTTACCTAAAATTTAAAGAAAATATAATTAAATACGATAAACTTACCAAAATACCAATTTCTGCCAAACCGTCGCCCATTTTCGACCGGAAAATTAAATAGCCGATTTCTGAAAATAAAAATATTTTACTTTATCATCAAGCGACTTTGCCTGATTTTCATTGTTTTTGGCATTTTGTTGCAAGATATATTTTGAGAGAAAAGTTTTGCTATCTAAGAAATACAATATTATTTTTCGAAGTTAAACAAAATGGATTATTCTGTAAGTCATCTTAGTATATTTTACTTTGTAATTTACTTTTTTAGTCGACTAAAAAGACTAACTTAAAGAGTGAAAGAAACAATAAATTTCATTTTTAGTACATCGTCGTTCAATGTGAAGAGAGAACTCGAAATGTAATGGCGCAGCTTGACGGAACGGTCAACAAGCAAAGTTTGCGAGATGCGTTTCATATTGGCAACGACTTGTCAATTTCATTACTTCGAAATGGAATAGCGTTGTCGTAGGTTATAAAACACTTCTCTAAAAGTATTATTTAGATGAAAAGTTTGAATAATTTATAAAGGTTTTTTTATTTAATCTTTCAGGTCGACAGAAGGGAGCTTTCGATTGGGGCCTAATTGGAAGAAAGCAATATTTTCGTTGAACTACCAAAAATTTTGACGCTCAAGACCATCTACCGCGGATGAAGGTATTTTTTATACATTTCATATGTTTATCTATTTTTGGCACACCAAGCAGTATATAGAATCTTAATCATGATGTTTCATATAATTTACTTTTTGACGAAGTTTCGGCCTAGGATAGTTAACGATACTTGAATATTTTAGGACCTTCCAAACCCAAAATTCTACGGGTTAATAAAGAGAACGTTGTGGAAGAACATGACTTACGAGTTGATGGAGATTTAATATCCAAAATCAACCCGTATTGCTTATACTATCAAAAGGCCGATGGGTTTAAAAGATGTGCGATACCTTTGACTAAGACTTTCGCAATCATATACAAGCACGCAGACAACAAAGATTTGAAAATAGGAGACGAGATTATACTACGCAATTATCAAAGTGAATTAACACGAGTGTCGGTGCATGTTGTCAAAATACTTGAGCCATATGACACAATCGTTTTGAAAGCGAATGGAGAAGAGTTATGCACCGAAGACATCAGTAAGACAGTAGTTGTGCCTCAAAAAGGAATGAAATACTTACTTGTAAGCTTTTATTATATTTTTTTCCATTTTAATTTGTTAAACATGAACTGTTTTAGATGGGAATGTCCATCATCTACGAAAAAACAAATCACCAGAGTTTTGCATCAGGAATAATTGCGAGTGAAATCAAAAGATACAGAAGATACATTGGCACATCCGGGTCCTTCAAAGGAGATGGCGGTGGGAGTGTTTGGAGCGAAAAGGGATGTCTTTTGGGGATGCAGATTGAGGTGGAGAACTTGAAACACACAGTGGACCAAAGAAAGCGGCCGGCATCACCAGCATCAGGCGGGCGTTGTGCTATAATTGCAATTGAAGACATTATTGCAAATATACAGGTAAAATTGATCGACAAATTTATAATGATTTTAAATTTTAGGACCTTATTATGTTTGGTAAACCTGCTCCCGTGTTTGACGCTCTTTGTGGGGATTGCTGAATATCTGAATATCAAGACATTGTTGGTCCTAAAACTGGTAAGAACACATTTGAAGCAATAAAAAGTTGAATATGCAAGTTTTTATGTTACATTTAATATTTTTAGGTTTAAATTACAACGTAAATGTGTTATAAATAAAATGAGCTTGAATGAAGACTGGTCATGAAGGACTTTGTAGCAGGCCTGATATGATTTTACGAGCCGATCTCAACTCTATCTGTCAAGATAACCGGCAGGCATTCTAAACGGGAGGATAGATATGTTTTACTAATCAAAAATCTTGACAAGACCTACAAGAACAGAAGGATTTGAAAGACTTTGAATTCTACGGATTTGCTAATTCTATATATTGTAACACATATGTAAATTAAATAGTTTGAATGTTTACCGGTTTGGTAGGTTGTTTTTCATTGGTGTATGATTTAAATACAGAATAAACTAATAAAATAGCAAAATATGTTATAATTTTATTTAACAAGTAAATACAATCTAAAAAAGTGTTAACGTTCCCAACCTGCTGGAATCGCTTTATTATTTTTGGAAAATCCCACGGTGTTTACAGGCTGTGTAACTCGATTGGGGCAATGCTTTTGTTATTCCATAACCTTTAGGTATTATTGGTAAACGGGTTTACTTTACTTTCGTAGGTCGGTTTAATTGTGTTATATTGTGCTGGTGGCAGTTTTTGAGTATATTTTTGTTGAAATTTTAAAAAATGGTATAATATTTTTTAAGCAGGGGGTAGGGATATCCTTTATTTTTCTGACTTATCGCTAAAAAAAAGTCTTATCGCTTTTTAGAGATTGCTGAAGGTAAAAAAACGACAAGACTTTCTATTCTTTTATTTCGATTTTGTGGTTTGTAATGTGCAATTTGTAAATTTTACTATACTTTCTCTATGTCTTTGTATATATTTTCCTTCTTACTCTCTAGCATCATCTCAATCAGCTTACTGTAAGACGGCGGGGTATGCTCCCAAAACGGAGTAATGTAATCGAAAAGGAAAAGCTTTTAATTAACTGACTGATGATATTTACATCAAAACATTGCGAATGAAACGAGTATGATGCTGGGGAGAGGTTAAAAAAGGGGGGTTGAGTTCTTGTCAGTCCGTTTTTATTTATTTTTACTCCAGGGATCGGCGCGCCAACCGGCTAGAACATTCGGCCCCAGGGAATTGCGAGCAAGAGCCCGGTCTGCCTTCAACCCGAGCCGGGTAATTCGTTCCGCAAATCCGGCAATAAATGCACTTTTTTCAACCTGACTTCAAAACAGTAGTTGGAATTATGGAGGATGACTTTACTTGGTTTAAGCATACGATGGTTTTGAAAGGTTTGGCTGTTTGGTAGTATATAAGAATGAAAAATCTATAGAAAAATAGTATAAGGTAAAGTAGCTTAGGGTAGCGTAGAATATGGTAGAGTAGGGCAGGGTATAGTAGGTTAATGTAGAGTGATATGGTAGATAAAAGGTGATACCTCGCGGAAAAATACTGCGTTATCACAACACTCGCAGTAATTTGTTGGGTCGTTTTACACCGAGGCAAATATTAGATAAGTCGTAAATTTTACATAATAAAAAGTTGCGTAATACGGTTTCTTGCAATTTCTCTGAGGCTATGTTGTTATAGCATCAATAATAGGTAACCCTGACGAATTTTTTTGAGAAATCATCTATTATATAGTAGTTTTTAATAGACTTAACCAAAGTAGGCTCTGCATTAGTGAACGTAGCTTTAGAATTAAAATTTAATTGACCTAAAATTTAAAATTTAGTTCTTCTGCCAATGTTTTAAACCTCACGGTACGTACCTAACAGACAGCGGATGTTTTTGAGCATTGGCCGAAAAACCCACAGAGTATCCGAAAAAGCATCGGATTTCATTTCCGGCGCGCCGAGTGATCCATCAAGTCGAGGCTTTGGTAGAGGCAAGGTGGGGCCATTATTGGTAGGGGAGCTTAGACTTTCACTTTGTCTTCTTTAGGCCCCTCCGGCTTCCGATTTTAACTTTTCACCAGAAAAGGGCACGGAAAAAGGAAACACTTTTGGCCCCATAACGCTCTGGTTTCGGCCATTGTTCTATTGTTGTTGGGACGATCTTTCTCCGCATGATGCTGTTTCTGCGTTCGGCGGGCGGAAAACTGGAACAATTTAAAAAATATACGGGGAGAAGAGAGCTGGACCGAAGGAGGAGATGATTAGGCTTAGCAGCAGAGAATTTTAGACAGCCTACGACTTTAGGCTTAGCAGCACAAAATTTTAGGCTTAGCAGTACATAATTTAGGCTTATTACGCAAGTTTAGTCGTAGCAGCAGAAAATTTTAGGCTTATTACGCAATTTTAGGCTTAGTATCAAAAAATTTTAGGCCTATTACGCGAGTTTATGCTTAGCAGTGGAAATTTTTAGGCTTAGCAGTACACAATTTAGGCTTATTAAGCAATTTTAAACTTAGCAGGAGAAAAATTTAGGCTTAGCAAAATAATTTTGCGTATTGAGGGGGTGGCTGTGTGTAAAACCCGAGGGCTTATCAATTGTTTTGTGGAAAGTTGGCGGGTATGAAGAATGATTTCATGTTTTTTTTGGCTTTTCATACTGTATTATGCTATTTTTATGCTTTTGGAGTTTTAATGTGGGAAAACGATAGTAAATTTGTTGTAAGAATGTGTTGACAACGAAAATGATGACATAAATTTGTCAGTTTTAATTTCTATTTATTCTTATACTTGCACAATTGATTTTTAAGTTTTAAGTATTGACCTTGGTTCTTATATCCTTGTTTAGTACCAAGCAATTTAAATTAAAATTGTTGTAAAACTATGTAGCATAAATCAACCTCTAGCAATGAATGAGTAGTCATGCCCAAGACAGAATTATCTCGCTGGGTTTTGCCAGAAATCCCCCCTCGAGGTCCATTAATCCCGGCCGAATTCCGTCTGACCTTCATGTCCATTAATCATGAAACAGGCGGAACGTGAACGGCGGATGTGCGCGAGGCCACGTAATTAGGAGTGATATTTTCTTTCCGCATTCCCAATTAGGATGCACATTTTTTAAGCCGTCCATAACGCCTAATCCGCGGCGCATTCTGGCATGAAACTAAGCCTATTTTCGTTCTTCAGGCGTAAAGAAATGGCTTCTGAATCCCAGTTCAATATGTGTCATTCTCAGGTGTTTTCGGATTGATGAGGGTCTGAAAGTGTAGCATAATGAATGGGGTTTAAGGGGGGGGATGTTGGAGAGGGAGGCAAAAGGCAAGTTTAGGGAAGGGTAGGATAGCGTGGGGTAGGATAAGGTATAGTAGGGTAGGATAGGGTGGGGTAGGATAAGGTATAGTAATGTAGGATAGAATAGGGTAAGATATGGTACGGTAAGGTAGGATGGACTTTCTTGTTTTACTCTGCTTAACAAAAAATTAAACTTTCAATTTCATTTGCCAGTAATTTAGAAGTTTAATTATGCATTCTATGGACAAAAACTTTATCGAATTACTAAATTTGTTATAACAATTACTGGAAATTGTTGATATTTGCATACGTTTAGTTTACTGAAAGTATAATGAGTAGGCACGAGGAAAGCATTTTTAAGTTATTTCATTTAACCGATGTTATGTTGGTTTATAAATAAAATGTATATGTTCTGTGTCCCAATCGGTTCACTCATAGCCAAGTTATAGCTGGGGAGGGGGGGGTCAAAACTCGATGCTTTCAGTATATGCAGGAACTCTTTTTCTTCTATGTATTTTTTGATCGCAACGGTAAACTTTAAGTTTCTGAATGATCATCACTAAACAGCCTTCGCGATGATAATATACCCACATCTAACGTTTTACCATTAGAAATACTCTGTAAACTATAATAATATCATTTTCTAGGGCATCCATTACAATGGAGATGACAAAAGAAGAGTTATTGTATGAACTGAATCAAAAAGAACTCCAAATTGAACAACTGACGAGAGAGTTAGCAAGTTACAGAAACTTTTTCCACGGCCGAAAAATTGCGGTTTCGGCAGAAGTTGCACCAAGCACCGAGGGCGAATCAAATTGTCTTGAACATCAGAAGGATCGACGGTAGGAACATATTATTATATAGTATATTAGGTTGGGTAGGGTAGGGTAGGATAAAGTAGAGCAAGGTACGAGGTGAAATCCAGGACAAGCCGCCAGCAGAAGGTTAATCAAGGGAGAAATCCTTTTCTGACCTCTTCTAGACCAAAATCGCTTGCCCGGCACTGGTGATATAGCATAACGATAATGCTTTTCAGAACATTTGACATAATAGAATCGGCCCTATTGGCAAATGAATTCCTTTGCCAATTGGAACAGTTTCAAATCGACGAAATGATTAATGCCATGCAGCCGATGATGTTCGGCCCGGAGCAATGGATCATACGACAAGGCGAATTCGGCAGCAAACTTTACGTCCTTGAAGGTAGGTTTTTGAACAAACATAATAAGATGGGTTCGTAAAATCCACCTAACATAACGTTAATTGTTCTAAAATCCAAAAAACTTCAGACGGTAAAGTGCAAGTAACCAAAGACAGTCAATTCCTGCGTGTAATGGAAGCTCCATGCGTTTTCGGCGAATTGGCCATACTTTATCATTGTGAGCGGACAGCATCAATCAAAAGTAAGTAGAGCTTCAAGTCTAATAATATGTTTATCGTTCCGATTAAATTCCACTCTTCTCAGTCTTAAAAGGGCACAATATAGCTAAAAGGGCACAAAATACCTAAAAGTAGATGTTATTTGATACGAATTCGAAAAATAAACAAATTTTCCGACTTGAGGTTATTTATAGAAAAAACAGAAAATGACGGTTTTTTGGACAGATTGAAATAAAAATGACGCATTTTATATATAAAGAATAATTTTATCGATAATATTTAGATTTTTGTTTTATTAGAAAAGTTATTTTTTCGACAGGATTTTGTAAAATATTTTTGATGTACTGGTTTCTGAACTTGTTATTGGTTTTTTGAGAAGGTATTACAAAAAAACTTGTCGATTTAGAGGTATCTTTTAAATTTATGCCTTGATTTAACGATATTTACTATTTTAGGTATGAATGTCTTGTTTTTTCTTTATTTTTGACGTTCTTTTGTTGATTTTGATAACTTGTGTTTAAGGATTGCTCTTTGTTTCATTCATTTACAAACAAACGTTCTTCATTCAAAAATGTCTTTTTCATATAACAATAAACATTGGCAACATGTCATTTGCAGCCCTATGCAACTGTCGTGTTTGGGCGTTGGAAAGGCGGATCTTTCACGCGGTGATGGTGAACACGGCCAAATCGAAGCATGACGAGCTGGTGACGTTGATGACCAAGTCCAAGATGCAGAAAATGTTCACAGAGGAGCAAATTGACGAGTTGGCCGACTCGGCCAAGGATGAGGAGTGGGTGTTTCGGGCAGAGGTTGATCAGTGTCAACTGGAAGGCAAACTGTTTCTTGTTGTTGCAGGACAGGTGGGTATTACCTTTTTTGCAAGTGTTTTTGTGTTTTAGGGTTGATTGAGGGTTTAGGAATGTTTAAAGAGCTCAGTTTGAAGATTTAAGCATGCTTAATAAATTCAGATTGAGAAATAGGACATTTTAAATCACTTTTAGGTCATATTGTTGATCTGGGCATGTTTTTGTGGTCGAAATATAAGTAAATGTTTAATTTGGCAGAACATATAAAAGTAGACGAAAACAACAACAATTTCTAATTTTATAGAGTGCGCTGTTTTATAGAAACCATGAATTTTAATATTTTGGTAGCTTTTTTGACGGTTTTTGATAAATTTTTGGACTTTGTTGTTAAACTGAGGATTAGGGTGGATTTTAAATTAGGGTTCATTGGGATTACACAGCGTTTGGTGAACGGATTACGTTGAGATTTTTTATGTTTTCATTTTTCAAACTACAGTCTTGAGCTTATAAATTTATTTTTACAGATTAAATTTAAAACTGGTATATATAAAACTACATTTTCTGTAATTTATACTTCTTTTTATACCTAAAATTTCAAAAATTACTATTTTCATGACATTTTATCTTAAAGTAAAAACAAAATCTAAAATTGTTTCCAACGTTTCCGTCCGTCAACCGCATTAACGCACATTGCCGGCTTATTCTGTGGGATATTAACAATTTAAGCTGGCACGGTCGACGATTGAGGGCTTTATGGGCGTTCAATCGCGCATTATTCAGCTATAAAGCATGTTGCAAGAGCGGGAACTCGAACCAACGGGTTTTGGATTAGGAAACGGGAACGGCTACCACTATACTACGCAAACAGTGTGAAGGAGAGGCGTAAGAGAGGAGTTTGGTTTGGAATTTGGTATGAGGCGTAGAGGTGGAGATTTGAAAAGTGGCTATTTAGCATTGGTTTTTCTTAAAATGGTATTACTGGTACCGTTTTTTTGAGTGGAATGGAAATATAGATCGTTTATGGTATACTATTTGATATTTGAAGGCTTTTTAAAAGTATTTTGATAGGTTAAACTAATTTTTTTCTCAACTATATGTAATTTGCTATAAAAAACATTAAAGAAAGGTAAAAAAGAAACGATAATTTTTTACCACAATAATGATAATTAACATTTAACTTTTCAATGGTTCAACGAAATAATTGTAATGAAGACGGATTAAGGTCGAAGACGGTGCAGTCTGAGTGGAAAATCATTGAAAGCTGTTACTGACAGCTGTGTGTTTACAAATCGACTAAAAAACGAATTGTTCATTTGCTGTTCACGTGTTCTCCCGTTCCGAGTTTATTTAGTGGTCTTTTAAAGGCATCTCGGATTCATGAGAACGTTAAAAAAGACTTTAGTTTTCTATGCGAAAATTTTACAGGCGGAAGAGAAAGCTGGAATGATAAGGGTTAATAATTAATGGCATGAATAGTGGATTTTTTGCAAATTCTTGGAGATTAAATTAATTTAATTGTGTGAATTGTGGTTTTCTGAGTATGAGGTTTAATCTTTGAGTGTTTTTTCTTATGGTAGAAGAGGTGTTATAAGTTCTTGCACCCTAAAAGCCATGATATTGGTTTTGACAGCCGTGATTATAAAATATGTATGCTAACATCTGTTCCGTGTACTTTGGTTCGCTAATTCGATGTTTTTATTTTCTCGAACTTTCAACTTTGACGTGAAGAAACTGTTTTGTTCCTAGTCGATTGACCTTGTTTAGTGTAGCTGATTTAAAACGGTTTTAATGCCGTTAAAAATTACACTAACAGTTTTATAGATTACCTTTAAAATCTTTTTTTTGTGGGGACTTCCGTAATTTTTATTAAAATCATATTTGTTGCCACTTCCGTTATATTGTTAAAGTTCATCTTTGTTACGTTGATGTAAACAGTTTTTTCACTATTATTTAACATCATAGCTTGTAACGTACGTTTACTCTTTCATTTTGCGTAGTAACGTCTACTGTAAGTTTTCTTTCGTTTATTGATTACTGTGGATGTCTTTTCCTGTTCTGTGTAATGATATAAACTGTAAATTTATGTTTGTTATCGAATCGAAGATGGTGTGAAATGTAAAAAAGGTTTTATAGGTTGACATTGAAAAGTTTTTACGTTTTCTTTGAAAAATATTATACTGATTAATGTTTTGTGACAATAATTAAGCTTTAAATTTGACAAAAACAATTGAATGTAACGTAGTGTATACGTTGTAAACAATAAAAACTAGAATAATAGGTTCAAAAATTTATATAAAATTCGTAAAATTATGTTTGTCAAATATATTTAAACATTGTGAAAGGTTTGTCAATTCTACTATCAAATGCCCTTGATGTCATTGTATTTGGCTTTTACGCTGTTTAAAATACTTGTTACCATGGCGCAGTGCTTTAAAACATTTTAATGTTTTTAACATTTCAAATTTCTAAATGGATGAGCATTTGGCTGTCTGTAGCGCTTCGACTGACGTGTGTTGAGATGTTTGTTGTTCAGGCAGAAAATGGAGTTCGGTAGTCTGCGAGTTCTCATAATTTAATGTTAAATGTGAAATGACTTTAACTGATTCCGACGGGTTACGGTAGCAACGGATGACTTTTGGTTTGTTCGTCGGAGGGTAGTGATAGGGATTGGTGGAGTCTTTGTGTACTTTGGTCTTGTGAATATTGTACATTTGTTCTTTTCTATTCATCTGTATTGGATAAAAGTGAAAAAGTTAAAATAAACTAACTTTGTGAAAATTATTTTAAGCTAATTTTCTGCTTTTTAAGTGATTTTATGACGATTTCATTGGTTTCAGAAATATTTTTCAAATTGATTTATTTTGTCAAGGTGTTTTTAAACCAAGTTGAGTTTGTCAAAGTGTTTGTAGTTCTTTATTTGAGCGTTACCAAAGCATATGTTATTGTTTGATCAGTGGGACACTGACCCTTGATTTTCGATGCATGGTCAAAGAAATATCGTATATACTAATTATTTTTCGCTATTTCATCATATACGAATAGAAGTTTTTCTTTTTGGCTAGCAATATGTTTACAAGAAATATTCTCTTAAAATTAGGTTTACATGAGACGGTTTTTAGGCTTACCATAGCCTTTAATGATTACGGCTATCTTTTCTTGAAAATTTCAATTAAAAAATTACTTTTATGCCAAACGTCATTATTTTTCAAGTTTAAAACTACTTGTCTTTGTCATCTGTAATCCATTGTTTCAAAAGGAAGACATACGGTACCATAATGTTCAATACGCATATTTTAGTATAGACAAACATTGTTTCGCAATCCAGACGCGTTGTTTATTTATTTTCTTTCCAGTGGTCACTTGAAGCATCGCGATAAAATGCATACGTGAGGAAACATAAAAAAGTGTGAGCGCAGTACGAGTCAAAAACCGAAATCTTTTTTCCGGCTCGACTATTCCGAAGAGGACAGCTGACCATCGTTTCGCAGTGGTCTTTCTTTGTCCTCCTTCTTTATATCGTTTTTTCCTGAAGTGTATTTTTTCCTCACACTGTTTAAAGCTCTCGCATTATGCGGTTCCCTCGCTTTGTTATATATATTAGTATAGTTTTGTCATTCACATGACTTCTCATTCAGCGTATACTTTGATCCTCGCCGTATCATATGGCCCTCTATACAGTGGATCTAATTTTAAGAAGGGCGTTCTGTTTTTAGAAAATGGTGACGATAGTTTGGGTTATTTATGAATTTTATTTTGAAATATGTCTGTCTTTTACTTTGTGCAAGAACATTGATTTTTAGGGATGTGATTTGTATTGAAATAGGTTTTATTGGTACTTAGAAGATTTTCTCGATTTAGCGTTGTTGATTGCAAGAAAAGCCGAGTAAATTACCATATAATTCTACGTTAATTCTAATCTTATGGGTATCTTAAAGCTTAAGAAACAATTGTTTTTCCAATGAAGCAAGATAGGGTTAGTTAATACTTTGTACTCGTACACGAATTAACACGGTTATTTTTTAAAAGGCAAAACTTTTTGCGAAGCCGTACGTTGAGATATGTTTTTTATTATTATGTTTTCTTTCTTGACAGCCGAATATACTTACAAATATTAGGGAAAAGTGCAGGTTTTTATACTGCAACGGTTGTTTAAAGTAGTTTTAATGGGACGTTTCGAGTGTTTTCGTTTGACTTGTTACAGCGTTGTGACGATAAAATACCAAAAACTTGTAGAGATACATCGACTTTTATTCGATCTTACTGTAGGAAGTGTAATAGGGGCTTGTTGGTCATTTTGATCTGTTGCGGTTAAGTGATTCATATTGATCAGAACCATACCAAGGTATTAGCTTTTTTTTACTTTAAGGCTTTGTTTACTTGGTTTAAAAGGATAAAAATAGGTATGTAAAACCGTATTTGAACATTTTTATTATTTGTTATTTGAAATTTAAAAAGAGTATATTATGGTAATTTTTGTCGTTATCTGGAAATGATACAATACCTTGGCGTGGGAAGGATGTTTATTATTGTTGTTTTTTGTCGTTTCCGAATTTAAGTCGTTTTGCTTTACGAAAAAAGGATAAAAGTAAACAAAAAAGTAAGACGGAATCTGTTATTGGAAATATTTGTAAACATTCTACTGAATTTTAAAGCGCTACGTTACGAAAAGTGTCATAGGCCGTAGGCGAAGATTCGCAAAAGTTGTTTGAAGATTGGCCGTAGAAGATTGGGAAAAAAGTTTGTTGAGCTGTATTTTTAGTTTCTAACGGAAGACTTTAAGCTTCTGGTTGTTCTTTGAGGTGGACTGACTCATTTTACGCTTGTTTATTTGATCACACAATCGAACAGATTTGTTGTCTCAACGTTTTGTGAACTTTTAAACAGGCTATGTCATTTTTGTTTTCATTTATTAATAATGTCACAATGTTATTCTGCTTTGATTTTTATCATAATTGTGGTTTGATAGTTGTTCTTCTCCTTGGTTTAGAGAAAATATTCTTTTTGTCTCTGGTGACAGTTAGTGATGTTTATTCAAGGTTGATTGGAGAAGCTGAATAGGCATTTTTACGAATTATTTCTTTGTTTTAGACTTTATTAAAAACACATGTTTTGTAGCACTTCTTTGTCTTATCAACCACGTATAGGAAAATTTCTTCAAGGCTAGTCATTTAGTT